GAGGTGAACTGGCTCCTACAAACGAGATTCAGGCGATCGGCGATTGGTCCGATCCACTGCATGTGTCGAGTGTTCTCCGAATCTCCCCCGGACTGTGGCAGTTTCCCGTGAATATCCGCATCGACATGCCTCAAGCGATGTGCAAGTCGTGCCTGGTTTCCGAAGACCCGAGGTAGAGGTGATGGGGAGGGGAGGGAGAGCCCGGGGGTCGGAGTGACTTACCTAAACCACCCGACAGTTACTGGGGAAGCTATGGAGAGGACTGTACTGTATAGCGATGATGTAGAGCGTAGCCCCGCAATGGGGGATTTGCATTGGAATCGCATAATGTACTTCTCCGGTGTACCGGTGAGCCTCCCGTCATAGTGAGAAGTACCTGTTACCTCATTGATGCAGTCAACTGGCCCTCCCCGGAAAGTATCTATGACACCGGCCTGCTTCCCCTTATCTATCCTCTTTCCCCCCCCAGCTTCTTCTTGACATTGTGTCTTTTTTTCTTCTTTCCTTTTCTTCCCTTCTCTCTATTCCCTCTTCCTCGCCCCCTCCCATACTCTTTATACCCCCCCCTCTAGAGTTCAATTGTGCCGAAGTCGGCTGAAGGCTGGATCCGGAGAGAGCTCCCCAGCTTATAGTGAGTCACCGCTTTACCTCATAACCCTTCCATGGCCATTAACCCCCCGGTTCAGTCCTCAATTCCTGTATTTTACCACATTTCCTCAAAATGGCCAACCGGGACTCTGCCATCGATGAGATTGAGATCATCGAGGATCACAATGAGCACCACCAGGACTCCGTCCACCGCCGGTTGCGCGCCAACTCCACCATCATGCACTTCCAAAAGATTCTAGTGGCCAACCGGGGTGAAATTCCCATTCGTATCTTCCGTACCGCACACGAATTGTCTCTGCAAACAGTCGCCGTCTACTCACACGAGGACCGTCTCGGTATGCATCGTCAGAAGGCTGACGAGGCCTACATGATCGGCAAGCGGGGTCAATATACCCCCGTCGGCGCCTACCTGGCCGGGGATGAGATCATCAAGATTGCCGTGGAGCACGGCGTGCATCTGATCCACCCCGGGTATGGTTTCCTGTCCGAGAACGCCAGCTTCGCCCGCAACGTCGAGAAAGCCGGCATCGTCTTCGTCGGCCCCAAGCCGGAGACCATTGATGCTCTGGGTGACAAGGTCTCCGCTCGCCGAGTGGCCATTGCTTGCAACGTTCCCGTGGTGCCCGGTACACCCGGTCCCGTAGAGGCCTATGAGGAGGCGAAGGCCTTCACAGATACCAACGGCTTCCCGGTCATCATCAAGGCTGCCTTCGGTGGTGGTGGCCGTGGTATGCGTGTGGTCTGGAAAGAGGAAGAACTGAAGGAATCCTTCGGCCGTGCGTCCTCCGAGGCTCTCTCTGCCTTCGGCAACGGTACCGTCTTCGTCGAGAGCTTCCTCCACCAGCCCAAGCACATCGAGGTTCAGCTACTGGGTGACAACCACGGCAACGTCGTGCACCTGTTCGAGCGTGACTGCTCCGTGCAGCGTCGTCACCAGAAGGTCGTGGAGATCGCTCCGGCCAAGGACTTGCCCATCGAGGTCCGCGACAAGATGCTGGCGGATGCCGTGAGACTGGCCAAGTCCGTCGGCTACCGCAATGCCGGTACTGCCGAGTTCTTGTACGACCCGATCCGCAACGAAGCATACTTCATTGAAGTGAACCCCCGTATCCAGGTCGAGCACACCATCACCGAGGAGATCACTGGAATCGATATTGTGGCCGCTCAGATCCAGATTGCCGCGGGAGCCACGCTGGAGCAGCTGGGACTCACCCAGGACCGCATCTCCACCCGCGGGTTCGCCATTCAGTGCCGTATCACCACCGAGGATCCCTCCCAGGGATTCTCTCCCGACACGGGAAAGATCGAGGTCTACCGCTCTGCCGGTGGCAATGGAGTCCGTCTCGATGGTGGTAATGGTTTCGCCGGTGCCATCATCACCCCCCACTACGACTCGATGCTGGTCAAGTGCACTTGCCGTGGCTCCACCTACGAGATTTCCCGTCGTAAAATGCTGCGTGCGCTGGTTGAGTTCCGTATCCGTGGCGTCAAGACCAACATTCCTTTCCTCGCTTCGCTGCTGAGCCACCCCACATTCATCGATGGTACCTGCTGGACCACCTTCATTGATGACACCCCCGCGCTGTTCTCGCTCGTCAGCAGCCAGAACCGTGCCCAAAAGCTGCTTACCTACCTGGGCGACGTTGCCGTCAACGGCAGTAGCATCAAGGGCCAGATTGGCGAGCCCAAGTTCAAGGGCGACATCATCAAGCCTGTCCTCAAGGACAGTGCGGGCAAGACCATTGACGTCTCTTCTCCCGCCACCAAGGGATGGAAGCAGATCTTGGACAGCCAAGGCCCTGAGGCCTGGGCTCGCGCTGTGCGTGCCAACAAGGGCTGCTTGATCATGGACACCACCTGGCGTGATGCCCACCAGTCCCTGCTGGCTACCCGTGTGCGTACCATCGATATGCTGAACATTGCCGCCGAGACCAGCCACGCCTTGAGCAACGCTTATTCGCTCGAGTGCTGGGGTGGAGCTACCTTCGACGTCGCTATGCGTTTCCTCTATGAGGACCCCTGGGACCGACTCCGCAAGATGCGCAAGGCCGTTCCCAACATTCCCTTCCAGATGCTGCTGCGCGGTGCCAACGGTGTTGCGTACTCGTCGCTCCCCGACAATGCCATTTACCACTTCTGTAAGCAGGCCAAGAAGTACGGTGTTGACATCTTCCGTGTCTTCGATGCTCTCAACGACCTTGACCAACTCGAGGTCGGTATCAAGGCTGTTCACGAGGCTGGTGGTGTCGTCGAGGCCACCATGTGTTACAGTGGTGACATGTTGAACCCCAAGAAAAAGTACAGCTTGGAGTACTACATGGGTCTGGTTGACAAGATCGTCAAGATGGGCCCCCACGTTCTCGGCATCAAGGATATGGCCGGTGTCCTCAAGCCCCAGGCTGCCCGCCTCCTGGTCGGCAGCATTCGCGAGCGCTACCCCGACCTCCCCATCCACGTCCACACCCACGACTCGGCTGGAACCGGTGTCGCCTCCATGATTGCCTGCGCCGAGGCCGGTGCTGATGCCGTTGACGCCGCGACCGACAGTCTGTCCGGTATGACCTCGCAGCCCAGCATCGGTGCCCTCCTCGCTTCCCTCCAGGGCACCCAATACGACCCTGGTCTGGATCTGACCCAGGTCCGCGCTCTCGATTCCTACTGGGCTCAGCTCCGTCTGCTCTACTCTCCCTTCGAGGCCGGTCTGACCGGCCCTGACCCCGAGGTCTACGAGCACGAGATCCCCGGTGGCCAGCTGACCAACCTGATCTTCCAGGCCAGCCAGTTGGGTCTTGGACAACAGTGGGCCGAGACCAAGAAGGCCTACGAGATCGCCAACGAATTGCTCGGCGACATCGTCAAGGTCACTCCCTCCTCCAAGGTGTGTGGTGACTTCGCTTCTTGGATCGTCAGCAACAAGCTGTCCGCCCAGGATGTGATCGACCGCGCCGATCAGCTCGACTTCCCCGGCTCCGTCCTGGAGTTCTTCGAGGGTCTCATGGGCCAACCGTACGGCGGCTTCCCCGAGCCCCTGCGCACCAAGGCTCTCCGTGGCCGCCGCAAGCTCGATAAGCGCCCCGGTCTGTACCTGGAGCCCATGGATCTCGTCAAGGTCAAGAACGAGATTCGCGAGAAGTTCGGCGCCGCCACCGAGTGTGACGTTGCTAGTTACGCTATGTACCCCAAGGTGTTCGAAGACTACCGCAAGTTTGTCCAGAAGTTCGGTGACCTCTCCGTTCTGCCGACTCGCTACTTCCTCGCCCGCCCCGAGATTGGCGAGGAGTTCCACGTCGAGCTGGAGCAGGGTAAGGTTCTGATTCTGAAGTTGCTCGCTATCGGTCCTCTGTCCGAGCAGACTGGTCAGCGTGAGGTCTTCTACGAGGTCAACGGTGAAGTGCGCCAGGTCAGTGTCGATGACAACAAGGCCTCTGTCGAGAACGTTGCCCGCCCCAAGGCCGACGCTGCGGACAGCAGCCAGGTTGGCGCTCCCATGAGCGGTGTCGTGGTTGAGATCCGTATCCACGATGGCCACGAGGTCAAGAAGGGTGACCCCATTGCGGTGCTGAGCGCCATGAAGATGGTAAGTTTTGATATCTTGTTCCCCCCTGTATCGTCGAATCGGCTTGCTAACGCTCCTTCTAGGAGATGGTGATCTCTGCTCCTCACAGCGGAGTGGTGTCTGGCCTCCAGGTTCGGGAGGGTGACTCCGTCGATGGCCAGGATCTGATCTGCAAGATCAGCAAGGCGTAAAAGCATTGCTTCTTATTTTGTACCCCAAGACCGGTCATCTATGATTCGTGATGCGTGATGCTCTTTCAATGACTTTCTAGCGTTTTCAGTTTTTATCAATTGCTGTTCACTATATCAATTCAAGGAATATTGTCTTCTATCTTGAGCTTCTTTCGAACGAGGGTTCCTGTTTCTACTTCACCTGGCTTGGATCCTATGCTCGAACTAGCGTCTTCGACTCCAAGCAATAATTCACTTGGACTCGGGAGTAACTCCGAACAGCATGTTCAGCCGGCCGATTAGAGAGCATGATGCGCATACTGTTAGATTTGTCATGGTTGAAGGATGTCAGTCTCGCATCCTCGTAGTATATGAGAGTCGAGAGTCCAAATAGGCGCGATCATATACCTCGGCAGCCAGATTTGATGTCGGCAACCAGATCTGGGTGCCGGGCCCACTTCCCCCGCAAAGAGCTCGCGACTCCAACTTTTGCCGATCTTCACCTCGTCAATATGACCCAATCGCTTCCTTATCTCGCTTCCTCGGAAAATGCGGAATGGCTTTCGGACTTGGAGGGTCTGTGTATCCCGTCTAGGGGATATATACCCTCCGGACCCTGAGTCGGTGCAATCCGTGTCAACCTCCAGTGCAAGTCCATAGCCAAGATGGAAACAACTCGTCCGTACCTCAAATCTCTAGCCCACCGGGGCACAATCCAAGGTGCTACGATCTCAACACAATACTTATCGCAAGATCTATGCCACTACTTCGGCGGTGTCCGCTACGGAGTCGCGCCCTCCCAGCGCTGGCGCCGGGCCAGTCCCATTCCCGCATCTTTTACCTATGGCAGCAAGGACGCCCCGGGCCGCTGTGACAAGGGTGCAGGGTTATGCCCACAGCCTGGCTTCCTGAATCTATCGCCCGAGAACCCAGATGCCTGGGATGAGGATTGCTTTCAGTGTAACGTGTGGATACCTCTTGGGGAGCCGCCAGCAGAAGGGTGGCCCGTCTTTGTTTATATTCGTGAGTCTCACCTTCCAGTGTGCCAAATGATATAGTGTGGAAATGCTGATTGATTCCTCAGACGGCGGCTGGCTCCAATTTGGCACGCCCAATTCCTTCAACGCTGCCGCCCTGATCGGCGAGGCGGGACTCAACGCCGTCGTCGTGATGCCTGCGTATCGAGTCAATCTGTTTGGATTCCTATATTCCGCCGAGCTCGAGCAGGATGCAGCTTCAGTTGGGGAGACGGTTGGAAACCATGGATTCTGGGATCAGCGATTAGCGCTGGAATGGATCAAAAGAAACATTGATCTATTTGGGGGCAACCCCAATAATATCACCATCTCTGGGTATTCGGCGGGAGCAAACTCCGTTTTTCACCAATTGGCCTACGACCTGCGTCAGCCGGACGAAGAGGCCATTGTCCGCCAGGCTTGCATTTGGTCGAACAGCCCAGCCGTGCAGCCCAAGCATCCCGCCGAGACGCAAGATCAGTTCAACCAATTACTCACTGCATTGGACATCCCGCTGTCTCTTCCAGCCAGTGAGAAGATGGCCCTTCTGCGACTGCTCCCTGCCAAGAAGCTTCTGGACACTGTCAAAACTATCGAGGTTCATCAATTCAGACCCACCACGGATGGCGGCTTCATCTCACCATCTCTTTTCCAATCTCTTGACAACGGGGATTTCGCCCGTAAAATCCTTTCCCGAAATGTTCGCATCATAATTGGCGAATGTGCTGACGAGCGCTTCCTCTATAGCACATGGTTCCCCCCGCAGAACAATACATTGGCAGCGCTCCGGACTCGCTTGATCGCAGACTACCCCGAGCACATTGTCGATGGAATTATCGCGCATTATTACCCTTCCGGTCAGCTCCCAAGGGACTGCAAGGACTGGGTGGATGATGCGTGGGGAAGAATATACGCAGACATGCAAGTGCACCAGATGCAGCGGGGGTTAGCGTACGCCCTGAGCCACAACTCAAGTGGCGTCGATGCCTCCCGACAGGTGTATCGGTACCGCATTGAATGGCGGGCGAAGTGTATGGATGCTGTCATGCCGGTTGAGTGGGGAGTCACTCACTCTTCAGATTATCCTGTGTGGTTCTTCGGTAACGGGAAACCATTGCAGACCGAGGAGAAAAACATCATCAAGCAATCTTTTATTGGACCTTTATGTCGCTTTGTTCAAGGAGCTGGGGATTTCGGCTGGGGTACTTCGGGGGTTCGGCAAGTTCGAACGCTGCAGGGGAATGGCAGAGTTGCGATCCGAAAAGACATGGCTTGGACTGAAGGAGTGAATATCTGGAAACGATTGAGAGATGTGGATAATGGGAAGACAGCTCGACTGTAGGATATTCTCTACGCATAATATGTCCAACTCAATTCGCCACAGCTTTCCCCGCCTGTAGGTCGGACAGGTGCTTTTGGCTTATAAGTACTCTCTTTCCCCCTCTTTTCTCCATCTCAGCTTCCATTCTGCTAGATCTCCTGTGCTGTAGGTATGCCATTTCTCTCCAGGGCTGTTGATGCTTATGTGATCTGGTGATTATGTGTGTTCGTGTTGAGCTCACCTAATGACACCCCGGAAATGACGTCGTTGACTCTTGAGCTCATCATGACCCTTGACACCACCTTTACTCTTTCTCCCTTCACTAATCTTCGCACAGAACCAAACTCGATTCATAATGACTGACGATACTCGACGCCACTGGCACGGAGTCTCCGGCGACCGCCATGAGCACCACAACGTCTGGATGAACGGCGGTGCCAAAGGCCCCAGCGCTCGTGCTCCCTGGGCCATGCCCGTGGGAACCGAAGCGACTGTTAGAAGAGTATGTGTCACTTGCTCCTGAATTTATGTTCTTCATCTTCATCCTGGGCCTCTCTAAACATGCTCCTCCAACGTTGTTCTATGTCATGTCACTACTATTCACCCATGCATCGTTCTACATCCACACTGTGAAACTCTCTATACTAACATTTTCAAGGACTCTAATACCTCCAACACCTCCAATGCCGAGAATGCCTCTCCGGCCCTGCCAACTCTTAGTGAGCGTCGCCGCTCAAGCTCGGGGAGCGCGGCCGGCGGGCTCTTTGCCAATCTGCACTCACAGAAACGGGACAATACAGATGCCGAGCACAATGCTCGCCGAGCGAGCTGGAACGAGCAGGCGGCCAAGGGGGGTATGTTTTCGAAGTGGTGGGATGGATACACCCGCGGCTCTGGCAGCAAGTAGGGCTCTATGGCCTGGCCGTGGGGGAATGATGTGTTCGCATGCGCAGTTTGAATGGAAACCCCAAAAATGAAATGAGACCTCGGGAGCACTGTGTCTTGAATGTTCCATTGACATCAGTTGATTTATGATATTCCATAGGATTTTAATGAATTTTTGTCGTGTACAGTGGTGTCTGGATCCAAGGTTAAGTCTAGATAGCCCAGTTTCACGGACACTTTGAAGCCTTGCCACAAGTGTTCTTAGCTTGCAGGGTTGAGCCAGCCAGCCCAGCAAGACCCTCGCTCATGGTCAGCACTCGGCAATGAATTCCCCCTTTCTCAACCCATAGTTGTCTCCCATCCCTTCTCGATCATGACATCAACCCAATAACAATCGTCCTCTCCGGCATCCAGCCGCCTCCAAACTTCGTTCACCAGTTGGAGACAGACATTGATAGGCTTTGGTGGCAGGACATGCAGATAGGAGGTCAGGCGACCGAGAATGAATTTTCGGGTGCGCGAAACTTCAATTGCTTCCATGGAGATGCTAGGCATGGAGGCTGAACCACCAGTGGTACCATCGTCTTCGGTGTACTCCATGCCATTGTCACCGGAAGAATTCCTCTGGGATTCAGAGTCAGGGGTCAAAGGAGGGAGGCGAAGTTCTGAACAGGATGCTACAAGCAAAAACGGCTGGAGGCAGCGAGTGCGAGATTCCAGGGGAATGGTCTTCAGGCGGGAGAGGGTTGTAACCGCGAATTCAGTAAGCCAGCTGTTGGCAAGGCTTTCCGAGGGCGGGCTGTCTGGACTTTTGAGTGGCTTCTCGCGGATATTTTTTTGGTAAAGATTATGAGTAGATGGCAGAGGGGATGGCGAGGTGTTGCTGTTGGTGTGTCCTGAGGGGCTTGGGTTCCCGAAGGCAGATGATAGATTCATGCTATCCAGGTCGATAGGAAAGAAAGGGTCCTGGGTCGTTGAGCCCATACTATCGGGGTATCGAGAAGTACTAGACTCCAAGCCGGGTAGGCGGCTTTGAAGAAGATCTGGAAAGACGCGATAAAGTTGCATGAGTCCGGTGCACCTATAGGCCTCCGCCATCGTGAGAAGATGCCAGACTGGCGTATCATCATCCCCAGGACTGACGATCTCGGCCTCGGAGGGATGGGCAAGTCCTAACAATCGTTCTTCCAATTCTCGGGACTTTTCGATTGCCCTTTGCGCACAAGCTATATCTTTCTGAGAGGTGAACCTTCTTGAACGGATCCGTTTTCGCTCACGACGTATCAGTTGACCAACCTGCTGCACCGTAAACTGGGTATCGCGCGCAATGCCGGTCCATGGGTGGGGGACGCGTTGCAGAACAAGAGACTCGCCCAGAGGTGAGGTAGATTGTGAATTATCAGACAATAACCCTTTGTCGTTGTCCGCAACGAAGGATAGCAACATTTCCCAGTATATCAGAGCTTCTTCGAAGAATCGATAGTTATTGCTGTCGCTTTTGGTAAATCCGAACTCTGAGCCGTTCGATGATGATGATGATATGATATTCAGCTGCTTCCGAAGAAGATTGAAGAATGATATACCAAGGTCAGTTGGATCGTGCCAGCTTGCCGTTTGCCCTAGCATCAGCAACGCCAACAAGGATTTGTCGTCTATTACTGTGTCGCGCGTAATTATCTCCACAGCCTCATCACGCATCTTCCGGCCCAGCGGTCCGAAGTGCGGAAACTCATTGACCAAGGTGGCCGCGGCCATGCTTTGCATTGTCCGGCACATGGCCAGCGAGGAGCCCCATAGACGGGACACTGTGGTTCTGAATGGGTTCATTTGACTATCGTAGCTGGAGAACAATGCCGCCACCTCCTTGAAATAGTATTCAATCAAGGTCCATGAGGGGTTATTTAATGATCGAGACATGGTCATAAAGTTGCGTGGCGTGGAGCGCCGCGATGTGGGAGGATAGCTCCGCACGATGGTGGACGGGGAGAAATTTCGGTATGTATCATCATTTTCTTCCCCTGATGCCGGAGCGATCAGTGATAGTAGATGGGACAGATCTGCCGTTGCCTCTACTGAGTGTCCAAAGTCATGAACAAAGTTCCTCGAAGGTGAGAATGATGAAGTTCCTGCCGACATCGGCGAGGGCTCGCACAGATCTGTTAATTCCGGCAAAGATGCATGACCAGGCAGGTCCCAAAGACTATCACAGAGGGTAGCGGGTACATCGAGGCCAGGATCTGCGGAATCATGTTGGTTTGATGGGAAGGTTGATTCCGGCAAAGCATGATCGATTGAATGTGGTTGACCCGGAGCCGTTGGGGCCGAAGCCGCGGGGCTTGGGACTCTCGCCTCCGACATCGACACCGATGCAGCTGGGCTAGCTTGCTCATGTCTAGTGACCCAGCGGAGGGATTGAGCATAACCCGGGCAATGGACGCCTAACCGTGTGCACCGGCTACAATGGGGTTTCTCTTCGCCACATTTGACCTGTGTTCGTGTTAGAACCAGTCGCTGGTGGACGGACCATACTCACTCGTTTACTCTTGCACCTTGCACAACCATTCCGAGATTTCTTGACGCGGCGCATGGTGAAGACATGATGTCGAGAGAGTCGCAGAATGCGGAGAGAAGAGCGGGGAGAGAAGAGGACTTTTTTGCCTCTTTGGGCGATTGACCGGCACATCGCATTTTCGCTTCGCAAAGCATAGACAGGCAGACCACCAGCCTCGGAGTTGTCTTCTTCTTGAGTCACACATAGTATACTATGAGTAGGGTGTGCTCCAGGGCTATTTGTATAGATGACTCAGCGTAGACTCCCAGGGGCTGCGGAGTCCAGGGACTCCCGAGGTCGCCGTCATTGACTTCGATCAGTCATGCTTCTTCGCGTAAGTACTCCGATGGAAGTATCGTATAGCTCTGACAAACAAATAGACAAGATTTCTTCAGGCAAGATCCCGAATCATTAGGCCAGTGAGCCGGGCTGGCTTGTCCCTTTCGGCTCGAACACTGCCCGGGAGACCATTGCAACCGACACAGACACAGCAGAAACCTCAGCTTTGCAGATTCCGCTCAACTCCCAGTACCATGGCTCGCACCTCTGGGCTTAAGCAAATTCTTACTCCAACTCTCTTCGAAAATGTCCTGAAGCTGTGGTTTGCACATGTCTGCGAGGAGTCCTTGATTCTACCCAGCGGAAGCGAAATGGGCAAATGGTTTACTAGAGATGAAGCTTTCGATCACACCTGTGTGTAAGTATGCCTGAAAAGCTTTTCTCGGTTGATCTGACAGTCTCGAAACAGGAAGCAATTCCGCCCTGCCTTGGAAGCTCTCATTAACTCGGAAGCTTCGGCTTCGGACATCTTGTCCGCAGTCAATCCCTCCTCGCCTTTGGAATGGCTCAGCATTTTGATTTTGCTGGACCAAATCCCCCGCAACTGCTATCGGGGCGATGAGTCCAAGATCGTATTTGGGCGCTTCGACCCACTGGCTGAAGCGATTGCCCTTCAGGCTCTTAAGCAAAACGTGCCCACTCAGACTTCATACTTGAAGTATCGATTGGCATATCGCATCTGGTTCCACATGCCTTTGATGCACTCGGAAAGCTTAGCTGTGCATGAACAAGCCATCCAAGTGCAAGAGGATATCGCCCGGGATATGGACGCACTGCTGGCTCAGGACGGGACTACGCTGACAGAGGAAGAACGCGAGTGTCACAGTGCTTTGGCGAGCAAGGCGGATATAGTTCAAAAGTTCTTGACTCAGAACATCGATTATGAGAAGCGGCATAAGGTTATCATCGAGCAGTTTGGACGTTACCCTCATCGGAACCAGGCACTTGGTCGGACATCCACCCCAGCCGAAATTGAGTATCTGGAAAATGGCGGGGAGACCTTTGGCTAGGCTTTGTACGATATGTATAGTACGCATGGCATAGAGAGATGCACATTCAACATCCGATGATGGATATAGTTGGAGCGAGATCAGTGAAGCACGCTGTCCAAGTCATTTCATAGGAGTACCAGTAGTCACCTAGAACGAGAAATCCAGGGAGTCAACGGGGTGAAGATGAAAGGAACGAAGAAAGAAAAAAGAGAAGAATAGCAAGTCGATCGTATTGTTAGTTGTTGCCTGAGGCCAACACCCCACCTTATATCGTCCGTCCGTTTCTCTCCTTCGACACTCGGTCTTCAAACAAGATGACGGACTTTACCACTGCTGAATGGGCGGATATTACCCCAATTGAGCTGGACGATGGCTCGAACTCGGAGGCCATGCCCCTGGCCACCATCGCCTATCCGCCCGAGTACCTCGAGGCGACCGCGTATCTGCGCGCCGTCATGGCCGCCAATGAGATGTCGGACCGGGCATTGAGCCTCACCCAGGATGTCATTTCAATGAATCCTGCCCACTACACCGTATGGTAAGTGAAATCATGGCTTCTGGAGACAGGCCAAAATCTGACATCGACAGGATCTACCGGGCAAAGATTCTATTTGCATTGGACAAAGATCTCAGTGAGGAGTTGAGCTGGCTGAATGATGTATCATTGAAATATCTGAAGAATTACCAGATTTGGTGCGTGCATCACACACGGCAGAGCCGGCGAGCAGAATCCAATATTAATATCTCATCTAGGCATCATCGCCAAGTGCTACTGTCATCAAAATCGCATTTCCCAACTTTCCCACCCAAGGAAGCGGATTTCTTAATGGAGATGTTTGCCCAAGACTCCAAAAACTACCATGTCTGGACATACCGTCACTGGCTGGTGCGTCACTTCAAATTGTGGGATCAACCCCGCGAGCTTGAAGACGTGGAAGCCCTCCTCAAGGCCGATGTACGCAACAACTCTGCCTGGAACCACCGGTACATGCTTCGCTTCGGTCCGCGGGATACCTCCCCCGATGCGGGGATGGTGAACGCGGGCGACATGACCACAGCACCGACCGACAAGGGGCGTCTTCCCCTGGTCGACGAGGACGTGATCGACGGTGAGCTGAAGTTCGCACAGGAGGCGATTCTGCGGGCACCGGAAAACCGGAGCCCATGGTGGTATGCGCGAGGGGTTTTGAGGGCTGCAGGGCGGGGAGTTGGGGAATGGGAGGGGTTCGCTACTGGATTCGTTTCGGAGGGAGCCGTGAAAAGCTCCCATGCGGTGGAGTGGCTGGCGGATGTCTATGCGGAGAGCGGCGGTGCGACGGATGCGGTTCGTATGCTGACTATGCTCAAGGAGAAGTATGATCCCATTCGGAAGAATTATTGGGATTATCGTATTCGCAAACTGGATCAGGTTGCATGATTTAATCAAGATCGAAGACGGCCTCGATCGGATTCCTAATGTACAGAGTACTTGCTTGGTCTTTTGAGATACTGGGCCATATGAACATTATTGACGTTTGAATCATATTCTTTTTGTTCAAATAATCGCTGTATACCTAGATACTTTGTATAAACGATGCAAATGCGAAAGACTCTATCAAGATGGTAAAAAAAAGCCAAGTCAAAGTAAAGGCCGAAAAGAGACAAGAACAGGAACAAGAAAAGGCTGCACATTAAACATCGTGGGGGGTGAAAAAAAGAGGTATCGAAAAAGGGAAGTTCAATCGTAATCAATAAATCATGCCCATCCTTCATCCAGCATCTTGCGCCACTCCGAAGCCATGTCGATGGTGACATAGCTTCCGCCGCAGACGATGATGACCACCCGACTGTTGGGGTTTAGATCAGGTACGAGCTGCTTGAGTTTGGAGTTGAGTTTGCCAGCGCCGTGCTCCGCATCAATGTCAACGTCGATCTCGTTGTCGGTTGAGACTGATCGGTCATCCCCGTAACCTTCGTCACGGTAGGATACGGCGGTATCGCTCAAGTCCCGCTTACGCTTCTTGATACTCTGAGCGCCGGCGGCCCCCGAGGCTGAGACAGCAGAGGCAGCGTCGCCGATCGCCGCCTCCACGCAGACACCGCAGGCAAGCTCAACGAGGAGTCTTTCGTCGTTGGCGAGACGGAGCACGCCGCGGGCAGCGTCTGCATCCGAGAGGACGGCACTGTGCACTTGGATGCCTGGGGGTGGGGCAACCGCGTATTGGAAGGTTGTTTCCGAGACACGGACTGCTCCGAGGGAAGTGGCCTGGGATGTAATCTTGGGGAGAGAGACGAGGGATTTGTTGGCGATGGCAGCGGCCAAGGAATCGGTACCGGCCGTTTCGATGGCGAGAAGATGGATGGGGTTAGGTGGGGTGGAGGAGGTAGCTTGCTTCTTCTGTCGGCGCTTTTCGATGCCCTGGACGAGGCCGTTGAGGAGGCCACCGCCGCCGACACTGCAGATGATGGAGTCTAGGGGAAGGGCCCGGTCGTTGTAGGCCTTTTGGTCCTCGGGGCTGGTGGCAGGAGGAAGCTGCGTCTCGAGCTCGTCAATGATGGTGCCGTTTCCTTCCCAGATAGGCTGGTTGTCAAAGGGGTGCAGGGCAATCTTGATGATGTCCTTGTCGTTGCCGTTGCTGGTCTTCATAATGGTTTCCCGCATGTACTCCCCGGCCTCGGAGAAGGTTTCTCCGTGGCGGATGACGTCCGCTGCACCTGCAGCCCGGATCTTGTCCAGCATCAAAGGCTTGGTGGCCATTGGGACCACTACGGTGCACGGATATCCCAGGGACCGGGCTGCACAGACAGCCGCCAGGCCGGCGTTGCCTCCGGATGAGGCGTAGAAGTGTACCCGGCGGCCCAGGTTGGCGGGATTGCGAAGGTGTGAGAGGATCTGGTTGCCCATGGCACGAGACTTGAAGGAACCACTAGGCTGGACATTCTCCAGCTTCAGGAAGATCCTACATCCCGCAGCCCTCGAGAGGCAGGCCGACTCGACCAGCGGGGTCTCGATCCAGGGTGTCTTCAGCTGCGGTACGTCGCAGGCCGAGATGTCGATGCTCCCCATTTTGGGTATGTGTTGAACAAATGGAGAAGAGGGTATGGTAGACTTGTGTTGGAAGGGAACGGCCAAATCAGAAGGATAAGAGATAGTCCCAAGATAGTATTGAGCAGTCGTTACACGACGGTTGCGTATTGAATCGACCAAAGATCACACAAGATGAGAAGACAAAGCAGAGCACTTCCCAATCACAACTATTGAAACAATTGATATATATGATGTACAAGTAGGGCAAACGTTTCCCGGCGGGAAAGTCGAGTTTCCCGGGTTTGATAGGACTGGGGGCGCGAACCACGGCTCTGGCCCAACCTTTCCCGATAACCTTGAACGCACGGCGCCAATCAGAGTGGATCATGACATACATCAGGAAACCTGGCGTCTCAGCTTGACCACTGTGGAGGACCCCGGAGCAAAAACTGAATAATTAATCCTCATCTTGGAGCTGTGTTGCAAATCGTTACTCAGACGGACCATTCGGACGGGTGTGATTGGCCCCCAGTCAATTCCTGTTATCAAATCGCCTCCATAACGGGCGCATTACTCTTCTGTGAGTAAAGGGGGGAAAAGAATACCTCGCTGAACACCCTCACCGTAATCTGCATCCGAACCGTACGCCGTGGCCGCGAATGCCCGCTTGGAGGGGTCCGAGGTGTCGACACGGAGCAACTCCAAGAGGTCATGAGACTTGCCGGGCATGAACGGTTGCAATAGAATACCGGCGATACGGAGTGATTCCGCCACGTTGTAAAGCACCCGTTGGGGTTCGGGAATTCTCCACGGCTCCGTAGCATGGAAGTACTTGTTGGCCTAGAAGAGTTAACGTCCGCAAGCCGTGCGGGGACGATCCCAGCTCACCTGCTCAATTATGCTCATCGTTTCCTGCAGCGCGGCACGGGGGTTCAGGTTCTCCATCTGCTCCGCAACCTTGGTGGGCGCCTCTTTCAACAAGGCCTGGTGTTCCAGGTCCTCGGGGGTGGCACTGGGAAGCTTATCGGACTGGGCATCCGTGATGTACGAGCGCAGCTTGCCCCGCGCGCATCCGATTGTGCGCTGCGCCAGGTTTCCGATCCCGTGCTGGAGTGACTTCTTGTAATCCCGAATGATGAACGAATTATCGAAATCCGCATCGTCCGACAGACCACCCCGATAGGCTAAGAAGAAGCGCATGCCATCCACCCCGAATCGCTCAATGGCGAAGAACGGGTTCACAACATTTCCCGTGGACTTGGACATCTTCTCACGATTCATCGTCCAGTGTCCGTGCACCAAGACGTTCCGGGGCAGGGGGAGGTCCAGTGCCATTAGAAATGCCGGCCAATAAACGCAATGGAATCTGCACAATTAACGCTGTCCCATGTCAGGAGAATTCGTGAACTTACCGAACAATATCTTTGCCAACGATGTGCAAGTCCGCTGGCCATGCAGATGTGCCTTCTTTGCCGGGTGGGAACGGATATCCAGCTTTGGTCAAATAATTCACCAATGCATCTAGCCACACATAGATCGTCTGCGAGTCATCGCCGGGGACCGGAATACCCCAAGTCAGACGTTCCGCGGGTCTAGAGATCGAAAGATCCTGCAAGCCTGTCGCAACGGAGTTGATTACTGAAGCCGTGTAAGTTGTAGGGGTGATGAACGGATCCTCTCTCTTGTACAGCTCAAGCAAGCGATCTTTGAAAGCCGAGAGACGGAAGTGATAGTTGGTTTCCGAGGACCACTCGACCTCTTTTCCAGTCTCTATCGAAACCTATCCTACGATCAGTACCGTACTGGGTGGGATATTGGGGCTACTGACCATGCGTTTCCGGCCCGTGGTTGGATCAAGGGAGTTCTGCACTTGCGTCTGAGGATAGAATGTTTCATCGCTGACTGAATACCAGCCTTCATGCTTTGAGGTGTAGATATACCCCCGGTGTTGCAGCATTTCCTGTTCTTGGTCAGTGATGCGAGATATATCACGAGTTGTGGTGGCATACCCAGAAATATTGGACTGCTTCCCGATGCGCCGGATCGGTGGTTCTTATGAAATGATCGTTGTCGAGGTTCGCCGCCTTTGCTAACGCCTATACAAAGCGAGTCTGGTCAGCCATGCGTCTGGATCAGGGATCAGAGTTTCGCACCTCAAAGGTTCGGCAGTTCATGTCGCAAAATGCCTGTGTATCCATGCCCGCCTGAGCGGCAGCTTGCTGAATCTAGAGATACTGTCAGGGACACCGACCGGTGTAGAGTCAACTTGAGTAGTACCTTCATCCCATGCTCATCGGTTCCAGTCAATAATTGAGCATCTGTGTTTCCGAGCACGACCTGCCAACGCTTCATGATATCGGCGATGACCATGGTGTATAGATGACCGACATGAGGGGCTGTATTCAGAGCGATCATTAGAAATCGATCTTGAGGCTGCGACAGGCTCGAAACGTACCTGCATTGACGTAGAAGATGGGTGTTGTCACATAGTAAGGCTTAGACTTTTGCGTCGTCGCAACTCCGCGTCGGGGAATCGACCATCCATACTTGCAGGACGAACAGGTCCATGGACGCCTGGGACTCAATAGCTGAGTCGTCCTGGTGAGGGAGCGCAGTGATGTTCTTGTAGCCATTGCCGGGTTGGTAACGAGAAAGCAAGAGCGTCGCATGTTATTCCGCGCGGCGATCTCGGGTGGTCCAAGCTTCTCCGCAAGTCTCGCCGTTTTTCTGCGATTTCATTGTTGCGTCTCCAATTTGCTCTGTCCCTTGTCTCCTCTCTGCCTCATTTCTCTCCTCCCTTTTGCACGGGAATTTCCCAACTCCTTACTAAGTTATCTCGTCGCAATGGCACCCCCAAACGAGGATACATTGACCAAAGTGTCTACCGAAGGTGAGTCCCAAGGATATTCTCCGGAACGTCCTGTGAGATCTACTAATATACTAACCTTGACTCTGTGCAGCCGCGACTGAATTCGTCCAGACATTCTACCAGGCTCTGAGGTCCAATCGTGAATCCATCGGCTCATACTACGACGCCAATCCGCAAACCATCATATTCAACGGAAACCCTGTGATCGACGGCGCGGCAGTACAAGATATCTTTGTCAACCAGATGCCCCCTGCAAACTTCGAGATTCAATCATACGACTGCCAGATTATCAACAAGGCATTCCCCACCACGCTGCCCGGCGGCGGTTTGAAGCCCCCGGCGGAGATGGGGGTCAAGGACATGTCAATCCTCATCCTGGTCAGCGGAGCTGTGCGATACGGAGAAAACCGCGAGCAGCCACAGCGTGGGTTCAGCGAGACATTCGTGTTGACTCCCAATCCATCTGCCGATCGCGTGCGAGGCCGCAAGGATTTCTTGATCCAAAGCCAGAATTTCCGTCTCGTCGTTTGAGACGAAGGCGCATCATTCAGACAATGATGCCATACCAACCACCCGCAAGCCAGCGGGCTATCATGATACCTCACGTCACATATCTTACGGACTCAGTGAACTTTGGACAGCAAAATAGATTCTGATCAAAAGATACAACATGCGCCATATGGGCAACCAGGTGGAATACAACTAGGAGATCAAACGCCAGGAACGGGAAACAATCTTGGATGGCGCATCAGAAGTTACGCTGCGGCCGGTGTCCTGCGCGGTATGCGCAGGTTTGCCTTGACTCTCTCGAGGAGCTCTTCGCGCGTCGCACTCTCATTTGGTAGCAGTCCTCTCTGATCAACCTAGTCAGTGGAATATACTCAGATTGTACTTGCCACCCGAGAACTTACAGCTCGGAGCCACCTTGTTATTTCATCCAATGTCCAATCGTCCGGATCTACTGCCATTAGTGGTGGTCTGAATAGCACTTGATATACATACTGCCGGTGGGGTCCGCTTGGGCAGGGAGAACATCGCTCCCCCAGATGGAGAATGCTGCCACGGCAGTGACCATTCCAGCGAATCCTATTTCCGGTCAGCACTGTTATCAAAAAGTATCTCAAGGTTCTGTACCCAGGAACAGGTTCTAGAGCAATGTCAGTCACCAGACGTCGAGCAAATTCTGTGTTCATACCTTGGAGTTCAATGCTCGGTCTAAGGGGGTCGGCATTTTGATGAAGGTCGTCGAGATTAAAATGGAGTTGATGAGTAGATCGAAGAAAACAGGGGATATCCGGGAATTGAAGGAAGATATACCAGGATGAAGCCAGATATCCAAGTAATGTGCACCGCCTCCGCGGCTGCCTTGGGAACTATACAACTCAACGGGCAACTACTCGGCCTCTCTTTCCAGGCAATTAGGATAGAAATGTCATTCCCCTTCTTGTATTCAGTATTCCTATTGCAGTGTCTATCTATAATCTCTTGCTCTATGGCCCCCGATTGACATGGAAGCCGTCATCTTCCTGTCCTCGGTGACATTCGTTATTGCCATAGGAAGTGCAATCATCCAAGGGTGGACAGGCTCCTGACTTCATGGCCAAGCAGAGGCTGACTCGTCGTGCAGACTTGCCTTTTGGAAAAGATACCGCGTCCGCCTGCACGTTACCAGCAAAGCCGCGACTCCATCCAGCGTAGACTTGGAGGCAATGGACCCTGGACCCCCGATCATTCAGCAACCGCCACTCCTATACCATTCCCGCTTGGGCAGTCGCAGTTCCCGGTGGGCATACCCTGACCGACGGTTTCGATCGTCACGCCCAGTCTCGGATTACCGATGGGGACCCTATCGCATCGCCGAGGAACCCGAGAGTGGAACGGTGGCTCATCACCCGCATCCCCTCCACTCGTCGCTGCCCGCCACGTTTATGCCTGAGGCATCAACCCCACATGACTAAGGAGGGCTTTCGCAGCTCCCAGCCCTAACGTGATCCCACGAAAATTCTCCACCTTAGCAGAGTCGACAGTGAGCTTTCCCTTTTGCACATCAAACACCCGCAACCGTCATCATGCCTTCCGAAGTCTCCGATATCAAGCAGTTCATTGAGATCTGCCGCCGCAAGGACGCCTCCTGTACGTGGCACCAACTCCCATGACCCGGCTGCCATGCTGACTGTTTACTTAGCTGCCGGTATCAAGAAGAACCGCAAGACCCAGCAGACCAAGTTCAAGGTCCGCTGCTCCACCAACCTCTACACCCTTGTCCTCAAGGACTCCGACAAGGCCGACAAGCTCAAGCAGTCTCTCCCCCCTGGTACGTTACGATCGCATTATACCGCCTGAGGAAAAGTTGGAAGAATGTTGGGGATAGCAAACATTCGGATGAGAAATCTCGGGTTACGCGCTGAATCCATGCTGACTGGTTCTTCTGTACAGCCCTCAAGGTCGTCGACGTCTCCAAGGGCACCAAGAAGTCCAACTAAATTCGGTGACAATGGAATGAATGGAGGACCGGAGTGCGGCGTGATTCGTTGATGCAGGACCAACTGTTGGGGGAAGACAAGGCCCACGGCTTTGTCCCTCTGCGAGCCGACACGGGGATTACTCCGTGGCGTGGAGCATGGTGTTTGCGCCGGAGGGGTTTTCGTTGCGTCATTGAAGCCGGCTGCTATTATTCTCACCGGTCAGACGACTCGCATTTTCTGGACGCACTCGAGGAACGCTTTTGTCGGAGCTTCCAGTCCCTACAGACCAATGAAAAAAACAGTTGAAATCCCATTACTAGGTTCTCGCGGTCCGAGACTTCCCAATCCATTATTTGTATCACGGAATCACTCCTGGACTGATGCCGTCCCCGAACAAGTAGATTGGGTAGAATTGGGCTGTAGCCTCGGATATTCGTCCAGGTTGAGATCATTACAGCCACCGCCACTCCGCGGTTTGGCCCCAAGCCTAACACGGCTTTGACAAGGCATTCATCGATGATGATAATACGACCGAAGGCTCTAGGATAATATTGATCAACAGTGGTTGCGCTGCGTCATTGCGTCTTTAGCTACGCAGAAACGCTGACTTTGTCTTTCGTGGTCTCTATGTCTACATAGGTAGCCTTTGTTCACGACTACAATGTATAGTTGAAACACAACACCCTTGTTGGAGACAAAGAACCCAAGATCGGGATGAGGCTGGTGGCCCAAAGGAAGGCCCGCTGTCCAAATGGGCAGAAGTATAAATATCCTCGGCACTTGGCACCGAAATGTTGCGACAGACTCTATCGACACCGGACTTGACGACCTTCTAGTCGTGCGACATCCCCAAACAATTCAACCTCGACAGACCGGCGCAAATCGTAGGTATGTACGACCACGAATCTCGTGCCCTCGGCAGCTTTGGGGTATGTCCCACAGAAGTCTTGTTCAAGATACTTGACGATATACTATGGGCTAGTCCGTCTATGACCCACGAAGGCTTTTGTACCATCACGCAGCTCATGAAGACCAATAACGTACTAGAACAGGTAATCCAAGCCTGGCTGATGGGTCGCAAAGTACGGGGCTATATTAACGACTGCCTGGAAAACCAATGGTGCTGCCTTCCCAGCTTCCCACTCTCGGAGTCCCTGATCTGGCAAATTCTTGTGCACAAGGAGCCCTTTTGCGCTAGGAACGATCTCATCACGGGGATTATACGGGACGATTGCCTTGATTGCTACAATTTGGTGCGTGATCTAATGCCCGAAGATGACAAGTTCCCGGAGAATCTTCTCGCTTGCCTGAATGAACAAGGGTGGTCTTTCTGGAGTCTGGCTGTTCATGCTAGGGCGTGGACAGTCCTTTCATGTCACCAGGCTCCATGTCCTCAAAAGAGCCTCGATGCGCTTTGAGATCCGTTCGCCTTCGACTATTTCATTCAATGTGATGTACCATTGCTCATAGAACTAATAACCCATCTAGCAAGAATCCGACATTTAAGCCCAACCCATGTTCCGTTTGGAGATAGTAGATTCGTAGATCATTACTTCTCAAGTCACGGCGTTGAACTCCTATACAGGACCTCCGCAGATCTTGGCACGTCGCAAGTTCCCTTGGCATCGGAAGGAGATTGAAGGGATTCTACACATGCATCCCCGACGGCCCGTTACCCCGGATCGTCCATTTCTATTCTGGGCTGCAGAAACCTCCCAGGGGTCACTTAATTCACTGCTGCAGCTGATTGCGCCTTTGACTAGAGGTTTGTAGTTAAACAGGAATACCCTGGAAGGGGAAACATTCCACCCTCATTCCAGATGTATTCATAGACAAAGAGAAGATGGTGTAATTGTCGATTCGTCAGATTCCAGCCATCTTTTGCACAAAGAAACGATCAAAGTCGACTGATCATCAAGGCGAGGAGTCTGAGCCCCCTGGTAAAGACCCATGGCTATAAGATACAGCGTCTCCGTATTCTCAAACACTGTGGCTTCAGGTGTATATACATCAAAATGAGCTGACCAGATGACTATCCATTTACTACCCCGTACTTAAAGTGAAATACTTGGCTTTCACTCAGCATTGCACTCTTATACACCAACGGTCACAGCCAAGGGAGGTCGGTTTGAAGCTATTCCACCCTGAGAACGGAGGTGCATCTTGGTAGATCCAGGACTATGTTGAAGAAGTCACTGGAGGAATACAGCCCTTGGGAAATGAACATATAAATACAAACTCAGACCCTACACCGGATAAAACCTCAACTTGGAACACTTTGCAAAGCTTTCATACAGACATCGAGACAGACAGCATTATGCCATTCCCGCAGCTAGCTACCCTAGCAGTCCTAGCCTCTGCCACCCTCGTTGCTGGGCATGGCTATGTTTCCAGCATCGTGGCCAATGGTCAGAAGTAAGTCCAGCCCAGTCAGATCACATAATAGGACCTTGGAACGTTCCAAGGTTGACTTAATATACAGCTATACCGGGTATATCGTGGACAAATACCCATACATGTCCGACCCACCCCAGAGCGTAGGCTGGGCTACTACAGCCACGGATCTGGGCTTTGAAGACGGCACTGAATACCAGGCCCCGAACATCATATGCCATCGAAACGGTGCCAATGCAGCATTGAGTGCCACCGTCGCCGCAGGTTCTACCATCGATCTCCAGTGGACGCCCTGGCCTGAGTCTCACCATGGCCCGGTCATCACCTACCTCGCTGCTTGTGACGGTGATTGCAGTACGGTTGACAAGACCACCCTGGAGTTCTTCAAAATTGAAGAGAAAGGCCTCGTCGACGGTTCAGTCGTTCCGGGCAGGTGGGCAGCAGATGAATTGATTGCCGCTGGACATCGGTGGTCTGTGAAAATCCCTTCGACGATTGCGGCGGGAAACTACGTGATGCGCCATGAGATTATCGCCCTGCACTCTTCTGGGCAGCTGAACGGAGCCCAGAACTACCCTCAGTGCTTCAACCTGCAGGTCACTGGCGGTGGCAGTGCCGTTCCTGCAGGTACTCTTGGTCAGGACTTGTATAAGAACACTGATGCGGGCATCTTGTTCAATATCTATACCACGCTGTCTAGTTATCCTATCCCTGGACCAGCCCTATTTTCAGCTTGATTCGCAGATGCACTGGGTTACTGTCCTGATTGCCGTTCTGTTCTGTGGTGATTCTATGTATCTACACATTCTATTCCGTACGTTCATATGGCAGCGCAATGAAGCCCTTGACACCAGCCTTCTCCAGTGCCCCATCAACACTCCCCAGACTCAAATCCTTGCGCCGTAGCTCGAACTCGCCGAAGAAGTTCGGCTCCTCTGAACATTTCTCGAACCCCGTAGACTCAAACAAAGCCAAGCTCTTTGAATTCGTGTGTCCAATCTTGACACTCAAACACTCTAATTCCAGACCCTCCGATGACCCCGACGCTTCAACGCCAGTCCTCAACTTCCTCACCGTCTCCACGTCAACGTCTCCGCTACCCACAAACTCATCCAGGATCGAGCCCTGTCTCTCAACAATATATCTCATGAACATGAGCAGGGCTGCACGCCCAAAGCCCCGTCGCTGGTTGACTTTCTCGGCAATCATAAGCTCGACCTCGCCGACGATCTGGGGCGGGCTATCGCCGTCGTCACCATCATCGATCCGCAGGAACAGATTGATGTCGCCAACCATGTTAGATGGCGAGTCACTCTCAGCCTGAAGCTTTCTTTGGCTGGGGATGTCGTCTTCGTCGCCTGTGGTTATGGCCCGGCAGACGATGAAGGTCAATTTATCAGCATCTTGACGCCAGCTGCGTTGCATTGAGTATTCTTCTTCTATAGATAACGGCTCTGAAGCAGTTGCTTCTTGGATTTCCTGTAGACGCGTCAGGCTTTCATCTTGACTGGCTGGTTTCGGCACCCCCGTCCCTCCACCTGGGGAGCGAGAGTGACTTACCGGATCTTTCATCCATTCATGATAACGAGGTACATGCCATGATGAGTACGGAACTAAGAGTGCTGTTGAGGAACAGAGAGCTGTATGTACGTGGTTGGATGCCGTTAGCTTCTGGGACTCTGCTGAGCCCTGGCGTGTAAGCCAGACACATACCGATGTTGGCATTGAGCAACATGTTGGCTGGATCAATCCCAAAAGAAGGTGAATTGCGTGGGGATCTATGTTGATATACGACAAGGGGAAGTGGGATGGATTCTTCCTTGTGGGTCTTGGCGGAGCCACTCTATACTGTGCTAATTGCTATCAAATGTTCATTTTTGTTGGAAAACCTCAAATCGAATCACCTCAACTTCCAACGTTTCAGTGTCCACCAGAACCAACTGCCCCGTCTCATTGAACTTCGGCAGAGCCAAAATCCGCACACGGGGGGCATCGGACCCGTCGGCGTCTGTCATGTCGGTATCACCGTCTAAACGCAGGGGAACATGGCCTTCGATGGTAGCAGTCTTAAACTCGGGCTGATTGCCCGCGAAGAAGATATGTGGACAGGATTCCAGAATATATGGATCGTCGGATTGGTACGGGTAAGACCCTAGACAGATTGGTTAGTCAAATGTTGAACGGGGTATCGCATCCAACATACAAATGGTGTCGGGCGCAGTGGGCACACCACAGCGCCAGCGGAGCATGGCTTCCATAACGCGAATTCGGGCATCGGAACGTGTGCTGCTTGCAGGACTGCCTTCGCTGCTCTCGATAGTGATGTATCGGAGAATGTCATCGACATTCTGACCACTGCATCCCCATAGTCTCCATCCCTCAACATCGCCATCCCAAGGATTTGTTACGCTATCAAACCAGCCCGCCTCGGGTTTGTCGTCACCTCGGGGCGGGGGCGCGGAATACGCTCTTGACTGAGGGAACATGGCGCGGTGAATCCCCTGTTGGGGCAGAGAGAAATTGGCCGGATCCTTCTCGCCCGGCATCAAGGTCACGGGAATACTAGGTAGAATCTCCGCCAGGAAGCTATCCAGCTGGGTGATGGGCGAGGCATTGTATGCTGAGGCATCATAACCGTACTTTTTGGGCTGAGCCTTTGTAGCAGACGTTGCTGTTACATCCGCAGTGATGCTGGCACCCAAAGAGTTCCCTGCGATGATTAAACGCGTGATTTTGGAGGCACTCGTTGGAGGGCTGTCCGCTTTGCCCGAGCGCCCGGTATATCCAAGGAGATAATCTGTCAACAATTCCAACGCAAGTGTGTCACTCGATGTTCCTGTGATGCCTAGACCACTGACAAAGGCAATCTTGCCATTCCCGTTTCCGGTTTCAGCTCCATTCTCGGGTGCTTTGCCTTCCCAGCGCCGCGGCTGAGGGGCCAGGTCTGGTAGTTTGATATCGATCACCTCGAAGTCTCCATTTGCGTCTTCGGTTCCCAACGCAGCAACGATCGCACCGGTTGCCAGCTGGGTAGACCGCAAGAAGTTCCCGGTCAGTCGTAAGCGACCAGACTCATCTTCCATCATTATCTGGGTTGCCTCGGGGTTGGAAGGGTCGGTGTAAGTACGGCGGGGAGGAGGCGCAGACGTGAAATTCTTCAGGCATGTCAGTAGGTGTCGCGCTAGTCTTGTCCGACAGCATACTGACCTCTTTGGTCAAATCTTCCAGAATGTTTGGCTTCATGGGCAATTCCATATACACGGTGCCGGCCACCCAACACAATTCACCTTGTCGAACATCCAGGACTCGATCCACTCGTCGAACATTTTCTCCGGCAATCTGGGAGGCACACATTAGAGTGAGGTTCTTTTGCATCTCGAGTCGTGCTGGGCAAGGGCCTTACGACTAGTCCCTCCCACGCATCCTTAGCCACCTGTTCCACACTAGGTTTCAATTTGGCCAGTCGCAAGAAGTACATATCCCCATACTGCTGCTGATAGTGCCGTGCTGCGCCGGCGGGCAGGTGATATGTCAGGCGAGGACTGTAATGGGATGGTGTCCGGTACACTGGTTCTTCTTCCTGTTCGCTGCGAAGCCGTCAGCTCCAAAAGGCGACAATTGCAGCATGCCACATACCTCGGAGGGCACAAGAAGCCATAGTTCTGCGTATCCGGCGCCATCATGGTTGGCGCAAGTTTCGTTGCGGTGGTGCGAAGGGTTGGAGTTGACGCGTGAGCGCGTCAACTAGCGCGTTCAATTACATTCCCACATCGGGACTCCCTTTGATCATGACTGATTCTACTAATTGATCTCGTTTCTACTCATTGTTTTTGTCCCTGTTAAATATTCTTTGTATTTGATGTTATTTCTATTTAATATTATTTCTGTTCGATTGAACGAGTTCATTTTGTACCTTTTACTCGGCAATGACAGATATTAATCCAGGCTCAGGCCAAGGCTGCATAATTGCAGCACAATGCAGCATCGTATGAAATCAAATTACCTAGGATATAAGCAAGTATTGTTCATACCGAGTGTAGAAATGTGCACAATTCACAGCCTCGGTCCGGGGTCATTCCCCGCATTCCCCTTATATTTACATCTATACGGAGCACGGAGTTCATCTATCCAACACAGCATCTTTGCATTGCCATCATGTCTTTGCACACTCCACTATGCAAGCTTCTTAAAATTCAACATCCAATCCTGCTCGCTGGTATGGCTCGGGCTTCCAGCGCCCCTTTAGCCGCAGCTGTCTCTAATGCCGGCGGTCTGGGCACCATAGGCGGGCTGGGTTACACCCCCGACCAGCTGTCCGAGATGCTCACGGAGCTCAAATCTCTACTGCGAGATCCATCTCTGCCCTTCGGAGTAGATCTAGCCCTCCCCCAAGTCGGGGGATCGGCCCGTGCCACAAACCATGACTATACACACGGGCACCTCGATGAATTGATTGAAGTTACAATCGCGCACGGCGCAAGTCTCTTCGTGTCTGCTGTTGGGGTCCCACCAGCGAAGACAATCAAGCGCCTTCACGAAGCCGGCATTTTGATCATGAACATGGTTGGGGCGCCAAAGCACGCCGAGAAGGCCTTCAAAGCGGGCGTCGACATTGTGTGCGCCCAAGGCGGCGAGGGTGGAGGCCATACCGGCGATGTGCCATTCTCCGTGCTCGTGCCGGCGGTGGTCGATGTGGCCCGGCGGTACACGAGTCCGTTGACAGGGCAGCCGGCGCTTGTCGTGGCTGCCGGTGGAGTCAACGATGGACGCAGCTTGGCGGCGTCGTTGATGCTGGGCGCGGCGGGAGTGTGGGTGGGCACGCGCTTTGTGGCATCGGAGGAGAGCGGCGCCAGCCGCTTGCACAAAGAAGCCGTGGTGGGAGCGCAGTACGGCGAGACGAAACGGACACTCGTGGTCTCTGGGCGGCCCTTACGGATCTTGCCGAACGAGTACATTAAGGAGTGGGAAGGACGACCGGCAGATATCGCGGCATTGACTTCTAAGGGCATTGTTCCTATGATGGATGACCTGGAGAACGAGAAAGACATCGACATGCCCTTCCTCATGGGAGATGTTTCAGCCAGCGTGACGGCGATCAAGCCCGCTGCCATCATTGTGAAAGAGATGGTCGACCAAGCGGTCGATGTGCTCAAGGTTGGGAATTCATATATCAAAGGCCCGGGGAGTAAGTTATAGGCCCATCAGATCACAGTTGTTCATCGGTCGCCTCTTATGAAATACCCCAATGTACTATAAGAAGAACCCTACAGCTCTGTTGTATCGAGTAAGGTCCACTGGCGAGAAATATGAAGTCGCGGAGGTAGAGAGTCAAGACTGTCTCATTAGATCAATGGCCCTTGAATCATGTTTAGCGATTGAACTCAATATCACCATAAGTCATGTGAAACCGTTATGACAGCCTGACATGCTGCTCATGTCGAGGGCCTCGGCGCATCTAAAGGTATTCGGTATGTGCTGTGATTGATACTATGGCATGTACTTGTACAAAAAAAAAAAAAACATGTGAACCTCAAGACCTAGAAATGCAACAAGGCGGCCCATCACTTTGAGCCAGCCGATGAAACGTTCTACATGCACCGATCGTGGATATGGCTCGGTAGTAGCAGAGAGAACCAGAGAAGCTCCCAGCACAGTACGAAGTCCACATCTCCATCGATGCCCAAGTTCAGTCAAAATTGACAATAGATTGGATGGATTTCCGAAAAAGATTTCAGTTTAGTGACAGCCATTTAACACCGCATTGCCGTTTGCGCGGGCCTCCAGTAGATTGGGGGGCGGGGTTGGTCCAAAGACGGGTTTCTCTGAGGGCTGGTTGACTCGGAGGAGAGGTGGCTCGGGGTCATCCTCTTCGCTGATTCCATCCTCATCATCCTCGTAATCATCATCGTACTCACTTTCAGTGCCTTCGTCGTCGCCCTCAAGATGGTCATCACCTTCCGCTAGAGCGAGACCTTCGCCTCGCCCTTGGGCTTGCATGCGCCGGCACAGAGCTTCCAGATGGTGGCACTTGCGACGCCATCTTTCTAGCTCTTCGTGGTTCCGAGTCCGTTCCTCTGCCATTTCCAAAATGTTGCGATTCGTTTGCTCATGCTTTCGATTCAGCGTGTGATTTTCCTTCTCCAAGCGTTTGGTCTTCTTGGACATTTCCTCCATCTCTTTGCGGAACGTTAAGAAAAGATCGTTGCTGTTGTTCAAAGTGTCCTCAACCTGACCGTTGTTAGCAACGGGCGGAGTTCACGGGGGGTTCGCTGGTGATGGCGGTCTTGAGACCGCGGAAGCATTACCTGTTTGAATTTCTCCACATAGATATTGAGTTGACTGCGCAACTCGGCCTCGGTGTGGGTGAATGTCGAAACCTGTGAAGTCAAAGCCCGGCAGCGATTCGCCTCAGCGTCACCGGCACGGCGCTGGTCCTCGAGCCTGGAGGCAAAGCTTTGTATGTCGGAGTCCTTGTTGCGGAGAAGAGACCGGTATTGCGAGTCTCGCGAATCAAACTGGTCACTCACAGTCTTCAGCTTCACGCGGAATCTATCGCCATAGTATTAGCATGTTGCAGCCGTAGCCCCACACAAGATTCAGATCGTACGCTTCATCCATATCAACATCCACCTTCTCGCTGCGCGGATTGCCCTTGGCGGCCATGACGTCTTGAATATCATAGAGAAGCGAATCAAGGCGTTCATTCACAATCAATCGTGCCTTCTTCTCGGTATCCTCCAATTTCTTGTTTTCGTCCTGGCATGCGGTTTAGCGGACGTGTCCTCCAGGTTGCGGGAGCGCATCCCAGTCGCGCCGCAGTGGCGCAGGATGATCGACCAACCTTGACTTTCTTGTTCTCCTTTGTGAGCTCCCGGCAGAGCTTTTCCAGCTTGTCTTTCATGGTGACCGTTTTGCTCAGATCGGACTTGCCCTTGTCCTGATCTTTCTGCAGCTGATCGGCCCGCTTCTTGCTTTTGGAGTAGTCACGGTCTAGCTTTTTCATATCGGCCAAGAGCTCGGTGTACTTCTTATGGACGGTTTCGAGGCGGGTCATAGGTGACTCAATGTTGTTCAGCAGTTGGTTGAGATCCCGGGTGGCTTTCTTGACCTCGCGCTCTGTACATCAAACTCCGTATTAGCGACCCCGGTGTCTAGACTAACCGCATGGCCCAGCCCCAAGCCAACAAAAAAGCAATGACATGAAACCGCAGAACGCAAAGGGAGTCACGCACCAATCTCCGCCTCTTGGTCTTTCTCGCCGGCGGCATCTTGTTCCAGCTGAGAGATCTTGGCAGCGAGTAGCTTGGAAGTCTCATTCGGGTCTGCGGTTTTCTTCCCCTTGTTTTTCTTTGCCATAGCGGTTGACGACATCGTAGCGGCTCGATTGAGTCGAAAATTTGCGCACAACTAGGTGGGATGAGGGTTGGCAGTAGGCGGATCAATCACACGGGTGAGAGTTCCCAGAGACACGGCTCACAGACGAGATCACAGGCTCTGGGATGTCAGTGTTCGTGTACCGTTTCGGGTCTGAGAAGGACTTCGGAGCAGAACTTCGACGAGGGGAGAGTGTCTTAGTCATCGATTTCCAGAAAAGGCAACGGTAGTCGGCTTCTCAACGCACTTCGACGGCGAGTGATGGGTTGGGAAGCGCTGAAAGCAAGACGGAATGGCAGAAAATGAGCTTGCCGGTCGACTACGAACTTTAGCACAGTTCCCCATGCCCGAGGCGCTGTCGCGAGGCCATATACCCCATCGCTCTACTTCGCTACTATAGAGGATGATGTAAGCGATCGGAATCTGGACATTTTCGACTCCGGCATTCCGAGATCTTGTTCTCCAACACATCAACATTATCATGTTGCGCTCATCACTGCGTCTCGGCGCACGGCCTAGCCTGCATCGGCCTTTGACTCGTTCTTTGAAGCCGGCAACCCTCTCGCGTAACTCGCTGAGAGCTGCTTCAACCGTCACAGACTTGGACAACTTCCCCCGGGTGGGAGAGAAGCTTCATGGATTCACCCTGCACGAAAAGAAACATGTTCCGGAGCTTCATTTGACAGCCGTCTGGTTGAAGCACGACAAGACTGATGCAGACTACATGCACGTCGCCCGAGACGATAAGAACAATGTATTTGGAATTGGGTTCAAGACCAACCCGCCGGATGCCACTGGTGTGCCTCATATTCTTGAGCATACTACGTTATGTGGCAGTGAGAAGTGAGAAAACGTCCCGTTTGCAAGTGTGCCTATCACTGACTGCCTGGCCCTAGATTCCCCATCCGCGACCCGTTCTTCAAGATGCTTCCGCGCTCCTTATCGAATTTCATGAACGCTTTCACGGCCTCCGATCATACGACATACCCTTTCGCCACGACCAACCAGCAGGACTTTTCCAACCTTTTGTCAGTCTATCTCGATGCTACACTGCACCCACTTCTGAAGGAATCCGACTTCCGGCAAGAAGGATGGCGCTTGGGTCCAGAAGACCCACGCGCTGCGGAGCCGGTCGAGGGACAGCCCGAGAAGCAGCTTTCTTTGGAAGACATTGTATTCAAGGGCGTTGTATACAACGAGATGAAGGGCCAGATCTCGGACGCCAATTACCTGTATTACATTCGATTCAAGGAGAGCATTTTTCCTTCTCTGAATAATTCAGGCGGAGACCCTGAATATATTACCGATCTCACACACAAGCAGTTGACCGATTTCTCGAAGCGCAACTACCACCCCAGCAACTCCAAAATTCTCACATATGGTGATATGCCTCTGGCCGAGCATTTGCAGCAGATTGGAGGCGTGTTGGACGGCTTCCAGAAGGGGCAGGCCGACACCGATATCAAGAAACCTCTGGACCTTTCCAAGGGCCCATTGAACGTGACTGTTCCTGGGCCCATTGATACCTTCGCCGGCGAGGATAAGCAACACAAGACCTCGACCTCTTGGTACATGGGAGACACAACTGACATTGTGGAAACTTTCTCGGTTGGAATTGTCTCCTCGCTGCTCCTTGACGGTTACGGATCCCCCATGTACCGCGCGCTGGTTGAGAGTGGACTTGGATCCTCTTTCACACCAAACACCGGTCTCGACCCATCCGGTCGGACTCCTATCTTTTCGGTGGGTCTCAATGGTGTGACTGAAGCGAATGCCGCAACCATCAAAGATGTGATCCAGAATGCTCTCCGGGAATCCGTTTCGGCTGGATTCAGCGAGGAAAAGGTTCAGGGCTTCCTCCACCAATTGGAACTCGCCCTCCGTCACAAGACTGCCAACTTTGGTATCGGTGTGATGGAGAAGACAATTTCTACCTGGCTCAATGGCTCGAACCCCATGAAAGAGTTGGCCTGGAATGATGTCATCGACGAGTTCAAGGCTAGATACGCACAGCCTCGGTATCTGGAGTCTTTGGTGGAGAAATATCTCATCAATGACCAGTGCATGACCTTCACTATGGTCGGCACCCCGACTTTCAGCAAGGAGCTGGACGACAAGGAGGTGGTGCGCAAGGACACGAAGCTTGCTCAGCTCATTGAACAGCACGGCTCCGTTGAAAAGGCAATCGCCAAGCTCGGAGATGAAGAGCTGGAGCTTCTTAAGATCCAAGAGGATGCCCACAATGCCGATCTTAGCTGTCTCCCATCTCTGAGAGTGAAAGACATCTCCAGAGAGAAGGAGCGGAAGCCTGTTAGAGAGTCTAAGGTCGATGGCACTGATGTCGTCTGGCGTGAAGCTCCCACTAATGGCCTGACCTACTTCCAAGCTTTGAACGACTTTGTTGATCTTCCTAATGATCTCAGACTTCTCATGCCTCTCTTCAACGACTGCGTGATGCGACTCGGAACCGCAAACCGCTCAATGGAGCAGTGGGAAGATCTGATCAAACTTAAGACCGGTGGTATCTCGACGTCCTCTTTCCTCGTGTCGTCTCCCACGCACCTAAATCAGTTCAAGGAGGGTATGCAGTTTTCTGGATTTGCAATCGATGAGAACATCCCCGAGATGCTGGAAATGCTCTCGGTTCTTGTTCAAGAGACCGATTTCGCCAGCCCTGCTGCGCCCGCCATGATCCAAGAACTGCTACGCATGACTACCAATGGGGCCTTGGATGCCATTGCAGGAACTGGACACCGCTTTGCTGTCAACGCTGCGGCTGCCAGTCTCTCTCCCAGTCTTTGGGTCCAGGAACAGCAGTCTGGTCTAGACCAGCTGCAGGCTACAGCTAACCTGCTCCGTGATGCCGAGTCATCCCCCGAACGCCTTCAGGAGCTCATCGAAAAGCTCCGCTTGATCCAATCATTTGCGATCTCTTCGTCTAACCTGCGCGTGCGCATGGTCTGCGAGCCGGAGAGCGCTAGCCGCAACGAGTCTACTTTGCAGAAGTGGATCTCTGGACTGCCGAAAACTCAATCTCCTGCCTCCAGCTTGTCCACTTCCGCCTTTAAATCGGCTAGCAAGGCCTTCTATGACATGCCATACAAGGTCTACTACTCTGGACAAGCCGCCCAGACTGTGCCATTCGTCGACCCATCCAGTGCTTCTCTTAGCGTCTTGTCGCAACTCCTTACCCACAACTATCTTCACCCCGAGATTCGGGAGAAGGGAGGCGCCTACGGCGCTGGGGCCAGCAGCGGGCCCCTCAAGGGTCTCTTCACCTTCATGAGTTACCGGGACCCGAACCCTCTGAACTCGATGAAGGTCTTCAGCAACAGTGGTATCTTCGCTCGAGACCGTGCCTGGTCTGAGCGTGAAATTGAAGAAGCCAAGCTCGGTATCTTCCAAGGTCTTGATGCTCCTGTCAGCGTTGATGATGAAGGTGCTCGCTACTTCATGAGCGGTGTCACCCATGAAATGGATCAGCGCTGGAGAGAGCAAGTCCTAGATGTCACTGCCAAGGACGTGAACGCCGCCGCCGATAACTTCCTGGTGAATGCTTCTCGGAAGACAACTTGCGTTCTGGGCGAGAAGAAAGATTGGACTGAATCTGAATGGGAAGTGCGCAAGCTCTCCATGGATCCTGCCGTGTAAATGGCAGCATCCTTGTTCAATACTTCAGTACTTCCTCTGCCTTTTTTGCACAGTGTATCTTTGACCTGCGATTGTCCACGTCGAAGGTACTTGTATCATCATTTCACCCCTGTATTTCTATATACCTGCATCTATTCGCAGGCCTCTTTGTACATATATCCGTGCATCTTCGATTTGCATACAACTCCTTCCTCTTCCTCGCCTCTCCCTGGACCCCGTTAACACCCGCGCTGAAGATCTTCACGTGCCTTGTGCACAGAGCTTATCACATCTACAATTGATTCCCCATTCGATTGGCAGTTGTTGCATTCCCTTGAATGCTCGCGCAACATCACAGAGAAAGTGCGTCTTCGAGACACACTTCTCTCCTACATTTTTCAGACCCGCCCTGGACCTATAAGTCTACACAGGGCGGACTAAAAATGCGAGGACATGAGTATTCAAAGACTGTAGTTAGGTATAAGCAAGCGCCCTTTTTCAGCAGACCAGCAGGCTTACGGGCTATGAATGAAGTACGTATACGAGGCGAAGACCCCAAAATGGAAAAGAAATTCATTTCAAGCTACGACCCTCAGGGTTCATGGGCCCTATAATTTGCAATTATGGGCATGCGCTCGCAATGGGCGATCAGTATTTGCCTCACGCCAAGGCGTTTGAATTCATGTCAAGGGGTATAATGTACATCAAGGTCGCTCATAATCTCATACAGAAAGAGTGATGCATAAAAAGGGGTCGCAAGCATCACTCAAATTAAACAGAAAAGGGTTGTCGTCACTCATTTGCTGGCTTACTCCCGAGAGTTGGCGTCACCCAATTCATGAGGCGACATGGCTCTCGGCGAGGCTTTCGATAAACCGGGAGAGTCCACAGCCAGCGACAAAGGCGACATGGAGAGAGCTGGAAATTGTTCTGTTTGGTTTCCAGACAGCCGACGACTCGACGACTCGCTGAATGTCCTTTTTGGGGAATCATAATGTTTGTCCTCGTCTTGGGACAGGATGCTTGAACGCTTAGATGTTACAAACTGAGTGGAACGAATGCGCGTCAGTTCATTGCTTGCTTGAAGTTCATGGGTTTTCGTACCTTGTCGCCTCCCATATCAAGGCCTCGACTCATAGCCAGTTCCTGGGCAGCTAGTCGTCTGTTCGCAATTGCCGCCTCTTCTTCGAGGGCTGCCTGATGCTCCTCTGATTTCAGATCAGCCAAAGACGGGGCATCAATGTCCTGTCGTTCGACAGCATCAGTGGAGCTATGTGCGCGTTTTGAAGAGCGTCTCTTCTTGCGTTTCATCTTCTTGGAGGAATCACCACCAAGACTAGAAGCGGACCCCGATTTGAGTTCAGACCTGGGTCCCGACTGGTCGTCTGACTCTAAGCCTGTCCCACGACGCCCGAAAGCCAGTGCAAATTCATCGTCTAGGGGAACTGCATCTTCTTCTTCGTCGCTAGGGAATAGATCACCGCGCGAGCTGAGCGAGTTATCAGTGCCACGAGATGATTGTGTCGCGCTTCGGTTCCTGCCATGCGGCGTAGGCGATGTGATAATTTCATCATCCGTTCCTTCCATCAATGGTTCATCCTCATGCGCATACCGCCGGGCACCTGGGTGTTCCTGTAAATCAGCGGCAGAGGGTCGATACTTGACACCTCTTGCGCCTAGTCGCCAGGGGAAGCGCTCTAGGAAGCCCAACAGCGATGAGCTTGGGATAACGGTCGGATCGGTGCGATTATCGGGAATGTGCACGGTGCTCCTGCGTCTTGTGTTGCGTGTTCCGTAGCTCATCCGCCTTTGACGGCGCGGTTGGTCTGCAGGGCCGCGTGCCAGCCCGCTTCCGGCCAGCAGGCGGTCAAGTTCGCCTGTTCCCCAGCCCAGGATCCCATCGTCTTCTTCTTCATTGTCCCAATCGTCGTAGAAATCAAAGTTCGCCTCGGCTTGGCCGCGGCGTCGCCGCCGGAGATGGTCGTCCCGTCTCGGGAGGCAAGGGGCCGTGCAGGCAGTGACGCAATTTCCCACCGACGCGAAGCAGGGAGAGATATAGTTGTGTGAGAAAGCGTAAATGCCTTCTTGGGCGGTTTCGTTGGCGGTCTCTAGGTTATGGGATATCTGATTGATCCGTTGCCGGATGCGGGGGTCGCGCGTTCGTAGCATGTTGGGCAACGAGGGACGAGAAAACAGAGGCGCAAATGACACCGGTTGTCGCCCGCGACATTGGACAATTCAACGGGGATAGTTGACCTCGGAAGTCGTAGTCGCAGTCGATGTCATCTCCAGTTTATGTCAGCCGGCACGTGAGCTCTGGGGAGATAGCTGTCCGGGGTAGATTTCACCACCTGGGCGGGATCTCGAGATTTCGAGAAGATTGCAGGGTTGTGCTTCTGGAAGATGGTCTACTATGTTCGGTTCTTGAAAACCCCTCGAATCCAGCAGCAGAAGGGCTCGGTCTCTATCACCGCTCTGATCTGCATCACCACCGACCTGGGTGACTCATTCCTAGCAGAAGATGCGGATCTGGTGGTGACGGCCGCGAAGGACAGTGAAATTGTTTATGAGAGCCAAATAAAATGGAATGCCTATAATCGCGAACTGCCAATTACTCTCGGCCCTCTGCCGGCCAATTTGATCCACAAGACTCTGTCCTTGACGATCGATACTTGGCCAGAGTCCCAACCCAAGTCCATGAGTGAGCACCGTCTGTCTCCATGGCCCTCAATACCCCTGGTGGTGGGTGCCACCAGTGCACCCTTTGGACCTCAATCCGCCCCGGCTGCTAAGCTTGTTCGGCGGACCATTCATGCCCCCGAGGCAGCAGAGCTGCAGGTGTGGGAAGAGACAGGAAATAGCATTGCCCGACACATCTGGTAAGCGAACCATTGCTTCATTAAGTTCCCGATTCTAAACCAGGCTGTTTCAGGGATGCGGGTCTCGCGACCGTGATGTACCTCGGCGAGACTCTTCACCATATGTCCCAGCGAGCCCACGCCGCGAAGCGCGGCAAGGCTCCCACCGCGTGCACGATGCCCGCGCTGGAAAAAGTCCTGTCCACCAGCCGCACCTCGCTCACTCAGGTGGTTGAGCTCGGCGCCGGGTGCGGGATCGTGGGCATTGGCTTGGCACAAATGCTCGCCAACTGCTCGGTCCTCCTCACGGACCTCCCCGAGGTGGAAGAAATTATAACGCGCAATATTCATTGTACCCGTCCCGGCGACGTGTCCAGCGTTAGGTATCAAAATCTCGACTGGGAGCAGCCCCCGGACGACCTTTTCTCCCAGCCTATTGCACTGATCCTGGTCTCAGATTGCACCTACAACGCTGACAGTTTGCCCGTGCTGGTCTCTTGCCTGGATCGATTGGTTCGGACCTCCCCGGAGGCCATTATCCTGGTGTCGCTGAAGAGACGACACGACAGCGAAACGGTCTTTTTCGACTTGATGCGGTCAGCCGGATTCCGTTCTGTGCAGGACAGCATGGAGATTCCCTCGGAGCACGGACAAGTGGATGAGATTGAATTCCACTGTTACAGCCGTGATGCTCGTGTATAGCAGAGAGGATAAACGAACCCTTTCGGGAGCCAATAGCCCGTGCATGCACTGCGTCATATCTGTATTATTACCGGTCCGATACGCATTCCATACATGCCCAGTATCAGGTATTGGCCAGTATTCAACCTGGGCACGCCAGGCTGCATATATGACCAGAGTCTTCAGGAGATACGAGGTCCGGAGTACGGAGTACAGGAGTACATGCAGCTCTCCAAGTGATCGGCCTTGAGACCCTACATGTACATCTCTTTGTACTCCGTACCTGGATTCGCGTGCACCACGAATGAGAGTATAGAATTGAACCACACACCGCAATTCGCGCCTGAATCACGAAGTACGAGAGAGGCTAACTCGAAGAAGAGCGGAATGCGCCCAAAAATAACCAGTCACCAGTAACGAGGAAGTACAGAGTAGCCTAAGCACCGGACACTAAGGACACGAAAATCGCGCTGTCAAACTGGGAAGTGGATGCCGTAAGCAGGGTTCTTTTTTTTCCCCACGGTCCGTCATCTCTTTTTTCTGTTCCTCTTCATCCTCATTTTTGAGTCCAGCTCTTACCAGGTGAGTCTTTTTTCTGTTCTCTGTGCGACGCTTGCGTGGTTTGATTCCCCCCAATGGTCGTGTGCCCTAGGCTCACTGCCCCTCCCCCCAAAAAAATCTCACTCAATTCCACACCCTTGCGTTCATCCGTCCCTCTTATTTCGCTCATAGCTATCAAGTCGGAATTCCCTCGAGACAGTGGCTAATCAAGCGACATTCTCAGATTTGGTACTTTGGTCCCCCTCCCCAGCTCGACCCGGCCTTTGGAACCCCCAAAGGCGATTCGGTCACCACGGCTCTAGCAGCCTCCATCGTGCTTCTTAGCCAAATTGTCTCCACTCGACGTCTCCGCGACACTCTTAACAACATTCCACCTCCTGGTCTTCTCTGAACTCTCGTCCGGTGCGCCTTTTTTCGTCCCGTTGACGTCCCCGGAAATTATTCCCTCGTTCTCTGAGCTGCCGCATAGGACTTCTTCGAAGGTTCTTCCTCTTCAGGGGGAAGGGTCTAGGAGGCTTGGTCCAGTCAACTACGGTTGTGACACTTTTCGTCCTCCCTAACGCGCAGTCGCCTGCCGGTTCAATCTTTTTTTACTATCTCTCTCTCTCTTTTTTTATTTCCCATTACAATTGTGCTGAGTCGCAGCGGCATGGTTATGGCACCGACTGCATGTGTATCGACTGCTGAAGTTTGCACTTTCAAGAAAGACTTCAATCTGGACCATCACGGTCTGGTCAGCAGTCATGGCGAGGACACCTTGTCGCAATCCTCGTTGACTGCCAAGGATCTGGTTCTGGAGGTGTTGAAGAAGCGGGCGGCGGAGGTGGATGTGGACCACTGTGGTCCAGGCGAGGAGGATGCGTTCTACGTCGCGGATATGGGGGAGGTCTACCGCCAGCACATGCGCTGGAAAATGAACCTGGGCCGTGTGAAGCCCTTTTATGGTAGGTCTTTCACCAGATCGCGCCGTAACACCCGCTAACCAGCATGCAGCTGTCAAGTGTAACCCGGACCCGGAGGTCCTGCGTCTGATGGCCCAGCTTGGAAACGGGTTCGACTGCGCTTCCAAGGCTGAAATCGATCTTGCCCTTCAGACGGGCATCGATCCGAGCCGCATCATCTACGCGCAGCCCTGCAAGACCAAATCTTACCTGCGCTACGCCGCCGAGGTCGGCGTCAAGCAGATGACTTTTGACAATGCCGACGAATTGTACAAGATCAAGGCTACTTTCCCTGAGGCGGAGCTCTACCTCCGCATCCTGACTGATGATTCGACCAGTCTGTGCCGACTGAGCATGAAGTTCGGCGCTTCTATGGACCTAGCCCGCCCACTCCTGGAGCTTGCTTACAAGCTGGACCTGAAGGTGGTCGGGGTCAGCTTCCACGTGGGATCTGGCGCCGAGGATCCGCGAGCCTTCCTCAAGGCCGTTCAGGACGCCCGCATGGTCTTCGACCATGCCAGCGAGATCGGCCATGAGCTTCACACTCTGGATGTCGGCGGCGGCTTCTGCCAGGATAGCTTTGAGAAGTTTGCCGGCATTCTCGGCGACGCAGTGGACACCTACTTCCCACCCAACATTCGCGTGATCGCCGAGCCCGGTCGCTACTACGTGGCGACTGCGTACACCTTGGCTGCCAATGTCATTGCCCGCCGCGATATCCCCGACCCCGTGGACCCCTCGAGGGACGCTTACATGTTGTACCTCAACGATGGCGTCTACGGCAATTTCTCCAACATTATCTTTGACCACCAGCACCCTGTTGCGCAGGTGCTCACCTGTGCCTCTGAGGGCTCCCAGCCTGGTTCTCCGAACTCTGCGACTTCGGAGAACATCACCTACTCCATCTGGGGCCCGACCTGCGACGGCATTGATGTCATTACGGAGCGCATCGATCTGCCTGGTCTGCTGAACACCGGTGACTGGCTCTATTTTGAGGAGATGGGGGCCTACACCAAGTGCAGTGCCACTCGCTTCAACGGGTTCTCCGACAACCACGAGGTTATCTACATCTCCAGCGAGACCGGTGCCTCTGCCCTTCTTAACTACTAGTACATTGCTTTTTGCTTGAACATTGTGATTCTCTTCAGTTGGGTTTGTTTTTGGATATACTTTTGCTTCGACTCTGTGTCGAGTCCCATGTATCTATCGTGCGTTTGCTGCATATGCCATCGTGTTTCTTGCCATCTAGATCCTCAACTAGATAGAGTCGGTCTTGCGTTGCATCTACATCCCCTTTGACATATATCACCGGGTCATTCCAAGGTTGCATTCTCGCCGTTGGGCCTTGAATAAAAGTCTAGAGAGGTTTTCAATTGTCCTCCCAGGTTCCCTATCCTCACGTCCATACTATGTCCAAGGTTGGTTGCTACCTATGTAAGAACGGTGAGCTAGCTGGCCAGACGGTCGCTGCCAACCATCCATGGATGCCCAGGTGTCGCCACATAGGGAATCGAAGGCGTCCACAGGTGTTCAGGGATTATCAGCGTCAGGCCTTCCAAGGAATACCTAGGTATCAGGATAGACAAAGTCTGCGTTGAGATCACGCCGTGTGGGATTCTGAGTCAGAGAGCGGATTTTATACGAGCCTCTGGCAATGGTGATACATTTTTGGGTGCCTGTAGAATACAACGGTATAAGAGAAGAACACTGATGTACCTAGGTAGAAGCTGATGAGGTGGGATAGTGTAAAAGACCTCGGGATATACCTTGTAAGACCATTGGATACTGTAGGCCTGAGAAGCAATGATAGGAAACAGGATCTGATTCTGAAAGAGCATGCAATCGCCCTTTACGGCTCGTCTGCACGGTCAATATGACTGAGATGCTTGTCAGGTCTGACACCGACACTGGGATCTATACACGAAGCGCCTCTCTCCAGCCGTAATAAGTATATCTGTACGGAGTAGTTTGCTTGTGAATCATTTCTCCAGGTCATTTCTTCGTTGTTTGATTCACCCACGACATTACGGATTTGGAGTTATGGCATTGAACAATCTGAAAACACAGCTAACGGTTCTGCACTCAGTCTATCGAAGATGATCAATCTCGTCACTAGGGATCATCTTCTGGCGCTAGATCGCGAAATGCCCTCCGAAGACTACATCTTTCCGTCAGCTTTGCTCCGGCCTTGCATTGTGGACATTCACGCCCGTGTGTAATGAACACCAGGTGGAGCGAATATTTGAAGTCATCTGGAATCTTGGCCTCCAGGTGTGCGCGAGCCTGCTCTGGCGTAGCACTCGATGGCCTCCATCCCAGGAAGCCCGTAATCCGAAATATATGCGTGTCCACCACAAACCTCTGTCTGTTCAAAGTCAAAGTAAGCACGCAGCTAGCCGTTTTCGATCCAACACCGTCGTATCGTAGAAACTCCTCCATGGCTCGTTCGTCTTCAAGCGGCCAGAGATGATTCACGCTATAGATCCCATGTCTGGATTTCACTTGGCGCAGGATTGATATGATGAATTTGGCCTTTCTGACATGGAGTCCACCACAGGAGAGCACATCTTGAATTTTGATCTCGCCACTCTTGCTGATAGCGTTGTAATCGGTCCATGACTCGTACTCCTCGGTCATGGCCCCAACCTGTCGGATGGCATTGCGCTCATTGGTGGCCTGGCACAATATGCCCTAGAGGAGCCTGTCCAGCGGATCTGGAAAAACAGATGGACGATCTATTCCATCGGCATTCATCGCGTTCGTCGCAGTGAGGTCACGTTCTCCATAAGCTGCTGTTAGGATGCGATGTGTTTTCTGACACTCCTGCTGAGATGGGCGTTTGAAGTCTGGGTAAGGAGAGGTGGTAGAGAATCGGTGGTAATCCTTGACTTTCTTCGCAGGCCGCATCTTCGCCGTCAAAGCAGGGCCCACAGCTTCCGTGACCTGTTGGGTCGCAAGCCTCAGTCTCCGCGGCTTTTGCGCCTATAAGGTAGGGGCCATTAGAACCACTGGAAAATATTTGAATGTTGGATCTTCCTCCGGCGCGCCATTTAAGCGTTGACTCGGCGGGTTGATATGCGGCAAAACCTTGTCTCGCGAATCGACAGATTCACTCGACTCCAGTTGGACTGCGACTTGATGGTCCGTTGCCCAATCATGTCCGAGGAAAGGGTAAAAAGGACTTAAAAACCAAGGCTGGAACCTTGGAACCTTCCAAGATTGGAAGCGGGTGGTAAGAGATCGGTCCAATAGGAACTATTCCACTGCAGATCTAATCGGATTTGCCTTCCTGGGTTCCAAGGTTGGCGGAACAGAATCTTGGAAGGGGGATCTGCGATCCGTGGTTCTCTTCGAGTTCCACGGGGGTTACTTGTTCGTCTCCCATGAAGCTCCGTCTGAGACACTCGACTACATTGCTCCAACTGTTCCATTATCAATAATTTTCAATGCTCAAGATCTGCGTAGCTTTTCAAGTTTCCATAGGGTGACACCACATGCAACGTCGACTGCTTAGAGCAATACATAAGCTCGTTGGAAGGTTGGCTGTTGATTCTGGAATTGTGGTCATGGGAGGAGAGCGCAAGCAAAAGAGAATTGGCAGTCCAGTATAAATATAAAGGCTGCAGCTCTAAAGCCCATGACTCATTACCATCATCGTGTCAGGTTGCACCGAGAACATCGCTTACCTGATAAGTGACTCCAACTGCGTTACGTATTCCAAGCTCTCGACTTTGACCCAGCAGAGTCATCATCTTGTTTCACACCGAAGAGAGATGTTATTCGCGCAGCGTGCATCAGCTTCGGGAAAAGCTGGTATCTGACTCTTTGTCGGATGTCATGACTGTTGCGTCCAATCTGCATTTGTAAGAGGAGTATCACTGCCTTTAAAACCTCACACTGCCTTTAAAACCTCACCATGCTCCAAGACCTGCGTCTCCGATTGAGTAGCGTGTCTGTATTCAATTTGAAACACCGGCAGGCTGAAAAGGTATGCTTCCGCGATATCAAGGCAGTCAATGGCCAGGAAGTATGTAACTCCTGGATAAGAGTGTAGCGAACCACCTAGAAAGGTCGCTGCCAAGAGCGGGAGCGAGGCATGTTCAGCTTGGAAAGTTGGAAGGTGAATGATTTGGCAATGTCTGGGAATGTTGCGCACAAAGTTGTTCAAAGGCACGTATGTTTGCCGCCGAGAATGACTCTTGGTCGATGGCATTCTGCAAATGGGCCTGGGACATATTTTCCGAGGCAAAATGGCTCAATTCACGGATCAGTCCTTGGGCTCGTTGCGAGAGGGTGGTGCATGGTCGATGGTCAGGGGGTCCGCTGTGGGCTGCGTGAGTCAGAGGATTACTAGGCTCGATGCTACTTGGCCACATAGAAGGAAACTCATTCAAGTGTGCATCGTCGAAATAGCCTTCTGCCACCTCCAAGGGCACGCTAGCATCCTGGTTTGACCGAGCGCCCGGGTAAGAGGAATCTACGGCTTTTGCCCGGCCGGAATCAAGTGATGGAATTAAATCGAGGATTATGTTGTTCACATCACAGTATCGTAGCAGGATCTATAAATTAAGCTCCAATTTTAAGGGGGCCCGTACACACCTCCAAGGATACGATTGGTCGCAGAAGTAGCAGTCGTGTCTTTGACTGTTCAGATCTAGGACAGTGTCAAGAGTCAAGACTATACCAGCTTAATGAAAGGTAAGGTTACGTGACCCATGCCGACGCAAATGCGTTTGAATGGAGGATGGTTTCAGGCAATTCCTGCACATAAAAGGAGCCACGACAAGGGGAGTTGTAGGCAATGTCAAAGATGTTCGCGACCTCAGGGCACTTTCGTGGGGCTGTGCCAAGGGCTTCCGAACCTTGAATGACCTTAACTTGGGTCTCCTGGCTTAAATGTGTGAATGACATGGACTTCTCACATCGCGATGCCACTGAACCTTGGAACTTTGTTTCCATTTTAGCTCACTGTTCAAGGCTCTTGCAAGGTTTTGTATTCCGTCAAAGTCCTTTCGTGTGACAAGGCATAGCTTGGCTACTCACATGGGTAGCCTAATATTAGCAGATCAACCTGGCTATAGCCTATAATTCCTTTTCCACTCCTGAATACTCCGCAGATATGATCTTGTAACGTACAGGGCGCAAAGACAAAGGGTTTTAAGCGGACGCTCAAAAGAACTTTGTAGACAATCCATTCTTAGATTTCCTTTTTCGGAACGACAGAAGCGGATGGTCAAGAAGAGATCCTGTTCTCGCGATATTTCTTTATTACCTCGGGACCAAATCATGGATGCGAGTGGCATCAACTAGAATCACACCTGGGTCCATTGTGCAAAACACAAAGCATTCAAGAATACTAGGTAATCATGGCTTTGTCCATGTTTGAAATATAACAAAAGTCGAGGTCTTAACAAAGCAATCCCTAAAATATAATCAAATCCCGTATATATTGCTTCTCTTTCCCCCCCCCCAACCCTCCAAGTTGGAATCAAGTACCCAACCAATCTTGTTATCAGCATTTGTTATAGCACTGAACCACCAACTTCGAACACTCACAAGCCTAAAAGTAAGCAGCCCCCCTTGAGACGATGTCCCGACGAATCCCCCACGGGACATATGCTGAAGAGTCCAGCTTCTTCATGACCACCCTGAATTCCCTGATCCACATCCTCGAACAGAATGACAAGGCAGGCCGTGAAATTGCAATTAACTCGCTAAGCAACCTCCTCAGTCGTCTGCAGCGTCTAAGACTAGCCGGGCAAATTAATTTCAATCATGCAGTTCCCACCTGGACCAAGCAATGCAACAAGCTTCACGATAGAATTCTACGCTGGCACGAAGAACTGAGCGAGGTCCCGTCTTCCGCTCCACGCGTGGCTGCGGAGATTGGAATGTTTCAAATGTTCGTGCATAACCCCGACCCCGAGGACATCGATCAGTACATCAGCATGTGGGAGTCGGAAGATCCGCGCCGAGGTGACCGGAGTGGTGCCCCATCCCCAGAGCCTGCAATGCAACAGCTTAGACGTGCGGAGCGGAGTCGTGCCCCATCTCCAGAGCCTGTTCCGATACCACACGTACCAGGGCTTCGGATTAGACGTGCGCGGCGGAGTCGTGCCCCATCGCCAGAGCCTGTGCCGAGCAAAAACAGCCATAGACATGTACGTATACATGCCCCTGCCTCTGTCTTGAGAGGTGCTCGGAGATAGACCTCGAGATGACATTAGCGCCCTCTTGAGCTAAGTTCAGTAGCCATGAAACTCTAGACTATATTGGAATCAACTGGGAATATTCAGATCTTGTCATCTTGGAATCATAAATGGAAATTATTTATCCGTATTCGTCATCAAATATCTATGCAAAAGGCCGTAAAGTAGTCGAAACAAGTTAGAAGAGCCATGAGAAGCACATCTTGTAGACCTTCTTAGGCAGCGACATGTTTTGGTCCTCGATAAGAGCCATGGCTTCAAATTCAGCCTCTTCGCGATCAATCTCGGCCTTTCCGGTCCAGATATCGGCGTTGTGGGGCTTGACCACCTCGGTCCTCTTCCAGAACTTCCATCCGGTGAATGCCATCACGTAAAGTGGGATTCCGATGTAAGAAGTGATGAAAGTCTTGTAATCAAAGTTGCCGTAGGTCTCCGAGTTGTGAATGAACACACCGAAGCTGCGCGTGAAGGCGACGAGCACGCAGAAGAAGAGGGCGATGGAAGAACCGATGATTCCGAGAGGCGCCTTGTATGGGAGGGTTTTCTCGTCCACACCCTGTGCGCGTCGGGCCCGGATGAAGAAGATGTGAGTGATCAAGAGTGAGATCCAGGTCAGCACTGATGTAGGAGTTAGCGATTGATCGGTTGTTTGACACAGGGGATTAGGGGAATAACATACATCCGAAGATAGAGACCATGTCAGTGAAGTATCCAAAGACTTCCTTGGAACCCTTGGAGACACTCATGAAGGCAAGCAGACAGAACGAGGCAGACAGCGCCAGGGAATAAATGGGCACACCGGCGGCGTTGGTGCGGGCAAAGATCTTCGGTGCCTTCTGCTCGCGAGCGAGACCGTACAGAGTTCGGGTGGCGATGTAAAGATCCGAATTGGCGGCGGACAGAACGAAGACGAGAATGCAAGCATTGATGATGTGAGGGAGGGCAGCGACTTGCTTCATGGCGACCACGAAGGGCGATGCAGCGGCAGAGCTCTTGGCCTTGGTGGCAAAGGCCAAATCCTGGGAGTCATAGGGGACCAGCATGCCGACAAAGAGAACACTGAGAATGTAGAACACGATGATTCGCCAGAAGGTCAGCTTGATGGCCTTGGGGATGGTCTTTCGGGGGTTCTGGGCCTCGCCGACGGTGACACCGATGAGCTCGGTACCTATAGAGAGTTAGAAATGGATCCAGGAGTCTTTGATTGGACGCTCTTACCGAGGAAGGCGAAGGTGGCCTGCACCATGGTGGACCAGAAGGCAAGGAACTTTCCGAGATCACCCTCGACATACTTGTGGTTGAATGCACCGGGGGACTTCCAGTATCTGAATCCTCGTCGGTCGTGGTCGGGTCCGCCACCGAGAGCGAAGATCAGAGAGGTCAAGATGATTCCCAGAATGACAATGATCTTGAAGGCCGACAGCCAGAATTCCAGTTCACCGAAGACCTTCACGCCGAAGTAGTTAATCACGATGATGGCCACCATGAAGATGGCAATCCAGACACCTGGGTTCACATTGTCGGCGGATACTCTGGGCCAGTAGGTGATGACCAGGGCGGCCGCAGTCAGTTGTGTGGGGGGGAGAATGATGTATTTGAGGTAGTAGCTGAAGGGTCAGTTTTGATCGCCAGTCACAGTGCCTTCGTACTCACCACCATCCGAGCGTAAAACCAAGCGCAGGATCACAGAAACGGCCCGCGTAACCAGTGAACCCAGAGGACAGGGGCAGCCACGCGGCCATTTCACCCAACCCACACATCACCGTCCACACCACCAGACCCATGAAGCAGTATGCGATCAGCAGAGCGCCAGGCTGAGATTGTTAGCATTCAATTCTGTGTAGGCCACACAAATCTGTACATACCCCCGCTCTGTGAATTGAGTCAGTGATATTCGAGTAACATTTGCACTTGTGCGGGCCACTCACGTTAAGGCACTTCCAGTTCCCACAATCAAACCCGTTCCAATTGCACCACCAATGGCAATCATAGAAATGTGGCGAGCCTTGAGCTCCCTCTTGAGTTGGGTAGGCTCATCGGACACCTCGACCTTGGAGTCATCATAGTAGCTCGGTTGCGCCTCGAGGGCATTGATCTCATCGGGGTGACCCATCTTTGATTCTCAGCACAGACGATGAGAGAGAAAACGGCTGTGAGCCGGGGGGCCAGGGCCAACTTAAAGGCCAACGCACAGTCCGTTAGCGAATCCTGGGGTACGCCGCAATCTCCTTTGCCTCCATTTTGCCTCCCTGTCAGTGGAGTCCTATCGCGGAGAAGTGAGCAAGCCAAGCAGTCGATGGCCGTGCAGCCAAGACTTCCATCCGGGCTACCACGTTTCTTAGCCCCTCGGACCTGCTTGGCAGTGCCCGGTGAACCTACGGGAGCCAGGCCCATTCCCTTATCGGCGGGTGAGGCGCAACCCGTGGACGCCTTGGACGATGTAGAATGCTTGTTTCGTATCAGTTCCGTACCTACCTAGGTAGTCCGCAATCGTATGATTCTCATAGATAATGTCAGGGTGATATGAGATCTGACACTGTTGACACCTTACTGTCGTGTATACTACATGCTCCACCAGAGATATGGGGAGATCCACTCGGTGACTAACAGGAACTACTGTGGTTGGTCACCCGGTCTCTCCGCAAAAAAACCCGTAAATTTTCAAATACCGAGACCCGGGGGTTTCTTAACGCGATAAGAACTGTCCGACCCTAACCATCGCTCTTCATTGGCTCGCCTCGCATACGTTGTCTTGGCATCTCTTGGCACTGTCCGGGAGATAGCCAGGTGATTGGTATGACTTTTACCTAACCTATTACTCCGTACACAATTGACTATCACTCCGAGTACGGAGTACTACTACTACCCGTCCTAGATAGTACAGTACAGTACTTCCTGAGCCATGGGCAACCTCAGGCATCCAGGGCGCCTTCAAAGGTAAGAGTCCAGGTAAGGTTGAACACCTCGGTCTCGGGTTCTTCTAAAAAGCCTACTTCAGAGCCCCGTGTCTTCCCGCATACCCCTCAAATCCTGCACAGCGGAGTCCCCTAACTGGCCGGGGTCCCCAGATTCCACGGGCCTTATTTCCCCGTCTTTGGTTTTCATATATAATGGGCGCTGTACCGATCCTGTCGTTGGCCAGCCCGACCGAACCGGACAACCTAATTCCCCGTGAGGCTACCCAGCGCCTCCAGGGCCCTGCATGAACAAGAGTGGGGGTGCATGATTGGTCCATGAAAACGAGCCCTGGCAGGGACGCCGCAATGAGCCATTTATTGTCTTCCAAGCCATCTGACGTCCGTCTGCGAAGGGGCACATTGCCTAACTCGGAGGCGAAGTGGCGATTCCGCTCGGGTACGATCTCCCGTGCCCATGGGGTTGGAGCTCACGGTTGGGGTAATGGACTTGGAGTATCAACTTGGAAGTCTGGGGCTGAGCTGTCCCCCTCTCTCCCTGCATTGAGAGCCAACTTCTCAATCCCCTGGAACCCCAGAATCTCATATCAACATGGGATGCTCAGTCCTGAGCACAACTCGTTCGATTCATAGCAACCGGTCTCTGCAACCTCTTCGTGGGGACGCATATGTCCACCTGGGGGGACTGGGTATATGCCAGACTATTAGTATTGAGGCCCTCCAGGACTCAATCTCGTATTCTGTGCGATCTCTTCTGTGCTAGTCAAGGGCCCCCGGATCAATACATCTTGCTGGTCGGCTATTTCAACCAGGATTCCTTGCTGCACCGGCTCAATATGGAGAGCACTCTGTGTGTTTACAGCCGTTCACATAGCGTGTTACCTGCTAGGGCATAGGGACGGCAGGACTGCCCCTCAGGTGGGTAGGTCCAGCTGAGAGATATGTATCATCCCCCCTTACCTATAGCAGGTTACATACGGACACGGGCCTAGGTATCCACATTCCACCAATTTCTTCCAGGCACCCGGGCTCAAAAGTAATCAGGCTCACGTACTAGGTAGGTCAAGCTCAGAGGTACAATCCAAACTGCCGATAGATAGATCCGTGTCCTATTCAAGACCAGCATGGGTGAATAGGAAAGCTGAAAGATGCAAGGCTACACAAAGACAAAGAATCCAGTCCACAAATCATAATCTTGGAATGTTTGCTTTTTTGTGCTTCAGCTTGGAAATCAAGAATCTGGATTGGTACGTTCAGCTGCGGGAGATGTGCATCCCCTCGTCATAGCCGCCGACGATCACGCCAATTGCATATCCGTGTTCTTTAAGAGTGCAAATCGACCACAATTGTTCTTGTCTCCATATTCCTCGTCAAAATGGTCGATAATCATTCCGACCCCGTCCTTGACTCGCGAGACAGTGAACCGCTGCTGGGTCGTCCCGGGGACGTCACCCAACGATCTGATGAGGGCATTTACCGCAATATTTTCACAGGTACGAAAAGTCCTGGAGATCAGTGTCTTCAATACTCCATGCTAACTGCCCTTCGATACAGGCACCGCCACTATCGCGCAGGCTGGCATTTGGATTGTGAGTTGGTGTCCATAGCTGAGATCGATCACACTAACGTCAACAGCTTGCAGCATTAGTCTGGCAAGGTGTGCTTTACCAGCCAATCTCGTTGTTCACTCCCCATCCAGTAAGCCAAAATAACCCTGGATGAGTAACGCAACTAATGTTCTTTCAGCTCCTCGGCATTTCGGGTCTTTTGCTTCAAGTCCAAGCAGCACTTGTCCTACAACCCACTGCAACCCCGCAACAGAAGCAGGCCGGCACTCGCATCCACTATATAGTCCAACTACTGAGCGTCGTTCTGTTCCTTTCTGCCTTCACCATCATCGAGATCAACAAGGGCACCCATCCGCACTTTGTCTCCCCACATGGGGTCCTGGGCCTGATCACCGTGATCATCATCGTACTCCAGGCTTTAGTGGGAGTCTTCCAGTACTTCGTGCCGGTCACGGTCTTTGGAAGCGTCGACGCAGGAAAACTGATCTACAAATATCACCGCTGGAGTGGCTATGTTTTGTTACTGCTGGAGATGGCGACTGTCGTGGCGGCGACCCAGACCGGATACAACCTAGCCGCGATACATATTCCTCTCTGGGGCGTGCTGGTTTCGATTGTCTTGGTGCTGGCGGGTGTGGGCGCCAGAATCAAGAAGCACAAGCTGGGGTTATAAGACGTGGATGAACCAGGAGATGGGAAATTGAGATACCAGTAGTTGGATCAAAGAACAAATGTATCGGAGTTGGAGAAAACAGTCCTGTAGAGAGTGCAGAGTAACGTTGCCGATAAGGCCGAGGATCCACCTGATCGCCCCAATTCTGTCTTTTCAACTCTCCATGGCGCTCACCTCGTATGTCTGCGTCAATTGCAGACTCTCGTCAAAACTGACCAGAGTCCCCCTGCGCAGCTTCTCTGCCGCCCGGAGCGTTCGCGACGTCTTTCGACCCGCGACAGCCCCGAAGTCCACGCCGGACGTCAAACACATCCGCCAAAACGCAGAGCTCTACGCGCAGAACTGCGTAGATCGCAACTACGCAGCCCATGCCGTGTATCCATCGAAGATCGAACAACTATCACATGAGGCGAAGCAGCTCGACCACGACCTGAAAACCCCCCGATCCCGGATCAAACAGTTGGAACAGGCCATCGCCAGACTGCACGGTGCAGCGCGGCAGGATCCGAACGATGGAAAGGATCTCAACCTCACAGAGCAATTGGCTCAATTAAAGTCAGAAGCTCAGCAGCTGAAAGACGACTCTCAGGCGATGGTGGACCGCAAAGCCACCTGCACCGAAGAGATCAACCGACTGGCCCTCGCTCTTCCGAACCTCTCGTCCCCATTCACACCCGTTGGACACGATCCCGCCCTCGTCTCCTACATCAATTTCAACCCCCAAGAACCCCCAGCATGGACACGCCAATCCCCCACCGAGCTCCAAGCACGGTCGCACGTCACCATCGGCACCGAGCTCAATCTAATCGACTTTGCCAGCTCCGCCACAACAACAGGATGGGGCTGGTACTTTCTGATTAACGAGGGCGCCATGCTCGAGCAAGCTCTCGTCCAGTACGCGCTAAGCGTAGCAAGACGCCGCGCATGGCGCACCGTCGCACCCCCCTCAATCGTCTACTCCTACATCGCCGAGGCATGCGGCTTCCAGCCGCGTGATCAACACAACGAGCAGCAGATCTGGTCCATTGAGCAGAACGAGCGCGATCGTCATAATAAGCCCCAACGCTCGTTGACAGGGACTGCTGAAATCCCTCTCGCGGCCATGTATGCCGGTCGCGATATCAATGCCGCCGATCTACCCATCAAGCTCGTTGGAGCGAGCAGATGCTACCGGGCTGAGGCTGGTTCCCGCGGTGTGGACACCAAGGGACTTTATCGCGTGCACGAGTTTACAAAGGTCGAGCTGTTCGGCTGGACGGATAATGTTGAAGGGGGGAAATCAACGACACCTACCTCCCTCGACTTATTCAATGAATTACTGGAGATGCAAACAGAGATTCTGACCTCGCTCTCTCTACCGTGTCGCATTCTGGAAATGCCGACGGGCGATCTAGGCGCCAGCGCAACTCGCAAACGCGACATCGAAGCACTGTTCCCTTCGCGGCTGCGACAGGCCTCCAATTCCGATGTCACCCCTGTTGACCCCTCGATCCACGAGTTGGAGTCCGCTTGGGGTGAGGTCACTTCCGCTTCTATCTGTACTGATTACCAGAGTCGGCGGCTAGGGGCTCGGGTTAGAGGCACGGCCAAGGACTCGCGGTTCCCACACACTGTGAATGGCACTGCGATAGCTGTTCCGCGTGTGCTGGCTGCCATCTTGGAGAATGGCTGGGATGCGGAGCGGGGGGTTGTTGTTGTTCCTGAGGTTTTGAGACCGTGGATGGATGGAATGGAGACTATTGGGAGGAAGTAAGATATTGGGGGTCATTTTTGTCTGGCCTCCGGTGTACTGTATACTATGTAGTAAATAAGAATATGTGTCAATGTTACCTACGTATATTGTGGATGGGAGTGAATTCGGCATATTCATCCAAGGTCTTAGGGCATCGCCTTTCTCTACCGTGCCTGAATATATCAAGCGAGAGACGGGGATCTCGTAAGAATCATGATTGATGCCGAGGGAAATTGACAGAATAGTAAGAAAGGTACATAGATGTCGAGCCTGAAAGGCGCATCCTTCGTGAGTTCGTGGCCACATAAGAGCAAAATACATCAAGTAGAAAGCATCACATCGTTTGGAAACATCAAATAGCACGGCGTGGTCCCAACCAGACAAAACCAGCAGCCTGATGAGAAGAAGAGCAGAGAGCCAACGGTAGAAACGCCAAGGGTAGTCCAGAAGATACACATCTTCATAATAGAGGAAGGGACTAAAATCCCAAGAAACCAGCACGCGAGATTAGTTCCAAGGCAAATCCATCTCTTCAACGCGAGTACATGTCAGATAGGGCAATCCGATGGGGGTAGCTTCACGGGGCCCTGGACCGGCAGGCGGACCGGCAGATTTGAGCTCAAGCTCTAGGAAATTGCGCATCAAAGGCTTGACAATTTCCCTGGCGAGCCGCTTCATCTCATCCATTTTGCGCTCAAACCGCTTAAAGGTCTCGCGGGTATACAGCGAGTCAGCGGACGGCGTGGGATGAATTTTCAGGAATCGCTTCAATTCCTCGTGAGTGAGGTATGCTTGGGAGGACGAGGACCCGATCAATTTGAAGGTACGCGCAGAAGGGTCTTCCGGGGTTGTGGGCCGGCCCGCGCTGGCTGGGTGCGATGCCGAGGCTGTGGGATGAGAGGGCCCGTCATTTGCGCCGGAGTTCTTGAGGATAGGAGCCGGCGGAGGGGTGGTGTTTTCGATGAGCCATTGACGGAAGAGGGAAACGGCGAGCCAATCCAGGTATGCATTTGAAGGGCCGACACGTTCACCGCGGGAGGTGGTAAGGGACAGTCGCAGGAGTTTTGATTCAACACGGGCTTTGAGATCTTCCAGATCTTCCACCTTGTCTTCGATCATGTCAAGGAGGGATTCGGGCAGAGGCGCGTAAGATCCGTTCCGCATGCTCGGGAGCGCAGCGGGCCATTGTCCCACGACATGTATCAGGGCCTCGGTGAAGATCACTCTGCTGCGGGCAAGGTATCCCAGTTTCAGGTAGCTAGGGGGGTATTTGGCGATTTGCTTGAAGAGGCGAGATCCGAAGCCGAGGAGATGGTGATCCACGCGCGGTCCTGTCACTGGGAGCGCATCGTACATATCGGCCAATGCGAGGAGGGATTTGCATTCTGTATAAGCAGAAGCAATGTTGACGCTGTTTATTATGGGTGGGTGGTTGTAAAATAGTCGTAGTAAATTGTCATAGTCACGTATTAAAGGGTCGATGGTGGGTTCCTGCTCTGCCCCGGTTTGGGGCAGGTGTGCCGCCGACTGGATCCCTGCCAGGTTCGCCATGGATCGAAAGAACCCGGCCTGGGAATTGGACGGCTTGGTCATCGTGGGAGGGAAGGCAGCCTGGTCGCCTCCGAACACGGGTGCATGGCTTGGGGGCTGGTGTACGCGGTTAGCATTTCCTGTAACATGGTAGCTCGATGCGCTTGGTACCTTTTGTACGAGAATCACCTCCTCGTCCTCCGCGCAGTTCTCCCAGTCCAGCTCGTAGCGCCAGCGACGCTTCTCACCGGGCCGGGTGGGCAGTGCACCATGATCGGAGGGGACCAGCGTTGACCCGTTGGACAGGTAGTCATCTTCGCTCACGGGCGAGAGCGTGCCCTCTTTACCGGATGTATGACGCGACCAGGTTTCGTCGGTACTGGCCTCAAAGAAGCCCGAGCATTGTGCCAGGATCAATCGGTGGAGGAGATAGCGCCGCTCCTGCGACCCCGCGCGAATAACGATTTCGGTGTCGCCGGTATATGTGAAGATGGGGAAATCGTTGGACGGGGTGTGCGACGAGCTTCCATGGTGGGATCGGCCAGAACGGTGTCGTCGACCATGGGAGGGTCGCGAGACTAAGGAGGCGGTACTCTGCGCGGTGCGATCGAGAATTTGCGCTTGCGAGACCATAGTGAGGTGATGAACACCTGGCGCAAGGGGTCCATCCAAAGAAGAAAAGGAAAGGAAAGTCACAAAGGCACAAAGCCACGAAAGTCACGAAAGTAACCGGCTCATAGTTGAAACGGAGACGAAAACAAAAGGGTCATACAGTCCGGAAAGGGGTAGCCGTTTCCATAATGGTATTTAGTAGGCCACTAAGAACTAGCTATGTTCGCGTTCAGTATTCGAGTATTCGAGTTTCGAGTCTCGAGTCTCGAGTGAAGATATACAACTATAAATACTCGGACACCTCGGGTCATTTAGTCTCTTTTGCCTCCACTTTGGCCCGTCCTATTATTTTTTTATCTTCTTCTCTTCCCTTCCCCTATATCGACATATATCTACGGAGTATATATATTCTCTGGGAGGTCTGTTTTTATTGCGACGCTCCCTCCCCTCCACCGACGCCCACCCCCGCGATCCTCAAAAAAACTGGCCCTGGACACGTCTTCTCGGGACAGCTTTTATAGCTGTCCCGATCTGTCGTCGCTGCAGATAACTTCCGTTCCTGCAGATTCCGACCTCGACGTCAGAACCGATACTTCTCGCTCGCCCTCCCCCGATCCTGCCCCGCACAAGCGACGCTCCAAGGCTCGTTCGGTCTCCAGAAAAGCGCGGGGGGTTATCGGGAAAGTGCGAGCTTTCCAACGGATCGCCGCTGCAAAGATGGCGCATCCCTCCATCAAGATCGACACCAGCGTGCCCTCCACCAAGCGCGGACTGCCCGAGAACGACAGTCTGGATGTGGGAGGGCAGGATAACCCCAAGTTGGAAGCCGGGAATACGGAGCATGTGCCACCTTTCCTGTGTCAGTCTGCGATGGGTAAGTGAGAGCAAAAAAGAAGTGGGAAACGAAAGAAAGAAAAAAGACGAAAAGAATGTTTTTCGAAAAAAGAAACGATAGTCGCGGAGGATTTCCTGGAATGTGACTGACCGCTTCTTATATGCAGACATCCATGAGAAGTTCGAGGACTTGGAATGGTTGCAGCACACCCGAATCAACGAGGGCCATTTAGCCAATGACCTGTCGCATCGCTGGGCCCTGGACCATGACCCCAAAGTTAAAGAGCGGAATCGGTATTTCAACGTGCAGGCGTGGGAAAATTGCCGCATTCATCTGCAGGTGGCCGAGGGCGAATGCGATTTCATCAACGCGTCCCCGATTCGACTAGAGGACTCGGTCACCCAGGAATGGAGGAGGTATATCGCGACGCAGGTGAGTACCACGGTCATCATGTAGCCAGCCTGACTAACCAGAACCTAGGGTCCCAAAGGAGGGCATATCGCAGACTTCTGGCATATGGTCTTTCACGAATCCCAGGAGGTCGGCGTGATTGTAATGCTGACGCAGACTTTCGAAGCCGGCCGGGAGAAGTGCGCCCAGTACTTTCCCTTGGATACGGAGCAGGCCTCGATGATCCTGACGACGGATGAATCGGATGCATTCTTCAACGAGAGCGATGAGGCGGAACCTGAGGTTCTAGGGCGTGTGACACTCCTGGAGTCGACGTTTGATGCCAAATCGCGATCCGAGATCCGCAAACTCGAACTGGCCATCGGCTCCGAGTCGAAAATTGTGTGGCATTTCCTGTTCGCCGGGTGGGCAGATTACTCCAAGCCCGAAGGGAGCGATCGCCAGGCTCTTCTAGATTTGATCAAACTGTCTGCGTCCAAAACCCACCCCGACAACCCTCGCATTGTCCACTGCAGTGCCGGCGTCGGTCGAACAGGGACCTTCATTGCCCTCGATCACCTGCTGGGCGAGTTGGAGTCGGGCCATTTCTTGGACATGGCGGAAACAGGGACCGACCCTGTTTATGACACCGTCAATCGGATGCGCGAGCAGCGGATGATGATGGTCTACAACGAGCAGCAGATGCAATTCATCTACGAGGTTCTCCGCGAGCAAACGGATCGCAAGTTGGGGAAGCTGTCCAACTGGAACACAGACTCCCCCGACAGCGAGGAGCGCTCGGCCAAAATCCCCAGGCTGGATGACCAGGCCGAGTACATGCCAGCTGCCAAGCCGGAGCTCGAAACCCTCCCCGATCAATTCCACACGCCAAACAGAAGTCGGTCTGGCACTCCAGAGGTTCCTGATAATGAATAATGCCTTGGTCGTCTCCCATCGACCTTTATGTCGTTTATGTTTCTGTCGCATTACATGGCATCCGGTGTTTTCCTGCTTTCCCATTTCCGCCGCTTTGTCTTCAATTTACATTTTGACCCCCTTGTTCATTCTCTTCATGTCCTTGTTGAAATACCCCCCTGTTGTGTCTCTCTGGTCTCACTCATGTCCAGTGTAGTCAGCTCTTCTGTTTATTATCCGACTTCCACAGCCTCGCTTTAGAATTTTTGTATATTAGCAAATCGGTGATCTTATTTGCTTGCAGAATGACCCAGGACATCAACTTCCAATTAGTAGCCATTGTGACTAGAGGATACTGTGGATATCAATCATGTTTCTTTCATATTTCACAAAGGTCGGTGCCAATTAGATGGTCGACCTCAAAAAGAACCCCCAACTGTACACCATTGCGAAACCACATAGGCCTCTATTACCAACCTTGGGATCTTCCAGAGCAACCTTGGAAGCCCAAGCGTCCATATATCCATCCAATAGCTTTCAAGCACGCCGAGCAGCCATCAGTGGCAATGAAATAGCTCGACAGCTCGAGACAATAGCGGAGCCCTGCACATAATAATTGAGAGACTGGTATCAAACCGGCATGAGACAACACATAAAACCCATTATCATGACATAGATCGTAGAAAATAGCACCATAGGAACGGGTGGTATTCCATAAAGCCAGACAGTAGACATGATCGGTCAAGTTCAGTCAGACCGTTTAGCACCGGCAGGCACAGGAGCTGCTTGCCCGCCAGCAGAACTCGACTCATGATAACTAGGAGGCGCAGCGTCACGTTCGTGCTCTGGGCCATCTTCGTTGTCCCAGTTATCAACGGCATTTTCATCCCAGTTGTCTACCTCCTGCTCGAGCGACATAACACCTGATTCCTGTGGACCCAACGGTTCCGAGTCACGGTGGGAGTCTCTCTCCACTCCACCAAGCTCGACATCTTCTGTTCCGTCGTCCATCAGACCGTACCGACTTTGCCGACGTCGTTCCATCATGCGACGGTGGTACCAGCCGCAGAGACCGATGGCGCCGACACTACCGACCACATTGGCGACAATGTCGTATGGATCAAAGTCGCGGCCATTGGGGAGGAAGCCCTGCACAATCTCCGAGCCAATACCAAGCCCTACTGTGCAGACCAGAAGGGTCACGTGTAGCGCGCGCCGACGTGAAGTGTCCAAGACCCAGTAGAAGGCGAGAGAAAGTAGGAAGAATGTGACTAGATGAATGAATTTATCATTCGGTTGGAGTTGTGTCGGTATTGTCGAAGACGTGCTGTGCGGGAGAAGACCGATATAGCCGGCGAGCACGAGCAGGAAGACGAAGGCACCTGCGGATGTGAGTTGGGATGACCGTTACCGGAAGGTCCGTAGCTTACCTGCGAAAGGATAGCGGATGCGCATTGTGGGAGAAGAGTAGGAGAATTGACAGATCAGTGCGAGGAAGCTTCTGCTGGCGCTCTTGAACGTAAGGTGGGAGGTTCAGTCGTAGCTGTCAGACGTGGAGTTCGGCCCCAGCTTGCTGCCTTGTGCGTCATATGCCGAGCCCCGGGGATTCGCGACAATGCAGCACGAGAGTAGAACACCGGAGGGCAGGGTCTTGTAGGAAAGCAGTGACTCCAACCTGCGAACAGGAATAAACCAATTGAAACAGTTGACTCGACGAGACAGGGCTGATCGGAAGAGTTGAATAGTGACATCCTAGGGATCTGCCACCGCCTTCCTGCCTGTACTTCATCCCCGTCTAGAGAAACTTCCTAGGAAGCTCTCCCCGACCTTCTTCATCAAACCTCTCCCCCACGCTATCCTTTTTCGCATTTCTGACATCGCCAGTCTATTTTCCAAGCGGTGTTTTCTACCTCTATGCCTTTTGTTCCCCCCACGACCACCGCGTCGCGTCCGATCGGCCCGTAATCCCAATCGCGGAGAATCGAGTCTCGCCCGCCCCAGAACCGGGGTTTCGGAGCGAGCATGTCGCTCGGCCACAACGCCTGGCCCCCGGGCAACATTAGGCCTCCGGATGACCTCCAGGAATCTCCTCGTCCTGTCAATGGCTTGGTTAAGACTTTATCGGGCTCCCGGACGCCTCAAATACGCGGCTCTGTCGGCGCCGAAGGGCAGAACCCCAACTCGACGTCGGAAGCTGATATCGCGACCGAGGAAGACCCGCGCATTGCCCAATTCCGGGAATTGTATCGCCGGAGCGAGGCGAAAATTAGCCTGCTGTTCTCGGGACAGGAGCTGGATGATGACACGGTGGGGGGGCCCGTCACCGAGGAAGTGAAGCCGCCCGAGCCTCACACCGCACGCGTTGATGACGGCCCACCTTCCACAGCCCCGCGCAAATCGGCGCGCAAACTGGACGACGACGACTACGATGATTATGACGAGGATGACGATATGGAAGACGACGCTCAATCCCCAAAATCCAAGCCCGCCGCCCCACATGACCCTGCCGGCGTCGCATCATTAGCACACCACCCTAGCGCATCATCATCCAGCGGCCCGGATGAGACCAAAGAGACGAAGAAGGAGACAATGGAAGATCTTCGGAAACAACTTGAGGAAGACAAGAAGTCCACCGAGGAGGCTGCCAGGAGAAGCTTCCATACCATCTTCTACACCCTTGAGAATGATCGAGATGCGATGTTGGACCAACAGCGCCTGGAAGAGTCGGAGCGACAAGTGGAGGCAGAGATATCTGGACAGGCGAACATGGGTGGTAACAGTACCCAGGGGGCCTCCAATGGCTATAGCTCCCTGAGTAATACCAACTTGGGAGCTTCCAGCTTGACATTAAAGAACCTCATCGCCAGAATCGACAAGAAACGCGACAGGGTACAGGCGTCGGATGCCGAGCTGCGCAGCCTGCTGAGCGAAGTTCGGAAGAATCGCAGTAAATGGGCAAACGAGGACAAGGTCGGCCAGGAGGAGCTGTATGAAGCGTGCGAGAAGGTTCTCAGTGAGCTCAAAGCCATGACCGAGCACTCGACCGCTTTCTTGACCCGCGTCAACAAACGCGATGCGCCTGACTATCATGCTGGTAAGTTACAATTCTGTTTCTGCTGCACCCAAATCCTAACCCTTGCTAGTCATCAAGCACCCGATGGACCTCGGCTCAATGACCAAAAAGTTGAAGGGACTGCAATACAGATCCAAGCAAGACTTCGTCGATGATCTCACCTTGATTTGGGCTAATTGCCTGAAATATAACACAAACTCCGATCACCCTCTGCGCAAGCATGCGGTTTACATGCGCAAGGAGACAGAGAAGCTTGTCCCGCTGATCCCCGAAATTGTCATCAGGGATCGAGCAGAAGTCGAGGCCGAAGAGCGCCGACTTCAACTTGCCGAACTTGATGGCGCCGAAGAAAGTGACGAGGAGCCTATCATGGCGTCGCGCGGGCGGAAGGCCCCTGGAAAGAAATCGTCGAAGAAGGGCACCGCACCATCTCGCAACACTCCCAGCGGCTCCGAGGGTCCTGCTGGTCCCCCCAACACTCAACCGGCTCCTGTTGCTCGGGCAGACTCGGATGCTATAGGGGAAGCTGCCCCAAACGGATTCTGCACACCTCCTCCAGGATCACACACGCCCTCTGATCCTGCTGGGCCCGGGGCGATCGCAATGGGTAGCCAAGATGAAGCAATGGACATAGATGGCCCTGGTATATCCGCCCCTGTTCTGAGTGCGCTATCGGTCCCCGGTGGTGTAGAGCTGGAGGACCCAGAATACAAAGTGTGGAAGCAAGTGACCAAGAAAGACCGTGCGCTTATTGCGGCCGAGCGGCATCGTCTCCTTAGAGGAGACAAACTGAATTCTGAGGAGCCGGCTCTGCTCAGAACCAAGGCTGGAATGCGTCGCTGGCTTCGTCACCAGAAGCTCGCCACTATTGAAGCTGACCGGTCTCGCGATACGGGCTCTCATGCCATGGAACCCGAGGTCGCAAGCGAAACACTTGCAGAAGGCATTGAGGTCGAGGAAGATCAAATGGTTCCATTTTATTATGACGTTATGTCTGGCGTCCCCGACCTGCCTGAACGTCTTCTATGGAAAGAAGACGGACAGGGCAACGTCGTTGATGCCTCTGAAGAATTCTTGAGAATTCTTCCAAAGGGCCATTTTGTCCAACCGGATAGCAAGTTGACGCAGAAGATGAACGCGAATATACGGCAAATGCAAGAGACTCGCAAGATCTGCTCGAAAATCGGCATCGTGAAGCAGATGCAGCTTCAGTCCCAGGTCAGTAGAACAGTCCCCTTCGCATTGACCCCACAGCTAACTCTGAACTAGATGTATCAAAACCAATTCCAAAAATACCAACCTGAACCTTTTGTGGAACAAGATGCCGAGCCTCATGTCTTGAATGACAATGGCCCCGTCATAGCTCCCTGGGCGTGCAGAGCAGCTTTGCAGCGCTCCGTCGCCAAGATTTTCTATCACACTGGATTCGAGGAATATCAGCCCTCGGCACTCGAGTCTGTGACGGACATTGCTGCCGACTTCTTTCAGAAGCTCGGGTCAACCGTGAAGTCTTATATGGAAACACCAAAAATGCCTGCCACTGAGAACCAGGATCCCGCTTCCCCGACAGCCGAGTGGAAACCTGCATATACGGAGCCTGAGATCATCCTGCACACTTTGTCCTCTGTCGGTGTACACCTTGACGAGTTAGAGCTCTACATCAAGGATGATATTGATCGATTAGGGACCAAGCTCACTGCAGCTCATAGTCGCCTCAAGTCGCTACTGACTGAACTCCTTCGACCAGCCCTGGAAGGCGGCGAAGATGGCTCAAATGCATTCAAGGATGGTAGCGAACAATTCGTTGGCGGTGATTTCGCCGAAGACATCGACGAGGATTTCTTTGGTTTCAAAGAATTGGGGTTGGACCGGGAGTTCGGTCTCTCCACACTGAGTGTGCCCTTGCATTTACTCCAGAACCGGATGTTCAACGCGGCCAATCCACAGAGCACCACTGTCTCGCAGTCCGTTGATCTGTTCCCTCCGCCACCGCCCTATGCCCGCATCTCAGCAGACAACGTCTCCGACCAAATCGGACTCTTGCACTCGTTCTTCAAGGGCAAGTTAAACACTAGCCGCAACGAAGCTCTCGTGGAGGACCTCGAACTACCACCCAAGCAGAGGCCCATGGCTGCCAAAACACGTCTTCCACCTTCTGGCAAAATCCCCCAGCAGGGTCTCACAGGTCCGACGTCCAGCCCGCAGAAACGCACCGCGTCCTCGACTGCTTCCAAGACCACTACTACAGAGCCAAGCAAGAAGAAAGCCAAGAAAAATAGCGGAATTCCTGAAATGCCCAACTTTAACCCCGATGGCGAAGGTGATAGAACCGCAGATCCATCCGGCAGTGTTAATGCACAACTCGACGCACCCGTCGAAGGTGCGGACCCCATAGCCACGGAAGCGTGATGGGAATGAGGGATACCTTCTCCACTGGAAAAAAAAGAAAAAAAGAGAGATCAAAGTCTCGTTGAATAATCATCCATGACAATCCTTTGCCTTCTTTATGTTCTTTTGCATCATTTTTCCGCATACCCAGTCCTGCAATTTCCCTCTTCTTGTCTCGACTGTTATATTTTGAACCAGGCAATTGACATGCCTCCTGCTATGATCTTTACCATTGACGACCAGGGCTATGCGAACCGCAGACCCTCAAGCCTCGGTGCTACATAATCAACCCATTGTATTTTAAGAGTGTTCCTCGTTCCCTTTCAGCCCTCACGCCTCGGGCCTGAAGGCACCAGATAGCTCTGCAGCTTTGTACTCATCGTGAAGGGGCTCTAGCCTCTTGTACCATAGTGTTTCTGTCATTTTCCTACATCTACTTCGTTCCTCGAAACCTCAGATACCACGAGATTCTATCCAAAGTCAAGTAGCAGTCTACGCGTAGGTCTCTACATGGCTGTCATGCAACCAGCTTAGGATAAAGGATGAACAGGAGAGCGAATCGCCAGGAAACTACTTCATATTGTTTTTGGGGCGTCTTTTCTGGGTTAACATCGTGATAATGGGGTAACAATCAAAGCGCTGGGGCATCTCCCCGCGCCACGCAACTCATCTTCACCAGCAAGGCCGAAACCGGGTCACAAACAAACTTCATCTCTCCTTCCACCGTAAGAATAAAAAAAGGAAAAAAGAAAAATCCAGCTGGAAAAGGGCCCTCTTGCTTCTGTTGAGGGTAAGACCAGTGTGGAGCCGATCACCTCGTATGATGTCGGCATCAATGAATGTGCTTGTAGAGTATGTCAATTTTCCCCAGATAGTGAGGGTAATGTAAGAAAAAGGGTGGCGAAACCATTTCGAGAAATCCCATGTCTTCAAAGACAATGCGCGAGGTCCGCAAGAGTAGCTTGACGAGCTTGAAAACCATACTAAGTCACCAAACAAGCCCTGGGCTTTGGAAGCAGGCTGGCTGGAAGCAGGCTGGCGTGGATGGTAAAGACCTAGATGTACCACATGCCCAGAGCAAGTCGGTTGGAGGTGCCCTCCATCGGAAGCAGTCGCTTGGCCCGAGGCTCCTTAGGCTTGGGGTTGGTCGTCTTGACTTCTGGGCCGCTTTGAGGACCAGAGGTGATCGGCACGTCTTCGTGGTGACGGGCACGAACAGAGATCAAGTGGGCATAGTAAATTGCCGGATGAACCGACACCGATGTCGTGGAACGGATGTACTGGTAGCAATGATCGTTGATCATGTTCTCCAAGTCATTTGGCTTCAGACCTATTTCATCCATCAGGACATGGTAGTGCACTGGACGAGGAGTGCCTTGCAAAGCGATGTGGCTGTACAAGAGGAAGTCCCAATTATGAGGACTGAGGACATCCCTGTCGATCAAAGTACCTGGCAAAGGGGCGCCATTGGGATCCGAGCTCTGTCGATTCTTGGGATCGGGGAATGCCCGGAGGTTGTGTCGCTTGTTGGCAACCACCACACACATCTTGCCATTCCAGACAGGAGCGTTGCATGCATGGGCAATAGAATAGCGGATGGCCGGAACCTCTTCCTTGAGGACTCGGTGGTACTCAGAGGCAGAGACACCGTCGCGGAAGTAGTAGACCAATTGCGGAGCCTTGCCCTCTCCGACAGTGGCTTTCCATTCAGCAACCATGGGGTGCAAGATGTACTCGGCCACCTTGTCGCGGATAATCTCCACCCTGTCGCCGTTTGTCTCACAGTTGCCCATGTAACGGGTGGCGCTGGCGTTGGCTGACACGGACATGGCCGCCAACGACGGTGTCCACACTCCCATCATTGGGTGAGTAACATCTGCTCCGATGATCATGGTGCCTGGGCGCACGCTAGATGACTTGCTCTTGGGCACAGCGCGAGCAGTGATTCCACCGAGCTTGGCGTTCACCTTCATCAGCACATTCGCGTGATACTGTGGCTTGTTGGTGATGCAGTGAGCGGACTGAAGAACCTGAGATGGGGTTCCATAGCGACAGTCGGCGGATCTCTTGATGCGGTGGTAGACCCATGAGTCCTTGTCAGGGACGATAAAAATCATGAGTTGGGGCTCGCCGTTGAAGCGCGTGCCAATATCGTCGTAAAGCTTCTTCACGCTGCTTCCGACATCTTCGTTCAAGGCCTTGAGAATTGGCCTTTCAAGGACCTCCCCACCCATGGCTTTGTAGATCTTGATAAACTGCTCAGCCCACAGCTGAGTCTGTTCCATGTTGATTGACTTGCGATGTCCGGCGTAGAATCCCACACCCCAGCGCGCAAGTCCTTTCTCGTTACCCTTGTAGAACTTCTTGCCTCGAAGATCCCAACTGCCCAGGTGCCCCGGGTTATGCTTTCGATTGCCACCGAACTGAATTTCTGGGCTAGGAAGCAGTCGCGCCTTGGTTTTTAGCATCGTCTCACTGATCTTCATGCCGTAGGCCTTCAGAACCGGATCGTTTTTGTGCTGCAGCATTTCTTTGGCCTGGCGGGCATTTTCCAAGCGCTTGGGGGGCCGAGTGGCACACCATTGAATCATTTGTGCTGATTCTATTTCGCTGAGCTTGTAACGATATCGCTGGAGACTCTTGATGACCAAGAACTCGGCTGGGTACAGGACATCATCCTTCGTCATCTGGACGAGAAGCATGTTGGGAAATTCCAAGCGAACGTTGTACCGCTTCATGAAGTATTCCTCAAGGTTCATAGGGGTGGTTTTTCCTTCAGCTTTGTCAAAGTATTGAATGTTGTAATCTCTAGGCCGAGCCAGAAGCATGCCTTTGACAATGAAGCTCTTCATCTTGAATGGGCAGCCTGCATAGTTGGGGGCCACCCGAAGACCTTGAATCTTCCTGTTGACCTGAGCGAACCATCTGGTTTCCTTTGCTCCTCCGAACTGATCTTTCTCTGGAATAAGCCTGCTCACCAGAGTTTGCTTGTCGGCAAAGTTGTTGGCGCTCATCATGTATCCCATCAAGCTAATGCGAGAGAAGAAAACGCAGTGAGCGACATCCACGTTGAGAGCCAAGCCAGTCTGGTTGTCCAAGTCAGTCTTGTGTACTTCGATTCTACTGAATAAGAAAACTTACTGGAGTCGGCCGGATCGCCTGGTAAATGCCCCGATAAACGGAGGCACCCATGTTGGCCAGAGGTCGATAGAATTCATGCTTGGCGGACTCATCATTCTCGATCTTGTCGAAAAAGAAAGCTCGCTTGATAGCAACAAACTCCCTTGTGGGCCATTCACGGAGCAAATGATCAAGGAAACCTATTGAAGTTAGAATACGCCATCAAGGAGACAGGGAAGTAGAGGATAAGTCGAAGAGCTTCGAAACGAGAGATCACTTACTCAAAGACTCGATCACGAGTTGATCAAGCTCCTGTTTTTCTTGGAGCCAGTCCTTGATCCGCGAAAGCTGAAGTCTACGCTTTGGGATAACCACCATTCGCAGCTTGGGGTTCTTCTTGAATTCATCCTCTGTTGCTGCAGTTGGAAGTGCCCGGGCATAGTCACTCTTGAAGACGAGCTCTTCATTCCACCCGTTGAACTTTTGGAGCGACCTGTTCTCTGTCAGAAAGTGCAATGGACGTTCGAGTTTCTCGACACCTACCAGCAGATTCGCCCACCATCCCAAATACCATCGGGAATACGCTCCTTACGAGTTTCACTGTTCCAACATTTGCGGAGGATCCGTCTGTCGGTCTCGTTGACTGTGCCGTGCAGAGTGTTGATCTGATCGTAATTGTCAGCGAGCTCAATATATATTTGTAGACTACAAGTACTCACCTCATACTGATAAACCTCCTTATCTGGGAAAGCAGTGATTGGATAGACGTTCATCATCATTTCAACTTCCTTCCCCGAAGTGTTGTATCCAACACGCTTCTGGATTTTGCCTGAATAGGAAGGGGACTGCAGAATAGAATTAGCAGGCTAATTATTCTTGTTCTCAAGACGTGACACCCAGAAATTAACACTCACATTAGGATCGTTGATTCTGAATAGATGCCAGGGAATGTCGATGTTCTTGCAAGTATCCCAAGCGACTGTCACATAGTCCTTGTGAGTGACGATTTTTTCCTTGTCTAGCCGATGAGGCTCAGAAACCACTGCTCGAACGCCTTCTTTGAGTAGTCGTTCATGATTGATCCGCTCCTCCGCGGTCCAATGGGCAGGGTATGGCTCTGGAGACTCCACACGACGGATGGGAGAATCACTGCTACTAGAGTCGTTGTCCCTTGGCTTTCTTTTGCCAGTAGCTGGGTCCACTCCAGTCCTGCGCATCCATGCCGTGTCTTCACTTGCCTTCTTTTCTTTGGCGGCTTGATCTTGCTTAGCGTGGTGTTCACGCAAATCTTGCAGCTGGCGTTGAGTAAGTGGCTTGGGTGGGGGTGCACCACGGAGTGGTAATTCATAGCTAGGCGTCGAGTGCCGAGCAGCAGACTGAGAGGAAAGCGGTACTTGAGGGGTCTTAGAAGTCGAAGATTGACCACTTGGCCTTGATTTGGATGGCGTAGAACGGTTTTTAGGGTCTTCCTCCGGTGAGGAGGGGGGTCTTTGTTTTGGAGGCATCTTGAGGGTACTCCTGCTAGGAGCTGTAAGTTTTATGCTTTGATGTATCAGAGGAAGTCGAAGTAGAGTTGTAAGATGTATGAAAGAGTTGGAAGATGTATGAGAGCGTGGGAAGATGTAAGAAAGACCAAGGGGATGGAGGGAAGAAGGAGAAGATATACTGGAAGGAGGGATTGTATAATTCGGCCAGGAAAGCACTCTGGGGATCAGATAGTCAGGTAAGTGCGACGAAGTAAGGAAAACGTAAAGGCACTTTCGGCAGATGATTCAAACTTATTAACCTTGGAAGTGAGGAACGGACTGAGGAATGGACTGAGGAACGAAGTGAAGTAAAACACGAAGTGAGTTCCGGAACAAATAAGATACCTTGTAGTATCGGAGGCCCTAAAAACCTTGGAAGTGTTGCGTGGAAGCGAAATTGTTCCTTACTTTGTTTGTAGACTTGGGCAGGCTTTCACGAGGAGAAGAGGATGGCTGTATCCTGCCCAGTGGGAATGGAAATCGTGAAGCAGGCAGGTAGAAGAAGCAGAAGAAGAATAGATAGGAGAAGAGCCTTGAATAGAAGAAGTGTAGTGATAAAAGCCCTCTTGATATTCAAGGACAGCAGTTTATTGGCAGTCGGTATAGATGAAGTTTCCGATACATCAAGATTTACACCCAGAGGCCCTGAGATCCTTGAATAGTATCTATTGTAGATACTGCGATGTAGTATCTCACCGAGACTCGGGAGTCAGGACTCGAGACTCGAGACCCTCAAGGCCAACATACACCCGTGGGCCTCAAGAAGCTAGTTTGTCAAGATCACGCTGGTCCGTCACTTTCTTCGCACTTGACCGTCACTTAATGTACTTGAAGAATACACTTCTATACTTCTGTATGTAGTTCTAACATAATCGAAACTTGAATTCTGAGTCTGAGTATTCTCCCACTTCACCGTTACTTAATATAACCTTTTCCTTACTTCTATTCAAGTAATGATAGAACACCATTTAGTCAATAGAAATCTAGCATCAAGTTTCACTATCCTCATATTTCCCTATTCTTATACTTCCCTCTCAGCCATTATTAATAATTATCCCTTTTCACGCTCTTAGATAAATAGTGAAAATATTATTAGACACTGTGTGGTCAATAGAACTCTAGCTTTCCAAGGCTGTCTTATTATTCTTACACTTTACTATTATTTAATATACACTTTATCTTAGGGTCCTAGTTCTATTTAGTGATACTAGAAAATTAGATAGTTAATAGAAATCTAGCTAAGGTTCACTACTCTCACACTTCTCTATTATTTGTTATTATTGATTGTCCTTTTTCACATTTTTGGATCAGTAGTGAAAATATCATTGGACACTATGTGGTCAATAGAACTCTAGCTTTGTCTCATTGTTCTTGTATCTCTCTATTACTTCTTCTCACAAGTGACCGTCACTCTCTTCGGACCTCTGTGAAATAAAGAATGGACCATCACTCAGCTTATACCTACATGGCTCTGAACCCCACAAGCACTGGAAGGGTAGACAAGAAATGGCTAAGTCCTTGGAAGTAGTAGCACACCAAAGATCTAAGGTATACTACCTGAGTGGTGAAACTGCCTGTGCCTGACAACAGGGAGTGATCAGATATACGAATAATCCATTGTGATTCACATCAAAGACCCATGTCTGCCTGAGGTGGCGTTGGGTGTTCCCTGTTGAGACTATCATGCTCATGTGCTATGAGTCTCGTGCCCCTAGATCTCTCTCTCAGATAGTTCTTAGTCCTCTTTCTCTTCCTTCATCAATCTCTACTTTCCCTTCTTGTGCTATCTAGCTACCGAGCTGACACAGCATCTATTGTTCTCTTCTCAGCCCATTGACACAAAACCACAATCTCAACTGATCCTTTTTCTCTCCTTGGGGTCTGATGTTCTGACAGCCTCTCGAAACACGTTCGTCTGAGTGGGGGTCATAGTCTGACATTGACACGCCAGAAGGGGAAACCGTGCTCCCTCCCCAAAATGTCGTTGAACAGAGATATCTGGCTTCTTGTTTCTGCGCATTTGCAACAAAGAGACAAGGCCAATCTGCTGTTGGTATGTCGTGACTGGTACTCTCTCTTTCTGCGAGAGGTCTACAGAACAATCTCGATCAGGGGTCTTCAGGTACATTTCCTGACTCAGACTGTTCGAAGCAATCCCAATATTGCCACTGCCATCAGGAATCTGAATCTGGACTTGAGCTTTGTGTATTTTAAGTCAGATCCTCACCCGAACTATGAAGTCGACACCATTTGGGATGCAGTGAAAGCAAACAACCTGGGAGATTCCTGGAGAGAGAGCCTTCGAATAGGCTGCCCCGACGCCTGGCTGGCAGTCATGGTACTTTCGCTAGACTCTCTTACGAGTATGTCTCTGAAATTCTGCGAATCGAATTATTCCCTGCCCCTGGTGGACCGGATGGCGGCGGCAAACCCCACAGGGCGAGCTCTCCAACGCCTGTCACGCGTGGCCTTCCACCCAGACGGGGTAATGGGATTCTACATAGCGAGTGAGCTGATCCCATTCTTCAATCTTCCGGCGATGCAGGTTTTCTCTGCTGGTGGCATATGTGAATATCATTACGGGCCCATGTCACCCAAGCCGGGCACTTCCACGATCAGGGAGCTGGATCTTGGTGGCTTCAAGACAAACAATGGCAGCCGTGGCTTTGCCGACTATATCACTTCGTGTGCCAATCTGGAGGTATTCGACTACCAGCATGATAACAAAGCCGTCTGGAAGGAGGCCTACCTGGACTTCCACCCTCTCTTGTTCTACAATGCCCTGTGTTCCCAAAAGCACAGTCTGCGCAAGCTACGACTGAATGACAGCGGACAGATGGAGGAGACTGGAGTGGATGAGGAATACGAAAAATACATTGGTTTCGGATCTCTAGCGGACTTTCACCGTCTACAAGAGCTTTACATACCGTTCCGCACACTGTTGCAATTTGGCTCAGGCGACAAGCCAGAAGTGTCTCTGGTGGAGGTTTTGCCCCATAGCCTGGAGACTTTGTGCCTGTCTCATTGTTACGAAGCAGATGTCGCACTTCTCATAGAGAGCCTTCAAAGCCTACTGGTGCAACGCGAGCGGTTTCCAAATGTCAAAAGGATCCAACTACAACTGGGCGCAATTGACCCAAGGAAGCATAGTGGTTCAAAGAAGCTTGCACCACCCTGCTTCCTGCCGCTGGAGATGAAGTGTTGTAAAATAGGAGTTCGGTTTGGGTTCCGCCTGTATGGTCGAGATGTTGATCATGTCTACGCGGACAGGCCCTAGATCGTCGAAGCGGAATACCAATGAGTATCGACCTCTTACCAAACCTCGAATCGGTCCCAGATAGACATGAAGCTGCTACCTGCCTTAGTATTGATACACGAGAAAGTCTTCAACTACAACATATTAGTGTCAAGAAAATACGTGCATTTTTCTCAATTTAAAGCTCTAATGGCGTAAATGGTACGGAGTAAGTTGGGGAATACGTCCAGGTACTCAACAAGACACCGAGTTGAATATTGTTTTGAAAGTAAAGAAGCCCCCTGGCGTAAGGCCGAGGGGACTGCAGATTTCAATTGAAAGATTATCTGAGAGACTGGTTCGCGACTGTACAAGAAATGGAAGGGCAAGGAAACCCAACCAGCAAGCGAACGTTGAGACTGAGGGCCTAACGGAAATGATGCCAGATAGATCGACGCCGGTGGAAGATGCAATAGGGGTCCTCAACAACCACGTGAGCCCCTGCCAGTTTTCATAAAATTCCTCATTGAGAAAGAGGATAGATTGAGGGTCATCGATGTGGGAGACAAGTGGGGGATATTGGGCGCGCCATGGAGATGAGAGGTAGTTCAAAGTAAAGATCGGTAGATTGTACAGAGAAAGCGGAGAAGTGGTTCTTCGGAAGAGACCAGTTTCTACTTGTTTCAACGGTAGGAGCCTGGTGAATAGTATGTTAGAAAATGAAATCGATCAATGCGATTCAAGCGAGCTACTTACCAGAGTATGGCATTCCTCCGCCGGGATTTTGTGGCTGCGGAGCTTGAGCGGGGATATTAACGTGGTGGAGGAGCTCAACCATTTTCTCGGGGGAAAGACGGTTGATGTTGTATGAGTGAGCGGGGGGGATGATGCTCAGAAGAGTAACCACTTCGCGAGGCAGAGGAGCTGGAGATCCTTGGGGTTTGTATGAGGTGTTTTGACCGTTCAGCTGCTGCACCCGTTTGGGCTGATCAAGGCGTCGAGGTTGCGCTCCCTTCAAAGGAGACTCAGCGCGAGCGAACTTGCGCGGGCGGCTGTCATCGTCATAATCATCCATGGGATACGCTCGCTTGGGTGAATTGAGCGACGGATCGGCGTAGTTGGGCGCGGGGGAACCTTGTGTCATAGAAGCATAGATTGCATTGTTGGATTTCTGCCGTGTCTGAGAGGGCGAGAGAACGTGTCTGACAGCCGTGGGATCAAACGTGGGGCTGGCGTAGCGATGCGCAAATTGAGCGAGGGTAGGGTCCTCAGGGTAGAGCTCACGCATGCGACTCTCCAGATTGATCACTTGGGTGAGATCACCATACCGAGACTCATATCCATGAAGGAACGAGAAGATAGGCTTGGCCTTGTGAACGCTCTCGGGGTTGGATGCCAATTTCCTCACGGTAGTCTCAAAGACAGCTCTGGCATCTACGTACGGTTGTTAGCTTTGTATAATATGAGACCGCTTTTGAAGACTTACTTATGACATCATTGATATCAAGGAGGTGTTTGAGATACTCCAGGGCGAAGTTCTCATCTTCTGGGAACAATTTGGCGCCTCGCTCGAAGATCTTGGTCGCAGCAGGGTCTTTGTAACAATGGTACTCCATGAGAGCACTGGCAATGTAAACATCGCTTGTGATCCGGCCACGCTTTCGGGCTTCTGCGAAGATTTGTCTGGAACCCGCCAGTTCTCCGGGCTTGCCCTTGCCCTGAATCCGACGCATGGAGCGCATCAATGAAATCCATGCGAAAGAGAGAGTTTTGGAAAGCGCGTTAATGTGAACGAAGTGAGTCTTGTGAACCACATCGATCTGTGCCCTTTTCGCTGCTTCTCTTTCCTTTGCCTCAGGATCAGAGTCGTCTTCATTGTCAGGTTGCGCCTCAGCTGCCTTAGGGGCAAAGGCCTCTTCGATACGAGCAACGTCCTGCGTCTCCCGCTCGCGAGCTTTGGTGATCAAATCGTAAAGTGCATCAAGAAGCTTATCATAAGGTTCCCGAACCTTGGCTGCCCGCTTGGCAGAGTCTTGTTCGGAGTCAGAAGTAACTTCCAATCGGTCTGCTCGTTTGAATGTCAAGAGACAGCTTTCAGGGTTCGCTTCAACACCCTGTTTTAAGAACTCATTGCCCTCATTTTCCATATCGTTCAAGAAGCAGAACTCTGCGGCGTCAAACCAGATCTCGGGCAAGAAGCTCAGCGCCATCAGTGCCTGCTTGTAGACATAGACCACTCGCGATTTGAATGCTGCGAGATCATCCTCCTTAAGTACCAGAGGGTCTTCCTTTTCCCATGCCAGCCAGCGTTTCCAAATTTCGGCTTGCGCCGTGTACTCAACGTCACCTTCGGCGCCTGGCATCGGAGGCATCATTGGAAGTGACGTGCGGATGAGATCGCGTGTGATATTGAACAACTCGGTGTAAGAGCTGCGCGCAGTCATGTAGGATGGCGAATGTTCCTGCAGGAATTTTCGACCCTGAAAAAAGCGTTAGCGGAGACATCAAGAATGAACTATGGAATCGCATACCGTGAGCTTGTTCAATCCCATCTCGAATTGATCATATTCCTTCCACATGGTATTGACGGCTTGGGTCGGAACGCTGATAGCACGCTGGTAGGCCTTCCGGAGCAGGTCCATCTTTTGCTGGTCCTGCCATCCGGAACCCCCGACGCTTCCTGGCCCGGAGCGAATGAACTCGATGTAGTCGGTCCAGATGCTGCCGGAGTCTTTGTCCATGCCGACATACTGAATAGCAAGGTCATACGCAGATGAAATGGTTTTCCTCGCCTGTCCAGAGGCATCTGTGCTGAGCGGGTTCCGGCGGCGGACATAATCAAGGTACACAGACCAGAGATGGACGCTCGGGATGGTCAACAATGTTCGGTTGAAGATTTGTTCCAGGCGGAAGAGTTCGTTGAGCTCGGATTCCATGTTCGCATATGCCACCCATTGGTCGGCCTGTTTTCCACGGTCAGCAATCCTGCAGGATGAATGACCAACAGCAAGCCAAAGGGACCAAAAATGAAAGCCAACAGCGGTCATGCGTGGGAGAGAGAGGGCAGAAAAAATCAAGACAAAAACTTACAGCCATAGGAAAGACTTTCAAGAAACTCTCGTAGGTCTCACGGGCGCCGTCTAATCTGTTGCGGCTTCGGTGCTCTGCAATTAATTCCAACCAGGCAGGGATATCACCTCGGGGATCTTGCTCAATGCGGTCTTGCAGGATTCCCACCCGGTCGTGGGCCAGACGGCCTTGTGCAGAAGGAGAGTCAGAGTCAGGTACAGGAGTGGGAGCAGTGCTGTTCTGCATGTTTGCGGGTTGCGAGTTATGCGCACCCCACTGAGGTTGGCCAGAAACAGAAGAAACATCAATATTAGAGACACGAGCAGGAGAGTAAGAACTATTGGAAAGATCTGGCCCACTGGCAGGTCCCTGCTCAGCTTGGTGTGATGATACATCAAGGGTGGAAGTGTTTTGAATTGCATTTCCTGAACTGGGATCTTCAGACATGGTCATGGGAATAGCATTTTCTTCCTCGCCCTCAAGTACAGCTGGTGGCTCATAATCCGCGTCACCCTCGTCATCCTCATCCTCTTCAACCCGGACTGTGCCATCCGCTGTGACCTTGGGCTGTATCACATCCTCGGCTGGTGGTACGGGCGTTGGTGTCTGAGACCCAGCATGAGAGGGATCCTGAGAATGATCAAGGGCGTTATTGTCCGTGGGAGCTTCAGTGTTCGATGTCACAGCGACATTGGGGCCAGAATTGATCGTGTCATCCCGGTTAGGTTCATCATCGGTTGCGCCATCGGCTTGCTGGGGGTCGGCGAACGAGGTCGCATACTGCTCACCCAATGCCTGAGATGGGTCGTAATCATCCGAATCAGAGTTCTCGGCCTCCTCCTCGGCGGGGGCATGCGACTCGGAAGTCAAGGCTTGCGCCTGGAAGAAGGCAGCCTCAGCTTCATCGTCAGCCATGATGGGTAACGATTAGGTGATGGCGAAGGGAAGGGGGAGAGCTGGGTCAAGTTAGAAGAGTCAAAAGGCGCAAGTCATGAGATCAAGGTTTGCGCGATGAAGATGAAAGAAAGAATTAAAGGTGGAGAAGTCAAAGGGATGGGGTGGAACACAGCCACTTTGAGATAGCCCTCAGCCGCAAACGATAGCAAATGATCCAAGTCGTGCAGAGGGTTGACGAGACTTGCAGGTTGCCCGGGTAGTGGGCGGAGAGTCACGTGTGGCAAAGCGAGGGACGCGAAGGCGCGTCAATCGATGGGCTCCTCGCATTGTACTAGAGGGGTCGAAGAGTTAACTGCATTCTCCGACCTGTTTTGTTTCTTTTTCTCCTTCACTTTTTCTCTCCTAGGTATTCTCGTTTTATTATAACTGCGTGTCACTCCCAACTTCAATTCTCCCTTATATTCCTACATACACATCGTCTACCATCATGTCCGTTGTTTCACTTCTGGGGGTGAAAAACCTCAACAACCCTGCCGCTTTCACCGCCTCTTATCAATTTGAAATTACCTTTGAGTGCCTTGAGCAGCTTCAGAAGGGTGGGCTCTAACCTGATCCCCGCGATGATGGCGATGTATACTAACCCATTCGACTACTAGATCTGGAATGGAAACTTACCTACGTCGGCTCCGCCACCTCGTACGTCAATCCCACAATGACCGTCACTTCCCTACTGCTTTGCCCGATTCTGACAACATAACAGATCCGAGTATGACCAAGAACTTGACTCCCTACTGGTTGGCCCCATCCCAGTCGGTGTGAACAAGTTCATCTTCGAGGCCGATGCGCCTGATGTCAAGCGCATCCCCACTTCGGAGATGCTGGGTGTCACTGTCATCCTCCTCACATGCAGCTACGATGGCAGAGAATTCGTGCGCGTTGGTTACTATGTGAACAACGAGTATGACAGCGAGGAGCTTGCCGCTGAGCCCCCTGCGAAGCCCGTGATTGAGCGCATTCGTCGCAATGTCCTCGCTGAGAAGCCCCGTGTGACCCGCTTTGCTATCAAATGGTAAGATCCCTTGTTTTGTTTATTTACCAAGTGGAGCTCTGATTGACACTACTTTCCACTAGGGACTCCGAGGACTCTGCCCCGGCTGAGTACCCACCTGACCAGCCCGAGGCTGATGGCCTTGATGATGACAGCGGTGCCTACGGTGCAGAGGAGCGTGAGCTTGAGGCCGCACTGCTCAAGGAACTCGAGGATTCCAACAAGCCTCCCCCCGGAGAGGACCACGAGATGGAAGGTGCCGACGCCCCTGCTGGCAAGGAGGAAGAGGAAGAAGAGGTCTCCGATGCTGAGAGTGAAGATCTCGAGGCGGAGAGTGATGACGACGAGGATGATCTCGACGAGGAAGAAGGCGGTGATGGTGACGATGATGTTGAAATGGGTGATGACACGGAGCAAAAGGATGACTCGGCCAAGCCCTCCCACCAAACCCAGCCTGAGGTCATGGTGCACTAGATTTGCTTGCACTTGCAGAGCGGACTCGCTCTGATTCCCTGACATTACTTTTGTTTTCCTCTTCCCTTGCCCTTTGATGACAACCAGAACGCAACGTTTACGACCCCAGAACTGGATTTACCCATTTTCCTCCCCCAATGGACATTTATCCGATCCTACGAAATAAAACCAACATAATTCAGAAATTCTTGACTGCCGATCAATTCTTCGTATCCCCTTGCACTGTGGATTCATATACTAGTACATATTGTCGGTACTGAACCTTTCCCATGTCCGATGCGTGGCACCGCCAAAAGCCAGTGAGCAATGTGATCAAACTTGTATGGTGCGACCTAGGTATGCATAGAGCCGTTTCGACGATGCAACCTTGAAGGCCCAAAGGACTGCTCAGGTCATTGATCTCTTGGGTGTTTTCTGGATATCAAACCGGCTCCAGGGCTTCAGCGATGACCACGTAGATGAACCAGCTCAGACATCCATAGGTTCTAACCTTCAAAGTTTTCTCCTCGATTGGCTTCAAAACTCTCGTTGGCACTAGCTTCCTGCAGCTACTTCTGCTTATCCCAGTCCAAGACGCAAAAACCAAAATATGACATGTCTCCTCGGTCCCACAATTAATAGTACATTCTGACATGCTGTGGATGTCAGACACATGGAATGTCCAGAGTATATTTCGTACCTACGTGCACGGCCCGGCTCTCGAAGGGCACCTGGGAGAGCATTGCAGAGTGAATACAGTAGAACCAGAGGGGTGCAATTGGGGGTAATAAAGCTATGTACAATGGCTGGGGTACCAACCTCCTGCAAAAATAAAAGAGAGCCAAATGAAAACAAAAGTTGCAAGTCTAGGGCCCTCCGAGTACTAAAATCAAGTCAATCACCTAAAGGCCAAACTTGGAACCAAGCACTGTGGAAAAAATCGGTCAGCATCAGCCATGCAAGGGGGATAAAACCACATTGTCGATCAACTTACAGCCAAACACAGCCTTTTTCTTTTGTGACTGTACATATTTGCCGACATCATTGGCAAAATTGCTGCTGTTTTCCTCCAGTCGGTCCATACTGTCTCCGGCAATCCCTAGACGCTCAGTGCGTTCCTGAACTTGTCGCGACATGTAAGACCAATATCCCTCCTGGCTGCCACTTGCCTCTGGTGGTGGAGCACGTCCCTCCCTGAGGGCATTGCGACGCTCCTGGTCTTCTTGCTTCATCTGTTCGACCATCCGTTTCGATGGAGGTCGGCCTGGGCCACCAACTGTATTGACCATTAGACCCCATCATCAGTAACTTTGAGAGAGGAAAACGTACTCAGAATATCCATGTCAGCTGGGGAAATGTATTGGGTGCCAGAAATCCATTGCATGTTAGTAATGGTCGGACGTTGGGGGAAGATCGCTTCAGGGTTGTAAAGTTTGTCGTTGGACGGGTGACTTCAGGCAGTGTTTAGTATCATGATTCCAGAAGGATAAGAGATACTCACAGTCCGTTTCCACCGCCCCACACATTGAACAGCCCTACCTCCGAAGGGCCGACCCAGGTCATCACGGTTCCAGTGGGAGTGATGCATGCCTCAGACAGCCGCCGCATTTCCGCGATATGGTTGATCTTGGTACAGCCGATGTCGCGGAGGGCAGGAATAGAGAACGCTCGGGCGTTGCCATCACCGAAGAGACCGACCAAGCTATAGCCCCGACCTTCCGTCTTGACCACCGCAGCGGAGTCGCAAAGGTAGTCTTCCCATTCCTTATGCGCACCCTTTGAGATTGGTGGCTTGAAGATGCGGCAGCCTGAGGCAGTCACTGCAATGACCACACCGTTGACTTTTGTGCCACTTCTTAGGCCCCCAACAGCGCTGGGTGTGGCCAAGGCAAGACCGCCAGAGTCTGCGTCGATAGGAATGACGCTAATGACGCTGTCCTCGACTGAAGATGATCCAGCAAAAGCCGCCTCGTAGGTCCCGTTAGACGAAGGAACAATTTTGAAAGTGGCCACATTGCCTCTGTTTGTGCCAACAAAGCAACAGATGCTAGAATAATCTAGACGGGAGTCAGCACTTTGATCCAGCAGTCCGTCACAATCTCAATCCTTACCATCACCTTCCAAAGTCATCACACCAAATTCAATCTGAGTAGGCCATTCTGGCTGAGCATCTTCTGAGCCCCGAGTCTTGAGGAAGCTGCTACGCTTAGGTGCCTTGATAAAATCCGACATGTGGGCAGTGTGTATAATCGCAGGTCCCCGTAAATCCATGATGACCAAAGAGCCACCCTGGTAGCCGGCCGCAACGAATCCAACTTGGCCGTGCTTCAAGGCCGTGACTGGGCCTTGTTGCATGTCTAGGAGGGTCAACGGAATCATTCCTGTCTTGAGACCCGGGTCTGTTCGCTGTGTAATTGGAGTCAACTTTCCTGGGCCTTGATTGGCACCGGGGGGATCCTCGCGTCCGTAGGAGGGGTTGTTTCCCCAGCGGAAGACGGCAAGCTCTCCAGTCTTTAGTCCAATAGACATCTCGCCTGAGCCGCTGGCAAGGCACATCTCGGTGACCTCAATATTACTGACACGACCGATGGCGCGGGCAAGATCAACTTGCACTACGTCGCCATTTTCGATTTCATCGTCGTGTCCGCAGTCCCATATTCGGACGGTTCCATCGGCATGTGCCATCGAGACAATGTTGCGGTTCTCAAACCGTTTAAGGGGGTTCTTTGCCTCCGCGCCGCCCACCACAAATTTGGGACCTTGCAATCGGCGCTCTTTGAGACCGAGCCACACAGAGCGATCGACTGGTGTAAGCACCGCTTTGTTCACAAATGGATGAACGAGTGTCAGGAATGGGTGAAGCATGTTGGTTGGGGTGATTGTGTGCCCACTTGGGAAACTCAAAGTAAGAATTTCTCCTGAAGATAGCATCGCAATCAGGGCGATTGGGTCGTGGGCACCATTGAAGTATGGTGAAGACCGGGGAATCAAACAGAGGTCGACTACCTGTGCACCAGGGGGGACTGGAAGATTGATTGTTCGACGGCATCGTTCTAAATAGGTCGACAAAATCTGCCATGAGGAGGTCTGATAGTTGGGAGTTGGGCCCATGTCCAGGAAAGTGAGACCCTTGTTCTGGTCGCCTACCGGGCGACCACCGGCAACAAGAATACCCGTGTCGTCCGGGTTTTCCTTTGCACACCACACGATCTTTGTAATTGGCGCTTTGGGCCCAGCTCCATCTTCAGACGAGCCAGGTCTGCTCGAATCTGGTTGGTCGATGTTGGGCGTTTGAACTGTCCGAGCATGGAGCTTACGGCCATCTTTTGTATCCCAGAGCACTAAGCTTGCATCCTCGTGGGTTGTCAAAATGAAGATTCCATTGGGATGCCAGATCGCGTTAGTCAACTTAGGTCTGCGCACTTCATGAGTTGGCAGTGAATCTGCGCCTGGGGCACCGGGGGGAATCTCATAAACAAAGAACTTTTGGGCGAGATTCTGCTTGAAAGTGAACGTCACTGCACCCTCTGGATATCCCACTAGGATTTTGCCAATATCTCGGGGAGAGAACTCTAGCGATATCACCGGAGAGAACCGCGCACGGGGATTGCGCTCCAACCAAAGGTTCGGGACCCTGAAAGGTGTCAATGACTCACGATCGAGATCATATGCGATAATTTCACCTGGCTAGATGTTAGTACTCAATTTCATCATCCGGTTCAACCTATGAACCGACCATTCTGCAAGCCAATGAAGGCATAGTCCAAGCTTGGGTCCGTCAACAGGGCAGTGGCCTGACCCGGTGGGGCGTAGGAGACCACCATGCGTCTCGACTCGAGGGAGAAGACACAGATCTCATTTTTAGAGTCGATGCTAATGAGCTTGTCGGCGCAAAACTGGAGGAAGCGAGCCGACGCCTTGCGCGGGAAGTCGAAGGTCACCAATACCCGTCGCTGGCCGAAGATATAGATCTGCCCACTTCCAAACTGAGTATCACTGGTGCCGACGGCGATCAGAGATTGCACGGGATCGTAGGCAATCGCGCTGATCTGAGAATTCACACCACATCGCGCAAACTGGAAACAGCGGTGTCAGTGGGAAATGAAGATGCCTGGGATGCCAAGACGTACGTCGTCCAGGAGGAACAGGTCGGGGGATAGACCCTCAGACAAGTCCTTCTGAATACCGGCTTGCTTTCCACGCAAGAAATGAGCCATCGCCTGCGGTTGGAAAGAAAGGTAAGATAGACAAAATGCGGAGAGGTCGAAAGAGCTGACGCCATGCAGAAGCTAAAAGTTACCCGGATCTGCCCCGCTCCGCCCTACGACTTGGCACTTCTTTGTGTACGCGGTCTTTTCGACGGCTTCCTTTATTCGATTTTTATCCATAGGTGCTGTGACTCTTGGTGATTGTGGCTATGCGATTTACAGAAACCCTGTCGCATTGAGATCCTCTGGTGATAAAATCCCGAAATCCCGATTCACATGCAATTATATGGAGAATATGAGGCGCTGAGAACAAATTCGCTATGGGGGAAAGGCACAATCTAATGACCCCTAAAAGTACGCCGAACATGCAGGCCAGTCGAAACATATTCCAGACAGCGCTTAAACTCCAAGTCGCGACATATCCGCAATGGTGGTCGTCAATCGTCTCCGTGAATCAAATTCACTGGCTTCGTCTCGGCATCGGTAATATTGAACGGTAATCTGGGATACCAGTCGGTAGCAAGCATATCTGTTTGATGAAATCGTTAGCCGAGCACCCGAGTCAGACAGCATTCCAGACATACAGCGCCAACCGGATCGATTCCCCCCTTGTTCTGGACAAAGGCATGCCGGCTCCTTGCAAAATCGCCTGCGATGGGTTTGCAAAGATCTCGGCCATTAAAATGTCACCCCACAAGGCACTGCTAAAATCCACGATGCCTGAGAGTTGTTTAGACTCTTCATTCAACAGGATATGGGAGGGCCGACCAAAATCCACCACCACTAAACGTGGCAAGGTGACACCTTCGAGAGCAGGTGCGAGACGGCTCAGCTCGTCCCGAATTTCGGAGTATGGCAAATGAACGAACGTGTCTTCGGCATCACGGAGGATACCCTCAAACAGAGCACAGAAGGCATCTCTCCAAGAGGGCGTACCAGCACCCCGTGCAACCTGCTGCAGGGTTCCGAACCCCGGAGCTGCGTTCTGTCCAATCGTGCTCAACAAGAAGCCCAAGTGGCGATCAACGCCATCTCGCTGCTGGAATGAAAGGCCGCTCTCCATTTCCGATAAACTCTTCCCGTTCATATACTGCCGAATCAGGTAGGGAGATCCCCACGGTCGTCCATGAGGGTCGTAATTATAGAGCTGTGGAATGCATGGGTTTCCGCTTTGGCCGAGCAGCGTGAGGAACTGAGCTTCGGTTTCAAGGAAGGACCGTTCCCGTCGAAGTAAGGCCGTGCTGGATGGTGGTGATCCTTTCAGCAACAAACGGGCTCCGTTCGAGAGCACAACGATTCGCAGCGAGTGGATGTGGCCGGATATCGACAGCGAACTGTGCACCCGTACTGTGGACGGATACAGCAACGAGAATGCGGCATCCAGTCGACGACGTTCGTCTGTTTCAGTGGCATGGGGCTGGCGATAGACCAGATTGGTATGACTGCGCGTTCCTCCCAGCGATGGCATTGCAGACCATGTTTTGAGATCGAGTTGCTGCATTTTGGTCCGCTCTCATGTACGATTGCGGCTGATGTATACTGTATGAACCAGGCTGCCCCTCGGGTCACCAACTTGATAGTCAGGGGGGAGAGAGCGATATCTCTGATTGTCCCGTGTAGTATACTTTCTAGGGATTGAGGTCGATAACTTTCGGGGCCTTCCCAGAATGATGGCCCCGACCCCCCCCCCATATATGGGAACCTGGTGTCGAGCGATCATCAGACCGCCATGGTTGCATATGCCCACGTAACGTTGGAAAGTGGCCGCGGGTCCATTTTCAGGCGCCATGACTCTACTAGGTTTGGACACGCGAGAATCGGAGATCTTTCGCTTAGGATGCAAGCCGATCTTCCACGATGTGAACCGATGTCTCATTGGAAGTAAAAATCAGCAAGCGAGAGCCATGAACCAAATTGGTCCAAGGGAGACAAGTTGCAAATTGCGTGAAGAGTCTCGCCTAACCCTCCCGCTCTTAGAAAAGGTGGCCATCCGAGCACATCGTCCACCAATCACAGCGGCTCCTTGCCGAAGTCTGGGATTAAGGAACTTCGCATCTTCGATTGTTTCCATTCGTCTTCTCCACTCTTCTTGGGTCTTGCTCCGGGCTCTTTCTATTTCCAGTTCTCCTCCGCTCTCGTGTCGAGGGCACTAGGCTCGGTCCTTCTCCGCACTCTCTCTGCCTTTTCTTTCTTTTATTCGACCTCCAACGGCTTCTTCTTTGTTCGATTTGCTTTGGTCCAGCAAGCCCCCGCGCGGGCCGGTCGGTGGCTGCATGAGCCCCGAGAGGGTGCTCGGGAGAATAATGATCCAACTCTTCTGGATTCTATGAAAACGCCTTGGCGTTGGTGTGGCTCTATCAAGGACATGATTGGTTCATCAGAGCAATGAGCAACGTTAGATTATCCAAGCAACTAGGCATCTTTAAATCGAATTTGGAAGCAAAGCGACTATATATCCCAACACGACCATCACTGAGTCTTAGGCTTTTTAGTGGATGGTGTTGTTGGTCCGCCCTTGGGACTGGGGTTGTAGATTTCGGCCAAGTTGAACCGTTTTAGTTGATCGTAATCCTTTCCCACGACACTCATGCCAATCACATTCTAGAAATAATTAGCCAGTGGTCCAGAGTGGTCATATGCAGAACCTACGTGGGCGATGTCAACCAAAATCATGTAGTCATAGTCCTTCAAATTCACGGGATGCTCAGGACCGACGGCATCGGCCACGGTCTTGATCACGATATCGCGGTTGAGCTTGGCATTGCCGCGCACCGAGGGTCGGATGGCGTACTAAAAAATGACAGATCAGCGTTCAAAGTACATTTCCCCTCACCAGGCGACGGATCGGGCATTTTGCCAGATAAGCACGCCCCCGGCCTAACGGGGGATCTGGCACTCACCGTCTTTGGGGGACCACCAGAGTGGAAAATAGGCTTCAGGATTTCCTTTGCGAACTCTGCTAAATCCACACTCAGGGTCTTCTGGACCTTCGTCATGGGATGCATGCGTTGAATGTATCGGCTCTTCTTGACTTCTGGATTGGCGTAGGCCTCGCTACACAGACGATGGACCAATTGCACTGGCTCTATTGAGGGATCCAGACGCACGAATGTCACTGCCAGACGTTAGCCATTTTCCTCATTGGGAAACTTCGGCGCATAAGCGACATGGCGTTTTCGCACTTGACAGACGTACCGCATGGCATATCTAACTGAATCGCACGGAATTGACGAGGCTTCCCCTTGCTGGGTTGCAAGCCCTCCAGTTCTCGTTGGATCTGAGCCTCGATGTCCTCGTCATCGGTGTCTTGCTCATCCTCCTGCGCGGAGGTGTCCTCGAGGGCCTACACGGGGTACTTAGCAAAGACAGAGAATTTTTCGGGGCGGGTGCTCCCACCTGAGAGAATAGATCGATGGCCTCATTGAGACATTTCTTCTCTTTACCCATGTCGCAGGTCACAAATACACCCACATCGCCTGATTCGATGGTGGACGTTTTCGTCTGGTGCTGCCATTTTCCACCCTTGCCACCCCCCTGGTTGCTCATTAGTACGGAGGCAAAGATACCGCACTCTTCTCAAATTCATACCTTCCACTTCTTTGAGTGATTTGATCGTTCCGGCATGGCTTGTAAAGGCTGCAGACGTTGATGGTGGGGGGGGGGTCGGAGTTTTGTGTGATCGGCACGGAGTTATGATTGGGTTTAGGCGGGGATCGACCCAGGTCCCAGGGCGAGCTTCATTCTTATTTTCTCTTAAATAGGCAGACGCAACTTGCAGTAGTCTAAGTATTGTAAATACCAATGCAATTGAGTCCATATGAGTGCAAATCAGTACAATTGTAATGGTGGGACAGTGGCATGACATCAATACACAATCAATGACGTAAAGTGGTCTCATCCCGGTTGGCAACACATCGTCCGACTGGCACTTCTCTTTATAAAGCCTTGTGCTACTCGCTCCCTCTCTTTTCCTTTCCACCAAACTTGCCAACCTAAACATGGCGTCCACCGATATTGCTACCAGGGAGCTCAAGAATCCCGTCGACCTTGCGGAGTACCTGTTCCGCCGCCTCCACGAGGTTGGCATCCGCGCAGTGCACGGTGTACCCGGTGATTACAATCTGGTGGCACTAGACTACCTACCTAAATGTGATCTCAGCTGGGTCGGAAACTGCAACGAGCTCAACGCCGGTAAGTTATCATAAGAACGAACCATGGACATGCCTGACGATCGCTTCGTGCTTAGGCTACGCCGCCGATGCTTATGCTCGTGTCAAGGGTATCAGTGCTCTGATCACTACATTCGGTGTAGGAGAGCTGTCCGCTCTCAACGCGATTGCAGGTGCATACTCCGAGTTCGTTCCCATCGTTCACATTGTTGGCCAACCCACCACCCAATCACAGAAGGATGGAATGCTGCTTCATCACACTCTTGGAAACGGCGACTTCAATGTGTTCAACAAAATGAGTGAAGGGATATCGTGTGCCGTTGCCCGTTTGAACAGCCCTCATGATGCGGCGACCTTGATCGATAATGCGATTCGGGAATGCTGGATTCGAAGTCGCCCAGTATATGTCACCTTGCCCACTGATATGATCCATGCGAAGGTGGACGGTGATCGATTGAAAACGCCCATTGATCTTTCGCTGCCCAAGAACGACCCCGAGAAGGAGGACTACGTGGTTGACGTTGTCTTGAAGTATCTCCATGCCGCCAAGAACCCCATCATTCTCGTGGATGCCTGCGCTATTCGTCACCGCGCATTGGAAGAGGTCCGCGATCTGGTGGAGAAGTCTGGCTTGCCCACTTTTGTGACCCCGATGGGTAAGGGTGCCGTCAACGAAAGCCACAAGAACTTCGGGGGTGTTTATGCTGGAACTGGATCCAACCCGGGAGTCAGTGAGGCCGTCGAGGCCTCCGATCTCATTCTCAGCATCGGTGCGATCAAGTCTGACTTCAACACCGCTGGGTTCACTTATCGCATTGGACAGCTGAACACTATTGATTTCCACAGCACCTATGTTCGAGTCCGATACTCGGAGTACCCCGATATCAACATGAAGGGTGTTCTGAGGAAGGTTGTTCAGCAGATGAAGGCTCTTAGCCCGGCCCCCGTGCCTCCTATCAACAACCGACTTCCCGAGGAAGAGAAGTCTTCCACCGATCAGACCATCACCCATAAGTGGCTCTGGCCAATTGTTGGACAGTGGTTGAAGGAGAATGACATTGTGCTCACTGAAACCGGAACAGCCAACTTTGGTATTTGGGATACACGCTTCCCTGCAAACGTGACTGCCATCAGCCAGGTCCTTTGGGGAAGTATTGGATACTCCATGGGAGCCTGCCAGGGCGCTGCCCTCGCCGCGAAGGAGCTGAATAACCGCCGAACAATCCTTTTCATCGGCGATGGAAGCATCCAGTTGACGGTGCAGGAGCTGAGTACAATTCTGAAGAACAAGCTGAACCCTATTGTGTAAGACTTCTGTTCGGTCGGATCTCTGAGTCTCACTGACATCCTCTAGGTTTGTGATTTGCAACGAGGGCTACACCATCGAGCGATACATCCACGGTTGGGATGCAGAATACAACGACATCCAGCCATGGGACTTCGCGAACATCCCCAAGGTCTTTGGGGCCAAGGATAACTACCAAGGCTACCGCATCAAAACTCGTGATGAGCTCAACCAGCTGTTCACCGACGAATCCTTCAATGTCTCCGATAAGCTTCGGGTGAGTTTCACTTCTAGAACGAATTCTGAAATCTGGGCTAATATACCCTGTAGCTGGTGGAGCTATACATGCCTCGTGACGATGCCCCTGCGGGCCTCAAGTTGACTGCTGCGGCAGCTGCCAAGCGGAATGAGTGAGCTTGAATTGCAATCGCCATGTCGGATCTTCTCCGAGTGGTGTGATTGTCATGAGATCAATGTTTGGATTATGCCTCCATCCTCTGGGTAACTCGATAATGTTTCATTTCTCAGCGTGTAATTCCCAGAGATCGAAAACCTCTGTGGGATTTAATAGCGGCCGATATCTACGAATTGAATGAATATCTTACAAAAGCGAATTCTGACCTGAGTCCATGGTCAGTAAATCTGGAATCAGTACTGTACTAGGCAGTCTACACAGAAACCGAACAGTGGATCATGAGAATAAGCCCGTGACGCCCACCCATGGACAGAACTGTGGCTGACAAGTTGTCCACTTCATCTTGATTTTCGATTGGGTTGACCGAAGTCCCGGACTCGGGATTTATGTCTCAGTGCCTTTCCAATCAACAAGCAGTGAAAATTTGACGCTAGATCTAGAACGGCGGTTAAAAAGTCCAGCTGGGAACGGTTTCTTCCCGAACCTTGGAAGTGCCAAGGCAAGGCTGTGAACCACTGAGCGGGCTAAAGTCCATTATCGTCCGAAAGCGCTGTCTGTTGGCCAGGATCGTAAAGTCCCAAAACAAACAATGCGAAACTACAATTCAAAGGTGCCGTTAGGAATATTTTACTATTGCACGTTCGCGAAGAAATCAGTTCGGTGGAATTCGTGTTCATCAGATAAGATGATCAGATAATTGTTTTGGAGAACGAAGATTTCCCAAAGGAAACCTGATCCGCTAGATTCCCGAGGTCCTGTCATGCCCAGGGCCGACCGAAATCTACATGGCACATGGCCCGGCAACATTTCTCCCCACCAGAAGCCGGTGTGGCTCGGAGTCCCCGGGCTTCGGGTTTTAGTCGCAGCAACTAGCAGGGGCCGTGCCAGTACATCTCTGTGTTGTCGACCATCACATTGATTTTTACGTACCAGTATAATGTGAAGGGTATCTCCAATGTGTATACATCGGGCTGTTACCTCTGCAGTATTTACTCATTCGTGTTTATACCGAGAGAACAAGACGCGGTGGCGGCAAACTGACTTTTTCAAGGTTCTGTGCATTGCTTAGCCAAACTCTGCCACGTTGCTCTCAACCAATCAGCATCATCGGTGGCATCGGCAGATGGCAGCCGAGAAGAGCCCATTGGGCGAAAGCCACGACTAGGCCGCACTGTCGAGTCTAATTCCATGGTTGCAGTTATCTGATCCGACTGTCTCGTAGGCGATTCCGGCACTAGGAAAATATTCATCTCAGGCCTCTTTCGGCAGTGGAGATGGGCAGTGTGAAAACTGCACATAAATAGCCGGTGCCCCCGTGGTAAGCTTCAAGGTCAGACGAATCTCTCAATTCATCATAATGGGTGTCATCAACTTGACGCGTGGTCGTAACGACCGTGCTGTGGTCGAGGATCTGCGTCCTACTCAGGAGGCCGAGGAAAAGAATGATGTCAACGTGGAGCAGAACAGGGTAGGAAGTGATATGGACAATTTGGATCGTTCAGAGAAGGAGATTCAGGAACACCCGGACCAGGTCAGCGCCAATGCTGCCTCAGGTGTGCGCAAGGCCGAGGCTGTGGCTCTGGTCTGGGGAAAGAAGACCGTCTACGCAACATATGCTTGGTGAGTGACTTGAGATTTCCCCACAGATGGACCATAATTCTAACGGCAATATTAGGATCTGGGTTTGTTTCTTCATGCTGGCTTTGCATTCCTCCATTGGTAGCAACGTTCTCTACTATGCCTACTCCAATTTCCAGGATGCTTCGCAAGTAAGCACGGCTTCTATCTTGGCAAGCATCGTCGGTGGAGTCCTCAAGCTCCCCATTGGCAAGATCTTGACCTTGTGGGGACGTGCTGAGGGTCTTATCATCTTCACGGCCGTCTATATTCTCGGAATTATCATCCTGGCTGCTTGCGATGGACCTAACAGCTATGCTGCTGGTTACGTCCTCTACTGGGTCGGATATGATGCCATCTACATCATCCTGGATATCTTCATCGCCGATACCTCGGGTATGCGCAACCGTGCTTTCGCTTTCGCTTTCGCTTCGACTCCGTTCATTTGCACGTCTTTCACGGGTCCGTTGGCTGCCTCCAACTTTATCAAGACCTCTGGGTGGCGCTGGGCCTACGGCTCCTTCGCCATTATCATGCCCTTCGTCCTTTTGCCTCTGGCTGCCGTTTTCAAGTACTACGAAAACAAGGCCCGACGCATGGGTGTTTTGCAGCGCCGAGTCAGTGGCCGAACTACCATGCAGTCCATCGTTCACTATCTGCATGAATTCGACAGTGAGTGCTCCCAATCAACCTGCTAAGAATTTAACTAACTCTTTAGTCCTCGGTGCCCTTATCTTGATGGCAGCCTTCATCCTGTTCCTGCTGCCATTCAGCCTGAACACATATGGTCGCGCTCAGTATGGCGAAGCCGCCTTTATCGCACCATTGGTCATTGGCTTCGTGCTCTTCTTCGTTTTCGCTGCCTGGGAAAAGTGGTTCGCCCGCACCCACTTCATCCCCTATCAGCTTTTCCGGGACCGCACCGTCTTCGGCGCCTGCGCTCTGTCGGCCATCCTCTACTTCAGCTTCTACTCCTGGGATCTATACTACTACTACTTCGTGATGGTTGTGTACAACCTGGACGTGGCCAAGACTGGTTACATGACCGCCATCTATACCGTCGGCTCATGCTTCTGGTCTCCTATCTTTGGTATCTGGATCCGCTACGTGAAGGAATTCAAGCACACCTGTCTTTTCTTCGGACTTCCATTGATGGCCCTCGGTGCAGGACTTATGATTCACTTCCGTGGCTCGGACGGCGATATCGGATACGTGATTATGTGTCAGATCTTCATCGCATTCTCCGGTGGCATGCTAGTCATTGGAGAGCAGATGGCTGTTATGTGCGCCTCTGACCGCGAGGGTATCCCTATGATGATCTCCTTGGTCTCTCTATTCTCGAGCTTGGGTGGTGCGATCGGCTACGCCGTCTCTGCGGCGATTTACGCCAACACTTTCCCCCAGGGCCTGCGTGAGGCCTTGCCTGCCAGTTCCAAGGACCAGTGGGCGGAAATCTACGCTGGCGGCTATCTTGCTCAGATGAAGTACCTTCCGGGTACTGAGACTCGTGATGCCATTAACTTTGCCTATGGCTACAGTCAGAAATACGGCTGTATTTCAGCTACGGCGGTGCTCGTGCTTGCTGTTCCCTGCATCGCCATGTGGAAGAACTACAAGGTTGACAAGGAGCAGAACAAGGGTACTGTGCTTTGAATTGGGGAATATTGACTAGATTAGATTTGACTGTTTGTATCATTATTGTTTCACGAAGTATCACCTGCACAGTTTACATATTCAACTAATTTAATTTTAGAGTATTGAAATTTTCACTTTCTTTCTCTCTCTCATACACACTTCCTTTCTCATCACTGGGTTGAGAAAGGTCATCGTTGATTGGGCCAGCAGATGACTGCTGGATGTATCTTTCCGTTTGGGTGAGATGATCCAACATCCAACGCTGGGATTGACCAACATTTTTTTCGCCAAGATATGCACTTAACCCGGAAAAGCAAACATGGCGTTTCCCTTGCGTCAGGACAAGGACACTCTCGCATGATGCTCTTGTCTCAATGATGGTCAAGTTTCCACCAAGACCTATTATCTTGGAAACGTCCAGCCCGAGTGGCCGGGATAAAGACAAAGCGTATGCCAAAGTCTGACTACCTCGATCATCCGATGTTGGCAAGGCTCTACGGGTATTGGTGACATTGATGTCACCCACTGGGTCCCGGGTTTCGATCGGCTGTCAGCATTTCTTGTTTCAATTCAGGCCCCTGGAGCTGCCATGTAAAATACCAAGCCCCCACATGAGCTCATTGACTAGTTTAAATCTCGTCTGCCCAGGTGGTTCCGTGTTCATGATCTCATCCAAACATCCCGAGGCCAGACCTTGGAATAGCACTTCAGTTAATCCTGTTCTGCAAATATACCTCAGATCACCTCAAGTGTTGAACATGGCTTTTTGGCCGTCTTATCCTTGAAAGTACTTCCACCCGGCAAGATTGGCTTAAGCCATTAATCCTCTATTGCTCTCTGATTCAACCCTCCCGAGGTCGTGTCTCTTGAACTTGAAGGCTTATCAAGAGCTAAAGGGATACATATAGCGACCACAAACCTCTGACAATACTAGCAGCCTTGGAACCTTCAATTCATGCGCAAGGACCAAAAGACTTCCAAGGATACAATGACCAATAACGACGCATCAGAAAAGCCGAGGCTCATCATAGCATCAAATCGCCTGCCACTCTCGATCACGGAGAACGATGGCAAGTACCAAGCAACAGCGTCCAGTGGTGGTCTAGTGAGTGCGTTGCGGGGAATCGGTGCTGCTAGTTACTTGTGGCTAGGATGGCCCGGCATGGAAATCAAGGAAGAGGACAGAGACCCGGTGAACATTGCTTTGGCAAAAGAAAATGCTGCAGCGGTATATCTTGATGATCAGTTGGCACAAAACCACTATAATGGATTTTCCAGTGAGAAACTACAGACACGAAAGCCCGGGCATAGCTGACTGGAACACCCGGGCAGACGCCATTCTTTGGCCAATTCTTCACTACCAATCTGGTGTCATTATGAACCCGAAAGCATGGGAGGCATATCAAATCGTGAATGAGATATTTGCTGATAGAATCAGCGAAGAGGCGACAGAGGGTGATCTAATTTGGGTCCATGATTATCATCTTTTGCTTCTGCCGTCGCTCCTACGATCTCGCCTTCAGGCCAAGAAAAAGAAGTGTCCGATAGGTTTCTTCCTTCACACACCCTTTCCGGTAGATGATTTCTGGAGAGGTCTTCCTGTTCAAGAAGACTTGCTTCGTGGTATACTTGGGAGCGATATCATTGGGTTTCACACGGATGAGTACATGAAGAATTTTGAAGGCGCATGCGAAATTTTGTTGTGAGTCCGCATCTTTCTTGCATTTTGAATCTTCTAACCCTTCTTCAAGGGGTACTGGTACTGGCGCAGCGGAGCATCACGTCAGTCACGAAGACCGCACCATTAAACTCGGCAGATATGCTGTGGGGATTGATCATACAAGATTCACAGATGCACTTGATGATCCAGCCATCCAGTCAAGAATACAAGAGCTCGGGGCCTTGTACAAAGGAAAAGCAGTCATCATTGGTGTGGATCGCATGGACTATACAAAAGGATTACCAGAGAAGCTTAGGGGATTCCAGGCCTTTCTCGACGAACATTCAGAATGGAGTGAGAAGGTCGTACTGATTCAGATCGCCATCCCAAGTCGCGAGGAGGTCAAAGAATACAAGGAGCTGGAGGAAGAGGTCAGCAAGCTTGCAGGCCAGATTATTGGAAAGCATGGTAGTTCTCTGCCCGCTTATGCTGTAAGAACCTCGCTAATTGTCACAATATAGCCACGCCTCACTCAACGCCTTTGCTCTATATTCACCGTTCGGTGTCTTTTGCAGAGCTAGTCGCTCTATATTCGATCTCCGACGCATGTCTTCTCGCGTCACGTCGAGATGGTATGAACCTCGTGGCATCAGAGTACGCTGCCTGTCAGCAGGATCGTCATGGCGTACTGGTGCTCTCTGAATTCACTGGTGCTGCAAGCTTCCTGAAGCACGGCAGTATTTTGTTCAACCCGGCCAGTGCGAGTGGAGTCTCCAATGCGATTCATCAAGCCCTCACGATGGGGAGAGAAGAGAGGAAGGCGAAATATGAAGAGCTTCGTGACTTTATCACATCCCATACAAGGTGCGTTTCATATTGAGTTTTCATCATCAGCAAGACACTAATTGTATACAGTATCAAGTGGATCGAGACTTTCTTGGAGGATATGCGTACGTTCCAAGGTTGAAATAGTAATGATATGCACGCACTTTCGGTTTCGTTTTACCGCTGTTTTTGCAGTTAAAAAAAAGCCGAGTCACAATGGCTTTGTTATTAGATTCGATCTTTCAGCCCTGGAGATATGTCTCAGATATTCCAAGGTTGTTAGGCCAAGAACTAGTTCCAGGGTCTGTTCTCTTTGTCTCCTGTAAATCATTTCTGTTCATGTTTCCCTGATGCTTATCAATCGATATGAGTTTCAGAATTAGTCTAGCTGCGGTCAATTTGGGCTGACAAGTTTTTGTGATCAGTAATTCCAATGTTTGGGTACACACGTAGGGTCGTATGAGGGCCCCGAGGCGTGAAGGTACCAAGTGTGAAAGTAGAAATGAGCTCCGATGTCGATACAAGGTCAGAGACTCTAAACAACAGACTCTGAGTTGTTCAGATACTATAGTACTCTCGATTGAACGCAGATCTTGCCAGGAAGTACTAGTGAGTGGAAGGGTCAGAACAGCCCTGCCGAGTCCACCGATCCACAGCGGGTACCACGTGATGCGAATCATTCTGACTTGTTCTATCGCTCAAACGGTTTCTTCATTATACGCAAGGGCACTAGCTTGATCCCTCGGCTCGCATTGCCTTGGCTTCTACGGAGTATCTTATGCTCATTTCCGTGGGGAGACCTGTCCCTTCCGAGACTCCTGGTTTGTTCGGCAATAATCGCGATAACGGAACATGTCAACCGCATCTCGTGTTTAAATCGTGAGGGATTTCGGCTTTTTAGAGCTCCGCTTGCCTGTTTGTCGGAATCGCCTGGTATGATGCGTGAATGAACGCTCCCACACCCTTGAAGATCTCGCCCAAACGCCCACTGTAGGCGTCGCGAACGGGGTCACAGCCACCCTCCAAACCGTGCACCCCGGGTGCATCGACACTGACCATGGACGGTCGGCAGCAGTATGTCCCGGGCCCGCCTTCCTCTCAGGCACACATGAACCTACCACCTCCTCCGCCCCGACATCCATCGGCCCAAGCTCCAACCTTAGTACCGCCCCCTCCTCCTGGGCCGCCCCCAGGGGCAACTTACGGAGCGCCAGCGGGGTGGCAGCAGAGCTGGGGACGACAACAGGCCAATCCTGGGTTTCCGCCACCCCCACCACCCCCTCTGGCTGCACAAAACCAGCACCTAGCGTATGGTCGCCCGCCCGCCCAGCTATCAATAGTTCCACCACGACACGACCACCAGCCTCTGACATCCGCAACCTATATACCCGGCCATGATACCATTGGCGTTGGCATCCCGGGTTTGTTCGATCCCCATGCCCGAGCTCCTTACGATCCTTACGCGCACGCCAGCGCTGAGCGACAACGAATGAATCTCAGTCAAATGCATGATCATGTCAACACGTCCGGTCCTTTCAAGACCGACCAAAATCTTCCACAAACCCCCAGCGGACGAACAATGGCCCCTTACGCTCTTCACGGCAACATTCATGAGCTGTCCCATGATAGCCCACAACCCCATGGCACGCCACAAACCACGGAGATCACCAAATCCTCGAGCCATCGCCACAATAATAGTAATACTTCGCTAGGGGGGCTGTCCCCGAGCGAGGCTGCGATCCAATGGCCTCTGGATAGAGTACTCATCTGGCTTGCGAGGAACGGATTTTCTAATGACTGGCAGGAAACCTTCAAGTCTTTAGAGCTTCAAGGAGTCGACTTCCTCGAGCTTGGTCTGGGAGCTGGGGGGCGAGGGAACCTCGGGAAAATGCACCAGGTTGTCTATCCCCAATTGGCCAAGGAAGTCGGTCTGAACGGCAAAAAATGGGAACCTAGCCGGGAAAGAGATGAAGGAAAGCGCATGCGCAAATTGATCCGTCAGATCCACGACAGTTCGCAGGACTATACTGTTTCGACACCCGCGAACCAAACGCAGCCGCCGGCGACTGCGTTTCCAGAGAACAGCACGGGTTACTTCGCTCATCACTTCCCCGAGCCACGCTCCGCAGGGCCCGTGCCTGGGGTCAATGATGTTAGCCCAGAGCATTTGAGCGCATTGCAAGCTTCAAATCACAATCAAAAGCCGACTGGTCAGCGCTCGGTGACCATGCCAGTTCCCACGGGTCATGACTCGCCAAGATATGAATCTCCAAGATACGACTCGCCCGCAAAGGAAACCTCGCACTGGCTTCGGTCCGATTATTCTCGCAATGCCTTGGCGGGGATCAACAGTGATCATCGACGCCAGAGTCCGTCGGTTGGCAGCGAAAGTGGCACTTTCCAATCCTCCTCGCTGCGGCCACAGGAAAGCCCGCAGAGCGGTAGTCCGGCCCTGCAGCACATATCACCTAACTATGCAGCATTTTCCTCCTCTGCCGGAGACCTTTCTATAAAGTTCGATCATTCTCGGGGCAACAGTACGGACTCCATCACCGGTACGGGCCGAGGCACTACGGGTCGGTACTACGACTCTCGTAGACAAGTCCAAGAAGGAACTCGCCCTTTGCCCCACGACGCATCCGCACGACAGTCGGGTGGTGACACCCCTTCTTCGTACTCGAAGGAGCATGGCAAAAGTTTCTTCTCTAATCTTCTTAAGAAGAAAGCCAAAGCCAATGATTCCAATCACCCGTCTCCTGATCACCATGATGACTCGTCGCCCACAACCAGTCCCGAGACCCGCCCAAATGAGGCATATCTCCCTTACTCAAAGCCTGGCTTCAATGCTAGCGACATGTCTGTGGGCGAGAGACCTTCCACGTCGCCCACCAAGACCAAAAAATGGGTCTTTGTGACGATGGACGGCTCTAACTTCCGCTTAATCGACATTACCGAGATGGACTCGGTTGAAGCAATGCGTGTTGGGATTTGTCAGAACATCGGGGTTGACTGGACTAGTGCCCAGTTCTACCTCACAGAGCCAGGTCAAACTGAGCACGAAGATGCCATGAGTGACGCCAACCTCACGCACACCCGCCGAAGCAAGTCCGACGCCTATGGCTCCCTGAAACTCTTTGTTCGGGGAACTCCTTCGCATCATGTAACGCCTCATACACCGCGCTTCGATGGGCTGGGTGTTTCTTTCCCTGATAACAAATCAAATCTTTCCCCCACGGCAACCCATCACCAAGTGCACAGAAAGCCACTAGATGAAGAAGCACTTCATAGGATATCACCGCATCGCACGGCGCCGGACTCTCCATTACTAGGCTCTCGTCAAAACACACTCAAGGCCTCGAATGTGAAAACGCCTGTGGCAGATGTCGCACCAGACTCAGCCCAAGGTCCCGAGCCTGACAAAGCAGACCTGCTCGCCCGCCATGAGGAACACATGCGAGAGGTTGAACGGAAGCAAAAACAATACCTGCTCTCTAAAATGCCGCAGTCTCAACACAACAAGAATGCGTATGGAGATACCGGGTACAGGCGTAACGAAATCATTGATTTTGATACCCCTCGAATTTCGCCTTACGACGAAAAGAAGGGAGAGTCGCTGGTGCCACTTCGCAAACCTCCCATGGCGCCGGTTGAATCCAACACTCTCACAAAAGTCAACTCTCTTAGTAGGAGGCCTACCACGCGTGAATCTAGACCTCAACAATCTGCTCCAGCCCATGGGTTGGGGGCTGCAATTGCCAGTGTCGGTCGGATTACCAGCGCCATCGGCACGCCGCTTCCTTCCGTGCCAGTTTCCTCTCCTCCTGCCACCGATACTCGAAACAGTGCAGGCTCGGGGTCCGACCGCCTGGACACATTTGATTCTGCGGGTACAATGTCGAGTCGAACAACTCTAGGTCTGTTATCCAATCCATCAATATGCGAGCCACTTTTGCTAACTCTGAATCAGACTCTTCGAGGCCTTCTTCGAATCATACCACAGAGACCGAGCGATCGTCGGTCTCGTTCGCCAATCAATCGCCCGAAAAGCCATCTTCTAATCAACCCAGGCCAGGATTGCAATCCCGCAAGTCATTTGGACCCGAGTTCGACTTTGAAGAGAACCAGGTCTCTTTCCAGCGAACTCCCCTGGCCAATGAAGAAAACGAGGATGACTCCGACGATGATTCCGATGATGGCTTGTTCCAGGTCCGACCTTCGAGGGCCCAGGAAGAACAACACGTGGCACCGAATGAACCCGAGCCTGAGAAGAAGACCGAAAGACCATCTCTCACAGTGAACACAAAGAACCAATTAAAGCCAAGTCACTCGGTCAGGTTCAATACCCCAAGCACTGCTGGTGGTCACAGTGCTAGCGGGGCCTCCGATGGCCGAGGCCCGTGGTCGAGCACTCATGGGCCCGTCTCCCCTGAGGACGAGAGACCCGGCCCCCGCCGAGATTCATTCGCTCCAGATGTCTGGGCAAGCAGACCTGCTGTTGAGGGCGTTATTGATCACCTTGACGACTTCTTCCCCGACGTGGATCTTGACGCTCCCTATCTAGATGAGCCTGCATCTCCGAGCATCAGAGCAAACGCCGATCACGATGGCGGCTTCAGAGACAGGAAAGAACAACATCCCCCAATGCCACAGCCGGCCAATGCGGCCAATGCGGCCAACGTGGCCAATTCGCAAGCTGACGGAGCTACTGTGTGGCCATCAGGCTCCGAAATGTTAGCCAAACGCAGTATTGCGCGCGGTGGTGGTGGTGGTCTAGGCCGCATGAAGTCTATTCGACAGGTAGCCCAGGGAGCGAACCGGACGAAGAGTGTGAATGCGAGTGGACCTCAAAGATCGGGCGATCTCCTGCGCCGCAAGAGTACCAAGATGTTCGGCGCCAAGATTATGCAGATCAGACCTCGTCCTGGTAGTCGAATCAGTCAGCTCGATCCTATTCCACAAAACAGCAGCCAAGTAGCGCCAAATACCGGCGCTGTGCCCCAGCGTCAGCCTACTTTCCGCATCATTCGTGGTCAACTCATCGGCAAGGGCACCTTCGGTCGCGTATATCTCGGCATGAACGCAGACAATGGTGAGGTTTTGGCCGTCAAGTTGGTGGAGATAAACCCCCGCATTGCAGGCACAGACAAAGACCGTATCAAGGAAATGGTCGCCGCTCTGGATCAAGAGATTGATACCATGCAGCACCTTGAGCATCCCAATATTGTGCAGTACCTGGGTTGTGAGCGTGGCGAATTCTCTATTTCCATCTACCTGGAGTATATTTCTGGTGGCTCCGTGGGTAGTTGTCTACGCAAGCACGGCAAGTTCGAAGAGAGCGTCGTGAGATCACTTACCCGACAAACTTTGGGTGGGCTGGCATATCTCCACGACAAGGGAATCCTTCATCGAGACTTGAAGGCAGACAACATTCTCCTAGATCTTGATGGGACATGCAAGATCTCTGACTTTGGTATCTCCAAAAAGACAGACGATATCTACGGCAATGACTCTTCCAATTCCATGCAAGGCTCTGTCTTCTGGATGGCCCCGGAGGTTATCCAGTCCCAGGGACAGGGCTATAGTGCCAAGGTCGATATCTGGTCACTTGGATGCGTGGTCTTGGAGATGTTCGCTGGTCGTCGCCCATGGAGCAAGGAAGAGGCTATCGGCGCTATCTTCAAACTTGGTAGTCTGAGTCAGGCTCCTCCAATTCCAGAGGACGTGTCAATGAACATCAGTCCCGCTGCTCTTGCTTTCATGTATGACTGTTTCACGATGTGAGTCATACCAACTTCCTTCCACCTGTTTACCCCCTCTAACCAATTACTTCCCATCAGTGACTCGTCTGAACGTCCTACCGCTGGAACTCTTCTCACTCGCCATCCCTTCTGCGAATCTGATGCGACCTACGATTTCCTCGACACGGAGCTGTATGCCAAGATTCGCACTCCAGCCCCGGCCCAGTAATTTTGTTCTCATTAGAGTTACGATATTCTTGAGATACTGTTGTCGCACCGTTTTCTGTGAGCTGTACATACCCCTCCCTGAGATTTGTTTAGCCTAGAAATCCTTTTGGGAAGATTTCTCGGACTTCACGGTCAACTGTATCAACTGTACATAATTTTCTTCCATACTGTGGATCACAACATCAGAAAGAGAACCGGGTAGTTCTATTTCACTGTTGCATCATACTGCACTGATTCGTAGCCTTATTGTTAGAGCCCGGGTACATAGTATGCTTCACATTATGGATGTTATTTATATACAGAAGTGTTCGACTTCGCTCAATTTCATGATATCTATGCTCAACTCTGGAAGTGGGATTTTCACGGAATTGCGAGCCATCCGTTTTTCAGGAACTGGTGCTGAGAATGTCATCCTCGTCTTCGGGAAGATCAGCGTGCAATCCTGACACACCGACGCGGAAGACACCCTCACACCATTCGGCAAAGGTGTTGACATCCCATACAGCATCGTCCCGACCCTTGCCCTTCTTGCTGACGTGGTTGCCCTTTCCTTTCTCCGAAGAAGTGTACTTCTCAAAGAAGTCCTCATATATCTGAATGGTGCGGTCCTGGACAGCACCGACAAGAGTCTCCTTCATGCGCGTGTCATCAATATACTCGTTCAGAACCTTCCGGAGGCTGGGAACTTCCGTTTCTATTGTGCGACAGGAAGGAAGGATGAGTTCGCCACGCTGCAAATTACGTGTATCCACGAACTTGGCGGGGAGTGAGGAAGTCATGCGTGCAGCGAACGCGTTGATAAAGTCATTGATGACAGTGCGGAGACGTCCATCTAGCTCGACCTTTGCATCGAGCATGTTTTCGACGACTCGTGGGATGAGACCGTGGCCGACAAGTCGCATCAGGTTGCGAGGGTTGAAAAGACCGCCACGTTCGCGCAGTTCCCAGAATGTGCTCGTTACGCCAGAGAAATCGAAAGACACTTCGGGCGCAACAAATTCAATATCAAAAGCGACAATTTGTTGCTTTAGAATTAGGAGGTGACTCATAAGGAAGAGTTGGCCATCAGCTGGTGTGGCTTTGGCAGCGATTAGGGAGCTAGCGTTCTGGAGAGAAAGGGTTGTTTGATGCACAATTTGGTGGGCCAGGTCATCGAAGACGGTAGACTATTGTTGTCAGTATAGATAGCCGTGGGGAACGATGATCTGCTCTTACATTTACTAGGCGGTAGATCCTGCTGAGTAGCCAGATAGCTTTCCGCAGAGTAGGATACCATCCCTTCAGGGCAGTTTGGGTCTCGAAGTCCCATTTACTGTCCGCGTCTTGAGGTGTGTCACCAGCTTCATTCTCTGGTTTGGTAGTCATGTCAACCAAAGTGTCCGCGGATGTGTCTTTCTTCCCGGAAATTTGGGTATCTGACACAGTCAAGGAGACCTGTTTATTCCGCATAGGGTAGTCAATATCTTCTGGCCGGGGTTTATATCTTTCGATTTCATCGTGCAGAACAGCCTGTGCGCGGAAGACAAGTCGGGCTTGAACATCTTGTAAAGCTGGCTGGATCAGAGTGGAAAAGTCGAGATGGTTCGTCTCGGGTTGCTCTTGTTCTTCTTCCGGGTCTGAGAAATAATGAGTCTGGAGAAGATTACACAATTGGCATAGCTTGACAATATCTGACTCGTGAATGACCCGAGGACGGAGATGATCGTAAAGCGGCTCGCACAGCGTTTCCAAGAACTCATACAGGCCACCCTGTCCATGGAACCATTCACCCCAGAGGTCATATTCATCGAGACATAATCCGCGGATATAGCTGATACTAGCTCGGGCAAAGGAAACCAGGTCCTTGGAGGAGCTAGGCGTCTGTGTGATTTCAATCAACTTTTTCCGAGCGATAGGAATGATCAGCTTCGAACGAATAGCAGAGTAATTGCTGTGCAGTTCATTCATCAAACTTTGATACTCCGCTTCGTCGTTTTGGTCCGGATTCAGCGGTGGTACAGCTCTCTTCTGGATCTCGACCCCAATCTGCTTCAATTCAGGTGCCCCGACCCTGAACTTGGCATACAAGAGAGCCGATAATGCTGTATCGTTTAATTGCTGATCCGAAATTTTCTTCGAAACGTTCTGGTGGATATCTTTGAGTGAAGATACAAAGTTGCCGCGGATAAGAGTAAGAGCACGCGTCAAAAGCAGACGGTATCTAGAGCGATAGACCTCGGCCTCTTTTTGATCAGGCTGCGTGAAGGTCAGTGCTGCCCACAGAGCATATAACATTATGCTACTCACATGTGTTTCCATATAGTCCAAGCACACATCTAATCGTCTCAGCATGTCGGAGAACTCCTTATCGCGGACGGTGTTCCCTGCGCCGGGAGCATTGAGTCGCCGGGACGCAGGGTCCAAGAAATCATAATAATGGAGATTGTTTTGGATCCCATTTGCAAGCTTTGTGTCCCGTTCTTGGGCAGACAGGAGCCCTTCACACTGCTTTTCGAAGTTCGATGTCTGAGTCTCAACTGATTTGAATGATTCGGATAAGCTGGAGAGGTCGTCGAGGAGAGTCAAGGTGTTGGCTAATATTTCGTCTATGTGGTCTTTCGAGTGTTCGAGTTCATCTAAGCAATTCCTGGGGGCAGAACAATCAGTTAAGCCCAAGAAGCCATCGCATACCGGTCATACTGATACTCATCGTAGCTCTCTTCGACCAGATCATCCTTGACGCCATTGAGCCACTGCGAGAACTCAAGCTCGTTGTTCCATCCTGGCGTTTTCCACTCAGATGAGTCAGACGATACTTCCTCGACGGTCAAGAGGCTTGCTTGTGTTTCACTGGCGGTGGGCTTGCGCGGCGGCCCCGAGGGGGCGGTCTGGCGGCGGGCACGCTGCTGCTTGGTGGAAGGCATGATACACTCAAGTCCCGAGGCTTGTAGAAGAAGACAGTCCGCAGCTCATGTCTCTCTGTCGACTTTCTGCGAGGCGAACTGCGTCCCAAACCAGGCGTTGCGGCCGAATTGCGATGTGGTCAACTCCGGTCCCGCGCGGGTTCTGCCGACAGATCCCGCCTGGGTCTGATGCAACAAATCACACGCACGGCATTCGGCATTATTCGCCTCTTTGCCCGGATTCAATCTGCCTTTTGCGGCCTCGACATGCTTTGATCGGCTATCCGAATATCCACGATGCTGCCAACACGAATGCGCAGGCCCGCGCACGCCCTCCTTGCGTTCCGTTCGCCTCGAAGCTCGATAGCTCGGTCACTCAATGCGCCATGGTCTCGATTTAACAGTAGCCAAGCACCAAAGCCAGATCCGTCCTCGCACTGGCTTCGCAACTCTCTCGGTTTTGCTGTCACGGGAACTACAGTTTTCCTAGGCTACTCATACTACGCTGATGGCGGAAAGGAGGCTTGGACAACTACTCCGGAGGCTAAGAAAGAAGCCATTGACGTCAATGACCTTCGTGCCAATTTTGTCCAGGAGAAGCGTAGCCTCAAAAGCTCCGCGGTTTATACATGGGGCTCAAATGTTTATAAGGTGGTGGATCCGGGATCCAAAGACACCGACATCAAGACTCCTCGGCGGTTCAAATACTTCAATGGCCAGGTTTTGAGAGACCTCAAGATCGAGGAAAAGGCCGGTGCAGCAATTACCGAGAAGGGAGACCTGGTACAATGGGGTCACGCGTTCTCGGAAACGGACTACAAGCCTACGGAAACCCTTACGGGCAAGAATCTCACATCCCTGGCCATGTCCGAGAGCCGTATCATCGCACTATCTTCAGACGGAACTCTTTACTCTCTGCCTCTTTCTAAATCAGAGCAAAGCACTGGCCCCAAGTCACGAGAGAGCTCCTGGATTCCGTTCTGGAATAGCAAGTCTAACCTAAGCTACCGTGTGCTCACCCCATCCTTGAAGCTGGGAGAAAAAGTCGTTTCCATTAGCGGTGGAATGGAGCATGTGCTCATGCTGACAAGCTCAGGCCGTGTCTTCTCTGCGGCGTCGTCTACTGAAAATTATCCTTCTCTGGGCCAGCTCGGCATTGAGGGACTCACCTGGTCCACCAGACCCAAGGGCCCGGCGGATACCTGTCATGAGATCACAGCATTCAACGGCTCAAAGATTACTCAAATAGCCACTGGTGATTACCACTCACTTGCCCTAACTAAGGATGGTCGTATCTTTGGCTTCGGTGACAATTCCTTTGGTCAGCTAGGAGTGGATTATGAACATGAGCATCCTCTCAAGGACAAGCCTTGCCCTTTGAGGGTAGACAAGCTTTACCGAAGGAGCATGTACGAATCCAAGGCAACCGGAATTGCCGCGGGTGGAGCCAATACATTTTTCACTGTTGATGCCAAGCGCATCCTGGGATCCGAGGAAGAAGCTGCCGATGTCCGAGACGTTGGGAATGTGACAGCAGACACATGGTCCTGTGGCCGAGGAATTTGGGGCACTCTGGGCAATGGCAGATGGGTTCACGTGCAGGATTCGCCTACCAAGGTCAAAGCATTGAGTGGAGTGAGCGAGTTCGACGAAAAGACGAATAAGATCACCCCTATCCGCATCAGAGCCATGTCCGTGGGTACCACCCATGTCTCTGCCATTCTGAACAACACAATCAATGTCGGCAAAAACACCAAGGAAACATTGGACCAATCCAAGGACTGGGGCTACGACGTCGTCTGGTGGGGAGGTAACGAGCATTTCCAGCTTGGAACGGGAAAGCGAAGCAACCAGTCCAAGCCGGTCTACATCAACGCGCCTCCTGAGAAGAAAACCCAGGAGGAGGCACGACTGCAGATCATGCCCAGCCACAAGGGCAAGGTCGGGAAGCGCAATGTGAAGATGGAACAGCGTGTTGAGTGTGGGCGCCACGTCTCTGCCCTCTATTCTGCGGTGTAAAAGATTGAACAACCTGTATATTAGTGATACTGTATTAACAATGTAATATCCAACTCCATCTGCCCATCAATGGATATGTGTTGACGTTGCAAACAGTGCAAACTGTTATCGCCGCGGAGACGCTTGGGCCAACGCTTATCCAGAAAAATTCCAGCGCTTCAATCGCAAGTTTCCTTACGACACACCTCCATAATGCCCCGCGAGCAACAAAAGAGAGGCCGCAGGGCCGAAAAGAAAGCCGGAAAGGATGATACCAAAAGAAAGTTTGAAGAGGACGCCGAATTGCCCGCGAAGCGTATGAAGCCCTCCGATGAGGCCAACGACGCCGAATTCCACGATAACGCGGACTACATCTCACTCGACGTTGGCGAAGGGGACCAGCAGGGCTTCCAGGGTCCAGAGGAAAATGGCGACATGCCATTCTATGGTCTCCTAGACGAGGAGGAATCTGAATACTTCCAACGTGCCAACGAGATGCTCGAGCTGAACCAGTTCCAAGACGCCGAAGAGCGGAGCTTGTTTGTCGACAGTGTATACTCGGAAGCCAACGGCAAGGAGCTGAAGATCGCTTGTAGCCAGGGTTGTTCAAGACTCATGGAGAAATTGATCTCAATGTCAAATGCCCAACAATTGCGCCGAATCTTCAGCAAATTCGTGGGCTCATTCCTGCATCTGGTTCAGCATCGCTTTGCAAGCCATTGCTGTGAGACCCTTTTCATTCACGCTGCGCCTGCGGTCATGCAGAAGACAAAAGCCAAGAAGTCCGACGACGAAGATGGAGAGGAGGAGCCGGGGCTATCGATCGCAGAGATGTTCATGACTGTCATTGAAGAACTGAAGGACAACTGGGGATACCTGTTGACTGAGCGATTTGCATCGCACACAATCCGTGTCCTACTGCTGGTTCTTGCGGGAGAGCCCGTTGATGTGACATCCACGGACTCTTTCGTGGCAAGTCGCAAGAAGGAAAGACTCGAAATCCCTACAATTCAAGGCGAAGAGAAGGTGGAGCTATCCAAGACGGAAAAGCACAGTGTGCCTGAAACATTTGAGCCGGCACTCAAAAAGATTATGACAGATATGGTCGCCGGCCTCGACGATACCTATCTCCGCGCCATGGCCACTCATCCAGTTGGCAATCCTGTTCTCCAGGTGCTCTTGTTCCTTGAGCTTTCACACTTCGGCAAGTCAAGTGCCAAAGATCCCAAGTCAACCATCAGAAGACTCGTTCCTGATGAGACGTTTGAGGAAGAATCGGAGAGCGCCATCTTTATTCGCGGTCTTCTTTACGACCCGGTCGGTTCTCGCTTGCTGGAAACAATGGTGCGATACCTTCCTGGAAAGGCATTCAAGAACCTATACCGAAACAACTTGGGCGAACGAATCGGTTCTCTCTCTCGCAATAGCACCGCCGGATATGTCGTTCTCCGCATGCTGGAGAGACTTGGCAAGGATGACCTGAAGATTGCGATGAGCAATATTGTTCCCGAAGTCCCAGGCTTGATTGAACGCTCCAGACTCATTGTCCCCAAGGTGTTGATTGAGCGGTGTGTTGTTCGTGGTGTTGACACCAAGCCTCTGGCAGAAGCCCTCGAGGGTGCTTACAGCAAGGACCCCACCGTCCGACTGCAGGAAATGCTCAAGTTTAACATCTCGGAGACCCCGGCCCCTGAGCCCGAAGACCATAACATGGATGGCGACAGCGATGAGAAGGAGCGCAAGCCACGCGGCCCGCCTCCAGTATCTGCGGCTGAAAAGGCAGAGAAGCTGCATGCTTCTCTGCTTGTACAAGCAATGTTGACGGTTTCGGGTCCCCTCAGTCAACTGGTTTACACAAGTCTGCTTGCACAAGCCCCCGAGACGATCATACAACTTGCCCAGGAGCCCACTACATCCCGTGTCCTTCAGTCGGCGCTGACCTCTACAAGCTCAACGACCCAAATTCGGCGACAGCTCACCACCCGCTTCCAGGGTCATCTTGCCACCCTCGCTCTGAGCCCAAGCGGATCACACGTGGTTGACGCTCTCTGGTCAGCGACCAAGGATATCTTCTTCGTCAAGGAACGCATGGCCCAGGAGCTCGAGCGGAGTGAACAGACACTCCGCGATTCATTCGTGGGTCGCGCAGTTTGGCGCAACTGGTCTATGGATTTGTTCAAGCGCCGACGGGGCGAGTGGACTCGCAAAGCCAAGGGTCTTGAGGACCGAACTTTCACCAATGAAGGAGCCGAGCGCCCCAAGTCCAAGATTGAACAGGCGCGGGCTCGCTATGCTGCTGCCAGAGAAGCCGCTGAAGCCGGAGCCACCGGTGCCAACCAAACTGCGGTGGCTAGTAAGAACTGAAAGATACCAGCATATCAAATGCGCCTGTAATTTATCAATACAAAAGCGTGCTTCCAGGTTATATATCTTATACCAATTACTATAAGCTAAGATAGAACATGTTGATGTAGATATCTCTCTACACACACAAAGTATGCAATTACCCTCGCCAAGCGCAGACACGGGTTCCTGCAGATCCTAGTCACTATATTAGTCGACGTGCATATGCTACTCAATTTGGAACTGCTCTTCAAAATGAGACGGCCATATATTGAGACCCCAAAAATGAGGGCTGTAGTCCAATGATGTCAGGTTCTGCGGGTGTGTCGCCATCTCCGAGATCGCCGCAAAGGGAACTTTTTTTCCCGTCCTCATCTTTTCGGTCTTGTGAGGCTCGACACCTCTCTCTTCTCCCTCTTCCCTTCTACATCCTCTCCGTGCCATTTATATAAATGTCGGCCATTGGACAAATCGGCCGCGCCGAAGAGGTGCAAGGCGTAAGTCACCTCCATATGGCGAAGATCTGCATGAGCCTCTGGATATTTCGAAACTAATCAGATCACTTGCTGCAGCTATTGAAAGCAGTAGAAGAGCTTCTTATTCCTTTCATTCGATCTGCAGACCAGGATATCAGCAAACCTTCAAATTCGAACGGCGCAAACGGCGCAAATGGCACCAATGGCACAAACTGTGCGAATGGACACACCGGGCTCGCGGGGTCGTCGCTGGTGGACTACAAGAAGCCCGAAGAATTGAGAGATATCCTTCAGCTCGAAATTCCCGAGAAAGGCACGAAACAGGAAGGTCTCATTGAAGTCCTGCAGAAAGTTCTGAAGTATTCTGTCAATACATGGCACCAGGGCTTCTTGGACAAACTGTATGCGTCGACCAATGCCCCCGGTGTGGCCGCAGAACTCATTCTCGCCACTTTGAACACCAATGTCCACGTCTATCAAGTTTCCCCCGCTTTGACAGTGATTGAGAAGTATACTGGTCAACGATTGGCGAACCTCTTCGGTCTCGACGGTCCCCGCGCTGGAGGAATCTCGGTGCAAGGAGGATCAGCTTCGAATACTACCTCCATCGTTATTGCGCGCAACAATCTTTACCCCAGCACCAAGACAGATGGCAATGGGGGGTACAAGTTTGTGCTCTTCACTAGTGCCCACGGCCACTACAGCGTCGAGAAGGCAGCTCAAATGCTTGGATTTGGAAGCAGTGCCGTATGGCCTGTTCCCATCGACAAGTTGGGCCGCATGATTCCAGCCGAACTGGAGAGATTGATCCAGAAAGCTCAAAGCGAGGGCCGGACGCCATTTTACGTCAATGCCACCGCTGGCACCACCGTCATGGGCTCTTTTGATCCATTCACGGGGATTGCAACAATCTGTCGGAGATACAAATTATGGTTCCACATCGACGGGTCTTGGGGTGGTTCGTTCATTTTCTCCAAGAACCAGAAACATAAGTTGGCTGGCGCAGAGAGGGCGAACAGTATCGCCATCAACCCCCACAAGATGATCGGTGTCCCTGTGACGTGCTCGTACCTGCTTGCAGCAGATATGCGTCAATTCCACAAAGCCAACACCCTTCCAGCCGGATATCTCTTCCACAACGAAGAGCCGGATTCCAATAGCGAAGGTAACAAAGAATCCGAGTTGGAAGTCGAATCCCCAGAAGTGTGGGACTTGGCGGACCTGACCCTTCAATGCGGTCGACGCGCAGACTCCCTCAAACTCTTCCTCGGATGGACATACTATGGCAGCGAAGGCTACCAGCAGCAAATCGACACCGCATGCGACATTGCCGCACACTTGGCCAACACCATCGACCAACACCCCGACTTCATCCTCATTAGCGAAAATCCGCCACCTTGCCTCCAGGTGTGCTTCTACTACGCTCCCGGTAAGAAGTTCGTGTACCCTCGTGGTATCGTCTCCAATGAAGCCCAGCGTGCAAAGAACAACAGCAAGGTCACTGAGCAAGTGACACACGCGATCGTGCCCAAGGGCTTCATGGTGGACTTTGCGCCTCCCAGCGGAGACGCGAAGGCAGTCGGGAACGGCAAGTTCTTCCGCTGTGTAGTCAATGTTCAGACATCTCGGGAGACAGTCGACTCACTTGTCCACGCCATTGAAGAAGTGGGCCCTGGAATTGTCGAATCGCTGAAGGCGAGTACCTCGACTGTTCCCCAGAAGCGGCCTGGTGAGCACGGACATGGGCCTGTTGTTCACCGCGCTTAAATGCGTGAACCTCCTTTAGCACTGGTCACGAATTCCCTAATCTCTGGATTTGAATGGGATACGATGAATATATCAGAAACATACTGTCCATACGGAACAAATGTACATACAGATTAACGATAAATCGTGAGAGCTTTGAATCATCATGACAAGATACCTGGAAGCCCTAATCCAAGGCCTCATTTACATTTAAAGTAGTATAGAAGATCCAAAGCTTCATTTTGAAGGGGCTCTTCACATTCTCATGAGTTGCCCCCATTACAAAGATCGTAGAGCAATGCTCTTATTGTCATAACCTGGCATCATAGCAATCAGTTGCCGACCTCGACTCGCCGCTCCAGAACAGAACGGGCCTCGGCTTCTGACAGGGTGTCAATTCCCAATTCGGCTAGCACACCCCGCGCACTCTCATTATCTCTGAACAGCTTGTTTTCTACATCCCACAGCCTCGGCGTAGAATCTTCTTCTGGAGATACCTCTCCATTGTCAGTCGCGCTCAAGCAAAGAAGGCGCAGGCCCTCGGTAAGCCTTTTGATGGTTTGCAGTGAGATTCCTGCATGTTTTGAGGGGCCTGTCGCAGAGTCCACGACGCTGCAGAGATGATCCACGTCACTGGCAAGTTGAGCCGCTCCGGTCGCCGAGAAATTGTGTTTGAGCAGCACGTTATCCCAGATCCAGGACTGGATAGAGAGCAGAAGTTGGCGCAAAACCCGTCGCAGTGGAGCAGTTCCGAGTGCGCGGGAGAGAAGAGATAGCTGCATGGACAAAGCACGCATTGCAGCAGCTAAATCGGAGGTGGGCGAGAGGGGAGATGCGGTGGCCGTAGCAGAGGGGGTTGATAGTGTTGCCCAGGTGGAAACTCGAGAATAGGGCTTGAGGGCGTTCAAGATGTTTGCGGACAAAGTAGATGTGATGATGGTTTCGGAGCGGAGTCGGAGTCTGCGGTAGGCCGAGGCTGTCTCGTCGAAGAGGGCGCCATCAGACGAGGTCTCGATCTGAGTGCCGCTGTGGGCGACAGCGGGGGAGGTGCGTGATGCTACCTCGGCGACGGACATTGCACCGGCCACGTTTCGCCCGCTGTTCTGGTTTTGTCGAACACGGTCTTGGAGTTCAGACCAAAGTTCAACGAAGAAGACGTCGTTGCTCCAGTCTTCCATCTTTCGTTCGAGATATTCAGCGCTGCCGAAGACTCGGCAAAGCCGTTCTAGGCCAGCGACTCCTTCCACGCTGGCCTGTCCGTCGGCGCCCTGTACGGTGCGTCCAATTGTCGATGTCATGGCGAGGTATGCTTCCAATGCAGAGGAAAGACGCTCGTGGAATTGATCGAAGATAGTGATTTGAATATCAATGAGGAAGCGTAGCTTCTGACTGAAGGACGACAGAGGTTGGTAGCGCTCTGTGATGGTTTCAAGGAGATCATTGACGCGAATTGCAGCTTTCGTTGGCTTGGACGCAGCAATATCCATACCATCATAGTCAATTTCTCCACTGTCTGCGGTGTCGATGATATCTTTGTATCGCACCAGTGCAAAGTCCTTCTCGACCTGCAGCCATCGGTCATACCAGCCCTGTTTGGTCAATACTTCCCATGTCATACCTTTCCAGTTATCTTCCGCATACGGATCTGGCAGATAACTCCACGTATCTCGGACCTCGTTGTCAAACTTCATCAGCTCGTGGATGAAATGGCTGAGCAATTGAGGATATGTTGAAATTTGAGGAAGGAACAGGCTGATCTTTTGGGTCAGCATGGGAAGCAGGGCCGTGATGAAACTATGCGAAGCATTGTAAAAGTTCCATTCCAGGCTGGGCCCAACCACCTCGGCTCTGTCGTCGAAGATGGGCTGCAAGTAGGACGCGAAAAATCCGGCGTGTTGATTAATGAGGTCCATTATGTGCGAAAGGAAGTATTCCGGCTGGTCGCGTTAGATATGTATGCCTCTTACAGAAGAACAGGTTGTTGGCTTACCTTGTCAAGCCGGTTTGTTGGCTTATCGCCACTGAAGTGATACTTGAATCGCAGATCCAAATGGTGGACCATAACCTCGAGTGGGAATAAGACCGGTGGTTGGAGGCTAACGCCTGGCGCGATTGTATCGCGGCTCTCAAGTTCCCTGCCGCAGATATGTCAGCATCAATATAGAAATATGGTGAGACTTTGAGAGTCGGTCATACGGGGTTTGCAGATCGAGCAGCAATTCAACATCCTGTCTCCAACGAGTCAAGAGCTCATCAGTAAGATTCAATTCACGCGTCGGCCACTTCAGTTCCTGTAGTGTGTTTTGTAACTGGTCTCCAAAGAATTTCTTTATCTGCTCCCTTAGCGCAGAAGCCAGTTTGTCCGTATAATCGACGAGGTGAGGAGCTGCTCCTTCGGCGGCGGGTTGGGCATTTTTCAACAGCCCAACAATCTTTCGTAGACGGGCATATGGGCCCAGAGCCGCACGCGGTTCGGAGGCAACGCTTTCTAACGCTTGCTTGCTGTGTCATGTCTTAGTTCCCATTTCGCAAAGGCGACGAGGCTGACATTACCTCAACTCCTCAGCTTCCTTGAGCAATTCCACATAGCCCTTGGATATTTCAAGTCGCTGAAGTTTCTCCATGCTCTTCTCGAGGCTTCGCGCCGCTTGGTCGCTGGTCTCGGATTGTGTGATGGTCTTGAGCCGCCGGTCGATGTCCTCTTGCTCTGCGGCGAATGCCTCGGCATGTTTTCGAGTGGCTTCCGCATGTTCATGAGAGGCTTTTGTAGCATTCGACAGTGCTTCTCCGGCTTCCGATAGCTGTGAAAATTGACGATCAGTATGGGGGGAGAGACAAGGCCGGGATTGCGGGGGGACGATACCTGCTTCCGTTGGAGCTCCTGTTGCGCGCGGAGACCAGACAACAGCGAATCCAGGCTCTCAAGATCAGCAGAAACCTGAATTTTGTCGTTCAAATAATCTTCGACTCGTGTTCGCTCATGCGAAGACAAAGCCGTGACGGGCGCCATTGTTGGAGGAGGGAACTGCGGAAGCACCAAGTGTCGCGTTGATCTCCGCCTTCTGGACGTCCGTCCAAGTTCCATACCTTTACACCCTCACCTCCAATAATGTCTAGTCCGACTAAAAAGCGCAAGATAAATGCCAATTCATCGCCACCGGCACGCAGCATTAAATCATTCTTCCAGGGACAAGCAAGCAGCCAGCCCAGTAATAAAGAGCCCGACGTCACCGAACAGACTCTCTCGGATGAAGCTCTCGCGCGTAAGCTCCAGGCAGAATGGAACGAGCAGGAAGATGCTACTTCCGTCGCTCAAGACGCATCAGCGGGCCCAAGCATCGACACAGCTCAATCAGCTCAATTCGTTCCCATACCGTCTGATGCCCCGGCAGCTCCAGTAACCCTGGAAAAGGAAAAGAACACACTTTCGCTTCAATCGGCGACTGGCGCAGATGATACAATATCCCTCAGTATCCCCTTGGACCAAAGCCCTCAAACCTTTGATGCAAGTCGGTGGGCCACGGAATTGGCGTCCCACTGGGCCACCCAAGGAGGGGATGCTTCCTATGCTCTGTTGACCAGAGCATTCGTCCTGGCGAATGCGACGACAAGCCGAATCAAAATTGTCGACACGCTAGTCAATTTACTTCGAATATTGATCCAAGGGGACCCTTCAAGTGTCCTGCCTGCGGTGTGGCTAGCAACCAATTCCATATCGCCACCTTACGATGAGATAGAGCTAGGCCTAGGGGGGTCTTCAATCTCAAAGGCACTCAAGAAGATCTACGGTCTCGACAATGCAGGACTCAAGACGCTCTACAATAAACACGGCGATGCAGGAGACGTTGCATTCGAGGCCAAAAAACGCCAATCCTTCACTTTAGTCAAGCCAAAGCCCTTAAAGATCAAAGGCGTCTACCAATCACTGACAAAGATCGCCACGAGTAAAGGAACCGGTAGCCAGGAGACCAAGCAGAGGATTGTCGAAAAGCTTTTGCAAGATGCACGTGGTGCAGAAGAGAGTCGATATATTGTACGGACACTGGTTCAAAACCTACGAATCGGCGCTGTGAAGACAACGATGCTCATTGCTCTCGCCCGAGCCGTTCTCTACTCCAGACCGGAGGGGGCGAGCTTCGAAGTCCGACCGCCACACGAATTGGCCCGGCTGAAGAAGGACGAACTGACTGAACTTTACACCAACGCGGAAGAAATCGTCAAGGCATCTTACGCTCGACATCCAGACTATAATGACCTAGTCCCTTGTCTCCTGGAGATTGGGCCTACAGACGAGCTGTTGATTAGGTGTGGCCTGTCCATGCATATCCCATTGAGGCCGATGCTGGGTAGCATCACCCGCGATCTGTCTGACATGTTGACCAAGCTCCAGGGAAGGGCGTTCAGCTGTGAGTACAAGTACGATGGGCAACGAGCACAGGTTCACTGCGACGAGCAAGGGAAGGTGTCTATCTTCTCACGTCACCTTGAGACGATGACAGAGAAGTACCCCGATCTCGTATCGCTTGTCCCAGAAATTCGGGGAGAGGGCGTGTCCAGCTTCATTCTTGAGGGCGAGGTGGTTGCCGTAGACCGCGAGAATGGGGACCTGCAACCATTCCAGACATTGACGAATCGCGCCAAGAAAAACGTGGAAATAGGGGAGATCAAGGTCAACGTGTGTCTGTTCGCCTTTGATCTTATGTACCTCAATGGCGAAGCTCTATTGGAACGTCCGTTCCGAGAACGCCGCGAATTGCTTCGCAGTCTTTTCGTGGAGATCCCCCGGCATTTTACCTGGGTGAAGAGCATAGATGCACAATCCAGCGATTCTGAGGCTGTGCTTGAGTTTTTCAAGTCTGCCACCGACGTTAAATGTGAAGGTATCATGGTCAAGGTGCTGGACAATGAAATCAAGAATGACACTCAACTCACCAAGGACGAAATTGAACAACCTCCCGAAGCCGCAAGCGCAAAATCGAGTGCAAAAACCAAAGAAAAAGGCACCAGGCGCAAAGCGCTTCTCTCAACCTATGAGCCCGACAAACGGCTCGAGTCTTGGCTCAAGGTGAAGAAAGACTACAGCACCTCCTCAGAGACCCTTGACCTAATTCCCGTCGCCGGCTGGCATGGTCAAGGCCGCAAAGCGAAGTGGTGGTCACCCATTCTTCTAGCCGTCCGGAACCCCGAGACCGGGAGCCTCGAAGCCGTCACGAAATGCATGTCCGGATTCACGGACAAATTCTACCAAAGCAACAAAGACCGGTATGCAGAAGGCAGCACGAACGTGATCTCTCGGCCCAGCTACGTGGAATACCACGGCTCCCCGGACGTGTGGTTCGAGCCACAAGAGGTGTGGGAAATGGCCTTTGCAGATATTACGCTCAGTCCGACGTATCCCGCTGCCATCGGCCTTGTGAGCGAGGAACGTGGACTGAGTCTGCGATTCCCCCGTTTTCTCAAGGTTCGCGAGGATAAATCGATCGACGAGGCCACCACGTCGGATTATCTAGCGCTGCTTTGGCGAAAACAGATGGAACGCGCAGTGGATGGGAAGGAGGCAAACCAGGATCCAGAACAGGATGAAGAGGATGAGCCGGAATAGCGAGCTACCTACCTAGATGCATAGGTACCTAGGTAGTAATGGAGATCGGGGCTCGGGATGTGCACATACCTACCTAGGTACATAGGTAGGCAGCGTGGACTACTGTTCGGAGGCTGTGACGTCACTGGTACCTAGGTAGACTGCTTACCCTGGCGAGTTCTGATTGGCTGAACCACTCCCAGCCCAAAACGCGAAAGTGACGCGAAAAAACGCGACGCGAAGAAAACACCAAAAGACAAAGAATTCGATAGAGTCAAGCTTGGGGGGTGGATTTTGTATGAGTATATAATGATAATATGAACTATTTGAGAGTATTTCACGGACTGTGGGGGTGGGGTCCACGGGTGGATAAGCGGACTTGCACCTGGCATCAAGATATATATTCTGAACAATCGAAAACTCGACAGAACTGCCACCAATACAGGAAACAAATATGGAGTTGTACATATCTAGACAAAAGGTTCTCTTTGAATTGGAACACGTGGCAACAGACAGAAACTTGAAACTACGGTGGCTTTATCGAGATACAAGGTTGATGTACATGGATTCATTGGATTTAGACTGCTTTCCACCACTCGACAACCAACAATCTAGCGAGAAAGACTAACACAAGGAGAAAATGGTTCATTGAGGCATTCAGTAATTGAAGAATCATCAGCAAGACGAGGCAGAAGCAATGAAAAGCGTGGTGTGCAATGGAATTGTCACAGGGACAAAAATAAGAATGAATTGACAAGGCACTTGGGTGCCTGGAGAAGCGAATGGGAATGCAAAAAAGGGAGAGCAAGGGATATGAAAGACAACGCCGAAGATGCAGCCCGACTGAGAGTGTGTTCGTGACAAAACAGCAGTCCGGGAATGAACAAATTACATAGGGGATGAACACATTGTGTACATATGACGATCATAAGGGATTCGTGAAGGGGGTTTAAGAGGGAATTAGGGCATAAATGGACAGAGAAGTGAAGGGAAGGGGAGGGGAAGCACCGGAGTTTCAAGGGTGCAGCTCACCACCGAGCTGCAGCGCCAGCCCGGTTTCCTTGCCACGGAGGCGATTGCTGGACGAGCTAGGAGGAGCCAGGGCATCGAAGTTCAATCGCTTCCTGGCATCTGTGTTGGCGAGGGGTGTGCGAATGGGATTTCCAGGGGTGCGCCCACCCCAGGCCGGCTGCGCGGGGCTCGGGGTCACGTTGACGAAGTCGGCAAAATTGAATTGCTGGTTCGGGGTGCTCATGTTGGCAAACATGCCTCCACCGAGGGTGGGAGTCATGCCAGGAAGGACCGTGTGCTGGCTGGGGGGAGTGGACGGTGGGAAGCCTTGGTTTCCGTTGCCCCTCGCGACCCGTGCAGGGGTCGGCGAGTTGGCCAGGTAGAGCAGCAGATCGGCGCCGTCCTCATTTGTTTGGTGGTGGCCATGAGAGAGACGCATGTGTTTCGGCGGAGGGGTTCGCGGAGGGGAGGAGCCCACCATGGAGCTCACATTTTGGAAGCTATGCAAGGGCAAGTCGGGGTCAATCTCCTCGGAGGGTCGGTTGTATATCGGGGAGGACAGTTCAGGGATCGTAGCTTCCGACATGAAAGAAGTCTGGGGCCGTCGATTGGCGAGGGGTCGGTTCATGCCGGGGGAGGATTCAGGCAGCCGGTAAGAACTCTTCCATGAGGACCGAGGAGCCTTGGCAGGGCGTTCCGAGTCGGAATCCGAACGAACACGCTTGCGACTGGCAGAGAGCATCGGCTGCATGACGCGGGAGTTGAAGGTGGCCGCATGTTTATTACGGGCGGATCGAGGGAGTTCCTTGGAGTAGGTCGAGGCCCGGAGGGGAGGAGAGGTGAAAGGAGTCTCGCAGCGGCTGCGCGAGAACTCGGAGGAGGAATCGGATGGCTTGTCATTGTCGAGAGCGGGCTTGCTCTCCTGCTGGTTCGGGTTCAGGCCATGCAGTCGACCATGCTGGTACTTGAGTTTTGCGAGGCCCAATCGATCTTGCAGACTGAGCGAAACCTATTTCGGGGAGCGTCCAGGGTTAGCTCACAGCACAACAGGAACCGCATGAATAGGAATCACTGGAAAAGGAGTGATTGCAGGCATGTCTGAACGGCGCCATCGAGGCCATGGAGGCTTGGCTTCAGAGTGAATCCGACGGGGAAGGGGGAGGGGACCCCAATTTTCTCTTTCCATACCTGTGCGATGTCAATTTTCCGAATGGTGTTTTCTGCCGACCCCGGCTGTGACAGAGACATGATGGGCGAGTTCGAAGCCTGGGAGGTCGAAGGTGTGGTGAAAGAAGGGCGGCTGAGAAGGAAGACTTGACGATCCCAATGCGGGAAGACACGATCTGGAGAAAAAAGCACTTGAACCGATTGGGAACGTCAATCAGCGAGAGTTGGTGGATTCGCATTTTTCATTTTGTACAGTACTGGAGGTTGGTTTATTTCTATATCGACTATAGTACTAACTGTAGTTACTACTCCGTACTATCGTTAGTACTAGGTATTCCGTACTTCATACAACACTCCGACTCCAGGTCATACCTAGGTATGTGTTTCAAGCGGATAAGAGGTACTTTGGACTCCAGAAAGGTCTACTACTAGTAGTAGTAGTATGTCTTTTCCCAGAGTCCCAGCAGCAGCTACCAGTAGTCGAATATGGTTGGATCTATACCGAGTCTCTTCCGTACAGAGTAACTAGTATATAGTACCTCTCTTCAAATTTGCCAAGTGCCCCTGTTTTCATTTTGCAGAATTCGGGATCTCCATAGAAACAATCAGACATGCAGGATTCCGATCCACTCGCCAGATCACATAGAATGTGGGCACGGGCATGCTCTGCTAACCGAGACGCTTAATCTGCGACGTTGGGGCCAGGCAAACGGGACAGCACGAGAAAACAGAGAAAGAGAGAAAAAAAGAAAAAAGAAAAAAGCAAAGAAAATAGGCGCAGAAAAAGAAAGAAAAAAAAAAAACGACGGAATCCACTTTTAAGCAAGTTTCCAGATTTTGTCGCAGCCTAGCAACGTACCTTGCTGTCCCAGTACTAGTACTGTAGTCGCAAGATGTAGAGAAGAGAGAGATAAAGGAATACAAGTAGTACTAGTAGTCAAGGGCATGTATAAAATAGAAAATAGAAAATAGAAAAAATGGAATGAATCAACAGAATGCTGATAAGGCCCACGTAAAGCATTCTAAGTATAGGCATTTGGCCCCTTAAGTAAACTATTGGTGTTTTCCCCTGGATATCTGGCGGGGCTTAACCGCAGTCTACCTCTCTCTCTCTCACCTGAGGGAATCTCTTCCCTCAGCCAACCATGCCGTTCTTCAAACAGCTGCGGCGCCGCTCCAAGGCCAATTTTCAGAAGAACCCAGCCCCGAGCGTGGAGGAGGTCTCCGCCAAATCGTCCTCCACGATCGACACCTCGAGCTCCATCACTCCACCCTCATCGATCAAGCCCACCCTCTCAACGCCCAGTTTGCCCGCCCTCAACGAATCTGAACCGAGTAGTACTCTGACACCGCGTCCGGGCCCCTTCATCACCAATTCACAGCGAAACAGCGTCATTGTAGGTAAACCTCTGCGGCGCCGGTAGGCAGACGTGCTGATCAGTTCCAGGGCAGCAGCGCGTCCTCAGTCAATGGGGTCTATCGCTCACAGGTGTCAGTGTCGCCGTACGCGCCGAGATTCGTGTCGATCTCGGACAATGCATGGGTAGGTGGCGCCCAAGCACGGGAGTGGGCTGGCCGAAAGCCACGCGCTAACACGCATGACAGGTCAACCAGAAAGTGCTCCTCGTGTACGGTCAGATAGGCGAGCCGCGACAACAACCGCTGGACGGAAATGTCACGGTCTACCATCACCAGGATAATTTCCCGTCGCTCGGCTGGCCCGTCACGGCATCTCATTTTAAAGCCCTAGTGCATCTAGTTCCCGGTCCCAATCGCCTCCGCTTTGATTTCGTCTCTCCAAAACTGTCGACGGGGAGTGCACACCCTGCTATCCACTCGGCTTGGATCTGCATCAACTACCTTCCGCTCGTGAACACCCCACCGCTGCAACTGGTGGTGTTGCTTGGAAAAGACTCGGACGGCACATATGACGCGGTGCCCGAAAGGGCAGAACGCGAGGGCAATGGCCTGGACATGGCGATCCGCAAGTATCGAATGGCAGCCTACCTGTGGCAGGCCTTTACGGGGGAACAGATGTATCGGAACAACTTCGGACGGCGCTGTTTCCGATTCGAAGAAGAGTGGCAGTCGGGCAGTCTGAGCCGCCGGGACTTGACACAGGCTCAGATGCGCAACGAGGCAAAGATCCACGTCGTGCGGTCGGAGAAGACGGTGGCCGAACTGCGGGATCTGAACATCGCGCAGCAGAACGACAAAGCCGAAAAGAAAGACGAGCTGTTCAACATCGCCAAGCAAGCCGTGCGCAACCATTTCCAGCCCCAGCCCGGTCAAAAACAATACGTCTCTGTGCTCCTCCTGGATTCACACTGGAACACCCAGTCTCAACTAGTGACTGGCCACGCAGCCTTGGGCTCCGCCGACGACGATATTAAGATGGCAATGTTCGGATCTCACTGCCTCCAAAGCTACCCGTCTTGCCTGGAAGAAATCGTGGATGCATTCACTGACTGTACCCGAACGGACACCAACCATGTTGCCAACGACTGCGGCGACGCAGGCTCCAACTGGGAGGCGGCCAACTTGGGTATCGGGGCTCATCTGCACGAGGTGGGTCACCTCTTCGGATGCCCTCACCAAGAATCGGGGGTGATGCTCCGCGACTACGTCCAGCTCAACCGGACATTCCTCACCAAAGAGCCCTTCTCGACGCGCACCAAGGCCCAAGGGTTGAAGGTATGTTTGCCGAATGATGAGTGTGGGTGGCACCGCTTGGATGCGCTGCGCTTCCGATTCCACCCCAGCTTCAAACTTCCCACCGACGCCTCCCCGAAATCAGACGACAGCGTTCAGGTCTGGCCCGTCGAGAGTGGAAAGATATTATTCACCGCCACCTCCGGCATTGCATTCATGGAATTGTATGCAGAGGGTGACACGTTCTGCCACAAGTACATCGAGTACCTCAACACCGAAAATAGCCCTAACGGGCTTCCACGACAAGTTACTGTGACTGAAACAGAACTTCGTCAGCGTTTGTACGGCACTGAAAAAGAAAAGAAAAAGAACCTCAAAAATATCAAAGTAGTGGTCGTTTCTGGCTCCCTCGGCAGCTACACCGTCGAGAACATCAGTGATCTGAGATCGAAAAACGCACTTGTCAAGCTGCCAAAAAGTCAATCTGGGTACAAGAGTGGTCGATTGGGCCATGGAACAATGGAGGGCACTCAGCAAGAACAATTGTTGCTGGAGTGCGCGTCCATTAAAACGAAGCTGCTGACCTCGATCAAAGTGTACCACGGATGTGCTCTTGATGGAATCGAGTTCTGCTATGAAGATGCCACCACCCAGCTCTTTGGCAAGCGAGGAGGAAAACCAGGCGGCGATGAATTCATCCTGGACACCCGGCGCGGTGAAATCCTTCTGGGCTTCTATGTTCGGGCTGGTCAATGGATCGATGGAATCGAAATCCTCACCAGCCTGGGCAGGAAATCAGGAGTATATGGAAATGCCTCCGGTGGCTCAGGGTATGAAGCACCCCCCTTTTCGCATTCAAACGTACTAATCATCAACAGTCACACCTTGATCCCACCCCTGGGCTACAAAATCGCAGGAATCGCCGGCTCATCTGCATCATGGGTCGATGGATTTTCATTAATCATTCAGCATTGAGACAACCATTTCTATCAGCATTCATACATCAAGCCACCTAACCCTTCACCGGATTAATGTCCATATTGTTCACCATCCATCCGCGGAGTCCTCTTTCCGTCCGATGAGTCCCACCATCTTCCTCCGGGACCTTCGCCTCCCTCCTTTCCCATTTCCTATGTTCTCCTTTCGCTCCTTGATCACGGGGACAAGCCCGAGATACAGAGCTGGCGCTCAGCCACATACATGGTGTTCTGTCGGATCTTGTCTGTGTCCATACTTTTTTTTTTCTTTGTTTTTTCTCACCCACATGGTGTTATTGGTGTTGAGGCTGCATCTTCGTACGGCGATGGTCTTGGGTACCGGACTCGGGTGCATCGTCGCATAACCTCCATGTGGAAAAACCACTGGACACGATGGCTACGCCGTGCCGGGGTCATGTAAAGCAACCTTGGGATATCATAGTTTGCAAAGAGCATTGATAGTCATTCCATTGCATTGCCAACGAGAACCGCGATCCCGGACTTCAGCATAAGCCGTAACATCTAGGTATTGACCTAATTCCTACACCTGGGAACCTTGGAAAGCATTATGGCGTTATTAAAGTATGTTGCAACCTTCCGAGAAGGGAACGGGCGCATCCATGGTACAAAGTACAAAGTACAGAGCTCAAATACAATTGCAGAGTTTTCGATATGATCTCATTAGGAAAAAAGTACCATACAAGGTTGCTTAGCCAAGTCGCATCAGAGGCAAAATTCCAAGAGACGTGGACTAGTGGTAGGGCTGAGTATGAGTATGTGATCTGCCTAACCAAATAAAGCATGATTCCGTCCCATGTCTAATGCCACAAATAGCGGGTGATCCCGTCTGGATACTTGGTGGAAAAAACAGCCGGCCAGACATTGACATTGAAATCACGGCTACAGGAAAAAGCAGCCGCACCACTGAAAGACATCGATGATTCCATACGTACCTACAGATACAGTGTGGAACAGGTGGAACAGCACTTTCGCGGCCATTGCCGGAATAGGCAATCAGCCCCAATCATCGGACGGTCGAAAGAGCCAGCCAATAGTGCAGGGCCGATCATCCCAGAATGCCCAGATAGGTGTGGATCATGACTAGTGTACGTGTCTGTAGCTCGTCGATAATGTGGAGTCAATACAGGGGTCTGAAATATTCTGTTCGGATCATGTACTATGGAGCACTGGGTACACTGCGGCATAGCTCCATGGCATGGACAAATCGCCAAATTTTGTTTGATGTGGGCGTCTCGACACCCATTGGCCGCGAAGCTCAGACAGTTCCACACGTTCCATCCCGCAATACTTATGATTCGTGCACGAAGCTAGACCGGACGGGATCGCGGGAGAGAAATTGGAAGATTGCATTGTGGCTCATGCAAAATGCGTAAGCTGGCAAATCTTTGTGTGGGCTCTGTTTGATGAAAGATGAGGTGGCAAAACCTCCCTTGAGTCTGAGTGGTTTACTGCACGTCCCCTGCAAGCCACAGGTCGATCTCTCGGTGGTACTTTGTACTCGTACCTACATCTGGGGCTAAGGGTCTCTCGTGCAGTGATGCAATGACATCAAGAAATGAAGACCGATGTAGACTTGGGCAGTACACATATGTTGTACATAGTACGGAGTACTGTAACTACTCCGTACACCAGGGCACTTGTATACTAGTACCTACATAGGCACGTACTACTATAGTACATGTATGTACTCCCGAGTCCCGTGGACGGTCGCGGAAGCTTCAACCGACCACCAATTGTCGAGCTTCGATCGATCAATCGACGAGCCCCACGCTGGCCTCAGTATGTACTACATACATGCACCTATGTACACTATGGACAATATATGTGCTGTACGACTTTCTCGCTTTCGCACTCGCACTGTTCAGGACAAATAATTGGACTTTCCCTGTGGCTCCATCGACTTGTGGCTCAACGGCCCGGAGAATGGCTCATAGTGGACATGGGCATCGGTCTGGGTACAATTTCCGACCAATCAGTGACATAGTGGATGTGTCTACGGGTAAACAACGAGCATGTATGAGTACTCAGCATATACGTTGCGGATGCCAGGTGAACCGTGAAGTTTCGAATTGGATCCAAAGCGGATGCCAGCTTCCCAATCCGACTACTAGTGGCATCTCAGTCCATCGGCCCCTGTCATATCACCGAAAACGTTTGCCTATGACGGGGTGGCGTTTTTCATGGCGTGAAGCAAACGTGAGGTCGTATCATTCTTATTTCGACCTTGGGCTAAACGTATCAAGCGCCTCCTACACCATACCCCATGTTGGACAAGGGCTGTTCGAGCCCACATTGTGTATGTGGGCTCGGCTAGAATGACTCCGTACGGGTAGCGACCTATCGACGCCATTCCAGCGAGCCCCGTCTTTTCTTTAATTAAAACCCCTAGGTTCTTGGAAGACATAGCTCCTGTGCCATATTGTGGATAAGGAAGTGCGGAGGACTCCGTCCTCCGTATGCAATTGGTCTGCTAGTACTCCGCACGGAGTACAGTACTGTAGGCTGACTTGAATGGCGATCTGCTACGAGATCTCTGATCATGATCCATGGTCTTTCTGCCGATGTCATAGTGTGATGTTCGTGCAATGGTCCAATGTTAAGCACGAGTATCGAACAGTACTGTACGACGTACAGCAATGTAAGTCGAGCCATAGCACGTGCCTCTTCCGAGCATCCGAGCGCAAATTCGACTATTTGATTGGCGGAAATCCACCCAGCAATGAGCTGTGCTGACTACCTCTCGGCCAAGCGCTGTATCAGCCCATTCGGTGTACTGTATCTCAATGTAATGATACAGCGCCATCGCTATACTGCTTCGTATGGAGCAGGCGCACTTCAGAACCCGTTGCCCGACCAAAACGTCACCTCACCACGAGCTGAAGATACAAAAGATCTCAAGCAATATACTTTCCGACCTTCAGGATACCATTGCCACAGGGGATACTAGCACCGCGGGACCTCGGGAGCATGAACTCATTTCGTCCAAAGTCCACGGTCACTCTCTGAAAGTTAGTAGACTGCACTTGCGCATTTCAGTTCGATGGCAGAAAGCATCAACCCAGGGCAGTAGAATGCTTCAGTACCTACTATTCTGGAATAGATATGCTATTAGCATATTGACATTGTTGGAACTCTGCCGTACAGGTAGAGCATGCCAAAGTTGCTACCCAGTATTGTACATATGTACTCCGTACATTCTTTATGGGCCATCATTCATGCCTCCCGAGTCGTTCGAACAGCCAATGGAATGCAAAGAGACGTGCCTCTTCCAATCAACTCTAACAGTTCTTCTGATTAGCCCAACGGTATGTCCTGTATCGATCCGAATCTATATATATATCATATTTTATACAATCTATGTACTTTGTATAGTACACATGCATGGACGGCTCGGATGTACGTGCGATGATGTGTACCCACGTTCCCATACTAGACCAACCACATGTATATACATAGCCAGTGATCCTCATCGATTGATGATGTATTTGATGATAAATGTGAAGGCTTTTTCGGTAATGATTGGCTAGAGGCTCGGACAATGACATGTACAATGTGGTTGGGATGCGAACGATGTGGCTGTGGGCTGGATCTTTGATAACCCTTGGGACGTGGGGAGGTTGGAGCCAATATGATATGCGACACCAGGTGGCTGTGGCGATTGCATATGTCTGTGCCCTTTTACTACGTGTATATGCTTTCAATTAGTTACAGTGAGTACGTAGGTAGGTTTGAAGTCTTAAACTAGAGTAGGAGTTCAATTCGTGTCAGACTCCAACGTTACCATGCGCCCAGGACAAGCCCTACGCCACTGTAGACGTATGAATATAAAAGTGGGCATATAGTAATTGTGAAATAGCAACGTATAACCGTACTCGGTATGGTACCGTTACGTTCGTTCTCGTTTCGAAAGTAATTCTCCAGGCTCCTTTCCCCATAATCCCCCCCTTTTTACCAATCATTTTGCTGAAGTGTATGTTGATTATTTGACGGGGGTTTTTTTTCTTTCTTTTTCTTTTTCTCTTTTACTCGATTGGTTTTTTATTTCTTTTTTTTCCCCAACACCAATACTAACAACCAGCGTACACTTACTCCACCGTGTACTCTCATGACAATCCATATGGCCCCTGTTCCTTATCGGAGTGCCCCCCCCGAGTGGCGACCTATTCTTTCTCTCTCATGAATCTTCCGGACCCCCCTTGTAAAGTGTGGCTCAGTGGATGACATTTGCGTGGGCTTCTCATAGATCTTTCATTATTGGAGGCTCGCTGGACCGTACCATCCTTATTCTTCTTTTATTTTCCTCCTAGAAACAGATCGTCATACGTCTGATTCTCCCCTCCATCCCCTCGTCTTCTCCAATTATTCCATATCCCACACTATAAAGAGGAAACATACTCCGTTACTATTTTGGCTCTTCTTCTGGCCGATCTGATCTTGACGAGACGATTTTTCCGCGATCATCCGTTTCTAGCCTCCACCCTTCACCGATATAGTCCCAACTGTGCATACCAAACCCCCTTCACTCCAGGGATTCCGCCCACGAGATCCGATACTTCTCAAAACAGCCAAGACTCGACTGTAGCCCTGGCATCGTTTCAATTTACTCCGACAATCTTCACTGTCACCCCGCCGGAGACGCGCAAAATCCCACTCACCGCGGGCGTCCAATAACTTTTGGTCTCCGTGCAGCCTGGATCAGATGTTGTCTGCTATCGCGCAGCTTTCTTTCTCCCGAAACTCCTCTCTGACCCCACACGTTTCCTGTGCAGGAAACGACTCATTAATCCTCAATGTTCAGTAACCGGTAAGCTCACTGTGCTCCGGCAGCCTCGGGGGCTGCCCCCAACCACTCAGCTGCTCACCAGGGAATTAGCCAAGCTCAAAAGCCTGACGGCGAGTTCATCACTCGCTTCCAGCAAGCATTCTCAGATATTGTCCCTCGAAGAGATAGCTATGGTGGACATGAAGATGGTTTTCATGGCTCCCGAGGCGATCCTATGATGTCGCAAAGGTATGTTGTGCCTATCTTCCAGCAAAATCCGTCTCCTGACCGACTCCCAGGCCTGACAATTCTGATATGAAAATGGAGAGTCACGAAGTCAAGTTCTCCGCCAATCCCAACCACAATGATCGCACCCCCCGAAACATGCACGAATTGGGATTGACCCCCTCATGGATGGAGCCTGGCTCTTACTCCATGATGCCGGCTCCCAACCAAAACTCCGGATTTTACACGCCGAATTCCGGGGGCATGGGCGCCATATTCCACAATCAGGCCGGTGACCTGCACACGCCAACGGGCATGCATATGATCACCCCCCTTTCGCTTTCCGGCTACCCCCAGGGCCATCACCCGCACCAGAGTGGCTTCGAACCATTCAACCCGCAGTTTGTGGATGCCATGAGTGATATGAACCCATACGCTCAGCAATCTTCTTATGCTCCTAGCGCCTTTATGAACCGCGATGCGGGGTACGATGCCATGGACGACTCCATGGATAATTCATCTTTCAACGATGTACAGGCCGAAACCGCATCGAACATGACAGCATCAACCGATTTCTCAGCGGTGCAAGAAAGCGGCGGCGACATGACCTACGCCAAGGGAGATAAGTGAGTTTCCTGCCAATATGAACTCGTAGCTTCCTTGATTGCTAACCCACATCTTCAATCAGATTCCGCTTCAACAGTTCTCTACGCGCGCCGACAGCAATGGTGAAGAATAAGAAGGAAATCCCCATTACCTATCTCAATAAAGGCCAAGCATACAACCTTTCTATTGTGGACTCATGTCCCCCGATGATTACCCACGAGCCCGTCCGATACAGAACATGCGTGCGCGTTTCTTTCGAAGAACAAGAGCAAAGAGCGAAACCTTCAACATGTTGGCAATTGTGGAAAGAAGGGAGAGGTTCCAGTGAAGCCCACCAACGCGGGGGTAAATTATTAGCGGTTGAGTATGTGGATCCACTGCAGGGCGGCGGCGACATACACAAGCATCGACAGGTCCAGGTTGAAAACACGTCCGTCGACGGTTTCACCGTGACCTGGACCGCTAACTCTGCGACTGGTATATCCGACTGCCACATCCCAGTCCGTTTCAACTTCCTCTCTACCGACTTTAGCCACTCGAAAGGCGTCAAAGGAATTCCCGTTCGCCTCTGTGCGAAGACCGAGGTTATCTCGCCAGGGGAGGACGTAGGCATTGCCCGCGATACGGAGCTGTCTTACTGCAAGGTGAAGCTGTTCCGAGACCACGGCGCGGAGCGAAAGCTTTCCAACGATATCGCACACGTCAAAAAGACTATTGAGAAGCTGAAGCAACAAGTCTCGCAGGCTGAGATGGGCGGTGGCTTCGGAAAGCGCAAGCGTGGCAATAACAATTCATCGTCAGTCAAGGGACTTGACCGAGGTATGAAGTCCGGAGGCCACAAGCGGACATGGTCGACGGGCTCGGACGATGCACCCCCGGAAAAGCTCTCTCTCGAGGATGACCTGCAGTCGAAGCTCTCAATGATGCAAGAGATGTTCTCATCCACCCGCCCTGTGAGCATCTTAGGCTTGCGCGGCGAAGAGACCGATGACCCTGATCTATATCCGATCCAGCTGAGCGGCGACGTCAGATTTGAGAAACCAAACCGCCACACCACCAATGACTTGCAATCCGCGGAATCCATGATCCCGTCACCCGCCAACACCAACACCTCCAGCTCCAATTCGCCTCCTTCTTTCAACAACAGAGCTTTACAACGCCCGACCACCATTCAACGAAACCCTTCTCGCGATCAACTCCCACGCGGTTATCTCGAGGCCGTTGGCATTGACGCGTCTTATCGACCCCCGGTTGAATCGCTGCCCAAGCCAAGTAAGTTTCATCCAATCGTAACCAGTGAACAATATCTGACCCCTGTGCAGTTGCATGCTTTTACATTCGCTTTACAAAACTTGAGCAAGCTCCTTTGAATTGCTACCGTGCTGTCTATCTTTCAGAGCGCACGGTCCGGGATCTAGTCAACCAAATCTTTGCTCCCTCTGATATCGACCCCTCCCGCGTTGCCCACATCATGCATGTCAATGACCGGGGTTTACGGATCACGGTCGATGATAACGTCGTCCGTGAGCTCCCCGAGGGCCAGGATATGATCATCGATATCAGTGAAACATCAGCTCCTGACGGTAGTGCTCCTGGCACAGTTGGATCGTCAATTGACGTCAAATTAACATACTGAACACCCTATTCATTTGGTCAGATCCTCTCGAAAACCAAACGCTTCAACCTTGAGGCACGGAATCTTGCTCTCTGGGCATGGAATTGAGCCTCCATCTCCTCGCCCTCCTTTTTGATCTTGTTACCTTTATTAATCCGGTGGGGAACTTTGCTTTTGTTTCTGTCACGGGGCGTTGCATACGGTGATAATACACGAATCTCCTGGCAATGAACCCTGTTACATTATGTGTGTTTTTTTGGCTTGCAAGCTCGGCGTTGGCTCTCATCCCACGACAATATAAGAGTCGATGGATCATTACGCTGTCGATACACTTATCTGTTGATCTTGTTTTTTTTTCTCGGATCCGGTCGAGGGCAGAGCAAACGACGTTGATACCCCCTTCCATAACTCTTCCATACTCTGTTGTTTTGACTTTCATCTTGGTCGGCTGGTCCCTCCAGCACAGCGTTAAGTCAACATGTTTATGATTTTGTTTTATGTATCTACTTCTCATACACCCACATTCTGAGGCGTTTCTTATAGAAAGTCATCTATGGACGGGGTTTCCAACTGATCATGATCACCGCAATAGAGGGGCCAGATCACGCTTTCGACTGAGCTACAGCGACCTAGATTCGATCTTGCCGTAGTCACATAGCCAAAGCGACATAAGTCTAGGCCCGACAAAGTACAATATTAACACCATTCGGACACGTCTAGAAAATCTGATCTGGCAAAATGCCATATCATGCGACCCCAATACTTGGCAAGCCACTACGTCAACCACCGTGATGAACAACCCGATCTGCCAACGAGGATCGACCGTGCGAGCAGGCAGAAGAAAAAAAAAAATGAAAACTCAAAAATTTCCCCGAAGCTCAACCTCGGGACTGGGATAGATTGTGGCTTACGCAGCTTTCTCAACGAACAGAATTGGAAGGCTGATTGTTCCACCCCCAGAGCCGGTTCCAGCAACCAGGTAAAATGCTCAGATACCCGCCACAGTTGGGTGAAGATCCCATGGACCGCTGTTTCGGAACGCAGGGCGTCCTGCGATTGGCTGGGCTGCGATGCCATCAGATGTCAACCAACCAATCCAGGGCTCGGGATCTGGAGACAGTCCTTGGCCCGTTTATTTGCCAGCGCAATCTCGGTGTTCCTCCGTATTCGTCTCTTCATTACCGTGGGAATGTCTCGCGTATTTCGCTTGCCATATTAGGCCTGACGTGCTCTATCCATGGTCTTTTGACATTCCAAATACTTAGCTCTTCAATGGGGGAGTATTTTCGGACACTCAAATTTCGGGAAGCCATTGTGTAAATCCCACGGAGTAATTGCACACGAGATCGAGAATTCCCTAAAGCCGTAGTTCCAAGGCGGTATGTACATACTCCGTATACTCCGTACTCTAGTCTGCTTCAAACACTTCGCGTCGAGGCCCGCTACGGAGTATTTCCCCTCTTTCCCGCCCCTTTTTATCCCTTCGCTTGCTTTTTTGCCCCCAGAGATTTATTGTCACCCACTACGTGGATTTAGCGAGGCCTAGTCTGGAGCGTAATTTTGCGACATATCAATTGATCTTGCTCTTACTACGGAGTACTCCTTTCCATTACATACTACAGTGATTATAGAGTACAGCATGTATACGGAGCAATGCAGTCTACCAGTAATATTATGTGCTCCTATGCAATATTCGTGCAGTCAGGCCTCCAAGGCTTTAACTGCGTACGCCAATCACGCCGAGGAAATGATGTGTAAAATTCATTTTGTACACACGGAATACAGAGAGCTCGTACGGAGTACACACGTCTGTGCAGCATGTCGCTGACTGCTTTGTTTTAGACCCAGAGCGGTCTCCTGCCGATCGTTAATTCCGATGAAAACCCTTACCTCTAGCTTATCCGGCGGTGGATCATATTTTGCATACAAGTATCAACGGCCATCAAGTCCGTTCTGGACCAAGTAAAATACTAGTCACCCATTTAACGGCGCCATCCGAATCCCACTGTACTAGTACTCCGTAATCAAATTGGACATGGGAAAGCCGTGATTCGGCGTCAGCTGCAAGTTCCTTGGAAGCGGGACCTTGGGAAAACAGCCACTACCACTAGTTCGACGCTTTGGTTTCGCGGGTCGTCCCGTTACTACACTTCGGGTTACTTACCTACCAAATACAATACAAAACCAATACAAGTATCGTATTGTTTTATCTCACCCTATTCTGGTGAATGCAAGTGCGAGGGCTAAAAATATGTTGATTGGACTGTGAGTGGCCTTCGGTTACTTAGTGTATGCCCTAACGTGTTCCCGGCAATCTCCATCGCGCACGCTAAAGTGGAGCGTTTAAACTGCCGCTATAACAAGCAGTATGGAGTAGATCTGAGGTAAACATCACCTCGAAGTTTTGACCCAGTCTGTTTTGGACAACGCGCAGGCTCTCGCTGGATTCTTGAACACACGAGGGACGAAATGAGCAGGTCTCTTCTGTATGCTGGTATCTGGCCCGTCGCGATTGGCCATTGTACTTTGGCCGGATAGCCATGCCCTAAGTCGGGTGACTGTATACCCGCGTCCGGGGTTGAATATCGGACACGATGTCAAGGGAAGTTCTTGAGTTGACCGAACATCCATGGACATTGATCAGTCATATCTAGACAACGGACCCTGTCGAGGCTCAAGTATCCCGTTCAGGTGACCTGGCTTGCTGTCAGCTAAATTTAGGCTGTTCTGCAAATGCTTGACATGCGAGCTGTTACTTCGAGATTAATATCCGGGTTACATTCTACTACCCTGTCTGATATGAGACTAATTTCGAGTCATTTGATGGCCGGGCTAACCTCAGAGAGGGGCGGAGCATATGGTTTACAACGGTCTACTTTTAATAGCACCAATCGACCTCGCCGTCTGATTCATGTAGTACATCAATGGGTCTCCGTGGTACCCCGGCTCTTTTCCAGGACTCGCCCTCGACTTCTGAAAGTACGAGCACCCGAGGCCATCGCTTTGAGCTGGTACTCGCCGATCAATGGCAGCCTCTGTCTAGATGAGGGTACCTGTGAGTGTAGCTCCAGAGTTCTGCACCGAACCCTCCGACCTTACATCCTTTTCAGTTGACCTTGAACCATATTTAGACCTGTCTCACTCCAGTCGTACAAGTACAGATCAATGTGTCCCAAATTTAAAGTTATATTGAAGTAGTACGGGGGTTATTGCCCAAAGGCTTGTGTACTACCGGATACTTGCCCTAGTCGAGGTATCTTGATCAGTGAGTTCCCTGCCCAGGTGCTTTCTGAAGTCGCTCCTTCTCTTTTGATACGCCGCACGTGTTGTCAAGGCAATCGTTCCTTCCCTTTCCCTTTGGACTGGTCTTGTTTACTTATTCCCTCTCTTCTCTTTCTTCCCTCTTCTTCCTCTTCTCTTCTTCCTCCTCGCACCTCTCTTCCCCTTCTTCATCACCCTCGTTTGAATCGATTACTTTCATCAAGTGATCAAACCACACTCGTTTACAAACCTTCCGACCATAATCATGGCGACTTGGACGCGTTTCAAGTTGCTTCTGCTCATGGTCGCCACTATGGCGGCCAGGGTCTATGCTCATGTCGGTGAGTTCTTCATACACTACACCCAAGATTCATGGCAAAGCACTGACACCATTTGAATCAGAATGTCATCACATTGAGACCGTTTTTCTTCAGGATCCTACTACTGGCGAGCGTTTCCAGGCCGGTGAAGGTAAGTCAACCCCGCTCATCAGTTGGTCACTGTGGTTTATCACTGACTCTTCAAAACAGTCAACGCTCTACCCCCCTCTGTGCTAGGTCGTGCTCTCCGTAACTACCATGATCTCAGTGAGTTGATCCCCCTGACACTTCAAGCAAACATCATTTGTTTGCCCCTCTTTGAAACACAATCTAACCAGAGCCCAGTCACCGTGACTATTACCGAGACTACTTGTGGACCAGATACACATGATTCCACAACCACGGTCACCACCGATGTACCCTGCACGACTGAGACTACCGCGACAACCCCCTTGGCCTTGGTGGTTCCCACTACTACTGTGCCTGAGGCTTTGAGCGCTTCAGTTCCCAGCACTTCAGTTGTTCCTCAAAAGACGACTCAATCCACCGTGTCTGACACACCCACCGTTTCTGACACCTCGGTGCCTAGCACTGGTGTGAGTTCTCAGACCACCGTCTTGACAGACCCTCTTCCTACGAGCACTCCTAAGGAGTCGACTGTGACCACCGTGTCTGCCACTTCTCCAGTCTCGGCATCTACAGTGTCTCAGATCGTCACTGAGTCTACTGTGCCTCTGAGCCACACCTCTGTGCCTGGTACCACCCTGGTTACTTCTGGATCTTCCGCATCAGGAACGTCTGAGTCTTTGACTCCCTCCGCTCCTTCTTCGGCCCCTGAGACTTCGGTGTCCAGCAGCACTGGACTGTCCACTGGAAACAGCAGTTCGTCCACAGTCCCTAACCCCACTACTGTGTCGGTCACGGCATCTGGTCCCACTGCTCCCCCAGGCAGTGTCGCTCCTGTTGCCTCCACGATTCCCGAGGCGGAGACCACCTCTGTTGTCTCTCAACCTATTTCAAGCACTGGATCGGACTCCTCTTCGTCTACCACTTCTAGTGTTGTCCCAGTGCCCCTTGGAACTGGTCAGAGCCACACCGCGTCTACGGTCACTGGTCCTGCCACCGAGGTTACCACCGAGACTCTCACCTCCCCATGCCCTCTGTCCACTGGAGTGTCTCCCAACCCCGGAGAGACTGACGTTCCCGCTCCTGGCAATGAAGTGACCACAGAGAGCACCACCTCTTCCGTTTCCACCAAGGTGGTTCCTCCTGTTCCTGGTACTACTGCGGTTGCCTACACCAACTCGACCGTTCCCCAGGCCCCTGGCCTTGTGACTGGAGTGACCACTGATTACATCACTTCTCCTTGCCCCGAGTCTTCGGGGGTGGCTCCTACCCCATGGACCACTTTGATCACTGTCACTGTGGAGATCCCTTGCACTGAAACCACCCGGTGCCTCACCACAAGTGTTCTCACCACCAGCACTTTGTTGGTTTCCAACACCACAACCATCCCAGTGCCTGTGCCCTATGCCAACACCACCACGGAGATTACCCCTACCATTCCTACTCCCGTGGAGACCACTACCATCTCTGTGACACCCATTCCGGCCACTGTTCCCGGTCTGCAAACAACCACTCTGGAGGTGACAACAACTCTTCAGCCTACTGCCCCTGGTGTCGCTCCCCAGGAGACCACCGAGGTGGTGACCACCGTCGTCAAGCCCACAGTCCCCGTTCCTGTCTCTGTCCCTGAAGAGACCACCGAGGTTATTACTACGGTTGTCAAGCCAACTGCCCCCGGTGCCGCTGAAGAGACCACTGTGGTGACCACTGTCATCAAACCTACTGCCCCCGTTGTCGCTCCCCAGGAGACCACCGAGGTTATCACTACGGTTGTCAAGCCAACTGCCCCCGGTGCCGCCGAAGAGACCACAGTGGTGACCACTGTTGTCAAGCCAACTGCCCCCGGTGTCGCCCCTCAGGAGACTACAGTGGTGACTACAGTTATCAAGCCTACAGCCCCCGGTGCCACTGAAGAGACCACCGAGGTTGTGACCACAGTCATCAAGCCAACTATTCCCGGTGCCGCCCCTCAGCAGACCTCCGTCGTGAGCACTGATATTGTGCCTCTCCCAGAGGCCACTGTGGTCGAAGCTACTACTCATGTCAAGACGCCTGGCCCTGCTCCAGCATCCACCGCGGAGAAGACTGAGACCAAGCCACTGGCCGTGGCTCCAACCACATTGGCCACCGCTGGTGTTCCCGGCCACCCTGCAACTCAACCCGAGGGTAGCAAGACTGGTATCCAGGCTTCAGGAACCCCCGAGGTCACCGATAAGAGCAGTGGCTCAGCTCCCCCACAGCCCACTTCTAGCCCCATCTTCAATGGCGCTAGCGCTGCCGGAGTTATGGATAGCCGTTTGTTCATCATGAGTATCCTCATTGTTCTCTCTCATGCTATCCAATCCATGGTGCTGTGAGCATCCCATATCTTCTTGCGCACTAGGAGCCAGGCCGAGCCATCCCCGGATGGAGCAAGGCCAACTCCTCATGCGATGGTTACGTTTGAGATTGGGTTTCGATTCAAACATATTCCTGGACAGCACTTTGGTTATGTGGGATACCATGAATCCCTTTAATACAGAAATCTTCTACCGGTGGCTCATATCTTAGTTTAAGTTTACTTTTCAAATTTAAGAGTTTCACTGCTGAAAGCCCGTGCCAGAATGTAAACCAGCGACAAGGACACACTAGCTCTTTGTAGCATCACCGATTCAACTGATCAGTAAACATACACATGTTGCCATTACGCTTTGGCGAGAAACCTTGGAATGGCGCAGGACAAACGTACTAGGTAATCTATGAAGAAAGACCTCGGGATGGATATACTAGCTCGAAGCCATCTACAGACATATGAATGTAGCCTTAAGGTAGACCAAAGACACCGAATTATGTCTACTAGGTAACCTTGAAACCCAATGCGCATTGATGAAGATAGATGCGATCATGAAACCCACAGGATGAATGGTATGCTTAGCTTGAAATAACAAGCCGGGGTATCTCCGATAACTAACGAGAATGCATAGGTATGTGCATGTGAAGTATACACAGGACAAGCGGACGAACGAAACAGACAAACCTACTAAAGGGCAGTTCAAGACTCAGAGTCCCCGAGTGATTCAATCTCTCTTGTCAACGCGCAAATCCGACATCCACTGCCAATCTTATCACGCAAGATTCGTGCCGTCGTCACTTTGGGGCCGATGCTGCGAGAAGCAGTGGCTGAGGATTCGTCGACCGGTGACATGGGCCGAGGTGTGTGGTCTTTAGATTGATCGCGACTGTTCGTGCCAGATTGAGATGTATCTGCATGCAGGTGGGAAAGATGGAAGATGTGGCCACACGCAAATCCAACAAGGATTTCTCGCTCTGTCAACCTATGATTAGAACTCATTTGTGTAGAAGTCTCGGGTCTGGCGTCATGACATACCGTTTGCACAGAAAGCAGTGTTGCATCCGCCGCATTTGCCTTGCCCGGGAGCCGCAAATCTTTTACCCCTAGTTTCGGATACTTGATCCTGGTTTTTGGTCTTGATTGTCGGTGTTTGGTTGGCATCCTGCTCTCCATCTTCGTGGACATCGAATTTGATTCCGCGGCGCTGACCTTTGCGCAGGGAGTCCATGCCGAGAGCGACCTCACTTTGCATGACTCGGGCTGCGCCTTGGCTGATACTAGCCTGGAGGTCGTGTTCGCGGATCAAGCGAGTCAGGCCCTCTCTGAGTCCTTCGATTTCCAGCCCGCTTGGAATTCGGCGCACCAATTTGATGGGATCAATGGCCGTCCCGGCCTCGACTAGGAGGCCGTGGATGAATTTCGGCTTGTCCATGGAATAATCCAGTAGATCTTCCCAAAGGTCTGGATCCTCTTGGGATTTGGCAAATGATATGGCCTGGGAAACGTCCTTGAGGTCTGACAGAATCAAATTTAGGGCACGTTTAGTTTGACCCATCTTTGAGAGTAGATAAATCAACTCAGATGTGAACTTGTGCTCTTCGCAGATTTGTGTTGCTTTCTCAAAGGAATATGAAATGCTGTTTTGCAGGAATTCCATCAGAAGAGGCCTGTCGTAATCAGCAAAGACCTCAACGGTCGTGTCGGCGAAATTGTCGATCAAGGCTTTGCCTTCATCGGCAGCAAGCTTGCTAGCCGCGTCTCGAGCATGAGCCCCACGTCCTCTGCGAGGTTTGGGACCACCATGGGGCAATGACTCGCCACGCCAGAGCGCACGGAGATAGAAATAGAGAAACAGATGTCGGTCCTCGTCAATCAATTGCGAAACCACAGTCTCAGGGAGGACAATTCCTGTGTATGCTTCGCTGACGAGTAGGCGGGTAGGTTCGGAGGTCAGCTCCTCTAACTCCGACTTCCGGGCTGACTTCATCTGCGCTTTAGAAACTCGGATCGTGATGAATGCCGGAATGTCATCGGTGACTGCATCCAGCAAGCGGTGTTCGCGGACTAAGGACATCGCTGCGTCTGCGTCTTTTAGTCGAATGTAGCAACGCAAAGCTTCGCGGTAATGCCCTCCAACCAAGAATAATTTGGCGAGACAATCCGTAAGTGTTCGCCAGTCCTCAGAATCAACTTTCATAGACTCCGTGTTCAGTCGAGCTTCGATGGCTTCTGTGATTGTGCTTGAATCGAACAGATCTGAAGGCCATGTTTCGATCAACTCTTTGAGCTTGTCCAAATCTCGGGACACGTAATGAAGGAGAATGGCTTCGTATACCACGGCGGATAAAGGTGGGTTCAAATCAACCGGAATATGGGGCGTAATCTCATCAAGTCGATCATTGTTGATGAAAATCCATGCCCAATGCTCCCACTGTGGAGCATTACGAATCACTTTGCCGCAGACTCTGACTGCTTCAGTCCATTTCTCCTGCGCCACAAGCTGTTTGACCCAGAGTTCTCCGAGGCGAGCCTTTTCTTGCTCAGCGGCAGAGACCTTTGGCTGCCCGGTCGTTGTCATGGATGATCTGTCGTCGGCAAAGAAATCACCAAGGCTAGTTTGTGATCTGCCAGCAGCCTCGGAAATAATATCGCTGACATCAGGCGCTGAACCCGCGGCTTCGGGATGCTTATCCACTAAACTCCATGCCTCCTCGTACTGGCCATGCATATCTAACCAGGCCAAACGATCAGCAAGGTCCCTTTTGACAGCAACCACGCAGTCATATGGACTGTGGACGAAGATCTTGGCACCAGGGGCACCTGAAACTTCTTGAACCTCTTTTGGGATGGAATCGTCGCCATAGGTGGACCTGGACCTGAAAGAAGGCGGGGCTCTGCTCGAGCCCTTGTCGCCGCTGCTGGTGGTACTGCGGATGCTAGCGCCTGAGCTGAAGAGCCGAGCTGAGTACATGGTGGCATCCAATAACCCATACCCCAGGGCTCCTAGAGCTCCACGCTGGACCACCTGGCCCTCGGTTGTCTTCCACGGCGGGAGAACGCTCAAGTGATAATCAGATGCCGAGAGTCCTTCAAACCGATTGATGGAAAGAGTATCAGCGCTGATTTCTTCTTTGGTTTCGATGTCAATCACGCGAAGCTCCGGCTCAAGGCCCCGTTGCCGATTGTGGCGTCCGGTATCCGTTCCGTTCGATCTACTTTCTCCTTCGGATTCCATATATGCGAGAATGACGAGAAGACGGGGCGTGTACAGCGAAATGCCCGATACCACGCAGTCAGTTCGTAATCTGGGGTATTATTAGTAAACTGGTGAAAGTAATGGTGGAACCCGAGACTTACATGGTGACAACCTCTGCGGATCCAAGTTTCTCACCCTTGGAGGATTTGCTTGCCCTTTCAGGGTAGACATCAATAACCCAGACGGTCCCTCCCCAGCCAACCACCAACTTTTCCACCTTTTCGCTAGGCTTAGGTGATTTCGTCCCGGCGGTCTCGATTCCATCTTCGGGGTTAAGATGGTCATGGTCGTCCAAAGAAGACTGGTCAATCCATTCTGCGCGGGCCTTCCAGACACTGGACATTTCATCCCAACCAGGCCGATTCGGGCGGTCAATGTGGCTGATTCTTTTCCAGGCGAACTCGGTCTCCGAGGAGTCTAGATGCAAATTGGAACGCATGATCTTGATGCCTTCTTCATTGACCCAGACTACGTATTTGCCCGATAAAGACCATCTAATGGTGCTTATAGCCCCTTCACCACTGTGTATGACCGTGTCTTTCCCGCTGTTAGACGCCAAGCCCATGGATCCGAGCCAGCTTGACGCTGTTGCAGCGGCACCACCCATTGTTGTAGAATTGGACGACGCTCCAATTCGGCCACCCGTGGTCAAGACCAATTCACCAGCCCGGCCGCCTGACAGGAAGGTCCGATCACTTTTGTAGTCTGGTGACAAAGCGACAGACTGCACTGGTCGGCCGAAATTGCGTAGCATGACATCCTTGGGATCTACCAACGAGGAGATGCACACATTGCCGTCAATTGAAGATGTTCCGATATAGATCGAATTGGATGGTGTTGGAGGAACCGAAGGAGGGTTTGGCAATCTTGCTTGTCCGCGGATACTACCAGTTGTAGTAGATGACCGTGTAGGTGGCCGAGGGTCTTCTGATGTCTGTTTACCGAGTATGTCTGGCTTGAGGTTCGGGAGCGGTGGCGGAAAAGGCGATACGGATATAGACGTGACACTCGCTGAATGTGCATGATAGACCCGGAGAGACTTCAGAAGTGGTAGAGACAGGACGTGCTTGACAGAGTCAGCTTGTGCGTTAGTGAGTGTACACAGGCGTCACTTACGACGTTTCCGTTATGTGTTCCCACTACCTAGAGGGACTGTTAGCTCTCTGTGTCCAGTCTTCGTGGGAGGGTCCATACCATCTTGTCTCCTGCAACTAGGAAAGAGCTCGTGGCATCTCCATTGCGATAGACTGACCCCAAGTGCTTCGTGAGGTATGCATACTTCAGGCGGGGCTCCTCATCGTCGTCGGAATCGTCCTCATCCCCAGCCTCTTCATCCTCTTCCTCATCGCCACTGCTACTAGAGCTATGGCTATCTTGAACGCTTTGGTCCTGGGTCTCTTGGATTGTGTCTGTGGATGATCGGCTTAGTACAGTGTCGGTAGAGCTCCGTTCCACGGCACTTTCGTCCGGCGATGTCGCGCCAGGCGCATCCATGGCGAGTCCCTCACAGCGCCTGCAGCTCCCGAATTGGTTGAAGTAGAATGCGACGCCAGTGGAAACCCGTGGTTCTGCAAGCTGGGGTGATGCTTGGGACCGGCCTCGGGCAATGGACCGCTTAGTCACACGCTTTAAACTGTGACTAAGCGGGAACGATGTCATCATATTCGTGCGCCGACGTGACTGGTGTGTTTTCAGCTCTGTGCTCACCATGTTTGCAAGACCATATGTCTGTCTGAGCTGCAGAAGACTACCATTGGGGTCTTTAAAAGCATTACAGAATCGATATCCCCATGCATATCCAGCATTGACCCCTCAGCGACTCCAAAAATGCCTGTCAACCACTCCCCACCTTGACCAGTCTGGAAAACAAACCAACACGAGTCCTACTGAGACATCTTCAGACTTGCAAAATCAACGACGGAGAGGGAGTAGGCTTCCTGCAGCTCCAACTTCCTTACGGCGAGTTGCGGTCGAAGCACAAAGATCTAAGGATGGGTTTATCTCTAAAGCGTTGCTACGCGAGCAGGGATTGCATCGAACCAAGGTAATTGGCCCTCAAGACCTCCGTGCATGGGGTTGAATTTGGATGAAGAGAGCTGACACCTTGTTCTGGGGTAACTAGACAGTGACTGCATACGCAGTAGCCGAACAATTCAACATCCGCCGGGTCCGAGATATCTTGCAAGAGAAAGGATACGAACCCGACCCTTTGGAGACCGGGCTTTTCCCTCAAGTCGTTCATGTTCAAATCCCGATAGACTCCATCCGCCGCGTGACCAACCCCTCCAGTACAGACCTACCATCCGAAGAGGTAGGCGATGTCTTCGTATTCCCCTCCGGCACAGTGGTCGCATGGTCGCTGCCGGAAGGATTTACGTCATTCCTAGCAACACGCACTCTGTTGCCCGCGGCAGAGGGTGCTCATGTTGATGATCTGGAAACCGAAGATCTAGATTTTGTGGAGGACCCCAACAGGGACAACAGTGTCATCAAAGGGGACACAATCATCCTGGGGACCAACTCCGGAACGAAGGAAGGACTTTCAGCCCCGCATCAGTCCGTTGACACAGTTCTGACTAAGGTCGCCTTCTCGTCCGGTCTTGCTCGAAGCACGAAACTAGCTGTCCTCGAAAGCCTCCTGGCCAACTATTTCGAGTCGACTCGACCAATACCGACCCTTCTATCTCAAGGATCTCGACTTCCTTTCACGCGAGACTTCATTCTTCGGAAGACCGGGCAACTTCTTAGCGTCCGGGCACAGCTCAACCTTTACTCCGAGCTTACGGACTCTCTCCCCGACATTTTCTGGGATAGCCGACATGAGCTTGGTCTGGAGGGATACTACGAACAGGCTGGACGGGCCTTGGACGTTGGCATACGCATCAAGCTTTTGAATGAAAAGATGGACTATGCACAAGAGATCGCCAGTGTACTCCGGGAACGGTTAAGTGAGACACATGGTCTCCGACTGGAGTGGATCATCATTCTGCTGATCGCTGTGGAAGTTGGATTCGAGGTCATGCGGCTATGGAAGGAGAGAATTCACGAGCAAGAGGAGAAGGCGCGCAAAACCGAGATGCATGACTGATGTGGCGGAATGTCTACCGGGTCAGGCGCGCAATAATACTTTGGATACCACATGAATGATACCCCTGTTTCGAATTCCGTAGAGACTCCTGTCGTGTATCAGATTCCCCTGCAGCCCCGTTTCAATGATTGGCCTGGGCGGGCGCCTCCCCGCGCTTAGTCACCACTTGGCCAGCCTCGTGCGGAGTCACCTGGGCAGCACCCCAACGCTGTCGCCTCACCAGTGCCTCCGGAGCTCTTCACAACCTGGCTGCCCAAGATGCTCCATTTGCTTTGTATCTCGTATCACAAACAACCATCTCGCTCCTAGCTTGAACAATCCCGAGCCCTTATATCCGGCAAAACGTTGCTAATTGACGATGCGGGGATTACCTCAAGAGGTCCTGGGGATCCCCGGACCCAAGAAGATCATCCAGACTCTAGGCTCCTTGTTGCTCGCACAAAGCTCAGATGAAAGACCGTCTCCCGGTGTCTCGTCCTCATGTCCCGTTTCTGAAATCAGCTGTCAGGCCAAGTACCATGGCCAGGATACCTGCTGTTTCAACTACCCCGGCGGTCAGATGCTCCAGACTCAGTTCTGGGATGCAGACCCCGCCATTGGCCCCGAAGATGCATGGACTATACATGGGCTGTGGTGAGAAACTCACAGCCGGTATCGGGGGAAACAAAGAAAATGCTAACCCCCTTAGGCCCGATCATTGCGCCGGCGGTTTCGATCAATTCTGCGATTCCAAACGGAGATACAGCAATATTTCGTTGATCCTGGTTGACTCCGGTCGTGGAGACCTGTTGGAGTATATGAGCGAATACTGGAAGGATTTCCGTGGGGATGATTCTAATCTATGGCAGCATGAGTGGAACAAGCACGGCACTTGCGTGAGCACCCTTGAGACACACTGCTATGACGACTACTTGCCACAACAAGAGGTTGTGGACTACTTCGACAAGACTGTAGAGGTCTTCAGAGAACTGCCCTCTCACGAGGTAAGTCTAGGCGTCCTGGATCATATCTCAGAACCAAGCAACTGACAGAGTACAAGTTTTTGGCGAATGCAGGTATCATACCGTCCCCGACGCAGACATATAATCTCGTGGACATTGAGGCTGCCCTGGAAAGCGCTCATGGAAGCCCAGTGACCGTTCGGTGTCGAGGTGGTGCTCTCAACGAAATTTGGTACTATTTCAATATTGCGGGAAGTCTGCAGAAAGGATCCTTCATTGCTGCGTCACCAGGTCAGACCTTTTTACTAATCACAGAGTCAAATACTAACATTCTTGCCTCCCAGATGGTCAGAAATCCAACTGCCCTTCCAGGGGCATCAAGTACCCGTTGAAGCGTGCTCGGCACGAGCCCACCCACACGACAACTGGCAGCCACCCGGCTCCTACAGAGCCCGGAACCCCATTCACTGATAGGGGAAACCTGATGGTCTCTACTCTTAATCGCAGACACGGCTGTATCATCAGCTACGGTACTTGGTTCTCGTCAGGGACCTGTGCTACTTTCCGGGCCGAGAAACTTACAGGTCCGTACTCCATGCAGATATATGTATCTGACATCTCTTTTGCCGTCAATACCTGCAGCATGGAGTGATTAACATATTACAGATGATAAATTTACCTTGAAGTCTAGCAAGGGGCCCTGTGCATTCGAGCGGGACGCCCTTACTTGCGGCCCTCATGTCAATTCCCCTACCGAATTCACTGTATGGATCCTCGTGAATCTCCCAGACAATACGCACTACTAATCTTCCTACAGGCTCAAGATGGGAAATTGGCTTATAAAGATCAGACTACTTTCTATGCCGACCAGGCACCCAAGGGGCGTACACAGAGTAACGTATATGCTTCGCAAGGGGGTCGACCCATCGAGATTGAGATCACTTGGGCATCGAAATAAATGCACAAATGTGACTTGATCCATGATGTAGCGTTATCACCTGAGCAGGGTCGAGAGGACCTATTGATATCCACAGGCAGATTGACATGGATGGGACGTGTGTAGAGTTGCAGGCAATTTCTTCGGTTATTGAGAATGTGCAATACGGACTTGGGATACTCCCCGTTATAGAGCAAGCCTCGAAATTCCTCGAAATTCCTCGAAATCCCTAACCTTGGAACTCTTTGGATTCGCGATACCTAATACCTAGTAGCCTTCCAAGGTTTCAACCTTGGAAGGTTGGAACCTGCCGAGGTCTTCAAGGTTTGTGGATGCATACTTTCTACCCAGGTACATAGATACCTAGTACCTAGGTAGGTATACCTAGGTATCACCGAGCCAGACTGGGGAGAACGTCTCACTAGGTATACCGTGGACGTTCGATATATATCCACTTTCCAAGGCTGGACTCGGGAAAGCCTAAAGTTACCTGTGAACCCAATTTCATGAGGTCAATTCCAAGTATGAGAAAACACATCATTTCCAAGGCCATCAATTAGTTGGTCTAATAATAGTGTACAGGCTGTATAATGTCCTATGCTGAAGGAGAGCGATCCACCAGGTGAAGCACAACTTGTTGACAGGTAGGTACAGGAGGGATCCATTGAAAGGCATCAAATACATATCGCATATCATAAAATGTAAAACAAAGAAAAAAAGAGTAAACACCAGGAACGATGTCTGAGCCACGCCATATGATCGAACATCCGAAGATGCGACAGAGGCCAAACGAGATTGAACAAAATAAAAACCCAAAAAAAGCACGGAAAATCATGGTGAGGGAATGCAGGGCGCGCGAAGAGCAACAAGGGGCAAAAAGCAAATGGCCCCAAACACCACAAGTCCCATAAAGTCATGTCAAATCCCGAATGTGTGCAGAGAAGGAAAGCGCCCGTTTTTAGTGTCGTGTGTCATTAAAGTGTACAAGGTCGTGCCGTATCGTGGAATATATTGCGGTGAAGAAGATGGTTGGCGGCGCCGTAGTCATAGATGTGCATATGTTCGAAGGTACGCTCAAGGGTCAACAAGGAACTCGCTTGACAGGCATCCAATTGGGTCTTCCAGGTCATCGTCGAGGTTGGTGAGGCCAGAGAAGGACTTGGCAGGATAGAAGTCCGAACCAGAGAAGTCGTTGGTGTCCACAAATTGATAGCCAGGGAAGACAGGAAGGCTGGGGTTGGCGAGGTGGCCGAACTCCCCCCGAAGATCGTCCGAGTGATCTTGCGACATGAAGATGTCAATCTCTGAGCCGACAGATGACTCGGCCAGTGTGGGCGCAGTGTGAGGCGAAGACACCTCCCGAGGCGAGAGGGCGGAGTCACTGTAAAGAGATTCTTGCGAGTAGGACTGAGACCCAAAGTTTGAACCGTACTGAGCCATCGCCTGCTCATATCTAGCGTGAGCCAATTGGGGTGGTGACAATGGCAGCATATCATCTTCGGCCTTGGATGTGAACGATTGGTACTCGTTAGAGGGCGAGGACATGCCGTAGTATGTTTCACCTGGCGAGGCAGGAGGCGTGAATGACGAGAGGGCACTGGATGGGGCATAGTTGGGCGAGTTGAACACAGGGGCATCCTGGAGAGTAGGACGGGCCGGGGCCGAAGCAAGCGAGGTCGCCTTTTCAGCGACACGCTGGCGAGTACGAGTAGACTTGGCTTGACGCTCGTCAAGCTCGGGTCGGTTCTTGTTCTTCTTAGGCGGGCGACCACGCTTGGTCGTCTTAGGAACCACACCAGTGAAGCCACCCACACACATGTCGCGCTGACGGTGACGGGTCAAAGCATCCTGTCGGGCAAAGCTAGCACCACAGGCGCACGCAAAGGGCTTGTTTCCGCTGTGTGTCTTCAGATGACGCTTGAGATCATGTCCGCGTACAAAGTGTTTCTCGCAAATGTCGCACTTGAATTGACGGTCTCCAAGATGGGTCTGAACGTGAGATTTGATGTTTTCCTTGCGACCAAATCGACACAGGCAGTCGGTGAAGAGACAGACCCACTTGCCATCCTTGGGGTCTGGACCGGAGATGAACTTGGCAATTTCGTCGTTCGAGATGCCTGTTTCTTGGACCGACGCCTTGACTCGGGCATCCAGGTCACCATCGCGTGATGTGGGCATGACAGTCGATGACACGGAGGATGAAGCTCGCTTCTTGACTCCTCGGGTGGAAAGTGGGAGGGACATAACGGGCTTCTGGGGCGTCACTCCATACGGGCTCGGCGTGGGGATGTCGGCAACCTCAGGGAACGACGCACTAATCGGGGAATTGGCTGGGGAGGGCATTTGCTGCTTGATCTGCAGAGGGCTAACAAAAGGAACTTCTTGCAGGGACTGGGTTCTTTGCATCTCGGAAGTAGCAGGAGTGTAGGGAAATGAGAAACTCTGGGACTTGCAGGGTGTTGGGTCATTGCTGTACATAGAATAATCAATGGATCTTTTTAATGGAGTAGAGTCGGGGGTCAACGGGGATGTGTCTGCGTTGCTGTTAGCTTTGCCCAAGCCACCGAAGAATTGGGCACCTCACAAGTAGAAGAGATCTGTGAGAGAATCTTGGCCGAAGGAGCCTTTGGTTGAACAGAAACTGGATGCATGGATTCGACATAGGCCGTCACATGTTCGTTTTGAGACACAGAACCATTGCGCTGGGGAAACAATTCCCAATCGGGGCGGTCGGCGAACTGGTGCTGTTGGTTCGAGGATTGTTCGTGCTGCATGCGGTGCAAAGCGAGCTTCAGTGGTGTGTTCTCGGAACTTTCGCTAGCTGATCTTGACAAGGCCGGGGCGCCAATGGATGATGGTGCCGGGCTAGCGGCTTGGATGGCCTGGAGTTGTTCTTGATCGAAGGCTTGACATTCAGTCCCGAGCGCGGCTTGAGGTTGATATTGATAAGACTGCTGCGCATGTAGTCCGAGTGGGAAGTAAGACTGCTCGGGTTGCTGGCCATATGATTGATACTGATGCACATCCCGCTGTTGACTGGGGTAACCTGATTTTTCGTTAAAGTAGTCTCGCAACTGCGAAACCGTCTTGGGCATGTATTGTCGGTCGACGGAGGCCTGTGGACTGAACGACCCGTAGTCCATAGTTTGGCCTCGACGATGTGACCGACGTTGATGCATGATTGCCGATGTGGGGACCTCGTATGGGGCTGCTGGAGTGGAAATCTGGCGGCGATGGCGACCGTTCCCCAGCGCATTCGGTGCGGTAATCATGGCTGGATAGCCGATTGACGGTTGGTCCTGATAGAGTGTCAGTATGTGAATAGGCAAAGCAGGGAATTGAAGCTCGAGGAAGCTAGAGGGTCAAGAAGCTATGCGTAATAGGGTCACACAGTTGGAAATTCCGAACTGAACGACTCGAGCTTAAGAGCAGAAACGCGGATGTATGAAGGTTTTGGGTCTGGAGCTGGAGATCTATGTGACCCGCGGTTCCCATCAACAATCTGGATGTTGGCATAGCAACGCGGCAACACACAGGCGTCTAGGAAACCAGGCGCTGACCACGGTGGGCCTATCCCTGCCCACTTAGTACATTCTACGTCGATTTTATTCTTATTTGCATCGCCTTGCTTGCCATTATGCTCATCCCTTCAAGGGTTGCTGCGAGGGAGTTTGCCACGGATAATTGACTGCTTACTCCCTGTCTTCACGGATAATGAGGAGCCATATGTACAGTACCTACATATTAGATAAATTGTCCCTTGCCAAAGAGAATATATTTAGCACTTCGTACTCGATATGCACATAGAGCCCTGGAGGCAGTGCCCGATGGCGTCACGAAATTGATGTGTCCAACACGGGAAGTCCCAAGGTTGGGCCACGGGCGCGATCCACTGGACTCCCATGGATCCAAGTGGTGCCTGAGGCTTTCTGATGCCTCGACACCTGGGTGCCTGGACACCTCATTGATGTATCACGTGCTAGGCTTTCGGATCAATGACGCGCCGATGTAGAGATTTCTGACTAGGCCGCTTGTGGCCAGACCCACACGCACGTGATCGCACAACGATTTTAATCACCACCTCGCTCGATCAACTTTCGAGAATCTTGCAAGGTTAAGGAAGACACATCTGTCGAGGTGAGTGAATATTTCCAACAGCGGACAGGAATGCGATCAGCCGGGGAATGAGTCCTCCGCTGTAGAATTCCTCTCTGTCTGATTATCGCATCGGTTGTCGCGAGCATCCCACTAACATCATTGTCGCAGGCCTTCATCAAGATGCAGATCTTCGTCAAGACCCTCACGGGTAAGACTATCACCCTTGAGGTGGAGTCCTCCGACACCATTGACAATGTCAAGTCCAAGATCCAGGGTGAGTCGATTTGAAGCCCCCGAGCGCGCCGAGCGTTCGAGTTTGTTCAGCCACTAACAGACCCCTCCAGACAAGGAAGGTATTCCTCCTGACCAGCAGCGCCTGATCTTCGCCGGCAAGCAGCTCGAGGATGGCCGTACCCTTTCGGACTACAACATCCAGAAGGAGTCCACCCTTCACCTCGTGCTTCGTCTGCGTGGTGGTGGTAAGAAGCGCAAGAAGAAGGTCTACACCACCCCCAAGAAGATCAAGCACAAGCACAAGAAGACCAAGCTCGCCATCCTTAAGTACTACAAGGTTGACGGCGACGGCAAGATCGAGCGTCTTCGCCGCGAGTGCCCCGCTCCCGAGGTATGTGACTCCGATTCGAATCAACCCTGCTGTTCAATACTGACTCTTTCCAGTGTGGTGCCGGTGTCTTCATGGCCGCTATGCACAACCGCCAGTACTGCGGCAAGTGCCACCTCACCTACGTCTTCGACGAGGCCAAATAAATGGTCTAAGTCAAGCCTTGGTATTCTGTCGAGTTCGAGCATGGCTATGCTAGGCTAGAGCAAGTAGTGGAACATCATGGTAGACAGTGTGAGGTGTATCCTTGTGCTACAAACAATGACAAAAATTGCACAAAAGCAACTCTTTTTTCCGAAACATAGATTGTAACTCATTCGTATTCACATAATACTATGTACGAAAACTTGGTACCTCTCCGTGTGACCTACTGGTCAGGGAAACCCGCTTGGACATTGGCGTATTTACTCTCGGGATAATTGAGAGCATTCGCCGACTGATCCAACGCCCCAGCACCACCGACACCGTCCACAAAGATGCCGATCAGACTTCCATCCGCTGCATTGGCCTCTTTGCCTCCCTTGTCGCCGCTGCTTTCCCACCACATCCCACCACCCAAGCCACGTCGGCGGATGTAGTCGGCCTTCACCTGCGCCATGTAGGGAGTGTCGTAGGAAACCAAAGTGCGCGAGCCACCGTCATAACACCACGTCGCGCCAGACTCTGGATCAAACTGCTCTGCAGCGCCAGGCCTTGGTAGCGCCTTGTAGTCCCACACCCCATTCTCCCAGCTGCCTTCGCCGACGCCTGAGAATGGAGCACCTGGCCCATCGGTATTTTGGAATGCTCGTCCGTACAACGGCATGCCCATAACGATCTTTGATGGCGGCACGCCCCCGACGTTGATGTAGTAATTCAAAGCGGCGTCGGCAGAGAATGGTGTGGATGCAGGGTTGGAGCCCGAAGGAACAATGTTCGCTTGGTGACCGGCATTCGTGTCCCAGCTTCCGGCAAAATCATAGGCCATGAGGTTGTAGAAGTCCAGCACTGGAGTCATCTCTTGGAGCCTCATCTTTTCATAGTTGTTGGGCCCTGGTGTGGTCAGCTCCGTGGTTCATCGCACTTTGTTTAAACGTGTGCTTGGGGTGTACATACCGGCTGGGCAGGCGATTGTCAAATAGAAGTGGCGGTCGGGACCAGCCTCTCTGTCCAGGACCTGATAGAAGTTAGTCGGGATCTGGCGGGGAGTCTAGGTGAACTGTTACCTCTCGGCACTTCTGAAGCAGCAGGACAAGGTTTACAGCCTCACTGTCATCTGAGGCCAAAGTCAGCGCAAGTCTCGTTTTTGTCGGCACAGTTCAGTCTACCTTTGGGGTATTCCCAATCGATATCAAGGCCTAAGAAACAGTCAGCCTAGATGTCCTTTCCAAGCATAAGCAGAGCCCAGCCACAAGCCCCTACCATCAAATCCGAGATCAAGAATCAACCGCGTTGCTGATTCGGCAAACTGAGTCCGACCCTGGTCGGTGCTCGCCGGCTGAGCGAAGTTGGCCGAATACGTCCAACCACCGATAGAAAGCAGCACCTTCAGCTTGCGGTTTTGCTTCTTGAGAAGGAAGAGCTGCTTGGCGCATCCGTACACATTGGTGCCAACGTCATTCCAGGAGTCTGTGGGGTAATGCTTCTCAATGTCGGACCAAGTGTCCGTCAGGTACCTTCCGTTCAGTCAGCGGGAATATCGAAATGGATCTCGCTGGTCTTACACTTCACCACTCTCAGGGCGGACATTGGCAAAGGAGTACAGGATATGGGTCAACTTGTCCGCAGGCAGATCCTGGGGGTTGTGGTTGCGGCCGTAGATTGCCTGTACCCAGTCAGAACTGATCTTTGGGGGATTGGTTCATTTGCCTATTTATGCGAAGGCTATGCAGGGCCGGAATGACCGGGATTAAATCAAAACATACCCAATTCACGAAATAGGCGACGGATCTCATCTCGGACATGGCTGCAGGGTGAGGGGATTGCAGATAGTAAGGTATGTAAATGGCAACAATCACCACGATGGCAGTCAACAAAGTACTTGACTTAACGTGATAAGCCACAATGTCTCAAGGTTCACGGGGAACTGCCAGCCTTAAACAGACTTGGAGGGGTTTCGTCGCAGCCTAACAGTGGGCTTCCGTAGGCGTCTGGGCGTGTTTATAAATAACAGCGACCCCACGTCAGTGATCAGGGGTCAAATAGGGCGGATCCGCGACTATTCACTGTGGCTGAGTAGGGCTGTATAGTATATTTGGCAGTTTCAAGTTTCTTGATCAGGAGCTCAGCTGAAGATCCGTTGAAATTGACGTCGATTTGGTTCCTTTTATGTTTACCATTAGAACCCAATCCCCAACGTGCAATGTGACATCTCCAGCTGAATCTCCGGTTGCAACCGTAGCATGGATATCTAGTCATGCTATCTATTCACCTGCCCTCATCTAGCCTTTGTTCAGTGTTTCGAATGAAAGTACGGAGTATCAAGTGCCTCTCTGAATGCCAAAGTGCTGCCCCGCACGAGGCAAGGGGGCAAAACTCCAGAATGACCTGCATTTCATTCCAACCTCGGAATATTCTACCCAACTTCATCAGCCGACCGAGCCTCGTCTTATATGAGCTTGTGTTATACATGGTGTTGCTCACGGGTTAGATCTGCTCTTTGTACTCCGTATTCTAGTGGGAATCGGTTGTAGTAATGTTCCATCCTTTAAACCAAACCGAGGCCATCCATCAATGCGAGTCTCATCTCTATTCATGCTATTTCGCACTACATGCTCCATACTCTGCATAGTATCGCGAGGCATCTATAGACTATCGCATCCCGAGGTCCGTGGAAAATGTGCGATGTTTCGGCCTCAGGCACACCTGACATCCAGTGGTTTGAGCCCTAGGGGGCTTGGCATACATTCCATACCCTGGACTACTCCGTACTGTACTATGCTCTGAACTCTTCTGTATTGCTGATCTACGGCTTAGAGACTCAGCCTCTGAGCCAAGCAAACTTGATCGTAAGTCCATTCTGTGGAACAGTCCCCTTTGGGCTCGCCAGTTTGCGACCTTCGCAATGTAGCCATTGAAACCTATGGTCACAATGATCTTCAGACCAAAATTGGGCAATGCAATTAAACTACTCCCTGATCATTTTTGTTTTATCTGGACAGACTGTTTCAAAGGCCAAACACTCCGGAAGTCTAAAGGAATAAAGTGATGTTAGAGATCCAAGCCTTCAAGGATCGACACGACTGTTTGCGAACCCGAGTGCGAACCCGAACCCGACCCGACCCGAAGCCTAAGTCGGGTTTGATGTGCAAGATGTGTTAGATGCAGAGTTCTTCTAGGCATCCCTCGAAAAGCTTCCGGTGCTCTGTTGGAAACAAATCTGCCTGTAGTTCCATGGGCCATGAGCAAACCTTGCATCCTTCATAGTCCTTATAAATACATCAAGTCTCGTACTAGTTTTTAAGAATCTCCATTGCCAGTGACTACTTACTCTTCCATCAATACCCCATACCCTATCGTGCCATTTACGAGCTCGCATTCAAAGCAATGACTGAAACGGACGATTACTCATACACACCGAGCCTCATTCCTGCGGTGATTGGGGTTGGTCTATATTTTGCTCTGTTTGCTGGCCATGGAGTCCGCATCTTACGAACTCAAGCGTGGGATGGGATTTACATGCTAGCAGGTGCCCTAGGTAAGAGCCAGTGGAGTGTCATTCAAGATTATCTTGCTCTGACGGATATCTGCGATTCTAGTCCAAGCCATGGGTCTCGGAGCTCGAGTTTATTCCTCGAAAGACGTCGACGGCAAGGGCGGCTACGGTGCTCAATATGTACTGCTTCTACTGGGGCCCACACTTTGCATGTTGACTGTCAACGTCACCCAAGTCAAAATGATGCGCTGTTTGAGTCCTGTGAATTTGGGTGTGATCCCTGCCCGATTCACGTTACCCATCTACCTCACAGCCAACGCTCTTTTGCTTTTGCTTCAATTGGCTGGCTCTACTATCTTGATGTTGGCCACCAAAGAAGATCTCGTTGAGACTGCAACGAAAATCCTCATCGCGAGTTACGTATCCCAAATGGTGTTTTGGTTATTCACTTTGGCGGAGAGCATTGTCTGGAGGATTCGATTCGGACGAAGCACTTGGAGCAGCTCATCTATGATGAAACATTGGAAGTACTATATGCAACTGTTTGACCTGGCGATCTCTATTGTTGCTCTCGGCCGAAATTTGATGCGGTTGACCCAGCTGGGGATGGGGCCTAACGGATTTCTCACGGCGAATGAATGGCCTAGCTACGCTTTCGACTACTACCAAACGGCTATAGTTCTTTTGGCCTGGGGTGTGTTTTACCTGCCGGGAGTTTGCAAGGAAATCGAGTTTAAGAATGTCCATCGTTCGACGCTGGCAGGTGAAGAGTGGACAATTGGGATTTAATGTGAAATTGAAGAACGTGGCCTTTGGAATGCAAGAAACTACATGAACTACCTAGTAGAAGAGAAATAAAAAAGTGAAGAAGTGAAACAATCGCGAGATATACTCCGCACGCGCTTGCACGGGATTGTCAGGTCCAGCCGAGCTTATCGCTCTCCGCACGAGATTCTATTTCCCATTTCCTCTCGAGACTTGATTTTCCTCAACTCTCTCACTGGTTTCTCACGGGCTGCCCGATTGCATATGACCTCAGAATATGAGTGCCCGAGAGTGACGGCGTTAGAACAGACCATGCAGACATAGACATCTCAACATGACACCCTCAGCCTTGAAGCGAGCTTGTGATCAATGCCACAACTTGAAAGAAAAGTGCCGACGCCCGAATACAATAGCAACATGCGAGAGGTGCCACCGGTTGAGGCAGAAGTGTCAGACAATCCGCAATCTTGCGAAGGCCGGTCGAAAGCCTCGAGCTGCTAGCACACTATCCTACAAACTTCCCGCCACCAACCTTGGCTCAAATCAACAGAGCTTGGCTGCGTTGTGCTCGGTCAAATCTGCAGATCCCCCGTATCCATACTTTAATCACCCTTTTGACGAAGCAGTTACGAGCAACCCTGCGCTTTTCCCGCAGCTTGATCGATGGGATCGCCATTTCCTCAATCTCATGAAGGACATGGTTGCGCCATCTCCCCTCGACAAATATTTGATTGGGCCCAGCTTTCACGAATCGCACCATCGCTCGTTTGTACAGAATATGCTGCAACCAACCCCCGTGCTGAAGAATGCTGCAGTCGCCTGCGCCGCAGTCCTGTTCGGTGATAATTATGCCCAATACACACAGACTAGCGTCCAAGTGGGTCACCGGCGCGCTGCATTGGCTGTATCAGAGCTACGAGCCTTGAAGATATTGGAAGAGCAGGATTTGGTCACGGCATTGGTGCTTGGCGTAGCAATGGTCACATTTGCTATGCATGTTGCCAATGGGCAGTCATTTCTCATATCACGCTACACACTTGCACTAGTGAAGCCGGTCTATCCATCTGTTCTAAGGATGGATCCAAGTATCATGGATTACTTGATGTGTCTTGTCAGCACAGAGACATTTGAATGTCTACTCACGTCAAGAACTCCAACCTTGCGAATCAACGAATCTGATCGCTTAAACGTGGTGGATCGGTATCTGGGGCTCACTTCCCCCCTTTTCGCCCATCTGTATGACATATGTGCAGTGAGCAGTCTGCTTCGGGGGGCTGGTGGAAGATTGAGTATCCAAACCGCACAACGATTGGACGAAATCCACGAATCACTGATGCAATGGAGAGCATCACCGCCATCGAATTTCCTCAAACACTTCTCCCCGACTGAGGCTGCTGTAATGCTCGCCCAGGCTAAAGTTCTCCAATTGGCCGCCTTGCTTATTGTACATCGCTTGTACTATTCTTTTGGGACCTACACCAAAGAGGCGCTCCAACTTTCTAGATCCATCATTGCGGAATTTGATGGGGTTTGGCAGCTGACAGGCCACTCGTTACCATGCACGTCACTTGCTTATTTGATAGCGTGCTTTGAGATCACTGGCCCGGGAGAACGAGCCGCAGCCATTGATAAAAGCATGCGAGTATTTACTTTCTCGAAACAATCGCAGATACGGTCTCAAAAGACTCTGCTCTCTGTATGGGCTGCAAAAGACGCAGGAACTTTGACTCACTGGTTTAGTATCGGCGATACCATAGACAGGTGAAATTTTGGGATAGCACAGGCATGATACAGATACAAAATGCTGTCCATTTGACAAGAGAAATAGCAGTCTTGCACCATCTTTATGCTTCGACCCTCCTTGAACATTGGGTTTGACTTGCGCGGTCTTTACGGTCCACTCAAATATACCGCGTCGGCGGGAACTTGAGACTGGAATCGTCTGATGACAGCGAATTTCCAAAATTGTTTTCCTTGCTAAACATTGAGTTTTCCATACATCATGGCATTCCATGTGAATGGTGCTGCTTCATCATGGAAGTCGGGCATCTCGATGAAGAAGAAAGTATCACCAGAAATATGAAGCGCCCGAGAGTGCATTTCGTCGCTACCAACGCGCATTCCTTTGCCATCCACCATTTCAGTACAAGAGAGCAAACGCAACACGGTTTCAGTCACAAGCTGCATGTCAACCCACATCTCACGGGGAAACAATGATTCAAAAGCATCGTTTTCGAGTATTGGTGTCCCGACAACACCTGGACAAATAGCGTTGACCCGAATGCCATCTTTCCAAAGTCGTGGGCCAGTGGAACGGACCCATCCAATGAGCGCATCTAGGAACTGGTGAGCAACAAGATCTCATATTTCAAAGTGCAGCTTGAATCGCCTAGAGATTCACGTACGCTTAGTACTGGAGTACACCGGACCCAAGGCGCATGGGTATAGTCCACCTATACTGGAGGTGAAAACCATATGTCTGTCGCCTTTGGTGGATTCCGGAGAGCGACGGAAGTAATGCATCGCAAGATAGCTGGTATACAGAGCCCCGTTCATATTGATATCGACCACCGAAAGATCGGGCTTGGGCGGAATCCCGGTGTCTGATTGTTCGGCATAATGGTCATCGTAACCTGCTATACCGGCGTTCACGAAGACAAAGTCCAGACGCCGACCGACATTGAAGATCTGATCAAAAGTGGTCGCCAAGTTTTCATAGTTCCGCACATCGGCTTGGTAGAACGTGGTTTGAGGGAGAGAAGCGGCTGCTTTCGTGCCTTTTTCTTGATCACTGCCAATTATATTGACCTGCCAGAGCCCGGTTTTACTCAAAGCCTCGGCGACCGCGAAGCCGATTCCGCTTGCTGATGCGACGTCGATAAGTATCGGTCAGAAGCTTAGACTGCTTGGGGTTACTTACTGCCACCAGTGATGAGAGCTACTTTGGTCATTGTCAAATACTGTGCCCCAGGCTGTATATTGAAGCGTATGTATCTGTTATGCAAGGATTGAGAGCTCCGAAAAAAAAATAATTAATTGGGAGACGCGGGGTGCGCGCTTTTTGGAGTCGGCTACAATGTGGACAGCCTGTAACTACGTAGATCCATTGAAGGGCTTCATGGATCTTCATTGGAAGGCTTACATTGATTTGACTCCATAGTACAAGCCCTGAAAGGCCGATGCATATACCCCACCTGCTTTCATGCTCACTAATTGGGGGCAAAACAATCTGAACGCTTTAGCACAGGCCCGCCTGTGGAGCTAGATGCAGCAGAATGTGGCCTATCATTGCGCCAAGAGATCGGAAAATATGTAACATGATTCATGTTGTGATTAAATTGATAGATCCGATTTTCAACGCAACAGTGGATCTTGAAGTCAAATAAGTCTATGAGAAAGATGATGGGATCCTACCTAGATCAGGTGAGCATGAAATAGCTCTATATCCACGGCGATGAGTTGTAAAACCCCTCATCGGTAGTCAAGGCTGCATGTGAGTGGCATTTGCAAATGGAGTGGAGACGCTAATAAACCGGTAATGCGTAGGCATCGAGGTCATAGATCCAAGTATCAAATGACTCCTGATCGAACACACAGTCCATGCTCGTACCATTAACCTTCCAAAGAGGACGCAAAGGCCATGCGCATAGCTGCTGGTGAACACCCTTGTTATCGCCACTCAGAATGGTGGAGTTCAGTGTGACAGGGACTTCTTGACGTTCGACCCAATCAATCAAAGAACCGAGGCTGGTTTGCGGGAAAGGAGCATTCGGCTGAAGACTGTTGGTATTGCAGTGTGAGGCTCCTGGGACCAGGAATAAGCGATACCAGTCGCTCAGGGCGTTGGTGCTCTCGTGGAAACTCAAGTTGGAATACATTGTGGACCGAACTGACTCGTGGAAGTGAACGGAGGAGGCTGGGGGAATGCTATTATCCGATTCACCGTGATAGGAAATGATCTTCCCACCGGCTTCTTCAAAAGGACTGAGATCGGGCCAGGTGGTTTGCAGCACATCTTCGTATCGCTGCCAGCCTTCCAACATCCAGTCTCGCAGGGTGTCGTAGGTGACCTTTTCCAGAGAAAAGAGGTTGTCCAACTCCAGGAGCTGCAGTCCGCGGGCCACCCACTCACCACCGAGCTCCGAGATGTCGATTTCCCATTTTCCAGTGGTAAAGTCATACTGGGTTTCAGCATCCGACATCTCCGATCCAAGCTGGTACCAGAAGTATGCACGGCGACCATCGCTGTCATGAAGTCCATTGTAGATCGTACTCGCGAGAGCTGCGCCCTCGGCTGTGACTGTTCCATTTTGGGCAGGGGTCGCTGGGGAAGGCATCTGTCTCTTGTTTAAATTGACTGCAGAGGTGGCAGCACATTCATAGCTCTCCCCAATCGTGGAATTGAAGTCGAATTGAAGTCTACAAAGATCGGTACGGCTGACAACGCCATCCTTTTTCCCATCTGCAGGATCCAGAGATTAGATATTTCCCATGCAATGCTGTTTGATGTGACTTACCAAGAGGATCGCACGCGGCAATTGTGAGGTTCACTATTCTCTCAAGCTCGCAATACGGTGGGGTATAGTTCAAGGTCTGTTGAGCCACCTGCGGGAACAAGTGGTTGACCTGTTGCTGTCCATAGCGGATAGCAGGGGCTCCAATGACTGCGCCATCCCACTCCTCCGGGAAGCGCTGTACTTGACTGAAGCCTTCACGGCCGCCCTCGGAGCAGCCTTGGTAGTAGGCGTATAGCTTGTTCGCATCGGTCAGGCTGTAGAACTTCTTGGTAAAAGCTTTGCCTATCGAGGACATTTCATGGTGTGCCTGGTAACCGAACATGTACAGCGCATCCTGGTTGGAGGTCCCATTCACGAGAGGGAAAACGTCATCGAAGCTAGTATCAAATCCTCCAAAGCCACCGTCTGTTCGCCCAGTTGCTGCTCCGTAAATGACACCGCCGGGAAGAGTTGACTCCACGTTGATTGCGAAGCCAAAGCCACCGGTGGAAACCCAGCGGTTTTTGAATTCCTCGGGCGAGGGAAGCCAGAAGTTGAGCAAGACATTGTCATCTTTGCCATTGTGTGAGTATGTCATCGTCACATTGCAATACTCGAACGTAGCATCGGGATAGTATGCCTCATCGGAAACAGAGACGTTGTAGACCGGATTCGCGGTGACAACCGAGTTGGTGGTATTGAGACCCGGAAGGAAGTCTTGGCTTGGGACGGCATTTTTGGCATGAGACAGGGTGCAGACTTCGCCAAGTGAGATTGCGTGAGCCATCACCGCCGTGGCTAACAGCCCGAAGGTGCTAGCTTGGAGCATGTTGATGCGCAGTGAAGAGATAGGGAAGGACTTGTATAGCTCTGACCCCAAATCTTTGGGCACAAGAGCTTTATAGCTAGAATATCATGGCGAGGTGTTTCTCTCGGTATTCCGGCCGACGACGACCGCGTCAAGGCAGGTGGGTATACCGGAATCAGAAGAGCGAGACGGCAGGGAAGCCCGCTAATTTTCTTCAGGGGTGACGCATGCAAGTTTATACTTGATGCACGGATATGCAAAAATGGAACCTAGGACGATTATAGGGGGGCTATAACCATAATTTGTGGAGTCTTCCATGGTTAGAGTCCGCCGAAGCGTTGAAAGGTAAAACGAAGTGGATAAAATCATGGCGGAAATAGGCATAGAAAAAGCATTAAGCAAGTCGGACGTGGATACTCGGATTTATGGAAGATGTCTTAACCGAATCTCCCTGTTTGGCTTTCTGGTATCGCCAGATGAGCGTTCAAGCAGGTATTTAGTGCTCGGAGTCAACAACGCGACCACCTGAGAGGTCGTTCCCGAAGCTTGACTCTCGAAAGTTGATGCTGTATACTCACCTGTGCCATTCCGTGTAGCCTAGTCTGACAAGAAATTTCAAAAACCCGACAATTAAGCCATCGAACATGATGTCTTGCATCCTGCAGAAGACTGGAAGCTCGGAGTTCTCGGGGTATCCGTGAGATGAGCGCGGCGCTTTTCCCAAAAAGGCTTAGTCTCCGCAAACCTTCCCAATCTAGACGATCCGCGGATTGAGCTACGGGGGATCCACGGATGAGAACTTCAGTTTACCTTGCGCGTCAACCAACCTTGAAACATTTGATCCTTATTTTCTCCCTTATCTTCTTCGGAACACCCTTGACCGAAGCTTGGCAGCTCAGGTGCTGCAGGTACACTTGAAGATCATTCCTTGATCAAGTTCAACACCATGTATCTGTCGCATCAAACCACCTCGGTGCTCTTTGCCATGACGCGGCCGACAAATTGCCTCCGAAGTATCAGAGCCAAAGATAAATACCATTCATTCCGGTTGCATTGAGGACTCATCCTCCACATCCTCTTATTCTCCCTTGGGTCATCACGATGAATCTTTGGAAGATTGCTGCGATTGCTGCTCTTTTCGGAGGCAGTGAAGCTGCATCAGCCAACCATACTCGCAGAACCTGCAGTGTTTCTACCTTTCAAAGGTTCATTAATGCCAATGGGACTAATGCAACTGTTCAATCGGCTACATATATCCCTAAGCATGGATCGTTCAACCCAATGAACTACACATCTGCCAGCGAGTACACCACAAACCTCCCGGAGTCTTGCGCTGTCCAGGTGAACGTGGCATCTGAAGGCAATTCAAGCTACCTTGTTGGAGTGATCCTGCCGTATGAATGGAATGGACGCATGCTGTACGTGTTATTAGCTTACATATCGAGTCAATGGTTCAAGTCACTAATGAATCCAAAGCTCTGCTGCTGCTGGAGGAGGAATTAACTGGGTTGACATGGTTTGTCGAGTGCATACATACCATAATACTCTACATTACTTACTATTCTCACCAGGGTACCGGAACGCAATATGGATTTGCTACATTGTCCAGCAACTTGGGTCATGTCGGAATCGATACAGTCGGCACCTGGGCCATTGGTAGACCCGAGTCTGTCGTTGACTGGGGCTACAGGGCATGGCACGGTACAACAGTTTTGGGCAAGCTATTGATTAACCGATGGTATGGCAGCCCTTCTGAGTACAACTATTTCTATGGCTGTTCCACCGGAGGGCGACAGAGCATGAAGAATCTTCAGATGTATCCTGAAGACTACGATGGTATCATTGCCGGAGCCCCGGCTTGGTGGACCACGCACCAGCAACTGTGGAACTTGAAGCAAACCACATACCAAGCACCCGCAGACTCTGCCCATACTATTCCGGAGAAGGCCTTTGATCTAATCGCCGCAGAGGTCATCAAGCAATGCGACCCGCAAGATGGGCTAGTTGACTCTATCATCTCGAACCCACAGGGCTGCAACTTCAACCCTACTACATTAACTTGCAACGCGACGAGCGCCGCGGATGAGTGCTTGACATCTCAACAGCTTTCTACTCTATACAAATTACACAATGATTGGGTCGACACCAACCAAACCTTTGTCTATGGGCATATGTGGCTTGGCAGCGAAGCCTCTTGGCTACTCGGCAATGTTGGACTTGGAAAGAACACAACCATTGAGCAGCAGTACTGGTATCCCCGGGATCTGATGGGTCTTGGTGATGATTTCACATGGGAAGACCTCGACTACGAAACAGTTCAGCTAGCCGATAAGCTCAATCCCGGCAACGCGACCGCCGATAAATTCGACATCAGCGAGTTCGAAAAGCGTGGTGGCAAGTTCCTCCACTACCACGGAATGTCCGACTCCTACGTTTCCCCGGATGCCAGCATTTACTACTATGACCAAGCTTCCAGCGCCTTGAAGCCCCAGGGCATTGAGATGGACGATTTCTATCGACTGTTCCTCGTCCCTGGAATGGAGTAAGAGACGCCAATTCTCTACCCCCGCACTAGTTCGTTAGCGCTGTACTGACCCATGCTCTCTCCCAACAGGCATTGTCTCTCGACCCCTGACCAGATGGATGCCCCTTGGTATTTTGCCGGACCTGACCAGGCTGCGACCATCAACACTGGCACCTACAGTACCCCTGGGTACCGAGATGCGCGCCATGACATTGTCCTCGCTATGATGGCCTGGGTTGAGAATGGCACGGCCCCCGACGATATCATTGCAACCAAGTGGAAGAACGATACGAGCGCGGAAGAGGTTCTGCGCCAACGCCCCATCTGCCACTATCCCTACCAAGCCAAGTACAACGGCAAGGGCGATCAAAACGACGCGGCAAGTTGGTCATGTGAGCTGCTGTACTAACCTTGGAAGAGGCTAGACTGTCGTTCGTGGCCAGGGTTATTGTCGCGCCCCTTTTCAGCATCCCTTGTCAAGTAGGAGTCTGTTGTGAGGTCTGGACCAGCAGATAGTTTGCCGGCAGCGAGGCAGAAACAATTCTCCAATCTGTGTACCCAGGGCTGCGTAATTTCCATTCCATGTCGCATTAAAGTTTGTGTCCTTGCGACGCGTGCAAGAAATTAACATTTGAGATCGATTTGCTGCACAAGAAATCCAAAGAGGCAAAAGTTGTCGACCATCCGAGATGAGTGCCCAAGCCACCACAATGTGATATGATACCTGCACCGATAGGCGTGATCTGCGTGCTGAGATAACAACGGCTCGGCCATCCGAAGCCCCAATTGCCTTGGTGGAGACAGCGTTCGGGGATCAGATTTATTGGTCGGGGATACAGTCTCCCGGGGATTCGGAAGGCCAGAGTAGCTCAATTATCGGGCGATCGTCGCCGTTTTGAGAGAGACAGCTGTCATTCAGAGCACAACATCTGTGCGACATATCGATTCCGATAGTTTTCGGGGTAAGTTAAGCTCACTTTTGACTTTCCCCTTATATTTCAGACCCTTGCGTGAAGCCGGGCTGAGCCCTGTTGGCGTCTGCATTATCGAACCTTTGACGTGGGAAAATTTCCACATATTCGCGCCCGTTGGAATTATTGCAAAGTTGATGCGACGGAGAATTCAAAGATCCAACATGCATTGCAGTATCTTGATTCTTCAGAACAGGTTCGTCGTGTGGATCTGCACGATGCGAGGCGATACATCCAATCCGGCAACCTGACATGTCGGGAGTAATTCTGGCAGTCGAAGTGATTGGATCGCTCGAGGCCCAAGCCCACATTAGACTCAGGTAATTTCTGATCTCGCAGGCCGTTGTCAGAATATTGCTTTTTTGCTTGAATTAATGTTCCGGCATCCTGGTTCGGCGCTGAGACTTGCGCTGCCTAGTGATTCGCACTGGATCGCAATAGATGTGACCGGTAAACATTCATGCCAATGCGCCATTTCCAAGCATTTGCAAGCAGGGATATGATAGATCAAAGGAGCACGGCAGTCTCCTATTCCAAATCCTCGAAGTATAATAGGAATGCCACGCGCAGCCCTACAATGATTCCAAATATCTCAAACCAACTAATTTCTCTCATTTGAATAATCGATCTGACAGCCGGATCCACTGTACTGCCTGTCATGTCATCGGCTCAGCACTCCGACGCCACTTGGACGCCAGGCGATTTTGAACATCCCAATCCGGCACTGCGGCGGTCGGTGACCATCACGCTATGTTTCGCCTTCATCCTGTCGACTCTCGCCGTGGTCCTTCGGATCGTGGCGAGGAAGATGACCGGCAGTAGACTGCTGTTGGATGACTATTTGATCTTGGTCGCTCTGTTCTTCAAGTACTCCTGCTCCAGCGGAGTGGCTATCCGTGAGTAGCCCCATAGCTGCAAGTCTAGTCAGTCTCCATGCTCACGGCCATCATCAGTTATGTTCAATGGCTTGGGATCCCACATTACCATGATTCCAGCGAAGAATGCTCTGGTATACTTGCAAGTAAGAGAACCCATCAGGTGTGCCAGGAACTTGCATTGACATGGCCAGGTCGGATACTCCAACAACTTCGTATACACTGGCTGCATTGCCTTCATCAAATTCTCCATTTTGGCCCTCTACAAACGTTTGTTTGCAATTCGATCCATGAATCTGGCAGTGAATGCCATGTTTGGATTCGTGTGCCTTTGGGTCGTCGGTGTCTATGTTGCCGGGGCTCTGATTTGCATCCCTGCAAGTAAATTCTGGGATCCAACAGTGGAGGGGGCTTGCCTGGACCCTTATAAGTTCTACTATGGGATCCAAGTTCCCAATATCCTGTCCGACCTGATTTTGCTCATCATGCCCATGCACGTCGTGTGGACTCTGCCGATTCCCAAGTCCCAAAAAGCGCTGCTTTGTGGCGTGTTCCTCGTCGGTGGCTTGTATGTGCCGAACCCAGCCCGTGTGAACAAAATACTGACGGCTGTCCATTAGAACTTTGGTCTTTTCCGTTTTCCGTCTCCAAGCCATGATTCGACTGGCTGATCTCGGTCCTGACATTACCTGTGAGTGTTGCCCCTCCACTGTGCTGCGTCTGCGATACTAATTCCCAGTACAGACAATCAAGTTCCCGTGGTTGTATGGACCTGTGTCGAAGCTGCAGTTGGAATCACCGCGGCGTGTCTTCCCAATCTCCGTCCTCTGTTTAAACTGGGACATCGGAACTTCTGGTCCAATGTCAGGCCCTCGAGCAACTCATCTGGAAATACTCTGGTCGAGCCGGAGACAATCCGGAGCAATTTGTCGTCCCAGAAGAAGCCGCTTGGCTCTTATACTGACGAAGGAAGCGTGGAGGTTGGTCAATACAAGGAATACACCAAGTGTGTGAAGGAGTAGGGCTGTTTCACCCTAGGGCATCGGGGCTGGCCAACAAATGGGAATCGGGCGGATTATTCACCTTTGGCGCATTTTCATTCTTTACGATATACCTTGAGTCTTTCTTTAATCTTTCATTTCAATCTCATTTATTTTACCTCTCAGATTTCGCTGTCTCATTTAACCCGCGATCTGAAGATATCATTCACACTCATTCCCAGAACATACCCAAGCTTCATTTAGCCCGAGCAAAAATGCAGGGAAGAGAGATCGGCGGGCAGAGTATCGCTTTGCGACATGTCTGCTAGCCTGATTGAGTATCATTTCGCGTACGCAGCCCGCATAGGGGTTCGCTCATAAGCACGCCAGCCACCAGTCAGACGAAAGCCGCAATCTTACCTGACGCAGCAATTTTTAGCGAGTTCGATCTCGCAGCCTCATTAGTTGCATCTCGAGATACCCCGGTCGTTCAGGTATTATTAGACCCTTGCCAAGTCGTTTCCTGAAGAGTTCCCTAGTCATCTCCCTCTGTCACCTGTGTATTGCTTATTTTCTATCCGATCATATATTCTCGGGGTTGTTTCCTGGAGAGAAACCATTCAACGTATATTCTGTACTCTGTTGTAAATATCGATCTGCCGTGCTGTCTCGGCCCTGGTAATAGAATGGTCAGGCTTCATTTCCAGACGTACACAGCCAAATTCTAACCAAGTACACAGGCGACGGGGGATCACGAGTTTCCCTTCTTGGAGGAAGTGTGCTCGCCAGTCACTTCGCACAAGATCGAGTATGAACTTCCGTCTCTCAAGCGGCGAAACTGTTTCTGAACCCGAGTTCTTAGCTTTGTCTTCGTCCATGGCCTGAATCCGAGTGGTCGCAACGACCACCCATTCCAGACTTGGACTCACAGCAACGGGAACTTCTGGCCGAGAGATCTTCTAGGCCAGGACATCCAATATGCTCGGGTCTTTGTATACGGCTATAACTCAAACATCACTAATCCACAAACGATGTCGACGGCAAGCATCAAGGACCATGCCAACACGCTTCTGAACCTCTTGGACATGGAGCGCAGCCTCGCAATGGTGAGTAGTATATCCGTCTCCTTTCTCCTCGTGGGTTGACGATTAAACCAAAAAACCGCAGGGTACTATGCCGCCGAAGTTGATCTTTATTGGACATAGTTTGGGCGGGTTGGTCATAAAGCAGGTCAGACAAGACTCCTCGCAGAAAGGATCCTGTACATCGCTGACGGGTCCGGATGTTGTCTCACCTTAGGCACTCCTCAATGCTAAGGAAGATCCGAAATACACCTCAATCCGCAATGCCACCTCCGGTCTTGTCTTCTTTGGCACACCTCACCGGTGATACCCCCTTCTCCCACCCCGTGCAACACAATTGCTGATTCGATATCCTTACCAGTGGAGCAAAAGCCGTGGAGCTCGGGAAGATTGCCGTCCGGGTCGCTCGCTTCGTGTCCAACGGCCATGCCAGTAATGACCTTCTGAACTGCTTGGAACACAACTCGCTATTCACCCGCCAGATGACGGATCGATTCCGACATCAGCTGGAGGACTATAGGGTGGTCAGCTTCATTGAAGGAAAGTCGGTTCAAGTGGGAGGCATTGGCCCAACATCCATCAGCCACGTAAGTGTGCTACCATCGATTGGTTGAACAAGATGGTGCGCCCGAGACTAATGACACACAGCTCGTGGTGGATGAGGAGTCCGCTGTGTTGGGACTGTCCGGTCTGCGCGAGACTCAGCTGAAGCTTGATGCAGACCACTCGCAAATGTGCAAAGTTGCCTCTCGAGGCCCGATGTACCGGTTGATTCAAGGAAACATCAAGCAACTGGTTGACCAAGCACTTTTGTCAGAGCAAGGATTTATCCCGCAGCCGATGGCTCAAGGGGCAGGTCCTTCGCCGCCCCCCATACCACCGCGCATCCATTCCAGCAGCAGCATCCCTTATCAGACACGTCCACCTGCCCCAAAGGAGAAGGTAACTGGCAGTATGTTCACGCCGCTAGACAACGATCCCCGATCGGTTAAGTCTGCGGAATTAAAGAACTGGGCCAGGTGGGATGAGGCTCGGACGGTTGAATATGAGATATTTCAGGAGCATTTGCGAACGCTCGGCCCTGATCATTTCAGCACACTAGCGGTGGCATACAATCTCGCAGAAGTGGAGCTCGAAAGTAACTTCTTGGAAAAAGCGAGTGAATGGTGCCAATGGGTATCTGATAATGCCCAGCGCGTCTTCGGTGCCAAGCATCCATTGACGATGAAGACCGAAAGTCTGATGTCCGAAATCTTGGTCCAAAAAGGGCAATACCAAGAGGCAGAATCCGTCGGTGCCAACGTATTGGCGCGCCAGCAGATGAGCATCGGCGAAGAGCATTGGGATATCTGCGAGACACGACGTCGGCTAGCCATGACATACATTGCGTTGGGCCGTCAAGAGAAGGCAGTCATGACCTCGGAGAAGCTCACCCAAACCCTTCAGAATCTTCTGGGTGAAACCCACATTCGTGTCTTCGCCTCAGCGCTCGATACGCTGCAATATATCATTTGCAATACCGGGGATACCACCGCCCTGATTGTGATGCGATTCCAACCACAGGTGCAGAAAGCGGTTGAGATGCTACACCAGATCCACGAGGACCTTCGATCCGTCCTCGGGCACAGCCACCCCTTTACCATCCGCGCTCTCTGCCTGCATGGCCGAGCTCTTGGGTTCGTTCAGCAACCAATCGAGGCGTCGGAGACCCTTCGTCGGGCACTGGCGAGTGCAGAAGACTCGCTCGGGGCCGATCATCCACTGACCATGGCTGTTGTGAGCAACATTGGCGTTATGTATGCTATACAAGATGCAGCTTCCTTCCAAAACGAATCAACCGAGGCGTACCCGTGGTTGATTCGGTATCTGAACTGGCTGGAGAACCGCAAAGGCAAGGGTAACCCGGAGACGCTGGCGACTTTAGAGATGCTGGCGAATATGCATTTCCGAGCGAAGGACTATGAGTCGGCACAGACTTATTTCGAGCGTATCGTGGAAGGGTCGCGGGGAGGGGACCAGAAAGTGGTGGAGCGGACAGATAACTTCCTCCAGCTGTGCCGGGCTAACACCATGTATACACCGCGGGTGCGCGGGTCGCGGCGGGGGGTGAGTGGCATATTGTCCGCCTTGCAGCCCGCGTCCAACCGATGGAATTTTTGATTTTTATACTACGAGTGATATCGTTTTGAATTTGGAATCATTCCATTATTGTGTCAAGTAAACTCATTATCATAGTGGGTATCATGATATTGTCGAAAGACCGCCAGTCACGTCAAAACAGTATATGTCCGGCATCGGGTGTCAGGAGTCAGGACCTAGTTGGAGATCTTGGAGGGGACCTTCTTTCTGTAGCAAACAGTTAGCACGAGATCAGATTCACTTTTAGCAGGAGACACGCACCCAGTGGCCTTTTCAAACTGCTCACGACCAGCGTCGGTGATCTTCTCGTTGGTGGAACGCATCTTAGCGGGGTCAACCTTGCCGCCGCCGAACTTCTTCTCGACAGCGTCGAGACCTGGGATTGTAAGCTTGGAAATCACAGCATATGGTAGGACCGTTCACGCACCCTTGTCGACGTAGTCTTCTTGGCCCTGAGCACCAGAGTTGGAGCCAGAGTGGGAGCTTGAGCCCTTACCACCGAGCTTCGAAGCGAGACCAGAAAGCTTGTCCATTGTGAATGTGTAGATGTGTAGTTGATTCAAATTAGATTGAGATGGAGTGGCATAAAGTGTTGACCATAGCCCTTTTATATGTCTGCAACCAACATGCATGTGCATGAAAGAATGCTATCGTCATCGCGCTCGGATCATGTTGACCCATTTCCCAGCGCCTCCAAGGGGCACGATAGGCCAAGAAGCCATGTCGATGGTTGCGGCGGGGGTCACTGAGGTCATCCGCCGATCCTGATCTTACCAGCGTCGCGCAGGTGAGAGACAAGATCGGCTACTTGATCGATGATCTCACGTCTGGTCCAATCGGGTCTCGGCAACTCCGGGGTGATGTCATTGTCGTCATCGAGTCTACGATTAAGGCGTCAAGGCCACAAGGCCACAAGGCCCAAAGGCTTCCACGACACCAAGGCATCAAGGCATCAAGGCACACATAGTTTCCCAGGTTCAGTCGTGTTTGGACTCTGGCTCATCGCTTCCCGAGGTCCAAGGTTGGCAACAGTTCTGATTTCACAAACTGGATTCCCAAATTTCACCAGCTCAAGGCCTCTGAATCAGGCTCCCCAGACCTGAGCCTCGGGTGCCACCGAAGCACGGACGCGATCGTGACTTGCCAAGCGGATTCCACTTACAATCTGTCACGGCGTCAAAGCCTTCATTGCGACAGGCTCGGATTGACTCTACAGTACTCAACACACACGACCTAGGACACGCATTCGAGCAAACGAGTCAAATTAGATTGTATGGCCGGACCAACAGCCTCCTACCTCACCACGCCCCGACAATCCCCGCGATCGGGATATCGATCCCGCTGGTATAAGAGCTCGCATTACTGAGGAGGTAGACATAGGCGCCGCCTAATTCGCGAGGGTCTGCCAAGCGCGGCATTCCGCCATAATACTGCATCTTGAGATCCCAATCGGCTGCCTTTTCCACGTAGTATGTCATGGCAGTCCGCACAAAACCAGGCGATATACTATTGACGCGAATACCATGCTCGCTCCACTCCATAGCGAGAGTGTGGCACATATTCCGAACTGGAGAGGGAGCAGATGTTAGGACTGGTTCTCCAACGATGGCTATGTAATCGGACACTCACCAGCAGCTTTAGTTGCTCCGTATGGGGCAGAAGGCGCGGCCTATTGGATAACCGATTGCATGAGTCTGCTGTAAAACCTTGTGGGGATTATTCCCGGATGACTTACTCGGTTTGGTCGGTAGGAAGTCATACTGGAAGTCATCACTATCGAACCCTTGATGCCAAGTTCAATGAATTTTCGAGCCGCAATTTGCGCACAGGAATAAGCACCGAAGACCTGTGATGGAATGAGAATGGGCGATCAACCTACTGGCCAGCAAGAACTCACATTAAGGTTGAACAGCTTCTCGAGTTCAGATCGCTCAAAGTCGAGAGCAGGCTGGTGTTTCGTCATCCCAGCGTTGGCCACCATGCCATCAATACGGCCGGTTTCCTCCACCACTTGATCAACAGCCTTCTGGACGCTTTCTTCGGATGTGACATCGGTTTGAATGAATTGGAAATTGGGGTATCGTTTCTGTAGGCTGGCGAAGTCCTCTCCGGGCTCCATTAAGTCCAGAGAGTAAACCATTTGGGCTGAATTGGCGAGGCAGACTTCAGCAATTCCAAGCCCAATGCCCCGGTTAGCACCTGTGATAGCCACGACCTTGTGAGCTAACGTGATTTGCCAGTTGAAATCATTGTCAGGCATTGTGCTCTGGTAGGAATTGCGTGGCTTGTGATTGACGGCTTCGCCTGCGCCATTATCGATTGCACTCGGAGGCATTATCGGAGGGATACAAAGGTAGATGGGGTTGATAGTTAAAAAACGAGGATTCAGAGAATTGGAAAGAGAGAACAGCCCTCATTTAGGGAAGAGGAGCATCTATCCTGACCCCTCCAGGGTGCCCCACGAGCGACCGGCCGGTCTGGGATACTTGCAGATCTAGAGAGCAACGGGGTGGGGAATGCTCGGCTCGAGGCAGTTGATGCGACTCAGACGTGGCGAATGGCCCTCGCTCGAGACTTGCAGGGATATGCCTCGTCACGAGGCATTCCGATAGAGTTTGTGGGGGAACACGGCAGCTTGCGGAGGTGGATCCTCAAGCAACTGCACGTCTCCTGTCAGATTCAGGTATAGGCCTTGTTTGTGGACGGGATGGTATGTTGAAGGTTGTATTCTTGAAAGTGAGCAAGGGTGAGTAGCCCCGAAGTACATAAATGATGCTTCGCAAACAAGGGGCTTCTGATCATATCTTTTCCATCGACATCATTTATCACTTCGACCCTCATGGATTCCCTCGGTACCAAACACCCGGTCAAGGCCGGAATCTCTTCCGATCAGATTGAGCATGCTAGCATCCATGAGCATGTGCTGTTTTCCCCCCAGGAGGAAAGGAAGCTGGTGAGAAAGGTTGATCTGACGCTGTTGCCGATGATATGGATCATGTATCTGCTATCATACATGGACCGCACAAAGTAACTTGCCAGAGCCCTTGGAATGCTTTGTGATTGATTGCTGATAATGCCTCGTGCCTCAGTATCGGCAATGCCAAAATCTCCGGAATGGCGAGCGACTTGGACCTCACGTCCAACCAATATTCGACTGCATTGGTGGTGTTCTTTGTTGGATATGTTGTTTTTGAAGTTCCCAGCAAGTGAGAAGACACAATTTCCTGCTCTTTGTGACCTCAACGCTCATCACATGTCTAGTTTGGTTTTGACTCGCACCCGCCCTTCCATTTTCCTTCCGACAATCATGATTATATGGGGGGCATTGACGTGTGTGATGGGTGCGATCCAGGATTACAAACACCTTGTCGCCCTCAGAGTCATCATTGGATGCATTGAGTCTGGGTTCGCTCCCGGGGTACTTCTCGTTCTCTCGTCGTGGTACAAACGCACCGAACAATCACGACGATTTGGTGTGTATATCTCTGCGGCCATCTTGTCTGGGGCTTTTGGAGGACTCCTGGCAGCAGTGATTGTTAAAAATCTTGAAGGTGTGCATGGAATCCGTGGGTGGCGATGGCTATTCATCGTTGAAGGTGCTGCAACCATAGGGGTGGCACTGATCGCTTTATTCGTACTGCCGGATTTCCCGGCAAACTCCAGGCGTCTTTCCGAACGTGAAAAAGACATCGCAGTGGCCCGACTGGCGGCAGAAGATGTCACAGCTCTCACAGAGGGCAGCCAGCGGCTGACCCATTGGCAAGCTGTCGTGAGATCAATACAGGATTGGCGCACGTGGATCTTCGTTGTCGGCTACATGGTGAGTGTTCACTGCATCCACTCCCTCGCAGCTATAATAACCCGCATCACAATAGGTCATCGTGGGATCTAGTACCCTCTCATACTTCTATCCCACCTTGGTCAAAGGGCTTTTTGGAGATGCCTCGAATGAGAAAGTCAACTTTCTCACAATTCCAATATACGGTGTCGCCTTTGTTTGCACGGGCATCACGGCCTATTATGGCGACCGTGTTCCTGATTGGCGAGGACTGATTATTGCAGTCTGGCTCCTTTTCTCACTCGCGTGCTCGGTGGCTGTTTGCATCATCTATAACTATACAGCCCGATATGTTCTTTTGGTCCTCATGGCTGCCGGGCTCTGGGCTACAAACGGCGGAACCTTGGCCTATGCTTCGTCGGCATTTGCCGGGGCGAGTCCAGAGGCCCGTGGGGTGAGCTTGGCTTTGATCAATGCATTGGGAAATCTGGCTCAAATATATGGCTCGGTAAGTCTTGGCCTTGTCGGTTCCAATGCTTCCAATGCTTATAAAAATTTCCAAGTATCTGTTTCCTGACGAAGATGGTCCCAAGTATATCCTTGGGTTCGCTGTCATTTCAGCCATGTTGGCACTGGGTGTTGCGGTGTTTCTCTTCTTGCACATTTGGTTCCGACGTCAAGCTCGCTCGCCGGCAACAGAAGCCACTGAGATGCGTGACCAGTATGATTAATTTATTACCAGACCGATTTAGTAGTGCCGGGAGACTCCCTCCCGAGGTTTGTCGGGTATTGCTGTCATGTAAATATATCTTGATCAATATGCATAACGTAAAGCACCTGGCGGACACCGATCCAGCTGCTAGTTAGTGATTTTGATTTCAACTGATTTAAACCAAAAGGTTTCATCGTTGAGAGCAATCGGAATAGTGATTCTTGGCGTATAGTAACTCAAGCTCTTTCCGTAATGATGTCGAAGGCCATCTTCCTCGTTGCTGGTGGAGATCGAGTAAGTCTAATAGCGCTAACCTCTCATGTGGGTTAGACACACACATCCCCGCTGATGCAAGAGAAAGTCAGCAGTGTCCTCATGATGAATTGCGGGGTTGTGATACCTCCATAGATAAATGGCAATGCGATCAGGCTAGATGTTGTGTCGTAAGGATCTATCGCCCTAGAAATTCCGCAAATGGTATTCACGGAGAAAGATAAAAGCTTTTGTGCAGTCTGATGATCTTGTAAATCACCTGATGGTGGGCGATTAAGGATGACCAAGATTCGAGCAAGACTGTGAGTCTGAAGTGCGGCAGCATAGCTTGGGGGGTGTATCCAGATCGGTGGGAAGATGCCAGTGCCGGAAACAGTCGGAAGAGGGTTGAACTCGCGGGGCAAGCTTTCTTGCCATTGCTGTAGCATATACAACAGTTCGCTGCCTCTTTCAAGACGCCAAGACATATCTGCTGTGTCTTTCTCTTCCTGGGATGCATAGTTCACACACTGCCCAAGAATCCAGGTAGCTCGCATAGCCAGCTCAGGAGATGTGAGATCTGATAGCGGCTTCTTTGGTCGCCAGAAGCTAAAGATTCGTCGGCGTTCGCGCATTGCCACCCAGACATCTTGCCGAACCCATGCCCACCAAACAGCTTGCCTGAGGCCCCCAGACTCCCCATCGTTGTCCTGGAATCGTTGAATCCAGAACACACCTTTCAGGTGCCGCTCCCAGTCTTGATTCGATCCATCAACCATCTCGTAGGCACTGATCAAAAGGGCGGTAGCGACGAGCTCATGACTCCGGGCATAAGATGGATGCTGCATTGCCTTGTTCAAGTAGTGCAGGGTCTCATAGTAATATTCCACGGCCACATGGCGATCAATAGTGATAGGATGAGCGGGGGACTCCACTTGGTGTGGTGATTCTCGATCCGAATCAAGGGATATATGGCGGGCAGTGAAAGCTAGCAGCGCTTTCATTAAGCCAGGATTGCGCAAAGCTAGATGCGGTACCATTGTCGAAAAATGTCTGAAAGGATCGTAGAAGTCGATCCATTGGCTCGAAAAAGCGACATAGTGGTTGAATATGCGTCGCTCAAGATCAGATAACAAGATTGAGGAGGAAGTCGTCCATGACGAAGGGTCGTCGGGTAGAGAGGGTTCTGACTCGACGGTAGTCGAAATATTGCGGGCTTCGATTCCAGACACCCGTGGAAAAGCCGCTGCGTGAAAGCTCTCGTGTTCCCGCCAACTGCGCGGTCTCAAATTTTCGCTGTGCTGTGGGTTCGCACTATCCCCAAGCTCGGGGGTCCGCGGAAAGCGTTGCGGGGGAGACAGCAAGAAACCGTTATCTGCATTCGCTGCGTCTTTAGCGAGGAGCTCAAACCAACTTAATGGTGCGACTCTGGTAGAAGCCACTGAGACTTCTGTTCCTGGCGATTGGACGAACCCACGATGGGGCTCGGAGTGAGTACACGTTGAACTCCCAGGGGTTACTGCCACCGGGGACAGAGCAACGGACGGAGGCAGAGGCCTTTGGTCTAGATGCTGTTCCTGGTGGCATGCATCAACCAGAACCTGGAGGGGCGCATGCACGTTCCCGGGAGGGGGATTTGATTCCCCGCGTTGAGAACTACCTGAGGTCTCTTGTGCATAAACGCACGGCCTATTACCTTTCACGCATGGCCCACACTGGGGTTGTGCCTACGAACCGATGGTTAGGGCCTGCGCAGCTTTGTACGGAGGAGACGCACCTCATCACATTTCACGTGGCGACGCTTGCAGATGAGACTAGGGGAAGTGAGTAATCTGATCTCATAACTCCGGTGGGGGGGCATGCATACCATCCCGTTGTGGCACGGAGGCCACGGCTCCTGGATTTACGTTTTTGCCGAATAGCCCCCGTCATTGGCGAAGCGTAGAGGAAAAGAAAAGATTCGGCACGAGGAGTGACGCGGGTCCAGCGCCAAGACCGCCAAGACCTCCTCGATACGAAAACATCTACGAGAGCAGTGTCTCTCTTACGCACAAAACCTCCTGGTCTCTCATATACTAATTTCCATTGTTCTGCATATTTGAGACCTATTGAAACCTTAGCGAACCAGATGGGGACAAATTATCAGCTTTGTGGTTGACTTAAATAGTTCAAGGGAGTCGGCTTTAAGAGCCTTTAAGAGCTAGCCCAATTTACACAACGGGCCATCCGCTGGAGAAATCGATTTGGTTCCACCCAAAGAGCTTCTGGCTATCCCCATAGCCAATGGTAGTATCAACATAGTGATAGTAGAGTACGGGGCCGAGGCTAGAATCGGTGAAGACACCCCTGAATAGGAAAGGTCGTTAGAAAGCGGGTTCAATCTCCCCTCCGGACCATTTGGGAGAACTTACTGTCCACCAGGACCATAGACTGTGCCGTGACTTTCCAGAACGACGGTTCCGCCACCATTCGTGCAAGCGGTGCCGGCTTTGTCGACCTATCATGAGGGATTAGTACAGAGTAAAAGTAGGCGAGAGATCCGCCAGGGAGAACCTACAAATCCACCCGTTGCCGTAGTTGATCGGCAGACTTTGATCTTGTACTCCGCTCCACTAGCTGGGCGCGAAGTATCGTAGCCGCAGCAGGTACCAGAGGAGTAGAAGAGGTAGTAGTAGCTTCCATACTTGTACAAGTACGCTCCCTCAACGGCATGTGTTCCAGAAGGATCATAAGCAACATTGTAAGAGGAGGAAGAAACCTTTGTCGCAGCCGAGTTCATGGGAGCCTGGTACAGATCGTGCCAGAAGGAGCCGAAATTCATGTAATAAGTGCCCCCGTCGTTGAACAGATTGGCGTCAATCGCATTGTAGGCCTTGGAAGACGAGGAAGCGATACCCGTGCTTCCACGATCAGTCCAAGTGCCGGACTCCATGGTCGGAGATGTGGCCAGTCCAATGGCAGAATTCTGCGAGCCGAATGTCGAGACGGAGTAGTATACGTGATAGAGGCCATTTACGAGTTGCACATCGGGGGCCTAGCAGACTGGTTAGGATACACTTGTTCAAAGGATACCCAAGCCAACTTACCCAAAGATCGTCATTTCCGGCAAGGTCGATTGAAGATCCACTGGGCAACATAGAGCCGATGTTGGTCCAAGGACCATTGATAGAGGAAGCGCTTGCATACGAAATCTTGTTACCGGTGGAGAATCGGAAGTATTTCTTGTCGGAGGCGCGCTGGATAACAGTTGGGTCGTGAATGTTACAGGCCCCCGAGCTGTTTATCGACAAGAAGTTAGTGATTCATGGTTGATATGACTAGGGCAAAAGACAGTACCAAGCGCCAGGATTCGCATATCCGTTGGCAAGAGCCGCGAACAATACCGGGGTGAGAATATCACGGAAATACATGTTGAAAGGAAGCCTCTTGAGTTGGAGAAGAACTGCTATTCCGAATCGGCAGCGCTGAGGGTTCATATACTTCAGTCTCCTAGAGTGGACCGGAGGTTATTCGTGGAAACCGGAGGTTGTCTCTACATTGGGCGCGGGGTGGAGATCCCTCCGGCGGGCGATGTATACCAAGTGCTGTTCCAGCAGAACGAAACTCGACTAATCCCTTGCGGAGAATGGCAAAATAAACATAGACCATCTCGCGTAAGAGCACAGAAGGAGTATACAAATAGTGCCGACTGGTGGGAATTGTCAAACGCTAGTTGCAGACGCCACCATGCAGCCCGAAACAGGCTGAGTTTCGGGCGTTTTCCGCCAGACACAGCAGAAGATCGGTCGTCGGACAGAAGGGAACCAAGACCTCCGACCGTCAAAATGTCAGTATGGTTCTTTTTCGATATTATGTCGATCATCTGGGAATGCGGACCCGAAAAACCCAACCCCGACTCACTCGTCCCTTAACCACAGAGTCCCTACAGCAGCCCAGCCATGACCCGCGTAAGAGCCTCTTCTTCAGCGTGGAATGCCTCTGATGCAGTGGGCAATCGTGTCTCACCTGTGGGATTCAATCCTACCCCTACTTCGGCCGTAATATCCGAGCCTGAATGAGGGTCGAAGTAAAAGTCACCCGCAATCTCGAAGAAGCTGCTGAGGTCCTCACAGCCATTTGTTTCAGGTTGAATTGTCGCGTCAGGTGAGATTGGCCAAGAAAGGTGGACTGATGGATGAGGGGTGGGTAATGTAGATGCTTGATGAAGGCCGGGGGTTCCCTGTGTCATCGGGGACCCTGTAGCAGTAGCCAAAGAACTATTTTCCCACGCTGCGTGTGGCAAGTGTTGTTTAACTTGCTCAGGGGAATACCTGTCAGAGTGATGGGCTCCTTTGAGCGATGATTGACGTCCATGGTCATTATCCCGTTGGATATTGAGCTGAATGCGCTTCAGACCACGGATTACTTTTTGCAGTCGCCGAGAAGTGCGGGCCCTAGTTGCTGAGCGGCGGACCATGTCCACCGCTGTGTAAAATTCAGGGCGACAAGCGCGGCTGAAATGGGCGGGGGCGTGGAGTACCGCCAGGAATAAAGCGGCCAGGGCAGAAAGAAGAAAATAGTTGAATGGCTCCGGCCGCTGGAAATAAATACTGGAGATTTGACTATAGTACTCCAGCATATGGATCGTACTTTTCGCCGTTTCTACGGCAATCGAGGCACCGGTAATGTTGTCCATGATACGCTCACTGCTGAGCAGGTTCTGCCTGTAGACGAGAATTCGGAGCTGATTTGCCTGGAGAGCAAGAAGAACCTGTAACATCATGGCTCGGTCGGTGTGCTCCGATCCCGCCGGGGATCGCCAAGTGGGATCAAATCGCAGCTCAGATGGGATGGATTGGATCCAATGTTGAACCTGGGCATCCAAATAAGCACAGCTTTCGGATGTCGCCGCTTGGGACCGGCTTTGCCAACCGACAACCAAACCCCAAATCTTCGTGCTCAAGCGGGCGTGGGAGATCATGCACGTCAGATAAGGGGTAGAGTGGCCAGGCTCTGGGAGGTTGGTGTCAATGTCAGAATCTTGGATCGAAAATGGCAAGCCCGAGCCGAAAGCGAACTTGCGATCAAGTACATAGATGCACCAGAACAGCCGGCTCGCCCATGTCCATTCAAGCTCCCCTGGGAAAACGCCGCCGGTCCTTTGCCAAATCTCCTGGCGATGTAGCCCTAGCTCTGAGCTCCCTCGAACAGCCATATTGATGAAACGACCAGCGATAACTTCATCGTCACGATAAGAGTGGAAGATTGACTGTCACAATCAGTCAGCCTTTAATCAAAAGGGCATGTTCAACTGGCCAGGAGAGTTGGAAAAAAAAAAACGCACCAACAGAGTGAGAATCAGTATCTCTTTCATATCAACCTCCGGGATCTTCATGCGACTTGCAAAACGATCCTCTACGCTGTCAGCCAGGTGGGCGGCACGCTCGCTTCGACCGTGCGACTCGACCAAGAGGGCAGTGGCCAATAAGATCTTGAAGACCTGGACATCGCGTGCGGAAAACCAATCCTGATCCGAACCTGCTTCCTCTGAGTAGTTCGCCGATCGGGTCACCGAGTCTTGGCGGTAGTATTCTAGCACTGATATTGTGAGTCTGGGTCAAAATTGGGGCTGAACACAGTCTGTGTTACTGGGGATCATATTTACCGTATGCACGCACACCATCCAGATCAACAAACGGATACATCACACCCACTGTATCTTCATAGACTTGCACTAGTCGCAACGCTTCATCCGCGCCAAGGCTCTTCAGCGGGTCTCCGGTAGAGGCCTCCACCCTTTGTTCTGACGGCGCAGGGCTAGCCACACTGCTTGATGTATCAAGCTCCTCCTCGGGGCCGCCAGTTATGTCATCACCGCCAGCTGGCGATGACGGCCTCTGAGGCCGACCAAGCCCGAATTCGGCACTGGTTGGTCCGACATATGTTGGGGACTTGGGTGCATCTAGAATGCGGTGTAGACTACCCCCGGGGAGCGTAGCTGATAGCTTATTTGCAGGGGCAGGACTTGCAGTAGACTCTAGCTCCAAAAGTCGCGCGGAAAGTGTCCGCATTTCCCGCCGTAGGCTATCCAATTGAGAGTCCACGGCTCGGAAACGGGTATCTGCACTGGTGGTAATGAGTGACGATGCCGTGGCGAATCGATGGGGACGCACTGTTCATCCTTTTCACCTATTTCCTGCACCCCTCCAGGGCGGCTGGTAGCATAGGTACACTCGATGTGATCGCGTGTACATCGTGCGCAGACTGATTCGCCGCTACATTTCAACTTGCGGCGTTTGCACTCATTACTACCTGGTCAGTATCAAGTATTGAAGGCTGCAGCTACCAACTTACCATGCGACCTGGGCATATTTAGCCCTTTTCCTCGGTCGAGCAGTATCCGCCGGGGACTCGGAAGTCATGATTGAAGGAGAAAGTGAAGCAGATCGGAACGCGGAAAGAGAACCGAGAAGACCCACTTATCCTGGCCTATCACAGTCGACTCTCGAGTTCCGTTGAGCGTGAAGTGTATACACCTGGGCAGCAGATAAACATCTTGTTCATGAATGTTGTCTACGCATAATGAGTAGATGAAATTTACATGAGATACTGCTAGCTTTTCACATGAGGATCTGTGACAATATTGCTCACACACACAGGTTGGAATCTACTTCGTACGCTGTTATTCATGAATGCTTCAGCGAATTCACACTGTGGACACATGACAATCTTAGCAAACTGGGCTGCTAATGCTCAGGGGCCACTGAGCTTTGATAAAAGCCCTGACAGTTACAGAAACGGAGTGGACTGATTCATATCGAAGATGTTAATTCCGTCCACGGCAGGCCCGCCGGACGAAATCACAATGAGACTTGGCGTAGATACACACATACCTACATAGGTATGTAGGTACTCCAAGGCTTGTTCCTACAACCTTAAGCCACCATCGTTGAAAAGTAAAACAGTATACAGTTTTGGCCGATGTAAGCATTGATACATGGCCTTGTGGGATTCCCTAGGATGTTGGTATATAAGATCTAGAGACAATTCTCAAATATGGGATTTTCTGCAGCATTCCGCATCCGCAAGACGTGATGACCCATTCTTGTTGGATGGCACGTCAATCGAAGGATTAGCCACGAAGAAGTCCGCGGGTCGGATCATAAGCTGGAATATCTCGACGGGCCTGGAATCGAGTCAGTCGGGTACCGTGGGGGATCGTGGGAAAGAGTGAGCAACATACATGACAGGCCAATCCTCTACCCGTGGGTTGTGAGTGATTCCAAAGGAGTTCCAGACCACCACATCAGTGTCAACCACGGAGTCTCCACGACGCACTGCGTCTGCAACACCTTCAACTTCCGTTTGACTCTGCAATGTATACCGGCCACCAGCGTAGAGTTCTCCGTCACGGTGCTTCGTCACCCACACGTGGTGCTGTGCGAACTGGGCACGCCGCGCTTGCACAGATTCCGGATCGGCGAGGAGGTTCTGAGTCGCCTGTGGAATGAACTTGTATCCCACCGGGTTGCCACTGATGGGGTTTTTCTTGTTAGGGTTGATCATTTTGATCGTGCGATTCAACTGGGGAGCGGCATCAATCCAGGATGCCCGCTCGACCGTCTGCTTAGTGACCTGATAGAAGTTTCCGTTGGGATTTGTGACCGCATTCATGGGGACGGGATGGGATTCTTCCACGACCACAGAGTTGTTTTGTCCATCAATGGCAGGGTCAATCCGGACATTGAAGATGTGTTGATGGTTCTGTGCTAGCACACCACCAGAGACAACATTACCGTATTCGCTGACCTTGCCTGCATCGATATTCACGACGTTCAGGATACCGGTCGCGCGAGCCTCGACAACAATACCTCCAGATTGGTCAAACTTGTAAGCGAAAATGTACTCGTAATTCGCCAGGGTAATGATAAACTGAACCACCAGCTCGCGATTACGCGTAACGACAGCGCGACCAGTGCGCCAGTTGGAGTGTTTCCAACCAATGCCATTATCCTGTTCATGAAGACAAATTGCATTGGGGAGCTTTTGGGCAGTTCCGTCGGCCTGCGTTATGATGGCATCGAAGTACTTGATTACTCCCAGGCAATCGCAGCCCAGAGAGAGGTTGTTGGCCATGTTTCCACCACCGCCGTCGCCAAAGTCAAATGCCTGCTTGCGGTGGAATGGTGGGCGAGGGTCTGCATAAGGAACGGTCTAGAGGAATGGCCATTAGTATTTGGTATTCTCCTTGGGAAATTTCATATCTTACCATTTCGCTGATCGCCAATCGGTGCATGACGCTGCGGCCATCGTAGGACAGGTCGTGGATCGTAGCGCCCTCCCGCGGGTTGAAGGCGACACGGAACCGCCATTTCTGCCATTCAACCAGTGATTCATTTGTGACGCGGAATGATGGGCCCTCCGGTTGGACGACATTTAGTGGCTTGAGATCCTTGCGAGTTCCCTCTGGCATGAGCTCCGGCACGTATTCGGATGGCTTGCAGTGCCCAATGATATCCCGCTTGAAAGTTTGTTCCAGAAGTCCATCGCCTTTTCCGCCCGTGGCAGGTCGATCCACGCGGATGATCTCCTGGGTGTGCGCATCCATGACTGGGATGATAGGCAGCGGGAAGGAATAAAAGTTAGAGTCTTCGTTCCCATTCCGCTTATCTTGGGCAAAGCAAAGGCCTTGGAAGAAACGTCTGTTCTCATCGGTGTGATCCAACCCCCCATAGGGCCACGGCTCAATGACAACTTCGAATCCGGTTGGAAGATCGAATTCGGACAGGGCTTTTTGGAAGAGCGGTGACTGCATGCACCGGTCGACGAGGACATCAAACTCGCTCCTGTTTTGGTCAGTGGACTTTTCAAATTGTTTGCAAGGTCTGTCGAGGAGAGGAAGTCTTACAGAGTCAAACTGGCATGGTGCTCTTTCCCCACTACGGTGTGTTTAACACGCGACCGAGAAACCACGTCAATAACTGACTCATGAAATTGGGGAATGCGATCGGACCCGATCACATCGTATTGACAGAGCGCCAGACGCGGAGGACGAGGAGTGGTAGGACTTAGGCGTCCAGCGTGTTCGATGGCGAGAAACTCCACCAGTTGTTCCTTCGGTGGCTCCTGCAAGAAGATCTCCCGAAAGTCAATGACTACGTCGGGGTGGACAGATTTGACCACATCGCGGGCCAAATTTGTCTCCTCGATGGACAGAATCGCAAGTGGATGAGACATGATCAGCACTTCTCACGATGTACGGAATTAAGTGTCATATCTGTGCAGAAGGCAGCTATATATCCCAGGTCGGGCAGATGCTCGGAAACTCGGAAACTCGGAATGCCATTCCTCAGCGGTGGGGACCCGGAAATGGTTCCGTGGCACTGGGCGCATGGGATTGGAGCCAAAATGCGGGGGAGGCCAAAGCTTGTGGAGATCGCATATCAACTTGGGTGATAAGCCAAAGACAAGTAATTGCTAAGCCCTAGCTGGTGCGGGCGATACCGTTTGGCAGATACATGCCCAGATAGGCTTCTGAGTTTCCTAGGCATCTAGGCTGGCGGCCATAGGAAGGGTCCCGTCATTGCCGCCCTCGTAGATATATACTGGTTTACAGTTCCGTGGGAGCCGTCACATTTTCCGCCTCGAGTTAATTTCATTTCATTCTCATTCTTTCCATTATTCCAAAGCATGAATCCAGCGCTAGTCTCTGAATCAAAAGGACCGGACCCTGAAAAGCCCCTCAGTGATGAGGAGCAACTCACGGCGCTTGGCCATGTCCAAGAGCTCCGCCGTGAATTTTCACTGTGGTCAATCGTGTGCCTTCAGATTTCTCTGATGGCAACCTGGGAGGCTTTGTCATCTGTTGTCACCACTGCCCTGACAAATGGGGGAGCACCGTGCCTTTTCTACAACTAGTGAGTCTCCTGCCAGTCTACCATGTGCCCCTGGGAGTGCTCTAACCCTGGAGTCAATGTAGTATCATCGCTCTGGTCGGCACGATGTTTATTGTCATCTCGTTGAGCGAAATAGCCTCAATATATCCAACTGCGGGCGGTACGTTTCCCAACCTCGGGCCTTAGCACAAGGCCTCGGCTGACAATAACGGGAATCCGATAGGGCAATATCATTGGGTACACTGTCTGGCCCCTTCCTCATATAAGTCAACGGCGTCTTGGTTCACTGGATGGATATCGATTGGAGGGCAACTTGTCTTCTCTGCCTCTGCGGCCTTCGCAGCAGGGCTGCAGTTCCAGGCACTGATCACGCTAAACCACCCCGACTCGTATATACCGACCAGATGGCAAGGGATGATGTTTTACTGGCTGATCTTGGCATACTCAACAGCTCTGAACATCTGGGGGTCTAAGATCTTGCCTCACACCAACACCGCTGCCGGTGAGTACCATGCGATTCGATAGAACGGTTGGAGCTGACAACAGCCAGGGGTCTTGCATGTGGTTGGATTCATTGCCATTGTTGTCGTTCTAGGAGCACTTCCCCCCAAGCACTCTGCGAGCTATGTCTTTACCGAATTTTCCAATACCAGTGGGTGGAACAGTGATGGGGTTTCATGGCTTGTGGGGCTTCTGAGTACCGTCTACCCATTCTTAGGGTACGTAAAATTGACAACGACGGTTTCCGAGGAAGACGCTAATGATTGTCTGGTTTCAGATATGATGCCGCATGCCATTTAAGCGAGGAGCTGCCGAAGCCATCCCGAAATGTCCCACTGGCTATGATCGGGAGTGTGACCATCAACGGAGTGATTGGTCTGGTGTATGCGGTGGTACTGCTTTTCTCTCTGGGGGATCTCGACGATCTACTCCAGTCTAAGACTGGATTTCCCTTCATCCAGCTCTTCCTGAATGTCACTCAGTCCCGAGCAGGAGCATCTGTGATGACCTTGTGCGTCACATTGATTGCGACCGCGGCCAATGCCGCCTGTGTTACGTCCACGAGCCGCACCGCGTGGGCTTTTGCGCGCGATCGGGGACTCCCGACATCTGGATTCTTGTCTGCGGTGAGTCCTCGTTTGAAGATCCCCGTGCGCATGGTCCTTGTGGTGGGGTTTCTGCAGATGCTTCTCGGCTTTATCTACCTCGGCAGCACCACGGCCTTCAACGCAGTGTTGTCAATGGCAATCTTGGGGATGTACGCCTCCTACCTTTCTCCGATTCTGTTCATGCTGATCTATGGCCGTCGCGGATCACCGATTGTTCGTGGCCTTGGCCTGGGTTCCTTTTACCTTGGACCACGCTGGGGACCCCTGGTCAATATCGTTGCTATTATTTGGCTTTTTGTTGCCATGGTATTTAGCACATTTCCCACGGTGGAGCCTGTCACCCCTGAGAACATGAACTATTGTGTCGTGGTTACAATGGGTTGGATGGTGATCGGGGGGCTTTATTACTATATATTCGGGGGAAAGAAGCGCTTCAGCGGTCCGGTGATAGAGCTGACTGAAGGGATGTGATCATTGAACACATGAACACCTGGGTGTTATTTGCGTATTTCCCTATTCATGAGTTGAATTTGAGTAGCGTTCTAGAGCACCGAGAGAGCCCTGCAGGAATGCTTCCTGCCGGGGCACTGTCACCTGCCCAAGTGGACATGCTGTCTTTGCCTTGAAATTTTCACTGCCCAGTGATTGTCGATCAATTATATGGTATGGAAATTTGCGTTGATGACTTCGAAAACCAAGAGCGAAAAGAGTAGAAAGTGAGTAAAACGAAGCCATGGCTTGACCGAGTTTAGCTCTCTATAGAGCGTTTCAAATGAGACACGATTCCAATGAGTCGAGACAGTGTGACATCTCTGGGATCATTTGACGCTTCATTGCTCGATCTTCTCGGGAAATGTTGCTCCAAAGACAAAACGGCCTTTTAGAATTATTTCCATTTGGCCAACAAAATTCGAAGCGTTGATGAAAGCCCGGGTTGAAAATTCAAGCTTTGTGCTAGCTACTTGCCGAGCTTGTGATTTGCATCTAGAGGCCACGCGTGTGGACTGGTGTAAATATTATTCCGCACAATAGCCACGATTGGGAATCCCTGTAATCTATGTGTGGGACTGCGGCTGAGGGCTAGGGGATGCCAAACGAGTGTCAAACCCTTAAAGTCGAACATGCAGGGGCGCTTGCCCCTAAGAGAGTTAGCGCTCGAGCAGTGTCCCCTTCACGGCTAACTTAGGCAGGTGGATAAAGGAACGTCTCCAGATCGACGGCTCAAACACGAGTACCGCTACCGCTTCTGTTTCTTGCGGTCTTGGCTCCCCACTACAACCCGCTAGCACGGATCTTGACATGAGGGGCAGATGAATTTAAAACTCTCGGGGCGCCCGACAACAACTACACCTGCTATACATTTGCACCAAGACCTGTGGCATTTCTGAAGGACAATGGGCGACCAAAAGACACTCCAGGTTCCCCATTTGGGGGGAATCACTGTGGGATACCAGATGCCACAGCCCTATGACCCTTCAAAGCCGACCCTTCTGATGATCAATGCGTTTACGATGACCTCGGAGCTATATCGGCCTCAATTTGATGACACTGAGCTCAGCGGAGCAATGAACCTGCTAGCGGTCGAGCTGCTGGGTCACGGTCAGACCAGAGCCACACGTAGCCATTGGACATATTGGGACACTGCCGAGATGAATCTGCAGGTGCTGGATGCTTTGGGGATTGAGAAGGCATTTGTGTTGGGCACAAGCCAAGGAGGCTGGGTGACGGTACAGATGGCACTGATGCGACCGGACAAGGTGCGTGATCGAGTCCCGTCTGCTGGCATGTGCTAAAAGAGGTTTAGGTTGCTGGAATCATCCCGATGGGCACATCGATGGATTCAGAATCTGAGCGAAGCCGTCAAATGCAGTGCTGGGATGGACCGAGCATTGTGAAGAGCTTTTTGCTCCAATGGGCCACCACTCAACCGACAGTGAACTTTGACCCCGGCGATGATTATTGCGATGCTGTTATCAGTATCGGATTCAATGAATGTTCGTCAGAGGTGAGAGAGTTCTGGCGCGGAGTGATCAAAGCCACCTACCAGGGCGAAGAAGGCAGACAACGCATTCGCATGGCAGCAATTAACCTGGCCGAGCGTGACGGATTACGGCTTCGATTGCCGGACGTGGCTTGCCCAGTCCATTGGTTGCATGGAACGAAGGATGCGGTCTTTTCAGTAGGAAATGCCGCGGAAGAGATCAAGATGTTTACAGGATCGCCTGATGCTCAATTGACGAAGATAGAGGACGGCGCGCATTTTTTGAGCGCTTCGCACCCGAAAGAGGTCAACGTCATTGTCCTGAAGTTTGTCGCGAAGTGCATGGCCTAATCGCGCGAAATAACCGGCCCATGATATGCTTATGCATAGCATCTTTTCCCCGGTCAGATCGGAAGCAAGCGAGCCAAAACCGACAATATTCGGGGGCGATCCGCCTAGGCCTTCGAACTGAGTGATTTGCCTTGGTCTTGTGTGCATAAGAAGCAGGGCAAAGTTAGAAAGGGGCTCTGTCTCAGTGTCCCATCATGAACAAGTACGAATTAAATGCTGTCAAGAATTTTGACAATCGCGTTAACCGTTGGTGCCAGCCATTGAGGTGAGATGCAGGACTCCGTATTCCAGGGTTGAGTTAATAGACACCTGATTCTCCAGGCGGCAAATGTCTGTGTCACGTGCGAGTTGTGACCCGGATGCTTAATAATATTCAAAGCAAACAGAGCAAACATGTGCTCTCTTGGTGCCTTGATGCCTTGTTGCCTCGCTGCCTCAATGTCTGCCTGAGCCTTGTTTGCCCTCGGGCTTCAACGCATCACTGCTCTGCCCAAACTCCCGAAACTTGGAATTAAATCCTCATGAGGCATGAGACATTGTGGAGGCTCATCCTGAATACCAAGAGCTTTGCAAGTTTTGACTGGAATTGCCTGACCATCTACTCAAAATTTATCCGATGTCTTCGACACGCGCATCAACCCCACATCCCTTCTAACTCCGGCCTCCAACGATCGTCAGAGACACCCGTGCGATATTAAATCAAGTGGAGTTGAGTAGCAACGTTCCACCGGGCTTTTTCCTAACACGCAGCTCTCAAAATACGTCGCAAAAGATCTACTTGGATCCCTCCACGGATGGCATAGTGCCCTGCAGTGCCCCTGCGCCTTGATCGCACTAACCGAATAGAGATTGACGAACTCTTATCGGCCAACTCCAGAGGCCTCTAAGGCTATGTTCTGCATGCAGCTTGACATCATCAATATGAAAATGAGTGTCATCGTCCTCTGGAGAACACATGGGGAAAGGGGTTTCAAACCCGCAAACCAGGCCCTGAACCGCGAATCCTTGCCCCTATGTCGATACTCAAGCACTCAAAATTATTTCACATCATGCCTTGAAAAAGAAACCCATGAATCAAAAGCCCCTCGATTGGTCAGGGGTTTGTAAAGGCGAAGCAGCAACCATAAACTTTCCGTTAACCGAAAAGTGGGTATTTAGACACAAGGTCTCGGAGTGCTTTGCGGGGCATATCAATCTGCCTCTTGATGCTGCGTGACCAATTTACTAATTTGTCGAGAAAGCTATCTAAGCTGTTTAGAATGGCCCCCGCCGGTATAATCATCGGAGGATTGCCTCGATGCGATGATGATCGAACCATACGTACTATTGGTGAAGGTTCCAAGGAAGTCACCGTCTGATCTCCTTGGCATCGTTGTAGGATCCGGTTAAATCGGACCCGAGGGCTACTATATAGTCCCAGAAGTCCTCCCAGCTCTGTGATCAAGCCTCTCCATTGGCACTTGATTTTGCATACAAGAACAATGGTTCAAATACAAGCGAGATCCACCCTCGCTGCGGTGTCCATTTTTGCAGGACTTTTTGCAAAGGCACAAGGTATCTCTCTCGAGGTGTCAAGCAACGGGGGAAATGCCTCCAGTTCCCTTCTCTACGGCTTCATGTTCGAGGTAACTTATAGACTTTGACTATGCAGGTATCGGCATCAAATCATGCTAATGTGATTCATTAGGATATCAATCACTCGGGAGATGGAGGAATCTATGGGCAATTGTTACAGAACAATGGATTGCAAGGCTCGAACCCAGACCTTACTGCCTGGGGTAAAGTTGGCGATGCCACAATTGCCGTGGATTCCAATAACCCTTTGTCATCTGCAATTCCGCATAGTCTTCGGTTGGATGTCCCCAAGGGAGCTGATGGCTCAGTGGGCGTGACAAACTCCGGATACTGGGGAATCCCTGTTGATGGGAATGATTTCCAAACTTACTTCTGGATCAAGGGTGCCCTTGATGGAAACGTTACTGCCAGACTTGTTGGGAATGGTACTGGTGTTGAATATGCTTCGACTTCCATCCCGGTTTCTGCGAACGACAAAGAGTTCACGTATATCGAAGCCACAATCCCCACCACTAAGGCTCCTGATGGCAACGTCTACTACGAGTTGAGTGTCGATGGCAGTGAAATTGCCGGGGGCTCTCTTTATTTCGGCCTGGTTCAGCTGTTCCCCCAAACATATAAGAGCAGGTATGTATCGATTCCCTGAACTATTCAGCAATTATCAAAGCTAACAAACACACTTTAAAGGCGCAATGGCCTTCGACCTCAGCTGGCCAATGCTTTGGAATCTATTAAAGGATCTTTCCTCAGATTCCCCGGTGGAAACAACCTGTAAGATCTCGTTTGGAGAAGCTTTTTATCTGCCTTGAACATGACTGATCAATAACCAGAGAGGGCGCAAACGAAGGCAGACGGTGGAAGTGGAATGAGACCATTGGGCCAGTCGAAGACAGGCCTGGAAGGCAAGGTGAGATAGTCATTCTTCCAACTTGCGTTTTGGGTGGTGGCTTATTAGCTGCATATAGGCGACTGGGGGTACTATAATACCGACGGCTTAGGTGAGTGGCTCGTGAATTCTACTGCAAAGGCAAAGGCTCATCTGAAAAGGTCTGGATGAATACTTCTATTGGTGTGAGGACATGAATCTGTCACCCATCCTTGGTGTCTGGGATGGATTTTCGTTGGAATCCGGCGGAAGCACCCCTATCACTGGAGACGCTCTTAAGCCCTACGTGGAAGATGTGTTGAACGAGCTTGAGGTAAGGAGAAACACCAATGACACCTTGAATCTACATACTGAAAGTTTTGCAGTATGTGCTTGGTGACAGTAGTACTAAGTACGGGGCACTGAGGGTTGCAAATGGCCGCAAAGACCCGTGGCCCCTCACTATGGTCGAGATCGGAAACGAGGATATGCTCGGAGGCGGCTGCGACAGTTATGCGGAGCGATTTACGGCCTTCTACGATGCCATCCATGAGGCTTACCCCAAATTGACTTTGATTGCTAGCACAGAGGACCCTTCGTGTCTCCCTAGCTCGATGCCCGAAGGGGCTTGGGTTGACTACCACGACTACAACACCCCGGACGGCCTGGTCGGTCAATTCAACTTCTTTGACAACTTGGATCGATCATTGCCGTATTTCATCGGTGAATGGGCACAGAAGGGCGTGGATTGGCCCATCATGCAAGGCTCAGTTGCCGAGGCTGTGTTCATGATCGGAATAGAGCGCAACAGTGACGTCGTCAAGATGGCTGCCTATGCACCTTTGTTGCAACTCACAAACTCGACCCAGTGGACAGTACGTGCCGAAACAAGACCCTTAATTCCCCCAACCTTGACCAGTTTGATAACTGACCGCGTATTTTCAACAGCCAAACCTCATTGCATTCACGCAAAGTCCTTCCATGGTGATTGAGACAAGCAGTTACTTTGTTCAGCAAATCTTTTCCGCCAATAGAGGAGAGACAATCCGGGAGATCACAAGCGATTCTCAATTTGGACCTGTCTATTGGGTTGCATCGAATACCGATGACACCTACTACGTGAAGCTGGCGAACTATGGCAGCAAGACCGAAACTGTCAGCGTCAAAATTGCAGGATCTACCAAGGCTAAGCTGACAGTGGTTGCCAACAATGACGCCAATGCCGCAAACACAGACACAGAAACCCTCGTCACTCCAGTGAATTCTGAATTAAGCGGCAAAGATGGCGAATTCTCCTTGACTCTTCCCGCTTGGTCTGCTGCGGTTCTTGTTGCGAATTAGATCTAGATTTCACAGTGAGCATCAACACTCGGATACGCAGTCTGAGGAATCCAATGGAGGCTACTCCTCCATTTCAAAGCTATATTTTCTCGTTCTTCTTTTCTTTGCGCCCACAAGCTTTACAAGGCTTCTAGGCTGAATAATTGCACAACCCTATTACCAATACGGTGGTCAATTCCTGATTAAAAGGCCAATATTACTAGTCATAAGTTCTTTCTGCTCCTAGTTGTCAGATATCTTTCTGGGTTGGCTAGGCTGATTCAATGTTACGCGATCCGCTTCCCAATATGCAAGCACAGTGGCGATGATTCGATCTTGATCTTCATCAGAAAGACCCATATGAACTGGCAAAAGTACTATCTGCGATGCTGCCAACGATGTAACAGAATCAACACCAGAGAAGCGACCATGAGCCTTGCCGTACGGCGACAGATGCAGAGGCATAAACTGTGCATGGGCCTCAATGTTGGCGTTGCCTAAGTATCGAATTATCCCTGGGCGTTGAGAGGTATCCTTCAATTGCATCCAAAATATGTTCGCATTGTGGGTCGTATCTTTGGGGATCGTAGGGAGATCGATGTGCCCTTTCTGCGACAATGGAGCAAGAGAAGAGAAATATCGCCCCCAAAGCCACAATCTCCGTGCGCTGATTTGATCAGAAGCTTCCAGTTGTCCGAAAAGAAAAGCTGCCTGCAGTTCTGAGAGAGTTGCGTTCAATCCTATATCCAACCAGTGATATCGCTCTACTTCTCCGCGAAGGAAGCGTCCCCGATCAGTACCATGCTCATAGAGAATTTCAGCGCGCTCCACAAGACTGGGATCATTGACAAGTAAAGCGCCACCTTGTCCACCAGCTGTAAAGTTCTTCTTCTCTTGGAAACTAATGCAGCCAAGCTGGCCAATCGTACCTAGCATCTGTCCGTGATACGTCGAGCAACATGCCATTGCAGCATCTTCGCAGACAAAGAGGCTGTGTTTCCTTGCGACTTTCATTATCATTTCCATATCACAGGCAACCCCACCGTAATGTACCGGAATAATCGCCCTTGTCTTTTTGGTGATAGCGGCTTCGATCAGGCTGGCATCAACATTCATTGTTGAACGGTCTAGGTCCACGAAGACAGGGGTAGCACCACGCAGAACAAAAGAGTTCACAGTGGTCACATATGTATAGCTTGGCACAATGACCTCATCTCCGGGTTGAATATTGGCAAGAATGGCCGCCATTTCGAGAGCAGAGGTTCCAGATGAGACCACCAAGGCCCGACCACCTTGCATAAAGCCCTCTAGCCATTCTTGGCAGAGCTTGGTGTATTTCCCCTTTCCGTTCAAACACCCTGAGCGAAGGCAATCTTCGAGGTGGCGAATCTCAGAGCCTAGGATTGTGGCAGATGTGTTTTTAATAACACGTTGATTGGAATCAAGTGGCATGTCGAGATGGTTCTCTTTGAACGGGTACTTAGAAGTCAGGTTGTACCAAGAAGTTGAACGTTGATGTCGGAGCGCAGCAGTCTGATGGCTTAAATACTTGATGCCATTGCCTGATCGTGCGGCTTGGTGTGTTCAAACATATCTTATAAATTGGAAGAAGATACAAAAATCCCATTGATGTTAGTCGTAGCTGTGTTGCCAAATGACAGCTGCTCCTGTAGACCGAGATGATAAAATTAGACCAATTACATTCTCCAATTTCTGCTGTACAACTGAATGCTGCAAACATCATCAACTGCGAGAAATTCACGTGTTTGAACGATGGATTACATGCTGTGAAACGTGCAGTGGCAAGGACGTCATCTGCAATGTGTGATTACAGGCTATTTAATTTTATATATTGGACTGATATTACAGAAATCCAAAGTACAACTCTGGGAAGTGCTCTCTATTGTTCCATGAAATACCAAGTAAATAGAGGGGTGACTCAAGATAATTCCATCTTCCACGACATCTGCGCGGATGCTCATTTGGATTCGTATTGTTCAGTCATGGATTAGGAATGTGAAAAACAACACCCCTTCTGGTAATTCTCATGCTACATACAGTCTGCGGGCTAGCACCTACGGAGAGTTTGCAGTATTTCATCCCTTCCAAGGCTCCAAGGTTAGCGTGACACAAACCCATCCAGGAATGTGAGATATTCAATATCTTCTGCGGCTGCTAGAAGATCTTGGTTTTTGAAAGTTGCATACAACTCTCGTACCCAGTCCCGGGATTGATGCCGAACAAGGGAATCTGGGCTCGACCATCTAAATTGAGTAAGTATGACAGTTTTCAATGTCTGAGATTGAGCTTAGAATTTGAATATTGGAACGGGTTGGTTATGGATGGCATTCGGGAGAGTGGTCATACCGTTCAAATACTTTGTATACCGAGGCACCAGATTTGTCGTGGGTCTCATACAGAACATATGATAAACAATCGACTTCGATATTGGCAATTTTCTTTGAAATCTGGCAAAGGGTTTCTCGAAGCTATAGATTTTAGAACTCCACAGAAATGAGGTGAGGATTATATGTTGCTCTGACCTGCTCCTCCTTTCCAGGGTTAGGACACAAAGTCGAAATCAAGTAGACCTCAGCCATAGCGAAAGAATTTGAGATAATTGGAAGACTGTGTAGGATTCCAATATGAAAACTTATTAGCAAAATAACGACTTGCGTGGATGGAAATATATCTCTCATTTGCCATATAGGCCTAAGACTGACATGAGAAGTCATTCCTGCCGCTTCCCGAGCAGCCCTTGGAGCATAAAGGACGGACGCCCAGGATTATCTCCGACTCGGCCAAACCCTGATGTTATGACACTAATTTGCTCTCCAAATTCGGGAAGATGCAGTTAAATCTAACTTATCACCGTTTCACATGTTCAAGTACTACCATAACCTTACTTTCACATGCGATATTGCATATGACGGTCACTGCTCTAGACTTTCCAGGTTCTAAGGTTTGATCTCTATATCTCTTCCTGGCTGTTACACACATCTCGCAAAGTTCCACATAACGGTCAGCTAATACAAGATCACAAAAATCTAGGTTGACTTCTGAGCAAAGTAATATCAGAATGATTGGATGTCTACTACTAGGTATGCGTTGGAAGTTAGAAGATCCTCGTAATCAAGCAACAACCTTGGAATTTAAGAGAGCCGATTGCTCTTCTACATTCTAATCTTGTCGTCTAGGGGAAGAAATTCCAAGATTTTCTCACATCAAGTCTGCTATAACTCTATGGCATTCTCACTGACAAACGGTCAACTGACCAATGGGATTGCCCCGGGGCTCCATCAAAATGGCGTTGCATTGCCGATGACTGTTATGGAAACGATTCTAGTGACGGGAGGAGCAGGATTCATGTGAGCAAAAGCATATCAACTTCCGAGTTCTAAAGCTACAGCGTGTAATAATCTCTAATTTAGCGGGGGATGGTTCGTCCGCCATATCACAAGCAAATATGCACACAAGTACAGAATAATTTGCTTCGATAAGCTGGAATACTGCGCGTCTCTGAAAAACTTCAAGATAATTGAATGCTGCAGCAATTTCCATTTCGTACAGGGCGATATTTGCAATATTTTGGAGATTGAAAGGGTGTTGGAGAAATATGAAGTCAGTATCGTGGTTCACCTGGCAGCCAAGTCTCATGTGGATACATCATTTGATGACCCGCTTTCATCAACAACTACCAACGTATTTGGTACGCAAGTTCTCCTCGAAGCTTGTCGAAAACAAGGGTCCCTTCGAAGATTCCTCCACATCTCTACCGATGAGGTATATGGACAGAACGATAGCTTGAGGATGATCGCGTTCTCCGAAAACGACTCGCTCAATCCGACAAACCCCTATGCTGCAAGTAAAGCGGCAGCGGAAATGATTATAAGAGCTTACTTGATATCATTTAAGATGCCAATCATCGTCGTTCGATGTAATAATGTATTCGGCCCATACCAATACCCCGAAAGTATGTCTGCACAGCACCCTTGAACATCCCCCCTGCTTAGCATTTTGTTGATACCTCAGCAGAGCTGATCCCAAAGCTTATCAAACACTCAATAAGTGGCGCCAGGATGCCCATTCATGGCGATGGCAGTAACATTCGATCATTTCTCTTCGCATCCGATGCGGCAGAAGCCTTAGATGTGATACTTCACCGGGGTAAGGACGGTGAGACCTATAATGTTTCATCAAATACTCGGCTTGAGGTCAGAGAAGTCGCCACACAGATTCATAACTATTTCATCAAATCGAAAGGATTCGAGGATAAACCAGATTATGTCGAGATGGTGAAAGACCGGCCTTTCAATGATAGTATTTACTGGACCAGTGGCTTGAAACTACAAAAGCTTGGCTGGAGACAGAGAAAAAGCTTTGAAGAGGGTCTCCAAGAGACCATTGAGTGGTATTGCGCAAATTTGAAAGGATTTTGGAGAGAAACACAAGGATGATAATTGTCCTTGTGCAGCCGCACAAATGAAAGATACAAAATGGGCTTACTGGTCTATTCCAATGTTTATTTTTCACGGCATTTAATATTGATTCCATCCCCGGGAGCCCCAGAAGGTGCAGAGGGATACCGAGGCGGGATACCGAGATGCGCTGAGCGGGATGCCGGGCGGGATGCCGGGCAGGCGAGTATTAGGGCTGATTAATGGAAGTTCAAACTGGGATCTGCTAAATATGGATTATTTTATCATGTTTTGTCACGATTTCGTAAAGCTTCTATGCTGCCCGAGTGCTTACATAGAATTTCGTGGCTTATAAGGGGGAAATATTTGAGGTTGACACCCATGCATTGCTTTGATACCTAGGCACTTCATACTTCATACTTCATCTAGATCTGCAAACACATCGCGTGGGAGTGCACACAAACCCAATATCGTCAAACCGTCAGATAAAGTCAACCATATTCCAAAAGACATGGCTCCCACTCTCGATGTCATCCACATTGGCACCGCCACTGCCATTCTCGAGATCAACGGTGTCAATTTCTTGACCGATCCATTCTTCTCCCCTGCCGGTACCACCTGGGACAGAGGCCGCATCGTTTTGAAGGTTACGGAAGATCCTAAGCTTCATCTTAACCAGCTTCCCGTGATTGATGCTGTGCTGTTGAGCCACGAAGATCACCCTGACAATCTGGATGAGCTCGGTCGACAACTCCTCGACGGGCGTCGTGTTTTCACCACTGTTGATGGGGCTCAGAACCTCGCGCCCCGACCTGCTGTTCATGGCATGAAGTCATGGGAAAAGATTGACAGTGTAATTGCCGGGAAGAAGTTCACTATCGTGGCGACCCCAACGCAGCACGTTCCGGGAAACGAATGTACCGGTTTCATCGTGACTGGCGAAGACTTTGGAACTGGCCGTGATGGCCTCCCAAATGCGATCTACTTCAGTGGTGATACTGTCTATATTGAAGAGTTGACTTCCATCGCGGATAAATACCACATTCGTGCCGCTGTGATGAACCTGGGCAATGCGCATGCTCCTCTCCTAGAAGATCCCAACGCTCCTCTCATGCAGATTACCATGGGTGGCAAGGATGGAGCCAAGCTCTTGCGTGCCATCAAGGCCGATATTCTTGTCCCCATGCACTATGAGTCCTGGGGTCATTTCACCCAATTCGGGGTCGAGCTGCGCCAGGCCTTTGAGGATGCGGGTATCAGCGATAAAGTTTGCTGGCTGGAAGGAGGCAAGAAGATCTCTGTTCTTTAAATGTTGCTGGAACCTTGAAGTTGCTATGGCCTTTTTGAACTATGTACTATTCCACTGTTTCTTCTGACTGTGAGCCTTGCTTTTTTATCAACCTTGAATAGTACAAATAGACCGGCATTTCCATTTTGTAAAGCAGTTTCCTAAGGTTTCAGGGTAAACGTCGATCCTTAAAGCTAGTGATTTGATTGTTAAAAAAGGGGTCATGTTCGGCTTCTGTTGATTTCAGTGTGATCTAAGAAGTCAGATCGTCCCCGGTACAAGTGCATATCCTCACGATCGGTGTTTCCATTCTCTTCCGAGTCACGCTGGATACCATACGCGTCGCTAATAACTATGCACCGGTGAATCGAGCTTTTATATTCTTGTTTCCCTCTTTCATTTTCTCTTTTTCAATCAACGACCGGTGAATAAAAATGGCCGCTCGCTTGTATGTATGAGTATAAGGAGTATTCCTATCAAGATCAGTGTGGTCACATTCCCACTAGAATCATGTCCTCGGCCCTGCTTCAGAGTTGGTTGATGCCAAATTCACTCTATTCATTGTGCTAAGCATACACTACGAATACTCTAGAGTGATCCATCTTATAATCCACGGTAGACATATCCTGCTTTGGGGGTCGGAGCCCTACCCGCTCCGCTGCCCAGATCGGCCGAGTAGATAAAACCCTCATCGGACTGAATTCAGAATCCCCAGTTCTTTCTATATTACTCAAACGTCTTCGTTCAACTTGACTTACTCATCTAAATTCTCACTTCATCATTGACATCCTCACTTGAGACGGACACTTTCTATAATCATGGATCTTGCTAATACCGAACCCGAGCCGGCTAGAATGTTCTTTCGCGCGGCCTACGAACCACTCGATGGAAAAATGGTCTTCGCCAAGCGATTCGTGTATATTGTAGGGGGTTATCAGTACTTTTGTCCTGCCAAAACTCTTGCCGAATTTCTGTTCGCCGAGCACCGGTTTCGATACCAAGCCCAGCTTATGGATAGCGCGATAGAAAGCATCGAAGAAACCTCCGGCGAGGATACATACCAAGCTGAAAGGGAATGGGAAGACGCTCGTCTTGAGCAACTCCAAGACATCGGTCGCGGTTATATTGAGCGTGAAAGGACGCTCTTTCTGAAGGAAAGCGCCATGACTGGCATTCTTGAACAGGCTTGGATTGGAACTCAAAGCAAACCGACATGGTATCTTTCCAGTGGGCTAGTCAGCGAATGTATTGGGATGGGGGGCTGTTGCACCAGGGGCTGTGGCTGTTGCAAGAAACGGCTAGCCTCTCTAAGTAGGCACGGTATGAGTGGGCACTGCTCTCTGGCATGTGTATGCTGTCAAGAGTATAAGGGATATTTTCTCGACAACGACACTGTGAACTCAATGGACCAAGAGTACAAGGATGCACTCGAGGGCGACAACCCATTTTTCCTTGGGCGCTTGGCAAGTGCCTTCTTTGACCCGTTGCTGTTCTCAGATCAGCAATCCTTCATCAGTTACCCGACCACTGAAACAGGTGATGTGGAGGAGATTGAGGATGTTTTTGTTGAACCAAGCTTACCTCCTCCGCCTTACGAAAGTGACGATGAGGCTTACCATCGTTGTCATCGGGGCTCAATTTGCTCTCTAGGTAGATAGATCACTTTGAATTGAAGCTTTTGTCGGGATTTCTTGGTTAGTTCCATTTGAATCTCGTTCCTACCGTAGAGGATTCCGGCATGGAAGCAACACTTGAATCAAGAAATAAATTCATTGAAGAAAAAATCCGAGGTCGGCTGGTTGAAGACCAATCATCACCCTAGGCATGAATCTCTGGCTGAGTCGCCGATATCAAACTTACTCGTTCCATCGAGGGCCATATGGGCTCACCAAAGATCCCTTCTCATCTGATGTTCGAAGGTGCTGTTGATGGCAAAATCACCTGGGCACAATTGAGGTCGTCCGAGCGTAGGTAGAGCCATTAATCAGCCTAAGAAGTGGCCCCGGGGTGTGACTATTCTTCTAAGGCGGCGTGGCCCAGTGAGATATGCGAGACACAGGTATCCGTTCCCGGAATTGCTATTCCAGTCCTTCAGGTGCTCCGTAAATTTGTTCCGTAAATCTGTTGTGTAAACGGATAATTTTATTTGGTATCATCTACCTCGCTGAAGAGCGAGGATGTCAGCCAGTTTTACCAGCCCCTTTTCACCCCAGCCCTTTGTTCCGTGCTGGACTTCGGGCCTCACACGTATGTACCACGACCAAGCACGCCTGTCGAGTTCTTCCTTTTCTAGCTTTGGGAGCCAGGATTGGCATACCAAGTCAATGGTATGTAAAAGGCGACTGAGACATTCTTCTTTTTCAGTCTCGATAGCAGTCGAGGCTTTCTTCTTAGGAGGCAACTCCTTGTCTTCAGGTGGCCTTGAGAATGCTCGATAGAGATATAATCTAGCGGATTCAGCTCTGAAGATGGGGAGATCACTGCCAGCGTTCATTTCCTCGCCAAACTTCTTGTTCTTGGAGCCCTGATCCCGTAGTGATTCCAAATCCACGCCCCATAGTGGCGGCGTCTGAGTTTCTTCATGCGCAATTTGAGATGCGTGTTTTGACTCATCTTGTGGAGATGGTGCTCCTTCATTCGGATCATAATCCCATCTTTTCAAAACATGTATGTCCCGACCAAGAACTTTAACCACAGGATGGCCTTGACCCAGGCCTTCCTGCTCGGCAGTGACTCCATCCTCGATTCCCAAATGAGCAGCCTTGGTTCGGCTATTGGCAGAAACGACGGTTTGAGCAAGACTCAGTCGACTTGATAGTGGCTGTTCGGGCATGGTGTACTTCAACACACAAACGGCAAAAGCTAGCACGAGAGGCGCCCTATTGGTGAAGAGGACAGTGTTGTTCAAGGTCTCCTCGCTAGCAGAGGTCACGGGCAAGCACAACGCAGATTCAATTTCATACGGTGTTGAGCCCGTCTTCAAAAGATCAGCGCCTTTGGGTCTTTTTTGAAGTGCTGATGCACCGTCCGATGGAGCTGGTCTTTTCCTGGAGATCCGCTTTGCGGCATTTAACACTTGCTTTGCCAGCTTCTCTTCTCGAAAAATCACTTTGAGGGTTCCCAAGTCTGATTTTGATATTTCGTCTGCACTTATGAGCAAAAACTTGTTAGTTGTGTATCAGCTCGCCCACGTCATGGCGTACTTGGTCAGAAGGGCTTTCTGAAGCTCTAAAACCTTGCCCATTGCCAGAGCTAGAGGAACCTTGGCGTCTTTGGAGAGGAAGCGTAAGAGATCGGGAACTGCAGAAGCCATAACTGAAGTTGAAGGGAGGTGACAACCACTCGCATGTAGAGAGCCCTGGAGATCCATGGATGTTATGGCGTTCTTCACCGTGCAGGGCGGTGGACAGCGAATAGGTACGCACGCGGGCGCCCGCAGGCGCCCGCACAGACCCCATTGACTAAGCTCTCGGTAAGAATATTTTCCGCCCCGGCCTCCGTCCTTGTGTATGCCGAGCACAGCTCCCGTCACCGCTTCCGTCACCGCCTGGGGCACATCGTATGTACAGCAGCTCGATTAGTTCCAATAGCTCTTAGATAACTATCGATGGATGGGATCACCCCGACGTCAATCATTTTCACACCGGTCTAAGGCACCACCTCCTATCTGTCCGGGCTATTTGTGCTGCGGCCGCAGCAGTGGTTCAACATGTCCGACGAGTCAAAGGGCAAGAGCTTCCCCGATGTCTCCGCAAAACTATCGGCGCTTCCGAAGAAATCGCTGTTTGAGCGTCAAAGGGCTGAGGCCGAAGCAAAGCGCATTCGAGAACAAGCCGAAAATGCTGCCGCACTAGAGGATTTTGTCAAATCATTTGACGATGAGGCACCGGTTGGGCCCCCGCCCTCTGGTGGACGACCCAGCACACATGGAGGCAGGGGTGGTGGACTGGGAGCGCCTTCCAAACGGCACTTCACAGGGCCTCCATCACGAAACAGCGGTCCAGGCACATTAGGTCCCCCGCCTCCCTCACTCTCCCGCAAACGTCCCCACGACGGCTTCTTCCCCACCTCACACCGCGATCAACCCAACCCCCAAAACGCGAACATCCCTCCTGGAATGAGTTCAGCATTTGGCGATTCCGGTGCTGACCGGGCAGCCGAGGAGGCAGAGAGAGCCGCAGCGAAGCCCACTTTGTACCTGGGGTCACTTCCACCTGGGACCTCTCCTTCAGCGATCAAAGCCTTGATCCCTCCCGTTCTGACTGTCGATGATGTTAAGATTGTACAGCCCCCTCTTCTGTCCGAAACTCAAAAACAGTCCTCTGCCGCGATCGTGATTCTTGCCAGCGACACAGCCGCCTCTGATATTGACTCTACCGTGAGCACCCTCCAGAACCGGTACCTTGGCCGAGGCTACTACCTAAACCTCGCCCGGCACCTCTCCTCTGCCGCCATTTCTTCTAATATGCCTTTGCCGGTGGGCCTTTCATCCACTCCTTCTCTTCCGTTTGGCGCCAAAATTGTTCAACCTAACATTGGCGGAGGCCTAAGTCGCGCTCCCCCACCTGGATTACACCACGGGGGCTTTGCACCACCCGCTTCCTACGGACCCAATGCGGGCAAGGCCGCGCCAACTTCGGTAGTACAGGTGAAAATACCTTCGGATATAAACCAACTGAGGCTCATTCACTTGACGCTCGAGCACCTGTTGAACCATGGCCCGGAGTTTGAAGCTTTGTTAATGAGCCGACCAGACGTTGAAAAGGAGGAAAAGTGGGCCTGGCTCTGGGATGCAAGGTCAACCGGGGGTGTGTACTACCGCTGGAAGCTATGGCAAATCATAACAAACCCTCGGTGCGACAAGCGCAAGGCCCGTCAGCCAGCAATACTATTTGAAGGTGGTCCAACCTGGCTGCCCCCGGAAAACGACCTCAAGTTCGAGTTCGTCACTAAGCTTGAAGAACTTGTGTTGGATGAAGATTACAATTCCTCTGACGAAGAAGACTCGGATAGAGAAGATGAACGTCAAAATCGTGGCGGTGCACCCCCAGAGGGGAATGACGGACAAGACGGTAGCTGTGGCTTCCTGAACCCTCTCAGGAAGGCCAAGTTGACTCACCTTCTTGCACGACTCCCGACTCACCATGCATCACTTCGACGAGGTGATGTCGCACGCGTAACTGCATTTGCGATGGAGCACGTTGAACGGGGCGCAGAAGAGGTTGTGCAATTGATTGTGTTGAATGTTCTTCGTCCCCTAGCGTACACCAGTGCCAACCCCGACTATGAAATCGGACAGAACTCTACTCAGTTAAGGGAATCGTCCGATATGGCTGCCAAGGAGATGGGGAATACAGCCTCGAAGAAAACTTTCGATCCATCCGGCTCAAAGCTAGTCGGTCTCTATGTCATTTCCGATATCCTGTCTGCGGCAAGTAACAGTGGCGTGCGACACTCCTGGCGATACCGACATCTGTTTGAGAATGCATTCCGCAAATACAATGTCTTTGAACACCTGGGTCGACTTGACAAGGACCTCAGTTGGGGACGGATGAAGGCACAGAAGTGGAAGGATAGTGTCGGATGGCTTCTCCAGCGGTGGGAGGGCATGAACTGTTTCACTCAACCAAACCAGGAACATTTTACCCAGGTACTCGAAAAGCCACCTCTCACGAAGGCCGAGGCGCATCAAGAGCAAGAGAAGGCCGATGCAGAGAAGTCTGCCGCGGCGTTCGCCAAGAGCAAGAATCGATGGAAAACAGTTGACGAAGATGGATCGGCTGGACAGTCTGACATCCCTTACCCTGATGGCAAATCTGCACCCGCCCAGCCCAATCACCCCGATGACGAATCGCTGAGCGACATTGACGGAGTCCTCATGGCAGACAGTGACCATGAAATGGAACCCGACGAAGAAATGACTCTGGATAAAGCACAGCTGCCCGCGGATCATGAAGATACCCATGCCCAACCCACCCCAGCCAATCCAGCTGTTCCATCATCCGATAAACTTGAAGGTTCAGCTGGGCAGCAGACCCCAGAAACACGTCGACGCAAGCCGCGGCCCAAAGCGGAGGACATGTTTGCATCCGATTCGGAATGAGATTATTCGGAATGATATAAGGATTGTAATTGTATGGAGTACACAGATAATGAATGACAACGAATACCCAAATCAACTTTGGAAGCATTGACATATAAAGAGACATCGTAGCAGCTTAAACTTGTCAGGCGGCTCTTGGGACGATATCAGGCAATCAGGCATCAGCGGCAGAACATTTCCTGCCCCACAACCCCTCATCAACAAATACCTCGTCAACTCTCGAACTCTTCAAATCAGATCATCTTCTTTCCTCTCCCTCGAACACCCCCAGAACTCCCGCCAAAATGAGCAGTATGTGATACACTCTTACCCCTTCTGTTTCCTGTCCTAGAACGGATCTCGCATATCTGCCGAGTCTCACGATGTCGCGCAAACCGGCTGCAGACAAGAGAGCCAAGCAACCCCTCGAATAAGAATGACGAACTAACAACAGTGTGAAATTACAGACTTCAACGAGATCGCCCGTACGTCCTCCCTTATACTCCCCCGCCGATCCAGACATGCGCCTACCCCCCCCCCCCCCCCCCCCCCCCCCCCCCCCCCCCCGCCACCCCCCCCCCCCCCCCCCCCCCCCCCCCCCCATAATGCGGCCATGGCCGAACGCCTCATAAACTGGATGACATGCATCATGCACAGGAAGATTATTAATGTTTGATCATCTCAACAGAGCAGTTTGTCACTTTCTACTACCAGACTTTCGACACCCAGCGCGAAAACCTGGCTGGTCTCTACGTAAGCCCCGCTCTCAATGCGACCAAAATTCTGCGCGCGATACTAACCCAGACCTCTCCTAACAGCGTGACCAATCCATGCTCACCTTCGAGACGAGCTCCGTCCAGGGTGCCGGTGCCATTGTCGAGAAGCTTGGCGTACGTAAACCACAACATACGCTTGACTTGCTGCAGCCTGCTCGAATACTAATTCCGTATCTGAACACAGGCTCTTCCTTTCCAGAAGGTGCAGCACCAGATTGCTACCTTTGACGCTCAACCCTCCAGCGAGAACGGTATCATCGTGCTGGTCACCGGTGCTCTCCTTGTATGTCTGGACCTATCGTCTCTGTGCTCCCCTGACTAACGTCATATCTTCCCCAGGTCGATGAGGAACAGAAGCCCATGAACTACTCCCAGCTCTTCAAGCTGATGCCCGAGGGTACCAGCTACTTCGTGCTCAACGACGTCTTCCGCCTGATCTACAGCGCCTAAGTTTTGAAGCCAAAACTAAAATCACGAAGCGATGATAGTTGAGCTCGGTGATCGAACCGGATATCTCGGGGATGATCATATTAAATATCAGTGATCACCAATGTCGCTCGCGCGGTACTGAATTGGTTTCCTTTAGATTCGGTCAATCTAGAATTGTGTAAGATACGACACTCTCCAGCTACAAGGGGACACACAAGCCCCGTTCCACAAATCACTGGCTTTGGAGCAGGGGTGTTTCCTCGGAGGGTCTATCCGCAGGCAGTGGCTCCGAGTGAGCCCCTTCGCCAAGACCAGAGCCATTGGGAGCATGCTGGTCCTGGTCCGCACGATGCCCTCCTTCGCGTTTGTTGTTTGGCCCAAAATACTCGAAGTAGATTGCCATTGTCAGCAACGTCCCCTGCAAACAGGCCGTAACAACCAGCACTCCCCAGATGCTCCAGCCACTCCAGCCCTTCCGCGCCGCTAAGCTAGCAGCCCAGACGAGACTTCCTGGGGTTTGGATGCACATCATGGGGATGCTCAAGCTGCCCACGCATTGGAGTCGGAGTGTAGTGTAGATCTGTGGGAGGTACTGGATGGACGCGAGTATGGCGGACAAGATCCCTAGGAAGTTTGCCCAAGCTGGCACAGCACCAGGCTGTCGGAGCTCAAACGCAATAGAAATGAGAATGGTAGCGAGCGCATGGAGCAGACAGATCCCTGTCACGGCTAGTGCCGTACGGTAGGTCGGCCCGCTGGTTGAAGTGGAAACGGGACTCAGGGGGTCCGTTGGGGATGTAGCTCGTGGGAAATAGATCACGAATAGCAGGAGGCTGGTGGTTCGATGAAGTCAGAACCAGATCCTCGACCCAAGTGCCCAGAGCTGCCACTTACATCGAAAAGAAACAGAGCCACTGCATGCCCATTTGAACAATCCCAAGCAGCCCGGCGAAGCATGCAATTCCACTAATCTCCTGGCAACAGGCAACATCCTGGGCGGTGGATGGGAACACGAGGATGTTCGCGAAGGCCGAGGTGCCTGACGTGACGCCCAGGAGGACGAAATATGGGGAGATCCCAAAGGAACTTCGGCGAGCAATGATCCGGATATGTTGAGGGAGATATGAGAGCAGGATCCCGAAGATAATTAGACTGAAATTTGTTAATGTTTGGGCCCAGTCAGGGGGGTTCACCAGACATACACGGAAAGGACAGTTTGGAAGATGCCGGGCGAGGCCAGCTCGCGGCAATAAGGAGTTAAAGGATCCATGAGTGGCTTTCGAAGACGTTTCCGCAAGTTGTATTAACGCATCCGTCCACGATGCCAAAGGCTCCCAAAGTGCTCAAAGAGCAGTGAAGGAGATCCCCCGCATAAACAGACGTCGGGTAAGGCAGTGGCCTGGATGCCTGAATGACGTCACGTCGATCACCTCAATGTCGAGGGAACTAGCAGCAGCATGGAGAAGAGATGAGAAGCAGAGCTCTCTACTCTTCAAAGTAACACATTGAGCAGTCTATAGGAAAGGAGCTAGTAATGTCTGCCCAGGTAGCTTCCTGACTCCAGAATTGATGAATCATGCATCTTCCAGGCGAAATCCCCAACTACGTCACTGCGCAATCATTCCTGTCCCTGCTTTTATTCAGGTATTGTGTGCTTGTTTGCCCTTCATCTCTTCTCCTATTTAACCTGCTCTGCTCTTGACATTTTGCTGCGTCAACTTTCCCATGCTGGAGCTTCCACACTAATCCTTCGGCGACACATATTATTTGATCAATCTAGACACGATGAAGTTGAATCTGGCCACAGGCCTCATCTTCTTCTTGGCGTCCACAGAGGCAGTAGCTGCCTCGAGTTGGTGGAGCAAGGCGGGTACGTGTATTGTGCAGTCAACACCGTATGCAAGCTAACAAGGCTACTAGTGTATAACAAATGGCATGAGACCGAGCTGGAGAGATGGCTTTCTGATCACGGTATGGAATATAGCCCTGACAGGTGCATCTTCATGGACTGACAAGGGATACAGATATTCCGCACCCCAGCCCCGCCGACCGTCGCGATCTCGAAAACTTGGTCAAGACCAACTGGGATACCAAGGTGCAAAAGCCCCTTGGACACATTGCGGACCAGGCCAATGACCAAATTCACCACGCTAAGGAATGGATCTTTGATACGTATGATGCCCACTGACCTCATCACTGAACCCTGAGCTAATTGATATAGTTGGTCCGACACCCAGTTGAAAGCCTTCCTTGATCGCCACGGCATTCCAGCACCCCAGCCTCGCAAGCGCGATGTGCTGATCAAGACCGCACGAGAGAGTTACGAAAACATCGCCACCAAGGTCGGCGAGGCTGCCTCTTACCCTGGCGATTGGGTCTATGAAACCTGGTCCGATTCGGACCTCAAGGGATGGCTCGACGAGCGTGGATGGCCCGCACCTCAGCCTTCCACTCGGGATAAGCTGATTGCGTCGGTGCGCCGAAACTCTCGCATTGTCAGTCTGCAGGCGCGCAGCATTGCGGCATCAGCGTCAGCTGAGGCTGAGGCTGCCAAGGAGTCTCTGAGCGAGGAACTCTTCAATGCCTGGTCCGACTCCAAGTTGAAGGAGTTCCTCGATGAGCATGACGTCAAGGTGCCTCAGGGATCCAAGCGCAACGAGCTCATTGCCCTGGCTCGCAAGCACCGCTACAATCTTTCCAACCAGGCTTCCAGTGCGGCCGGCGCTGCTCAGGATGCATTTGGCGCTGCTACCACGAAGGCTGGAAACGAGTATGCCCGCGCTACTGATGATGTCAAGCTCAAGGCCTCGGATGGGTTCGAGACTGCTTTGAACGGCTGGTCTGACTCCCGTTTGAAGGCTTTCCTTGATGCACGCAGCGTCCCCGTTCCACAAAATGGCAAGCGCGATGAACTCATCGCGAAGGTTCGTGCCAATGCCCACAAGGCTGCTGGTGGATGGAATCAGTACAACTTCGACACCTGGGACAAGGAGCACCTCGTGTAAGCACAAACGGATTCCCATTTGTATTTATTTTCCTTTAACTGACTTGCTCCAGCAACTATCTGTCTGCGATGAACCACAAGGCAGCCAAGAAGGTCGATGCCTCGCGTGAAGAGCTTGTCAAGAATGCTGAAGATTCATACGTCAAGGCATCCAAGGCTGGCGGCGAGCAGTACGCATCTGCCACTGCCTCTCTCGCTCAAGCCACTGGCTCCGCTAAGGACGCCACCTTCAATCAATGGTCGCACTCAGAACTCAAGAGATACTTGGACAACTACGGAATCCCCACCTACCAGGGTTCCAGCATTAACGAGCTCCGCGCTGCCGCTCGGCGCAATGCCCAGTACTTCAAGTACGGCACCACCAACCCGCAGGATACCATCTACGCCCGAGTCGTGGATACCCTGCAGTGGGTCGTGGAGCAGCTCAAGGTTGGCGCTGCTAGCGGGCGGGCCCAGGGTTCCGATGCTGCCGAGAAGGTCCAGGAGAAGGTCTCCGAGAAGAGTGAGAGACTGCGTGGTGAACTGTGAAAACAGTCTCCAACGTTGAAATATCAAAACAACAAATTTTGCTCGGGCTTGATAATAGGGCCGGTTTTGTGATAATCTTAGTTATGACATTTATGATTTTCTTGGGGTTCCAGGATGTGTCGTTGGGTTCTGTACTACCGCGTTGTTAATACTTGTAGGTTCTCAAATGGAACATTTTCTTGAACCCGCATCGACCAATACAGATTTGTCCAGGGATGGCGCGAGAGTAAAAGCCCACAAGGACTCAGCGATAGAATATCCAACACTCAACCCCGTAGCTCCCGCTCTATGTCGACAGTGACTACCACATAAACTGTTCGTTTCAAGGTTGCTAGACATCAATCATTTTCATGAAGATACATCTCCAAATCCTGTCGAGAGCCTGTCTATGCGGAGGGGGCCTCAGGGTCCCCCACAGCCACCAACTTGCCCACAATCAGGTACTTCTCGGAGAATCGATCTTCCCACGACTGCAGGTTCTCCAGCTGGTCAGCATCCAAGTCCTTGAGCTCATCCAGAGGGGCCGATAGGTCCTTGGTCAGCATATCCTCGTCGAAGCTCTGGTGAGCCAGACCACGAGAGGCATCCCGGCCAGCGAAGTTCTCGTAAGGACCGCCCTGTTCATATGCGTCAGCTTCCGTAACTGCCATCACGTTCCACGGCCAATACGTACGGGTCCGTAGAAGTTCCTGCCCGGGGAGACATCGAAGACGCGGCCGCGGACGGCTAGATAGACGGGGCGGTTGTCCTCGCCATTGAATTCGATCAGGGTCTTGGGGGTGTAGGTTTTGAAGACGGTAGGTGGGGGGCCGCGGGGGAGCTCAACGGGGGCCTTGGGGCGGAAGTGCCAATATAGCAGCACCACGAACAGTGAGCCGAGGATGAAGTTGATTGGCGAAGCGATTGACATCCTGCTCGTTGTTAGCTGACGTTGCGGGTGGCTGTGGGGAATACGAACACTTCAGCCTGTGGTACAGAGTTGTCTGCTTCCTGATTAGTGTTGTCACATCATACCTAGGTAGGGACCTACCAGCCATGAATATTCACGATTCCTGAGGAGGATCGAGGTGGAGGTTCGGAATGTCGGGATGACATCGGTCCACGTGATTGCGTCCACGGTTCCGTTGGATTCCAGAGTTTCTAGAACTCTTATAGATGGAGACTCCGTATAGTACTCTTTATGTATATTTAGATGCGGTCTCTAGCTGTTTTGGGTCTGACATGTGAATTGATTGGAAAACAACACGCCCTGAGAGCCTTCGGGGTCCAGACTTAAAACGCCCGGCCCTTTGGTTGTTTCAATTTATAGCCCCCAACTAATTTCCTGCCTATTGACGATTAGTGGCCATAAAGGAAACTCCGATATTCCTTGTTTTTTCTGCTTTGCATTTGCATTTGCATTTGAATCTATTGAATCGCACATCGAGACGTTGGGGGCGCATCTAAATAATTTGCTTTTGTGCCCTATATCCGCCGCTGTCCGGTTCAGGCACAACATTGCCTCTTTATTTGTCACGTCTTTCCCCCCTTTCACTTTCTACTTGGTGGTTGCTCTTTTCGCTTTCTGGTCGACTCGCTATTTCGGCACTGTGACGAAGTAGAGAATGTTCTCCAAAAGACCCTTCAAAGGGCCTCGGCGGTCGACTAGCAACCCCACATGGGACAACCCACCCACTGCAGACCCTGGGCATCAAAACCACAAGACTTTGCCGTCTTTGCCCAAGTAAGTTCCCCGCACGACGCTGCGTGTAACCTTCTAATTGATGAGAAGTGATTCGCGCACGTCTTTACAACCTGCGCCAAAGTCAGACGCGAGCATGCGATACGACGTTTCACCAGTTGGCTCGCCAATCCCAGAATATGGTCGGCGGGACAGCGAAAGTAGCTACTGTGTGTCGCCTGTGGGGGATGGAGAGCAGTCGCATCGCTACCCAGAGTCCCGAGCGACTTCATCGCCAAGTCCGGTCCACAGGGAATCCCATGTGGACACTCACTCCCAAGCTCACCTCCAACCCGTGCAGGAGCCCCGGCGCTTTATCTCTGGTAAGCCGACGCGTTGGGATGATTTCTCAGGCGAATCGGCCACAGACGAGTTTGGGCGAATCAGTCAAGTGAGCCCGGGCCCCCGCAGTGTGCCACTTCACAAACCGACAACCTCACATTCATCCAATCTATTCAAGCAACTCAACCCCAAGAAAAAGATCTTTGCGGCGCGAAACCGCATAAGCAGTATCTCCAAGGCGGAAGATCTACCAAAGGAATCCTCTACTAGAAGCCGATCGTCATCACGTGGATTCCCAGTGGAACAGCATTCCTCCAGACGCAACGGCGGTGTCTCTGACGCGAGTCCGCAGCTTGAGAATCTCTCTTTCGTCCCTACAACCGTGACCACGATCAGCTCTGGTGGAGCTTCGGCCTCAAAACGAGTAAGACCGGCAACAGCGGGTGCGCCTATTCTACTACCCCAGGAAGATACGCCAGGATTCCAATTTGACGACGAGGTTGCAAGCATGATGCTCCCAGACGAGCCTGCAAGCCGATTCAGCGCGACAACGTGTGATACCACCGCGCCTAACAGCCTGACCCCGAGTCCGCGAGGAAGTTTCCAATTCGACAATCGCTCCACGGACAATTTGTCTACCAGCTCGATCATGGACCGACGACGCCCCATTGCCCCCGTCGGTCTTCCAACCTCGAAAAAGGTCGTCAATAATAATAAACCCCTCCGGAAGCCTACTCCATCCCAAGTGGCGGAGCAGGGGGATCAATTGGCTGTTCAGCCGGCCCCAGGTCCGCCCGAGGAGCCCAAGGATGCCCAGGGTCGCATCGAGGCTATGGAAGCCAAGCGAAATGACCTCTCTCAACGTCGATTCAATTTGGAGACGGTCATTGTTGAATTAATGAAAGTCTTCCAGCCCAACTCTATCGTGGTGTACGACTCGGCCGCCAAGGCTGAAGTTCAGAAGAGCGTCAAAAGCATGGAGAATGAGATCGCCGACATCAAGAAGGCAGAGCACGATCTCGGCATGAAAATCGCCCGGGCTTGGCGGCGATTGGACGAAAGGGAGAACGCTGGCGATGGAAACAATCTCTGGGTCAAGCGCGTCACCAGTTAATGATTGTTTGACGTGACTATTCTCGCCATTTTTGCTTTTCTTTTTGGTCGTTGCACAGCCAGCCTTGACCTTGAGCTCATATCTGGTTTATTGTCCGTTGTTGGAGGGATTTGTCCAGTATGTGTGCTTGTTTCTTTGTGATATTGGGGCATGGATTGTGTTTTGAGCGTTTGATCCCCCCTGCTGCGTACCTTGCAAGACAGGATGATACCCTTGTTGTTCGAAATCTCCTATGTGGTGATTAATTTTCCCAATCTTCATGGGCCTCTACTTATTTTTACATTTTATGTAATGCAACTTCCGAGGAAATCTTATCTCTAAATATGCAATCAAGCGCGAAGTAGGTATTGAGGGCTCGAGCTATACATGTGCCCAAACGGTATATGGATAATGATTCTGGAATGACCACATATTCACGGCCACCGTCCTCCGCTGTCTCGAACATGGCTCGTGTAGGTCGTCAATATGAACCCGATATACGGAGTATGGCAGGTTCATTGCGTAAAATTGGTACGTGGTCCGCCGGCGGAAAGAGGTTGTCTTCGTTTATTTCTTGCCAGACTTCTTGATACCCTGTTGACCGGTGTTGAGGGGGCCCTTCTTGCCCTTGGCCGCGTCCATCATGTCCTTCTTGGCCTTGGCATCTAATAACGGTCAATACCTTGCGACGACTCTGCTGAAAAACAGACTTACCAGCCTTCAACTTGGCCTGGTGAGCGAGGTCATCCTCGTCAAGTTCCTTCTTCTCCTTCTTGGCGGCCTTCAAAGGCTTGACCTTGCCACCTGTGGAATCATCATGTTAGCGTGTGAAAGTTTTTCCCCCGAGTCTGCCTGTAATGCCGCACCTTCTCTGCCTTGACCACCCATATTTTCTGTGCGATAACCGTAAGAACGGACTGAAAAAGAGAAAGGAAGCGAAAGTGGAGTGGATGAACTGTGTTGACAGCGAAAAAAAAAGATGGAGGGGCGTTGCATAGCAGAGGGGATGCGCGCTGACCGCCCTGTGGCAGAATTCAGACCACCCGCTGAATGTACCTTTTGCAAAAGTTCAAGGTGACTCTATTCCAAGTTCTACTGTAAGCTCTAAGTATTTCACCCTGCTGATCTACTAATCAAGTATTGAGCTATTTTTCGAAGGCATTTGACAGTTCTGAAAGTATAGATGTGCGTAATATATCCATGGATGTGTGGTGTGGCAAAGCATCGAACGTACCTTGCAGCGACCAATCACATGTGCATTATACATGTCCCCGATAGACCCACACCGCCTACCATATATGGGCTAGCGTGGAATCTTCCCCATTTCGACCTCTATCGGCCTTCAACGATGGATCTTCATCCGTTTCTGATCTTGTGCCATCTTCGGTATCTCGTGAGGGATCACCCACCAAGCTGGTTCCTGATCTATCAAGCTTTCCAGGACTTGTTATGCACACTGGAGTTTAATCACTTCCACGAGGCTCTTGGTGTGAAGGCAGGCCTTTATCAGCCGGTTGGACTTTCACGAACCCCAAACAAGATTTGGTTTCACTGGAGCTTTCGCTAACTGCGCGTTTATCTCTCAGCCTCTGCCAAAGGCCGAGTGAAGTGAAAACACAAGTGTACACGGATCTATTCACGCGCATCGTTTTGAGACCCCGCAACATGTCGCATCCCCGGTCGCGATCCCCATCGCTCCCATCTGAGGGTGAGATCGTTGAGCCAGGCCCAGGAATGAAGGCAACTGCGTCAAAACTTCCCTTAAATGGCACCAACATTGACCGTCCCCCCAGAGCTAGCCCGTCACTGGCACCGAGATCTCCCACATCGCTTGATGGCCATCACTCGCCGCCTTATCGGAGTTCCCGGGCCAGGTCCCCTACGAGATCCCGTTCGAGATCCCCATATCGGGAACACCCAGGTCACAGACGTAGACACGGTGATTCTCACAATGACCCCGCAGACCGGTACCCGCGGTATGAGCCATCGCAGCGTTACAGGTCCCATGCCGACAATAGACCCCATCACCAGGCACCCAATAGCCACCGAATCAGGCCTTACCACGACTACGACCGCGAAGAACCCTATGGTGACGGACTACGGTACAGTGATGACCATGACCAACGCAGAGATAAGCGGCAGCGCACCCGCAGTCGCTCCCCTTACCGTGAGGCGAGAAGGCCCAGGAAATACTCAAGTGACGATCATAGCTCGAAGGTGGATCACGGCAGGCCCACTGAAAAACTAATGAGAGATCGAGCAAAGGAGTCTGCCGCTCCCGAATCAAAGCGTGGGGCTGAGAAACGAGAGAACCAGGTTCAAGCTTCCTCTGGTCGCCAGGCTTACGTCTCTAATGAGTATGTTTGACTTTCCCTGTGATGAAGGACTCGCTTTGCTAACATATTTTGCAGAGAACTCCATCCTAACCCAGAGATTGTGCAAGTGCCGGAGGCCGCTGAGCCCGTTAATGAAGCCGACGCACTCGAGGCTCGCCGGAAACGCCGTGAGGCAATCCGCGCGAAGTACCAAAACCAGGCGTCGCCCGCAAATCTTCAACCACCGCATGTTGGCGAGAGTGAGACGGAGGCTTCTACACCTGGTAATGAGCCAATTAACACCAAGATGCCCGGTATGTTTTGATCTCATCGGTTTTTGCTTCTCGAAGCTGACTTTTTCGAACTTAGACTCCTCCCGAGAATTGCCTCAACAGCCTGCGGACCTCAAACATGCTTCGAACAATGACCAAGACACCGAGATGGCGCACTCTGGTGCTTCTGGAGACACCTCTCAAAAGGATGGACAGTCTGCTATTGATGGTCACCCAGCGATCGACATGAAGGAAGAAGTACAGAAGCACACCAATGTCCAGATTGAGAAGAACGACATTTCATCCGCTGCGTATGACGAACTCGATACCGCCATTCAGGACCATCCCCTTCCTGTTGAAACATCAGCGCCGGCCACGATGGATGCAGGTGACTTTGATATGTTTGCAGACGGCGATGACGATATGTTTGCTGAAGAAAATGACCAACCTCGCCCGGCCCCTGGGCCAACTGCAGCCGTTCCTCGGGGTACGCAAATCGCCGAGATGGTAGACGAGTGGGACGACTCCCAGGGGTACTACAACATTCGACTTGGAGAACTGATGGACAAGCGTTATCATGTCCAGGAAAAACTTGGCAGAGGAACGTTCGCAGCCGTTGTGCGAGCGAGGGACGCGAAAACAGGGAACTTAGTTGCCATCAAAATCATCCGCCATAACCACACCATGCGCAAGGAGGGTCTGAAGGAGATCGAGGTACTGGAGCTTTTGCAAAAGACCGACCCCGAAGGCAAGCGGCACGTCATCAAGCTTGATCGACACTTTGAGCACAAAGGGCATCTGTGTTTGGTATTTGAAAATCTGCACATGGATTTGCGCGAGCTCTTGAAAAAGTTTGGCAAGAATGTCGGTCTGAACCTGCGTGCAATCCGGGTTTACGGTCAACAGATCTTCCTTGCGCTCAGTCTTCTCCGCCAGTGTAACCTGATCCACGCCGATCTCAAACCGGACAATATGCTGGTGAATGAACAACGCAACTTGTTGAAGATTTGCGATCTGGGTTCTGCGTTTCCCGCCACTGATGCTCCAACTGCGCCCTACCTCGCCAGTCGGTTCTACCGTGCCCCAGAAATCATGCTGGGCATCCCTTTCGACTTCGCTGTTGATGTCTGGGCCATTGGCTGTACCCTCTATGAGCTGTACGCCGGTCATTTCCTCTTCACCGGCCGAGACAACAACCAGATGATCCGTTCGATTCTGGAAACTCGAGGCAATTATCCGCCGAAGCTATTGCGTCGTGGAAGTCTGAGGGCTGACCATTTCTCGAATGACTCGGTCTTCGCGAGCTGGGAGCTCAACACTCTCACTGATATGATCGAGCCGAAGCCCATGGATTTCAAGAAGCCCAAGCGTGACCTCAAAACCCGGCTGATGGGTCAGGGCACTCGTGGGATGCCTGAAGCCGAGGTCAAGGAACTTTCCTTGTTCGTTGACTTCCTCGACCGCTGCTTGGCTCTGAACCCGGAGAAACGTATCACGCCGAACGAGGCTTTGGTGCACCCTTTCCTGGCGCGCCCTTTGTAGTGGGTGGCCTGATCGGGACCATCCCCATGTGGAATGCATCTTGACATTTCTGAATCTACAACCAAGACTAACAATCTACTGGGACATAACGGTATGGGCGTTTTGAGGGGTCGGGATGATTTTCATGTCAATAAGCATACTAGTACGCGTACAGATATTCAGCACCTCAATCAAGGAGTCGATCCATGTCAGTCGTGTTCCAACCCGGTACTCCCGAGCTTGTAGACTACCTAGGCAAGATGCCGAGTCAATTTGTGACCCACTACGTCATGTGCGTAGAATTGGCCTGGCAACTCCTACCGAAACAAGTCGCTCAGAAGGACTAGCAGGGAACATACAAGGTCAGTATTTCCGAGGCCAGTCGAACAAAGAAAGAGTGACCACTCAGCCCCAAAGAAACCCAGCACGCCGGGATCCCAAAGCCCCTCGAACCATGGAACACTGTCGGACCCGAAAGTCATAGTTGCGTTCTAGATTCCCTCTAAGCCGAACTTAGTCTAAGCCCAGCCCAAACCCATGGGTTCACCTCGCGATTCCCTCATTTTTGAGGTTGTGGGGGGAAAGGGTTCGCTTTCTTCCAAGGTTACAAAGTAGTCTATACGGAATAGCATGGGGTCTATCTGGACTATTGCAGTGCTATTCCCAACCTCCTATCCTTGCAATGTCCGTACTCCACACTAGTACTCCATCCGCCAATCTCGGCTAGCAGATCCGCTGTGCTGGAATTGGGCCTCTCACTTTGATTAGCGTTTATGTTTCCCGTGTCATTGGGCAGGCCAAATAATTAGGAACAAATAGGAGTGTGATGTGACGGGCATTTGCGCACCGATTGGATTATTCCGGGTTTTGCTTTTGCGGTGGCCACCCTAGTCACTTGGACCTAGGGAGTCGAGCTGATCTTCTATCCGTATTTCACAAATTGATCATGAAACTGGAAAAAGCAAATACACCTGTGAATGGGAAAAATGTTCCGCCTTGGCTGCTACGTTATATGTACATATTGGGAGTGTGTATTTCATAGCTCCAATGCATAGTGTATGCAAGTATGCGGAGGGCTGTATGTATTCATGAGCATATGTACTGTACACTGCACGGAGTATAGTAGATTATAGTGTTACACGGCGCAGAATGAAGACCATGACATCTAGCACGTACCACCATTTGATTACACATTGCGTGTACGGAGTACTCCGTACTCCGTACTCTGTGGAGTGTTCCAGAATTCCAGAAGGCGATGATGATCAACGGAAGCCCCTTGCCACCCGGGACGCGAAACCTATTGTAGGACAGAACTGCCGTGGACGGAACACAGGAAAAGGCAGACCGACACGGCGGCCATGGCAAAGGGGGGATCCGCGGGAAATTGGACACTCCCAGTAAGGTCTTGCTCGATTGGTTTGGGCTAGATATGGATCAGATTCGAAGTCATGATGTCGGGATGTGTTTAGATTGTGGGTCCCGCCACCTGCAGGGCACCGAATTATCCGCCTTAGGCGACGTTTTGGTCTTTGTACTCGTAACTGTCGGGCGTTGAGAGGCAACGATAAACAAACCTTGGAAATGAGAAGAGAGGTGACCCCTGTTCTCTTATTGGACATGGATGCATCGGTGGCGGCAATAAACACCTCGTCCTTAGGTTTCTACTACTGTTTACAGTGGACAAGAAAAGCAAGTTGGGGCCATTTACACTTCGTGCGAGTCCAAAGTATCCATTTGGGTATCCAGGAAGTATGACAGATCTGGGATCACCTCTAGCGGTGTAGACCCGAAACCAGAGAAGACACAGGTCTGAACACGGCGAAAAGCAAAATGCAAAACGATGGACCGAAAAAAGTAAATCCCAATCACAAACCAACGGCTCAGATCCAAACGTACGGAGTAGTAATGAAGTCTTTGGACAAGCCAGCTGCATTGCCAATCCTGGGGTACAGAAGACATGAATCATTATCCGGCAGGCAAGGCACGGCACACAGGACAGGAGGTTCGTGCGAAAAACGGGGGACGCGGCGACATATCACATATATCACATAGATACTATCACCGCACAGCGTAGCTTATACATACAGTGCGTACATGACTGTACATGCTACTAGTTGCTCTTCGAGCTGCAAGAGTTTCGGGCTCTTCTACCGATGACCGATGTGATGAATCGGAATGCTTCTCCCGTCAGGTGATTGGACTGGCTGCGGGATGCAGGGCCGATCTGGAGGTTTTAGGGGTCGAAGATTGAATTTGCGCTCACCGCAATAATGCTCGTACGAGTGTTCAGCCTATGTGGCAACTCTAGCTCTTACCCTTTCCAATATGATTTATTATTATCACTGGGGCGAAGACCTGTGTTTAGCGCCCACATACTCCATTAAGCATCAACTGGGATCGGGTACACGGCCCTTGCCTCTGTACGTTGTATGACGCATGTGCTGAGCAAAAGAAACTGTGAGATTGTAGACCCGGCGAGGCAACTTTAGGGTTGCCAGGGTCTCTTCGCCGGGTACGGAGTCGTACATTGTACACGAGTAAGCTGACGGGCTAGTCCCAGCCACCAACAATGGGCAAATCTATGGCAGCGTGACCCAGGCCAAAAAGAATAGTCCTTGTACTATAGAAAAACAGAGGGGGTAAAAAAAAAAAAACAAAAACAAAGGCTACGGAGCAGATTGTGCAGGATCAGCAGCACACCTCAGGACGCCCAGATAGGCCACCTACATTAGCGCCAGGAGAGAGTGAGATGAAGTGTACTAGTATGGCCCGTGCAGGAGAAAGGGAGTTCGAACTGTTCGAGCAAATGGTTGGCCATAGCGGCCCTCCATCATCGCCTCACTCTGGTTGGAACGGGGCTAGCGTCCCTTCTAGACCCGAACCAGTCTGGAGGTGGAACCTTGGATAGAGTTGCAAAGAACGGTGTAGAGCATCAGGCTTCCAAGATTCCGCATCCAAGATCCAGAATCCAGACTTTACACAGTAGAGTACGTGTAGAATCCAGGCTCCAGAAGAATCCACGCAAACATCCGATCCACATGTATGGCATGGGCTGGATCTGGATGACTCAAATCGCCATGCGGGGCTGGTGCGTTGGCAAATGTGTGTCAGGAGGTTTCAAGGTTTCCAGGTTTCAAGGCAGAGGTGTAGTACCGTACAGAGCCGTTAAGGATACGTGGACAGAGCTTGCCACAGAGTTCCACTCGGTGGCAGTGTGAGAGGGGAATAGGGGATTCTGCAGCTTCCAGTCGATCGTTATGAGCGAGGCCCAATCACGGGTGGTGGCGGCTGCAGGCAAGGAAATAGATTTGGGGCGGGCGTGGATTATGATTGGTGGGCACACACCGCTTCACCTTAGCGTATCAGTACGGCACATGGATGCTAATTTGGTATTTTACCGCTTAGCCTGTTTGGGATTATTCGTGGATTTCTCTGGGGAATATTTCCGCCCGATCGGGAATTATTGGGGGAATTATGGGGGGCAGTCGGGAGTTATGGCCTCCCCCCTTTTTCTGATTGGTGCGGTTCTGGCTATTTCGGGTCTAGCGGGGATTCCGGATTAATGAGTCCCAATATTCTCAACGCATCATCGACCAAGTGGAGTTTGTTTTCATTTTCGTTTAGCGCCCTTTTCCATTCTCCACGAGGCTGCCATCTGCTCGAGATATTAAATCGTTGCTGTGATATTCTTTATATCAACTTACGTCTTCGCTTTCTTTTTTTTTCTTTGGCTTGGTTCTTTTGCTTCTGCTGTGCAACACTCTCCTTTTCGAATACACAAGCCCTTGGACTGCCTTGAAACCACCTTGGATTGGGATGGATGCCTTGTGAATATTCCCTGGATTTAGGACTCTTATAATCTCCCTGGACCACTCTCTGCGCTGCTCTCTCTCTCTCGCTTTCACCCGGGGATCACTGGAGCCCCTGATATACCCATCGCAAGGACAATGTATCCCACTATGCTACCAACCCCGCCACCCTCGCCGATTCCCCGTTGCTACGCTCCCGAGGACCGCTTAGGACTCGTCTTGGCCAACCGGCTGGAACTCACCCGAGTCTTGGGCGTCGGAGCCTATGGAGTGGTCTATACCGCCGTCGACATTCACACCAACCAGGTCTACGCGGTTAAGGCGCTGAACAAGAATGGGCTGGACCCCCGCCAGCTCAAATTCCAGCAGCGCGAGATTAGACTGCACCACCTGGCCAGCCAACACCCGAATGTGGTTTCCCTGGTCCGCATTATGGATTCCCTGGACTGTACCTACGTCGTCATGGAATACTGCCCGGAAGGAGACCTGTTCTCCAATATCACCGACAAGGGAAACTTTGTTGGCAATGACTTCCTAGCCAAGAGCGTATTCCTCCAGCTCTTGGATGCTGTACAGTATTGCCACTCTATGGGGATTTACCACCGCGACCTCAAGCCGGAGAATGTTTTGGTCACCGACCAGGGAATGACCGTCAAGCTGGCCGACTTTGGCCTGGCAACGACAGATTACTATACCACGGACTTTGGATGCGGTTCAACATTCTACATGTCGCCTGGTGAGTCTCTCGTCCTGTCGGTCACCGGCGCAAAGTTGCTAATATCATTTCCCACTAGAATGCCAACAATCCAACGCCCGCCCCATGTCGTGCTACATGTCCGCCGCCAACGACGTCTGGAGTCTGGGCGTGATCTTAGTCAACCTCACCTGTGGCCGCAACCCATGGAAGCGGGCATCGGTCGAGGACTCCACATTCCAGGCCTACCTCAAGGACCCTTTCTTCCTGAAGAGTATTCTGCCGCTCTCCTCCGAGATGGTCTGTATCCTGAGCCGCGTCTTCGAGCGTGACCCCAGTAAGCGGATCACTATCTCCGAGTTGCGTCAGGTCATTCTGGAGTGCCCCCGCTTCACGGAGAATCCCATGGCCCAGCCCCCAACCCCCTGGGTGCCGGAACAGGTCGGCTACATTCCCCAGCCCCCAATGCCCAACTTCATGCCCATGGAACCCCTGCATGCTCAGACCTCTGGCTCCTCCTCGGATTCCTCCCACTACTCCGCCTTCTCCGAGGCCCCCTCCGACGGTACTGCCATCACCGAGGACTATTCCGATCTCAACACCCTCTCGCCTGTAGTCTCGGAACAAGTCCCGGAGTTCAAGCCCGTTCTTCCCTCCGCCTGTGCGGAGCCCTTCTACCCAGCGGATCCCTACTTTTATGGGATCATCCCTTTCTCTCAAACGCTCGAGGTTCCCGTCTGAGTGCTTGACGCTCACCAGGATCTCCTCATCTAACGCTGCATGACTTGATGCCCTTACCTCTTCTTTCTCCACCGCCATTTTGATTGAATTCCTTGAGGGATTTCCCCTTTTGCATCTTCCGGGTTTACCTTTTCCTGCCCCCGCAGGGCACATTTTTCAAAAGCTGCTGGACAAAGTCGATCCTGTTGATCATGATCCACTGGACCCGGCCACCAGCTTCCATTTCCTTGGATATATCTTTGGCCCTTTTGACTTTTGAGCGACACCAATTCCGCATGGCAACCGTGTTCCCATGCATGACCATGACTCCTGTCATGGCTTTCGACCGGATCTCTTTTCTACTGTTTTAATATTTCGACATTTTCCACACATACCAGGAGGACTTTTTTTTACATATATACGTTTCCAGTCTGGCGTGACATACACTGGGGATCATGAACTTTGAAGAACCGCGCCCTTTGGAGGGTTGACGAAATATGGGGGTTGTTTGTTACATGTGTATTTGATTCGACGGCGTTACCCCAATGGTGTTTGGGGAACTTTGGGATATCTTTCTCTGTTTATCTTTTTCGTCTTTGGGACAGGCTACTTTGATTCCGGTGATTTCTGTGCATAGACTTTGTTTTCGCATTGGGAGGGTACGGGACTTTTGGAACATTTACGATATGATACCTATGGCTGCGGCCACAATTTACAATTTACACATTTGCCTCCACCGAACATCGTCCTCAAATTTGGTCTGCGCTAAACCCCGATCCTAGGATGAGCAAGGTCTCACAATTTGACAACGGCTGGGGATCGGGCATTGGGCGTTCGGTGTTTCGTGCAATGGACCCGTGTTATTGTGGAACCCTTTGGTGCCCAAGTGAGACGCAAGACGTAACAGCTCCATTCCGAGTTGGCGGTCGACGGGTCGAGGCAATGAGCGGTGATTCCCAAATGTGGGTGTAGTCCGCCTAGCAGTTTTGGAATGGGCATGGGGTAGATCATGGATATACTTCATACTCAAAATGTCGCATATACATATCTACAATATGTCCTGACACTCAACTATCCCGAACCCAGTCTTAGCTTACGATGTCAGAATTAGTCCAACTTGGAACCTTGAAAAACTACTTCGTACAGCACAAGTATGCCATGCATTTTGCATGCATACGTACTCCGTACTAGGTACATCAGTGCCTAAAGGAAAAAACTAAACCAAATATCTCGACCTAATCATCTCCTTACATATTTCGCCCACCGGTAACCCGAATGGTCTCTCCATTGACATACGAGAACCACGGGCTCGCAACACCAAGAATAGCCCTCGCAGCCTCAACAGGGCTCGCAGGCCTACGCAAGGGAATATCAGGATAGGCATTTGCCTCTGCAGCCTTCGTCTCATCGCCCTTCTTACCAGCCAGCTGTTTGCCAGGAATACCCAGGGCAACCTTAGTGCCGTCGGGCGTGGTGATGAAGGCGCCTTCCTCCTTTGCGGCCGTCAGACGGGTCGTCACGAAGCCGAAGGCGATCGTATTGGAGCGCACACCGAAAGACGGGCCCCATTCTTTGGCAATTGTGCGCGTTAGGCCGACGACACCGGCTTTGGCGACGGCGTAGTTGGCTTGGCCGCTGTGGGGATTAGTATATTTGTTCGAAAGAGGCTGGGTCATTGCATCCGACTTACGCGTTGCCGTGGATTCCACTTGTGCTACTGATGTTGATGACTACCCGTGGCTCTTGGTCCTTGACTCGGAAGTAGGGGGCCGCAGCACGTACGAGTCGGAATGGCGCTGTGTTATGCACTGCCAGCATCGTGTCCCATTGCTTGTCGGTCATCTAGAATTTGGTTAGTACTTTGTAAGAGTGCTCGGTAAGACCCCGGGAAGGGCGATGTATGTGCCATGCCGGTGTCGTCTTACCTTGTGAATAACACCATCCCATGTAAAGCCGGCATTGTTGACGATGATATGAATCTTGCCATTGCCGAAGTCGGCGGCTTTCTTTACCAGATCGGTGACATAGTCGCCGTCGAGAATATCACCGACAACAGCCAGGGCGCGGCCGGATTTCGCCGAGTTGATGGCATCAACGACGGCGTTGGCCTTCTCTGTGGACATGTTAGATCTGAGAATTAAACAATTTGAAATACATACTGGAGTCAATGTCAGCGACCACGACCTTAGCACCTTCATTTGCGAATAGCCGTGCTGCTTCGGCACCGATGCCTTGGCCTGCGCCTGTAATGATGGCTACCTGGCCTGCTAAAAGCCCGGCAGGGTAGTTGAGATGCTCATTGACCTGACTGAGACGATCGGAGGGTGCCATGTTGAATCAAAGATATGTAAACTGGGGTACGAAGTGAGGTGAGGAGGTCCTTATACTCGGCGATCTCACTGCCGAGGCTTTACTGCGGACCGAGAATGTGGGGTATGCAACTACACAACTCGACTACATCGTCTACGAGTACATCAGGATTGCCTTCTGTGTCAATTTTCGTATTCCTGCATATATAGCCGTTCCGCGTTTACTGTCCAGCTTTTCTCGGTCTCAGTCTTTCTACGTCCCTCGCCTAGCGTACAATGATAGGTGAAAACAATCAACCTCCCATAGGGTATCATTCAAATAGATTCATCATGCATCCCCCGTCCCGACCCGCAAATACACTCCCCCCATGAAGTCGACTGCAGAAAGGCCGTCACAGTGGCTTCATAGCCAGCGATGATGGAAAGAAGTCCCTCGCTACTGGGTAGGCCGTTTGGAAGCTCCGCGTCCAGCCCTGGGACCATGCCGACATGATCTGATTGAGTCCAGTGCTGATTGGCATGGTCTTCCATACCCTTAGAGTCTAGCCCTTCATGTTCTCCCAACTTGGGGACTTGAGCATCAGCAATACTCTTGAGAGCGAGTAAGACTTCTCTGCACTGCAGCAGTAAGCCTCGAATCAAGAAATTGCGGATTTGTCTGTTCTCCTCGTGACAGATCTCATAATATCCGTAGCGGATGTCGACACCGTGCTCTAGCCGTGGGGCGCGCGATGTTTCCCTCGAAACCCAGTACTCAAATAGCTGAAGAGTGAGATTGAGCACCGAAATGGCCAGCAGCAGATTGGGTGTGTCTTTGGCACACTTATTACATTGTAAAAACATCTGACAGGCCAGGAACGTGCATTTGATTGACTGCAGACTGTGATCGAGGCGTAGCGGTAGGGAATCACCAAGCAGATGATTCAGTCGATTCATGTGGAACAGCTGCATGTCTATGCACTCGCATGGCGAGAGCGGATATGGCGATGCCACAGAGCCAGCTAGTGACGGGCTGGCTAGTCCCTCTGGCAGTGTTTCGCCGGACAGGAAGGTCGGCGTCACCGGCGTATTTGGATACCCTATCCCGGATGGAAGAGCAGAGCACGAGTCCGGGAGATCGGTGAAGGGCGAGCTTTCAACTGCAGTCAGTTGCCCCGGACAGACGGAGGACTCTAGCGTAGCAGTATTGACAAAGCTCTGGGGACTTTCCCAGAAGCCGGCTTGGTTTGAAATCAAACAGACCTATTACTCATATCAGCTTGAAAAGGAGCCGACAGAATCCAGAAAGAACCTACATCTTCGTCGAGTGCCGGGTCGGGTATGTGACTTCCATAGTTGTTGCCCAGAGGTTCCATATTGGCCACCGGGGCCACCAGCCGACTATTGCGAAATCCACGCATGGCTGGCTTCTCTTCCTGTAGTTGACCTAGTTTGCGTAGTGTAGCCCGGTTTTTGCTGCCCTTGGGTTTTCCGGACCGATTGGCGTATCCGTATTGACACTGTAGCCCGTGGCGCAGGCACCGTGTACAGACACTTTTGCCGGAAAGGTTGCATTTCACCTTGGACTGTCTGCAATTTTCACAGGCAGTTCGGAGCTTGGGGGTATCTCCGGCATACGGACTGCCATTGGACTCTGCGAGCATTGGTGTCTAGGAGATTGGGAAACGCTTTTCCCCACCGATGTCCTGAAGTCCCCGGGGATATCTCTGGGTATATAGAAAGAATCAAATGGACAAGAGGAATCTAGCAATACAAACCCGTGGACGGCACTGATCCAATGAGGCAGACGCTTGATCTCATATGTTTATATATAAAACTAACTCAAGCTTCGAGGTGAAATGTCACTCTGGCATTGGGTATTTGGAAAGGCTGTACCGAAGCCGCATACAGAGGTCAGCCGCTGTGAAACCCAGATGATTTCATCTGATCAACCATGCTCGACCAACGGTCACCGCCAGTCTAAGGTTGGAGACAAGCATTTCCTTCGATTTCCTCGCATAAGCCTGACCCCGGCCAAATGAGGCAATAGACAGAGGCTCACAGCGTTCCCTATTTTCGAACGTCGCTCGTGATGTGGAAAGGAACAGGGTCTTCCAAGGGAGACCCGCTAGGGGTCCTTTTGTTGGAAAGTCGTCACACCCTGATGCAACATCGTAAACGCCCAATTTCGGGGTTAGCTTTATGGCTTGAAGAACCTGTCGAACCTTAAGACCGGGGGCGGTTTCTTATCCCGCTGGGGCCTCGTTCTTTGTCGCCAATGAGACACAGGTACCGTTCCCTTGGCTGGACGGCCCTGGGAAACCATGTGAAATAGGGGGGCGAACGAAGCGAGTGGGCGAGGAAAAAAAGAACGACTGTCCATCGGCTGACCGGACTTACTCTCAGGAGTCGAATTGCCCGCACACCGCTTCGTTTAAGCCCTTGGGTATTGTTGCACATAGTGATCCAGGTCATCGTCAGCAGGGGGATCTTTGATCCCTGAACAGGTTGTTGAACATGAGTCGCGCCACGTACGCTACATAATCATTGCATTTCATACTACCTCTGAACAAATTGCCATGAGCATGTTGTCCAACCTCGACTTGTGCGGCGCCAGTATCTTCCCCCCAAATTCAGCCGCCTAGAATCTGACACGCTTCGGCTGCCCCACTGTGCCGATAATCGAATGCCTTCAACAGCCCTGTGAGATGAGCCAGCGCAGCGCAGACAACCAGCACGTGGAAGATCTGATGCGAACTCCCCACAATGTCGAATCGCCCGGGCATGAGACGCTCGGGTACTCGAGCCGCATAGATCCCTGCCCCGAGGATATAGAGGAAGCCCTGGAGCAGAAGCCACCCGAGGCCAATCTGCTGTCTCATGCGCTCAAAGCCAAAGAGGAGCACACCATGGACTACGGGAAAGACGGCAGACAAGCCCATCCCGACAAACATGGCAGCGCGAAATGGACGCCAGGTGGGTGTGCGGAACCGGGGAAGAACGGAGACAACCACACAGCCCACTCCAATGGTACAGATCATGGTCCAGTACCGCTGTTGGAGCTCGGGGACACAGTAAAATCCGTAAAAGACACTCGGTACAAAGCTCCCAACAATAAGTCCCACAATCCCGATGTAGTCAAGCGCATTACCAATGCGAGCTACCGTGGGAGAATGGTTCGAGATCGTGTGGTAGGTTGCAGACATACCAAGACAGAAGCTGGCCCCCGCGAAGAAGGAGCAAAAGGCGAGGATGTCGGAATCGGCTGCGTTCCGATACCGCGGAGCAAGTACGTGATATAGTCCATATGCCGCGGGAGCTGCAATTGCCGCCGGTAGGAGGTGGGTGTAGATGTTAACCGTCTCATTGTGGAGGTAACCCAGTGACTGAAATGAACTCAAAAACGAGGACGAGGCGGGCCGATATCCAGTATGTATGTGGTGGTTGTCTCGTTGCCAATGAGGTAGATCATCCCAATGCAGAAGTCGCTTCAGAAGCTTAGGTGGTGCCTCCCCGACAACAGAAGGGATTCCTGCAGGCTGACTGTCCCCTGAGGCCTGCTTGTCTTCAATAGGGCGACGCTGGCGAGCCATCACATGTGATATGCAAGTATGAGGCTGTGATCAATGGATTTGAAGTCACCCACCAACTGAACATGTAGCACAAGTCAGCAAAAACAAGGACTGGTTCAATCAGGAAGTCAGACTGTAGCGCGTCAAAATAAAAAGAAAAAAAAGGAGAGATGAAGCGTTGGGCAGTTGGGGACCAGGAAATTGGGACTGCCTCGGCCGGTGGGAAGCAAACGGTGCAAACAGCCTGTGTCTATCAACTTCACAGGCAGCTCTGATGTCAGTTCAAGTCCGGCAAGATGAGTCGCTTGCGCCCGGTAGCTGATTCGCTGCAGACATTTGGATTTGTTTCAAAGGGCGATACGAAGTAGGTCTTTCGTCCACATCTGCCAATATGCACTAAAGCCCGCAGGTTGTTGAACCACAAGGTTCAAGCTGAGTACTTCGACAATATAGCTGGCAGATATATGCGGTTCTGCGACGATCACTCTAAAGACCTTGAAGCAGCACATGCCTCCCTTCCAAAAAGCTCATCAAACGATGCCACTTCCAACCCGCCCGCGCTCCAGTCGCCCTTGAAATCGACCCCCGCACGGAGGGGCATTCCGCCACCGGCAACAGAGCTATCCACGCTCCTTCTATCCCTTCGCAAGCTGCGCGAAGCCGTTCTGGCAACGGCCGCGACAGCTCCGAAGGGGTTTTCGCAGCGCGTCCATGTGTTCTCTATTCGGCTATCTATCCTCGCCCATCACCCACCATCATACTTTCCTTCTCTGCGATACATGCTGGACGAACTGCATTCACCATCCCGCCCGCTCCCAGAAGCCAAGGAACTGATTACATACATGATCCTCGACTATGCCTGTCGCCAAGAAGACATGGCAGCAGCCTTTGAATTGCGCGCCCGGGCGCGCAAAGAGCACGCTTTCCAGTCACACATGGTTGACAAGGTTCTCACGGCCCTGATCCACAGCAATTGGGTAGTCTTCTGGCAAGTCCACAACAGTGTGGACTCTCACGTTCGTGCAGTGATGAATTGGGCAGTAGATCGGATGCGCAGACACGCACTCAAGGCTGTCGGCAGTTCCTACCTCAACGTGCACATCAATTGGATTGTGCACGGCTGCACTGGCGACGATCAAGCCTGGACATGGGAGGCATTGGCCGAGAAAGAGAAACTGCGCTGGGAGCGGGAAGGTGATAAAATCATCATCAAACGACCCAGACAAAGGCCCCCGCCGAAACCAGAGCCAGAGCCAAATGCGGTGGCTGCTTAAGTAGATATCCGGAAAGGCGTTTTTGGACAAGAGCATAAGGGGGTGTTCATTCATTTGCATGGTGTTGCTTGGAAATGGGCTTTCCTTTATATTATCATTAGCGGAATGGTGCCATTCGGGGTTTATGAATTAGGCAAGATTCCAATCCATCGTCATTTCGTTCCAATGGCCTCCGGTATGAGACAATATTGGGATGTCTACTCGCGGGTTACAACTTGAGGTCCGAGTTTGGCCGATCCAAGTTTGTCTGGCCGGTCACAGGTTGTTTTGCGATCGCCTCTGCTAGTTGCCCCTTGAGATAGCCTGCATTGTCAGAGCAGAGCTCATAGATTGTCGATAAGTTGAAGATCAAGCTGCCAAATGAATGATTGGCAGAAACTTGGGCTTCGAGAAGCTGACGAGCCTGAAGAGATAAAGTTAGCTGGTCCGACTGTAGAATTGCGCCATGAATGAATACCTCGTCTAGTTGGCCTGTGTATAGCAGACAAACCGCTAGATTTTGCGCCACTAGGGCTCCATCGGTTCTTGTCCTATCTTCGCCCAGGACACGCCACTCGGCCACTGCATCGGAATAGCGGCCATCTGACATGCTGATCAGAGGCTTTAATAGAGCGGCTTCTTTTGTCTCGCTCAAATCACCGAACACATGGGTTGCAGCATCCAGGTCACCAACTCGCAAAAGCAGAAGCGCTTTTCTCATTTTCGTGAGGTCCGTTTCAAGCTCGGGTGCTTGGAAGATATCAAGTGATCGCCTGGCAGCATCAAGATCACCCATCTCTATGAGCGCATTGATGCTTCTGATACCCAGATCGGCTAGTCTCTGGTTCCATACATCACGCTCCGCTTTACTGACCCCCTTTCTCATGATATCCCGGCGCACTTCGAGTCCGATCTCATACAGTCCCCCAATGCCCCGACGGGAATCACCAAAGCCAATGCTTTGGAGTCTCACGGCTAGTACGCGAAGTGGCCATGGGACGATGTGACGGGGCTCAGGTGCACTGGCAGGTTCGTGTTCCGGATAATTATCGTTATCTGCGCGAGCAGGTCCCAGATCAATATAATAAAATGCGGAACTCAGATCCTCCAGTGCCTTGGACTCTTGGGCCGCAAAAACCGTGTTGCCCGATAGCTCCAAGCATGCAAGGCGCGTGTAAAATAAGGAGAATATGAGTTTGATATCCGTGGATGATATTAAAGACGAGGTCAGGATGGAAGCCGAGAAATGTGCTGCGACGAGGAATCGTCCTTCGCTTAATAGCTTCTCAAGAATACTCAAAGACGAGGATAAGGGTTCCCCGGGGTTGAGGATGAGGAATTCTGATCGCAGCGGCGGAGGGATGTCGAGATGAGAGAGCGAATGGAACACATTATGCCGAAGAAGAAAGGAAAGATCTTTGCCCAGGGTTTCGGGAAGATCATCTGGTGCCAGCGGGTCCAATTCTTGGAAGGATGCCCCAGTGAAGCTGTTGCTAGAAGCCATTGGTTGGTCTTTGATCGGCGAGGTGGGTAGACTGGAGGCAGAAAGGGGACTGGATGCTGTCAGATACAGAATTGAGCGATGAAGTCAAGGTCAAACACTCACTCATCCAATGCATCTAGCGGACCTCTGGTCGAGCTGCGGGGCCTTGAAGCTGCATAGGCAATGAAATCAGTAAGGGATAGCTAGAACCGAAGATAAGAGACCACATACACCTCGATACATTCCGATGGTGTGTTCCTGTTAAAGGATCCATCTTGCTGGTATCAAAGAATGAATCAGATGTCGATCAACTCAAACAGATGCGTTTGGGGTGTCCAAGACGACCTCAGGCGTTGACAACATCCGATAAGCTATCGGTTTCTGCCGAGGCGGTGGAGGCCGGATCTGGCGACTTGGCCGCGATCTGGCGTTGCCGGATGCAACAAGCTATCAGCCATACGTTCCCTACCTTTCCCCTTCTTATTCCTCGATCTTCGCTTAGATCTTGTACCGCTCCTTACTTATTAATTCAATTACGGCTTTTTCAAAATGGGCGCGACCAACAAATACTCAATCATCCTCCCCACCTACAATGAGCGGAGGAACCTCCCTATCATCGTTTGGTTGATCCAAAGGACTTTCAACGAGGAGTATGTCTCGAAAAGCGCTTTCTTATGAAAACCCTATACTGACATGTCTACTTCACAATTAGGAAGCTGGATTGGGAGGTTATTGTCGTCGATGACGGGTCCCCTGACGGCACCCTCGAGATCGCAAAGCAGCTCCAGAAGCTCTATGGCCCCGAACACATTGTCCTCAAGCCTCGCGAGGGAAAGCTTGGCCTCGGAACCGCCTACGTGCACGGCCTGAAATACGTTACCGGCAACTATGTTATCATCATGGACGCCGATTTCAGCCACCACCCCAAATTTATTCCCGAGATGATCAGAATCCAAAAAGAGACCGACGCCGACATTGTGACTGGAACCCGGTACGCGAACCGCGGAGATATCAAGGGCGGTGTCTATGGTTGGGACTTGTTCCGCAAGTTCACTTCGCGCACTGCCAACTTGATCGCGGATGTCATGTTGATGCCCGGCGTGAGTGACTTGACTGGTAGTTTCCGTCTGTACAAGAAGTCCGTGCTGGAGAAGGTCATCCTCAACACTGAGAGCAAGGGCTACAGCTTCCAGATGGAAATGATGGTCCGTGCCAAGGCAATGGGCTACAAGGTCTCCGAGTGTCCCATCACCTTCGTCGACCGCCTGTACGGCGAAAGCAAGCTCGGTGGCTCGGAGATTGTCGAGTACCTCAAGGGTGTGTTGAGCCTGTGGCTCAAGGTTTAAATCTACCTGTCGATTTCTGGTGTCCAAATGATCCGATGCATCTTCTCTCAAGTCTCGCCTGAAACGATGTTTGGACTGTCTACTACCTGTGCTGTGATATACCCCTTTCTGACCTCTGCTGTTCCAAATCCGTGCACTTTTGGTGGTGTTTGAATGATCTCTTTCTTGTTGATATGAATTCAAAGTTCTCTGTTTCTGTAGCTGTGCCTGTGTAGAGTTTACCCGCCAAACAGTGGACATTAGCTCTATGCACGAGGGCTCCCAAAGTCTCTCCAGGCCCTGGAGGTTACAGATTCCAAGGTTCCACGGTGCCTGTCCAATATGACAGGCTCCAAGATTGCTTCAAGGTTCCAATGAGCCCATATTGTTCCAACCTTGAACCTTGAAGGTTTGCTTTGCGGGTGGAAAGTAATTTAATCTACACAGGTCCCAACCTGGGAACCTTGGGAGGTTGATAGAAGAGCCTTGAAACACGGCGATAGCAGCATCGAAGGCCGGGACACAGAAAATATGGACAGTCGACTCGAAAATAATACTTTCAAATTGAAAATACTCGTTTCATACCTAGGTACCTAGTATGATATCCCGGTTTGTTCGCCAGGATACCAATCATTCCGCGCTGGACAAGCTTGTTCCGTGTGTACCTGCAGAGCCGCATTTCCAAATTGGCCCGAGAGCTTATGAGTTATGGCTGTGTATCGAAGTATGAACCCGTGGACTTCAACCTTGGAAGGTTTCAATGATACTAGGTACACATATGATAATATGCAAAATGGTTTGATCAATGCGAACTCCAGGGCTGGCAGGGATTGTCGATTTTTTGTAAGGTTGTGTTGGGAAAATCCATGATATATATTCGCGTCCATTTCAACATTGGAAGGCGATTTGGCTCCAAGGCATGCTGAGTCTGGCTCACATTTACCTACTTAGGTAGGTACTCTGAAATGAAAAGAATCCAGGAAGCACTTTGTTTTGGAGCTTGAGGACAGCATAATGACTCGCAGTACGGAGTAGATCAGTCGGGTCCAACCCCACGTCAGATACGTCAACAGCCCCCCATCGTTTTCGACACTCCCCTTGTCAACAAATATTGAATCAAACCATGTCATCCAACGCCAGTCGAGGATTGTCCCATGGAGGTGTTCTCCACGAATACGTATGCGTTTGGGTCCCACACAAGCTTCCGAATCTAACTTCCGCAGGCTCCCAGGCTTGTGGCCTTTGAATTCACCCCACCGGCGGAGGGAATCAACAAAATTAACAGTCTCATTTTCGTAGGCGGACTCACAGATGGATTCTGTACTGTCCCCTACGTTTCGAAGCTGGCCAAAGCTCTAGAAAACACCGAGTGGTCAGTCTTTTCCGTCCTGCTCTCCTCATCCTACGGCGGGTGGGGAGTCGGAAGCCTCGATCGCGACGTAGAGGAGCTTGGCCAATGTGTGCGATTCATCCGTGATCTTAAGGCCTCACGCCAGCCTGGTGCGCCGACAAAAGGTGGGAAGATTGCCGTCATGGGTCATTCCACTGGCAGCCAAGATGTGCTTCACTACCTCTACTCGCCCAACCCCGTGCCCGAGAAGCAATACGATCTCGGGTTGCAGCATATAGTTCGCCCTGAGCTAGATGGTGCTATTCTCCAAGCACCTGCTTCCGACAGAGAGGGACTGCAGGCTATCATCGATTCCTCTGACCAGCCCGAGGAGATCAAAAAGGTGTACGATCAGCTTGTGGGCTTTGCCAAGAAGCAGCCATTCACAGAGGAGAACAACGATGCTATTCTTCCTATGAACTTGACTGCGAAGTTGTCTTATCCGCCTGACACACCTCTGAGCGCCCGGAGGTTCTTGAGCCTCGTCAGCCCCGAGAGCCCCGAGAATCCATCTGATGATGATGTCTTCAGCTCTGACTTGACCGATAAGCGGCTGAAGGAGACCTTCGGTATGATCGGGACCCGGGGGCTGATCGATTCGAAGATCATGTTTTTGTATTCCGGGGAAGACGAGTATTGCCCCCATTGGGTGGACAAGGTTAAGCTGCTACAACGATGGCAGCAAGCCACCGAGGCGGGCGGGACCAAGTGGGATAGTGAAAACAGCGGAGTGATTACAGGGGCCAGCCACAACGTCAAAAGTGAAGGCCAGCAGGACTTGATTGATCGAGTTGTTCGATACCTCCACAGTCTGTGATTTTAACGTTGAGTGCCGCCAATCCATGCCATTGACATCCACGACCTCGGAAGCCACACAGTAAGCTGCACGACCTCATTTTTGTCGAGTAATGAGCCAGTCAAAGATAAAGTTAGATCGACCTTGAAATTCATGGGCGAAATTGTGCTCGTGGTACCCATTGCCCACGATGTTGAGACTTGCGGTATCTAGTTACATGGACGGAAATGCCGTCCACGGGTAGCACCCATGAGATTTTCTATCGTTGCATCGCCGGAGTAACCTATGGGTGTCAGTATCATAACAATGCCACTTCGCAATCACAACATCGATATTGCTCTTTAACTGTATCGGGCTACTGCTGTAAAACGTTGATAGAGTTCCCACCAAAGGCAAAGCTGTGTAGCGCATGAGATCATCGATGTTCTGAATCAGGAAGGTGGTATATGCGTGCTTCGATGTATCAAATCTTAAGATCCATCTGGTTCTACAGGCTTGTGGCCAAACGGTTCTGTCACACCAATGGCCACGGACCTTGTCGGCTTCAAGAACGAAGAGTGATTTTCTTGAAAGATTGCCCAGGGTTGAACAAAGGACTGAAGAACGTGACAGTAGAATCCAATCAATCTTGGGAGATCTAGGATAATCAAAACAAAGTAGCCGTGTGGAATGGAAAAGGAGACTAGGATGGAGTGCCAGGATTCCAAGGCAGAGATACATACTAGCCGTTTATGGCTTAGCGCCACCGCCTTGCACGGTCGTGTATTGCTAAAGCTTCACACTTGATCAGTGGTAAAACCAAACGCCCTGATATACTGAGCTCTCGGTGAAAGAGCCCAGATTGAATAAGCTCGCCTGGTGCCAAATCGGTCGTCTATCGCTGGGAATTGAACATCAACACCCTTGAGCCAACATGCCTGCTGGGCGCAGGTCTGGACGCCAAAAAGGTCCTAGGACGGTCTATGTGAATGATCCATTCCAAACAGCTGGGATTAGTGATGACGATGATCCAAACGTGAAAAAGAACGCTCCTGCTCGGAGGGCAAGGCACCCCGAGGAAGAAGACTCACATTCGGATGATGAATTTGTTGGAGTCTCCGAGGAAGAGGCTGAAGATCCAATTGAAGATGAAGAAGAGGCAGCCGAGGGTCAAATTCAGAACGAGTTAAGAGAAGATTCGGAGCCAGAGTCTGACGCCTCTGACCCCGATCAGATGGATATCGACGTTAGTGAATTTACTCCCAAGAAGCATGCCTCAGCCTCTCGGCCACGTGAGATGCATTTCAGAAAGCGAGCGGCACGTGGAATTATTGTGCCTGCTGCAGATGAGACACATTCTCGCGGCATCATTGACCCTAAAGATCACTTGTCCAAGGATATTCATTATGCTCTAACTTTCGGGCCCGACGAGCGAGACATGATGGCAGCTATTCACTCAAGAGGACAATGGGCTAGAGGCATAGACTCGGCCTTCCCGACTCGACATGCCTTGGAAGGGAAGGGCGAGGTCGATGAAACTCTGTTTGGGCCAACCTTGGGCGTGCACCCCGACGATATCAAGAGAGAAAGTACGCGCGGATGGGACTGGTACTACGACGGAGACGTCGGAGGGTCATTCCGCAAACGACAACGCATTGAAACTATTGAGGAGTCTCTTGCCTACCAAAGGTATCTACCTCAAAGGAACGAGCGCAAACATCGCGTCCGTATGGGTCCGCAAGCTAGCCAGCAAATCTTTGATGTGGGCTATCACGAGTCCTTCGACTTTGGCAAGGCCTGGGAAAAAGCAAAACCGGGAAACAAGCCAGGAAAGGCTCGGGAAGGATGGATCTTGAACATCGGCCACAAGACAAATTGCATGGCTTGGGCTCCCAATCAGGATGGGCTATCTCAATATCTAGCCGTGGCCGCACCGCTTACAGAAGACCAAAAGAATGAGCATAGGTCTGAAGATAGCGATCCGTTCTCGGCGTTTCAGCCTTCTCAGCCTTTTCCTAGCGCTCTCCAGATTTGGGAGTTCAAAGCTAAGAAGACCGAAACCGAGAGTAGGACTTTGGACATGGACAAAAAGCCAGAGCTACGACAGGTCATTTGTGCCGACTGGGGTGACCTGAGACGTATGACTTGGTGCACCATGCCCCGATCAAAACGCGAGGAAGACGATGAAGAAATTAGAAAACCTATTGGCCTGCTTGCGACGATTTGGAGTGATGGGAAAGTCAGAGTGCTGGACATTTCTCGAGGTCGAGGAGCACAGAGAACAGAGTTCCGTCAGTGAATTCCATCAGAGACCTAACTTGGAAGCACGCTTTGCTGACATAGTGATTCTAGTCAATATCCAGTCAGCTGCATTTGAAGCAAGACCGCCTGCAACGGTATCTACATGTGTTACTTGGTTGTCTTCCAGCGAGCTCCTAGTGGGTTGCGCGAATGGATTCATAGCAGTCTGGAACATCACATCCCCACGGGTTCCTGAGTCTCTACCATTTCTTTACCGGCCCGTCCACAGCACGTACATTCTTTCCATCACGTGTGCATATCCAACCAACCCGCACATCGTTGCTACCGTAGGTATGGATGGCGAGACTCGAATGTGCTCACTCGTCGACCCTGAGTCTGAGATGACCTCGACGGTTCGCATGCGAGCGGCCGCTCCCTATATCACCTACTCCCCCATCCTTCAGTGCTTTGTCGCTGGGGATGAAAACGAGTTTGGTCGTATGCTACCAATTCGACGGTTTTTTACCACCACGAATATTGCCAGACTGTCCAGCAACCTCTCCGCTATGGCACCGGCCAGCTCGTGGCACCCTTGTGCCCTGTTCGGCAGTTCCGGGGGCGAGGTTGCAGGTACAAATCCCTTCCGACGAGTTCTATACAACAAGGAGCAAATATTGCAACAAACCTGGTTTCAACATGAATGGGTACCAAGCTCAGAACCAGACTCTATTGGCATGAGTCGGTTCTTTGACGGGTTCCGGGCTGATAACCAGAAATTGGCCAAATACCACACGACTGAAACGAAACCCATGACGGGAATGGGCACCTCCACGACCTACGACGAAGGCACTCATGTCACAGCCCTCGGGTGGAACCCCAATCACCCGTGTGCAGGGTGGGCCAGTGCTGCTCTGGGGTGCGGATTGGTGAGGGTGGAGGATCTTTCAATCTAATGTCCTGCCACAGCGGCAACCAGGGCGGCAACCAGGGCGGCAGAGGCTGATCAGTCAGAAGATCTACTGAGATTGACATGCTGATCAGGAGAAATGTATGCTACTTGTGCTCATCGAAACATCATAACGGATCTATGAAAAGAAACTAGGCCACCGTGAAACAAAGGCAGTTGTGTCAGAGTGGAGTCCCCAGCCACACTAATTGCTCATTTAAGCCCCACTCCCGCAGCGTGGTTGGCACATGTGCCATGTGGGCCTTACTTTGATGTGCTTACAGCCAATCAGCATAATTGCCGACCAGATTAAAGACCGAAAAGCCATGGCTGGATGCTGAAGACCCAGCCACCGTAGATCCCAGCCGCCTATTTTTGGTCCAATGGAAGTCATCTTGGAGGCGATGAATATTGTCGTACGTTGAAGGTCGATCTTTTGCTTTCAACTTTTAAGGCCAGGCTGGAATCGTCTGCTCTTTCCAATTCAACTCCTTCTCTCCACACACTAAACGCTCATAATTCCATTGTTTACATTTGCAACCTTCAATCTCAAGCGCTTCTTTTTTCTTGATCAATTTTGCACACTCCAATTACTCTTTTCATAATGCATTTCTCTGCCGCAGCACTCCTTGCCCTCTCGGTCAGCGTGACCTACGCGGCTCCGTTCGCCAACCCAGAGAACGAGGAGCTTGCTCGCCGCAAGGCAACCTACTCAGTGGTCAATGCCGACGGAGAGTCTAGCTCTGCTGCACCCGAGATTGATACTGTTTTCGAGACATCTACAGTCACTGCTCCCGGAGCTGACCCGGTTCCCGTTACCGTCACTGTGACTGCCAGTCCCTCAACCGCACCCTACTCGACCCCCGTGGCTAGCTCGGCTTGCTTGGAGACACCTTCTGCTCGCAACGACGTCCCTCTCCCGTCCATTGCTCTTCCCACTGCCGGTTCTTTCTTCCGTCGCGGCCTGAGAGCCGCCGGTCAGCCCGGTCTCTTTGCTCGCGAGTACTCCTACTCTAGCGCCTCTCCCGTCTCGGTCGAGGCCCGTGACTATGCCACTTCTTCTGCCTCTCTCTATGCTCGCAGCTACCCATCTGCCTTCGGCGCTGCCTCCTCCCCGACCCCCTCAGCCTCTGCCACTCCTCTCGCTGCTCGCGACTGGGTGTCTCCCTCCTCAAGCCTGAGCTCCTCTGCTACTGCCTCTCCCCTCATTGCCCGTCAGTGGTACCCTGCAACTCCTAGCGGATCTGCTTCTGTCTCTGCTTCGGCGACATCACTTGTGGCCCGCGGCTTTGGTGGTTGGTCCTCTTCCGCTTCCGTCTCGCCCTCTGCCACCTCTCTCGTCGCCCGTGACTGGTACACCGCTGCCCCCAGCTCTTCCAATGCCAACCCTTCCGCTTCTGGCACTTCGCTGGCTGCTCGTGAATGGTACTCTCCCTCGGTCTCGAGTGCTACTGGGTCTCCTACCCTGGCCGCTCGTAACTGGCAGTCTACTTCTCCCGTCGCCTCCAGCTCGAGTGCCACCGTCTCGACCGCTCCTTTGGCTGTCCGTGGCGAGTACGGCTGGTACTCTTACTCTCCCAGCTCTTCTTCCGTGGCCACTCCCACTCCCTCTGCTGGCTTGATTGCTCGTGACAACCGCAGCTGGGCCTCCAGTGTCTCTTCCCCCGTCTGGAGCACCCCCGTCGCCTCCGCTACTCCCGCCGTCTACTAAGCAAAGACGAGCCTAGTGACGGATGTCTCTCAGAAAGGCCGAGCATGGCTATCACATACGATCTCCGAATTTCCACTGTTCTCGATCTATGATTTGAAATGAAATCAGCAACGAAAGAATGTTTTATGTCCCCATTTGCGATCATTTGGGGGTTGATTTGAAATGACTGATTTACTAACGGATATGACGCATCTTTTCGGGCGTTTTTTTGTCTTTGGGCGCAACTTTGAAAGAAATTATGATTCATCATGTGTATGACTTTTAGGTGAATATGGGTTGGGCTGCGATGTTTTTGCTTTGGGCCTAGACTGGACTTGAATTTTTTAACCGGCCAAACTGTTCTATAGAAAGGTTTCACGACCGCAAAATGACAACGAAAATGAAAACGATATTGAAATGATCTTGAGCAATCTACTGCGTAATGTATCCTTGGAATGTCCTTATACTCCGGACTTTTAATTCGATTCGTCGGAGTTAAGCCGGGGAATAAGTGGCTTAGTAACGGGTTGCATGGCGGTCGCGCGGTGGTTGCCCCGAGAGACGCGCCCGTAAACAGCACATCCCTCCGCTCACCTTCAACTTCTACACATTGTGACCTTGCTGGGTCTTTTTGGTGTAACTTTTGGGCTCAGCATTTCTCTTTGAATTGTTACCTTTTCTTCCCACTGTCCTTCCAACCCTTTCTAATTGCATGAGCAAAGGCTGGCCAAGGCTCAACATTAATCAAAATGCCGGGGACTCTGGCAGATGGACCTACGGTCTCCATGTCTTGTATGTCATGCAGCCCGGAAAGATTTGATCCCATACTGACGATGTGATAGTTGCCAACAACTTTTGGGGAAAAGATGATGCAGGACTTCAACCTATGTTGGATCGTGTACACGGTTCCAAAATCACAAACGACGAACTAAAGGTGTTCTACAACAGTATGTGATGTCGCTCATGCCCCCGGTATACAACTGCAGTATGCTGATTATCGCAAAGTCCGAGCTTCGATCGAAGATGAATATGCGCGCAAACTTATGGCCCTTTGTCGCAAATCACTAGGGTCATGCGAGATCGGCTCACTCCGCTCCTCCCTTGATGTGGTGCGCGGCGAGACTGAAGCGATCGCCAAGTCACATGCATCAATTGCCTCACAAATGAAAACCGAGTTAGAGGAGCCGCTATCTGCATTTGCCAGTGGTATCAAGGAGCGAAGAAAGATTATCCAGCAAACCATTGAGCGCCTTCACAAAACAAAAATGCAGCAGACACAAACTGTGAACAAGGTGAGTGGATATCAGTCTCTAGACGGATGGCCTTCTGACTGAGTGTACAGACACGCGATCGATACGAACAAGATTGCCTTCGCATTAAAGGATACCTCGCTCAAGGGCACATGGTGATGGGCCAGGAAGAGCGCAAGAATAAGGCGAAGCTCGAGAAGACCCAAGTCCAAATGGCTTCCAACAGCAATGAATATGAAAATGCTGTAAAGACACTCGAGGAGACTACTGGACGCTGGAACAAGGAGTGGAAGTCTGCGTGTGATAAGTTCCAGGACCTGGAAGAAGAGCGATTGGATTTCACAAAGAGCAGCCTTTGGACTTATGCAAACATAGCTTCGACGGTTTGTGTCAGTGACGACGCCGTAAGTCTATCACTCTTGGTTCACTTCATTATGCTGACATTCAGGACAGTCTTGCGAGAAGGTTCGCCTATCATTGGAGGATTGCGAAGTGGAAAAAGACATCATCTTCTTCATCAAGGAACAGGGAACCGGCCAGGAAATCCCCGATCCCCCGCGCTTTATCAACTTCTGCAAGGATGATGATTCGAGCTCCGAGATGGACGAATCCGAGGGATACTCAGTGGCCCAGTTCCAACGCACTATGAACCCTGCTTTCCGCACATCTTCGCCTCAACCCTCTACATTCGAGTCGCACCACGACCCACAGTCAGATCTTGCTGCTCAAATGGGGCATAGTGCTGCGTCTCCTACAACCACCCAGCAACCTCAGATGCCACCTCCTCAAATGCCACCAGCTCAAATGCCACCCCCTCAGATGCCACCGGCCCAGATGCCTCCTCCACAGATGCCGCCGCAAATGCCTCCTCAGATGTCTCCATCTCACCCTCAGCACCACCATCGGTCTCAGCATTACTCCCAAGAGCAGCATTATTCCCAGGAGCAGCCAGCCCCTCTGGACTTCCGTCGCGGTGGTGCACCACCTCCGAACTATGATCCTGAGCAACACGGGGAGATTGGAGCTGTTCCTCACAACGCCTATCCGACGGATGGCATGACCATGTTCTGCCGGACGGGGCCTCCTTCAGAGCGCAGCTCAGCCACTAGCGCGTATCGTCCATCGAGCCGTGATTCCCAGAGCGAAGTGTCTAATCCTACCTCCTTGTCTAGTGTCGAGGCAACTCCAACCAAGAAGTCTATCCCGAAGCCAACAAACAGCGCACCACTACCAAGCTCTGGGGATGAGAAGTCACCAAAGAAGAAGAGTGCGTTCTTTAGCAATAGCCCCTTCCGCCGCAAGAGCCGTCATGATAAGGAAAGACCTGTCATTTCTTCACAGCATGCTGCCTCTGCACAGCCAGCTAGTGCATCAAACTCGGCTCCTCGAGGGGGATGGGATTCTCCGACTAAGCAAATGAGCCCCCCTAAGCCTATCAGTCCACCCAAACAGGTCAGCCCGCCCAAGCCTGTCAACCCGCCTCAGCAAGTCAGTCCTCCCAAGCCGATTAGCCTGCCTAAGCAAGCCAGCCCGCCCAAGCCTGTTAGTCCACCAAAACAAGTCAGTCCTCCCAAGCCAGTCAGTCCTCCCAAGCAGGCCAGTCCGGTCAAGCCAATCACAAGCGCCCCTGGTCGTCGTTCCGGAAGTCCAGAACCCGTTGATCCTCGAGCCAACTTCCAACTCAACGTCGGAAATAACGTCTTTGATGTTGCATCTCCAGAAAAGGATACATCTAACAAATCCACACAGCCAGCCCAAGGTGCCGAAGATGATCTAGATCCGATTGCCCGAGCCCTTGCCGACCTCAAAACCAGCGGCAAGCAGTCAGCTACCAGGGTATCGGCAGATAGGTATCATGGCATTTCGACCCCCACGCCTTCGGCCCCTAATTCCACGTATGGTGGTAGCAATGCCAGCGTTAACGCCCCGCCCGCATACAATGACCCTACCGTCAAGCGACTAGGAGCGCCGCAGCCGGCATTTACTGCAAAGCAAATGCACAAGACAACTCAAAAGTACACTGGTCAAACCCAGAGTATGCTCCGAGGTGCCAACAACAGCATGGGATCCAGACATAGTGGTCAAACCCAAGAAGCGCCGCGGGCTCGGTCACCTGCGCCTGCGCCACGGCGTAGTGTCAGTCCTCAGGTTCAGTCCCCCCGGGTTGACACGAGGATGAGCCAAAACAGTGGCAGAGGACCAAGCCCCAGCCCTAGCTCGTATCAGTCCAACAGCATGCGGAGCCAGTACAGCGCATCGCCTACTCCACGTCGCACTCAAGATGCGCCATACTCTCCCCACGACTTCAGCCGCAGAGCTTCGCCTGCCATGAGTCACCGTGCGGTTTCTCCCCAGCCACAGTTCAGACAGCAAACCCGTCCATCTAGTGCTGGCGGTATGGAGCTACAGCTATCCGGAAGCCATGATATGTACGGAGCCAGTAGCCCCGGGGGATATGCCAGCTCGGTTCGATCCAGTGGCCGCCCATCATCCACTTATGGAGACAGTGCTCCTCCCCCTACTCGACCCAGAAGCCGTACTATGGCGGTTGCCGAGCCTGGGCGCAAATTTAGCCGTGACGGCAGACCAATCTTGCACTTCGGTAAGCAAAAGAATTCCTTGTCTCATTGTGTTTCGTCATACTAACTCACCATACCACAGCTCGTGCCATGTACACTTACAACGCTGCCATTCCCGAAGAGCTCGGCTTCGGCAAGGGTGACGTTCTCGCCGTTCTCCGTCTGCAAGATGACGGATGGTGGGAAGCCGAGGTCACAAATGCCCGTGGCCGCCCTGGCCTTGTGCCTAGCAACTATCTTCAAATCATTTGAACGCCCATTTTATCTCACGACCCGCCACGACCTATGCCATATTTGTCCTGACGGAGATACTCTCCATGTTTCCACGCAGATACCATGCCTTTTCCCGAATTTCTTTGCACATGATGTCCCCTATGTTTTCTTCTCCCTCGTTCTCAACATGGCGCTATCTTCCGTCTTGGCGTCATTGAACAGTCTGTTTAATCTAATCTTCCTGTTCTACCCGATGTTTTAAAGGATTTAGCGTGTGTGTTCTGGGAAATGTTTTCTTGCCTTTGATTTCCAACCTCCTCTCGTTCATTGGGTTGAGTTCGATCGTGAAGATTGGGCCCCAAATTGCATGGTGGGCGGCCACTGGATTTCCTACCTTGACCTGCGTTCTGTGTCATATCCCGCTTGTTTTCTTGTTTCAATTTTTGATCGTTGAGTTGTTATGGAGGACGTGATAGGATTTGTTTTAATCGATTCGTGTGTGATTTATTTTGAATATGCTCATGCAAACAGCAACCATAATTTCTTGACGCTACCAAATTGAATCACTGAATATTGCATTTACGCTTTACCCACCACTCATGTAGATCTATTTCATTATGTTACCTACTCCTTGGTTCCGGAGGTCAAGAAAGTGCACGGTATAGAACACCGTGCGTAGTGAAGCACCATGGCATAGCCCGAGGCTGATTGTTCAGGGGTCTATGTGTAGTCTAGTAGTCAAAATATCAACCATTTCTCCTATCTGCAATATTTACGCCCTAACAACTCCCATATCACATCTATGGATGAATCCCGAAGTCCCCAGTGATCCCGTGACGCTGCCTGCGTCTATGAATTGACCAATCACATTCATGGATGCACTTCCCACCCCTGTCCAAAGCTCATGAGATCACCTATCTTCTCCCAACTCAAGTTCTGTTTCAATAACTCCCTACGGCCCTTTCAACTTGAGTGATTGTGACAGTATGTTCTCAAAGCTGGCAAGAACACGCGGGCGTTGGCCCACGCCGGGCGTGCGAATGAACAAGAGAACCCACTCCACAAGGACGCCGTTTTCCAAGACCAGAATCTCAATTGCAACCACCGGGTTAATCAGTACACCGGGTATCTGGTGGTGGACAACGGCCAATGATGATGTGCCCAATCTCGACAGCCTGCCCGCGGAGCCCTCAGTCTCCAGGCCAAACCTTACACGCGGAGAGGTCAGCAGCATCTTGTCGAGAGACGCATTTTCGCACCATGTCAATAGCGTTCCCGGCGTTAATAGGTACGATGTTACCCAATTGGCATCTAATAGCCCCTGTGAAGATCGATTTGTCCACGGCAAGTTCTCCTCGCCGTGGAATGAGAGTGACAAGTGGATGTCGTGGGCGGTTTTCGACGGGCACGTAGGCTGGCAGACAGCCCAGTTGTTGACAGAACAACTTTTACCCTTTGTGCGGTGCAATTTGAGCCAGCTTAAGCCTTCATCCGATGGATTTACGCCAGATGGATCCGTTCAGCACGCTATTACGAAAGCGTTTGTAGACCTTGACGACTCAATCATCGAGACTGCGTTGGCTACTTCTCAAAGCAACATGTCTTTGCAAGAAAGGGCCAAGAAACTAGCCCCGGCATACGCTGGATCATGCGCATTGCTATCCCTCTACGATCCTCTCACAAGCACATTGCACGTTGCATGCACCGGTGACTCGAGGGCAGTTCTAGGGCAAAAGGGATCGGATGGGAAATGGAAAGCCATTCCACTCTCGATAGACCAGTCCGGCAGTAACGAAGATGAGGTTGCTCGGCTTCGCAAAGAACACCCGGGTGAAGACAATGTCGTTGAAAATGGACGAGTGCCTGGGATGATGGTGTCCCGCGCGTTTGGAGACAGCAGATGGAAATGGCCTTTGGATTTCCAAAAAAAGATGAAAGATCGTTTCAATGGCCCGGCACCCTTGACACCAAGATATGACGTCCGTACGCCGCCATATCTGACAGCCGAGCCCGTTGTGACTAGTACCAAGATCGATCCCAATCAGCCTTCATTCCTGATTATGGCAACAGATGGCTTATGGGACAGTCTGTCTAGTCAGCAGGGTGTCGATCTGGTCGGCACATGGTTGGCTTCACGGGGAGCTCAAAAGGATCCCGGATCTGGTCCGGCGTATGCACCATTCGACTTTGGTCGGTTCCGCGAAGGTGTGGATTGGAGGTTTGTAGAGGAACGGACGACTACACAGGATGAGAACGCTGCTGTACCACTTGTACGCAATTCCCTTGGCGGAAACCATCATGAGATGATTGCAGGCCGACTCGCATATGACTCTCCTTTCTCTCGTCATGTGCGAGATGATATCACCGTGCAAGTTGTGTTCTTCAATACTGGAGATAAGTCATAACAAGGGAAGCCATTGATACCTGAGCTTAGACAAAAAGCACGCGAGGTTTCCCAGGAAGATTAGAAGAATGTTTTGAGAATGAAATGGCTCAGCCACAATGAACCAGAAAATTATTGTACAAAGGCGAAGGATACCATTAGAACGCTAGCAAAATCCACGCTCATCCTACTGCGTATTCGAAGTAAACTCCAGCAAGTGATTGCCCTGGATGCAAAAAAGACCGCTTCGTTGAAAATCACTCATCGTCGACGAAAGAATTGGCAAGGCGACCAAAGAAAGGAACTTCGAAATGATCCAAGGTGTGGACTGAGATTCACAGGTCAGCATGGAGGCCCCAACAGCAATGTCAAATAACATGCTCAGCAAGCCAAGGATGTCGGACTCACCGTCTTGATAGGCATGCATGCTGAGAAAGCCGATCAGGAGAAGATCAACGAGGAACAACGTCCAGGAAAGAAAGCTTGACCAGCATAGGAGCAGGTGCATAAGCTAGTCCATGTGTATTAGCATGGGAACACCATAGTATACCTAGGTAGATGATACTCACAAACAAAGCAGTAAAGAGCATACTCGATTGCCAGGCATGGAATCTAGAATGGCATTAGTACCCAACACTGCATTTTTTCAAGAACAGAACAACCACGAACCGCACGTAATCACTCTTATGTTCAGTTAGCAGTAAGAAGACACCACCCGCCGGAGGCAGAAGCAAGTATGCCAACGCTGCCTCGATATTCATGCTGATCGGGAGACTGGTCTCGAAAGCACCAAGGCTCACATGCCCGCCCTCAACATCGCGTCCAAATCCTGTGTTGCCATGTCCGCCTCCGGTAAAGTGACTGGGAGAGGGGAGATCGGCCGAGGCTCGTGGTGAGCGGAGGTTTGGGATCGCACGGTGATTTGCAGGTGGAGGCGACAGGGCGCGCTCAAGCTCAGGTGAAGTATCTTGATATGGAGCGAAGTTCATTTTGAGAGAGTGAACTGAGGAAGTTGTGTTTCCTAAGTTGTGTGCTCTGTCACTCTGTGCTATCAGGGGAATGGCCAGCTTCTTATCGCCGATAACGCGTCATGCGGCCAAACGCGTCAAAGCGTTTTTAATCTCCGCACTGCAGAGTCCGCAACACCTACATTAATGTTCACTACTCTGTACAGATTAGACACTGAAATGTGGATGTCTTTCTGGTACTGGCCAAAGCAGCTTTTATGTCCAAGTCAGGCATTTGACCTCGGGAGCATTGCGCATGCGCCTGTAAAGAAATGGGTATCATATCATATTGCTTCGTGCTCATCACCCATCCATTTGTACATGTACTCATATCTTTGTCCATTTAAACCTTGCCCCGCCCACGAGAGATCCCGCTCCCGCGTGCAATTCCACTGGCTGGTCGTTGAGTAGTGGTAGATCCGCGTGTCGCTGTCCGTGTAGTGCTGACGCTGGGAGTGCGTCCAAGACCAGTACTCCGGACTGTGCCTCTAGTGGTGGTTCCTCGGGTCCCTCGAGCGGTGCCCCGCGTACCCCGGGTGACCTGCGCCCGTCGTGCTTCAATTTCTTCGGCCTTCCGCGCGGCGGCTTCTCTTTGTTGTTGAAGTGCCAGTTCACGCCGTTCCGCTGCCTGCTGTCGTCTAATTTCTTCGTGTTCGATATCAGCTACATCTTGGGTAGCGCCGTGCCAGTTGGGATTGAGGATCAGTCGTTGGTTATGCTCGGTTTGAGAGAGAATGCGGGTCCACGTATTGAGAAGAGTTGAGGCTGATGTCACTGTTTGAGAGACCGTCTGGGTTCAATGGTTAGGATAGAGTCTGCAATCAATTGCAACGAAACGACATACCTCCATGTTTCCCTTTGCAGAATCCAAGCTGCTTAAAAGTCCCTCAATGACCTGGTTGATGTTTCGCACTCCTTGTAGCTCGGCGCGTAGCGCAGCTTCGCGTGCCTCTTGGCGATCGTAAAGGGGATCATCGCCTTCGTGGGCTGTATCATGGGAGGCGCGAGGTTCAGGTGTAACCTTCTCGTCGGAAGCTTTCGGCGTGAACTTCTTGTGTGTGCCCCGCTTCGACGGGGAGTCCCAAACCTCGGAGTCGTCGTCTGATAGTTGAAGTCTCTCCATTTCTTCGGCTGTGGTGCGGAAAGTCATGTTGAAGACGCGTGGTTTGACGCTCGGGTACTCCGTACAGGTTCGTATGCGAGTAAACACCAATGCCCAGGATGTGGGGTTGCAGCGGCGCTAGAAGTGATGTTGCGAATTAAGAGGAAAAAGCCAAACTTCGTTAGTGAGACTAGTGCCGATCAAATTAGGCCGTAGTTAGCAGTGTTGACGTGGGGGTTTTTTCAGCCACCGGAATTATGGGGCGGTGAGGCCGGTGGCTGGGCGACAAGTCTAGCCCTTGTCAACAACTTCTCCCTTAACAGGTTCTACCACCCCCATCTTATCGCTCTTTGTTCTCGTCGCTTCGTCTACGTCGATAGCTGTGCTCTTACGCTCACGATTTTTGGCGGAATTTTATTACGACCGGTTTTTCGCTCCTTGGATTTCGCAATTTCTCGAGCCGAACGCGTTACGCCCTTGATCTGGCCAAACCCCATCTCCGACCCTTGATTACGCTCGCGACTGCCCAAAGCCCGCCAGTTTCAATTGCAGCTGGTATTTCATCGATATCCTTATTCCGAAAACACCAAACCGTCGAGCGACTATTTGGTCGCTGTTCAAGTCATCATGGCTTCCACACCACCGCCGCCATCACCCTCTGCACTTCGAGTTCCTCGCGCTCCGCGCCATGGGCCCAAGCTCGACGACTACGAGCCCTATCCCACTCGTTATTCTACTAGACTTGCAAGCCAGCGCATAGCAAGGGCCGCTCACACTACTCCGCCTCCAAGTCTCTCAAATCCTTCTGCGAAATCAGGAGCGCCTAAAAGAACGCTTTCGCCCACTTCGCCTGAGACTGTGAAACCTTCGTCTAAAAAGGCAGCACAAAGTCATGCATCTTCTTCCTCTCGCATCTCTTCTTCCAACTCTGCTCCTTCAATTTCCCGCACTTCTTCACACCAACCTTCTCGTTCATCAGCAGAACGTGCTTTACCCACTCCTGTGAAAACTCCTTCAAGAAAGAAGGATATTCCTTCTGGAGCTGCCACCCCTCGTACTCTTTTCCCTCCAAGTGCAACCTCCAAGCGCAGAAAGATGGACACTCACAAGCAGGCAGACGAAGTTCGTCCCATCTCCAAAAAATTTCAGGTTTATTCTGATGAGATTCAGGAGGACAAACCTGCTACTGCTCCGGGTGGCATTGCCATCCACACTGATTCGCGCGATCGCATCCCTGTGCCTGATGAAGTACTCAAACTATTCGCCAAGAAACCTGAAACCTCTGGCACTGGACGAGCGACTCGATCGACCCCTGCGCGGAGGGAAATAACCCCTGATGGCGCTTGGTATCTCTGGTAAGTAAATCTGAACCTTACCACATTTGCCCATGCTGACCTAAAATTTAGTCGTGGAAATCCAATCTTCAAGCGCTTCGATGACATGGAAGAGTCTGATGACGATGAATCTGATCTTGGCCTGTTCGCCAATCGCCCGGATCTTCTGGAAAAGAACCCGGACTGTCTGAAGGACATCAAGTCGCTCAAACGTAGCGAAATCAAACCGAGGATGCTCTTTGCTCGCTCGGATCCTCCAGCTTATCCCCCACATGGCAACCCCAATGTCATCAACACCAACACCAACACTGCTCCTCCTCATGACGCCGAGGAAGATGTCACCGATGTGGAGGAAAACGAGGCCGATCCCTTTGATGTTAACCCAGAGAGCGACGACTGTGTTCCCGGTGTCACCCCTCAAGGATCCCTTTACAATGGCACTCCCTTCACATGCGACTTGCTTGATGAAACCCCTGTGGGTAACGGCACCCTTCTCCGTTGGTTGAGATCCTCCCGGCAGAAGCATGATCGTGACCAGGAAACTCCCGCTGAGCGCCTGAAGCGCCATCGAGAAACCCGTGGCAGTCCTAATCCCCGCACCCGCACTCGAGCCCGCACACGGATGGCCCACCGCGCTGAAGCTGAAGTTGAGGGTCTTGATGCCCGGATCCCCGCCGAGAGTTCTACTGATGCATAAGTGTGACACTATCGCTCGGTCAAGCCATGTTTCTTCCTTTTTCGTTATTTCAGCGCTTTGAAATTTTTTTTTTCACTTTCTCCGATGCATCATGCTCGCCGGACTTTTGTGCCGGATTTGGGGTATTTCCCCTCCTGTCTCTTTTCGTGCACGGCGCATCACTTCTCACTGCCTTCTGTTCTTCCTTGTACCCGTGGCCATCATGTACTCGCGCGGTCTGTGATTCTCTCTCCGTTTTTTTTATTTTATTTTATCTTTTATGCGGCGCGTGGGTTTGGGAATTGTGACATTCGAAGGATAAGGATACCTAACGACAATACTAGCTGGATAGCGGCCCTGGGGCGTTTCTTTTTGCTTTCGATCGTTCATAATCCCATTGTGGATGGCAAATAGCGGAATTAGAGAATATTAGTTCACTTCAATGAAATTACAAAGATATTAGAAATACCTCCATAGATGTATCTGCTCCTAGCCTTGTACTAGCCTCTCGAAGGCCCCGGAGCTCTTAGCAGTGAGACTCGGGATTACCGAGTCATCCATGGATGTGTATTACTCCAGTTGTGGTCATCTCTATGATCTTGAATACGTGTTACGATTTGGCAAACGAGAACCATAGGGTCTAAATCCCAGGGTGCCGTACATAGCTTTGCGCCCTGCGTCCAATGCACGGTCAATCCTATGGATAGGTAGCTCACAGGGAAGAACCTGGGTACCAACGAGTCAACAAAGATCGGCAAACGAGCCGCAAAAGGCCTTGATGCTTTCAAGAATCGACTGCTCCAATTAATGAGATCAAACATATCAATTGCCCACACCCCATCGAGGGATCCGGGACGTCAATGATTATATACAGGAGGAATAACCCAGCAGTGCGAAGGTGAGGACGTACTCCTTCAATAAGGAGAGCCTGGATACCAAAGTCTTCTGCGAGAGAGCCCCCGGGATAAGCCTTATGGGATTTCTTGTTTTGCTTTCAACAGACATTGCCCCAAATCGCTTTTGGTGAACCAGCCAAGAAACGCCATGGATATCAAAGTACAGAAATATAATTGTCAAGGCGACGTTAGAGAGTCACTTATTCTTTGCGGACGTGGAAGTCCACGTTGCGGTCGCGCATCAGCTGCTTGCGCTCCTGTTCCTTGGCTGTGAGAGAGTTAGCGATATTTTTTCTTTGAGTGTGAGAATTGGGGGTCACATACCCTCATCGTAGACCAGGAACTCGTGCAGACCACGGCCGGAGGGAACCATGGGGAGGACGGGGACCTTGCGGTCAGTGATGACCTCAAGGAGGGCAGGGCCATCCTGCTCGATCAGCCACTTCAGCTTCTCCTCAACCTCGGAGGGCTTGAAGCAGCGGTCAGCAGCCACGCGCATGGCCTTGGCGAGGGGAACGAAATCGGGGTTCTGCTGGTGGGTGTGAGAGTAGCGATCCTCGTAGAACAGGTTTTGCCTAAAATTGATGTTAGTGTTTAGAGCTTAATATGGGAAACGCTTCAACATACCATTGGGTGACCATGCCCTGCTCCTCGTTGTTGAGCAGAAGGACCTTGACACCAATGTTGAACTGAGCGGCGGTGGAAAGCTCAGTGAGGGTCATGTTGAAAGAAGCATCACCGTCGATATCAACGACCAGGCAGTCGGGGCGGGCGACCTTAGCTCCAAGGGCGGAGGGGAGACCGTAACCCATTGTACCCAGACCACCAGAGGTGATCATGGTACGGGGGTGGCGCCAGCGGAAGTGCTGAGCAGCCCACATCTGGTGCTGACCAACACCGGTGGTGATGATGGTCTTGTCCTTCATGTGAGCAGTGAGATCGCTCAGCTTCTCAATGACGGCCTGGGGCTTGATGGGCCCCTCCTCGACCTGGCGGTCGTAGAGGGAAAGGGGGAAACGCTGCTTCCAGTCGTTGATCTGCTCGAACCACTCAGGACGCTCGCTGACGGCCTTGACGTGGGGCAGAAGAAGGCGGAGGTTGTCGGCGCAGTCACCCTCAACGGCCTCGTTGGCCTGGACAACCTTGTTGATGTTCTTGGGCATGATCTCGAAGTGGACAATACCACCACGGCCCTCAGCGGCAGCAAGCTTGGCCTGAGGGGCAAACTTGGGAATGCTGAGAGTGACACGGTCATCGAAACGAGCACCAACAGCAATGATAAGATCGGACTCCTGCATAGCCATGTTGGCATATGCGGATCCGTGCATGCCCAGCATGTGAAGGGCCTTGGGGTCCAGCTCATCAAAGCCACCAAGACCCTGGAGGGTGGTAGTGACAGGGATGCAGGCCTTGTCAGCGAACTCCTTCAGGATCTTGGGACCATCAGGGCGAGCGAGGAGACCCTGTCCAACGTAGAGAATAGGCTTCTTGGCGATGTTGACAAGGTTAGCAACACGGTTGATGGTTCCCTCGAGCTGCTTCTGGCTCATTTCGCGGGCAGCCATGGCGGCAGCGCTGGGAAGCGAGGGAATAGTGCTGTGCATGGGAATGGGGTTGCGGAGAATGCCAGCGGTGACATCCTTGGGCAGATCAACCAGGACGGGACCGGGACGACCGCTAGTGGCGATCTCGAAGGCCTCTTGGATGCGGCGAGGCAGCTCACCAACGGACTTGACCATCACGTTCCACTTGGTGCAGGCGCGAGAGATACCGATGACATCGGCCTCCTGGAAGGAATCGGTTCCAATGGCGCTAGTGGGGACCTGACCACAGAAGACAACCATCGGGGTACCATCGGACATGGCATCTTGCATGGGGGTGATGACATTGGTAGCACCGGGGCCGGAGGTGACGAGAACAACACCGGGCTTACCTGAGGCACGGGCGTAACCCTCGGCCATGTGGCCGGCACCCTGCTCGTGCTTGGGGAGGAGGAATTCGAAGTGCTTGGAGTTGTAGATAGCATCGAAAACAGGGAGAATGGCACCACCGGGGTAACCGACTGGAAATTAAGCGTTAGGACAAAGCATCGTTATGCTGCTGATCACGGAGTACTCACAGACGTGCTTCACGCCCTGGCGAAGCATCATCTCGTGGAAGATCTCTCCACCACTCATTCCGACCATTCTTCACGTCCATCAATCAGTTTCAGAGATTCCAATTCAAGGGGGAGACGACCTACGAGTCATCAAGCTCGGGGAGCTGTCTGTGTTGCAAGGGAGAAATTTCATTGCGATGAGGTTCTTGGTTGAAAGCCGGACTCGGGACGGGCCTGGACTCCCTGGCAATTGATTAGACCTCAAACGAAAGGCGAATGTCGAGTTTCTGGGGCAAGACTCACGAGGCTCCGGGGGACGCAGCAGCGGTACTCTGACCACGCTTCTGGACAGAAGAGCGGTGGGGCGAAGCGGCCGAAGCCACAAACGAGGATGAAAAAGGCCGACGTCCAGCAATGTGCCTCTGGAGGTGGAAGGCGCGCAGGGCGCTTTTAGATGGTCTTAAAGGCATCATTGTGAATGACAACCAAGCCAGAAAGGTAGAGAGGAGAGTGGTTAAAAAGTAAGGAAAAATGAGTTCCAATTGACTGAAGATTGTCGTGACTCTGGGGAGAAGAAACACCCTAAGCCTATTTGATCCGACCGCTCTGAGTCAATCAATTCACGGCTTCTGATTGGTGAGAAGCGCCTCCGCGCCCTCCGACCTCGGCCGCCGACGGTCACATGACCCGCGTTTTCGTGTCTCCTCGGCAGACGATCACTGCCCCGGGGGCTATCTACGCCCTGTGCACGCCCTTCGATGCTGTTTATGTGATTTTGCTGAACTGCATAAGTATGCACATATATAAGTGTGCTTCTCGACGCCCCCAAATAACACACAGACTCCAAGAATACTAGTAGTTCCGATGGCTCGGTGAGCCCATTAGCCTTGTGGCCTGAGTTGCGATCCCGACTTTTTTCGGTGTGGGTCCAGATCGGCCCGGGCATCTAGGCCGAGCTTGTATATGCATAACTACCAACGCAGTAAATGATTGCTGTTATTGCCTAACTCTATTAAGATCTCGCTCTGGAACATCGAAACGGTCTCTTGGGCGCCTGTCAGAGGCTTGACGTCGACAGACAAGTGTAGGTACTATATCGAACTTGATCTGTACAGTAGACAAATAGGTGTCTACGCGACAAAAGAACAATGATTTTCTGGCTAATGGCATGGATTCGACCAGTATCATTTTCCAAAGTACGTCAAGTAATATATCTCAAAGTATCCATAGATGTACTACAGTAGTAGTATACCACCTTGATATTTCGAGGTAGATCATGCTGATGTATGCCAAATGACTCGGGCATCGGGCTCAAAGGTAGGAGACCGAACTATCAAGCCACCAGAGGACTATTTACCTAGGTATGTGGTAATGTCTTCAAGGAACCCTTGCAATGAACTTTAGATGTTTTTGTATTCGTGGGAGACGGAGATTTCCTTCCTCCGAGTCTAGAAGTGATGCCCAGGTGGTCGAATCAACTATATTCCATAGAGCAAATGAAGACTTGACTGCAGTGAAGATATTCATGGATACCTAACTACCTAGGTACCTAGGTAGGTAGACATATGCTAGTAGATAATACTGCGCTAGGAATTTAAAGGTTAGGTCTATACGGAGTAGATACTGGAGGTATACTCAGCTACCAGTAGCCACGAATGCTTTTTATGGTTACGCTATATAGCAGTGGAGATGAATACATTTCCATGTCAACTCTTCTACTCTGGTCAGAAAAAAATCGCCAATGCGGAGGTCGCCTACACTTCGGCACTTGAATGGCGCAATAACGCCAGTTAATGAGGAAGACAAGCGGGGGGATTTTAGCTCGCCGGCTAAGCCCTAGTCGATCTCCCCCGCGCATACCATTGGCGCAGCCACACTCTTGTGCATCCAAGCCTAGGTAAAGCGTATTGGTATGTTGGTATCATAATGGGTTTAGCCAAGTCTAGACGGCCTTTCAAGGTTGCTGGATAAGTTTCGCATAGAGTGTGGGAATCTTTTGATACCGGGAGTAGTACGAAACATTTCCCGGGTTATCTTGGGGACTGACGACAGGAGTGACGAGTCCAGACTATATAAACCCTCAGGCCTACCTAAGTAGCTTATTTCAGAAGACTTCTAAGATCCTTCTTTGCGAGATTTTTCACCATGGGTAGCATGGCCAAAAGACCAAACTTCCTCGTCATCGTCGCCGATGATCTTGGCTTCAGTGATATCTCTCCCTATGGAGGAGAGATTCAAACCCCCAACCTTGCAAGGTTGGCAAAGGAAGGAATCCGGATGACCAACTTCCATACTGCATCTGCTTGCTCTCCGACTCGATCTATGCTGTTCTCTGGGACCGACAATCATATTGCTGGACTCGGTATTCAAACTCTAGTGTCTATTTTGTACGTGCTCTTCATCGCTGACATTATGAAGGACAAATGGCAGAGTTCATGAGGTCATTTGGCGACTACTTCAAAGACAAGCCGGGCTACGAGGGATATCTGAACTGGCGCGTGGCAGCATTATCTGAGATCTTGCAGGACTCCGGATACCACACGATCATGTCCGGAAAATGGTGAGACTCGCAATGTTTCGCATGAAGATTGAAGCATGAAGTTTATTTTGACTGACTGTATCAAGGCACTTGGGAATGACAAAGGAGCTTTCCCCTTACTCAAGAGGATTCGACAAGAGCTTCTCCCTGTTGCCAGGGGCTAGCAACCACTACAACTATGAACCGCAACTAGACGATGGCGAATTCCAAGCTCCATGTTTGAACACTAACGGCTTTTGGATGGAAGGCAGCGAATATGTAGATCGTTCAACTGATCTTCCGAAGGACTTTTATTCGACTCGAACATTCACCGATAAAATGATTGGGTTCTTACAAGAGCGCACAGAGGAAGAGTCGCAGAAGCCATTCTTTGCTTATTTGCCATATACCGCACCCCACTGGCCTCTTCAAGCGCCCCGTGAGATCATTGAGAGATACGGTATCTGAACCTGAGAATTATTTTATGCGGTCATTCGCTGACCTTTCTTAGCGGGTGTGTATGATGATGGCCCTGATGCCTTGACCCAGAAGCGACTTCGTCGCCTCAAGGAGCTGGGTTTGGTAGATGAAGATGTCGATCATTCTCCGCCCGTAGGGGCTCTTGGAAAAGACTGGGAAGAGATGTCAGCAGAGGAGAAGAAGATATCTGCGCGCAAAATGGAGGTCTTCGCGGCCATGGTAGAACTGCTTGATCATAACATTGGGCGAGTTATTGACCATCTTGAGTCAACTGGAGAGCTGGAAAACACCTTTGTCTTGTTCATGTCTGATAATGGGGCTGAAGGTGCAGCCTTGGAAGCTCTCCCGGTAAGGATATTCAGAAGATGGGCCAGCTGGAGCTTGTATTTGCTGACATGATTTTAGCTCATGGGTGGTGCACGAATGATGGGCGACATCATCACCAAGTATTACAAAAACACATTGGATAATATTGGCGATCCCGACTCATTCGTTTGGTACGGTATGTGGTTTGAAAGAAAGAACCTCCGGGAATGCATCGAGTGGAGATCAGATCTAATGCTTACTGTTAGGTGCTCGCTGGGCTTGTGCTGCAACCGCCCCCTCTCGAGGCTTCAAGGGCTGGGTGACTGAAGGTGGCATTCGTTGCCCCTGTGTGGTTCGATATCCGGCCTTTCAGACCAAACCGGAAGCTATCACGACATCCTTCACGACGGTCATGGACATCCTCCCCACCATCCTCGATTTGGCCGGAATTGCCCATCCCGGCACGCACTTCCGGGGACGTGCAGTTGTTGCCCCGAGAGGTCAATCTTGGGTGTCGCACTTAGCTTCTGGTGATCTCCAGAAGACAAGCGTTCATAAGGAGGATGTGCACATCCACGGGTGGGAACTCTTCGGCCAGCGGGCGATCCGCGAAGGGAAGTGGAAGGCTGTCTGGATTGCGAAGCCTCGTGGAAATGATGAATGGGAGCTCTTCGATGTCGAAGCAGATCCTTCCGAGTTGAATGACGTTTCACAGACCAGGTCGGACGTTCTTGATCGCCTGATCCAGCACTGGGAACAGTACTATGCGGAAACTGGTATGGTGCAGACCCCGGCGTTTCATCCAAGGAAGTAGCTTTGAACTGGTCAGCTGTGGCAGCACATCTGTAGATGAGAAATCGAATGTCATATAGACGAGAATTGTTGATTGTCGACTATGCTCGACATCGTGTTCCAAGGCTATAAAATCGTAGCAAAGGTGATGGTAGGCTGGTGAGGATGAAGATGTAACAGGTGTACTGTACCTGAGCACGTGGAGAACCTTGAAACCAGGCACTCAAGCTCCACGGGCCGATTGCGAAAGAAGCCGTGAAGTCGGCAAAACGCGCAGTTGGAGATCCGAGAAGTGAGAATTGCCTCTTTGGGACAACCTAGTGCGTCATCGCTCAATCGGGCAAAAAATGACCGCGAGTGGCCCTGCAACGGCCAATCAGTGCAGCCGTGCAAATGAAGTCCTGGTGTTGAATGGAGACGAATGGAGACAGACGGAGTCCCGCAGAGGCCCTGCGAGAGAACCGATGTCACCTCCCCGCAAATTACCCGAAATCAGTCACCGGTCACCCCGAAATCATTGCGCACCCCACTATCCCGAGTGTACACTTACCCGGGGAAACGGGGGCGGAGAAATTGTGCCCTTTTCGCGCTGTACTTCTACCTCAACTGCTGATTCTACCTTTCCTACTTCTTACCCCTCCTTGTCTCCTACCTCTACCCCGCCATGTCACCCACACAGGAGCTCGTGCCACAGACTGAATCCATTGCGGAAGTCTACGCAACGGACGACGCTTCAGTCAACTCAGTCGCACCAGAGCACCAGCAGCGATGGGCCAACCTCATCACCCAGTTTAACAAGACCTATACCTACCGCCCGGACTTTGTGGCCCGCAGTCCCGGCCGCGTGAACATCATCGGAGAGCACATTGACTACTCGCTATACGATGTCCTGCCCACTGCCGTCAGTGTGGACGTAATCATGGCCGTCAAGGTGGTCCCTTCCACTGCGTCCGAATCCACCATCACAATTGCCAATGTCTCGCCGGAAAAATTCCCCACTCGCGAATTCAGCGTGCCCCACGATCAGGATGTCGAGATCGACCCCAAGAAGCACGAGTGGGTGAACTACTTCCGCGCCGGCCTGTCGGGCGCTCTCAAGTTCCTGCGCAAGGAAAATGGCGCCATTGTTCCCGCTAGCATGCAGATTTTGGTCGACGGCAACGTCCCACCTGGTGGTGGTATCTCCAGCAGCGCTGCCTTCGTTTGCGCCAGCGCTCTGGCAGTCATGAAGGCTAACAACCACAACGTGTCCAAGCAAGACTTGCTGGACTTAGCAGTTGTCTCAGAGCGGGCAGTGGGTGTCTACTCTGGCGGGTAAGTCTCGACCCTGATAGACCGGTAAACAAGGTAGATCGAAGCTGACAACGGATATCATTTAGCATGGACCAAGCGGCGTCCATCTTCTCCAAGCGCGGCTACCTGCTCTATACTCAATTCTTCCCTCAATTCGCAGCTCACCACGTAGCGATCCCCAAGGCCGCCGATGAAATCACCTTCCTCATGGCCCAGAGCTTCGTCACCTCCAACAAAGCCGACACCGCCCCACGCCACTACAACCTGCGTGTGGCCGAGTGCACTCTCGCCGCCGTGATTCTCGCCAAGCACCACGGTGTTACCCTCCCCAAGGACAACAGCTCCCTCGGCTACAGTCTGCGTAACTTCCAGAACGAGCTCATGACCAAGCAAGGCCGTCTCGAAGATAAGCTGGAGGCCCAGCTCGACTCTGTGATTCAAGCCACACAGAACCTCTTCACCAAGGAAGAGGGCTACACCCGGGAAGAAATGGCCCAGCTGCTCAGCATCAGCGTGCCCGAGCTTGAATCAAGCTTCCTCTCCGCGTTCCCTGTCCAGGCCGACCGATTCCAGCTCCGACAGCGCGCACTGCACTGCTTCAAGGAAGCGCGCCGTGTCCTCGATTTCAAGGCCTGTCTGAGCAATTCGCAGGAGCTGGATGAGGAGCGTATCCAATACCTGGGACAACTGCTGAATGATTCGCAGGAGTCCTGTCGGACGGCGTATGACTGTAGTGCGCCTGAGGTTGATGAGATCTGCGCTATTGCGCGCAAGGCCGGAACCTGGGGTTCGCGTCTGACTGGTGCCGGGTGGGGTGGTTGCACCGTGCACATGTTGCCACAGGGCAAGGTGGATGCCGTTACCGCGGCATTGAGGGACGAGTACTATCTCAAGAAGTTCCCTGACATCAGCAAGGAGAAGTTGGAGCAGGCTATGGTTATCAGCAAGCCGTCCAACGGGTCTTTCTTGTATGTTGGCCCTATGCAAGGGATTTGAATTGATTGATGCTAACGGGTTGACAGGGTTACGGGGGCTGCTATTGACCAGATCCCTCTGTAATTGCATTTGTATTTGATATCCAGGCAAAGCGAATTCCAAAAGAAGTGTTGATCATTATATGTGGTTCTATATTTTATGATTGTCTCCCACGCAGCCACGCTCGTGAGATTATGGGTAGTATACAGAAGGCAATGCGCCTGGCGTAGAGGAATTACACCCAAGTATAGAAAGTATGTTTCGTGCGGCCAAAACAGCCTGCGTATTGAAGGCGCCGTGTAGATCGCTGGGCTGGACCCAGATGAGGGTTGAGCCTCGGTAATCGCTTTCATTGCGAACACCACAAGGCTCCCAGTAAGCATGTCGGGGGAGCACCATGCACCAGTCTGGAAGATCAAGCAATGATGCCAACAGCGTTGCAAAATCTTTCAAATCGCAGCGCCGCGATGCTAGACTGGATATAAAAATTTGGCAACTTGCCATGAGCTTCAAGCCTTTTTCTTGGGAGGGGCCTTGGCGAAGAAAGAGCTCATCTTCGCCATGCCACTAGTGTTGACCTTCTTTAGGTTCTTAACTCCTTGAGACTCGGCTGCTTTAGCCTTCTTCTCTTCCTCGTCCTTACGGCGCTTCTTCTCGGCTCTCGTGTCCTCTTCTTCGTCATCGAGGCTGCGTTTCTTTGTGAAGTTGGACATGTCACGCGAGGCGAGAGCTTGGGCGCGAAGCTCTGCGATTTCCTTGAGTCGGTCCTTCAGCGGATTAAAGTCAAGAGGGCTCTCTGCGGACGCTATTATTTCCTCTAACCGCAATGCTGTTGCGGCCGGCAGATACGATTCCTTCATAAAAGAGAGGGCCGTGGAGATCTGGAGCAACCGTGTGACATGTTTCAATGATGGATCTTCAGTGTCCGGCTGTGGGGCTGGTGTAGATTCCCCTGCAGGTGTTGAAATTGAGGGAGTAGCAGCCGTTGCCACTGTTGACGGAGAATCTGGCCCCTCTGACTTGGCTCCGGATTCAGTCTCAGACGGTTCTTGGGTAGTGACCACATCTTGGCGTTTGACCGCCATCAGGGGGGTAGCCAGGGCCTGGCGGATGAACCGTTCCTCCAAACTGGCAGGGAGTCCTCGGTCTGCCATGCGCTCTGCCTTGGCGACCAATTCCTTAACGAGCTTCATCTCGCTGAATCGGAACATCTTCTCGTCGCCGGCTTCGACGACATCGCAGATAGCTTCAACACGCGGTAACAGAGAGCTCGTGAATTTTTCATCATAGAGGACTTGGCGCATGTGCTTTGGCATGTCGTCGTGAGAGTCGATTATATCGTCCAATGGCTGGAAAAGAGCGGGTCCTGCCTTCGAAGAGGGTGCCAGCAAGGACACCATGAAGAACATAACATCAATGGGTGTTGCGACCAGTAGCTCTGCCTTCTTGGTGATTGATCCTTGCAGAGATGGCTTCGTACTTGCCTCGCCCTCCGAGGGGGCCTCGCCTGACGTGTGGGTGAAGAGTATGCTGCGCGCCGAGTGCGCAGGGGGCGCGACAACAGTGAATTCGTATACGCCGCGATCCGGACAGAAAAAGTAGCGACCTAGCTCCCCCGATTGGGGTTGCGGGAGCAAGAGGAGTCGCGCATTGTCGCTTGCCCCGGACGGGAGGATAAAAGTTTTGCTTGGCTTTTCCGCGGCGACCAAGGATTTTGATTTTTGTTCAGATTCATCGGAGACATTGGCCTTTGAAGCCGGTGCTGATCTGGTCTTCATGGCGCAGGTGTGTTGTGTTAAAGTGGAAACGGAAGCGCGACGCGCAAACGCGACTTCCTCCCCCCCAATCACCGCGATCCGTCACTTTCCCTTGCATTAGCGAGTTTCAGCCATCAGCATCGGACATTATTGATTGCATTCCTTCTTTATTTTGATTCTTGGCACTTAGGGGGTTTCACTCTACTGTATTCTTCTGCTCCATGGGAGTGTGTGATATCGAATCCTCGCACAAGTCAGTCGCCCGCACCTCCGCGCTGAGTGATCACTAACTTGCTCCAGTGGTTGAGCCTGCGTGGCCACCCAAATCGCCCCGCGCAGCCCTACTAAGCTCGCCTGCCGGGCGAAGGAAGTACCAGGATTCGCAGAGATCCCGGGAGAACCTGACATCGCCCTTGAAGCGTTCTAGCACCACGCCCAATTTCCGATCCAAAGCCCACGAACTGTTGGACGAAGACGAGATGGAGGATGACGATGAAGAAACATTGCAACTTCAATTGGCCGAAATCAAAGCGCGCTTGCGATTGAAGAAACTACAGCAAAAGAACCGTGGCAGGTCAAGCTCGATTCTCGAGGAGGAGGATTCACGGCCCTCCTCCGCTATCAGCCCTTCCCGGGTAGAACGAACAGAAGACCGCAATGCAGTACAAAGAAGTCCCAAGAAGCTCATAAAACGGACAAGCAGCGACGAGATTCAAGTTCCTGCATCACCTACAAGGCGCGAGGCTCCCGCCAATGATCCCATATCACCCCGACGATATGTTATGGGCATTGATAAGGGCTGGAAAGCCAATGATGTGTCATTGAAGCGACCTCCAGTTACGAGAGCCGACCCTCGACCAAGCAGCCACATGGGCTTCCGAGACGGCGCTACACCGCGGGCCAACGATCTGTTTTCAGCACGGCCCCAGACTTCCCCTGCCGGCGGAGGGCTCCATCGGATCAAGAGTTTCAGTGAGAGAATGGCCGAAGGGCGAGCGGCTGAGAAAGCAGAGAAGTCCCGACTGGAGAGAGCAGAACAGATTCAGGCCAATCGCAGCTCAGCGTTCCAGGTCGATAAATCGGAGCTCGAATCTCTGAAGGCCGCTGCGGCAGACCAGAAGTATGTTCCTCCGTCTGCCTTAAACTGGGAGCGGCAGACAGAAAGCTTCACTCGTGAGGATATTCTTCGATCTGCGGGCCAATCTCGGTCAACTGGGCTACAACGCAGCAATACAACCCCAAATCTCCGACGAAACGAGGGAACTGGCCCTGCAGAGAGGCAATCACATTTGCACAGGCGGACCAACACGGCAGAGGAAGAGTCGGGGTCTTTCCAGAAGCCAGGCCAGCCGGATGACGCCGTGATGAAAGCGCCAGACTCGTCGAAGTTTGAATCCTACTCGTCATTACATCTGTCAAATCGGGTTCTCCCACATTCATTTTTGAGCCGCACACTCGCAGATACGAAGGCTCTACGCATCCCAGATTTACTCAAAACTGTCAAAGCACCCGCATTCGAGCTCCCAGAGGAGATTGATGGGGATTTTGTTGTTTTTGGTATTGTCGCTTCCAAGTCTGACCCGAAGAACGTGAAGTCATCAGGCAACGCAACCGCAAAAGCCCAAGATCCATACGATGATGGTCTGAACAACTCGGGAAAATACATGGTCATCACCTTGACCGATTTGAAATGGACTATTGATCTCTTCCTTTTCGATACGGCTTTTCCTCGATATTACAAAGTCTCCGAGGGCACCCTCATTGCGATTTTGAACCCTACAATCATGCCACCCCCGAAGCACAAACTGGACACAAATCGGTTCAGTCTATCGCTGTCTTCCTCGGATGACAAGGTCCTCGAGATTGGCTACGCCCGCGACATTGGATTCTGCAAATCCGTGAGGAAGGATGGAAAGACATGTCAATCTTGGGTCGATGGCCGCAAGACCGAATTTTGTGACTTCCACATTGACATCCAGGTCCGACGAACTCAGGGTCAACGTGCAGGGATCAATGCCGACTGCGGTGGGATGGGCCCTGGGGGAAGAAATGGGCCGCGAACAGGTCTCTTTGGCGATGGAGTAAGACGAAAAGGCGTTTTCAAGCAAGGCTCCAAACATAGCGGCCCTCAATACGACTTTGCTACTCAGTCACACTACTTCGTGGCTCCTTCCAGGAACCGTGGCTCTGGCCGCACATCATACAACCCTGTTGCAGGTTCAGCTACCAAGCTGGATGGATACGATGACCCATTTGTCTCTTTGGGTACCGGTGGACGCGTCGAAAGCAAGGAAGAAAAGATGCGCCGACGACTTGCGGCTCAGCAGAAAGAGCGTGATATCACTCAAAAACTAGTCGCCGGTCGTGTGGGTGGTGTGGGCGCCGAATATCTCCGCACCAGAACCGGCAATGAGTCTCCGAACAAGGCGAATGCACCATCCACTCCTGGAGTGCCCCGGAGCCCTCCAGACTCCAATGGCATTGATCTGACTACGTTCGGTAAAGCAAAGAACGTGCGTTTGAGCCCCATGAAGCGAGCCCATGGCAAGCCTCATGGCAGCGGTGTCAAAAAGACTCGATTCCTCACTTCCAAGGGCATCAGAGAAGCTGGTCGAGAGAGCCTAGGCGCACCAGCTGAAAGCACACCGGCTGGAAGGCGGATGATCATAGATGACGATGACGATGACGATGAGCTGGAGTTCATCTGATCACATCCACTGTCATCGCATCTCTATTGGAGGAAAGCATTTCTCATGACGCTGTTACGAATACAAAGCATATCCTGGTTGCATTGGGTGGAGATCACTTTTGTCGGAGTTGAAGAAACAGCAGAGTAGATACAAGCTCTGTAATTGAATAACTGTACTATTAATGTATTTGTACCTCAAACTCGAAGATCTCCATAGTCTTTCAGATTCGCTTGTAAGATATTTGGTCCTATTTGATGAACATGGGGGTATCCTAGTAGTATGGAAAGCCGTTTTCCTCTGCTCTCTCGTTCCTGATCAGTTTTTTGCTGCCATGAGTCTCATATCAATCTTCATTCTGGACGTTCCTTCGACATCCTGCACCATGTCCTCAACCCAATCTTGCCTATCCTCTGCCAGATTGAATCACTAGGGGCACTCCACACTCGGGACAGACCACATTTTTCAAGGCCAATCCACCCTTCGTACGAGCGAACGAGTGTCCATGAAGACAGTAGTACCACTCAGCACCCACTTCCGGAGTTTGTTCCATCGCTGAGATATCGGCAAGGCGCTTCTTGCTAGCAACGACTGCGTAGAACTGGTTGTGGTCAAGCATTTCATCCACACAGTTAACTTGGTATGGCAGTCCCTCTGTCTGGTTGGGATGCGCAGTGCAAAGATCCTTAGCATGAACAAGGGCTTCTTGGCCTTGTCCGACGAGAACTATCCTCGGTTTCAACGACGAAGAATGCACACGCTCAAAGGCATAGACCATTGCCAGATAGATGTGTCCCTCCGCCTGGTGGAATATTCTGTGAGTAGATTTGGCTTCATTGATGATCCATTGGCAGTCGTCTCTGGTCGTTTGTAGGTCAAGTTGCACTTTCACCCGAATCTTAGAATCGCGCGCTTTTATCGCCAGAGCAGAGAAGCTTGCAAGTAAAGCAAGATCTAGACACATCAAGAGGGCATTCACTTGGAGGAGACCTTTAGTCCGGGGCCCAGCACTGACTGTATTCAGGCTGCTTGGTGTGTTGCCATGGCCAAAGCGGTTCAGTAGTTTGTGGAAGTTGTCAAAGGCTTCTTCGAAGGGCTGAATTCGGCGACGATGTCTTTCGATTTTCTCACGCAGCTCAAGAATCTCATCCCACTTGCCAGGGTTTGTCTCATTGATAATGTCTCGCATAGCTTTAACCTGATCCCATCGTGTACCGCGGATCTCGACCGGCATAGGCCATGCTGACTCGTTTTGGGGCTTCAGTGTACCCAGTTCAGGAATAATCCTAGCAAGATCCAAAGCGAGTGGAACGAATTCTCGGTTCGTGAGCACAATCAACTTCTTCACGGACTCGTCGAAAGAAGCTCGACGGTTTATTCGTGCATATCGTGCAATTCCACTCAGAGGCGCCGGGCAGGTAGGGCACTGCTTGGAGCGCTGGAAGGAGAGTGGGGTCGATGGGTTCCGAAGAGACAATGATTTGCCTTGAGCGTCAATCTCATAGTGACTAGCGATATCCATATGCGCGTCCATGGCATCAATTGTCAAAAAGTGTCCGCAATCTGGGAACAGACATGGTGTTTCATTCAAGTTGATGTCGCTGTACTTCTGTTTCAGGATAGGATCCGCCTCACGATTCTTGACCTGTGGGTTGCCACAAAGTTGACAGCAGAAGAATGGAGGGCATTTTTCACCACACACCGATGGACATCGGTGGCCACATCTCAGTGTCTTTTCGCATGGCTTGGAGCATGGCTTGTGGTCGCAAGGGGCTGCACATGGCAAGGAGCAACTTCCGTGAGGGCATCCAGAAGGACACTTCAATTCTGTGCAGGGTGGACATGGCTGGGAGCATTTTTGCTGGCATTTAGAATGACTGCAACTTGCTTTGCAGGCTTCTTGGCAGGGAGGACATGGACCTCTGCCATGACAGGGAAGGGAGCAAGTATGGGAGCATGTTGAATGTTTCCGTTTACATCGTTCTTTGCATGCTCCATGATCAGTCTTGATACCTCCAGATTCTCTGGTGATGCATTGGTGACATTCCCTTTGGCAGGTATGTCCACAGGGCAAACTGTTCGAACATACAGCTCTGCACCGGAACCCGGTTGATTCAACGTCCACCCAGCATGAAGTGGAGACGACATGGTTGCAGCCTGGAACCTTCCTTTGCACGCTTTGTGGGCATCTGAATGTGGAGATATCTTGGCTTTGCCAACAGGGGAGGATTTTGATAGAGTGACCACATGCGGGTATTCTGCCTTTCTGGGGTATTTCGACCTTGCACTTGTCTGGACAAGCCATCCCACATTTTTTGGGGCAAATATGAACACAATTCCGAAGCGGTCGAGGACAAGGCATGGGGCAAATAACGGCGTCATGAAGGGTCTCCGAATGACATCTGCGAGGACAGACGTGTGCACATTTCAAAGGAAGTATACAACGCTGCTGGCAACCTCCCTCAGGAGACAGCTCGTTGAGTACTTTGGGCGTCGAGGCATTCATCACTGTGTTTGGATGACGAGGACATTGTAACTCCAGAGCTGGGCCGATATTTCGACCTTGTCCCAAAAGGTAAAGGACCTTGGCCCACGTAGGTACATGGCGTGAAGTTTCCGAATTGCCAATGATGTACATTCCGTGCTGTGCTCTGGACAGCATGACATTGATCCGATTGGAACTACGCAGAAAACCACACTGGCTTTGCGCATTGCTTCGAACCAAAGATATGAGAACAATCTTGGCTTCTTCTCCTTGGAAGTTATCCACAGTGGCCACCCGGAGAGCGCCTTGTTGGGGTTCTTTGCCCACCGACGCCGTAGGTGAGACTTTCCCCTCATATCCCGCTTGAGCAAGATCATCTTGGTCGCGATCTCCCACGGTAATTGGAAAGGCCAGAGCAAGTTTTTGTTTCAGCCTGTTGAGCTGGCCCAAATATGGGGTCAACACTGCAATGTCCCCAAAGTTGTATTGTTGGCGTACGAGATGACCAACCAAAGCGACGGCCATTTCGGCTTCGAAATCGTTCCAATGCGAGGTTGATGTGTCATCTCCTTGTGTATACGAATCTTCTTGTACGCGATGGTCTAACCAGAAGAGCCTTCTTCGCATTCCACGGACCTCTGGGTAGCATGCGACAGAAAGTGAATTGGTTAAACGGGGATAAAATGTCTCTCGCGCCAAAAGAGATATTTCAGGATGCATCCGGCGTTGAATGGTGAGTGTGCTGTAGAAACATCGACAGCACATGGGTGAGCAGTTTGAGCTGACTAGCCGTTCAAATAAAGAAATGTCCAATGCGTACCGAGAACCGCCCTGGAGGTTCTCTCTAGAAAGCTTGAAGTTTTGGACCTGTGGACGAAGCTGCTGCTGATCACCAATCAGGACTGCATGCTTGATTGAAGGCAGGAATGCCGTGAGAAGATGCGGTTCAAGGATTTCGCCGGCTTCCTCACATATCAAGAACTTGCATGGAATTTGCTGGAACAAATCAAGTCTGCGGGCCAGTCCTGATGTAGTAACGCCGATGATATCTGCTTCAAGCAAGCAGCGCAAATCCATATTGTCATGAACGGATTCGTATCGTGATTTGGCAGCTGCGTGAGACTCAACAAGTTTGGTCACTCTGTAGTTCACGTTTTCCCGGCACTCCTTGCGCCATTGATTGAACATATTCAGTCGTTCTTGCCAAGTCATATCAGAGGCGTCGACGTTCTCAAGTTCCACCGTAGAACGTGGAGTGAGATGACTTCGCACGCCACGATCTATCCAGGACTCCATTGAAGATTGGCTGACCCCCAAGAATAGCTGATTGTAATGATGGACATGACGCTGCTTCATATGAGCCCTGAGGTTGTCGATAGAAATGTCCCTTTCGAGGCCAATGGCTTGGAACTCGAGTTCATATGATGAAAGTTTCTCCGATGTACTCCATAACTCTCTTTTTTCACCCTTGGTTTTCAGATCCTGTCTTGAGACTTTGTGAAGACTGAATTCTTCCAATTTCTCCGACTTAGACTGGGACCCAACTCGAACAATCTGTGATGTGACCTTGTGATCTAGAAGAGCCTCTAGGAGCTGATCAAGGGCATGGTTTGTATAGGTCACACATAGGATGGGACCCAGGTTTCCCGCTTGTCGGTTTGCTAGTAGAACTTTGATTAGGGCTTCACCAGTGTAACTCTTTCCAGTACCCGGTGGTCCTTGCACCAACCCAAGAGGCCGATTTAGACAATTGATCAAAGCATAAGCTTGACCATAATCTAAATTTGAATGCTGTTGTAGGTAATCGACCTCAGGATGGCGACATTGACCAGGGCGAACCAAGAAATCAACGTCCGTGTCCAAGAGACAGCGAAGGTTGTATGCATGACTGACCGGCGAGATCTGCAATGGGGAAGGTATTCGAGAAATTGAAGACTTCTTGGTCCACGGAGCGAAAATTTCCGAAAATGGCAGGCTCTTGCTAGATTTCATGGATTGAAGTGCCCTGAGGGAGGGCTCAAACGAGGCGACAAGAACGCCTGGAAACCCAATCACGGTCATAGGCGGCTCCTTGAGGCCGTACAAATCAAGAATGAGCTGGACGTTGGTGAATCTGGAGTCAAACAAAGTTAACTTCACAGATGCCCTTTGCTGGTCATTCCATAAAGATGTCGACTCTGCTCGTTGGGGAGGGTCGTGAGAGTGTTTGCGCCTGGGTAGCATGATCTGGTTCGCCACAGTACAGAACAGCACCAAATCATTTTGAATGACCAGGCACACAAGATCGCCGGGTGAAAAGCGTTTGGAAAGCTCCCACCACTTCTTTCGATAGCTTGCGATTTGGGTCCACCTGAGTTCCTCGGGCTGGGGGAAGTCTACTTCAACGTAGAGACCAGCCAGCCAGTTGACCCCCGGTTTGAGGATGCGGACGTTTCGATGCATAAAGCTGCGCAGAGGCGGCGTCTGATTTGCATTGGGAAACATCACATGGCGGACAGTATCGCGAATCTGTCCAACTGTATCCTCTCGCAGTAATCTAAAATTCCGATCCAGTAGCCCCTCCGCACCTTCGAGGTGCCACTGAGTAGGATCAACGGTGGGAAGATATTCTGGTCGAGAGCAGCGTATCTCGTCATAGCTTGGCATGATCTTGATTCGACAAATATCATCGAAGTCATTGTTATGTCTTCCCCCCGGGCTGTCTGTGATCTCAGGTGTCTGTAGCATACGCCTTGGGGCCACAGGTGGGCGGAGAGGAAGTTCGTTCTTCAAGCCTTGGGCACCTTCCTCCTTCATTTCTTTGTTAAGCTGTGTTTGGGATTGTTTGCTGTCGGGTTCGGTCTCAGTAGGATTTTGGTTGGCTTCAGCCCGCTGGATCTGGTGGGCTTGGGTTGACGCAAAGCTCATAGCAGGGCTTTCATGGGCATGGTTGCAGACCGGGTTCTTGCATTTGCCTCTGAGGAAGTCCTGGCATATGGGTCTGATCACTTGGTTAGCATACCGCGCCCAACTAGGAATCGGAGCCGTACCTGTGGGAAGCCATATTTGAAGACATTCTTCGCATCCACTTCAAGAGTAAGAGTGCAAAGACAAAGTGAGGATTGTAACGTGGGAGTGGGGAGTTGGGAAAGAAGCAGGTCAAAGAAGAGATGCGAGAGAGAGAGAGAGAGAGAGGAAAGAAGAGCAACGGGACTGTTGAGTGCCACCTGCTAAGATGAAAGTAGATACGTGAGAGCAACGTGAGCTGAGATTTCGTGGCAGCTTTTACTCTCTCATTACTTGATCTCAATCTCTCTCTAGACTCCAAGAAATGCTCCCTTGATGGATAATTTGACTATATTCTCTGAAGTCATCTATATATATTATAAGACCTATACATCATCCGGTCCTTGGCTGTAATACAAAATATCTCTCACTTAGAGCGAGAGCGTAATAAGATGAGTATGATCCTAGACTCTTGGAAGTAAATACCATCACAGCAGTAAAACAACATTGGAAAGTAATGAATCAATCACAGCAGTTGAGCAGGTTCTTGATCATTATTTCTGAATGCTACCTGTGAACGGTCATACTACAATCGGCATATTATGACAGTAGGTAGTTGTATCACTGAATTATACCTAGATATCTATCAGTAGAATTTCTATTCACTAATACTATATACCTAGGTAGGTAAGTTAGGGCACATAAAGCTATTAGGGTGGATAAAACAGTAGTTCATGAGGCCAAACAAGCTCCCGAGGTTTATATATCCACAGACACAGTGTATTATTACGGTTTGATGTTGATCATACTAGCTTCTAAGCTTTTAAGACCTTTGCAGTGAAATTAAAGGTACACAAAACCAATTGATATAGTAGAACTGTGAACAAAGACATACATAAACATCCCCAAACAGTAATTGCCACCTGGTCGCTATTCGCGACCGTAGGCAGTGACGTTCGGGGAATGTCCCAAGCTGGTGTCACTTTAGTTGATCCTCCACTCATTGCCGACCGCCGTTCTTCTCCCCTCCCCGTTCCACCGATCATTGCTTCGACTACAATCCTCTTTGCATTGCACCTGCAGTGCATGTTTCCACCCTGATTTCCCTTTGTAGCTTCCAAGCTTCCGCCCCTCACCCGTTCCACGATGGCTAGCCCACCACCCGTCACCGAGGATCAGAACCGCCTCCTCGAAGAGGCATTGGGGGTGGTGAGGCAGCAGTCAAGTCTGATGCGCAAATGCCTGGAAACCCCTGGCAAGCTCATGGATGGGCTCAAATGCGGGTGAGCTCTCTTAGGCAGCGACCCCCTCCGAAACGTGCGCAGCCGCTAACAGCTTGGGAAAACGTGCTACAGGTCAACTCTCGTCTCTGAATTGCGAACTCCAAGTCTCGGCCCAAAACAATATTATGAATTGTACATGGCCGTCTTTGATGCATTGCGACATCTATCCGTCTACTTAAAGGAGAACCACCCCGTCAACCACCTCGCCGACTTGTACGAACTCGTCCAATATGCCGGCAATATTGTCCCTCGACTGTACCTCATGATCACTGTAGGCACTGTCTACATGTCGGTTGAAGATGCGCCGGTCAAGGAAATTATGAAGGATATGATGGAGATGAGCCGAGGTGTCCAGCACCCAATCCGTGGCTTGTTCTTGCGGTACTATCTCTCCGGTCAAGCCAGAGATCACTTACCGTCAGGATCCGGCGACGGTCCGGAAGGCAACATGCAGGACTCGATCAACTTTGTCCTGACAAATTTCGTGGAGATGAATAAGCTCTGGGTTCGACTTCAGCACCAAGGTCCTTCCCGGGAGAGAGAGCGGAGGATTCAAGAACGACGCGAACTGGAGCTACTTGTTGGTAGTAACGTGGTCCGCCTGAGTCAGCTCGTGGATCTCGAGGGATATAAGAACGGAATTCTGCAGGCGCTTCTGGAGCAGGTTGTACAGTGCAGAGATGTTCTCGCGCAAGAATATCTCCTGGAAGGTACGGCCCTTGCGGTATTGCGCACGCATTCTCAACAGACACTAATCATATGAACAGTTATCACAAAGGTGTTCCCGGATGAGTTCCATCTCCACACCCTTGATCTGCTGTTATCAGCAATCGCCGGACTCAACCCACAAGTCGACCTTAAGAAAATTGTCATTGGACTAATGGATCGTCTTTCTTCATATGCCGCAAAGGAAGCAGAGGGAGCCGCGGAGCCAGAAGCCAAGAAACAGAGCGAGGAAGAAGCCGTCACTCGCTTATTGGAGAAGCTTGAGCTTGCGAAAGAAAACAAAGCTACAGAATCAAAGGATAAAGGTCCCGCCAAAGACTTGGACGAAGGTTCCACCGAAGAGACCGCCGAAGAGACAACAAAAGAGGGTTCAGAATCTCTCCAGCCCGCGGCGCAGGAGAACAAACCCGAGAATGGCGATGATACGAAGCCAGGAATCCCAGCGGAGGTCAAATTGTACGACATTTTCTACGACCAGGTGGTCAACCTGATCAAGAGGCGCGCACTGCCGATTCAAGATACAATGGCGCTATTGGTATCACTCGTCAACTTGGCCTTGAATATCTACCCAGAACGGCTAGAGTATGTCGACCAGGTTCTGGACTTTGCAACACAAAAGACCACTGAGTACACAGATCATGCCGATTTGCACTCGGCAGTCACTCAGCAGCATCTTCTTCATCTCCTCAACGCCCCGCTCAAATCCTATATTTCCATCTTTACAGCCTTAGCACTGCCTCACTATTTGCCACTTCTGGCTTCTCAGTCATACCCTACCAGGAGGGCTGTCGCCAGCGAGATTCTCCGCAGTCTTTTGAGAAACAGGATCTTGGTCTCAACAACAGAAAACCTGGATCGTGTACTTCAGGCCGTCAGAGTTTTGATCAAAGAGGGCTTGCAACAGTCAACTGGGTACCCCGGAGCGCAATCACAGCGACGGGGAGGCGAGACCGACGAAACAGTCGAGGAGCAAGGATGGCTTGCAAGACTTGTGCACTTGCTCCAGGCAAAGGATAATGATACACAACTTAAGGTAAAGTTGCCGTTGAGAGGTCTTCATGCTAGCTTACTAACATCTCATTCCAGCTTCTTCAAGCAACCCGCAAAGCATTCGCTGATGGGAATGAGCGTATCCGCTATACTACTCCCGCAATTGTGACAGCCTCTATTCGATTGGCTCGCAAGTTGAAATCCCGTGAGCACTACGACGACAATTGGCAGTCACAATCATCGGCTTTATACCGCTTCACTCACCAGGCCATCAACAGTCTGTACCAGCGTGTCAATTCAGGATGCGCAGACCTGGCACTGCGGCTGTTTGTGATGTGTGGCGAGGTTGCGGATCAGACGGGCTTCGAAGAAGTCAGCTACGAATTCTTTGCGCAAGCATTCACCATCTACGAAGACGCGATCAGTGACTCGCGTGCTCAGTTCCAGGCCGTATGCATCATCTCCGGGGCTTTGCACGGAAGTCGGGGATTCTCCAAGGAGAATTACGACACACTTATCACCAAGGCTGCATTGCACGGAAGTAAGCTTCTGAAGAAGCCCGATCAGTGCCGCGCCGTTTACCTCGCAAGTCACTTGTGGTGGGTTGTTGAGAACCCTCAACGTGGAGAGGATGATCCCAAGGATGTGAGTTACCAACATTGTATACCTCTTTCGAAACTCCCTCTAACCTGAAACCCTGCAGCTATATCGTGATGGGAAACGAGTCCTTGAGTGCCTCCAGCGGGCCCTACGTGTCGCCGATGCCTGCATGGACACTGGCGTCTCTGTTGAACTCTTCGTCGAGATCCTCAACCGCTACGTGTACTATTTCGATCAGCAGAACGAAACTGTCACCACAAAGTATCTGAACGGCCTCATTGAACTTATCCACTCCAACCTACAGAGCAGCGAGAGTGAATCAAACTCTAGCCTCGATGCCCCAAAGCGTCACTTCGAGCGCACACTGGAATACATTCGCTCTCGGGAGTACGAGGGCATCATCACCGATCCTCCCAAATAAACGACTTGACACGCAGACTTTGGTCAGATATCGGTGATACCCAGGGTATCCAGAGAAGTAAGGGCGTGGTGGATACCCCATGCTCCTGACGACTGGACTCTTTCCTTTTCTCATTAGTTTTCTTTCTGTTTATCACGTTGCTGGAAGCCTGCCTTTTTCTTCTTTCTTGTTCTGCTTCCAAGGTTTTGGATCTCTCTTGTTTTCCAGTACATACAAGTGTATCATTTCCCCCGGATGGCACCATACCCTTCAACCTGAATTGTATCTGGGTCTAGACGACGTATCTCAACTAGATACAGGTTTTTGTTCTCTCTTTGCTTTTCTGTAGCCGATATTGGACCCACCGTAGGTAGAAATACATCATCCATTCCTAGAGACATTGGAAGTGAACCAAAACCTTGTAAGAACTATCTTTGTCACATAGTACTACATAAGAAACCAAACAGCCAAAAGCCGAAGAAATCTTCGATCATGCAATTGGTCAAAAGGATATGACGGAGCGGGAGACTAACCCTGTCTCCACGGATATCGCTGCATAATGTGGAAAGGCAAGAGACTCATACCATACATAAAGTAGATGCAAATGCCATACTTCGAAGAGTAGAACATTGAACGAATTGGAAAGAAATAGCAAACAAACCCAGTAGCAGTAATCTCCCCTTGCGAGTGGAAAGGGGCAGATGCATGTGTGACGTTAATCCATGACGCTTCAATGAAAGAGGATGACGATAAAGAGAGAAAAGGAAATAAGACGAGGGCATTTCAAAATCGTTCCAGCAAGATGGATGTTACGGGATAGGCGAGGCTTGGATCATGACTGTGAAATGGAGTTCAAGACAAGGGAGCCCCACCAAATAGGCCAGTTGGAGGAGATGAATACTTTCGCAAGCCAGATTGGCCACCGAACCCAGCAAAGGGGGCGGGGTGGCTGTTCGAAGGGACAGGACTTCCAATATCACCGGGAACAATGCTGCCTCTGTGGCCCGGGACTGCGCTATTGGGATCGGGGTCAAATCGCACGGACTGGCCACCAGGGCCTTCCTTGATTGAGAAAGAGCCACCACCATTCTGCGCGTTGCCCTCCGTGTCACAGATGTCGAGCAGCTCTCCCAAGGAGATAGATGGTTCCTTCGGATTGCGTAGCTGATCCACCTGCTCAAGCACAAGGTTCACATGATGATAGCCACCAGCCTTGTGGGGACTCATCGTGGAATTCAGATGCTTGCAGGCTTGGATAGCCAACAAACGAATGGTGACGGGCCGGGAAGTGTGTGGCCGGTGAGAAGCGCTGGCCGCGAATGCATTACTGGGAGGCCAGCCGCCAGTCCCAGCCGTGGCAGGGCCCCAGGTAGAAGAAGCCCCCGGGAACGCGGATCCCCCGAAAGGAGAGGGCGCGCCCCATGTGCTGCTACCCATGGGAGAACCGACGGTAAAGTTGGCCTGCGGCGATCCTAGAGGCTCTGCGAACAACGAGACACCCTGGAAGCTAGCTCTTGTCGGTCCGGGGAACAAACCAGGGGCAGGGGCACCAGGCAACGACTGGGACAAGTTTGGTGGATAGGCGACCTCGGTATCATCAAGGAGAGCACTGCTACCCAGATGCGCACTCAGGCCATCAACCTCCCGTTGCATCGAAGGGTTTTCGTGGTCTCGCTGGTCATGTGCTGAGCTGGATGGGCGCTTGATGGGGCTTGGTCTTGTGATCGGGAATGGCTGACTGCCCGAGTCCAACGGAGAGCGGTCGAACGAAGTAGAAGCCTGTCTGGAGTGTGTCTTGGACAGACCGGGTTGCTGCAGTGGGAATGCACCGGGCACACCGTGACTACTGGCAAAAGACAGGCCATGCCCGGGATCAGACGGGAATGCACGACCTGGTGGAACAGGGCGGACACCGTTCATCCCAGGCGGAGCTGCGATTCCACCGCTGCCGTTGAATGACCGCAAAGGATTCATCATTGCCCCATTTGACGAATACATTGATTCGGGAGGGAGAGTTGATCGTGGAGCCATTCCGGGTATCCCGGGAGGGTTGAATGGGAGGCCACCGAGGCCCGGGAATCCTGGAGGGTTGGATCGTCCTAGAGGCGAAAGAGGGGCGGAAGGTTGAGGGTGATGCAATGGAGGTTGTTGGTAGCCTTGTCTGGCACCGAACGCACCCCCGGATTGCGCTTGGCCCATGGAACGGGGGGAGATTGAGGGATGGTGAGAGGAGTCGGCGCTATTAGGTTGCGAATGAGGGGAAGATGTAGAAGAGCCATGGTGAGAGTGTTGGCGAGGTCGAGCTGGAGTCGAGACTTTTGGAACGACGGGTGTCGCCAATGGATAGTGCGGAGATTGGGCAAAGCCCGGGGGAGGCTGAGACTGGAAAGAGTACGGAATGACGCCGGGCAGTGTGTGAGGAGGCGACATTCTGGTGTGTTCGCGCCTGCCACCACGATCCCGAATTTCCTGTTCTCGCGCTGCGTCTCGATCCTTTCGTGCCAGCTCTTCCCGTGTCTTGCGCTCCAGTTCCTCCTTGGCCTTCCTTTCCTGGATCTCGCGGTCCTCTTTCTCCTTGCGCTTGGCCTCCTCGCGCTTCTTCTTTTCCTCTCTCTGTTCCCGCTGCTTGCGCTCAGCTTCAGCGTGTCGCTCCCGTTCTTCTTTGAGTCGTCGCTGCTTATCTGCTTCTTTGCGAGCACGATCTTCCTCTTGAGCCTTCCTCTCAGCTTCACGCTTCTTGCGCTGTTCTTCCCTTCTCAAGCGCTGTTCCTCGGATTTCTTCTCTTGGGCAGCCTTGGCAGCAGCCTCTTCAGCAGCCTTCTCGGCATCCCGACGAGCTTTTTCCTCTTCCTTAGCCTGCTTTTGCAAACGCTTCTTGTCCTTCTTCTTTTGCGCTTCCCGGGCTTTCTTGGCATTTCGCTGCTCATTCAACGTCTCTTCTTGGAGAAGCTCGTCAATCAGCTGCTTCTGGCGTTGTTCGGCGACCTTCTCTCGATATGCTGTCATAACTCGTTGTTCAAACATGCGGGCAGCAAATATTTGAAACATTCGCCGTCCCTCCTGCATACGTTGTTCTTCGGTCATGGCATCCTGGTATTGATTAGTGACCATGATTGAAGAGTCTGGATAGTAGCGCTTTACCATCTCATCCTCATCGAACTCTTCCTCCTCTTGGCTATCGTAATCTTCATCCTCTTCCTCGTCGTCGTAGTCGTCTTCATCTAGAGGTCCATGATTGTGCCCATGGAATGTCTGATGCGCAGCAGCTATGCCGTATTGGGTATCTTCTTCTCTTTGCATTCTCCGCTCTGCCAGTTGCTCCATCATATCGATAAAATGCTTGCCGTCATTTTTAAGAAGGTCGTCAGCAACGGTGAGTATGCCATCTGTGCATTGTTAGTCACATGAATCTCCAATCGCGGAAGCCAAGACCACATATAACGTACCTTTGACAGTCAAGCTGTTGCCAAATGCGAAGAAGTCAGCCCTGGCTGCCCGAGCTTCATCATCCTCCAGGTCTTCGTCACTGTAAAGCTCTTCATCATCTTCGTCCTCCTCCTCCTCTTCTTCTTCTTCCTCCTCTTCCTCCTCGTATTCCTCTTCTGGCTCCTCCTCGTGATCTTCAGGCAGTTCCTGAACACGACTCCGAGCCGGATGATATTGACCGTGAGTGCGCGTATGCTGCCCTGGTGACCGAAGGGGTGGGTGGTATAGCCGAGGTGGAGGAATTATTGGAGCCCCCTCTTCAAATGCGCCTTGGTTATTGTTCGCGTATTGTTCGAGCTCTTCGTAGTAAGCATCATAAAGGACCTCAAGCTCTTCCTCGATTGCGGTTCGCTTTCTTCCACAAACCGTACAACTGCAGGAATGCTTTTGTTGCTCTTTCATCTTTTTCAGCACAGCATCTTTTTCCACTTTAACAAGTTGTCGACGTTCTTCCTCGCCGAGCTCAAACCAGAAAGTTCTTATGTTTTCGCGCTCTTCTAAGGAGGATTGGTTCCAGATGCTGTTTTTCATCTTTCCGGGGAATCGACTGATGTATGGTAGGGCTTGGGGAGGTGGAGGTGGGTGGGAGAGGGTTGCGGACGGTGTTGACACTGGCGTTGAGCTGCTTTCGCCCAAGTTGTGGGACCCAGAGCGACTTTTCCTGCTTTTCTTCCTTTTCGAGGCCTCGGCCGAGGTAGCGCCAGGATCATGGGGACCGTGTATCGCGGGCGAGTCGTGATGGTGATGCGACGAGACATATTCACAAGGAGCCCCAGAGGCTGTATGATGGTGATCCGAATGGTCGGACACGCAGTCATCGTGGCCAGAATGCGGCTCGTCCGCAGCGAGCGAGTCCATATCTCCAGAAGCCAGCGTGTCGGGGTGTTCCGCAGCTAAGCGGGCAGCTTGTTTCTGTCGGCGCTTCTGTTTCTTGCGATTCACGGTCGGCATAGGGTTCGCGATATCTTCTGTCGATGTGGTGTCCTGAGGACCCCGCGCGTGGGTCCGGCCGGTGGTTGCTGGCAGCGGAGCTGCTGACATGTGAGTCGCCATGGTGAAGGTGGGATAAGCTCAAGGGCTGCCCAAGCAGCATACTATTGCAGACAAAACAGACTGAGGGTTAGAGAAGCAATGGTTGAGAAGGTTGGTGGTAAGGCGAGAAGAAGCGGAGAACGGAGGAGCCAAGGACAAAGGGCCCTACTAACAAAGCTCCGGCGATTCCACCTCGCGGTGCTCAACTCACCGGATATTTCCCCCTTGGCGCGATCAAGTACAAAGAGTCAATCGCGTCCTTTGTTTCTCACTTCAGAAGCAGATCTGTAGTGACAGTTGGGGTTGGGTGAGGTAGGATAAGACCACGGGAGGAGGGGGTTGAAAGACGATAATCCCGGCGGGTCACGACGTGCCTGCGCTTGTGGTTGGGTTCTGAGGTGCTGGGGCAGCCGCGGAGGGGGGGAGCGAAGAGCTTGGAATTGTAGCCAGGGTTAGCGAAATATCAAGGCTCGAGGAACGCCGCCAGATGAACGTCCGATCAAACGCCAATGAATGAATGGAATGATGGGCTTTCCTGGCTTCTGGCTGGTCGTCGTGCCGCCGCAACGGGATAGCCGCCGCAAGCGAGCTAGTGCCTGAATGGTCAGGTTGAAATCTCGAATTGTATGCTACAAGGATAGTGGCCTTGAAGTTATGGCGGAGATGTTTGCTCCTTGAATACAAGAGGTTTATTCTACTGGATACACCGCGACGATTGAATTGATAGCTTTGCAAACTCCAAGATGCAACCTTGGGAGCATAACTAGCTGCTTCATGCTGATCGTTACAGCACAGCCACGTGACTAAGATCACCGCCCCGGTCCTGCCGGCAGTATACTTCATGGGCGGTCAACCACTTAGGGGAAAAACAGTCGCTGCTCCACCCAACGCTGAGCTTAGGAGTGAGACACAGCAATTAAAAATATCTCGTAAGCTAAGGATTAACCCTTGGGAGCAGAAGGGCTCCATAGGACGATCAGGCGGAAGAGATACCCATCATATCTAGTCTAGTCCCCTATAGTCAAACCCGGCGTGAGCCTTAATAAATCTCCGCTTGGACTGTAAGCGCCTTCCCCTTCATCTTATCTCACTCTTCAGCTTCACGCTATTTTCTTTTTTCCTTTTCTACACTCTCGCTCACCTACACGTTTACCTCTCTGCTCGTTCCTTGTTCTCACTCCGGAGGACGCACCCGAGATTCTCGACAACCCCCTCCCCAACCGCATCGGCTCGCCACGGCACTCTGACATTTCAAGGCCACCTATTTGCTTCCCCTAAACCATTCGGGCCGCATCGCAGTATCTGCCCAGCTCCTTACTCCTGACTCCTCATCCGGGCCGCCCTCGTAATCGGTTGCCTTATCTGAGATCTGACTCGAACCACTTCCGAGTCCTAATCCCTACCCTTCATCACACTTGTGTACCAAGAAGGGGTTTACAAACATCATAATGTCGCAACAGCCAGATGATAATGTCATGCGCAGGTACGTGGAGTCTCGAGGCGGTAATCAACATCCCGGTCACGGAGTCCCCGTGGCACTTGCGATCCCAATGCTTCCTGGGCCAGTGGGACCTACCGCGCATATCGTTTGCACGTGCTAAACGATTCAAATCACAGGAAGCTCGTGATTATTGGTGATGGTGCTTGTGGGAAAACCAGTCTCCTCAGTGTCTTTACCCTCGGTTACTTCCCAACAGTAAGTTCTCAACAATTACTCGAAATGGAACTCATGGCTGATCTATTATTCTATCGCAGCATTATGTTAGTACTCGCGATGCCCTCTCCCCGCAATCACATGTCTGACTTTCGATTGTTAGGTGCCGACAGTATTTGAAAACTATGTGACGGATTGCCGAGTCGACGGCCGCTCGGTCCAATTGGCATTGTGGGATACGGCAGGACAGGAAGATTATGAGCGCTTGAGACCTTTGGCCTACTCGAAAGCCCATGTCCTTTTGATTGGTTTCTCGATGGATACTCCAGATTCGTTGGAGAATGTGAAACACAAGGTTGGTCTCAGTGAAATTGGAGGGTCGGACAATGGTACTGATCTGCGACATAGTGGATCGACGAAGCAAACGAGCGATGCCCCGGTGTGCCGATCCTACTGGTAGGATTGAAGAAGGACCTTCGCGAAGACCCATTGGCAATCGAAGAGATGCGCAAGAAGTCCCTTAAGTTCGTGACCACAAAAGAAGGCAGCGACATTGCGTCGTCGATTGGAGCACGCAAATATCTCGAATGCTCCTCTCTGACCGGAGAGGGTGTCGACGATGTCTTCGAAGCAGCTACCCGTGCTGCGCTTCTCACGTTCGAGAAGCGAAAAAGTTCATGCTGTGTGATTATCTGATGTGATTTGAAGCGTGCACCGTGCCGATTCTTTCTCTTGCCAGCGCGCGGTTTCTCTCTTGAATTGGAACTTGATACACTTGGTCCCCTTGGCGATATCATTTGACGTTCCGTTGTATCATGCATCACTGGCGTTTGGGAGGTCCTTGTGCTAACCCGTTCATTTGATCTGGGTACGATATCTGCTTTCCCGTTTTTTTTCGGTCGTGTCTTATTCTCTCTCTTCTTTCTCGCTCCCTTTCGCGTACATTTTGCGTCTCATTCAATAGCTGTCTTCTGTCTCATGCTTATGCACGTGCAACTCCGGATTCCCCTCCTTGTTATTATCTCTCTCCGAAGTGCATCGCGACCTCACTCATTATACCACCTTCCCATGTAGCAATTTTCTATCCTGAGTTCAAGCATAACCGCTATGCATTATATATCTATTACCACCACTCATATCCTTATTTACAATCGGAAAATGGCAAGTTTCAACACTTGGGATTACGAATGGATGCCCACGAAACAACAATCAATCAAAATGTAACAACCTTGGAATCATCCATGGATGCTTGAACCATCCATGATGATACCTTCAAGGTTGGTGCGCAGCTTACAGCCCCGGGGACAAGAGGAAATATAATTAAAAAGAAATGCATATGATACATAGCGCCAAAATGATACATATCCAGAACCCTCTAGACCAAGAAACCTTCATTGCACTTGGTCTCGCGCCGGGATCTTAACCTCATTCGTCTATTTCTTGGCTGGCTTTTTCCAATCGTGGTTCCACCCATCAGCCGGGGGAGACTCGGTCTGCATGCGAGCATACTCGATGGGGAACATATCAGTGAAGATACCCTTCTTGTTCATCGAGACACGGAAAAGCTTGCCACCATCTCCAGCACCAGTTCGGAGCTCTTCGCAGGCCTCGTGCATGCTCTGATACTGGCGCATCATCTCGTTTTCTTGCTGACGGCGCTGCTGGGCCTTGAACATCTGCCAGGCGCGGTGGATAGTCCAGTGACGAAGGTAACGGTTACGGGAGAAACGGAGAGGACGGGGTGTGAGAGGGTGGTGAAGGAAGTAACGGATAAGAGCTGGTAAACAAGTTAGTCAATTGTACTTTCTAAGATGTGGTTTATTGGCCGTCGCGAAAAGCTCCGAGACTCGGGTTCGGCGCGGTGAGTGAAGAACGTACTAATGCGCTTATCGACGGTGGGACCGTTCTTTCTCTTCGCCAATGCACTTGTGGTTGAGAAGGATGCTGACTGCAGAGCTGCCGTGACGGGTCCAGGCTGTTGTGTTTGGCGGTTCAGGGTCTCGTGGCAGGCCCGGGAGATAGATGGGCGGACCGGCGCCATTGACATCGGAATCTTGAAGACATTCGCGAGCGACGCGAGGGCTGGTGATAAAGACCGCATTGTGTTGGGTATCTTTGGTGTTGGAGGAGTGAAGGTCTCACTGCAATTGAGTTCCACGGGGGGATAATTCCCTGATGGCAGAATCCACTCCGCCTATATAGCCGCGCGCTTAATGAGATCGTCATTGCCGCGTACTACGCTCGGGGTATTTGAAGGTTTACTGATTTTACAAACGAAATATGATGCAAAGAGTGTTCGATCATAATGAAAAAGTAGTCGATATTTGATGATACTTATGGATGAAACAGTTGATATTTTCCGGAAGATCGTGACTTGCTTTAGACAACAAAGCCAAGCCGGGAGATGTCAACATAGAGTTCAGCTGAGTACAAGTCATAAACAGGCATCATTGGTGGAGTGTCGTGCCAGCACTATAAAAAGCAGAACGCCATAGAATGCAAAGTATGCGCCGAATTGGAATGAAGAGTGGGGGTATTGACTCAAAACAAGAGACAAGCGGCTGTTCAGAGCTGGCGAGTGGACCGCTTGGAAGCATGATGCTTCTTAGCTCGGTCATAGTTGAGAACCTTGCGGCGGCGGTGCGTTTGTGCCAATTTCCAGCGGCAATAAAGCACCAGTGCATCCTTCAGCAGAACAAACATGCATCCACCAAGAACACTGCGGCCCCAGCGAGTCTGGAGGAGCCCCGGGCGAGTTCGCTCTAACATTGTCGATGGCGTTGTCCACGCTTTTGGTAGGACATATTTCAGAATGCCACCCATAGAAGCCGAAATTGCCGGGAAGACAAGTGCACCAAGGACAATATCTGCCAAGTTGCTGGTGTCGTGTATCATCTCGTTCTGTCGTCGTCCAAGCCCGAGTGGATTATTATTTTGATCTGGGTTTTGAGCTTGTCCATTGGGGACATTGGCATCTTCGTCGGCACCAACTGGATCGGCTTGTTGGGGTTCATCCCGATTGCCCATTCCGACGTTGAGTTCAAGATCGATTTCCATGAGAATCTGACCATTGCCGTTATCCCCAAAACGGTGGAGACCTTCGGCCTGATCTTGCTGCTGTGCATCATCTAGGACTTCCTCAGTTGACCGTGGCTGGACCTCGGCAATCCACTTCCTCTCCAAGCCACCAAACAATCTCTCATAGAGCACTCCATAGAAGCTCTTGACATAGGGTAGCGCCGCAAACGCCATAGAAGGCGTAGGGGGCCACAGGTCAAAATCAGGCTCTTGTGTCGGGTTGTGGGCAGCGAAGAAAAGCACGGGAATAGCCGGGAGCAAGCCTTCGGCGTAGCGAGTGCGCGAAAAGATGAGGACAAGAGGAATCAGAGGTAGACCGATGTTCAAACCCGGGTTCCATGGTCCATCCATGTTTTCGTCCATGATCTGCTTGGCTTCCTCTGTTCCGAAAATGAAGTACATAGAATACACTCCATGCGCACAGCATCCGGCCCACACAGTGCCTGCTACCGTGAACATCATTCCTGGAAGAACTAGCCGGCCGGCTACCCGCTCGAATAATCGGAGAGCATCGACCATGTAGCTTCGGGGACGAGTGACGATAATCTCTGTCTTGCACTGGGGGCACTGCATAGTGACGTTGCCGGCATTGTTCTTGCGTGTCTTGGGGTTTTCCATATCTGCGAGCCAGTCGAGAAGGCACGCCTCATGGGCGGTCAAGGCGCAAGGACAAGGCGACCGCCATTCCTGATTCAAAGGCGAAATCTCTGTTTCGTCCGTGTAGCAAATCCAACATTTGCGCGGCTCATCGTCATCGGTGTGGGGGTGTGATGATTGTGGTGACTCGACCAACGATTTGGCCGAGAGGTCTGATTTGGGACTTGAGGTTGAGACTTCTTTATTCATGAAGACTGTTTCGATCCCCTCTGTCGTCTCGGTCGACTCGCTCGATGAAACTTGGAATGTGGAGCTCGCATCAGAGCTGGCGGTCGCTCCATCGGAGGACCTGGTTCTGCCCGCAGCAGAGTATTCTGGAACGGACGTCATATATGTGGTGGTTAAGGCAATACCTATGGGCTCAATAGTTTGAGAGAAGGGCTCAGCATCTTCCGGAGAACGGCGCAAACCCAAGTGTGTAATGCCCCAAAGAAGAGTCCCCACATGGGGGAGGTCGAGTGTCTTAAGGCGGCAATGAGCCGCGGCTGTCAAAGGCGGTCAAGGATCACGTCAAAGGGCTGTTCCCGGATATGAGCTTGCTTGCGGACATGCAATTGTACACATTCAGTCGATCTAGTTTGTCTCTTTAAAAACACTCGTGCCTATGGCAAATCGCTACAATTTACTTTCATGTCATCATAGGCCTCTTAATTGCATCCACGAAGAGACTACCACTGATACTAGCAATCAGGACAGAAAAGCAGTTTCAAGATTATTGAACAAGATACGATATCTTTCATTAAACAGACAAGGTTAACAAGCCATGAGCAGTCGATCTGGTTGGTTATGCGGTGCTGTGACTATGAATCCACATCCTAGCTGATGTTGAGAGAAGCCCGCCCAAAGAAACTACTCTACTTGGTGGACATGACCATCAGACTCCCTCTTGCCATCTGCAGATGCAGTCATCTCTTCAAGGGTGTCGTCTAGCTTTGGCGAAGATGGAGGAATTTCGGTACTCTGGGCGGTGGTTGCATCCGTAGCCCCTGGTGACTCTGCAGCCTGCTCTGCCTTCTCGATTCCAGGTTGTTTAAAAAGGGGTGAAATCGATGTCACTGGGTGTTCGGTAGGTTCGGTAGGTCCGGTAGGTCCGGTAGGTTCAGTAGACCCAAGAGGCTCGGTAGGCTCGGTGGGCTCGGTGTGTTTTGTTTCTGCGGTGGCAACATGAGCGGTCTCATCCTCTGCTGTGGTCGGGGGTAGTGAGGTATCGTCTGCTGGCACGGGTGATTCGGGCGTTGGATCTACAGATTCACCAGCGGCGTTCTGAGCAATCGGAGGGGCCATTGACTGCAGGGGTGAAATAGGCTTGTCCTGAGATGCAACAGGTTGCTTCTCGGTACTTTTTCCCGAGCCAACAGTCACTCTGCCATCTTGGCCAACCTGCCAGACATTCAAAGACTCCGTGATCTTGATTTCAGGGGCGGTCGGGAGAGCTGCGGTGGATTTCTCCGCGGCAGGCTTTTCCACCGCAGGCTTACGACGAGCTGGGCCACGAGCCCTTCCCTTGCGGGCATCGCTCAGCGGCTGTTTTTCAACCGGCGCTTCGGGCACCTGCTCTTGGGGCTTGGGTTGCTGGGGACCGAGTTGCAAGCGTGAATTCAAGTCAGTAAGGAACCCGGCTTTTAGGGCCGCGATTTTGCTTCCACCGGGACGAGCTGGAACTGCAGGCTTGGGCTTCACTGGAGGTGCCTCCTTCGGGGTCTCGTCGCTGGCTGCCGGAACCTGCGAGCTTGGCTTAGTGGGACGGTTGGGGACCTGAGGCTTTGGTCTCTCCGGGATGCTTGGTGGCTGCCGCTTTTCAATTGGATGGGATTGGGGTTGTCTCTGCGGGCGTGTGGGAATTGTGGGCTTAGACGGGACATCTGGGCTCTTCACTTCTTCCTTTGCAGGCTCGACGGTGGTGACCAACCGCTGGCTTTCGGGGACATCTTCCCAGATATCCTTGCTGGGGAAACGTTGCTTGAATGTATCCGGCCGCACTGGCTTTTCCTTAGCAGCTTCACCTTCCAGTATGTGACTAGCAACCTGGTGTGAGTCGACTTTGTCTGCTTGCATTCTGCGTGTAGCCTCTTGCTCGGGCGTTTCAAAGGTCTCTGGTGAATCCTGAGTGGGAATTTCTGGAGTAGTCACTGTAGCGTGGAGCTGCAGACTATTGGGAGTGTCTTCCCAGATATCCTGACTGGGGAACCTATGCTTGAGCAAGTCGGGTCGGTTCTTGAATCGGTCTGTTGTGGACGCGGGTCTCTCTTTCTTGCTATCATCCTCGGGGAACAACGGCTCATATTCCTCGACATCTTCCAGGGGGGTGTGGGTATCTTCCCGCGAATCATAGCGCGTCAGCGAAGGGAAATAGCCCTGGGCACTGGCCGAGCGACTGTGTGAACGACTGTGTGATCCGCTAGGAGTTCGACTGCGGGCTTCATCCTCGAAGCTGCCGCGGCGATCAAATGTAGGCGAAATAGCAGGATGGAGGTAGGCCGATTCAGGGCGCACTTGATCGGCAGCCAGAATTGGCTCCTCGTCATTCTGAGTCTCGTCAGATGTGGGATTGGTTTCTTCCAAGGTTGGGGTGGCAGAAAACCCGTCTGGGTGATGTAAAGGGTGCTTCGGATCATCCACGTGAATCACCCCACTCTCATGGTTTCCATGCGAGCTCGATCTACGCTCACGCAAGGGCGATCCAGTCGATTGCTGCGCGGTTTCCGAAGGGAAACTCATTTGTCGGAGGGGCGATTCGACTGATGGCTGAGTTTCGTGGCGTGCCTCAGGACCCGCCATGCGATGCATGTACTCATCGGACGCCATGTATCCAACTTCTTCTTCGGGGGTCCCGACAACACCTGGGGAAGTACCTGTTGATGATTAGCTTCCGTGTGACAGCAGCCCTAACACCAAATACTCACCCAGGCCTGATCCAGTTTGCGCAGAGCCACGCACAATCTTATTCAGATTGTCGCTACTCATAGCCCAGTCAGGGCGCGGAGTGCCAACACCGGGGCCATATTGGCCTTCTTCTTTCACGAATTCGTCGGGATGCTTTTCATACCAAGCCTTCTCGAATTTGTCGGATTGCTGAACACCATGCCCATGCAATCCATAGCTACCTGGAGGCAGCGAAGAGTCTCGTGCACTACGGGTGCGGTTGTGGTTACGACCGGATCGCTGGGACCCTTGGTCAACATGAGGGCTCGGGGACGGAGCCTGAACATCGCCAGCGTTGGGGTACATGGGTACCCGGAATCCCTGCTCCTCGGATTGCTGAGCCGAGTATCGGCGATCATGCGAAGCGGTAGACGAGTCCGCACGAGAACCGCTGGCCCGGGAGTGTAACTCACGACTGGAGCGTTCTTGTTCCTCACGGGAGGGTGAGACCCCACGGCCGAGTCCTGCCGCGGCAGCCTGACGGGAATCGGTGCGAGTGACAGCCTGGACCTTAGCTTCCGCACTTGATGTAGGTAGCGAAGGTCTTGGTGCATGGATCTTCAGATCACTGCTGACATTGCGTGTCTCTGCGGGCGTTTGATGGTGACTGTCTGACACATTTCCTGGATCGAGATCGGCATACTCGATACCTTCCTCGCCCAGAGATGGTATCGTGACGCTTGGGGGGCGCGGGGGCACGTCATTGGATGCGGTACGGCTCATCCCAGGGCCGGTCCATTCATTGAGCGGCGAAGGGGCATAGCTATCGCGCATCGGCGATACTGAGCGGTCATTGCGGCGGTTACCCGGGCGGGGTGGTATTTTCGGCATCTCCAACGACGATGATGGCTGGGGAGAACGAGCCGGCCGAGGAGGAATGGCCGGGGGAGCTTGGGTTGACATGATTACGCAGAAGCTATTGACGAGTCAGCAGCAGTTCCACCACGTTCCGCTATCATCAACAGATAGTGCTCTTGTTTTCGAGAAACACACGGCCCTCTCCAGCCTGCAGGGATTAAATCACCCCCGAGCTATGCATGCTTGACGCAAGAGTGTCCCAAGCATACACGTCGGGAGTAGGTGATAAGGAGACCGGGGCTTTACTTACCCAAAGGTACTAAAGAAACAAGAAGAGCCCTAATGGACGACAAGGACAAATTGCCTCGAGCAAAGCCGATGCAAATGGTTCTAAGACCGACTTTGGGGGACGATGATGTATGTCCGTTCTGCCACGCCGTCTGACCGCAAGTACCGTATTGTCGTATTCGTAATGTAATCTAGGCAATGAGGTCATGGAACTGCGAATTGACCACTTTTATCAATTCCAGTACTTGTATTGGGTCGAATGGCCTCACTGGAATTTAGGAAGCACAGTGATATTACATAGAGATATAGATCTGGTACCGTGAGGTTCAGGATGTTCACTGATTCTCTGATGTGTGTCCATTCCAGGTACACATACACTACAAAGCTCAGAAGTCATTTGCTGTACCTATGTAGGTATGATCAGGAAATGTGTTTGTCTAAATACAAAGTTGATATGAGGTGACATTGCACATAAAGCGCACCTGGGCAGTTCCAGGTTTGTCCGGCGCCCTTCAAACCTTGGAAGTATACAGAGGATATTATCTCTCTTCCATTGGATTGGTCGATCATAAGGGTTCTCCGCATTGGGATCTACCAGGTACCTTGTACTGTCCAGGTGCTCTCAGGCCCTGGAGAGCTTCCAAAGTTGACACTTCCCAGAGCCCACCTTCTCATATAGGGTCGGTCATTTATACATCGAGACCTGGAAGTTGTGCATCTTGCAAGGCAACAGAGAGCTCAGCAGTATGCGGGGTAATTTCCCCGTTGGGCTCCACTCCGAGTCGCATTCAAAATCGCCTCTAAATAGACTGGATAACAGGATTCGGGGGATAATGTCGGTCCTCATTGGTGAGACAGGAGGGGATCTAGCTCTAGCCCTACAACAAGAGCGCTCCGACGCCGAAGAACCTTCTGATTGGCAATGGTCTTGACATATAGTCGGGTTGGAGTCAGCCCTGGAGGCCTTACCTGTCTCGCATTTGCTTCGGCTCCCCAAGGAGAAGAAGAAAGAGATAAAGAAAGAGAAAGCCCTACTGGATACGATAGACACAGCCAAAGGACGTTTCATAGAATGAAACCAAGCTTGATCACAAGTACACCGTTTGAAATAGCAACAACTCCTATTCAGGTGCGCTGGGCCTGCCTGGGCAGGAAAACAATGAAAGCAAGGATATATCAGCTGAACGCTCAACGACTTTGAAACCAAAGACATGCTCAGCAGGGTCATCCTCAACCGGACCAAAACATACAAGTACAGGGCAATAAAGACTCAAAACCAATTCATAGCGCGTTCCAGTGCACGTTGTCCATGTGGCATTTTATTGTTCCCAATGGTGGCATCGGGCATCTGATCGTGTCGCCCAACGCCCCCAATGCTGGAAACAACCCGAAGACATGTTCGGTAAAGTAGAAAGCAAAAATGGCTCGGCGTTATAGATATGCCATTACACAATCATCTGCGCAACTCCCTGGCCACCCAATGTCTTGCTGCCAACAAATTCCTGCTTTGTTACTGCGGCGAGGGCGTAGAAAATTGCCGCGAATAGAAGGAACACGGCAGCGGCGATCAAACTGGAGGCTCGGCTGACAAGGCTGACGAATTGGATCGCACTGAGGGCCACATAGATGGCGGCACGCATCCAGTTGGTGGTGAAACGGCGGATGAAAGCATCGAACTTGGGGGATGTAGGGCAAATGCGGAGGAGGAAGGGAACTTCAATGAAGAGAATAACAAAGGCCGAAGCACTGACTCGGGTTAGCGTGGCATGACAGGCGGACGGGATTCCAACTCACATGCAAAGACAACTGAAAATGATCAGAATCGCATTGAAGGAGAAGATGTTGGCGATTCCAAGGGCAAGGCAGAGGATGATGCACAGCACACCGGTCCTAGATATCCGGTTAAAATCATCCCTGTACATGCGTGCTGGTGATCGGTGGAGGGCGCCCCAGGTCTGTCGCAAGAGGTTGCAGACGGAAGCACATGGATCAGCCAGAGGGCTCTCCTGCGACCACCCCCAGGTTCGTAACAAGTAGGAATTTTCGAGTCGCGGCGTGGTTGACACTCACCATTGACCATAGATGCCTAGAGAAGATCAGCGGGAGTCGCGCAGGCAAAGGCGAGATGAGCTGGGATTATACTTACTAAAATTGCGCGAGCGGAACTCTTCAGCCAGCGTCATGGTGGGCTAGCAAGTGTATTTGAGAGGTGATCTAGAATCAAAGATGCAGCACTGATGATCGGAGGTGTCAGAGGGACGAGCGGCAAAGTGCACACGCGGCTCCGGGCGGTCAAAGATCGAAACAAACAACGGAAGCGACGGCTTCAAGAAGACAACTATATCAAAAGATGTTCGAGGATTTCTTTTGTTTTCGCGCTCTTGGAGGAATCCAACCCCTTGTTTCCCGCTCTTTCCAAGCATCGTCTACCAGGCAGACGCCATTCGGTGAGATTTGCCTCGGCCAACATCTCAAGGCTCCAGCGAGTGGCAACGAGTACGCCGTAGTATACGCCGTGTTGATTTCTTTCCTTCCTGGCTTTGATACAGTGGGGCTATAGGGATTGAGCACCCTGGGCAGTGATTTAGACTCATGATTAGGCATTGCAACCTCAACCATACTGACATCGTCTCCATCCCGCCTTGGATTCACGTTACGCACATCAATTGGCACAAATGCAACCTCGGAGCTTGAATAAAAGTCATATAATGCAAATAATGTCGGGGCCAAGTTGAAGTAGTATAAAGGCAAAAGATTTAATGTACCATCGATCGGATCTTCCCCGTGGAAGTACTGAAGATCATCGTTGCAGAGAGGGCTTCGAGGGCTATACGGAGTACTTGCTCTCCTTCTCTCCCGAGGTCTCCTTCTCTTCGAACCCTCGCATAGGCTTCTCGTCCACCCCCGGGCCTTCCTGGTGTTTCCTGCAAGACAGAACGCCAGCGAAGCACGATGTTAATCTGTGGCCCTTAGCCAATCCTCGAAACCTTTCGTCATGGACCTAGACTCAGGGCAAAACCTCGAATGGTTTCACGGCGGCTGTTCTGTTATACAGAGTGGAATAACCATATTCAGGTAGCACATTTGTGACCCTGGGATTTGGCTGAACTATTTATTAGACTATCGATATCGCACACATCCTGAGTCCTTCTCAGCTCCCACGAAAAACGGCTTGCGGTTTATCATTGCATTGAGCTTTATAGTTGACTCCGCCTTTGAAATGTCTCCATACATCCCAAGTGCCCTGATCTTCTTGTTCATGCACGCCAGAGCTCTGCCTACAAACATCACAAGCTTCATATTTCCACATTTCATCCCAGTTCCCACAGCCAACGCCTACCAACTCTGCACCCAGGGCTGTATCCCTGCAGCCGTACTCTGTGCAGCTCCAGTAGTCGTGTGTATTGCTTGCATGTTTATCTTTCCCTGCTGACTAGTCTCAACACTCGCAGAACTCTTCACATGCGGATGTATGTGGCTCGTTGAGTTTCACCAGCCCTCTGCTCGAGTGGTACACACATAGGGACTTCGGTGCTATCACATTTGGGTGCAACTCGACTGTTGGCCAACCAGGCTGCTGGAGCTGTTGCATCAATATCAGTCCTTTGTTGTAGGGCGAGGAGCTAGTCAGATGATTATTCTCCGTGGTGATTGTAGAACGGAGTGACCCCGGTGAGTCCACGGGTCTAATATTGTCCTATGCATCATTGCAACATTCGAATTGTTTTTGAAGAAATATGTTCCCGGGGTTTTAACAACCTTGATCTATGGAGCAAGCACAGGCCTATTTCCCTTTCCGGCAAAACTGAATCGGCCAGCTTCATTCGTTCATTAGTAAAAGATCCTCGAGTTCATTCTCTCATAGCATGTATCGGAATAGTGGAGAGCGATCTCCCAGTGAGTCAGGGTCTGATGGGTATTCGGAAGGATCCATAGCATCACGCTTCTTGTTGATACGCTGGTAGGCCAGGCGCAAGATAACGGCCGCTATCATACCAACGACAACGAACGCCAACTCAAGCGAATGGCCAAGGATATAATTTGGGGCATCTTGGGCACGGTAGAAGTTGGAAGACATGGCTGAGGCAGTATTGTTAGTCAATGTTCAAATGCTTGACAATATATATCCTTACCTCCGGCCAAATTACCGATTCCGATATAAATCGCCATTCCGGCAGCCCGCTTGTAATCTCCAGCCATATTGACACTAAGCCAGGTAACATTTCCCGGGAAAGCAGGGTAAATTCCTGGTTTGTGTCAGTCTTGGTGCAACGGTATGCTCGAATTTAGCCAAATTCTTACCAACTACCGCCACGAAGATCCCAAAATACATCACGCCGGGAACTCCACGTCCTGTAGATGCAAGACATATTATGAAGCCTATGGCAATCATTCCCATGAAGAAGAGGACAAATGGGGATCTCTCCTTGCGTCTGTCTGAAACCCATGCTGCAATGACGGCCACGATTGCGGCCGTGATGTAGATCGGTACCTGTGAATAAAGTGTCAGACCTTTACCCATGACAATATCATTCGTAAACCCACAGTGAGCAGTTGCGCAGTCGATGACTTGTATCCTAAATCTAGGATGATAGATGGAAGAAACAGGGAAATGCCATATAACGGGCAAGTGATACCCCAGTACACTATAAGCCGTTAGTTTTAGCAACAAACCAGTGGGATAACAGGAACCCCATAGGTGCGCCTATCACTCACTAAACAAACCCAACCAAATCTGCCAGTCAGTGAAAGCATCATAGACATAGCGCCATTGGAACTTGTCATCCTTTGTGTCCATTTCGTGCGAATCGGCCGAGTTTTGAATACGAAGGCTGTGAATGACAAACTGACGCTCCTTGTCAGTCAAGAATGATGCGGTTTCTGGAGAGTCGTAGATCGCAAATGGAGCTATCAGTGCCACAAGAACGGTAAGAAGGCCTTCGAGAATGAAAATCCATCGCCAGCCAGCATATCCTCCAACGCCATCCATTTTCTTTTTGAAAAACGAAATCAGCAAAAGTATCAAGAGCCAGCGGATGGATGACCTACGGCAATGGCGTATGCGAGAAGTCCCGAGAATGCACCAGCTACACTGGCTGCACTGAAGAACATAGCTTGTCTGAACTGTGCTCGGTGCCGTGGATACCAGAGGGTAATGTAGTATGCGACTCCGGGGTAAAGGCCTGCTTCTAATTTTGCGAGATTGTATTAGTACTTGCCATGCTGGAGGAACTATCAAAGTGCAGGGCCCTCAGGTAGTTCGCACGTACCTGCAACACCCAAGAAGAGGCGCGTAGCGAGCAGTCCACCGTAGTCCTTCACGACTCCCATCAATGTCTGCCAAGATTTTCAGTTAGTTTGAGTACCCAAAAAGAGCTGGCCATATGCAGAACGTGTAGGGTTCCCACCATGACAATGCCCCATGCAACCATGATCAGTGGCAACCATCTCGACGGTCTGAGCTTCTTGAGAAGCAGGTTACTCGGCAATTCGAAGACGCAGTAAGTGAAAAAGAAGACGGTTACTGTTCAGAAGAAAACGTTAGTCTCATTTCACCCGGGAGGACTGTTCAGTGTGGTGTAAGGTATCATACAAGTCCAATTGTACTGCGGTCCTGTCATGTGCAGGTCATCGACGAGACCCTCGATTTTTGCATTTCCGATATTGCCTCGATCCAAGAATGCCAGAAGATATAGCATACTCAGCATGGGAATCAGTCGGATATCCATTTTCCTGAGGACTGCAGCTTCGTCCACGTCTTCAAAGGTTGGCGGACCAAGACTGGACCTTTCAGCATCTGTGGATGTCTCATTATGTTTGCAATCGGCGCGGTATGGAGACTTTTCGATTATTGCATCTTCGAATTGGTGGGTGGAGGGCTTCTCCATGACAGTCTTTGTGTCAGCCATACCAAGGTATGAAGCAACGTGAGGGAAAAGACAGAGACAAAGGTTCGAAGTATTTAAACACCGCTACATCCTTTACAGGAATAGCGTGACCCGGGGTAAGTCCGAAAAGTTGGGGGATCATCGATGTAAAGTGAGGGGTATGCCATCAAGCCGACGGAAGACAGTATCCTCCTTGGCGTTATGGCTGATCATGGGCATTTGACTGTTTGATTTGACTTTGAGAGTGGCAAGCCGGTAGACTTTCGTCTAACTTGGTCTGGGACTGGGAACTTCTGGTCTTTGAGCTTGGTTTTAAGCTGTGCTTATTACTGTATACTTCGAGAGCTGGGTTAAGCCCTGGAGAACTGAGGTCTATATGAAGCAGAGAACATCACCCGGGAGATAGAATTGAGATAATAAACACACTGTGTTCCTTTCTGTCTCCAAATTTATGAAGTGGATCTATAGATCATAGTAAAAGAATAGTCTTCTGAGTACACGGCAGACATACAAGAGCAGATGGCTGCGCAAAGGATACCTACCTAGGCATGCGGCCCAATACTTCCGAGCGGCAATAGCCCTTGGGATAACCTCGGGATATGAACTTGCATTTCCCAGAGTTCCCACCCCAAAGCGCAATTGGTAAAAGGCCAGCCACTCAGCCACATCTGTTCTCAGAGTTAGATCATCCTTGTAGGCCGCGGGAGTAATCCGACACAATTCTATCATTATAGCATCATAATCTCACAGTGCCACAGTATCTAGATCCAATTTAGCCCAGTGCCATGAGACTTGTTCAACACCTGCCTATTCTCCCAGGCTCCCAGAAAATCCACCTTCCCACGACAAAAGAACAATGCCATCAACACCATGGACTAAGCCGGACACAAGCACCCGCCCAATCGCCGTCATTGGCGCCGGTGTAATGGGCCGTCGAATCTCCATGATGTGGGTAGCTGCAGGATACAACGTAATCTTGTGCGAGAAATCAGTAGATGATTACGATGGCGCGGTGGACTTCATCATGGAGAACAAAGACAAGCAAGCCTCCCAGCTGGGCACCAAGCCCGCCGAACTCAAGATCAGCTCGTCTTTGCAGGAAACTGCCGAAAATGCCTGGATGGTGATTGAAGCCGTGCCCGAGAAGCTGGAGATGAAGATCGATATTCTGGGTCAAGTCGATGCCATTGCGCCTCCGGACTGCATAATCGCCAGCAATTCGTCCTCGCTACGGAGCAGCCAGATGATCGTCAACACGAAGAAGAACTACCGCATCTGCAACGGTCACTACTACATGCCCCCGGAGCAAATCTACTACGAAGTCATGTCGTGCGGCGAGACGGACCCGGATATCTTTCCATTTTTGATGGAGAAGGCTGCAGGTGCGGGTTTCAAGCCGGTCCATGCTAAGATTGAGTCGACGGGCTTGGTTTTCAATCGAATCTGGGCGTCGATCAAGCGGGAGGTCTTGCTCGTCCTTGCTGAGGGGGTGAGCGACGGTCATACCATTGATGAAATGTTTAAGGGCTGGTTTAAGGCGACCAAGGGCCCTTGCCAGATGATGGATACGGTTGGCTTGGACACTGTGTACAATATCGAGGTTGTTTACACTCAGCAGCGCAACCTAGATACTACTGCTAGGGACTGGCTGAAGGAGACCTATGTTGATAAAGGCAACTTGGGGGCTAAAGGCGGGAAGGGACTTCTTGGATAAAGATCGCCACAAAATACTTGGAGGTTTCCAATACAAAAGTTTCTCTTCGAGGATTTTTGCGACCAGCCTGAAGTAGAGCCTTGTAAGGTGCCCAGGTGGATCACAACCCTAAGCAGACATGACATTGTCAAACATCGAGCATTTTGCACACGAACCATCTACATCGAGACCTGATCCTAAGCACAGAGATTTCGAGACACCAAATGATATTATTAATGTGTTGGGTATCAGATAAGCCCTCGCATGCAAACGAGGGAGAGACAAACGAAATGCCAATTCACCGACCAAGAAAGACCGTCGATCTCGTGGGCTGTGAGAAATTTAAGGCCCAGGTACAACAAGAACTTTTATGTCCTGTTGCCAGTTAATGTACACAAGGATTCGAGAACAGGCGAATAGAAGTTGGTGACCAAAAGAAAGAATGAAAGTGTGAGGGGTCCGATAATCATCAAGAAATATTAGTTTCTGCAGCGTGACAGAAAATAAAGAAACGTGAGGGTTTGAAAATCCAAACGGGAATGTGCTCGTAGGTAGACTGTCTAGATAGCAGGTCCGTGGATCCAATTGAGCAGGGTATAGATAAGAGGGCATTAAGGTAAGCCCCAAGGGTGTGAGCTGTGGTCATTAGTGTGTAAGCACGCCCTTAGGGTCGATTATGGAGGTATTAGTGACCAGGGTGAGGGCTAATGTCCAAAACCCCGACCAAATAAAACATTAAGCGTGTCTCTTGCGGCGATGTACTTTCCACTCCGCTTTGGCGACACGCATGAACATCTCAGTGTCTTTGATTGGAACCCAACTGGTGAGTACTTTCATGATATTCTCGAAGTCGGATTCGAGGATGATGTCACGCATGCCATCAATGAGAGCGGCAGAAGACGCGTGCAAAACATCAAGAGTTTGACCAAAAGTTCGTGGGTTTTCAGGGTGATCTTTGTTCTTTCCTGAGCTTCCATGATGGCCGGTGTTGTCATCGGCATCACCAAGAAGCATGAAAACGTCCCAGACCCGAAGCTGAGCAGGGAAAGGAATTGAGTAGTTGAACAGCGTGAGGTACCAGCGTGTGCCATAAGCCGTGGGTGGAATTCCAACCTCGTTCTGTGAATTGAGCCGTTAGTAAATGCTCGCTTACACTGGGAGCGAATTCTTACCAGCTTTGTGGCCACTTCTCCCCCGGCCAACCACTCGCGTTCAAAGTCCGCCAAGGCTTCCATGAGGCCGGCGAAACCAGATTTGTAAAGTTCTTCCAACCCACGGAGCTGCCACAGCCGGACAAGCATGATGAAGGCATGTTCCTCATCATAGTACGCTAGTAAAGTGGCTGCGAGAGCTGCCATGCCTTGCACGTAGCCCGTATCTGGGAAGTACAAGGACATGGCATGAAGAACACGGAACAGCAATCTTTGACCACCCCTGTACCGTCTCCGGAACATGATATGGCTGGAGATTGTGCGAGGAACATCAATGTCAATCTGAACATCATCCGGCGAAGATATGTACTGCAGTTCATTGAAGGCCTCGATGAGCTCGTCTTCTGGCGGACTGCCCTCGTGACGTTTGGCGCTGGCTTCAAGGAAAGAATACCATGCCGTTGCTCGCCATCGATCTGGAATCCCCTTCCACGTTCGTTCAATCAATTTTGAGCTTCGCGTGTCAAACTCGAAGGTCATACCGCCGCCATCCTTGAGTTTCTTCTTGGGCTTGGCCATTTTAGTCCACTTGTCTTCACGTTGCCACTCTTTTCTCCGCATTGCACGATTGGCCTGGGTATCTTCCTTCTGGCCGGGAACAGACTCGCAAGGTAGAGTGAGCATATCAGCCGCCTCATCCTTAGCTTTGCGGTCTCGGTTGTGAGGAAGGTGATTGGTCGCAGTACGCAAACGAGAGGTGGATCGGCGCAACGGCGCACTGTAATTGCTTTGTGACGAAGCGGGACGGTTTCCTAGCGAGCTCTGGGATATCTTGCGGTTTAGGGAAGGGCCATTGAATGAGCGATTACTGGCTGGTGCAGTTGGTGGGCGGATAGATCGCTTCCGTCGGGGTGTTTCAGATGCCAACAGTAGACTAGTGGTAACTCGCTGGAGGGGATTGATATCGGATCCTTTCGAGTTCGTCGCGGGGCGAATGAAGCCATAGCGATCAACTTCTTCGGCACCAACATTTTGCCAGTACTCAGCACCCCCCGCTAGTTCCTGAGTTTCTCTCTTGATTCGACGACGCTCTACTTCGGCGGAGGCTCTTGGTTTCGGTTCGGTGCCGTTCTCATTTGCCAGCGCTGATGTTGTTTCAGATGTCTCGGTTTCCGCTTGCGCATCCTCTTCCCACAGAACACCATTTTCAGAGGCCAATGCTTTCGCGACCTCGGAGTCAGTAACATTGTCTTCGCCCTTCTCGTACATCAACCGGACTCGACGTGACAACATATCTTCGTCTGCTGATATAGCCCTGCTTGGAAGACTCATTTGTCTGGGCCGAAGGGTACTGGTGCGTCGAGGAACAACTTTCGGTGTTCCGTTCTCTTCCTCAGGCTGAGATTTCGCAGCTGAGGGAGGTGGCGTTACCTCAGGGGTACCTTGACTCAATGGCTGACCTGGAGTATCTCTCGGCTTCTCGTCTGTCCCTTGGCTGACTTCTCGTGCAGTGGCCTCGTCAGATCCTGATTGCGCGGTTTGGTCCAAGACCTGGTCTGGATGCTCCTCTAGCTTCTCCTGGGGTCGGTGTGGGTGTGGACGGTTCACTGCACTCTTGATCAAGCTCCCGCGGTTTGAAAATTTCATTGGCTGGTTCAAGGCTTCGAGAGAGGACGTCGGTATATCGAGGGGGATTCCAGCGAAGGAGCGTTCGATCTGAGGCACTGGAGGAGGCGATCCTTCCGAGCTCAGTTTCCGGTCCATCTCTCCCGATCGCTTTCTCAGTCCTCCCCATTTGCGTTCCGACCAGCGAGAGCCCGGCCGTGACCCTGGCCGTGAGCCAGGACGGGGTCCTGGTTCATTCACTGTGATGCTGGGTACGCTCCGTAGCGAGGGCGGGCCCTCTGATCGAACGGTTCGGTTATCATCTCCGGTGGGGGTGAAGGGTCTGAGCCGAGAAAATGGATTTCCGGGCGTTGGATTGTCGCCAGAACCAGTTGACGCAGCACTCGTGCTTAAGGACCTGCCATTGGGGCCTGATGGCGCATGGGGCGTGGGCAACGAGACCGACCGAATCGCAAGAGGGGTATCAACCGCAACGGTGTCTTCGAAGGGCACCGTTTGAATTGTCTGGAACTCCGACCGGTCGGGTGATAACGATGCAGAGGTCTCATTCACCATTATCCCGGCATGACTTGCGAATCGAGTGCTGGTATCGCAAGGATCAAGGGATGCGCGTCGGAGCAGAGCACAGGTTGGAGGAGGCTGAGGGGGGTACGGGGTAGCTGAAGAAACAATCAAAGGAGTGACAAAGGTAAAAACCACCAGTGCGGAACTTCCTCAGGGTCAAAAGAGGCTCGAGACTAAAAATGAGAGAAGATACGGAGAGGTGTGGAGTATTTTGGGGGTGGTCTTGGCACTGCACAGTGCCCTACCGAGTGCTATTTACATCGTCTAGCTGGAGATTATTGGAATCTGAACTAGATCTTGCCTATGATGCTGTGCTCATTAATCTTTAATATATCATTGCCTGGTCAGTGTCGTCGCAATCGACTTAAATTAGATGCTCAATCCACTCCGTAATATCAAGGGGGTTTCATGTCCCACCTTGGGCCGCGTCGCAGTGGATCAAGACAAGGGGAGTATTGTGGAGCACGCTAAGGCTTAGATTGGAAAACAATGCCTTACACTTGGAGCTTGAGGTTGGCGTTTGGACCATGTCCAGGTACGTAGTCTGGGGTCTGTATTTATAGACACGGCACAGCGATACCAAAACGGTGCACAATGTACTCCGTGCGACCTCGATAGATGCAAAGGATACCATGCTTCCAGGGATACATCCCCATTTATACAATTCGTGTAGAACTCCAATAGCCGAGGTTTTGAAACCCGCAGACCATTGGCTGCCAGAGCAGTCGGTGCAATTAAAGCAAGTACCCAGCTTGGAAGACTGCTTAGCAAGGTAACCTAGTATGTTAAAGGTGCGAAAAAAAAAAAAACCAATCCCACGGCCCAGCATCGGGGTCACCTCAGGCTACAGCCGTAGTGTTGGCAGCGGGCGAGTCGCGAGCGGGTCGAGTCCGATCCACAGGCTCTTTAGGTAACAATTCGATCTGACGGACCAGGAAACTCTTCTCGTCGGTAAATTGGTCGTCGTCGGTTCGATCCTCCAGGAATTTAGGCAAGAATCTCAACAGGCGATCGCGGTTGTTGATCAGAATCCGTTGCACAGGCACGGATTTGGTCGGATTGGCCACAAATACCTGGTGAAATGTTAGAGACGGCTGTGGAGCCATCTGGAAGGCCGACCTACCTTAAACACATGAAATCCTTCATATTGTACCATTTTTCGGTCATCGCGCAGTAATTTCATGCAGAGCTTCAGATTGTCCCCACTCTCCACATATGCCATCATGACATTGTAGTTCGCACGGTCCAGGAGAATTTCTCCCAGAAGTTTTATACTTTGCCGCTTGGTCACATATGAATCCGAGTGGACAAGAATGTCGTTAAATCGCCCGAAGAATAGATCAAAGTTGGTTGCCAAGTATGAGGTCACAAGGCTCTTATGGCGAGTAACAATTTCCTGCAGGGCACAAAATCAGCTACTAGAGCCATCTGCGCATGTAAAGTTCTTTGATAACTCACCCTGAATGTCGTGAATGCATCTGCGCTCACTTCGAAGTTGCTCTTGTCGATCCAATCGAAGAATTGCCAAAACACACCATCTCCGCTTTGTGGATGATTCGGCACTACCTCCGATAGTCTGATAGCCGGTTCGCCTTCCCGAGATTGATCATAGAGGACAATTGCGGTGACGACATCGGATTTCAATGCTTCTCGAAGAATGACCCCACAAGGCATGGCACTCTGGCTTTGCATATAGCCACGACATAACTCAACGATAACTTCTGGTCGGTTGTGGACCAGCCACGAGATGACAGGGGGATCTTTGTCATTTGAATATGAAACCGGCCGAAAGCGAAGGATGTGGGAGAATATTGTTTGCGTGTCTTTTCTGGCCTCGAACGGAAGCATATGGATGCTTTTGGATAGATCAAAGAGTAGGTCTTCTTGGAGGGTCGCTTGCACGAGTGCGTGTACTTGATCCGGTGATGTGTTCACCTCTGTCGAACAACATTAGTGGCCAATCCATTGTTCGCTCCTGCAGTTTCGAGGCTGACCTTGTGTCCCCTGTACCATCACCTTCATTTGACTGAGCTGCTTGGCAAGGTCCTCTTCGGCCTGTTTATTCTATGAGAAAAGCCATCTCTCCCAAAGGGATATCACGGACCTTGGGACCATTTTGGGAATCTTTGATCCTTGAAAGTAATTCCTTCGTTGACCGTACGATCTCAGCGGGTTGTCGCGACCGGCCACGGTTGAAAAAGAAAGCCATGGCGATATGGGCGTGATATGTATGCGACTGAAAAATAAAGCGGAGGTCACAGCGACATAGAACTTGCCGAAGGGAGGAGTCGGAGTTCCAAGGGACCAAATGTGATGTATTCGAGGAATAAACAAACCCGGGGCGGGGCAACGGGGTCGCTGCCTGAGGCCTCTACTGATAACGGGATTTTTTTTTTATCGAAATTGCTATCTCTGCCCCTCCCCCTCTACACTTCTTTGGCCTCTGAGATTCTATTCAATTGATTTCATTGAGTAAAGACAATCATGTCTGCCTCCGAGACTACGAAACCAATTGGTGCTGAGAGCTTCCCCGACTCTCACTCGGTGTCCGGCTCGTCCGATACCAGCAACGAGGAGGGCTGGGAAGATGTTGAAGCCGATGAGGAGTCGCAACCCGTGGTTGGGCTGTTTTCAGAGCAGGTGTTCCCTGATGCACGGTCAATGCTGAAGGAATGCAAGGAGAAGTACAACTTCGACTTGTTGAAGATCCAGAAAGACTTTGGTATGTTCACTCGCACCAGACGGGCAACGCAATAGATCCCGGAGCTGATTACCCTGCTATCACTAGATCTGGATTTCCTTGACAGCATCAAACTGGTCAACTACGTTCGCAGCGAAGTGAAGAGCGGGAACAACAACCCCGATGTTTCATCTAAGTCCAAGTTTGAGGACGATGCCTACCTCAAGCCCGTTTTGGAGGACGACGCTCTTCTGTACAGCTTGGATGAACTTGCTGACGACCAAGGCGAGGAGTCGGTCCCTACCACCGAAACCAACCGACAAGTCAACGAACTTCAAGAGAAGCTGGAGCAATTGCAAACTCAGTTCTCCGAATACCGCCTAGCTGTGCAGAAGTCTATGGATGATCAATTGTCAAAGGAGGACGAGAAACTCGCCGAGGCTACCCCGAAGCCCTCAGCGCACACCGTCGATAGACTCCAGGAGGCCGATGACGGTTACTTCGTCTCGTACGCTTACAATGGTAAGTCTCGCTGATAAGCTGAAATGTGGATTTATCGCTAACATAGCTCCCAGCCATCCACGAATCCATGCTCAAGGATGCTGTCCGTACTGATTCGTACCGCGACTTTGTCTACGAGAACAAGAATGTTTTCAAGGACAAGGTTGTCCTTGATGTCGGATGTGGAACTGGTATTCTGTCTATGTTCTGCGCCAAGGCTGGCGCAAAGAAGGTCATTGCCGTTGACAACTCGAACATCATTGATCGGGCTAAGGAAATCGTCCACGACAACGGACTCGGTGACGTGATCACGTATGTACTCTTCAATTTTCACACAGGAGATCTTGCACTAACTTTGTTGTAGCTGTATCCGCGGCAAGATCGAAGAAGTCACCCTTCCCGTCGAGAAGGTTGATATCATCATCTCCGAATGGATGGGTTACGGTCTGTTGTTCGAGGCAATGTTTGACTCCGTGATCTATGCCAGAGATCGCTACCTTGTTCCTGGTGGTCTCATGGCTCCCTCGCACGCCACCATGCGCATTGCCCCCTATGCCGACCCTGACTTCATCGCATCGCACATTTCTTTCTGGAACAACGTTTATGGCTTCAAGATGGACAGCATGCTTCACAAGATCTACGACGAGGCAGTCGTCCGCAGCATCCAGCCTCAATCTATTGTCGGAGAGTCCCAAATCTTCTTGACGCTCCCGCTGCACACCATCACTGTCGAAGAACTGTCGTTCCTCAAGGAGTTCCAGGTTAAGTTGGACCAGGATATCGATGCCCTGGATGGCTGGGCCATTTGGTTCGATATCTTCTTCATGCCATCCAGCGAATCTGTCCTTCCTGAAAATGCGATTCCCTCGGAAATGTCGAAGAAGGGTATTGTTTCATTCACTACTGGGCCTCACGGAACCGAGACGCATTGGCAGCAGACCGTTCTTCTCATTGACCATGCCAAGGACAGTGCTAAGCAAGGCTCTCAGTCCCTGAAGAAGGGCCAAGTCCTCACTGGAAAGGTCGGCTATGAGAAGACTGAGAAGGGCTCTCGCGGAGTGGACATCAGTGTTCAGTGGGAGTCTGACAGCAACGAAAAGGGCGTCCAACTTTGGAGTCTCCAGTAATTTCTGATTATGGTTTTAACGTTTATGATGGACCGAAGAACGGTTGCGACTACTTGCATATGAAATAGCTTGCTGGGTGCTACGTTGAGGACGCAAAGCACATAATGTAGTATTTATGCATTTAAAAAAAAAGCAATCGGGTATCTTTATCACCACTGGTTATGTCCTCGCTGTATAATGCAACAACAAACTATTCGCGACTTTTTGGTGCAGAGTAGCTGGAACGCCTGTGTCTGCTAGAGGGTTCGCTGTGGCGAGTGCGATGGCCGTGACGAGAAGTATGGCCTTCAGATCGACGACGGCGGCTTTCTCGGCTTCTGTCCCGACGATGATGACGAGATCTATCGCGATGGCGACTTTCACCTCCATCGGATGTTTTTGGCCTCCTTTCACTTTCCCTGTATGGCTCATCTAGTTTGAACCCATCGAGGCTATCAACCGATGGGGATCGGGCACGCCGCCGGCTAGACCTTTTCGCCTCGTCTGTTTTCAAAGCGTCGAGTTCTCTTCGCTTTTCCTCATTCCACCGCTTCCGTTCTTGCTCTGATGTCTTCAACTGTCGAACGCCCCGCTTCATAGCTACAAGTGGGTCGTTAGCACTCATGCGAGCTTGTGCCCTGTCCTTGCGTCTTGGGTCTTCGTTACCCCACACATCTTTCTCGACAATCGAGTTTGATGCCGGTGTTTCCTTGTCCGCGGAGGAATACCATGGTTTCCGGCCAATAGTTTCCTTAAGCCCAGCTGCGTTAGAGAATCTCATTGTATATTGATCTTCATAGCTGCGCTTTTTCCGTGCAGCTTCAGCCTCAGCCTCGGGATTTTTCTCTGTCTTGCTATTCGCGGAAGGGAACAAATTGATATGGCCGGCACTGTCTGTTATGGGTGCTTCCGCGGTACCAGACTTGCGGGAGGCTCGTACGAGTTCATCGCGCTTGGCAGTTGCTTGAGCCGCATCTTCTCGTGCATATCGTATATCCCGATCCGTATCGTTTTCTCCAGCGACCCGCCGTCGTTTGTAAGGCCTTCTTGGGTCGTCCGAGCTCTGTCTCTTTGGCAAAGTCTCTGGGTCCGATGGAAGGGAGGGCGGTGGAGGTGGGGATGCAGGTTCGCCGCGCAGCAGTTTTATCCTGCGCCGGGCATCTTCCTCTTGCATCAGACGCTCATTCTCTTCTTCGCGAGCCTGTGCCTGTGCCTCGTCGCGCTTTACGCGGGCGACGTTCTCCGGGTTGTAGACGTTCCATGATTTCTTGCCAAGGAGATGACTGGAGGGTATTAGTTTAATGGCCCAAGGAGATAGGAGGCACTGAGAGTGTCACTCACAGAGGCATGCTGCGATGTTGTGTCGGAAGACGTTGACTGCCGATAACAGACAGCTATCGCAAATGACGTCCCACGGGCCGACGCTGTTCCCGAGTGGCCAAAGTGCCCCCCAATAGCTTCACGGCTCCAACTCTTCCTCTTTCTTTACTTTTATTTCGCGCTGAATTCCCCAATAACGACCGCTGTCATACGCAGTATCTTGCGAATTAACGTTTGAGACAAGCGCGCTCGACCATCGGCTTACACAGCTGCCTGTTGGGTTCCCGACACAGTGGCCTAACACAACTTCTACACCTCGGCCATTTCGACTTGCGATAAATTCAATTCACCATGTTCAATCGCGGCAACATTCCGAATCCGTTCAGCTCCAGTGGGCAGCAACCTTCGCAGGGCTACTCGAGTCCTAACCAGGCTCCGCCACGGTATGATCGCGATCGCTCCCCTTGTTTGCATGCCGGTTGCGCAGCTACTATATGGGACAAGTACTGATGCGTGTTGTTCCCAGTGACCAAAGGGGCCACGGTGGTCCTCCGCCCCAACAAATGCCATCCAGGATGCCAGCCGGGCAAAGAGGTCCAGGTCCAACCTGGACTCTTCAACCGAGAAGGAGCCCGAATGACAACTACACATTCGGTAACCTGTGAGTGCTACTCGCTCATGACCTATCGCCTTGCTAATATACAACACAGTGTCGCCGTTTCGCCCCAAGATATCCCGCCTACCCGAGATGGCACCGACCTTCTCGTCCTAGTAAATGATCTCTTTGTCTTTTCGGCTCGGCCATTTGACGGACCCGTCAATGGACCTAATGATGGTTGCCCCCCGGGATGCATCGGGATGTCGGACGCTCAGCGAACATGGGCGAATATCGGTATCAGAGACTCGGTCAAGGTCCAGCTCTATGATCCCTTTAGCAAGGGCGGGCAAGCCTACCTTGGATCTGCGGATATCGAAGTCAGCTTTGCGTCTTCCATGCCGAAGAAGCGACCTGAGACCCCATATGATCAGGATGAGTTAGCTCAAGCTGTGATCAGGGTTAGTCCCTTCGACTACATCTTGGAACCCGTGCTAACAGTCCCCAGAACTTTGAGAACCAACTGTTTTCGCCTGGACAGAGAATCCTAATGGACAACAAGAGTATCCCCCTTTTGTTGCAGATCAAGACCGTTCAACGGGTTGACCTGACCTCCGAAAAAGGATCTGGCGAAGTCGAGACCATTCCTACCGCCAGAGGCATTGTCACTCGACACACCCAATTCAACTTTTACAAGGATTCCAAAACCGGAATTAACGTGAAGCCATCTAGTCGTCGCCCCGCGGCCAATTCTATCATCCAACCTGGCTTCAAATTTGAGGATATGGGAATTGGAGGTCTGGACTCCGAGTTCAGCACGATTTTCCGTCGTGCTTTCGCATCTCGAATCTTCCCTCCTGGACTTGTTGAAAAGCTGGGTATTCAGCACGTCAAGGGTCTTTTGCTCTACGGTCCTCCTGGAACCGGTAAAACGCTGATTGCTCGACAAATTGGAAAGATGCTCAATGCTAGAGAACCCAAGATTATCAACGGTCCCGAGGTTCTCAACAAGTATGTCGGTGCATCTGAGGAAAACATTCGGAAGATGTTCGCAGATGCCGAGCAGGAGTACAAGCAGAAGGGTGATGAGAGTGGTCTCCACATCATTATCTTCGACGAGCTTGACGCAGTGTGTAAGCAACGTGGCAGCGGAGCCGGGGGTGGCACTGGTGTCGGTGATAGCGTGGTCAACCAGCTTCTTTCAAAGCTCGACGGTGTCGACCAGCTGAACAACATTCTGCTGATTGGTATGACGAACCGAATGGATATGATTGATGAAGCGTTGCTGCGTCCTGGCCGTTTGGAGGTGCACATGGAAATTTCGCTCCCTGATGAGTATGGCAGAAGTCAAATCCTCAACATTCACACAGAGAAAATGCGAAACAACAACGTCATGGCTGGAGATGTTGACCTGGCTGAACTTGCTCATTTGACCAAGAACTTCTCAGGAGCCGAGATTGCAGGTCTCGTCAAGTCGGCTTCGTCCTTTGCATTCTCGCGCCATGTCAAAGTGGGTACTATGGCTAGTATCGATGACGATGTTGTGAACATGAAGGTTCAAAGGGAGGACTTCCTCAAGTCTCTTGATGAGGTCAAGCCTGCCTTTGGTGTCTCCGAAGAGGAGCTTTCTAGCCGTATTGCTTACGGCATTATTCACTACTCCCAGACGATCAACGAGATCCTGCGAGAAGGTGAGCTGTTCGTCAAGCAGGTCGGCAAGGCCGATTCGACCCCACTGTTCTCTGTGCTGTTCCACGGCCCGCCAAGCAGCGGAAAGACCGCTCTGGCAGCGCGGATTGCGATTGACTCTGGCTTCCCCTTCATCAAACTGATCAGTCCGGAAGATATGGTTGGATTCAATGAGGCTGCCAAGATCTCTCACATTAGCCGAATCTTCGACAGTGCGTACAAGAGTACCACCAGTATCGTTGTGATTGACAACATCGAACGAATCATCGACTGGGTGCCCATCGGCCCTCGGTTCAGCAACAGCGTACTGCAAACCCTCATGGTCTTCTTGAGGAAGCAGCCTACCCACGGCCGTCGTCTTTTGGTTCTCGCTACCACCACTGAACGTGCTTTGATGAAGCAACTAGACATCTACAACTCTTTCAACTCGGATATCATGGTCCCGAATGTCAACTCTTTCAGTGAGCTTCGTCATGTCATGGAAAAGTCGGGTGACTTCGACCCCCAGGAGATTGCGCAAGCCCTCGAGTCAGTTGGAGGTCTTGCAGATGACGGACGTTTGAGTGTGGGTATCAAGAAGATTCTACTCGGCATTGAAACAGCCAAGCAGGATTCGGACAAGGTTGGTCGCTTCGCTCGTGTCATCAACCGTGCGATCGAGGAGGAACAAAGCTTCCAGTAAATAATATACCTGTTGGCCTTTCTGTCTAGGCTTCAATGACATACTGCTGTTATCCTGTAGCTAGGAAATATATCCACCCCTAAAGAACTGCATTCATGTCGATATTCCCGCTGCCCACTGCCCAGGTGTCAGCCAGAATTGCCCTGGTGGTATCAAACCCTTGCCCTTGGTATCAACCCAAGCATACCTAGGATAGGCTCAGGGCAATATTCAGGCCAGCGTTTAACCCTGGAGGGCTCCATGGGTTTGAACAGTGTCCAGTAATCATCCATGGATGTCTATTACCTACATAGTAAAGACAACTACCCCGGCACCTAGACATGGCCTACTAGGTACTGAACGGCACTCAGTGGGCCACACCAGGCCAAGACAAGCTCTACAGGTATTACCCCAATCACAATGGATATCAGCAGTACAGCCTTAGCCCTTTACCAGGCGCAGCCTGAGGTGTCTCTATGTTGGAGCCACAAGAGGCCCAATATGACACGTCTACATGCACGAATGCCTAGCCTATACATCGGAATACGGAGTCCACGAATAGAATAAAATTTAAAAAAAATCATTAAAACAAGTACCATTGAGAGAATACCTCCCAGTACACGTCCAAATACACAAATTCTCCAAATATACACAGATCCAGCACAACGCCATGAAAAGAGAGCCTCCACATCCCAGAGATTCTGAGTTTTATCCAATCGTATCATATCAGTCATCACGAAAAGCCCACTGGGCCGAACTTGGCCCAATCAGTACTCATCGTAGGCGTACTTCTTCGTAGATCGTCGGTACTCGTCCGGGTGGGCCTTCTCGGCCTTAGTCTTCAGGGCACTATTTTCAGCCGCGTCAGCCTTCTAGACCCCCGGCAGGCGCTAACGGCGCAGGGACAGAGTTGATCGACACTGCACGTGCCAAGCTCATCCGGCGGAGCGGAAGCCCCTGTCGCGGAGCGGAGCGGAACTTGCACGTCCATCGTTTCAGGAATGGGAGATTCAGGGGCTCGCATGCTTACCTGACGCGCTTTTGAGTCCATTCCAGATCCCGCTTCGTCTCTCGTGCTGTTTTCAGGCCTTCGTTGAAATTCGACCGCACACCTTTCAGTCGTCGTTGGGCCATCGCTTGCAACTCGAGCAATTCTTGCTGCTTTGCATTGAGCTGGCCAGAGCTAGGTTTCAATTACTTGTCAGCTCGGAGATCAAAATCTTGGAGATCTGGTCATTTGCTTTTTGCAAATGGGGCTCTCCAATTTCTGGGTGCATGCAAAATCCGCTGCATGCTGCGCTCGCGGTAGAGATACTCACGTTTGCGCCTGTCGTGCCAGGCCTTTGTCCAATGGTGTTGGATCATACGCATTCTGCATGCGATCACTCAGGACGTCAACGACGTCAACGCCAGAGTACGAGGCCGAGCTGGATTCATAGCTGCGGCCAGCGGAACTGAAAGTGAGCCCGCCGGATGAACGGCTGCCGGCAGTGGTGCTCGCATCAGAGTAGTCTGGTGGTGAGCCAGGCACTCTGGAGATGGGATACATCGCCGCCGGTGCTGGTGCCTTGGAAGGGGCATGGTATGGGTAGGCAGCGGGCTGGTAGTATTGACGTTGGGTGGACATGATGATTGACTGCGACGACAGCAGGTATATAAAGAAGCTGAGAAGAGGGAGAGATCCTCAAGTGTTCAGTCAAAGGCAGATGGAGCAAAGAGATGAGGTTAGATGTCTTGCAAGGTGCAAACGAGCCGAACTGGGAGTGATGGGAAAGGAAGAGGAAGGAAGAGCAACCTCACTCGGGCCAGACGGGGGGTTTTATAACCTTCCGCGGAGACTCATCCCTCCGGCGGACGCTCCCATCCTGACATGGGAGGCGAGAGTGATGGCAAGGGTGCAAAGGCCTCGAATGAGCCATTGGGCCATTCGGGACACATTGATTCGCACCCCTCCTCTGTGCTCCCAATCCCCGAGCTCCATCTGCACCTCTGTCTCCGTATCTGCCCGCCCATTTGCCTCTTGGACCCCCTTGACCCCGCCCAGGGTGGAAAAAAGACTCAATGTGTCTGGCCCAAGATGCCTGCCAACCTCCACTAGGGTTTCCGCCGTGCCGTGGCGGCTTGCTGTGAAACCGGTCTCGATCTACGCCTCTCCACTTGGTCTAACTTTTGGGGCCAAAGCGTCAATTGCAGGTTTTCAGGAATCCATGAATTGGGTAGGAATGGAGGGCCCGGTGGATGGACGTTGGGAGCACAATTATATAAAGCTCGGCGGTCCGGTCCCTCCTACTTTCGAAAAATTCCCACCGAGATTTTCAACATCTGTCAATTCCCACTCACAGCGGTCCCCGACGAACTGGTTTTTAACTGGAAATTCGGTGGCTGGGAAGGACGATGGTTCGACGATCAGGGTTGATTCGTTGGACGTTTCCGCGATAAGACGCACTACTCGGCAGACATACTTCTGTCCATTGACTGACGAGACCATCAGTGGTTTTCCAATCCTGTCGACTCACCGTGGAATGTCAACCCATCGACGGATCTCATCCCGAGGTCTTGGGAGAAAAAAAATCAAATGTCTTACGGCCTTACATCATTTCGGAGCCCAAGAGCCCAAAATCGAGGATCGGCTGCACGACCGTCCAAGCAATTATGGTCACACGGAAGATCAGTGTTGGACATCACTGCATGAACCGAAGAACTGTGGAATGAGGACCGGTGATTTGAAGGGAGCACTGTTCCTACAGCCGACTCGGTGGCCCCATGCTTTCTGTCGTGCAAGGTTCGAACAAGAATCATCCTAGTGATTGATGTGCAAATCGGCAAATCGTACAACCGATGTATGAGCTGCTCAAGTCGAATGACCGAGAGTCAAAAAATTTAACCAAGAAAACTCCAACAGACGACCCTGGTTCCTCCATTTGCCCGCCTGGATGCGGCTATTATTGCTGCACACGAAGAAAAAGCCCCCCTTCTCCACGGATCCACCAATGGGCTCCGGATCTTCTGGCAGCAGCAAAGAGAAACCTCTTGCATTGACAAGCGCTCTAGACGCCCATCAACGTGGGAGGGACGGCCACGCCTCCCCACTCCATGCAGACGGCCGATGACTTGCTTGCACACAACTATGGGGCATGTATGAGGAAGGGGGTCCTCTCTGCAAGCCGTCGGAACCGCAATTGGAGCCATGCTGTGCCGCACACAGCTCTTCGTCATTGGTCCCAGATACTTGCTGACATCAAGACCAACGCAGGCCCGAATAGGCGGGAACTATAAAGCTCTAACAGGGCACACCCTCCGAGGTCCGGGTGTCTGTTCTGGATGTGTCTTGCTGGTCCATTCCCCCTGTCGACACCGTGCTATCAAAAATCCCTTGTCTGCATGCCTTGCAGCCTGACGACTCACAATATGCCCCGTCAACCCAACACAATGCTACCGAGCCCTGTGCCACCCAGCCTCCCCCGTCTATTGTCTGAACCCCAGGGACTCTTGCATGGATTCTATGATGCCACTTCTCTATTCGACGGCTGAATCCGGTGTTCAACAATGTATTCGGCTAGACCAGCATCGGGCAGCACGGCAAGAGTATGACGCGCAGCACAAACTCCAACCTCGAAATCTCGAATCTTTCGCTCTCTTCGTCATCCTCCCACTAATCTCCTGATCTATCCATTCAGATCATGACATTCTCCCCATCTTCGTATCCAGCGAAGGACCTCATGGGTTACACAGACTGGTTTCATCCCAACGCCCCCAAACCATCCGGATTTACTGACCTTGAAGATCTACACCTTATTGTACACGGCAAACTCATTGCTTTGGATCGACGGTTCCAATCCCAATTCCAAGTCGAAATCCTTAATTATTTTTTTTTTCCAACGCACAAGTGGGGTTGGAGTGTTCTACACCGCCACATGCAGCGCCCTAACTGGCCATGGCCAACTCACTCACTTTACCCCTTTGGGGGGTCCTGTGTTGTCACCTTTGATTTTCCCAGTTGCGGTCCTTACGAGTACAGATACTCCGGGCTACTGACCACCGGTACAGGCTCCGGGCTACAGAGTCTGGAGTATAAAGTATACGAGGTTTTGATTCATCTCCGGCATTCTTTACGAAGAATTGGCTCAAGCCCTGAAGGTAAGAAAGGTTGGATCGGGCCTCTGGGATCCGATTGGCTTGGACATCTGGGCTTATAGACTTTGCAATGATTCATAACCCACTTGCGTTCGGCCTTTGATGCCTAACGCCTAAGTACTTTCCAGCCCCCTTGGACCTAAGGTTTGGCGACAGTCATTAGTACTCATGCACGTCAGATTCACGGCTCAGAACAATCTATGGATACTTCCAAGGTTCTGCCTTTCCAAGTTGCTCTTCATTCAGATCCTGCCCAGGTCTGCTTTAGCGTATATCTGGCAGCCATATTTGATGCATACCTAGGTAAACCTTGGAATGGATCCATGGATCTTATCGCTTCCAAGCTTGTTAAATACAAAATATAGTCCTGCGTTCCATACAAGGACAGTCAAATGTAGAAAAGGCATAAGAGGACCTCGAAATGGAAAAAAGGTAGAATTATTAACGAATAACGAACACAGATCCAGAGCAAAGATGGGTGTCATGCGCTTATAAAGTCCGGTATCGTAGGCATGAAGAACCTTGGAAAGATTGAGAAACAAGAGCAAAAACAAATCCAACTTTCCTTGCGAAGGGCAAGGTCGAGCAAGTGCCGGCGCCATGATGTATAGATTGAAGCGCAGATCAGAGGGGAATTGGGTCTAAAGACAACCAGGGCATAAGCTGATATAAACATAAGCGCCCTTCCAACCCTATGCAAATGCTAGGGGGTAATATCAATGGCTGAAGATCGAATGCATGTAAGAAAGTGGCATGGAAAGTGTTTCGAGAATCCAAGGGCACTGGTGGGACCAGCCGGGAACAATATTAAGAAGAGACACAGATGATTGTGTGCTTTTGCGTCAATTGTTCATATCCGATGCCGCTGGGTAAACCAAAATCTGAAAACAACGTGCCGTCCTGAAAGAACACCAAAAAGACAATCGCTCCATGGTCCGTCGTGAAGGATTCGAATGCAAAACCGGAGGATATATAAAGCTGAGGCCAGAACATAAATAATAAAACAGAAAACATGCTATCTGAACAGCAGAAGCTGGTGGATGGCGAGAAAAAGTAGTGGTATATCAATGGGGAAAGGGGTGAAGTCTTAACGACGAGCAGATGCAGCACTCTGGCGCTCTGCGCCAAGACGGTCACGAAGGAGCATGAGAGGCCGACCAGGATCGAGAAGACCCATCATCATCTTGCCCAATTCGTTGTGTTTGATCGGCTTGGTCACGTAGTCATTGAAGCCTGCGCGAGCAGCATTCTCAATCTGGTCGGTCATGGCATTGGCGGAAAGAGCCATGATGGGAATCTGGGGATAATGATTTCTTTGCTCCCAGTCACGAATGTCTTTGCAGGTTTCATAACCGTTTTTGATGGGCATCTGAATGTCACACTAGGGATCGATGTGTTAGCAGTGCAAGTAGAGGGAAGCGATATATGAGCACTCACAATAATAAGAGAATAGTATCCTGGTTCTTTTGAGAGTACCATGTCAGTGCACTCCAGTCCATTGGACGCAGTCTCCGCCATAAGTTTGATTTTGTCCAAGTATTTCAGCATTACCTTTGAATGTGTCAGTATCAGGATCCCACGGACTCGGAGTGAGGGGGCTTACATCGCGATTGGTTTCATCGTCCTCAACAAGCAAGACTCGATACCCCTTGTTGCCTAACACTTCCTTGACCATCTTGGAGACAGTTTTGAAGTTATTATTGATTTCGCGGGCCATGTCTTGATTGCGATCCTTGCTAAGCTCACGTTTGCTCTCAGGGTCGAAGATGGCCGAGAACGCAGAAGGCTTCACAGGCTTTGGCACGATGAAGACTTGGGTCCCAAGGCTGGCTAGCTCTTTGACCCGGGTGCTGATTTGGCGCTTTTGATAGAGGTCTGCTATAATCACAACAACCGGCGCAGGATCTATCACTTTGTCGGCAACATTATGAATGACTTCCAAAATATCATCAGTGGGGAGATTCAATACAAGATGCGTGCACGGCGCCGGGCCGGAAGCAGAATGCATCATGTCTTTCCACTCATCCACATCAGGTAACGTTTTCACCGAGAAGTCAATCTCGTGGGGCACAACATGCTGGATGTGTTGTTTGGTAGCCTTTCTTGAGTTCTGAAGCTGACACAAGATGACGATGGAGAATGGGCCTTGGGATGGCACCGTGACCTTACCCATGGGAGCTCCGGGAGACAGAGAGGCCTGAGACGCCGGCGAACCTCGGGTTGGAGACGAACTAGATCTCGTAACGGAGGCTTGAATCTGTGAACCCGTAACCGCATCCGGCATATGGGCAACGGCACTTGTCTGATCCATTGGAGGTGGCAAAGGGGCGAGGCCTACTTCGGGGGTCGGAAGGGCCGAAGACGTAACAGAGTGCGAAGCAGAAGTATTAGTCTTGTAGCTTTTGTTGGACGAGTCGGAGCTTCTGGCGACCAACGGCGGCGCTTGTTGATACGAAGTAGTCCTTGATTTGGCTGGTCTTCTTGAGGCACTCGAACTCTGACGGATCAAGTTGGGTTGCTCGGATGGGGATGGGGGTGGAGGTGCATCAACCTTGACGTTGAACGAGAATTTGGCCCCCTGGCCTTCTTTACTGCTGGGGGTAAGCTTGCCGCCATGCATCTCAACGAGTTGCTTAGACAAGAAAAGGCCTAAACCACTGCCTGCATGCTGTTGTGACCCATTTTCCCCGAGTTGACTGAACCGCTGCATTAATCGTTCCGCGTCATGGGAACTGAACCCTTTACCGGTGTCCACAACCTCGAAATTCATGAAGGCCTGGGTCTGGTTGGGTTCCTCGGGGATGTTGCGGTGCATCTCACAGCAAATGTGGATTTCGCCTTGCGCTGTGAACTTGACAGCATTTCCGAGAAGATTGATCAGGACTTGACGAATTCGGAACCGATCTCCAATCACCATCGATGGAACATCTTCGCTAATGAGGTAGTTGATCTCAAGGCCTTTATCGATGGCCCTAGAGGCGATGGTATCAATCACATCCTCAATCATCGACCGTACATGGAACCATGAATTAACCATTGACATCTTACCAGCTTCGACACGAGAGACATCGAGGATATTATCCACCAACTCGCGAAGGTTAGTGGAGCTGTTTTGGATAGTGTCAAGCATTCGTCTCTGGTCGCTATCAAGCTGTGTGTCCAGAATAAATGGTATGGTGCCAAGTATGCCATTGAGCGGTGTCCGGATCTCGTGCGACATGTTGCTGAAGAACTTCGTCTTCGACTCCATTTGGTTGTTGAGCTGTTGCATTGCCTTATTGAGCTCTCTTTCAAGGTTCTTGCGGTCGTTAATATCGGTGCAGGTTCCGTACCAGGAAGCTTCCTCGCTGCCGAAACTGCTGGTCTGCACGCGAACTAGACGAACCAAATGCCAGCGGAAATCACCTCCTCGAGAACGAAGACGAATCTCCGTTGAGTAGAACACTCGGCCATTCTCATCTTTCTGTAACGACGCAACGCCACGTCTGACGAGTTCATCCAGGGCCGATCCAACCAGGAACTCGGAAGGTTTAGTAGAATCATCACCAAGAGCATTGGCTGCCGTGTTCAGGGAAAGCCCTCCACACTTCTCAAGATCGTCGGGATGCACATGTTTGGTGAAACCCAAGTCGTGGGCTTCCTCGATTGTTTGGCCTGTATAGAGGCTCCACTGCTCGTTGACGAAAATCAAGCCACGGTTTTCCGTTGCCTCAAAAACAACTTGAGGAATGGAATTGGAGAATGCCCGATATTTGGCATCAATCGCAAACTTCTCCCTTTCTTGCAAAGCCTCCAGTTCAGCGATGTGCTGTTCATGGATGTCTAGGAAGGATCCAATCCAGTAAAGCACTTCTCCAGTAGAGGACAACAGCGGGTTGGCTCGGAAGATGAACCAGCGGTAAGCCGACTCATCGTTGAATCTTCGGACTCGCACACGTTCGGTGAATTGTGCACCAGTGGACAGCGCGGTGGCCCATTTGCTGCTGACATGCTCGCGTTCGCTACTATGTATGTTCTGCCATGGGTCCCGCAGTTTTTGCTCCTGGTGCTGACTCCGTCTGTAGGCATCGAATTTGGAGTTGGTCCAGATGACTTCACCACTCTGGGGCTTTGCCAAATAAAGGTGTAGTGGAATCGAATTCAGCATCAACTGGGCTATCGTATCAGAGAATGGGCGCGGGAGCTCCCTTTGTAGTTGAGCATATAACGAGTTCGTAGAGGCCTGGCGAGACGATTGCTGGGTTGGCGATAGAGCATGTGGTGGCCTCATCTCTTGAAGTGGCGACAGAACAAAAGAATCACTTGAGTTCTGCTCCTCCACTATGGACTGCTTTGTCACGGCTTTCCCTGGGGAAACAGACGCTGATGTTTCAATATTGGTTTTGGCCGTGGAGAGCCGTGGTCTGACTGGGTTGCCATGATTCTCTCGAGAAGTCTTATGTTGCGCGACGTTGAAATAGCTGTCAGCGCCCTCTCCGGTAGATCGCGATGTCATTCTTGGAGATTGACTGGCAGATCCAAGTCCTAGATGACCAAGCTCAAACCCGGGTGTTCCAAGCGCGGAAACGGCAGGGCTATACTTCACAGAAGAGTTGTCACTGGGGCTAGTCATGCTGGCGTGCGTAGACATTGAACCGGCGTGGTCGCCAACTGAATAACTGACATGTCCACTTAGCCCAGCAACAAGCTCCATCTCACTGCTGGCATCTGAAAATGTTCCACCAAGGCCTAAGAGATGCCCGTAACGAGGGCTCTCTACCTTTGACGTTAGTTGCTTTTCAAGCTGGCTATAACGTTGGGCCAAACAGAACGAAGTTGTCAAGTGAGGCATTAAGAATGCGAGTGACTGCCTGAGATTGGCCGGGTATGGGACAATTGTGCAAAGCATTGACACAATCGCAACAGGGAATCGCAAGGTTGACGAGCGACCCTTATTGGAGTTTCCGCCGTGCACGAGAGGGATATGGATAACCGTCTTGGACTGATCAATGCCAATCGCTTCTAGCGGCAAATTGTTGGAGTAATCATGTGAGGGCGGATTCTTGGAAAAGGCTCCCTCGTCGACTGAATGGTTGGTGAAGAAGGGATTATTGTCTGCGTGTGTACGGGGCGCAGGCGAGGGAGCAGGAGACTGAGACCAGGGGGACTGTGGAACCTGCTCATACTCATCATATAGTCTCAATCCAAGAGAGTCGATGTTGTGCTGTGTCGCGGCATGCCCCGCTCCTTTGGTACCGGGGCCTTCAGCATCAGGTGTGACTTGAACCATCTCGTTTGGACTGCTGATGGGGTCTGCCCATGCCTGCGGATGTTGCGGCGATGTTTCTGAATATTCGCGAGTCAAGACAGTGGGACGAGTGCGTCCAAACAATCTTACCACGCCAGTGCGCTTGATGAGAGGATCATGTTCCACCTCCAACGGCCTGGCTACAGGGAATACGGCCTGCCGCATATCCCCGAGCAGAGCACTGAGTGTATTATCTTCGAGTCCTGTATTGTCCCTTTGGTTTGGGAGACTCGCAAAGGATTGGCTCTGGTCCGCGATTTGCACATGCTTCTTCTCGGACTGGGGCTGGTGGGCCTTTTTATCAAACCCAGCGAAAGAGTGACGCGACAACAAAGACGGTCGAGGAGATGCAGGTCCTTTCGGTCGATTCAGATCTGCTTCGGGTCGCTTCGGAACTTGGCTCTTGCGAGGTTGACATGTCTCTGTTGATTGTTCCTTGCTGAGGTGGCGCATCTGAAGTTCCTCCAAGGAAGTATCGACGTTTTGGTTAAATATTGCCTTCTGGCCCCAGGGTACATTCTCTAGGTCCGTAACATCACCTGGAACAGCCAGCGAGACACGCTCGGCTCCGTAGCTTGTCTGCATTATTTCGATAAGATTGGACCACCACGCTTCGAGTCCTGAATCTGCATTCAGCTGAAGTGTCAGATCATAGAGATCCGGGCTAGGGAAGTTCGGGTCTTCCAGGCCCGAACTTGATGGATGTGGTGCGAAATGTGGCTGATTGTGCGGGTTTCCCAACTCCTCTGACGGGTTGTTATCCTCTGAAATCGATGGCGGAAAGTTTTCTGATGGAAGTTTCAGTTTGAATTGTGCTCGTCCCGGTTGCTCCAGTCCCCTCTTCATCGCTTGATTCTGCATTCGCGGGAAAGGGTAGGAAGGCGTCTGTTGTGGCTCTCGGGTGTTGGATTTGGGCTCTATCCCCGTCACGGTTCCCGTAGACTCTGTCGATCCGGTTGAGGGCGGCATCACGGTAATGGGGACCTCCATGGATGTGTCGGATAGTCGCCTTTTTCTGGGGGTATCATTCGAAATGTTTGACGCGTCTGGGGTTTGGGATGAGTTTTGCGGTTGAGTCTGTTGCATCTGTTGATAGACAAGCAATTCTTCCATCTGTCTTCGCAGTTCCTTCAGCGTGTGGTTGCTTCGTCCTTGCTCCTCCTCTCGCTCGGGTTGCGATCGTGGGTTCTCGCTGACCGGTGTCAGTCCACCCACTTGTTCGGCAGAGTCCCCGCGTGACAAGCGAGGTGCAGACAGCGTCGACTTCTCCAACGCCTCGACCCGATCTGCGAGTTGGTCGACCAGCTTTTGAGATTGGTGGAGATGCGGGCGGTAGCCGGGCGATCGGAGAGGCTGCAGATGCGAGTGAGGCACTCCAGAGGAGGAGGTCAGAGTCTCGGTTGGTGAGGAGATTGGAGGACTCCCCCGACTATAGGCATCCCTCATTCTCGCTCCTCCGGTGGAGGGAAAGGGGACAGATCAGGGTGGAGGATCGCAGGAACAGGGCGGGCAGGACCATCGAGGTCGCAAAAGGTGCCAAGGCGGAGATTCAGGAAAGAAACAAGGCAAGATAAGGTTATGAGAACAGAACAACCGAAGCATACCCCATTTGGGATAGAGTGTGTAGTGGAAACTGAAAGGGAAAAAGTGGGTGACCACATCCTCGATGCGATGACGTAGCGGTAAAAAAAACCTGGGATGTTGTCTTCTCACTGTATACTCCCTCTCTCTGCTCTCCCTCTCTCTGCTCGGGGAGATTTACTGGTATCATGAACTATAGGATACACTTGTCTCTCTGATCTATCACATTGACCGTGACCTCGAACACAAAGTAGCCAGCCAGTTTTGATATCTACCAGGTTGGAGGTCCTAGGGTACGTGGGTACGTACGGAGTACGGAGTACACTGCGCAGGACATATATGCCTCATAGAAGTACCGTATATGAACATGGATTCTATTAATTTTCAGTTCATTCCGTGTCCAACTGCCTGCGCATGTGCCCAGGGCACGGGGGCAGGACTACCTAGAATGTCCAGGTGTGTCCAGGTGTATGAGTGCTATGGTATGAGACTGGTACTTCATGAAAACCGCAAGCATGCGGTCTAGACAAATCACTAGCCCCTTGAGTCTCAGATCCACAATCTAGAAGACCTTGCGAGGGCTTTTTCGCAAAGGCCCCCTGGAAACGAGGGGATCGACCCGCCGACGTCAACGGGAGTTCTTGTGGCGTAAAGTTGGCTCGATTGGGACTTGCAACTCCCCCTTTCCCGCATGCCGGATATATATTTCCTTTGATCATTCGAAAACTCATGGCATAAAGGCCCTGGAGGTTATCTCCAGGTATAGATGCATCTCACCTGACCTCTGTCGTCATTCGGCAAAATTCTTGGCAAGTGGAACAGAACGGAAGAATACTCCGTCTATACTTTGGAATGCTTCTTCCAACTTCGAGTCCTTGGGACTTTCCGAGCTGAGGTATTCGGGTCAACGTATGTATGGTGGACCTACTAATACTACTAATAGTACATCGGACAAACGAATACTTTCCTATCGCCGCACGGGTACGCAGAGCGGAGTGATCTACACTTGTTCCAAGGCTGGATCCATACTACGTTGACTAGCCTCCAGGCGACGAAGTTATTGAAAATTCCAACCTTGGAAGGTTCCCCCGGGGAATTATCTCTTAAAAATTATGCCCAGGTGTACTACCTAGTACTAGTATATAGGCCACGGGTATACTACTACTAGGTAGGTAGGTAGTTTATACCCACCTGCAGGTAAACCTTGGAACATAAGTATCCATGGATATATATCTACGTATGTTTGTGAACTACCTGGGTATCGACACTGTAAATTCCGGACCTAGGCACAGACATATATTCAGCCCACACAAGGAGCAGATCAACATGGAGAGAGCCGTTGTATGGGATTTAAGTTGCGTTAGTTCTCGGCGGTTCTGTATGGGTACTGCCCAACACGTCATCTCCTGACAGATCCGACACCGGCTCCTTTTGCTCGACAGTCTGGTCCGTGTTTAAGCCACGTCGAGGATTCAGTTCCTTCTGATACACAGACTGCTCAGCATCCTTCAGGCCTGCGCCGGTGGGATCTCGCCGAATGAGGAAGCCCTGCACGCGAGCTTCATTGCTATTCATTTGCTTCACAGTTTCTTCTTGACGATTACGCAAAAAGCGCGCCGAATCTTCGTTGAGCTCGCGTAAGCGGTCGTCGACCTCGGTACGCAGCTTTCCGATCCAGGATGCCTGGAGAGCACCCCCAAAGAGCACCAGGAGGATCAACAGGCGAACGAAGGTGCGTTGGTCAACAACATGCTGTTGCGGAGCCTGGTGCCGATTATGCCAGCGCTCCCAGTCCTCCCATGTCGCATTTGCGTAGACACTCGGCCCAGGCGTTTGCCAATCCACTTTGGTATCTGGGACCGTGTGGACCCAGCCAGCACCGGTCCGATCATAAGTAGCTCGTTTGCTAGGATCGGAGAGAAGCTCGTGGGCGTCCACCACTATGCGATAGCGCTGCAGTCGAATCTCGGGGGTTAATTGGTGGAAGAGGGGATGGTCCTTTAAAGGTCGATCCGGGTGGTATATCTTCACGAGGTCATAGTAATTTCGTTTCGAGTATGGAGCCCCGCGGGGGAGATTCAAGACGTCATAAGGGGTGAGAGAAGAGTTGCTGGGCCATGAATAATCTTGATGCGGAAAATGCGACGCAGTGGCATAAAACTTGTTTGTGTATATTCCTTGCGGTCCATGGAGCCGGGAGAAGGTAGGCCGGGACAATAGCAAGGGCAAGCTCAGGTTCAGCGGCTGCAGACTTCCGCCTCGGAGAAGGTTGGGTTTCTTGAACATAGTCACATGTTTTGGGTCAAAGAGAGCCCGGTGGAGTTTCCAGGCTGTTCTCGAGATCAAGTTGTATCGTACGAGTATGCGAGTGCTTGACGGTGGACCTCCCGAGTAAACCGGCGGGACGGATCACGTGCAGCTGTCGGAGCTTCCAAGGTTGGAGATTTGGAACGGACGTATCAGCTGTGAAGCATCACTTGTCAATTTCCCCGCAGAACCACCAAAAAACAAAATGCCTGGCTCTGGCGACGAGAAATATGAACGCCGGCGGCGCTCTGTGAGCTCCCACTCCGATCACAACCGCGAACGTCGGCGACAAGATGATCGCAAAGAAGATCACTACTCGAGCTCCAGGCGGCGCGATGACAACCACCGGAGCTCTCGTCGAGACAGCTCCCGACGCAGGTCATCGCGCAGTCCCCGACAAAGGACCGACCGCAGTGATCGCGACCGGCGCCAGCGCCGAGATCGATCCAACTCGGCAGACGACCGCCGCCGACACAGGCACCGCAGCCACCGACACCGTGATACGCGACACGAAGATAAAGGACGCTCATCCCGAAGACACCGCGATGCACGATCTCGCTCCCGCTCCCACTCCCCACGAAGATCGCCCAGCCCTCCGCGTGCGTTAGAGCGTAGCGGTCCACTGCCGTCCCAATCCGATGCCTTTACGGATGTGGCTCACCCGTCCGATGCGCCTGCTCCTGAAAAGCAAAAGCCAAATTTCAACTCTACGGGTAGACTCGCGGCGGAGAGTAATACGGTCCAGGTGGAGGGTACCCCGGGGGGAATTGTCTTAAAATATCACGAGCCTCCCGAGGCGCGCAAGCCACCCCCAAAAGAAGCTTGGCGCATGTACGTGTTCAAGGGCAAAGACTTGCTGGAGACAGTCGAGCTTGGAGAGCGGAGTTGCTGGCTGTTCGGTCGAGAGCAAATGGTGGTAGACTTCCCCATAGAACATCCCAGCTGCTCGAAGCAACATGCCGTGCTACAATTCCGGTTCGTTGAGAAAAGGAACGAATTCGGTGATCGCATTGGCAAGGTGAAACCATATCTCCTGGACATCGAGAGTGCAAATGGCTCTAGTCTCAACGGGGAAACCATTCCTGCTGGTCGCTACATCGAAGTCATGGATAAAGACGTCATTCGCTTTGGATTGAGCTCACGCGAATATGTGCTCATGTTACCTCCCAGTTGAACTGGGAATCACCATAACCATTTCCGGGCTCGGCCTGATCGGTACGGCACCAAGGAACTACGCCTACACCGAGGGCACCATATGGACATAAAAGTACAATTTGCAATTAATAACTATGCAAGCTCGAAACAGTTCTCAGACAAAACGAATGCAGCTCAATCAAAGGCGTCCCTTGGCCTCCTTAGCCTTGGCCTCAACATCACCCGCTGCTTCTTTTGCCTTGCCCTTGGCCTCGCCCATTGCCTCCTCGGCCTTGCCCTTGGCCTCACCCATTGCCTCCCCGGCCTTGCCCTTGCCCTTGCCTGCAAGCTCGGCAGCCTCGCCCTTCACGTCTCCCGACTTCTCCTTTGCTTGTTGTGCTCCGGCACCGACGGCGTCTTTGAGGTGATGGGCGGCTTGCTCTGTTTGACTCTGTTAGCATTGTAAAGTGAAACACATATCAGCATTGAACACATACCACCCTTGTTGATGCCTTTGACAGCAGCATCAGAAAGGGTCCGATCGGCTTTCTTTAAGGTGTCCTTGGTTGCGTCCACAGCCCCCTTATTGTATGATGCGGTGGCAGAGATCGATCGAATTGCCTGGTAGCGTGTAGTGGGAACAGCCACCCGGGTTCTCAGGAGAGGAGCGAAGCGTGCGGTAGACATAATTTGTAGAATGATTCAATTGATAGATTTAGGTAGGTTCAAAGAAGTACAGAACGGTCTCTTAAATACTTGCCAATCCTTGCCTCCATCCAGGTTTGCGTTTGCCTCTAGTTGGCAGACGACGTCATCAGTATGTAGTCCCTCTCTTACGTCGATTCACGGTATTTCTTCCAAGGTTGTCTGGATTTCATTCCAAGCAGGTTTTGAGAGCATTATTCTTGGGGATTTGGGAAATATCTAGTACTCCGTGGGGTGTGGGGTGTGGACAGGATGGTCACTGTCAATATGCCTTTCAACCCCAGGTTATGGAGTAGTGGCCATGTAGCATGATCAAAAGAAAAGATCTAGACTGTCAAGAAATTCGAGACTGAATAGACAAAGGAACCCCAGGGCTCAAATGCCCGTCACTTTCGTCCCCTTTATTTTCGTCCGCAATGACTGTGCTGACACGGGCCCAAAAGGGAAAAGGGTCCAGGAGAATTTCCACTTCGACGGACTACTCCGTACTCTATATTGAGCCCCCCGATCACATTGGCCAATCGCCGGCCCTGATCCTAAGAGATTGTCGGGGGAAAACTGCTAAATGTGACCTTTAATTCCTCCTTGACTCACACCTAGCGCGAACCCAAAAGTGGATGGCAATAGCTTGACCTAGGGGACACGGAGTTATCGGTACGGAGTATACAGCTCAAAACCCGAAATTGTCGTGGATGTTGTCTGATACAGTCTGACCGACAGCTCATCCATCCATGTGATCTCCATATCCCGCACAGTATGGAGTACTGTGCATACGAGCAGACCTATCCGAGCACAGCGAAAATCGGGATAGGCACTGGAGACGCCAACCCGTTGAAGCCCGAGAGCCGCAGCGGTCACGCTCCAGTCAAGGATTTCAGAATATTCGATGACTCGAAGCGTAGCAACCTCGTCTCGTATTCATAAGCGCTAACTTGTTCAGGCCATAGTTCCACGGTCTGAGGACGAAGGCCTAACGCATGTAGCCGACGGCGATTTGTTTGTTAAATCTCGATTCATTTACTTCTTTCGTTTTCGTTTTCGCCTTGATTTTTTGTTTCTATATCTGTGGTTTTACTTAACCTTCTCCTGTACTCCTTCCGTGAACCTTCGACACTTTCCCTCCGGCATAAGAGAACCATTGATTTGGGAGCCAGGATTCCACATACTCTAGAGATGGATCGCACCGACTCGCAGGATCGTGCGTATGTCTCTCCTCAGGAGAAAGAGACATTACGACGCAGCATAACGCCAGAAAGGACCGATGCGCTGGATCGGGACGCTTCTGAAATCGAAAAGAACGAAAAGTCAAGACACAGTCTGTCTTCACCAGAGGCAAAGGAGAATACGCTTGTCCAGACTGAAACAGCAAAGCCCGAAGATGAAATTCACTCACTCAAGGCTACAACCACGCGCGAAGATGGAACCGAGTATCCCTCAGGTCCAAAATTGGGTTTGATCATGTTGGCCCTTTGTTTGAGTGTCTTCCTTGTCGCACTAGGTATGTGCCCAATATCTTTGTCCAGTATCTCAACATCGGAAATGGCTTGATATGACTAACCTGGGTATTTTGTCCATAGACAACAGCATTATTGCTACAGCAATTCCAAAGATTACAGATCAATTCCACAGTCTTGAAGATGTGGGTTGGTATGGGAGTGGTATGTTGAGGACGAAGAGACAAGAAGTATGAGCATACACTAACAAGAACCTCTTAGCCTATCTTTTGACAACCGCTTCGCTCCAATTGCTATTTGGAAAATTCTACACCTTTTTCAGCATCAAATGGGTCTACCTGATTGCCATCGGTCTGTTCGAGCTGGGCAGTTTGATCTGCGGTGTGGCCAACAACAGTTTGGCGCTCATCATGGGCCGTGCCGTTGCTGGAATTGGCTCGGCGGGTATATTCTCAGGTGCTCTCATCATTCTCGCCCACTCAGTGCCCCTAGACAAGCGTCCAGTATACACCGGGTTCATTGGGAGCATGTATGGCATTGCATCTGTGGCAGGACCCCTGCTGGGTGGTGTTTTCACCGACAAAGTCACATGGCGCTGGTGCTTCTACATCAATCTGCCCATTGGAGCTGTCACCGTCGTCGTGATTGCATTCTTCTTCCCAGCTCCGGCCCGCCAGGCCAAAAATTCGACATGGACAGAACGCATCAGGAAATTTGACCCAATCGGCACAGCTTTGTTCATGCCCGCCATCATTTGTCTGTTGCTGGCTCTGCAATGGGGCGGAACTACTTATGCCTGGAGCAGCTGGCGAATCATTGTCTTGTTCTGCTTCTTTGCGGTTCTGATCTTGCTCTTTATTGCTGCGCAGTGGTTCCAGCAGGAGTATTCAACAGTGCCACCGCGTATCTTTTTCAAACGCACCGTGTGGTCATCTTGCCTATTCAGCTTCTGTGTAGGTGCTGCATTCTTGTGTTCTGTTTACTTCCTCCCCATTTGGTTCCAGGCCGTGAAAGGGGCTAGTGCTGTCAACTCAGGGATCATGAATCTCCCCATGTTGATCGCTGTGGTGATTCTGTCCGTGTTGTCGGGCATCATTGTTACAGTCGTTGGCTACTATGCGCCTTTCATGATCCTTGGCACTGTGTTCATTTCTATCGGCTATGGCCTCATGACCAAGTTCCACCCAGACACGTCCAAAGCAGTCTGGATCGGTTATCAAATCATCGCCGGCGCTGGCGTTGGCTTTGGTATGCAACAGCCCATGATCGCTGTGCAAGTCGTCCTTGACATTGCCGATGTACCCACCGGCACCGCAATCATTGTCTTTGCCCAGACACTTGGCGGCGCCCTTTTCGTTTCTATTGGAAACAACGTCTTCACGAACAAGCTTGTTGAATACCTTGCTGAGTATGTTCCCAACTTGGATCCCACAATCGTCCTCAAGGCCGGTGCAACCAGTGTTCAAAAGGTCGTCGACAAAGCCGACTTGCCCGGGGTCATACTCGCTTATAGCAACGCAATCACGCAGACGTTCATGGTTTGCGCAGCCGTTTCTGCAATCAGTGTGATCGGTGCCTTGATCGTGGAGTGGAAGAGCGTCAAGGGCAAGAACCTTGCCGCAGGAGGGGCTGCATAGCCTGTCCGACCCCTTCAACTACCCTGCCTACGGTTATTAGGCTTATAAAAATAATCCCCACTTAATGTAAGATTAATGAAGTCCGATGAAACAAGAACATCTCAACTCGGATGGGCCAACCCATCACAATGCCCCGGATAATTCTCTTCAGCATGAAATAGACATTGGAGACATTCAATTTTCTTCTTAATTTCACTTGTAGTTCTTTACAAAAACCGTTGAGCAGAAACACTGCAGCCAAGTAGATACTCCCCGCATGTGACAGCGTCTAAATGATTGCTAAGCCCCAATCGGGTTAGCCCTCCCCGTTAACCCCAGATAAGCCGAGAACATCGTCGACTTCACCCTCCGATGAACATTCATATCATGCCGACGAAGAGACGGATTCTTTCGTGCCAGCCGTGCCGACGATTAAAGACCCGGTGTGAGGTTCCCCCGGGCTCGAAGCAATGCGCTCGGTGCATATCTTTAAGGTGGCTTGATCCAATGGCACCACCGAGACAACATGCCTGACTCAACACAGACTCCAATGTTCCCTACCTGCGACAGCTGCTATTTCAAGTCCAGATGTGACATCTATGAATAGGCCTGAGAGGCCATCTGACCATGCTGAGTGTCCCTGCTCGAAAAGGTACTCCTTATCTCCAGCTGTATAGATGAAGATGCGGATACAAAAATAGCTGATAATGACCAGACTTGACGCCATTGAAAGTTCTATCTCTGAGATGAAAGAATTGCTAAAGTCCCACTTACTTGGAAGCACTCACACCCCGGCAAAAGAGTCTACGAGTGACATTGCGGGACATACCCAATTTAGCACGGGGTCAGATATCCACAAGAGAGGACAGAGTGTTGCTCTGTCCCAAGATACAGAGATCAAGCCAAGGACCGAAGTCCAGCCTGCTCCGATCACAGTTGTTCGCCATGTTGGGAGTCTCATCACCGAGCCAGTGACAGTCGGAGAAAACGACTCGCTTCTGGGCCATATGACCGAAATGGGACTCGACTCAGACAGTTTCTCCGTCGTATTCCGACATGGATTTGAGCAGATAGCTTCATGGTACCCGTTTCCACATGAGACTCTGACCGATCTCAAACGGGACCATCCACTTCTTTTCGCCATGTGCCTCTTGGCGGGCATTCGAGCAACAGAGGGTTTGAATCGCTCCGATTTACATATTACTCTGTATTCAATGGTCAAGACTCACCTGGGGATGAAAACCCTCGAAACTCCCATCGACCTTTCCACCATTCATGCGATGTTGATATTTAGCGCCTGGAGCTTTGGACCGCTTGTCCCTGGCGGTAGATACATTGACAGTTGGCTGATGAGCAGCACAACCATCACTCATTGCATGCTCAGTTTCCCCATTTCCGAACTGAGCTCCTTGACTGGATTTTACGACCCGATAAGCCGAAACAAGTGCAGAATGTGGATACAGGCGTCACTAGTACATTTGAAGTACGTTTTCCACCCTTACTATTCCTCTTGCGAATGTCATATCTGATGTCTTTCTCAGGTTTGCGATTGGTACAGGTCGCCCATCAGTCGTTAGATGCCAGCACCTTCACCAATTAAATGATATTGTCCGATATCCAGGCTTCGAGACGTTCGACCATATCATCGCAGCGGAGCTCAAGCTTTACATTCATCTATACGAAGCAATTTATCAAACGATGAGCTCAGTCGGCGATGCTTGGGACATGATTCACGTATGGGGAAGCAAATATTTGGCAGGTGAGCAGAACTGTGTCCCTCTTGAAACAATCATCCAGAAGCTCAATGAATGAAATGACAGAAGGAAACATCGTTTTAAGATGGGGTTATTCATGCACCTCTCTTATCCTGTCTCGATGGGAACTAGCAAAACAGAATCAATGCATGTCCCCAAATTCGCCGATCCGAAACGGACGCATCATCGAATTGACAGAGACAGTCATCCGGCATGCTCAGCTGGTCCTGAGAGATATCATGGTCCTCTGTTCATCCGATGCTGCATTTACCAGACCGACATATGACTACCTGCTTACGGCGTATGCGGGCGTTACCCTGGCAGAGTACTGCTCGAGTATTCCGGATATGCACGCAACATATACGCTGATGGAGAACGTCCGGACGCAGACGAGGATTCCCAGGAGTATAGAGGGGGTATTTAGCTGGGCGACCAATGTGGTTCAAAAGAAGGCGAGGGACTTTGTGGATTCCTCTGTGTCTATCGATGTCGATGATACTTTCTATACATATCCGGCTTCTGTTGCGGATTGGGCACCTTTCCGATTTATCGACTCGATGCCTGCGTCGACTTGGAATGAGATGAGTGGGTCTATGCATGAGTTTCAATAGCTAGAGAAATTCTAATATTCTTAGCAAAATATGATGGTCATCGGAACATTCATCGATGGCTCAAGTGCTGATGGGTTTCACTCGTGCAAGTTCAAGCCTTCTTTGGTGCCACTGGAAAACAGAGTTAAAGTCAGGTAGAGCCTTAGAATAATACGAAGGGAGAACATACCTGTCCACAAGATATAGGTTCATAGAGCGCAGGATGGGCTTCATCAACACAGGAGGGCACGACTTTGCAAATCGAATCCGCATTGAACCCCAAGAAGAAAGGCATAGAGTATCGGGATGCGGGTTGGCGGTTATAAACCCTATGCACAGTTGATTTAAACTTGTTGTTTGATAGACGCTGCAAGAAGTCCCCAATATTGACCACAAGTGTACCACTGATGGGTCGAGCGTCCAACCACTCATCGCTGGCTGATAGGACCTGCAAACCTCCCGACATATCCTGCCACAGCAGAGTAATGCATTGAATGTCAGTATGTGAGCCGATACCAACGTCGAGATTTCCGTCCTTTTCCTCGAGTTCTTTGGCTGGAGTAGCAGGATAATGCACGTAAAGACCATCTGCGCCGGGCGCTGTCGTCACGGAGTCAAAATAGTCTTCTGGCATATCCAATGCGAGCGCAAAAATGCGGATCATCTTGCGTGCGAGTGTGAGACGTCGCTGATAAAACTCGACTGTTGTCTCGCGGAAGCCTGGGAGATGGTTTGTCCCACTCCAGGGGAAATCAACATTGTCGGCGTTGTCGCCATCTGAGAATTTCCCATCCGCGACCACCTTTTCGGGGTCAGGGATTGTTGGGTCATTGATTGGGTTGTAGCGAATAGAAAATGTCTCTTTGCGATCTGGGCAGTTGTCAACCATGAACCTTTGTGACATGAGACGCTTTGCAGATATTCAAATTTATTTACCTAAAGTCTCAGATTTGTTGATTTGAGTTGTTCCAAGTCCATGCCATCCATCTGCGAGTTTCGATTGTTTACTCGATGCCAATTCCTTCAGTTCGTCGGGCTGGCCGAAAAAGGCCTTAGCCTGGGACAAAGCGCCTTGAATCAGTTCTTCTGATATTCCATGGTTCTCGATATAGAAGAAACCGGTGTTCTCCGCCGCTGTCCTAATCTTGGACGCGATGGCTTTCCTCTCTTCGAGTGTTCCGTCGATAGACGATAAGTCAATGACAGGGATCTCGTTCTCAGTCGGTGGGCGCGGGGGCGCAGTTGATACCCGCCGAAACTCGGGGCCGTTCAGGGTCAGCAATTCCACCTGGGTGTACTCGAGCGCCATCATGAGATGAGGAGAATGCAAAGACAGATTTCAGCCATCAATTGATGAACCCATCAGGTCGCACGATTAGGTGATCGAATCCGCCGCTAACCGTCGGGCGCATAGGGTGCACAGCACTTGCAGCTCGCCCGCTTTCTTGGCCCTTGATTGCGGGTGATAAGCGGTTACATTGGCGACTTTCAATTGGAGATATCATTTTGCCTTCGTGTGGCGGTTTCTCCCTCTGCTAATGGTCAGCTTGTGATCCCTTTTCTCACTCTTATCAGAAACCCCCAGAACAAATAGCCCTAAGAACACCAGTTCCCCCCTTGCGTCCTTTCTGATCCCAATTCAATTGAAAATCACTTCGTACATTCTGAACTGCAACTCAATCATGTCCAAATTATCCCGGCTCCACGAGCTGCTGATCGTAAAAAGAGCCGACGGAGATGGCGTCGCTCGCCCAGTGAACATGCTGGACAATGATTCCATCCGACCAACCTCCCTCAAGGATCGCACATGGACTCAACTGACCTATATCATGTTCTGGTTCTCGGCAACAGCGAACGTCAGTAATTTATACACGGCCTCCACGGGCATGGCCATGGGACTCACCATCTGGGAGGCCATCGGATGCTCCTTCGGCGGGCAGATCATGGCCGGGTGCCTGATGGCGCTAAACGGGCGGGGTGGGGCGGTGTATCGCATCCCCTTCCCGGTGCTTTGCCGCGCCAGTTTTGGCACCTGGGGGGCTTTGTGGCCCACCTTCAACCGCGCGGTCATGTCCATTGTATGGAATGGTGTCAATTCAGTTCAAGGTGCTCAATGCTTATAGTAAGTGCATGGAATCTCGCTTACCTTTTTTTCCCCCTTTACTTGTTCGTTGCTATACTTCGGATATTTGATCTCCATTATTGACCTTCGGATTTAGTGTTGTTTTACATGCCATATTCCCCTCGATTGAGAATATCCCTGATAAGATGGGCTCAAAGTCTGCCCTTACCTCGGCGCAGATGATGTGCTTCTTCGTTTATTGGTACATTTATTGTCAATGTGGCCTATCACATGAATCTCACTAACACATCCCCTAGGCTCATTAATTGCGCATTCCTGGTAGTACCAGTCCCAAAAATGAAGTCGCTGGTGTATGTCAAAGTTGCAGTCTACTTTGCAGCAGCTTTTGCGATGCTAGGATGGACAGTCTCCATCGCTGGTGGCTCTTTGAAATCACTGAATGCGCCTTCAGCCGTCCAAGGCACTGAGAAGAGCTACCTCATCTTCAAATTCCTGTTTTTAGGACTCGCCAGTTGTGGAACTTTTATTTCCAATGCCTCCGATCTTCAACGATATGCAAGGAAGCCAAATGATGTTCTTATAGGACAAATCATTGGCTTCCCACTATCCAACTTCATCATTGCCATCTTGGGGAATCTCATCGCATCCGCCAGCAAATCCATTTTCGGAGAGGTTCGTCTCTTGTCATTATTTTGATAAATATTTCTAACTTATATCACAGCTCATATGGAATCCACTGGTCTTCTTGGACAAATTAATGGAAGGAGAACGATACACCCCCGGCAACCGAGCTGCTTGTGCCTTCATTGGGCTAGCATTCGTGTATTCAACAGTCTTCTCGGCCATTTTTGAAAACTCCATTCCGTAAGAATTACCCCAATTCATGATCTCGGGATTCAAAGAATTGCAACTAACTCCAGCTAGGGCCGGAAATGATATTGCTGCCCTCATGCCAAAGTACATCTCAATCAAACGAGGCTTTTTCATCTGTGCAGGTACGAAGACTTCAGTCCAGCGCAATTACACCAAGTTAATTTTTCTCTCAATAGTCTTCTCATACGCAATCTGCCCCTGGTATCTCCTTTCCTCGGCGTCCATATTCATCACTTTCCTCTCCTCTTACCAAATCTTCCTCTCGGCAATCACTGGAATTCTTGTCTGCGACTACTACCTCATCCGACGGGGCTTGCTCAACATCCCAGCACTATACATCTCAAGTCCAACTCCCTATCGATTCTTCCACGGTTTCAATCCTCGAGCATTCCTTGCTTATGTTGTGGCTATCGCACCTAACTTCTATGGGTTCCTACATCAAATGGGCGTCAAAGCGCCACGAGGAATTGAGCGGTTCTATTACATTGCTTACCCCACTGGTTTAATCATTGGCTTTGTCGTCTACTATCTAAGCTGCTTGGCTTCCAATCCGCCTGAAATGCAGAAGTCACCTGGCTGGATGGAACCAAAAGATTACGTGGAAGATGGTGATCTTGGTGCGAGTCAGGGTCTACCCATTGACTCTATAGACGTGACGCCAGGTTTTGCTGAAAAGGGAGAATTCTCGATCACTGAATCGTCCCGCAGGAAGAATGGCTCTTTCTCGTGAATCGTGCTATTTTGGTCAACGCCTCTTTTGATATCGTTTCTATCGCAGGGGCTACCTAGGTATATAATGTCAAATAACAATGCAGCCTCGTATATCCGGGTATCAGGGCATTCAGAATGAAGTAAGTGAGTGCAAATTCAAAGCAAAAACACCAGGCTGTAAACCAGTAAATGCAAAAGCATGCTCGTATATTTCAATGCAAACCTGTAACAAACTAATGCAAAAATCAACAATGTTAGCAAAATGACCAATATGGCAATCATCAAAATCGCACACCCAGCCCAGCATAGTTTGGGCGGGAGGGCGAGCTCCCGCTCCGTGGACGGGATCCGTATGCCTCCACAGGATGTGCAGGTGCATATATATGGCCATCATGCTGAATCAACGGGCCAGACAGATTGGAATGATACAACTGGTATTGAGGCCCGTACTCAGGTGCTCGAAGTCGAGTGGATTCATGCAATCTCAAATGCGGATCCCGGACGTCAACGCGATGCGCTCCGAGATGTAAGTACTGTGAAGTCTCAAACTCTGTATCCCAGTCTGGATCCATGAATTTGACTCGTTCGTCCATCGAGCTTAAGCGCCTCTGCTGTGGTGGGCTGGGGTAGATAGGATCGGACTGGAGAGCACTGCTCCCGGAAAGGTCGCTTGTCCAACTTCCTCCTCCGAAGAGTTGTTGCTGCTCGGCATTCAATAACGCACTGGGCGCTGGCTCTGGTTGTTGTGAAAAGCTGGGGAAGGGCGAGAAGCGTGGAGGATACCGCACGGGCTCTGTGGCCCATGATTGATGAGAGAGGCCGGAGGGGCCACGGGTCATGCTCCCGGGAAGAGGACGTTCGGGGGCAGATCCGACTGGTAATTGCTGATCTGTGGGAAGTGTTGGTGCGCCAGGCATGATCACAGATGGGTGTGAGGGAGTGACAGAGCCCGGTGCTAATTGAGACGACCTCCTGCGCCTTGGGCGGGTGATGGAAATGTTTTCATCGTATGGAAGGGGTGCTGGAACTTGAACTTGATTGAGAGTTGGCACGCTTGCGGATAAGCTTCTTGGGGCTCCAATCTGTGCAGTCGAAGCACGTCTAGAAGGGACACGAGATCCAGGTGCGGTATGGAAGTCCATTCGCTCCATTGCGGTATTGAACCCTTCGACTCCGGACTCGCTATAAGTGAGCCGAGACATTGGTTCCGCCAGCTCATGGGCTGTCCATTCGTTGGACAGTGGTGACGCGAAGGCATAGCCTGCTCGGCCATCAAGAGACTCTATGGAAGGCTTCATTTGTAGCCCACTGGAATGATCCAGTGCCCGGGATACTGGAACTGATGATGGGCGCTTGACTGCAGATTCCACTTCTGATATGCGTCGAGTAGCCACGCTCTCAAGCCTTGGTAATACTACCGGCATGGTCTCTTGATCCATTGGCAGAGGAACTGCGAGCTTCAGGGGATCGGGCGCAGCTTGAGATCTGCTCGACCGGCGAACGGCAGCCAATGCTTTTTCTGCTTCTGAGGCAGAATTTGAGAACATCCGCGTGTCTGAAGATGGCGTACGACTCGATGAACCAAGTCCTTGGATGGAAGACACCTCAGTCAGTGGCATGTCGGCTTTTGTGTCCCCGAATCGGCTGGTAACTCTGGTAAGGCCATCTTTCTTTTTCCTTGTCTTTCTCTGATCAAGGCGCGCTTGCTTCTGAGCTCGAGCGCCCATACTCCAACTCCATATGGCAGAAAGTCCCGGTGGACTCGTTGATGGGGGTGACAGGTCGGGCTTCTCTGTGATCTGGCTTGCCTGAGACAAAGCTGGAGAAATTCGAAATCCACCCTTGGCCTCGCCGTCTGTCTCATATCCTTCTTCAGACTCATATCCAGTCTGTCGATATATATGTGGAGGGAAAAGCTCCAGCTTAAACCGAGGTGGCATAACCATCTGCTCTGGGGATTCCGCCCGCGGTGTCCCCATATCACTGAAGTTGAAAGTCGACCTGCGGGACAAGCCTCCCGCAGCAGATGACTCCCGATAAGAAGAAGATGAGCTGCTTGATCGATCGAAGACCGACTTCTGATGTTGAGTCAAGTGCTGTGAGGAACTTGGAGAGATATCTTGAATCCGTTTGCTTATCTTCTTCATCAATTGTCGCAGCAACTCCCGTGTCTGCCAAAGCCTTCGAGAATGAAAGTTCTTCAAAGCTTTCTTTGGGTAGAGTTCAGCCAGCCGTGAGGCATGAGTCTCATATTCTCGATAGTCCCGAACCAGGCCACAATCAGGGTAAGTGTCCATCCGTTCAACGGCTATTTCGTATGACTTCAGAAGAAATCTGGTGGCTGTCATCAACCACATGTCAAAGTAGCCATCGTCGCCCCTTCTCAAAACACCTTTGAGCTCTTCGTCTTGGATTCGCAGTTCATCGCGACAGAATCCCTGCACGACGCTGTGAATCTTGATAACATCAACCGCGGAATTGTTGCGGTAGTTAGAAAAGAACTCCTCTTGGCTGCTCTCACCCAAGGATTCCGAAAGATCTGGCAGGTTTTTGGTGTCCGAATCGGAGCTATGCATGGATGATCTTTGCTGCAGAACATCTGCATCCGAAGTCCGCTCAATTAAACCATAGTGGATGAGAGTTCCAAGAGTGGTATCCAAATCTGGGACATCTCCTGTCCGAGCACTTGTCTGGATCTCCAGATTTTCTTCCGTCATGACACTTCTTCCCAAGGCCAAAAGACCCACGGGCACTTGGTGGCCTAGGAAGGAAAGGAGGTTGATTAGACGCAGCGCCTGTTCCTGCTTCAACCGAAAAAGGTCATTCATGATGCTCAGAAATGGCTCTGCGAGCTTCTTGTCAGTCACTTGTGATTTGAGATGGTATTTCTCTATCGGTTTGCCAGTTGCGTTCAAACGATGGCCGATGGCGTGTATCGCCAGAGGTAGGCATTCATAGTGCTCAACTATCCGAGTCGCTTTCACTATCTGCTCAGGCGTGGGTCGAGTTATTCCAAGATCTTTGAAAAGAAGCTTGCAAGCGTCCTCGACATGCAAGCGGGAGATCATCAAACAGTATGGCTCGTATAATCTTTGCTTTTTCCGCAGGGTCGTGTCGACTGAGGTATAGATGATGCTGCAGTTTTTGTTCCATGGCAAGAAGTTCCTGAAAAGGTTGATCTCATTTTCGTCGCTGAATGTGATGCCATCGAAGACCAGGAGCCAATCCTGGCGATTTTGAAGCCAATTGCGAACCTCGTTCACATATGTCTGAGCTGGATTTAGATCCGCATCTGTTTTTTCCCTCTTCTCGATGAGGGATGCTGCTTGTGCGATCTCCCAAAAGCACTTATATGATGCTTCACGGGACTTGGAATCAATCCAGAAGATACCTCCGGGGTAGCAATCTCGTTGAGTGAAGACATACTGCCTAGCAAGATGTGTTTTTCCAGATCCAGGAACGCCGGATATCAAGATGGCCATTGTCCGTTTTGCACGCGCTGCAGTCGTAAAAAGTCGGTTATGCAACACTTCGAGCTCTTTTTGCATGCCAAAAAAAGTGGCGTTTGGGTGAAATCCCGGGGGTGCTACAAAGAAAGGAGGGTTGTTCCCATTGTTGGAATAATGAGAGAGTTGAAGAAGGCCACTATTCCCCATTTCTGAGACAGGAGAATTGCGGCCCTCTGATGCTGGGGCGCGTGGTAGATTTGGTACGGATTGGCCTAGAGGGAAAAAGAAGTCAGCAAGTGTGACTTTGGGAGAAAGAAGCCGCCTCGGATTTCAAGCCAATGTCAGGTATTTAGAGACATGAGATAGGAGCCCCTCAGAGATGAGACCGTGAAGCTAAGTACAGGAAAAGGAAGAAAGACAGGATAAAAGTAGGAAATATTGTGACAGACAGCGAAGTGGATTCCAACGAGAATGATATGGGACCTACTCTCGGGGTAAATCAGAGCAAAGGGGTAGAGAAAAGCCAGATAGAATCTCCAGAATCAACAAGAGCAAAGCAAAAGAAAACCAACGCCTGAAAGATCTCTCAAGTGAGAGGCTCCTCAATCTCATATTCCTTCAACGTGACAGACGCTTCTGGTCCTGGCAGGAAGTGTGTGGCCCTACCAACTCTGTTCAAATCGGGCATGCTTTGGTTGATCGGCTCCTCAACTCCAGCTGGAACTGTTAGTCTGCGAAGCTGAAGCCCACAGGGGAATAGTGGACAAAATATTTGGACTCACCATCATATATTTCCCTCGCCTTTGCTTTCTTCTCCTGGGTGCGAGTATTTCTCTCCTCAACCCAGCGAGTCGAAATAACAGTAGGAGCCTGGCGTGAATAGCGAAGAATGGCTTCTGCGACAGCCTCGTAGCCAGCAGCATTATCGTCATCGAACTTGCACATATGACTGTGATCAGCTTCGATTCCCATTCTTTCAACCCCATCCATATATGGTGCCGCCGAGTGTTCGTCGACAATCACTTCTCGGGTACCTCGCACATCAGTAGATCGTGTCTCGTGGAAGAAGTAGATGTGGAACCGGCCCATGATGTCGACAAACAAGCTATTGATATGCTGTAGGGTCTCGTTATTAGCCCGCAGAGTCTTGACTAGCTGGGGAGACGTCTCTATGAACTTCTTTGGAAGCATAGCGTTGCATATGTTGTTCAAGAGCAGGCCCCATTTCGCAATATCGGATCCATTATGAGGTGTGCCAAGGAAGAGAATACCAAAGGTGGACACATAGACCGAGCGCAAATGCTCGGTCTTTTCGTTTGAGAGACTTCGGGAGTAGATCAAGGCACGTTTCACAACCAGACCTCCCAGTGAATGACAGATGAAGACGATTGGACGGTTGGTGGCATTTCGCAACTATACAAACCGTTAGATGCTGTAAGTTAGATGGGAAGACGAAGACTTACATTCCGGTTGGCAGCCAGGCTTGATGCGAGAGTTTCAGCATGACTCACGACCGAGTCTTTGGATACTCCATCTGTGAAGGCAGTCACATTTGCATTATAACCGTAGGTAAGGATGCGCGGACGTTGCGCGGCGAGGATATCAGGTAGGAGATCGACTGGCCAAAAGCAACCAGTGTTCTTGCTTGTCCAAGAGTTCTGGGGATGACCGTTCAGGCCATGAACAAAGACGATATCGATCGTCGGCTCGTCACGCGGAGTGTAGATCTGCGTCAAGCCAAACTGCTTGATAGTAGGGGGGCGGGGTCCGTTCATCGCAGGTATAGGAAGAAGATATCAGGACACTATTGCCATCGTTTTGTAAACCAGTATATATAGAGAGAGAAGACGTATATGTACGATGCATCGGAGCTGGGCTCTTTATAGCATGTATGATCCAGGTGACTCCGGGTGACTCTGGGGCGAGAGAGCCTTGTTCCCCTGACCCAAGTCACCCGGACTATTCTGGTCTGTAACGTAGATCCATGGGGGGTTTCTGCATCGGCAGAGCATTCCGGTGACGGGCCGTGTGCAGGGTTGGGGATCCTGCGCCCTGCGACGTGTCCTGGCCCCCGGGCACAGCTTCGTTCCTAGCACAGCCCAGGTACCGTAAGCCACTCAGATCTTTGAATTTTGATTTCTGCCTGGATCTGGATGGAATGAGTCACTGTGTACCTGGGCAGAGAATATTCCGGTCAAATCGATGCTGCAAGGTCCAGATATGCGGTTACCTTGGAACTCCGGGGTCCGAATAAGGTCAAGGTCCCAGATCCGACTCGATGACGATGTGCCTCTGACTACAGCTATGACTACATTCAGCATATGAGAATAGCCTGACTCGAATCTGGGAATGGGTAGTAAATTGTTAAAGCTTGACCATATGCTGGGATCATGCCGCCGACGTTGATTTGCCGCGGGTGATCAGCTCCGTCCGCATGATATGTATGCCTTCAAACCCCCCGAGCCTCTTGCATGGATCTTGACCTGCACTCCGTACCCCGTCCGCGGGTATTTTGGTATATGAGGCGCGCCTCGTCGCTTCTTTGAAGTAACGAGGCGAGATCCATACCTAGGTAAACATTCACACACCCGGGTTTCTGGGTTATCCAAGGTAAAGCATATATGCGATGAATCATTTTTTCCGGATATACTCCTATATGCCTAGACCAATATGATTATTTCCCACGGAACGCCGGCTTCCGCTTTTCGACAAAGGCGCGCAGCGCCTCGTACCGATCATCCGTCTCTACCACACCCTCGTAAGCAGCGTTTTCCGCGCGCTCGCCCAGGGCATGGGCATCAACGGCCTGCAGCGCCATCTTGACAGCAATGGGGCCACCCTCACAGATATCCAGGGCCAGCTTGATACTCTCGCGCAAAGTTCTCTCGCGCGCAACTCCTGCCTGGGCCTCCTCCTCGGGCAGCACCTCAACCAGGCGGTCACAAAGTCCAATAAAGTAGGACTCAGGACCGGTCACTCGGCGCCCTGTGAGAATCATATCCCGGGCGCGGTTCACCCCAACAATGGACGGGAGCCGATAGGTACCACCCGCTCCGGGAATGATGGCAAGGCGGGTCTCGGGGAGGGCGACAAGGCTGGACGAGGCGAAAACGCGAAGATGGGTGCATAGTGCGAGCTCCAGGCCACCGCCAAGCGCCATAGAGGAGACTGAAGAGATGGTAGGGATCTGCAGAGAGGCAAGGTTTTTGAAAGTGGCGCGGAGCTGGAGGAGGAAGTCTTCGGTTCTGTGGCCTGGTTAGTTTTGCTGCTGGCTAGACCCGGGTGGTTGTAGGAATCTTACTCGGCCTGCGACATGCCCGCGCGTTCCTTCAAATCTGCGCCGGCACAGAATGCCGCGTCCGAATTACTAGAAATAACCAGGGCCCGAGTTGGGCCATTGCCGCCTTCGGCGGCGATGGCGTCGACGTGCTTGGACAGTGAGTCAAGGAGTTGGCGCGAGATCGCGTTGCGCGCTTCGGGTCGATTCAACTGGAGCACGCGCACATGCCCTGAGCCCGGGGCAGGGATCTGTTGGGTTTTGATGACGTCTTGCTGGGTGTCGGTGCTGTACCTCGAGATGAAGACCCGGGCTGGGACCGCGGTTGCGCGGAGATGGGCAAGGGGTGCGGAGACGCGCACAAGGCGCGATGACATGATTGATGCCATCACGTTATATTAATGCTTGAATGGTGTTGGCCTTGACCGGAGGTATGGGGGAGAGCAAGAGTGGTCACCAGAAAAGTTCTCGGGGAACTCGGGTGTGGGGAAAGCTCCAAGGAAGCCGACGATTGCCGAAGCTCTCTCTAAGGCATTGGAATGAGAGTAGCCATGAGGGTGCAGCTGTGGGAAAATTGGGGTATCATACACATTTACAAAAGTCCTCTAGAAATACAATAATATACACAGATCATCGACAGTATTCATCCACCTCCGCATCACTTGGCCAGTCCCAACCAGTCCGCCTGACCAGGTCGTATGCCTGCTGCACCACGTCCGACGGTACCCGACTGTCAACTGTTTGTCCTTGTCGCCGCTCCAAGAACACCCTGATCGCCACAAGGGTCCTGTGCATAAGTCTGCCCCCGTTGGAATGTTCATCCGCGGCTTCGCGAAGTAGATCATCGGACTGGCTCATCCACTGCAACAGATGTAACAGCCCATCGTCATCGCCTACAAAGCCCAATGCTCGAACAAAGGAATGGAGAGTAGCAGGTGATGGGGTATGGAGCATCGAAGGCACAGTAGCTGGAGTATTGTGCCCATGCGCTGCGGCGAAAATACTCTGCTCCGCCTGCGCCGAGGTTTTGGAGGTTGGGAGAACAAGATGATCAAACTGGCTCTTCAAGACTTCAAGTGCGTGCTGCAGGAAAGCATCAAAGTCGTCGTCGCCTTCCTCCGTGGGCTCGAGGCGACGAGCGCGAGCCTTGTGAATCAGAACGAAACTGTCTTCGACAGTGTCTGGGTGTCTGAAGCCAGCATCAATGGCCTTTGTAAATGCGACACATAGGGTTTGAAAGCCATCATCGCCAAGTTCGATATTACGTTGCCGCATCCAATCCACAACCTTGAGAGTCTGGTGCCAGGCGAGAATACGCTGCAGGCTTCGACTTCTTGGCCCATGGAACCCCCCTAAGCGGCCGCGGGCCAAGAAAGACAAGATGTGCTTCCAGGCCGGTGGGTAAGCATTGCGTCTCATCTTTGTCAAATGGACCGCATGCCATAATACTCGCGGGTAACTATCGTTTTCAGGATGTTTCTCGACATATGCCAAAAGGTCGAGTTTTTGTTCCTTCGAGTGCCCGCGATCCATCAGGGTGAGAAAGTGGTCCGCTGTGGGGAAGTTTCGGTGTCGAGTTGGCGACGGGCCAGTGCTGGAATGAACGCATAATAACTTGATGAATGACGCAAATACCAAATCAGGCACTGCCTGAAAGGCAGCCGGGTCGATTGAGTCGTAGTCACGTGTCTCGGCTTGCACAACGGTCAGCGTCGCAAGTTGAGCGCTGGTCAGATCACTGTAAAGAAGATACTGCATTCCTGCGTGCATAGACGGTGCAGACTGAAGAAGTAGACCCAGGAAGCGACCGGAAGGGAGGAACCCCTGTGCAAGCATTTGGTCAAGAAACTCATCCAACGTGGGTGGCTCCTTGGAGACATATATGATGTCGCGCGCTGAGGCCGGTTCAGGATGAACCTCGCGGCCATCACCTGGCAGACTTGGATTTGCGTGATCAAGTCTGCGCTCAATTGCAGCTCTTCGGTATATTAATTTTTCGGCCATTGCAACGAAGATTGCCTCTTTGGCAGGAAGGCCCTGGTCTTGGTATGATAGGAAACAAGCCCAGGCTTCACGAACAGTCCTTGTAGAGCGAATCCGCGCAACCCATACCTGGTGGTGGTTTTGCTTGGATATATGGGCATCCGGTAAAGCCTGCGGACATCGCATCATGGCCCTTGTCTGTACCGTCGGGCTGTGGTCTGTATCCCAGCCCGCCAAAATAGAGGAAATGTCTTCGTAAAGACGACGGGAGTAGCCGGCATCCGCCATTTGTGAAAGAACCTGCATGGCACGGCTATACATCCCATCATTGCCACGCAGAGAGTCAATTCCAAGTTTCTCCTCTTTCCAGGGAGGCCACGATGGGGCCTTCAACTCTGCAGATTTCCGTTCCTCGGTAGTTTTCTTGTGGGCTAGCTGAACTGCGACGATTGCACGATAGCCCTGTCTTGTGACGGGAAGAACGGGCTTATGGGTAGCCATAGCTCTGAGAAGCTCAAACTGAGCTTGCTGTTGAACAGGGGTGGACCGGTAGGGTGCAAGCTTCGCTGGAAGAGAAAGCATCCATAAACATTCGTTGAATTTGTCGGTCTTGACGCGATCATCGTGTCGCTTTTCGATTGGCGACCTTTCAGCCGCATTCGCTCTTGGTGTCGTGAAAAATTCAGCGAATGCACGCGCAATGGTGAGAAGGGCCTGCGGCCAGACGCGCTGTGCATGACGGATCAAGCGCACAACTAATAACATGCAAGTTCCAGAGTCTATGCTAGCGTGAGAATCAATAGGAGGCAAGTTGATGTCTTCTTCCGCGGCTTCGGCACGATGGTCATTCGGAAGAAGTGGCTGGCCACTCATCAGATGCAGAGAATGAATCAGAAGCAAGCGCAAGGTGTGGGCATCAATGTTTTGTTGTCGCAGAAGATAGAGGAGAACAAATGAAGGGACAGTTGGGCATTTAGCACCATTCTTCACCGCGTTGGACTCCAATAAGAATAACCGTTCTGCTGCCTCGTGGGAGCTCCGGCTTGTCAAAATCCATGCCCAAGAAGTGATATCGGCAGGACTGTACCCGCGTGCGGTTAGAAATTCACTGTTGGTGTCCCTGAAGACACTTTTCAAAGCAGTATCCAAGTATTTCTCTGCATGCTCTGTCGAGTTTCGCGAGACCAAAGGATCGACCTCACGAATATACTCCCCGAGTATAACGGGCAAGGATGGTCTTCTTGGCCGGCCAACTGTCCTTTGTTTGATTCGATTGAGGTGCCGGGGACCAGCGCAATCAGTGCCGATCAATTGATCGCCATAACCGAGCGGATGTCCATTGTTTTTCAGTGCTTTGGATAGGTATTCAGCGGGTTTCGGCTTGGTTCTGACATTGACGTTGGAAGCAACAGGCTTCAACTTCTCGTTTGCAACATGTGGATTTGAGATTGGAGATAGACGTGAACTTGAACGTGGGTCGGCAGCTGGATTGCTTTCTGAAGTTCGATTACTGGACGAGTTCTCTCGGTATGGTTCGATGTCGATTGGAAGCGAGACAGGCCGGTTGAGGAGCGAGACGGATTGGAAAAAACGAAGACTGCCTGAGTTGAAGACAGACGGGACTCTATTGCGCGGAGAATATACCGCAGGCTTAATTCCACCAGGCTTTGGCTGCAACAATGGGTATTTAGCTTGAGATCCAATCAACTTGAAGGCATTGCGAATGTACCTTATCTAAATGACTGTTAATGAGCAGACATGCTCTCCGCCGTGGTGTTCCCGAAAGGCTTCGGGCGTGATTGAGGACTGATGACATCCATGAACGTAGTCATGGGTAATAGTGCCTGGACGCCACAGACCCATTCAATAAGCTCAAGGAAAGACTGCAGAAGACGATGTCAAAAACAGAAAAAACAAATGGAGTCGCAGCCGGCAGAAAATATGACCACGTGACCGATCGTCACGGGTTGCGCTTTTCGGGATGGCGCGCATTCTGCCCAGGGCGTTACGACTTGAATGTTTCCCTTGAGTACAGTCACTTCTATTGATCCCCATTGTTCATTGTCGTGACTCTTTTGAGATTGTTTCTAATCTCCTGCACACTCCATTCTTTTGTCCTATTGTGGTGTTGGTGCGGTTTCACCTTACTCGATTTGGTCCTCGCGATCCCATCAGGATTGATTCGGGCCAGACCAACTTGGACCGATTCTGAGTGAACCAAACACACACCTCAACGTTCACTCACGGGGAAACATTGGTGGGAGAGTTATTTCCCTTCGGATATCGCTCCAATACTACCTAGTTGTGGGCCCCATACAATTCCATTCGAGGGGCCACCGTCAACGCAGCGTCAAGTTCCGATCAGGCGCAACACCGCAAACATGAGCGCCGACGAAGGTGGAGACGCAACCCCAATGTCCACACACGACGATTCGCACCAGGATTCGACTACAGCTGCTGGATCTGGAAAGCGAAAGCGTTCCACACAAGATGATAAGTCCAGCGACGCCGCGTCGCGCGATCGAGTAAAACTCCACGAAACTCTGCGCAATCTGGTTGAACTCCTTCTCAAGTAAGCGGAGAAAGATGATAATGTAATCTTTGCCATTGCTGACTTTCTAGACATGACTCTGAGCTCCAGCTCCTCTCTTGCCCATTCCCAAACACAACCTCCAAGCCCCGAGCGAAGCGCGCAAAGGTCTCCGGTGATCAAGATTCTTCTACCATTCAAACATGTGTCGCTGCAGACAAATACAACACCTTGCAGGAATTCCTTTCCGACATCGAACGGGCCTCGGCTGCCGTGATCGAGCGTAATCAAGCCCAGGCCAATGGCACAAAGGCCGACGGTACACCCTTGACTGAGGTTGTCAATCTGATTGCGGCTTTCAAGAAGCACATGAACAGTCTGATTGTTCAATCTTTCGTCGATTCATCCGAAGTCAAAACAGAAGTTTCAGAGGACGACACCGATTCTTCGTCCGAGCTTCACGCAATCAATCCCTGCGCTCGAGAGGACAACTGCGCCCTGACGCTGTACGGGAACTCCGCAAATCCCAAGCACCTATTTTCGAGTTTGCAAAAGTCGGTTAAGATACCGTTGCAATCTGATTCGGGCCCTGAGAAATTTGTTGAGGTACAGGCCGAGCTCCCTGAGGGCGGCTTGCCAAACGGGATTACAACCACCAAAATCGTGCCCTTTAACCTCAATGCAGCGCCCAAGCTTCCTAAGCGAACATTTGGGGAAGTGTTTGCCCCACGTGAAACACTGCCGAAGCTGGAGCCTCCGCGCAAGCGCTCGCACCGGGGTAACGCATCAACATGGGTGGACCGTTTTGACGCTACCTTTGACACCAGAAACTTCTTGGGAGAGCGTAGCAACTATTGCCTTGCGCCCCTTCCAGCTACGCAGTGGCTTCAATACGGCGGGGTCACTTCATCACCATCATACTGGGACCGCGTAGAAAAACAACATGAGGACCCGGAAATTACTCACAGACATGGGGATCCTGCTTTGTGGAATGGTCCTGACTTATCTGCTTTCCTCGGTGTGTTCTCGTCATTTGCGCCCTCCCACGATAGCTCCGGTGCAATCGTGCAGGTCGCCTCGAAGAATTCGGTCTGGTGGGGTCAACGAGGGGCACACCGCGTGAACACTTTGCTCTCGATCCCATTCGAAGGGGAGGGTGAAAAAGAAACAGAACAGACTGCTCGTCCTGGAAACATTGGCGAGCTTGATGAGAGCACACTGGATGAAATGGTGGAGCAATTCAACGCCGATGACTTTGCTATGAGCGCTGCAGAGACCGAGACCAAGACCAATGGCGACATTGATATCGAATCCAAAGACGCGAAGGAGATGCTTGGCGAAATTTCCGATCTGCTCAACACCCTCAGCTCCTATCAACGCTTGCGCAATCTCAATCCTCCATCTAACCCCCCTCCCGCCGTCCAACAAGCCTCCGAGTCGAATGAAGCCTCTGCAACTGATGTTGAAGATCCGAACGTCCCATCTGAAGCAGAGTTCAGTGTGTATGAGACACTCAAATCAAGTCTCATGGCAATCATCGGCAATTTGCCGCCTTATGCGGTTGCTAAATTGGATGGTCACCAACTCGCCGAGCTGAATATCAGCCAGAAGATTGTGATAGATACCCCCGACTATAACGGCACTATGGAAAAAGATGACTTCACTCTGTCTCAAGAGCGAGCGGCCGCTTTAATAGCAGCATCCAATGCCGCAGGTCGCACGGCAACGCCCTCGTCGTCGCGACCTAGCTACCCTGGAACTCACGCCGGCTACAACCAACGCGCTTTTGCCTCCAACAGCCGAGTTCAGCAAGCTCAACCAGGCTTCCAAGCCACACCACAGCACCCGCGCCAGCCCTCAGCTCCGACTACATACGCCCATGCTTATAGCGCAGGTCGTCCTCCAAGTACCCCCGGCCAACGTCCCGCCAATGCCCCTCAGTATTCGCAAAGTAACCCGCAGTTCAGCCAAGGCGGCCAAAGCTATCAATATCAACGTCCCTCGTCCAATGGCTATGTCCCTGGGGCGCAACAAGGCCAAGCTCCTGCCCAAGGAACCCCACAGCCTTATACACCACGACCCGGACAATCGGGCACATTTAACGCGACACCGCAGGGGCGCATCCCTTACGCGACTGCCACTGCAAACTCAGCTCAGCGAGCTCCAAACTCGATGCAAACCCCAGCACAAGGCGGCTACGTTAATTCCGCTGCCGCCGCCACATACTCTCGCAGTGCCGCGGAACAGGCCGCATTGATGGACCGCAATAAGGCGCAATTGGCTGCTCGTCAGGCCCGGCATAGCCCTTCGACTCCTCAGCCCCAGGCTCTGGATGCTCGTGCTTCTCAAGAAGGCAGTGCTACTCCTGGGAGCAAGCAGAATGGCACACCTCTTTCGACATAATATGTGATGCCCTCTGCTTCTCTAACGTGATTCCCATTAAGTACATGGAGTTGGTGTTCAAATAGCAAAAGTTTATGCTTTTTGGGTGGATCCATCTCGTCTTCTACCACCAGCACTATGATCTGTTTCACACGCTATTGTTCATATCCATTGCTTGAAAGTTCAAGCAATGGAAACGGTCGCTATCTTTGGCTTCTTCCTATCTGTGTTGTTAATGAACCTTTTATTTCCTTTCCTCTACGGTGTTGTATGATTCTCTAACTCGGTGTTACAATATCTGGCCTACAGCGAACGGCGTGGGTGATTTCTCAAGAAAGGTTGACCTGGGCGGTCCAGGTTGCCACTGCGATACACTTCGGTGTTCCTTTAGACAGTTCTGTTTTTTGCTCAACAATTCAATCTACATGACATATCAACTCTTGATTAGGATTCGAATGAATAACAGCAATGATCGTCTAAATTTGTTCTCTTAGCTAACAGTTCTTAAATAATACATGAAGGAATATAATTCCCATTAATGCCTGTCCAACAAGACAGCCAATTGCACGAGGCATGAATGCCATCTTTTGATCTCATCAAATAATCCCCGTGGACACATGCACGAGGTAGTCAGTATACATTTCCACTTCAATGTTGGGCAGCCCTTTAACCCCATTTGCAGGCCTGTCTTCCCGGAACGGGAAACTCAATCAACAAGCAATTCTGGATGATTCGCTTGGCATAAAAACACATAAGACAAAGGAAAAAAACAAAGGAAAATCGTCAGCCATGAGCTGACCAGACTAAGCTTATTCACAACTGTCGTAATCAGGGAATAAACATAGCGGCCAAAGTCATGAACCCGAAATATCTAAGCAAGAGTCAGTATCCAGGAACAAGAAGCATGCAAGCAAACATACATCATCGCACACCTCCAACCATCCCTCGAATCAACCAGGGAATCAACACCAGCCGAATAACTAGCCGCAATAGCAGCCGCAGCCCCGCCAACGACCGTCACAACGACAAGTCGGCCCGAAAACTCCGCAATCATATTGAACGCCAAGAGCGGCAACAGCAACGCTCCAGACGCAATGATGATAGCGACGTAAACAGGAGCCGCGGCAGAAGAGGCCGCCATCCGCGGTGTCAAGGAAACAAGATCATTTCTATGATCCAAGAAGCGGGACTCGGCAGAGGCAATGGGGTGGCGCTTTTTCAGCCAGCCGCGGTAATTGTCGATATCCTTTTCCGGCGCAGAGGGAAGCGTCTGGACTACCTTGCTATAGGCGCAAAGTGCATTATCTAAATCATTGTCAGTTATGACGCGAAGGATAGCCGAAGGGGAAAGCATACTATACTGCTCTGTCTTGACGATCAGCGCGGACATTAGATCCATGCGACGGTAGTGCAGAGGAGAGTAGGCCTGGGCCTGGGAGTCTCTACGTCTGGAGGCAGGAAGAGGCTTGGTGCCTTCTTGCTCTGCCGTGGTGATGCGGTGCATTTCTTCGTATTCGTCGAGGGTGTGGAGGTCTTCTTCCATTTGGGAGATTTCGTCCTGGAGATGGAGGAGGACGCGGTGGTTGACGCTCTCGAAGCGTCGGTAGAGGGGTGGGAATGCATCCTTTTCCTCGGATGCGGATTTCGTAAGGTGGGAGGCCACGAGCCCGTAGCCGGAAGAGCTTTGGGTGGAGGATCTTCTCTTTCTTGGTGTTGTACAATGAAGGCCTTCTTCAGGACTTCGTGGGGGAGATGGTGGTAGGGGTGGCCTGTGAATGGCACCGGGGTCTCTTGGTCCATGATATGCTGGTGGACGGGACAGCTCCAGTTGTCCCTTATCTGAGGATGGAGAGATGCTCGCCATAGAGATGGGGCTGGGCTTCCTCGCAGTTTGCCTCTTTCGGGTGACCAGTTGGGTTTCTGGTGGCGGGGCTTGAGGAGCCGGTGATGCTCGGGGCTTGGGTGGTTCCGGCGGACTTTTGGAAGCCGGCGACGACTGTGCCAGCTGCTTAGGAGGTGAGTTTGTCTCTGGTATCAACACTCCAGGTGGTGCAGTCTTGGGCTGGGGTGTGGGAGACTGGATCTTCGGGGCCGCTTGCTTAGGGCGAGGTTCCGGCTCTTCGTCCTCAGATTCCTCGGATTCCGAATCCGAGGAATCTGAAGAGGATGAAGATGAGCCTGAAGATGATTCGTCATTCTCATCAAGATATTCAAACACGTTGGGCACTTGTTTCGCCGACTCGGGCTTCTGTGGTTGGGGTTCCGATGTCGACTTTAGGGCTTGCTTTGCGCCTTGGGCCTGTTGGGCCGACGGCGAGCTGTTCGCAGCTGTCTTGGTGCTTGCGACAGGACCAGCCTGCGCGTTTGATATATTAGAGACTAAAGAGTATGTTCTCTTTCGTCCATCTTTCCCAGTTGACTTTTGACTTTGGAGGGGCATGGTGAAGCCTCGGGATGTCTAGTTCATACTTCGACTCGTATCCTGAAGATGAAAAAGAGTGAACAGTCAAATAGCTTCCAATTCATGCAGCCGAGGCATGGCCCAGGGCGAGGAATTTCAGGTCTCAGGTCGAGGCCAAGTGGGATGGAATCCAGGGGGTATATGAGTCGAATGAGATAGTTCGAATTTCCCAATTTCCCCGCGAATGCATAGCATTCTTCACGATAAGGCCCCTCGATCGGACTATTATAGAACACGGACGTCAGCCAACATCAAAAGGTCACGTCAGCTGCACAAGACTCTACTTTGAGTAGTGGAGTTTCGTAGCGCGGGACAATCTGAGGCAGATTCGAAGCGCTGGGGGCTTCAGATCGACCAATGATGAAGATGTTACAGGGAGGTTCCCTGTATCCCTGTCGATCCCAGAGTATACTACTAGTACGAAGATGTACAGAATAAATCGAGTCAAAGGACCCGAGACTCAAAGATGGTCTATAAAGTTAGTGACCATAGACACTTCAATAGTGGCGAAAGTGGGCCGGAACAAATCAGACATAAAAGATGTTACAATTACTCTGTACATATGTACACGTAGCGTATGTCGACGTGTATGCGCTGGTCTTCCTTGCGTCTGGCGGTCTGCGTCGGAATGTGATTGGAACAGACGATGTTGTGCAGTGATGTACTCCGTACTCCAGACAGTACGGAGAACGGCGTACGTTGGGTCTTTTTGATTAGAACCCTTACAATTGAACATAGCAGAATACTAAAAATACTTCCTAACACTGGAATCCGAGATCGAACATAGCGAGAGTCGAAGTACCGACATTCCCGATGTCATTGATCGGCAGATCGCCAAGACCTCCTCTCGATTCCGCGTTTCGCCTTTTTGTCTCGACAATATACCACCTTCATGCTCCGGTCATGTCTCCGTCGCGGGACGCTCCGCACTCTCAGCGTACGGCCTTTGAACCCTGCCCTGTCCTTCCCTAGGGCCTACTCCACGCCAACCCAAGAGCGAGTCCCCCTTCGCAAACAACTCAAGCAGGAAGCCAAATTCCTCCGATCACACAAGAAGCAACGCAAGGAGGATGAGGAAGCATCCCGGCAAGAATGGGAGTTGACTGTGGGCGTGGAGATCCATGCGCAGCTAGACACAGAGGCTAAATTGTTCTCTCGTATGTCTCCCCGGGCCCGAGTGTTGAAGCCTCGCTGACCTGCTGGACAGGAGCTGCAACGTCGACGAGCGACATCCCCAATTCCAATGTCGCCTTATTTGACTTGGCGTTCCCGGGTACCCAACCGGTATGTCATGGTGTGGCAGGCCAGAGACAATGGATGCTGATCAGATAGGAATTCCAAATCGCAACCCTTCTCCCCGCTCTGCGAGCGGCCATCGCCCTGAACTGCGAGATCCAGCCCGTCAGTCGATTTGACCGGAAACACTATTTCTACCAGGATCAGCCGTCGGGATACCAGATCACCCAATACTATGGTTAGCACTGTCTGTCTGGAAGTCGGACCCAAGCTCACACAAGCTCAGAACCCTTCGCCCGAAACGGATACGTCGATCTATATGCCTACGATGGAATTGCGCCGGAAGATGGGGACCGTGTCCGCATCGATATCAAACAACTCCAGCTGGAGCAGGACACGGCCAAGTCCCAGGAGTATCCGCCTACGACACAGCTGCTAGATTTCAACCGTGTGTCGCATCCTCTCATTGAGATTATCACCATGCCTCAAATCCACACACCTGCCACCGCCGCAGCCTGCGTTCGGAAACTTCAGTCCATTGTACAGTCATGCGGTGCGGTAACTACGGGGATGGAATTGGGTGGTCTTCGTGTCGACGTGAACGTATCAGTCCGCCGCCGGGACGCAGCTGCCGGCCAACATCACTACAACGGCATCAGCGGGCTAGGCCAGCGGACCGAGATCAAAAACTTGAGCAGTTTCAAGGCCGTGGAGGACGCTATCATTGCCGAGAAGAACCGCCAGATCGGGGTCCTGGAGAGCGGCGGTGTCATCGAAGGAGAAACGCGAGGATGGACCATTGGCAGCACGGAAACCCGCAGGCTGCGTGGCAAAGAAGGCGACGTTGATTATCGCTACATGCCCGACCCGGATATTCCTCCTTTGATCATTGGACAGGATCTACTCGCCAATCTGAACAGCACCCTCCCGACATCCCCAGACTCTCTTATTACCCTACTCGTTGGTGCCGAACACAGACTGAGCATCGACGATGCCAAGCCCCTAATCGAGTTGGATGACGGAGCCCGCCTCGAATACTACCACGATGTGGTGGAAGCCCTACACACTCTCCAGGCAGACCAAGATACCGCCACGCGCGCCAGCCTTGGTCGGTCAGTGGGCAACTGGGTCCTGCACGAGCTCGGCGGGCTTCTTACCAAATCAGACCGCGCCTGGGACGCAGAGATCGTTCCGGCGCAGTCCCTAGCGCACCTCATCGACGAGCTCCAGCGCAAGCGGATCACCGGGCCGACCGCCAAGCTGGTTCTGGCCACTATCTTCGACGGTGATCGTCGTCCGGTGTCTCAGATTCTCGAGGAAGAGAACCTCCTGCTGCGCCCATTGTCCCGCGAGGAATACGTGGCGCTGGCGCAGTCGGTTATGGCGCTTAACCCACAAATGATTGAGCAGATCCGCAGCAAAAATCAGCTTGGGAAATTAGGCTGGTTCGTGGGCCAGATGATGCGCACCGGGGAGAAGGGCCGCGTCGAGGCTCCTAAGGCCGAGGAAATCCTCAAGGAGCTCATTCTAGGGCCGGCTGTGTAGTATAGAATTGTACATGTACAACAGAGTGTATGACAGTGTACCAGTAGTCGCAACGATACCCTTGACCTCCACACCAGAATCAATTCACGATTAATCCGTACGGAGCACAATGGACCAAACAGATCACCACAATCCACGGCCCCTCGAATGCCAGGGGTGGGACTAGCACTAAAAGGGGGAGCTCTCCTCGACCTGTACTTAAGGGAAAAGATGGAGATCCGGCGGAGTCGCTCTGATCGCTAAAAGCAGTTTTTAGCGACTTTCGCGTGCAACGCGCCAGAATGCAAAAGATGCCCCGGTTGAAGTCGGAGGGGGAATGGATTATTTAAAGGAAGCATTTCCCTTCTCTTTCTTAAGAATCAATATCCTTGATACCCATTTGCTCTTTGTTTCGCGACGTGGACAGCCCACTTCTTTATCTTATCTCCGAGATCACATCTACACCTGGGCAACCTTTTGACCTTCACCATGACTTCCCCCTCGACGATTGCCTCGCGCTTCCTCTCGCATCCTAACCAGCTCGGTGTGGTCGCAGTTGGTTTCAATGGCGGACAGGTAAGATCCAGGCGACAGGCGACAGGTTACATGCGATGACGTTGACACCATGATCAGTGCAAGAAGGGTGTCGAGGCAGCCCCCATGGCCCTCATCGAATCAGGGCTTCTGAACCAGCTCAGCGAGGATCTCGACTACGAAGTCCACCACGACAACACAGTCCACTACTATGAGAAGGACATCCCCGACGAAGACCCCGACTTCCGTGGCATGAAGAAGCCCCGCGCCGTCAGCGCCGTCACCGAGAAGCTCAGCTCCCAGGTCCACAACTACGCCAAAGATGGCAAGTTTGTTCTCACTCTTGGCGGAGATCACTCGATCGCCATCGGATCTGTCTCCGGAACCGCGAAGGCGATTCGCGAACGGTTGGGTCGCGAGATGGCTGTGATCTGGGTCGACGCCCACGCTGATATCAATACTCCCGAGAGCAGTGATAGTGGCAACATCCACGGCATGCCCATGGCGTTCCTAACCCGGCTGGCCCGGGAGGAGCAGCGGGATGTCTTTGGCTGGATGAAAGATGAGCACATTGTGAACACACAAAAGCTCGTCTATATCGGTCTGCGGGATGTGGACCGTGGTGAGAAGAAGATTCTCCGCGAGAATGGCATCAAGGCATTCAGCATGCACGATATTGACCGGTATGTTCGCTATTTTTCGTTGTCGCTCGCTGTGAACCTTGACCCGTACTAACGTATTTCATCTGCTAGTCATGGCATCGGTCGCGTTGTCGAAATGGCCCTCGCCCACATTGGCAACGATACCCCCATTCACTTGTCGTTCGATGTGGATGCCCTGGACCCCCAGTGGGCTCCCAGCACTGGTACCCCGGTCCGCGGGGGACTGACCCTGCGTGAGGGAGACTTCATCTGTGAAGCGGTGCACGAGACTGGAAACCTGATTGCCATGGACTTGGTGGAGGTGAACCCCAGCTTAGAGGAGAAGGGCGCATCAGAGACCATCCGCGCGGGGTGCTCACTGGTGCGGAGCGCATTGGGCGACACCCTTCTGTAAGGGATAAAAGTTAGTGAAGAAAGGCCCTGGCTAAAATAAGACATAAATTACAGAGCTCTCATAGCTCAAGTGTCAGTGTTTTCAAGTCCAAGTCAAGCATTGTCGAGTAGTCCGTAGTCCCCGTAGCGGGAGACTAAATCCCCTGCCACCTCAATTTCACGATCAGCGTCATCTCCTTTCCTTTTCTCATTTTTTTCTCTCCCTTATCCTCTTCAGTCTGTCGTTAAATCATATTGTGCATACAGACGGTGCACGACTCTCACATTTCCGAGGCGTCTAGTCCTCGCCCAATGCGCTGTCCCCCAATCACTCGCACCATTCACCGTATCGTTGGAACAGTCTTATTCGCGCACAACTCAGCATCGTGTCCAAGACCCGCTCCAGACAAATAATAGGGCACCCAAGCCTGTTTCAGGCTGTATGCAATAACGCAGTATAAAAGCCGTGACGAGTCCGCGAAGCCCTCTCGATCCCAACTATACAACTCAACCCGCTAGACCCCACAATGGCGAAATATCGCTCGCGCGAAGTGCGCCGTCGGTACCACTGGCCTGAGCTCCAGCTCAATCTCTGGATCATGGTTGTTCTTTCTTGCTCGGCGACTTGTTTGGGCATCTTCTCGTGGTTCATGGTCGTGCAAAACCAACTACACCTCGGTACACCATGGTATGTCTCCGATCTCCGCGCTCCACTCTGTTTTACCCCATGGGCCACCCCAATTGATTCCGAGACTGACATCGATCACCAGGCTGTTCCCTTACATGGCTGTTACCAGTGCGCTCGGCGTGGCGTTTATCTTCGTCGTCCTCATCCTCGCCTCGTGCCATTTCCTACTACCCGGGATTATCATCATCGGCAGCTTCATACTCTTCGTGTTATGGTTGACGGGTCTGATTGAGACCTCGCTGCAGCTCTATGGTGTTGTTGCGAATGTGAACGACAATTGCCAGATCTATGTGACGAATAACAAGTCCTGGGGCAACAACCTCAATACCCTGGCGTGGTTGACGCAAAGCACTATTTGTGAGTGACCATGTCTGAACCCGTCCACTTCTCGTACTAATGCCTGGTCTAGGTAATTGTTGGAAAACTGCTTTTGCTTTAGAGCTCGTCAACACCATCTTCTATCTCTGGATGATTGTCATGTCTTGGCAGGTTAATCGGGATGTTTACGATTGATTGATTTTACGCTTCTCTTCTTTGTTGATACCTTTTTGCATTTGACCGGCGTTTGAATCGAGCGATATTGCATCTTCTTTGGTTGTCTTCATGACTTTCGTCTGAGACACGGATATACTTAATATATGACAATTTCCATATCTCTACGAAGCACATATCAAGCAGTCCCGAGGTTGGTTTATCTACTGGGATCTTACACACGGTATAGTCAACTCGACAAGGCTGTTGGGAAATAAATCACCAGGGTGAAGGCTAAGGCTGGCTTAAAGCAAATGAGCATTGAAATCGTACATATGAACAAACCGTCATTCTCGAATAAGATAGGTACACAAATTTTCGAGAATCACCAAACAAAAAGTCACACCGGCCCAAGCACATGATTCAAGCCATTTCGAATGTAATCAAAAAGGACCATAAATAAACGCCGTCGCTATGCCAAAAGCGCATTGCAACTGCAAACACCGTTGGCAGAAAGGGGGGACACGACCCCCGATCCACCGGGGGTAGGAAAGAGAGCAAGGCACGAGAAGATCGAGACCTCTACCCGCTCTCGGCGGGAGCATCATCCTCCACCTGAGAATCATATTCACCGCCCTCAAAGGCAGCGAGCATCTCTCGTTCCAACTCATCCTCGTCATCAGGATCTTCGGTGTGGCTGACCTTTTGACTAGTATCCACCGTTTCAGACTCGGATTCCTCTGCATTCAAGCCCGCTGGCTGCGAGGGGGGCAGGGATGCATCGTCGATGCGGGCAGGTGCAGATGTGATCTCTCGGAGCTTGGTGTTGCGCTCGTAGGATCGCTTGATACGCTGGGATAGCCGGGAACCCCGTTCGGGATCATCCCCGTCGTCGTCGCCAGATTCGTCGTCGTCGGTCGCGCCTTCGGATGCTTCGTCCCGCTTCCGCTTTGTGCCTGATGATGGCTCATCCAGTAATGACTCGTTGTCGCTTTCGCTTTCGTCATCGCTACCGAGGAAGTCCTTGAGTTCGTCGTGGACTTCGGCTTGCTCGTCAGCGCCGTAGCCGACAGGTGAGGTCTCGTCCAGACCGGACGATTTAAAAATATCCTCTGCGTCATCTTCCTGGGTCCACTGAGATCCCGTGATATCCTCGTCTGTGGATGAGAGCATGGATGTTTCGAGCTCGAGTGCTTCTGGCGATATGGGTTCCCCCCTGTCATCGGGGTGAACGGGAAGAAGATATGGTTCTTCGTCCACTTGTCTCCATGTGACCAGCGAATCGACAAGCCACTGCGTGGTAACGATCTTAATACCCGGGTAGCGTGTGGCCTCTCTCACCTTGGCGGTACGGTTGCGACCAGCGACAAGATGAGTTGTGCGTGCGTTAATCCTTGACGAGATGGTCACGCCAAAGCTCTTGGCCCAAAGGGAGATATCGGCATTCTGGAAGTCGATGCCCAGAGGTAAAACTCCCGAGAACACCAGAACAACACCTCCAAGGATACGCCGTTTGATTCGAGGCATGATGTCCTTGACGTCGGGAACCAGTTTAAGATCCACATCACGGTCTTTTGAATGAACTTTTTCTCCGCGCAAAGCTGCTACGCGGCCGCCTATTGCGAGAGTTCGCTTCTTGTCATATTCTTCGTAGAATTGCAAGTGAACCTGCTCGAGACGGTCCTGCAATTGGTAAAGTTCCTGGTCGTGATCCTCGAGTAGATGGTGGCGGTGTTTCGCGGACTCTTGAGATTCCTCAACACTTGGAGATTCGTTGCTTTCGGGGTTATCTTCTGCGTCCAATTCTTTTTGTTTTTGTAGCAAAGGACGATCTTCCACCTGGTGTAAGATGGTTTCTTCCTGTGCATCGGCTTGCTCTTGTAGTAGTCTTGGACTATCTCCGCCTCCCATGGTCACCATTTGTTCTAGCGCTGACACCTCCGTCCCTTCTGGGTTCTGTGTTTGGCCATTGACATGGTTTTCTTTGGGCTTCTCTGGCGCCTTCTGTTCAATCTGGGGCTTGTTGGCTCCAATATCTTGCTTTTTGGGCAAGAAACTGGAGTTAATGTCGCCAATGCCGACGAAAAAGTCATATGGGGAAACCTTGATCAGGTTGGGGCTCCAGCGCCAGATGTCACCACGGTCATCGATAATGACCACCATCTTTGTATCAACAGGGAACAGCCGTTGCAGATCCTTGACTGTCAAGCTTCCACTTTCATCACGACTAAGGATTCGGTCTCCAAAAAGTTTGCGAGTCGGATCGATGATATCAACAATGTGTTGGGCATAAGCGCGGGTGCCCATCGTATAGATGTGCAACTCATAGATTTCTGCCACATTCTGAAGGAACTCCTCCAGGCCTGGTCGCAACTTGATATAGTACCAGCACCCGCGCATTCCAGGCCCATCATCGATTAATTGGAAAGTTCTCACGTCCCGGACAGCTTCATGGTTTGGATTGTCTTTGTCTTCCCTCCATTCTCCCACCGTCGGGTCAACAGTGGCGTGGATAATGGTCTGATCGAGATCCACAACCAGAGTTAGGCGTCTCGAGGCAAGAAGTCGGCGCTTCGCATCTTCCTCAACCCTAGCCGCTTCCCGGTGACTGACAGTAAGTGTGGTGTTATCGTGGGCCATGGAGATTGGAGCGCGCATGGAATCCGTGATCTCGGTGTTGTAGGTAGATCTGTTGATGAAACATTCGATTAGACAAAGAAATGAAACGGACTCAATGAACGATATACGTACTCAGTCACGTCCTTCCCGCATTCTGCGCATAATCCACCGAACTGGACCTCGTGAGCGCAGGGCTCATCGATTTCGACGACGTTGACGCTGACAGAGAGTAAGCCAATGTTCAGATCTTGAGTAAAGCCTCAATATACTCACGGTTCATCAATGACGTCGCCTTTCTTGATCTTCCACTGGACGATCTCTCCATCAGCCGTAGACTCGAATCTAGCCGGAAACTTGCGCAAAACGTCGACTTTGTTCCCAAGTCCATCACCCTCTGTGACCGTGGTCTCGTAGAAGTACCAAAAGAGAGCTTCATCCCTCTCCACCGTGTCGCCAGGCTGCTTTAGCAGCGACGTCACGGTGATCGGGTAATGCAGGCTCGGGGGCAAGCGAAGAATCATAATGACTCTGAGCGCCTCGAGCGATGACTACAACGCAGTATTCGTTATTGGGCCGACGTGTCCCGGCAATGTGTTATGTGCTTGTGGTTGTTGACGGCGCGTCAAAGGCAGACAAGTGGGTCTGATATGTGATCGCGTGCGATTCCGGCTACGAGGCCATCACTGGCACGCAACGCGTGTAAAGCTTCAACGAATGAGATGTTGCGAGCCCAATGTCGATAAGTCGCTCCGCGATCGAGGCTTGTGTTGGTAATGTAGGAGTGGGAAAGGTTTAGGCGGCGCGATGGGAATCGCCACTTCAAGGCGCAGATGAAAGAAAACCGTGCGCCTAGCACAACCTGGCGCGCAAGTCAAAGACAAGTCACACACCAGGCGAAAATGGTATTTTAAGAACGGATGGGGGGAAACAGTAATAGAAGGTCGAATCAAAGAGATGGGAAGCTCATTGAAGTTGTGCGGGGACTCCTTCAATCCAGGTCAAGACCTCGGGAGCTATACGCTGCTTATGTCATACCGATACCTGCAGACAAGTACTCCCTGCCTCTGGCGGGCGTGCGATCTACTTCGGGTTAAGTACCCTGTTTTCTATATGGGCTGATGCAATGGTTCCACGCTACCCCATACTTGTATAGCCCTGAATTGCTTGGAGAGTTCTCTGTATCGAAATTCTAATGCTGAGCAATTTCTATTTTGAACAGCCTCCAAACATTTAATACAGTGTTGGGTGTCAATGCCCACACCTTCCAAGGTTCTTTGATGCCCTTTTTGGGCGGTCAATGAAACTCCAGAGCTAGCAGTCAGCTGGAGCGAATTGCCTCCGTCCAGATCCCGGGTTTCTCGATCTTCAAAGGTTCTGTCATTCTGCTAGTCCATGTGTATATCTTACCAACATAGAGAGTACCGTCCCATGACTTCAGAGACGTTGTCAACGGTTGCGGTCATTAGGGAATCCAAGCTGCTGGTTTATTTGGGTATTGGTCGTGGTGTTTTCGCCTTCTTTCAGAGGATTTGGGGCCTGGGGGAAGAGAGAACAAAGAGCAGTGGAACACAGATAAGCCCCATTTGCTCACAGGCTCAATGTGTGGCCTCCTGTCGCGCTTGTGTCTCAGTGCCGTCTGAGGACGTGCCGAGATAGATCTACTGGAATGAATAGGGATAGTTGCCTGGGAAAACTATAGAATTTAGCCAAAGAAGGTGCCTTGTATCCAGGATGCATCGTTTACACGATGGTATAGGGTATAGCAAGCAGGCACCCGTGGACTGTCTACAATGAGGTGATACGCTGCGAAAGGCTGACCCCCATGAATATGAAATGCCTACGAAGCGGTGGACGCGTGTTGATTCACAGATTTATCAATTGCAGACTAATGACAGATAGGTAACAACAGGCCGTGCTAGCAGATACAGAAACACAATTGAAGCGATTGGCAGATAGGGTGCATGTGGTGACACATCCAAGGAAGGCGCATCTATGTACGTAGCAATCTCCTTTCGATTACCTAGTTTCTTAATATCCACAGCTCACGGAGTCATCCGGCATGAGAGCGATTATTTGGCCTTGGCAAGGCCAACGGCGTTGTTGCCAACGTCGTAGACACTGTACCAGCGGCGCAGGAAAGAGTCACCCAGAATGGCCAGGGGACCGACGGGCTCGGGGAAGTCCATGCCCATGAAGCTGCTAATGCAGGAGCCCTGGACCTCCAGGATGTAGTCGTAGGCACTGATCGTGAAGGGGTGGCCGGCCAGAGTGAAAGTGAGGTCGGGCAGCGAGTCACGCTTGGCACAGTCGACAGTGTACTGGCCGTTCCAGCTCTTGCTGGCACCGATCTCCTTGTTCCTAAAAGGGGTCAGCGGGTATATCTCAGAGTCTGTAGAATTTCAACTTACAAAAGCTCAGCCATGGTGGTGGGGAGAGCAATCAGAGAGGTACCGGTGTCCAGGATGACACCAGTGTCCTCGAGCTCAGCAACGTTGTCACCGAGAGCAATGGAGTCAAGGTCGACCTCCCAGTAAGCCTTGCGGCGGAGGGGAATCTTGATCAGCTCGCCAGTGTAGTGGTCCTTGTCGATACCACCGAAAGTGGCCTCGGAGTTGTCACCCTCCTTGTTGGCATCGCCCAGGTAGAAAGCAAAGACGGGCTCATCAACAGACTTCTGGTTGATCATGTTGTAGAAGGGAGGAACCATCTTGTTCACAGAGATGGTGTCATAGCCAAGGCCAAGAATGCCATCGAAGCGACCGAAGGCAAAGGCCAGGCCAGGCTCGTTGGTGGCCTCGGCGAAGTCCTGGTTCTCGACCTTGAGGTCACCAATCTGGAGAGTATCCCTGGACACAAAGCCGCTCAGGCTGCCAGATCCATAGCGGATCTCGAACTCGGTGCCATTCTTCTTGTATGTGCTCGAGGAAGACGAGTCATACTTGCTGTGAAGGAAGCAAGCAATGGAGCTGCACTGCTGGGATGGGACCCACAGGTTGGAGCTACCAGTATCAAGGACGACCTTGAAGGTCTGGGGAGGAGTACCGATCTGGATCTCAGAGAAGTCTAATCACATCAGCATCATTTATTGGAAATCGGGCCAGGGCTGGAGCATACACTGGGCATTCAGGAAGTTGTCAACCAGCACGTCATGACCACTGGCAGGGTTGATGGAAGTGTCGTGGAGAAGATCCTGGTGCTTCTCGGGGCGGATGCCCATGTACTTTTGGCCCAAGTTGTGGACGTGAGCATCGATGTTGTGTGTGTTCTAAGGAGTGGTGAGCTTCCCATCCGTGCTTGTTCCGAGGATGATCTTACCAGTTGCTCAGACAGAGGGACCTTGTTGAGCTTGAGCTTGTGCACCTCGGCGGCAGCACTGCCCAACAGCGCCGAAGCTGTCAGGAGAGTGAAAGACTTCATGGTTGGATAATTCTAATGATGGTTGGAAACAAGAGAACGACTGAGTTGATGAGGGAGATAAGGGAGATGGGGGGAGAAGTGGAGGCTGGAGACGATGACGGAACCGGGTCGCACTTAGCCTCTTTCGGACAAGGACTCATGACCACGGCAACCTCCATTCCTTGACCTCGACACTGTCCGTCGAGATCTCGGTTGCACCGAAATGTTTATATCTATTTCATCTGATTCACTTTCATTCCCCCCTCGGCCAGTTTATCTCCGTTGAGTGTGGGCAACTCCATGGGGGAGTGCCCGAGCGTCCTAGCGCCATCGACGCAATGGTCGGACTGGTCGGAAGGGAGCCCTTCCGCTGTACCTGGCAGCTGCAGGACGGGAGGGCAACAAACTGGCTTTGCTCATGAGTATCATACCCTCTGGCAGGATTGAGTTGTCATGTTCTACGTGTCGCACCATTAGGTCTTTGCCTGTGTCCTGTATAAGGATTGAGCATGTGTATTCCATACGAGCAGCCCAATTTCTAGGCAGCCAATGCACTTGAAGCGTTGGTAGAACTCGCGTGCCTAGATCTACCTAGGTACGAATGCCTCCCAACTAAAACTCCTGAACCGCCTTGCGTGTGTCTGACTCAAAACTGGGCCCTTGTCTCTATATCTTACTGTAGATCATCCGGTGCTCCACACCATAATCATTGCCCTCGGCATATAGAGTAGTACAGCATGAGTGTTGCAACAGAGTTCTACCCGAGTGGTTACAGAATCACCCATCACTTCTCATGATAGTGAAAACTCACATATGGGTAGCAATAATGAACCATAATCACTGGGAAGATGGATGGATGCCCAGGTGGAGGCCTGGCCGGGGGTGTCTCCGTGCAGACCTACTCTGCACTCCGCGCCCTGGTGGCTGCCTCAGGTGTCTACACTAACCCCGGCATGTTGCTACTATGGACGGGGAAAATCACCGAATTGCATATTCTTGGAAACCTAGGAATCTGCATGTTTTCCTTGTTTTTATATCGTATTCTAGACTTCCAAAGCTCCCATCACCGTCCTCGAAATCTCCGGATTATATTCCTCTTATCGCCCTATTCAACTACTGAATCATTTACCCACCAGATATATATCCGTGGATGAGGATCCCCAAGGGCATGAAAGGCAGGTACATACAACCTAGGTAGTTGAATCCATACTTAGTAGATATTTACCGGTCCTTGTTGACATAAAGCATATAAACGACCTCAATCTATCTAGTAGGTATGTATATAGCTTCCAAGGTTGGAAATCGCAATATTTCAAGGTTCGGACGTAACGCAATTGTCCAAGGTTCTAAGTTATATCTACGCCAGATGCTATTCAACCCGACGCCTCAAGTTCCCACTTGGAAGGCCAAAAGGGTGCCCAGGTGGGCAGTAGAAGGTATGTTCAAAGAAATGTGACAACTGGCGCCTGTATATTATTGATGATACAACTAGTGAAGACCAAGCGATTGTCACTCTTACCCATTCTCCAACGATATCCAAGCGTTTACCGGTAGAAGTCGGGGCTGTGGGAAACAAGTCAGTAAAAGAAAGGGAACCAATTCCAAGGGAAATACATACCGGTCGTCATCCTGTCCAGTCTTCACTTGGACAGCATAAGCGTCCTCAAGATCAGATTGAATGATATTGTAGCGGTTCTTGCGGACAGCACGCAAACCGGCCTCCTGCATGATGGCCGCAATGACAGCACCGGAGAGCGGGTCGTTGCGCACAATCAGGGCATCGAGATCGACCTCGGGGGAAAGCGACATCTTGGAGGCAATGGTGGTGAAGATCAACCGACGCTCACGTCGGTCACGCAGGTTGGGGAACTCGATCTTTCGGTCCAGACGACCGGGACGGAGCAAAGCAGGATCCAAAGTATCGGCTCGGTTCGTGGCCATGATGACCTTGACGTTGCTAGTCTGCTCGAAACCATCCATCTGGTTCAGCAATTCCAGCAGAATACGCTGCACTTCACGATCGGCACCGGTCTGGGCATCAAAACGCTTCGTGGCAATGGCATCGATTTCATCAATGAAGATAATGGCCGGTGAGTTTTCGCGCGCCATCCGGAACACGTCACGGACCATACGAGGTCCTTCTCCGAGGTACTTCTGCACGAACTCTGATCCGTTGACACGAATGAAGCTTGCAGTTGTGCTGTTGGCCACAGCCTTCACCAGCATGGTCTTTCCGGTTCCGGGGGGACCGTACAGCAGGACACCACGAGGGGGATCGATACCTAAAAGTTGTGAGCATTTGCATGGACTGCACATTCACATGTACCCACCGATTTGCTTGTAAAGTTCGAAATGTGTCAGGGGCAACTCGACAGCTTCGCGGATTTCCTGCTTCTGCATGTCCAATCCACCAACATCTGCATATGTCACATCAGGCTTCTCATTCTCACCCAGCATGGCGATAGATGAATCAGCCTCTGGGGGAAGAATATCGACAAGTGCGTTGGAGTGACGGTGGAGGGCGACCGAGGAGGAGGGCTTCAACTTCTCACGGTCGAGCGTGGACAGGATACGGACGACGTAATTAGACCCGGTCGAGCTTTGGACAATGCCGGTACTATGAAGGAGTCAGCTTGAGGATCCTTCGGCTCCCAGTGAAAACAAGATGGTTCATACTTCTGATCGATAGCCTCCATAAACTGTCCGATGACCAATGGCACACTCTGTATACGCTTGATCTCTTCCTGTGCTCGCACCAGCTCCCTCTTCAAGCTTCTGCAAAGACGAAACTTGATTAGCCTCTGTTCAATAGTCTAGTCGAGCAATTCAGGATACATACCTCTGCTCATCCTTGATGTATTCCTCTTGCAGTTGAATATACCTGTTGTTGTCAGATCACCAATCCCATCCCAAAACCGTGGTCAGACATACTCTAGATGTCTCTGTAGCCTCTTCAGGGTGGCATATTCATCGTTTCCATCGGCTCCCGTGCCATCGAGGGAATCCAAGTTGGCGAGAGTGTCGAGCGCGCCTGGCTTGACAAGAGGCGTGACGTTGTTCGCCGGATTCTCGACGGCAACGTCTCCCATGATTGAGTCTCGAAGTAACAGATGATATGAGTGGGTATGATTTTCTCGTGAGCGAAATGTGATAGAAGGGTTTTGGAGATGGTTGGTGGTGAATGACGCGCTGTGTGAAGGGTTCGGAGGCCGGCCATCTGGAGCTTTCGATGAATCGGGGAGCTTGGTTGCGCTCACGTGACTCCAGCGTTAAAGCGGCCAACAACTTTAGAGTGTTTGGCCTGTATTTTGCGACAGTCGCAAGATTAAGAGCTTAATTGTCATTATTCGACACACTCGAGCCCGTGGTCTTCTTTCCTGCTACGAAGTAAATAACAGCCCATTGTCGCCTATGACTGATTACTGTGATGATTGGCTATATTATAGTACTACCTGACAATCAAGCGCCCGTTTACTATTGACACAAGTAATGTCACCGTTGAGAAGGTCGGACAGAGTTATAGAACCCCAGGGAAAAGTGCTTTGACATTTGCCCCTTGTCTGTCTCTTTCGTCTACATTGTGCCCTTGGATATTTCGCTCCACATATATGGTCAGACACTAGCGGCTACAGCGGTCTCAGCGAAGCCTAGGGCCAATTATGACGATCTTGAATGCTGCAGGCATCTCGCACAGTGATGCGTAGGCAAGCTGATGCTGCACATGGCAATTCAGGCTTCAAACACCTGACCCCCGAGGGCCCGTCTGGGGTCATGAACGTGCGCAAAGGCTCGAGATAAACACAGTGTGCCATTGGAGACAGTCATGACCTCAGGGTGTCCTCAAGCCCTATAGAAGGCAAATGAGGAACGGTCGATCCAATCACCTCCGACGGTGGAGTAGTCCGGGACACCGTAGGTGGGACAGGGACCTAAAACCATCATGATTTCCTATGCGGATCAGGTCGGATCCTGGTACAGGGTTCAGTAGGGAAGCCAGGTCATCCACTCTGAGTCGTCCAACATCGAATTTTTGGTGACTTCGGAGGGTTGGGCGCGCATCGAAATGACTATCACACTAGCCTGAGCTTTATATAAGGAGAACCACCCGCCTTTAGGGCGCTTGATCTCCCTTTTTTTCTCTTCCTTTCCCTTTCCCTGAATCATTATTATTCTTTTCCAAGGCCCCTTTGGCTGTGCGCATTGGCAGCAGGTGTTTCTGTCCATGGTTGTGGCTCATACTCGTATACCCTCGGAGTATATGATCTAACCTGACTCGGCCAGACCGTTTGGAATGGATCATCGGTTAAACCACTTACGAAACCCGAGATGGGGGTTCTATTTATTTTATTTTATTATTTTCCCTCAAGAGTTTTAAGGACTTTCTCTCCTTTTCTTCCCCCTCAGAATGCTATTTTCTTCCATTCTCCATGGGATGCGTACGGCGTCGGGTTCCAAGCCCGAGGATAACCAAACCACGAACACTAACAAACCAGATGAAGAACCAGAACCCACTAATTGAAATGAATACAGAGACTCAAAAGCGAACAGGATCAAAAGATCAACAGGACAATGACCCAGCTAACCCAAGTGAAAGAGAGAAACAGAGCAGTAACACAAAAGTAACCGGAACAGGCAGAGAGAGCGTTACCGGGAAAAAGCTCTGACCTGTCAGTAATTTTCCCTCATTCTCTCTCCACTTCCCCTTCCATCCCTAACTGAACGGGCTCTTGTGAACTGGTAGGTACGCCATTCTTACTCCGTCCTGTTCCCTGATTGCTCCGTTGGCTTTTGGTGGCCTTTGGCACCATTATTTTGTCGTATCCCCCCCATTGTGGCCACGCACCCCCATCCCCTTTGCCTTGCCTTGTAGCCCATTTGTTCCGGTTACGGAGCCTTTTGGGTGTTCTATTATTCTCTTGGCCTTGATTTCGAAAAAGTGACTTTTACTTGGCTATGATTTGCTAACATTTTACCCGCTACCCCAGCTCCTTTTACCCTTTCCTCCCTCTCTCTTTGTCTCCCTCACCCGCGCAGTGGTTTGTCGCCTTAGGCACACACCACGTGACCACCAACCTCTCCCTTCACCTGCCCATATTCCCCCCGGTCTCAGTCATCCGTTCGCAAAGCGGAATTTTAGTCAATCCAGCCTTATCGGTATGTACCCTAATTTATCCATCCCCCATACGTCCATCCTTCCCAATTCCCATGGCTTTATTTTATTCCCACCCGAGTTGCGACTGGTTGCGCGCGCCTGCCAAACATTCCGGGACGCGTCTGACCATCCCACGTTCGGACCACATCAACTCTATCATCTTGAACATGCCTCGCTGCGCGACCTACATGGACGATGCTTTCCATAATTCATCTGCTGACCCGCCATTGCAGGTAGATGGGTTGGTATAACCGCTCGACATGAATGCCTGGCTTGCCGACGCTTCGAATATTCCTGGCCAGGAAAATGGCGCCTTCCATCCTTCAACAATAGATCCATCAAGTGCTTTCTTACATGGCTCCCCCACCCCCCAAGATCCATCTCAATTCCAGCGCATGTTTAACGGTGTGCCGCGGAACGCCTCGCCGGGGTTCCACAACCCCAACCAAGTCATTCCATCCAAGCGGGGACGACCTGAAGATGGCATGCCCATGTCACCACGACCAGCTCCAGGTGGTATGACTGGATCGCGCTCGCAAACCCCCCACCAGGTACCATATCCCGGGTACCAGGGTCCAGCCAACGGCAATGCGCAATTTCAACAACCCCCAACACCGTATCAGCATCTTCAGCAAGCGTCTCCTAATGCTACACAGTCACCAATAATGCCAGACTTCGACCAGCAAAGCGCTCGCATGGGGACCGCGTCTCCAAGCCCCTTCTCACCCGCAGGGCCGCACCCTGGACCCCACATGTCCCCGTCGCAATCGGACCACGGAAGCCGCGTCAATACACCCCAGAACGCCAACTTCATGCAAGCGCAACAGTTTGGTGGTATGTCACAAGGACCTGGAATGACATCGGCCGCTCCTCAGCCCTCGATGCAAGCACCCCAGTTTGGTGGCATGTCCCAGGTACCCCAGGGCTATCAGCAGGCGCTCGCGAACCAGCAGCAGCGCTTGCATGCCATGCAGCAACAGCAACAGCAGCAAACGCGAATGAATCCCAATCCTGCATTGGCTGCGCGACAAGTCCCGGGCAATATGAACCCAATGACCAACCCTCAGATGGCACAAATCAGACAGATGCAGCCAAACATGCCACCAAACATCCCGAAGCCTAATAACCCAGAGGGCTTCTTGCGCTCGTTGCAGAAATTTATGATGAGCCAGAACCTTGCTTTGGACCCCAACCCCACCGTGAGTGGACGTCCGATCAACTTGGTTCAACTATATGGCACGGTGATGAAGCTTGGAGGATCAAAAAAGATTACCGCTACAAACGCGTGGCCAACAGTCGCGCAACACCTGCAGTTCCCTCCAATGCAATTCCCTACAGCCGCCCAGGAGTTCCAAGCACATCACACGAGGAACCTGGCTCCTTACGAGCAAGCCTTCATAAGCTCTCAACAGAAGTCAGTGGAGCAGATGCAGCAGCAAGGTGGAATTCCCCGTGGACCCGCTCAGCTATACGCAGGAGCGGCGGGCAAAATGGGCCCGGGCTACGAGCAGTCGCAGCCCCTGGCACAGTCCCCGCAAAACAACACACCGGTGCAAAACCAGACCCCTGGGAATCCAACCAATGGGTTTGCCACTCCCACGCATGCCCGAAGCCAAAGCAGACCAGCCCAAGCTGGACATCGATCAAGTCTCTCACGCCCATCGCAAACCCCAGTCCCACCCACAGAACCTGCGACTGGTCAATTCCCAGCGCCTTCTCCATCACAATCTGGCAAGGAAGTCACACCAGGCCCTGGTCAGCCACAGCAAACCGAACAAAAGCCAGAGCCTTTTGTGAAGCAACCCATTGGGGAAACCTTCAAGCCCATGGTGCTGACCGGAAGCCGGTTGCATGGACCTATTGCTGTGGATGAGATGTTCCAAATTGGCGAGGATATTTCAAGGCTTAAGCCCGACGTTCCCGCGTTTTCAGAATTAGGGGTTGTGGATATTCACGCTCTGACAATGGGTCTCCAATCCGGGATCACAGCAGAAATTCGGGTTGCCCTGGACACCCTTACTACCCTTTCCGGCGAACCTACCGTTCAAATATCCCTGGAAAACTGCGACGACCTGGTTGAGAGCCTGGTTGACTGCGCTGAAGATCAAGCTGAGATGCTAGCACAGCACACTACCGAAGAGACAGATACTATGACTTTACGATCTTACGATGAGATCACACGGGACTGCCAGCTTGAAAACACATCGCTCACAGACGCTCCCCCATTCGGGAGTCTCGATTACGAAATGGATCGAGCTGTGGATCGACTCATCTGTATCACCACCATCCTCCGAAACTTCTCATTCAGCGAGACAAACTTCCTTCCTCTCGGCATTCCTCCCGTTGCCCAGCTATTTGCTTCTGTTTTCCGCTACATGGGAACCCGCAAGAATTTCTTACGCAGCAGCCACAATACCCTGGATTTCATGAAGGATGCAGTAATACTGCTGAGCAACTTGGCTCACGTTGTTCAAATTCCGGGCAAGGATGAGGCATTGAGCTTATTGACCTTCCTACTTGCGTTCTCGCCAGAGCCGGAACCTATACCATCATCAGGCAAAGTGATGTTCACTGCTTTCAACTCCGCCGTGGATCGATATACCCCAGCGGCTGTGGATGGCCTCGCCAAAATGCTCGCAAGAGACGACCCGAATAGAACCTACTTCAAGGCCATCTTCTCTGGCGATGGATCTACACCAGCCCAACCTGAATTGTTGACCCGCGCCTTCGGTCTCGCTATATCTTGTGTCCCTGACAAAAAGCCTATGGCCGTGGTGGATGCTCGCAAGGTGTTCTTGATGCAAGGTCTTCTGTCAGCCGATGTTCTCACTACATTTGCCGACGGGGCTCTCGCCAAGCTTTGGCTGGATTCGGTCGACGGCTTTGCCGTTCATCTCCTACGACTCTCTTGTGCTCTCTGCACAGAGCGCATTCCACAGATTAACATGCGTCAAAGAGGCCAGGCTGAAGCTGATGCCTATGCCTTCAGCTCGATCGTGAATCGCGGCCTGGGAATCCTCCGTCGACTTGCTGAAAAATCAAAGCAAATCGATAATACCTCTCCCCTCAACGTTCCGTCAGGGATTCTACCCCGGAAGGAGAGCCTTCTAGGCGCATTACTTCTTCCTAACATCGACGGGGGCGTTGTGCGCCAGCTTCTCACCTACGCTCGGCTGGCGGAGTAAATTAATGCCCACATGAAACATCCAATGTGTATTTGTACCAGGGACGACCGGCCAGGTACTTGGCCCGGGCATTTTTGGTTCTCTTCTTTCGCCTGGAAAATACAACAATCTTCATCCCCTCATGTCATTTGTACTCATGTCAGTAATCCGTCTCCTTGTTCTTCTTTTTTGGGCGCTGGTTGGCAACGGAGTTCGATTTTCTTCACTTGTGAGATAGCGTTCTGCTCTATGTTTTAGTGTACAATGCTCAAAATACCCTCGATGGAAATCGGGTGACGCTGCAATATATTTACTATTGGCCATCGTTCTTGCGCTCTCCAAGAACCACCTAGGTAGTGTAGGAATTGCGCAATGTGATCAACCTTGGACCTCTGTAACAAGCCCTGGAGCCCCGGGGCCGGGGTGGTCTATGATTCAGCATGGCTTTGGATATAAACCTTGGAACCGACCCGCGGGTTTAGCCCTGGACTCGAGAGCAATTTAAAGATACACTTCAGCTTCCAAAGTTCTGTTCCCTATGCTCTCCTCCCCCTAGCCCAGGGTAGGTACTATTCACCTGGGCATGGATTAAGCCAAAATATGGGCCAGAAAGACATGAGCTACGGAGCACTCTTGAGCCCGAAACTGCGCCTGAAAACAACCTCTCTCCTGATCTGGAAAGCTGTTTGGTCTCAATTTGCACCCTTATGGCAAAGAACATCATGACCTCGGGATCTGTTGCTAGGGAAGGGTATGGCCCCATCCACCGCCGTATCCTTTCCTGCCAACAGATCATGGTGTCTTTGCCCATAAGGGTACAAATCGAGACGAAACGGCTTTTCAGATCAGGGCTCGTTTTCAAAAGATAAGTAAAAAACGCAATTTCGGGCTCATAGGCTCTGTTGGTTACTGTTTGATGAGCAGTGAATCTTCAGCCTTGGAATGGTTTGGCATTGAGTGAGGTCGTTCAATAAAAAAGTAGGAACAAGCACCCCATCCAGTCATCGAAAATATACACAGTAGGAATGTTACAGGTCGAGATAAGAAAAGGGAAAAAACAGGTCAGCAAATACAAAGGTGCACGCCAGAAGACACGACCGAGCAGATAAAACAAACACCGAAGGGAAAACAGGAGAAGAGAATCAGCTCACAACGAGATAGTGTATGCACAGAGGGAGGCAATAAATGCAAAAAGATAGATTCGACCAGATCTTGTCCGTCCTTTTCAGGGGTCATCCTCGATCATCATTTGTTCTTTTGACTCCCTGGTTTTCGATGCATTTTGATTCTCGTTCTCTTGGGTGAGTATGCTTTGACATATGCCTCCAATGAAGGGATATGCCGATAATTTTGGTATCCAGCCGGGGGTCACGAATAGATCCTGATAAGGCCTTCGTCCGCAGCAGCTTTAGATGTATTAGAAAAAAGAAATTTAGAATCCTCGCTCCTTGAGGAAGGCGACAATTTCAGGTTTCCGCCAGCCCTGTGTCATGCATGAGTGAATGTTGCGGTGTGGTGCGGTGTGACATCATGATATCACGGAACTCGAAACATACCTTGATAATGATGTGACCAGTGAGTCGGTTCAGGGTCACATCGGGGTTGGGTTTACCGCGCACATCAGTCACGCCCAGCGCGACAGCCAAGTCATTGCGGAGGGCGTCCAGATCACCTTCGGTCTTTTGAACCTTGGTGAGCTGCTTGTTACCGCCGGCCTTGGTGTCAACGTAGACAGGCAGTTGGTTAGAAGCGGTACGGCGAACGAAATAAGGGAGGTTGGTGAGCTGCAAGGGAGTGCTGGGTTTCTTGGGGGGTGTGACCGGTGTCGGGGATGCCGATGCGGAGGTGGAGTGCTCTTTCAAAGCTTGCGCTTGACGGCGGAGTTGGGTGAGGAAGGTGCGGCTTTGGCGGATGGAGGTGTTAGGAGAGGATTGAGGGCGAACTGAGATCGAGAGTCAGTCACACGCTTTTATCGCAAAAAAAGACACGAATTGAAGTCGACACGAGACATCTGCATGTTTTTTCCACCGCGGACTGCTGGTCGCGAAACATGGCAAGAATCGTGCCTCCGAGGTGTATGCTTTGACATAGGACGTGCGAGACGTGACCACACGATCACAAAAGACTTACGTGAAGCTTGGAGCCTCGCCTGAGGACATAATGTGGAAAATGAACTACATGCTGGAGCAGAAACCATGGACTTGGCAGAGTTGACGCGAAGGGCAACAGCCTGCTTTCGCAGGGCCGAGGAAGCCGGGCCTGAATGTAAGAAAGACGCCATTTGAGCGATCTAACGGACCAGGATGAGAGACCCAAGTGTTGAAGATGGGAGGAGATATTGTGGACAGAGACTGGGAGGACCGGAGCCAACATCTGATGCTCCTCTGCTCAGATTTTCTGCCACCGCTTCCCAACACCCACTTCCCAAAGGAGTTTAGGGCCACCGACGCCCGCACAATCTGCAAATTCTCCATTGATCGCGGTTGGCCTCTGTTATCCCCCTCTAGACGTTTCCCCCCTTTCTGCCATCTTTTGAGACCCCATCATGGCAGACAACGCCCCCCCTACCGCCGAGTCCATGCTCAGCGGCGCTGCTCACGCGCCCAAGACCGTCGAGGAGATCGCCTCCCAGCATGATTTGCTGCCCCGACTCATCCCGTACCTCGACCGTCACCTGGTTTTCCCCCTGCTCGAATTCAGCGCTACCGGCGATGAGGAGGACAAAGAAATCACCCGGGCCAAGTACGAGCTCCTGAAGCACACCAACATGACCGACTACGTCGCCAACCTGTGGCAAGAAATCAACAACTCCGACACCATTCCCGATGAGTTTGTGAAGAAGCGCGAGGAAGTTCTGGCCAAGCTACAGCACTACCAGGACCAGAGCGAGAAGATTACCGAGTTGCTGCAGGATGAGGAGGTCGTGGGTAACCTGCGCAGTGACAAGGCCGCCAACTTGCGTTTCCTTGAGGAGCAGCACGGTGTGACCAACGAGATGGTCAACAGCCTTCACGACTACGGACGCTTCCAGTACAGCTGCGGTAGCTACGGAAACGCCGCCGAGCTGCTTTACCAGTTCCGTGTTCTGTCCACCGACAACGACAAGGTTGCCTCCGCTACGTGGGGTAAGCTCGCCTCAGAGATTCTGACCACCAACTGGGAGGGTGCGATGGAGGAGGTCCAGAAGGTTAAGGACTCAATTGAGACCCGTCTCTTCAACAACCCCATGGCCCAGCTCACCAACCGCTCTTGGCTCATCCACTGGTCGCTGTTCCCCTTCTTCAACCACGATCCCGCTCGCGACGTCCTCACCGACCTTTTCTTCTCCCCCGCCTACATCAACACCATCCAAACCAGCTGCCCTTGGGTTCTGCGCTACCTCGCCGCCGCCGTCATCACCAACCGCAGTCGCCCCCACAAGCATTCTGGTATCTACCAGAAGCAATTGAAGGATCTTATCCGCGTTGTCCGCCAGGAGGACTACGAGTACACCGACCCCATCACCGACTTCGTCAAGGCTCTCTATGTTGAGTTCGATTTCGAGGAGGCACAGAAGAAGCTCGGCGAGGCCGAGGACGTGCTCCGCAGCGATTTCTTCCTGGTGTCGGCCGCCGACGCTTTCGTCGATGCTGCCCGTCACCTCATTTCCGAGAGCTACTGCAAGATTCACCAGCGTATTGACATCAAGTAAGTTGAAATTTCGGGAATTGAACCGTCTCGACAAATGGACTAACTGGTTTTCTAGCGACCTGTCTACCCGCCTTGGTCTTAGCCAGGATGAGGGTGAGAAGTGGATCGTCAACCTGATCCGCGATACTCGGGTTGATGCCAAGATCGACTACAAGGAGGGCACTGTTATCATGAACCACCCTCCCCAGTCGGTTTACCAGCAAGTCATTGAGAAGACAAAGGGTGCCTTCTTCCGCACACAAGTCTTGAGGTATGTCACCAATCTCAAATCCGTCATATCCGACTCGATTGCTAACAACACCCCAGCTCGGCTGTCGCAAAATAAACACCCGCATGACCTGATGTCGAAAACTGATCTTTTCTCTGTTATGTGATTTTCAACTTGTTTCTGCCTACCCATTTTTAGTGATCTCACCGTGTAGGTCACAACACGGCTGTTTTGAGGGATGGGACACCATGCAGAGTGGCATCCGGCTGGCGTTTTTCGGTGGTCCACCTTACCTATTTCTTTACCTCTTTAGTCATCTTGCAGTTCTTGTGCACGCTCTCTCCCTCCCCATATATCACTTCTTTGTCGGATTCTTCGCCTGCCCTCTTTATGTACTGGCCATATCTGGCCAGAGGATTGGTGAGAGGTTGGAGGCCCCAAAACAGCCACCACATACGGCGTCCCCTGTGTATATTTTGGAGGGGAAAAAAAGAAGAGAGATGGTGATATGAATGTAGTAGACTCCTCGATTTCGGGGTCTGATTGATCTATGCTTTTACGAATGGTCTATAGAGATGAGCGAAAGATGATGTCTGTTGACAATATTCCAAGGTTCCTTGAATGGCCGTTACACCTGATGTAGAGTAGGCTCGAGAACAGAAGGCCAAATTGTAAACATTCAGGGGGTGTTTGCGGGATACAACTCTACATGAAGTAATATTGATCATCAGAGACTGAACGATCTGACTGAAAATTAGAGGATTGGGCAATGTTCATAATGCTCCAGGGCTTTTTGATGTCGTGTGAACTCATCAATATGCTGTTGTCCGTATTCGTATTTAGTAGACCAATCGAAGCCAGTGACTAGAAGACTAAAAAGTGGGTCGTATACTTGCGCCGAGGACCTTTTTCATTTCGAGACAGTGAAGTTGGAAGAACGAGATGTACCTAGGTAGATACTAGTAGACGCTAGCTGCAGTAGACCTCAATCAATATCTGGCAGAGTGATCCAGTACTCAACTTGAGCCCAGGTAACACTGCTGCCGAAGGTTTGAATAGCTTCATCTGCTCCATACTCAGCACACGGTGGTTAAAGCTAGCAATTGACTAATCAGCTACCTAGGCACTGGAAAGAACCCAACATCCATGGTAAATACAACGAACCATCTTTCTGATCAGTACCTCAATGCGTGATCTGGTGACCACACAATGGCTCCAGGCTTCAATGGGATTTGGATTTCGAGTCATCACGCTTCTTTCCAGGGTTGCTGGTCTGGGGCATGACAAGGGGTTCCTAGTTCCAAATTATATCCGAGTAACAAACCAGTAGATATACTTTATACTGTTAGTACTTTCAAGTTTGATACCATGAATCGCTTCCAATGTTCTTCAAACATTTTGCCATGAGCTCACGCTCTGAGATTTGACGGCTTGCCTGGTGAGTACCTAGGTATATTCTTCATTTTTTTCCATTCAGTACCATCCATGGATACACGCCATCTACATAACACCGCAACGATAAGAGAACTTGAGTACTTCCGAAGTTAGCATTGGCAGTGGAGAAGGTCTGCAAGGCTACAGGCGACTGAGATATTCGATCCCAAGTCAAGTCGCGAGGCTGTGGGGTTGTGCCGGAAGACCAAGTTCAATTTAAAACACCAAAGGGTATCTTAGACAACAATATAAAAGCAAAATGGAAAAACAAGGCAAGAAAGGCGGAATTCTCATCAGTTCACGAGCATCTATGGCGACTGCACAATGTCTTCATTCTTCCGGGTTGAGCTCCAAAATATCCATCCTCTGGCTTTTCCATTTGGGTTCCATGGAATCATGGATGATGCATCCCGATCGGGTTGAGACCCAAGATCCGTTTTTGGCCTTGTCTTGGACACCGACATCCAAATCTATGCTCGTGGAAGGGAAAGGACATATCCAGGGTGGGAGTCGCAGGGGCACTTGGGACAACACGGAAGATCACTAAATGGCCAAAAAGATCCTGGGGCTTTCCGGGGCTAAGAAAGATTCCAAAGTCCAAGGCAATCAAGGTAGAGTGACTTCAGCGACCTCCCCGCGAGTCTGGCTCTGTCCGCCGGCGTGGTCCGGGTGGATTGACCGGGATTATCTCGTTGATATAGGGCTCATTTGATTGATTTGTCGAGCTGTCGCTGCTGGTGCTGGAGCTCGATGTGTTACTGTTGTTGTGGGCCATTCGAGTAGCTTCCTGTTGTTCGTACTCCCGGGACATTGCAGTAAGATCATCGATTTGCTCCTGGATGATATCGTCAGCCATGACCATTCCCGACGAATGGCTCCAATCCCTATTTTCAGGACTGTCGGGATCTGGGGGACAAACCCGTGTGAGAGGCATTCCGACAATCATATAACCTTCCCGTCCCTGTAACTGTTAGACGAGCTGTGTAGGGCAGCGGGAAACACAGGAGAAAGCAGCGGTCTGACACACTTGATAGCTATAAGGCCTCACTGTCGCTGACGGACCAAGGAAATAATGGATATGTCCTAGGACAATGTGTCGGGATAGTCCATACCCCGGGAGCCAATATTGCTGGACAGGAGACATTGTCAGGGCAGGCGAGGCAAAGAGGTGAAGCGGTAAGAATGATAGACTTGATATCAGTCGATACTGATGACCGGTCCGTGCCTGGACTCTTTGCTACGGGACTTTTGACAGCCATCCTGACGGACACGGGATGGGTATAAATACGTTTGGGGGTACCCTCTCCAAGCACGCAGACAAGCAAGACAATCTCTTACTCTGTACGGAGTACAGACGCCCTAGAGTCTGAACCAGTCACTTCGAGATGATCTCACAGGACAACAGAAAAGGGGACCGCGTACCCCCTTCAACCAAGTGCACGATCCACAATCCACTGGGCAAATGGAACCGCCGCTTACCCGCGAACCCGGTAGACTTCGAGCTAGTCTGCACGGAAGATGACAAGTAGAAGGAGTCCATAGTGGCTTTCACAAGTGGCCCAGCTCCGTGTTCACGAGAGGGACCATGTCGGAACGTTCGGGGGGCTGAGGGAACCCAGATGGTCCGCCTCACTTTATCAAACAACGAGGCCCAACCCTTTTTTCATTTTTTTCCTATTTATTTTCTTCGTTGGCGCATGTCATGAACTCGACAAGGCCATCCATCTACCCCTTGCTACCGGGAACCCGGTGGATCAAAGTGAGGCTTGCATGGAGAAGCATTGGTCTCGAATCAATTCGATCAATGGAGTACACAGTACACAGTCCGAGGAATAAGTGGACAATGCACACTCAACAGACCCCAAAGCATTGAAGGGGAAGCGCTTAGCTTCCTCACCGCAGGTTCTCAAGACGCAACTCCAAATTGGCTCCTGCGGTGATGTCGTGGCACCACGGATTGTCGTCTGGGGTCGCGGGGGGCCACTGAGCTGCAGCGAAGACATCTGCAGCACTCGCTTTTGGGCCATGATTTCTTGTTCTCTTCAATTGCCAAGAATATGGGATATCGAATATTTCGAATCACGAATCTGAAACCCCTCGTAGGTTCGGTGATCTATATTGTTGAGGCCGACATCGCAGCGGAAGTGCGAACCGGTCGGATTACCTGGAGATTAGGTCGATCTTCCATTTAGCCAAGAGTTCTGTGCGTGTCTCCAGATGATTCCAGGGAGTCCAAGCGACGCCCTGGAAGCCCGCCGGTGCTGTTTGTCGCACCGGTCAAGGTGTGACAGCGCATTTCTACACGATCTCACTGAAAAGCCGATCATAAGCCAATCATGCTTGTGCTTGATATATCATTCTCTAGTCTTTTCATAATTCGTCCATGGGGGAAAGTGTATCTTGCATCTCTCGTAACCTACTGAGGAGGCATGTATGGGGTCACCAACATCTCACTGAACTTTTCCAGCTTCTCCTTCCCACGCACCTCCTCCACCAGCATGGGCATGCGGACCACATTGAAATCCTCGTAGAGTTCCTCAATCTGCTCCAGATACTTCTTCTGCATCTTTCTCCGGGCCGTGCACTGCTCGCAGTTGCTACCTTCCTTAGGGAACAGCAGCTGGTTGACCACGATGGAGTGGGTGTCAATGTTGTAGCTGGTCAGCTCTTGGATCATACGTTCCGTCTCGTAGAGCGACAGGAACTCCGCAATGCAGACACAGACAAACGTGGTCATGTCCGGGTTCTTGAATTGCGTGTTGACCTCGCTGATCGTCTCCCGCAGCGACTCCATCTTCTGCAGCAACTCGTCCATGTTCTGACCCCCGGGCAGACCGCCCCGGGCACCCAGGATGGAATTGAGCATGGGACCAAACTGGGTGGACAGCTGGGAGAGCTTCGCGAGGGCCTTCTCAAGCACGGTGGGGAACTGGAGGAAGCGGAGGGTGTGACCGGTCGGGGCGGTATCGAATACAATGACCTCGTAAGAGAGCGACTTGACCTGCTTGAGGACTTCGGCGAACGACATGGCTTCGTCCACACCGGGAATCTGGCGCCACCAAAGTTAGATTGACACGTAGCTCGACGGCGTGATGGCGGCATAAGCACTTACGCTGAAAGCCAGGTCCTGCATCATGTTACCCATGCCCAGTCCCGCCATGGGGTCCTCGCCTTGACCGTCCCCGGTAGCTAGCAGATCCTGGATGCTGCCGTTGGGGTCGATCTCCATGGCGCTCAGGTTTGAGTAGCCGTCGATGAGGCGGGCCTCCTTTCCGAACTTCTGGCCAAAGGCATCGCTCAGGTTGTGTGCGGGGTCGGTGGAAATAAGCAGGACGGATTTGCGGACTTTGGCGAGTTGGATGGCCAACGAGCACGAGGTGGTGGTCTTACCCACACCTCCCTTACCTCCGACGAAGATCCAACGGAGGGTGTTTTGGTTCAGCACCGATTGGAGCGTTGGCTCCATATCGAGGTCATCGTGTACCACGGCGGAAGACATTGTGGGGAGTTAGGAAGTGGAAGTGGTGAGGTTCAGAAGTTGGCCGTTTATGCCCCGCAAATCGAAGTTTCCGGAAGACGGTCTGCTTTTCCCCCTAAGCCTCTGTCTTTCTGCAATCCACGAAGACAACCTTGGAGGGTGAATTCTATGATCCTATCTTCGATCGTCACAAGTTTCCATTGTGAGGTTGTGAAGCTCCCTCCTAAAGCATCTAATCGCATGCCGCATGTGCAGCTCCATGCATGTTTTTAAAACGCTGAGCTACTCTGTACAGCATTCGCATGTCAATTCAAATCAAATGGATATGGAATAGCCTTCCAGAGTTCCAAAGTTGGAAAACAGTGATTCTTATCCGGGACAGCTGAATCGCTGCATGGCACTCTCCGCACCCATCGGTATCCTCCGATGGGAACAGCACAGTAGAAATATCCCAGATAATCTTTTCTTTCCCCCTCTTTAAACACCCTTGAGCAAACACTCCTGCATGGCATCCAAACCCCAAGTGGACCGAATCACCAATCGACTCGCTCTATACCAACATCAGATCTCTCCGCATTCCAGCCAACACACCATGGCTGCCCGCGACCCCATCACCTGCCACTGTCTCAACACCCTATCAGGCACCCCAGCCGCCAACCTCCCAGTAACCCTGACCCTGCTCTCTGGGCCCAGCGGCGCCTCCTTCCGCGCAACCACCAATGCCGACGGCCGCGTCGCGAACTGGACCCCCGTCGGCACCGATGAGACAGTCCCTGCCATCCTCGCCGGTCTAGAAACGGCAAACACCAAGACAAACTGGTCGGTGCGCTTTGAGGTCGGCCCCTGGTACGAGGCCCAGGGCATCGAGAGCTTCTGGCCCGAGGTCGAGGTCAAGTTCACCGTCAAGGGTCGTGGGCGAGAGGGCGAGGAGGGTTGGCGCCACTACCATGTGCCTGTCTTGCTGGGTCCTTGGAATTATTCCACCTATCGGGGTTCGTGAATGGCATTCCAAGGTTACGGATGTCAAGTATAAAGCACCCTGGCAGAGGGGATAGAAGTTAGCGGAAATGATAATGCGCAAGCAGTTTTGATATCCTATATCCTGTAGTCCATAGGGCTGTACGTAGCGTGGATTACATAGACCACCAGTGAAACAGATGGTAGAACGACAAAATAGCATCAATCAATACACATAGTGGTTCCAAGTCTTCAAACTATACAATTTAACAGGGCAATAGATAGTAAATTCTCAAACAGCAGTGCCAAACACGGGCTAGTCCCATAGTAACCTATGCACAAAATATTTACGCGTCGATAAGGTCACCACCTTGTTGCGCCGGGGTATCCTTACTAGCGTTCTTGCGAGTAGAACGGGGGTAGAACTCATCCAGAACCTTCTTAGGGATACGGTTGAGGAGGTCCCTGGGGTAAATGCGCAGTAGGTTCCAGGCGAGATCCAAAGACTCGTGAATGGTGCGAGCCTCGTAGGCAGACTGGCTGATGAAGGTGTCTTCGAACTTGTCCAGGAACTCCAGAGAGAGCTTGTCTTCGGCGGAGAGGGCTTCTTCACCAACGACGGCCTTCATGGCGGCTATTCAAATGATATTAGTGCCGAACGCGAACAACCAGGGAGGGTAAACTTACCGGCATCACGACCGATGGCGTACTTTGCGTAAAGCTGGTTGGACACATCTGAGTGGTCCTTGCGCGTGCGGCCCTCACCAATGGCAGATTTCATGAGACGGGAGAGCGAGGGCAAAACGTTAATTGGAGGGTAGACACCCTTGTTGTCTAGCTGACGGTCAATGAAGATTTGTCCTTCCTATTCATGAGTCAGTATATAAATCCTCAGGGTTTCAGAGACACGGGAAGCGAACCGTAATGAATCCAGTGAGATCGGGAATAGGGTGCGTGATATCTATTTGGAAAGGTCAGTACAAATTGAATACGCCAAAAGGGGACTCGTACCATCGTTAGGCATGGTCAAGATTGGAATCTGAGTAATGGAGCCATCACGACCCTCAACGCGACCAGCACGCTCATAGAGAGTCGCCAAATCCGTGTACATGTAACCGGGGTAACCACGACGTCCAGGGACTTCTTCACGGGCAGCGGAAACTTCACGCAAAGCATCACAGTAAGCTGAGATATCAGTCATGATAACCAGAACGTGCTTCTCAAGCTGGTAGGCAAAGTATTCGGCTGTCGTCAGAGCCAGACGAGGGGTAATGATACGCTCGATGGTGGGATCGCTGGCCAAGTTGAGGAAAAGAGTGGTACGCTCCATACTGCCGTTTTCTTCGAATTCGCGAGTGAAGAACTTGGCGGTTTCGGTGTTGACACCCATAGCAGCGAAAACAATCACGAAGTCATCACCGTGGGCATCCTGGACGTTCTTGGTGACCAGACTTGCTTGTCTGGCTATGCTTGCTGCGATCTCGTTGTGGGGGAGACCAGCACCGGAGAAAATGGGGATCTTCTGGCCACGGGCAATTGAGTTCATGGTATCGATAGCAGAGATACCAGTGGAGATCATCTCCTCAGGATAGACCTTGAAGTAGCATTAGCTTAGGTTTCTTTGCCCGCGGGGTTGGAGAATTTACTCGAGAGTAGGGGTTGATAGGTTTTCCGTTGATATCCATGTATTCTTCCGCCAGCACCTTAGGGCCCTTGTCGATAGGACGTCCTGAACCGTCGAATACACGACCCAGCATGTCCTCAGAGACACCAAGCTTCAAGCTGTGACCGGAGAACTCGACTTTGGTCTGATCGCGGTGTCAGCAACGATTTGAGCGAGTGACCTAGTCTTCAAGGGTTCCTACCTTCTTGACATCAACGCCAGATGTACCCTCGAACACCTAGACCAGCAGACTGTTAATGACTATCACGATAAGTGGGTCGGAACGACAGTGTCGGTTCGTACCTGAACAACGGCTCGGTCCCCTAGTAAAAGAAACCACAGATATCAGCACGAAGAACTATAGAAAGTTCATAGTGGATCTTGAAATACCACCGCCAGGGGAGCTCACCTTTAACCTCCAGCACTTGACCGGAGCGCTCCGTGCCATCGGGCAGGGTCAGGGTGACAATCTCGTTGAACCGAGGGAACTTGACCTATACCATAGCATATCTCATTAGTGCATCGCTCTCTTTTCCATGTCGGGTCGTCTCCGGAGTTCTCACCCCGTCGAGGACAACAAGCGGTCCGTTGATGCCTCCGATAGTGTTGTAGCTGGCGCGGGGCTTGGCGCTCTCAATCTGGGGGTCGGTGGACTCGGGCATGGTGGGCAGATCAAATCCTGTACACCTTGAGAAGAGAGGATCAGATAGGAATCGAACAAGGTTGGATACGATGACCCGGTGGTTTGCCAAGCTGTCTGAAGCTCGGGCGGTGATGCGACACGTGACTGAGGGCTTACGTTACCTGGTGGGGATCCTCCACCTGTGAACGGAGCTCAGGATTCCCCGGGCCTAGAAGCTGCTTCGACTATCCTCAGAGGATGGCTTCTCAATCTAACATGCAATTCAGGGATGACCCTACGGCAGAAGATTCGCGAGATGGTCACTTCATGAAAGAAGCATTGTTAATGGGCGAGAAAGCGATTGAATTAAAGGAAACCCCCGTGGGCTGTGTGCTGGTATACGACGACCAGATCGTGGGCTGGGGCATGAATGACACCAATAGATCCATGAATGGAACCAAACACGCCGAATTTATCGCGATTGCACAGATGCTGCAAAACTACCCGAGGTCAGCGCTTCAATCCACTGACCTCTATGTCACCGCGGAACCCTGTGTGATGTGTGCCTCTGCATTGAAGCAGTATCGCATACGGAATGTGTACTTCGGCGCAGCCAACGACCGATTTGGAGGGACCGGCGGTGTTCTCTCGCTACACTCCGACTCCTCAATTGACCCCAAGTATCCCGTCTACGGCGGACTGTTCGAGAAGGAGGCCATCATGTTACTTCGCCGATTTTATATCCAAGAGAACGAGAAAGCGCCAAACCCCAGACCGAAAAAGAATCGTGAGCTGAACTCGAGGACATCACAAATGAGCCCATTACCTGGCACTGGGCAGTCACTACCAACCCGTGGACCAACTAGATAAAATCGAGTAGGGAATTCGAAACCACGGAGTCTGGGAGTGTAAACCTTGGAAGTGAATGAACAATCAAAAGTACTATTAGTAGTATATGTGCTACAAGAATTGTTCCACCGTGGGCTTCTTATCTAGATCGCTGGTGAAAAGCAGTAGACCATATCCGAGGACCTGTTCGAGGCTACTCCATCACGGATCGATGTCTGTTTCTGAAATGGCGCGTTTTGTGCTACTAGTACACTCAGGCAGGACGTACCTTAGATCCAACGTGTTGTGATCGACTGTGGGGAAATGCGAGTGGCTCTCCGGCCCCGTGGGAGTGTCCAAACTGATCTAGATTGCTCCAATGGCATGATGGGATGTTCAGTTGGGGACTGTTTGATCAGCCTCATCTCCAACTGAGTTTGCGTGCACGTTCGTCGAGGTCCACACCAGGGCTGTCAGGTACTCTAGACGGTAGATGTCCACTGGAGTAGGATCATGTGATGTGTAATTAAAATACATATGTAATCAACGTTACAACAGATCGGGGTAATTTGTCGAAATGCCCCGAGTCTCTACGTTGGCCCTGACGAGTATTGATTGCGTCATCTTTCACCGCATTCTTCGGGTTCCGTGCTTCCCACGCCTTGGCACTCGACCAGGACGGTATCTGATTGGTGGAGATGAGGGCAGACCCACCGCGGGAGAGAAATCTTTTCGTCACTGTGACATAATGAATATCTGGTTCACCAGTTGACTGTGACCAAGGGAAGTCTGATATAGAGAGCACATAGAACATAGAATAGATGTTGAGATCTGAAGGGAATGAGTGAATTACCTGGTGAAATGACCTGGTCAACTGCCCAGGTGTCCAGGGGTATCTCTCAGGGTGAGTAAGCGAGTACTCCGGAGTCCGGTGTCCTTGGAAGAGGCGAGAGTGATAAGTTGAATATAGGGCCATCTAATTCTTTAAGAGAGAGAGAGGAAATATATGAGTAAGTAAACCGGATCCGTTTTTGTGACGGTACCTGGTGGTCACGGTAATTTACCCACGGACAGTCAAATTGGCAAATTCCCTAAATTTCATCATATCCCTCTTCCCCCTACGTCACACTCTCTCTTTCTCTTCCTCCCAACCCAAGGCTTGTTTGGCTTTGTGCATCCCATATCACCACACATCAAAGCAATGTCTGCCGTAGTCGCTCCGGCTGCGTCGACTCTCCAAATGTCTTCTTCCCCCATGGACTCGAAGAAGTTGGAAAAAGAAGGTTCGTGTCACGCTCTGCTACGCGACTATTTTTTTTTTTCTCCTGTACTTTTGCTTCATAGTATTATGTGATATGATGTTCTGCCACTTTGGTCGTGTTTGTCTCCATGTTTGTGCATTATACTTCAGACCCTCTGACGCCACTGCCCTTAAACCCTTTGCCGTCGCGATGACTTCACCGACTGGCGTCATTGATTTTTGGGACCTCCCCCCCACAACACCTTAACCATGAAGCCCCAGACACGATCTCAGAATCGCCGTGGTACCTATTTGCGATCGCATGAAATCTTGGCGCGTCACTGACTAACCTCTCCTGCCTTCTGTTAGACTCGCAGGTCGCGTCTTCCAAGGATCAAAAGACCAACCCAGAGCCTCAGACCTCGTTGGCGCCACCGCCGCGACCGGGTGCGCCGACTGCGTCTGACACCCCAGACTACTTCAGCTCCATGCACAATCCCTTCTCCCTGGAGCCCAATCCGTTTGAACAATCCTTCAGTGGGGACCAGCCAAACGAGACTCCAGGCAAATCCCTGCTGCCGTCAGTGGCTGCCCTCACCTCCCCGGCCATCCCGGGCTCCAACCAGGGCAACGGGTACAACTGGTCCAACTCGTTGCGCTCGGGACCTCTGAGCCCGGCCATGCTTCCCGGCCCGACCGGCGGGAACGACTACTTTGACAGCATCGGTCGCGGCTTCCCCACCCCGAACGAGTCTTCCTTGCGCACAGGACTGACTCCCGGTGGTGGTGGGTCCATGTTCCCTGCCCCCAGCCCCAACTCACAGGCATTGCTCCATCAGCTTCAGAACGGAGGTGCGACGCCCTCAACTATTGACTTCCACCGTACTGCCCTCGCCGCGAAGAAAAACAACGCGAATGCTCCTACTTCCAACCCTAACGACCAAGAGCAAAGTAATGCCAGTAACGTGGACGTAAAGCCCGCTCGCCCAGCCGACTTCACTCAGCACGATGCAGCAGATGCGGCCAATGGGCTCTTCATGTTGGCCAAAGGTGGCCAAGCCAACAACTCAATGAACCAGGCCCCCATGCAAAATGATACCCGTGCTGCGGCGGCCCGACGCGTGTCTCAAAACACCAACGGTACTAGTGGAGACGATGTATCTGACGCGGAACCTGCCAAGCCTGCCAGGGGTAAGGGTAAAAAGAATGCCCCCAAGGCACAGGCCAACAACCGCCGCAAGGCCGAGGAGGCCCCGAAGGGTGCCAACAAGCGGACTAAGACGAGCATGGACATGCCATCAGATATGGATGATGACGATGACGATGATGACATGAAGAAGTTCCCTATGGATACGAAGAAAATGACCGATGAGGAGAAGCGCCGCAACTTTTTGGAGCGAAACCGGTATGGTGACCCTGCTTTGATCGACTCGATAACAATAGCTAATACTTTGACAGTGTCGCCGCTCTCAAATGTCGTCAACGCAAGAAGCAGTGGTTGGCCAACCTTCAGGCTAAGGTTGAGCTCTTCACCACCGAGAACGATGCCCTTACTGCTACGGTGACCCAGCTTCGAGAGGAAATTGTCAACCTCAAGACCCTCCTGCTGGCACACAAGGACTGTCCGGTTTCCCAAGCCCAGGGCCTGGGTCCCTTGATGATGAACGGCATGGGACCTGGATACGAGCACCACGGCTATAACATGCCTCCCAATATGGGCATGCAACAAGGTGGAATTCCCGCTCAAGGCATGCGCCGTTGAGTTGGGATATCGTCTTTTGTTCTCATATCAACGCATCTTGCGCCGCTTGCAGCAAATATACGTCACTGCTTAGATTCGGCGGTTTCTCTCTTATCTTTCTGAGGAGTTTGTCTTTCAACACTACCTTCCGGCAAGTCTGGCGGAAGTTCGGCATGGGCAGGTGTTAACGATCCTCACGACTCAAAAAACTGAACGGGCTCACTCGGTGGTCTGGAATGACCCTGTTTTTAGGGGGCGTGTCAATCGGGCGTTTGGTTTTCTCTTCGGTTTCCACATGGCTCCGAGGTTGCTTTTGTTTCTGAATCTTCTTCTCTTCCACCCTTTCCCCTTTCGATGGTGTTTCCCTGTTGTATTTTTTACCCTTTTTCTACCTTTTTTTCTTCTTTCTATAATCGTCCTCTTGATGGCTTGGGGGATTTTTCAACTTTCGCTTGTCTAATACTTGATGGCACATGGGTGCATTTTTGTTTCTCTTGCTTCGGTTTGCTTGACTCGACCTACATGATTCCTGGCGTACGGATGGCTTCGTGATCTTTTCGTCCTTGACTAGTCCCTCCAACCGAATGGTTGGGCAAATGAAATGACAGTCGCTGTGGATGTGTGATTTTCTTAGGGGATGTAGACTTTCTTCGCCATTATATGACGCCAATATGTCTTTGCTCTAGACCTCATTTGGAGTGTGAGGGCCGATTGGACTGGTCAATTTAGATTATCTGATGATGGTCTATAGATTCGAGAGCCAGAGCACCACATCACCAGTGATCCTCTGGCCCTTGCCACTCGCGAGACTGGCATTTCATTATGATTAAAAGATTCGTGTCAAACTTGGCTTCATCCACATCGGCGTTTCACAAGTGTGATTGGCCCTCCATTGTTGGATTTTGTCGTTGTCCCATCCAGCGGTGAATTGATCGGCAAGTTCCAACTTGCTAGGAGCCCCAAGTCGGAGACTGCTAACAAACACACAGGCTCCAGCAGCGTCATAAGTGTACGTCATGCACCAGTCTTTGTCGTGACACGCCTGACGACAGGCTTCTAGAGACTGATGCTGCGGGAGAGTGTCCGGTTGCTCGATGACACCTCCCCAGCCACCATTGTCCCACCCTATGCGTTCGGGCAGGCTCCCCAGATGATGATAGTCAATTAGGTCTGCGTACAGCAGGGGTTTCTACCGAATATCAGCGACTGAACTCCCAGGATGCCAATGGCGAAAACTTACCGTTCTATCCCGGTTGTCCTCCCATTTCGCTAGTGCAACCATGTCACTTAATCGCGACTTGTGCATACTAATCGCAGGTTGACACCAATGATCATCGTTCCCAAAGGGAATCGAGTCTAGCGGGTGTGCATTGAACATTGGCCACATCCCAGATAGCGTGATGCCTTTTTCATAGAGTGCAAAGCCAAGCACTGAGTCACCACAGCAATCGTCAGTGACAATCTGCATGTACTGCTCGCTGAGAGATGGCCCAATATACTCCCCCAGTCTCCCAGTCTCCCGAGCCACCAATGTATCAACTGCTGCCCTGGAGAGAACGAACCCTGACCCGCCGTAGGCGAACCAGTTCACCTTGCCCTCTCCGATGCCACGGCCCGGTGCAGGTGATCCCATATACAAAGGCGCGGAGGGATCGAACTGCTCCAGCATTCGAAACAGGTTGTCCCAGACGATGTATGTGTCCGTTTCCAGGAACACGTACCACTCTGCACTGGGATTCATCTTCTTGGCCCTCTCCACCATTGGCAGAAACTTGAAGCGATCAAGCTTCCAGCCTGCTGCGCCGTTGATTTCGGTCTCGTTGTGTTGGAATCGGTCGTATGCTTTGAATTCCGGAATCTTGGCCCGAGCAGACGGAGGCAGATCCTCGAGAATGTTATATACCCTGTGGCCATGCAGCTCAGTCTCTTTATCCGAGACAACGAGAAGATTGGAAATGCAGCGAGATACAGAGGCCATGTGCGAATCGACTCGTTCGGACTTTTCGGTTGCGCTGGTTTTCAGAACGATCTGAACTCGTGAAAGAAGGTCCGAAGGGAATGTTTCGCATGTTGTCTCGTTCGAGTCTGAGCTGCTGGTCTCATTGCTCACTGGCTTTCGAAATTGGGTTGTCGTTTCCCATGTCCAGTAGTCCTTTTCTTCTACCAACTCTTCTTTTGCTCCAGGTGAGATGTTTTTAGATAGTCTTGGAGAATGTAATGTAAATAAGAGAATAGCTGTGATGGCTAGGAAAACAATGAACAATTTGATCTTTGCATTGCTGAGCGCTCTGAATATTGATGCAGTCGCAGAGCCCATGGTGGGAGATCGGCGCCGATGCGCCTTATCAAAAATGGCGAATTAAAGTAGAAGAGAAGGAAATAACGTTGGACATATCAGGAATTCCACCCATTTTTCACCAGTCCCATCGAGAACGTCACCATGGCGGGTCGGGCTCATAGAATCAAGGTCCAACTGCAGCCTGCAACTGGTAGCCGATCATTGGAATTGGGGGCCGAGAGAGCCCTTGGATTGGGTCTATGGATTGGGTCTCCACGCCAGACCAGGTTTTTTGTGGAACTACAGATTGTGATGGGCAGTCTGTATGGCAGTCCATAGACCAGCCTATAGACAGTCTTGGCCATGCTATTCAAGCCCACGTTGGCAAATTCGACATTTCTGGAGGTCGATGCAAGACGCAAGGACCTTACGTGCGCAGCCCTGGAGGCCCACGGCGGGTCGTTGAAGTCAAGTGCCGTGATAAGTCGATAAGAGATAGACACCTGACAAACAAGGCAGTAATATATAACCAAACATCTCAAACATAAACATGCGAGCTTCGAGCTCCAGTCCGTATTCCTCTAACTACAAGACAGTTTGGTACATCCAAGGCCGGTGCTGAAACCCCCAAAGCCCAGCAGAAGATCCAATCGCGACCCCTGCCCCTTGGATCTCCGGCCCGACCTCGATCTCATTTCGCCCAACAAGCCCTCCCGGACCGCGAACCACGAGCGAACCAACACAATCTACAACACACCCCGCCAATCCGCCCAGTAGGGCACTGGGAAGACGATGTCCACCGCTGCGCGTAATCCCGCGCGTGGGCGTCGCTTAGACGACGCCCTCTCCCAACTAGTCGACGGGCTGACCCCCGCGCTCCCGATCTCCGCCATCCAAAACGAAGACTACTCCGACGAAGAAGAAGCCCTCGCCTCAGCCGAGAACCGCAGACACAATGCCCTTCTAGAGCGTGCCTGGCGCATCCTCGATACCCACACTGGTACCAATGCTCCGGAAACCGGGTCGCCTGCAGGGGCGGGAGGGCGACGCGGGAGTTTCGCGAGTGCGGAGAGCGTCAACAACGCGCCGGATCTCATTAAGCGGAAGTTGCGGCGGGAGAATGAAAGTCCAGATAAAGCTGTGCGCTTTTCGAATCTCTATTCTCGTCTTTTGACGCAGCCTGTGTTGTCGCAGAAATGGGGCATTCTGTTCTTGCTTTATAAGTTGTCCGCTTCGAATGAGCCTGCGGAAGGTCGGGCGCGGAGTCGTAGTCCTTTGATGGATGAGGGACATTTGCAGAATATGTTGGGTAAGGATGGTCGGCCTAGGCGGGCTGCTGCGATTGACTCGGAGGATGAGGGTCCTGCTGTTAGCTCGTCGGCTTCGCAGGCATATCAACGAGTGCCTCCGGCGAAGATGGAGCGACAGAGCTCATTACGACGTGATGTTGATCGTGGTGATGCAGAAACCGCCAGTCGTGGTACGACGGAAAGACCACTCACGGCGAATCGTGTTGACGGCGCAAACGATCGCAGCAGTGACGAGCAAGCTCGTGCTTCATCGCCGCGGCCTTCAAGTGCGGGCCAGGCTAAACCTACCGGATCAGTTGAGCATCAATTGTTACGTGACTTGCCCTTCAACCTACAAGGATTATCTTCCTCAAACTTACAGTTCAGCTCTGCGTCGATCTTGAAACTGCCCTCAAATCTGCCTGCGCCAATAAATTCACTTCTGAATGCACTGGCAGAGCCTTGTTTGCTCTACAAAGGTCTTTCTGTCTTCATGGAGAGCGAAGAAGGCGGACTCGTGAACCAGAGCCTACGAGCCGCCATTGCAATTGAGCTTCGAGCATATCTCAGCTTGGTCGCCACGTTGGAAGCGGAAATTCGACAGGCTTTGGCTGCAATCGGAGACGGAACAGAGCCTCAGGGCATCAGAAAAGGCGGCGTTACTCTGAAACGTTGCGTGGTATGGACGAGAGATGCTACAATGGCTCTTCGACTGATGAGCCTTATTGTGGAGGAGGCTCAAAGTAAGTATAAATCCTAATCTGCCGCATATTCTCCCAAGCTAACACATCACAGATAAAAGAGGTGGTCAATTAATTTCCTTGATCCACGGGTTTTCAACATCACATGGAGATCCGTTCGTGTGTGCCTTTGCTGAGAAGCTTCTCGCACATGTGACCCGACCATTCTACGATATGCTACGCCTGTGGATTTACGACGGCGAGCTATCAGATCCATACAGGGAATTCTTCGTCGTTGATCCAGAGTTCCGGCCGAAGACAGATCCCCGTCGAATCGCAACAAGTGTCTGGGAGGACAAATATAAGCTTGACGACAGTATGGTGCCATCAATCATCACCCAGGAGTTTGCAAAGAAGATTTTCTTAATCGGAAAATCCCTCAACTTCATCCGCTACGGCTGCGGCGACTCTGCTTGGGTGGAGGCATATTCCAAGAAAGCCTCCAAAGAGCTACGATATGGCGACACCGCGACTCTGGAAATTTCCATCGATGAAGCATACAAGACTACCATGGCTCGATTGATATCCCTGATGAACGGGAAGTTCAATCTCTTTGACCACCTCAAAGCGCTGAAGAGTTACTTGTTGCTAGGCCAGGGAGACTTCATTGCCCTGCTCATGGAGTCGCTCGCCTCGAACCTGGATCGACCTGCTAATTCTCAATATCGACACACACTGACTGCACAGTTGGAGCATGCAATTCGTGCCTCCAACGCTCAATATGATACCCCAGAAGTGCTGCGCCGACTTGATGCCCGTATGCTCGAGTTGAGCCACGGTGAAATCGGGTGGGACTGCTTCACGCTCGAATACAAGATCGACGCCCCTGTGGATGTCGTCATTACACCTTGGGCGTCAACCCAATACCTAAAAGTGTTCAACTTCCTGTGGCGCATCAAGCGCGTTGAATTCGCACTCAACAGCACCTGGCGTCGATGCATGACGGGTGCGCGAGGCGTGCTCGGTAATGTGGAAGATAAAGTTGGAGCGGACTGGAAGCGTGCACGATGTGTGATTGCAGAAATGATCCACTTTGTCAACCAGCTCCAATACTACATCCTGTTTGAAGTCATCGAATCCAGCTGGGACCAGCTACTGGAAGCCATCCGGAAGCCTGGTTGCACACTGGATGATTTGATTGAAGCACACACCAAATACCTCAATTCCATCACACACAAGGGCCTACTTGGATCCGTGTCCACACGTGGCGCTTCAACCTCAGGTTCTGCCAAACCACCCGAAGAAAGCTTCCTCAGCCAGCTCCACCAGATCCTCAAGGCAATGCTTACATACAAAGAGTTCGTCAATGGCTTGTATTCTTTCTCCGTGGCCGAATTCACCCGCCGCCAGGAAATCAACGCCAAGATCGAAACTCGCGCTTCACAGGGTCAGTGGGGGAGCACGGAACGCAATCTTCTATCACGACAGTCTAGCCGCGGTGGAACCTCCATGGCCTCGACACCAGACGTGCGACCCGACAGTGCCGGAGTAGACGGGGTCAATACCCCATTGTCTCTCGGAGGTCAAAACCTCACTGTCGACGACGACATCCTTCGCCGACTACGCGAATCTTTGGAAGTCACCTCCCAAGAATTCCAGGCACGCCTAACCCGTCTTCTACTTGATCTCTCATATCAACCGGACGTTGATATGCGCTTCCTGGCTATCATGATGAACTTCAATAATGTCTACGACACCAAGCGCCGAAAGACAGCTGGCCCTAGTACAAAAGACAGGGAAAGGGAGAGGGAGAGGGAACGAGAGCGCGAGAAAGTCAAACGAAAGGCTGCGGCTGCTGCGGCTGCCACGGGTTCTGGGACTGACACCGGTGCACCAAGGGAAGTCCGCAGAGAGAGGAGGGATACTGGGGTGGCTGATCAGGCTGGACCCGGTGCATAGAAATCAACTTTCAATCAGAAGATTCTGACGAGGTCACCATAATGTCATTGACGAGTCCCACGAGTTCTGGATTTCTTCCTACGTAAATGACTACCTCCCCACTCGGGTAGATTCTCCGTTGCCTATTTGTTCATTTTTTACACAGGACCCTATGTGAGATACATGCCAGGCACCGGATGTCATGCGATTGGTAACTGATCCCGTTTAAGCGCATTTTAGGCGCATATATACAATCTTCACTTGCAGGGATTGCCATACATACTACGTCATCTGGGGCAGACGTTGTGGTTCTTCACGGTAGAAATAGGGTTCCAAACACTAGTGCGTTTTAAACAAGATCTCAACAGCAAAAGACAGCGATGATTGGTACCAACAACAAACTCGCTAACCCTTAATAGCCGTTATAGGTCATGGGTGGGTGTAGCACGATCCTTCCAGCTCTGATTGGCTTCATCAACCCCATACTGCCTCAGATAAAGTTGCGGGCGAATCACCAGTGGATGCCCGCCGATTGGCCCAGCTCGATCCATGGGTCAAGATATCGTTCTGCAAGCCAATAGGAACCCATTCTCCCCCACATAAAAAGCCACATGGCAGGGGTTCGATCTTTTAGTCTTCTCCAAGCGCCTGACGAGTATCAGAAGTCCAAATCCAACAATGATGGCTGCGTGCAATCTTCCTCAAATCGTGCGTGACGAGGAGAAGTATATGGAGACCATTATCCCGCCGTTAGCACCACCATTTTCGGCGCGTGCCAGCAGGAATCAGGACTTCTTCGTCAATCGGAATGTGCCGAAAGCAAGTGAGCCCTTGGAGGAGGAGCCTAAAACTGCACCGTGCATGAGTGTGAATGAGATCTTCGATCTCCGTGGCTTTCGGAGTCCCGAGCTCTGGAAATTCGCTATGCTCGAATCTGTCGGTAAGGGAAAATACTTCCGCCCAAACACTGGATAGAAAGAAATGATCTGATTCAGAGCCATCATGTTGTTATCTGTTCTTGGGCTAACCTCTGAGTAGCCAGCTTGTTGAATGTCTTCATCACAGCATGGGTGGGCACCCATCCACTGGCAGCTACAACATCCCCACAGACCGACGCCGGCGTTTACAGTACTGCTACCTTCTTCACGCCTCTGTTCATCGCTATAACCATCATCTTCATCACCCCACTTCTATTGTATACCTTTACCCCGTCGAGCGGGGGCCACATCAACCCAACCATAACGCTAGCCATGTTCTTCGCCCGCCGCATTAGCTTCCCGCACATGGTCCTATATGTTGGGGGTCAAACAGTCGGCGGAGCATTGGCAGGATTCGCCATGTACAATGCCTACAGAAATCGAGAGACCGCAGTTGGCGGATGCCATATTGACACAAGTCTAGTGGCATCAGGCGACGCATTGATCATCGAACTCTTTGCCTGTTTACTCCTGATCTTTGTGGCATTTGGCGTGGCTCTTGATCCTAGACGAGCAAAGGTTTTCGGAGCCACTGCTGGTCCCTGGCTCGTGGGAATCGTCCTCGGAGTCGTTAGTTGGGCGACTGCTTTTACTCGAGAAGGCTACTCTGGTGCCGGTAAGATATGAAGTGATCTCGCTACTCACGGGCGTGTGTGAGCAGGTATAAGTATTGACGAAATGTTGCAGGGTTGAACCCGGCGCGATGCTTCGGTGTGTATGTTGCATCAAGCTTTCCGGGCTATCATTGGGTCCACTGGGTGGGTTGTATTGTTTCTTCCTTGGGCTTTTTCTAATTACTAACTTCCGATACTCAGGTTGGGCCTCTTTTGGCGGCTGTCGGGCATGGCATCATCTACCTCGCGGACCCACTCTGGTTCGAACGACGGAATTCGTGAGCTGCTTGTTTCGGAGGTGGCATTCGGAACTTGAGATACGGTTAAATGCACTCGTACATGGTTCAACGGCACATATCTGTTATGTTGCACTAGTTTGAAACATTCAGAAGTATGCATCTTGCCACATGGTATGACCTTGGGAAGGGTGGCGTTGGTAAAATGGGATCGTGGGTATGTACGAAGAGATGATTTGTATGGTTTGTACTTTTATTTCCACCTGGGCAGTTAGTCGGATTGACGCAGCAAATGTACATTGATTTATAGAAATACGGGAAGACTCATACTTCCCGTGCCTCGATAAAGCTAATCACCTATAAAGTTTTCATTCAATCATGACAGTACCTACCTCGGAGATAAGGTTTGAAGTATTGCAGTTCAAGGGTCACATCTGCACCCTCCAGGCAACCTTTTCAACTCCATCTGCGTTAATAAATACCAAATTCTCCTTTTGCCCCACTTACTACTTCTCTCAGAGATTACACGAGAGGAAGTTTGAACGATTGAACAAGAAATGGTATGAAAATGCAAAAACATAGTAGTTTGAGTTTCTTGATCGGGCAAAAAGTACGGAGTATAACATGTCGGACTCCGCGAAGATTCCGGTTATTACATTCTCAAACAATCGGAGCGCAGACTTGGACAATCTGAAGCTCTCTCGGGTAAGTCAAGTTTTATTCTGTCCATTTATGCCTGTTATATGGTGTGGATAATGATACTGACTCTGGTTTTCACGAATAAATGTCACAAGTCAGGCATCCAACCTTGCAAGGACTTTCGAGGGCTGTGCTGTAGTAGTGACAAGCAAATTGCATGCTCACGCTGTATTCTCGACAGCTATAGTATGCTGATTGAAATGGAATTATATTTTGTCCCAGAACCCCAGTATTGGCTTGTCAGTCGAGTGTGTGGCTCAAGATGCTCTCGTATGCTTGAAGCTTGGCACTCATCTTTTGGATGATTCTTGGCCCGGCTCAATGTTTATGCTGCCTCAGTGTCTTTCGAGACCCTGAGCAGCCCAGAGCACATAAAGATGACAGATATGGTATACAAGTCCACCTGGGCAGTTGTTGTGCTACGGTCATTGTCAAGCACTTGGGAGCGTGTGTAGAAGGAGGAGAGGATGTGATTGGCTAGTTGGCCCACGCAATTGATCGGCAGAAAAAAAGTAGTCTTTCCGTCTCTGCAAAGTTGAGCTTGCAGTCCCTTGGCTTGCACTGTTCAATTACTTGAGAGTGTCCAGCTATTCGCTCTGCTCTGTTTTTGTGCCGCTGCAATTAAATCACAGCAAAGATGGCGCACGCCGATACCCAATCCCCGGCATCCAAAAAGCTCGAGTCGCGACCCAAGAAAGCGAAGGATTCTCCCACCACCGAAGACGATACCAAGCTAGAGAAGAAGGACAAGAAGAAGCGCAAGAAGTTTGAGTCCGAAGAAGCGGCGCCCGAGACAGATGGCGAATTGAAGAAGAAAAAGAAGCGCCGTCACGCCGAAGACGATGGCGAGCAGAAGGACAAAGACACTGAATCGCGCAAGAAGAAGAAGCGAGTCTCATTTGGACCTGGAACGAAGGAGAATGACGGTGACTCCGACAGCGACTCCGACGCCGCTGAGAGCAACGAAGCCGCCGTCTCTGACGGAGCCGACGCAGACATCGAAGACAAAGAGGCCGATAAGGCCCTTGAAGAGATGAAGAAGCGGAAGCGCGAGAAGAAGAAGCAAAGAAAGACCGGCACTGTCTCGACCGAAGGCCAAATTCACGAGACCCCCATCCTCTCCTACTTAAGTCACTACCACCGAGCACGCGAAACATGGAAGTTCCAGAAGAACCGTGAGACCAACTTGTTCAAGCACCTGTATTCCCTTGAGCATGTTCCTGCCCGCTACAACACCTCCTTGCTGGTCTACATTCAAGGTCTGAAGGGCGATGCTGCCAAGCAAAGAATGAGCGATGCCGCGAGAGATGTGATCAAAGCCGACATGGACCTTGACAAGCCAAAGGATGACGAAGCGGAGGAAACAACAGACCCTGCCTACCAACAGGCCATCGAATCATTCAGGGAACGCCTTTCCGAGGGTAGCGAGGATCTGGATAACTCCGACATCCCCGAAGAATTGAGCGCAGACGCCCAAAAGCGTCTGCCCAAGAGACAGCGAGGAGAGCTGGTCTTCTTCGCTGTAACCGGCAAGCTGTTCAGCGCCGAGGATGCGAAGCCGAAACGCAAACCCAAGGTCGTTGAGCCTCCAGCCAACAAGAAGCGGAAGAACAGAACCATGGTCGTCGACATCAGCAGCAGTGAGAGTGACAGCGACGATGACACTCCATCTTCCAAGAAGAGTGTTAGCAAGTCTGCGCCGGATATCAGCGATGATGAGACCTCCTCCAGCGGTAGCAGCAGCGACAGCAGCAGCAGCAGCAGTGATAGCGATGACTCTGATGCTGTTGCCCCTACCCCTGCTCCCGCCAAGCAGCCTGCACCGACGTCCTCCGGCCCCAGTGAAGTGGCGCCAAAGAAGAATGCTAAGAAGCAGAAGTTTGTCCCTGAAAAGAAGGAACCCAAGGCGCCCAAGAAGACACAGAAGCGAAAGCTCCGAACTGCCCAGATCGAGATCTCGAGCAGTGAAAGTGATAGCGATTAGTTCTGATGACCCGGACTATGATTGCTGTCCTAGCCTTGGATATGATATCATATAGCATACGGAACGGTGTAAATATGTTTATAATCTCAAAAGTCAATTGATCATGTTCATGTGGAATCCAACGCTGGAAGCTGATAGTTGATGTGAGCATGCTGGTCTGATAGCTGTTCTTCCTATACAGTAGCTTTTCCATTGTCAATAACAACTAGATGACTGGCTATCGTAAGACAGGTCCGAAAAGTACCTAAATATACATTTAGATTATTTCTTGGCCTTCAATTGCATCTTCCCAAGCGTACGGTGTATGTGCAGCGTTGTGTTCGAAGGCGGTGAGTTCAAGCTTGAGCTCAGGCAGACAGCTCTCACGCGTCACCGATCAACCCCCATCGTCTCATTCACCTAGACCCTCCTTTCGAGTCTATTTACTTCTCTTAATCGCTCGCTCCCTTTAATAAGACATCAGAATCCGCCATCATGTCTGGTATGTTCCATTCCCGATGGCTCAGCCCAGCCTCATGACTTCATCCCCAACTGATCTCTGTTCTCTCCACAGGAAGCGCCTACGACAGACATATCACTATCTTCTCCGATCAGGGTCGATTGTACCAAGTTGGTATGTTTCATCCCCGATACCTCAGTGCAGACCGTCTATCTGTGCGCTGTCACCACGGCCGCTGACCAAACACTCGTACCTCAGAATATGCCTTCAAGGCCATCACCTCGGCCAACATCACCTCCATCGGTGTGCGGGGGAAGGACTGCGCTGTTGTTCTCTCGCAGAAGAAAGTCGCTGTAAGACCGAACCTACAGTTCAAAGCCAAGGATGCGCTGAAGCTGACCTCTGCCTAGGACAAACTGATCGACCCATCCTCCGTTTCACATGTTTTCCGGATCTCGCCCTCCGTAGGATGCGTGATGACCGGCTCCATAGCAGATGCTCGGGCATCCGTCGACCGTGCCCGTGGTGAGGCAGCTGAGTTCCGCTACAAGTTCGGATATGAGATGCCCTGCGATGTCCTGGCAAAGCGTCTGGCAAATATCAATCAGGTCTACACACAAAGGGTATGTCTTAGTTCACCTCAGAATGCATCGGCAAGGAGACGAAAATGGCTGACCGGGTACTCTTTGAAACTGTCCAGGCTTACATGCGACCACTCGGTGTGGCGACAACCCTGATCTCCGTCGATGACGAGAGCGGCCCACAGCTCTACAAGTGCGACCCCGCTGGTTACTTCGTTGGATACAAGGCCACGGCTTCCGGCCCCAAGCAGCAGGAGGCGTTGAACTACCTGGAGAAGAAGCTGAAGAACAAGGATGCGGCCGCAGGCAGCTGGGAGGAAGTTGTGGAGCTGGGCATCACAGCCCTGAGCAACGTCCTAAGTGTTGACTTCAAGAAGCACGAGATCGAGATTGGTATTGTCGGGGGGCCGCGAGTCGATGGCGAGGAGGGAACCACTACGGCGTTCCGTGCCCTGACGGAAGAGGAGATTGATGAACGGCTGCAGGCCATAGCCGAGAAGGATTAAATGCATTGGCTCTTCCCCCAATGAGAGATCCGGGGCCCCTGGATGAAAGGACCTCGGTATCCAGTTTAGACCAGACGATCTGTGAATGATAACTCGAATTTGCCTGCAGGGTCACGGTTTCGGTCCTGTTTCGGGGCGCATCATAGCCTGGTATTCGTTCATGCATCTACAGCTCGATCCTGTTCGTAGTCTTCGCGCTGGTCCGAGACTACCGTATTGAGATCTCAGCCGCCGGATGAAAAACCGCCACCCCCAAAAAAAGAAACATAGCCAGATCTTCACGATATATCACACTGCATACACCGCAAGGAGGGACCGAAGAACAGCGAAGAGGTGAGGTTTCAGCTGCTGTGCGAGCGCCACATGTGGCTCAGCACCGTGGCTGAGATAATCGACCACGAACCCCTCCTCTCCTCGTAACTCCTTCAATACACAATACCCAAGCTAGAAACCACCTGGAATTACTGCTACCGAAAGTGGCTAGTGTCCCCTACGAAAATAAGTGTGGCAAAGACCAGCTGAGCAAACCCTAATTGTCAGATCCACTCAGATCTCGTCCATGCAGGTCCTGGGCTGAGACGTGAATGCTCGGCCCACAATGATACATCAATCAACACTAAGTGTCGTCTCCACTGAGTAGTTCGTTCGATAATCGCCAATCACCGTCATGAATCGCCAGCTCTCTCCTCACGAGGACCCCGAATCGACCGCACGAGAACCTAATCTCGTTAGGTGCGGGCTAACGTTCCCCATTCCTAGTGTCCAGCTCGCATCCATCTGTCTTAGAAAAAGTCTCCAGAGCAAATCTGCATGTACCGCATCCCCCCACTCGAGGATCCCTCTCGCTGGGAGCAAGGGTAGCCATGCCGTAAACGGTTTCTCGGGAACTATGATGTGGCTCGGTCCACCACAGTACATCCCAGCTGTGCTTGAACAACCCAAACTCCTTGATATTGAATATTCGCCGCTCATTGGCGCAGCTCGTCTTTCGTGGTGATCCTCCTGACGTCGGCTCCGCTACCACGGGCTGATGAATCAATTTTTTTTCCTCCTCCGCGCATTCGAACGGTTGAATAGGAGATTCGGTTCTCCCATTTCACACTTATATCTACCCTCGTTCCCCAGGTGTGGATGGCCTGACACTCTTCATGGACTATCGACCCTGATGACATTTGCCATTCTTTCTCTCTTTGATCTTTGATGTCATTTGTTTATACCTGCCTTGTATCATCTTCTTACTTCTAATATACCACTTCCAATCATGTCGGACGGACGTGAGTTGACTTCAGACACCTATGAGATGGTCTATCGTACTGACAATCCAATTCAGTCAACCAAGCCCGCGCCATGCGCGTTGCCGAAATCATCAACGATTATCGCACTCTTCTACTACACATCCCACAACAGAACGTCGAGGCATCCCAAGAAGAATACTGGGAGGAAGGCTTCGTGGTGCTCCGCGAGTCCCTAGCCTCCGCCCAGAGCTTAATGTCCACCAACTATCAAACCTGCCCAGTGACGGGACAGGGCAACGTCGAGACAGAGAAAGCCGAGCTTCAAAGGTACCACCGCTCACCCGATGCTCTTTCCCGGCAGTTTCGAACCGAATCTGACACAAAACCCAGAGTGATTCTCGACAGCGCCGCACGCCGATATCAAGCGCACAAAATTTACCTGCGTGCCGCCGCGGCCCGGCGATGGGCCATGACCCGCGCCAGCATCCTGCGAGGCCAAAAGCCCACAGCCCAACATGCCACGGCTCTCAAGAGCGCTACGACCTCGCTCCACCAAGACCTGGCTCGGATTACAGATACCTACGCCGTGTCTGATCTCCGCGCCGCGGATATGCGAGCAGGACACTGGCTTGACGACGACCCATCATTGGACGCTATCCGCCGCTGGATCGGGGCGCAGTAATGACGAAACGAAATGCACCCCGGGGTGTTTTTGCATATACATGTATCAGCGATTATTTTCTGGCATTTGTATGAGGGGCTGAGAGGCGGGGCGGGAAAAAAAAGCGCTGGTCGCTATTCTTGCCGTCTTCCGAACGAACAAAACGAAGCCTGGATTTCTTGCGTGCTTTCTTCTGGTTATGCGATATCCCCTTTCGTTTTGGATTTCACTGGGTTGTGTTTTTCAATTTGTACCCTTTTCCTTTTTTTCATTCTCTTGATGGCGTGACGGGCATTGCGTCTCATTTTTTTCTATCATTATGCCTACTGCGTGGGCCTGGGAATCAATTCACTTCTTCCACATATGTTTCCGTTGCTTTGACCCATTTTCGAGGTACTTTTGGTCTCTTCGCGCTAGGTAAAGCCGAGGTTCTGTACGCTGTCAAGTGAATCATGCATACGGAGTACTCAAAAAGTGATAACCCTAATGTCTCCACCACAACTTGACCCATCGGGCGTTCCAATGTCAAGCAGTGTACGTGTCTAATCAATCTATTGAACATGACAATTGTTCGCAGTACGGTAGATATCGAGAAAACGTCAGATCTCGCCCGGGTAAGGATCCAGGGCACTAGAAGTTGGATCGGTATTCCCGGCCATTGACGAATAAGATAGGTTCACACCTGGGGCGCCGAGGCATAGCTGAAACACTTCAAAGAGCGGACTACACCGGCACGTATATTAAAGTCAATGCAATGCTACGTATTACAGTATAGTACCTAAATTATGCCCTAACCGATTCAGACAAAACCGTTTTCACACAGATCGTGGGTCAGAGAGAGAGAGACGGGTTGAATCGCGGTGGATCCGGGGCTAGGGGGTTAGCCCGCTGCACTCTTATGCCAATCGGCGCCGCGGACCGCCATGTGTCGGCTCGAGCTCAGCTGCCGCTGGTTTTTTTCTTTTCTTTTTTCTTTGGCGCTTTCGTATGTTTGCTCTTTGCTTTTTTCTGGGCGTTCGATCTCTGGCGCACTTTTGTCCATCTCGGGGTGCATTTCCGACGCTATTTCCATACATCGTATACTATTCTGCATGGGCGAATTCGATCTCTCCCGTCACATTCCAGGCGAGATGCATAATACCAGTGGGTCGGACCTAATCCTTACTGTACGAGCAGTCGCATAACTGTGTCTCTTCTTCCTTTTAAGCAGTTCTTGCTAAATGGTACATGATCGTATGATTCGTTCTAGTAATAGTCTGGGCGAAATACAATCTAAACCGCGGTGGAGTAGGAGAATTTTTCCCCAACGCTTACTAGTTCTTTTCTCTTCTATCTTTCGATCTTTCTATCTTTCTGTTTTCCTGTTTGATTATTATCTGGAATATGTTAAGACACTCTCATACTATACACTATATTATACGCACCTGCACAGTGTATGGTATTTCTCTGATATTTTGGTCCGAACAAGCGGTGCACAATCCCGACAGCTCGGAACGAAGACCACGGGAAATCCGGTTTTGACTCTGTTCAATGCCTTTTTACCTTGCCTCGTTCACGTTAGTAGAATGCAAGCGCAGAGCCATGTTACCCGAATCTCGGAAACCGAGCCAAATTCCTGATATCCAGTAGTATTGCTTCGTTTTCGACGGTGAACGAGATCTTCTCGTATCTTTTCTTGGGCGCTTTAACGGAAAATGTGGACCTCACTCACTTCAATTGGATACCAGTACTTCGATCGAATGATTAGCAATAGCTGTGGATTCTTTGACTGGAAAACGGCATACAATTCCATGGACTTCCATACCAGTTGACCTTTGATGGGATGGTTCAAGCGCTAAACTAGGGATCGTTGTGTGACCCTAGCCAAAGTCTCCATATACGGTCAAGATTAGGACATTCCACTCCGTGTGCTGGGCTCCCGATTCTGCAGATCGAGTATTAAACTTTCATCTGCTTCGGCAATGAATTGAGAATGCTCGGGTGCTCGTCTCTCCCCCTTCAATGTGAAAAGTGCCGATCGAAGCGGCAATTACTACCCGGTCAGGATCAACGACATAAGAATTTTATAACAATCTTGGCGATCAGTAGAAAGGACCAACAGGGAGGGGAGGGAGCAAGATAGCAGGAAAGATGACTGCCTGGGCACGGCTAGATGACCACAAGAGCTCGAAGTCTCCCATAGAAGCAAATTACTACTCAGAGCAAGACTGCTAGAGATATCACTCGCCTAAATTCATGCAGTTTTCCAATCTGGTAAACCCAATCACTCAGTTCTTCAATCAATGGGCTTCCCAATAACCCGAATCCTCATTCAACCCGGGCTCTAACCAAGAACCATTTCATGTAACTCCGCCATATACACACTGTGATACGGATATCTACTGGAAATCATATTCAATTTCAAGATTTCAATTAGAATAGCCCGACATGAAGGAGGAAGATGAGGAAGCAAAGCAAAGCTGCTCGGCGATGAGCTGTGCATGGATTTCTTCCCAATGCTCGGGGGCGAGGATTACTTCCCCTTCTCCCCTCCCCAGATCTGTCCTTTCAAATACATTTCCACGGACAATTCCTTGAGGCGAGAAGAATGGCAAGATCTGTCAGTTCCGACAAAAGCCACCACATCACTGGAGTGACTCATTGTGGAAGTTCGATCTCGTCGATTTTATTTGTCGGTAGCCCAAATGCCCGCGCATCAAGTTTGGTTAGGAATAAGCTTGCGCTTCCAGGTCCCGGCGCCTCAGCCTTGCAAAGAATCAACGCTCCTAACAGATACCTCGGAGTAAACGAGTTTGCCAAAGATATCAGTCGAAATTCGGCGCTCTTCGTTGTGTAAGAGAGCTGAAGAATATCCTTTGCAGCCAGTTTCGGGACAGACAAACTCGTATATTTGACTCATGATACGGTAATAGACCCGTGTCTGCGTGCTAGGGTTTAAAAAATTGAGGAGACTCAAGGACCGTAGACTTGACCTTCGTACTCTTCACTTGTAGCAAGATTGATGGCCAATCCCGAACATTCTTGTATGAGCGTGTATGTTGCACTCCACCCATTCGTGGGTACGTTGGAGCTGTCACCACTGTGGTGGAAGGCAATGAGATTGTAAATTCGTTCAATTGCGGCCAGGCCCACTGAGGTTTGAGCGACTGAGTTGCTGCTGTGATACAGTGTCTGGGCGACCTGGTGCTGTGAATATCGGCTTCTGGGCCAATGTTTCGGGGCCGAGCCATCGCCACCTCTTCCTGCGGATAAGTGATTCACGAAGATCTGTCATGAACCGAGGCCATCCGGGGAGAATGGGCTGTGACTGAGCCCTTCTCGACGAAGAATTCAAAGACGACCTCGGGAGTCTCGCCGTAGTCCGTATGCCTTGTGGCTTCAAGTGTCTTGAAAAAATGTCCTTGGTTGCCTCGACCTCACAGTGGGATCCAATCATTCGAATGGCCCCGTACTCTCTCGTCTTTCTCATTGATGAACAGCACGAAAGGATCTGGGATCTGGGAAAGTAAGGTCTCTCCAATATTTTCTCTGGAAAGGAATCCATCCGAAAAGGAATCGTACGCAATGCGGAGGGTCTGAAGACACAACAGCGATCATGTGTCGACTAGCAAGGTATTAGTTTTGCCCAGGTGGAAAAAACAACCTTGGAACAGACAAGGCCTGGGAGAAATGGATCGACTAAGGAGAGAAGAAAAACGAGGACTGGTGCACTTGTCACAGCATGAATGTGGGCAACACGAACTCACTTCTATCACCAGTGCTTCGATTGGCCCTGAGTAAGTTGACACCTTGTAGCCAGTGCTAACCGAGCCCGTGTCCGGGGGATCTGGGTGGAATTCTCATTGGAGATCTTATTCCGCGACTCGGCAATCCGGGCCATTCAGCGCAGTCAGGCTTGAATGGAGCAGATTCAACCCATCGGGAATGGTGGTTTGATCAAGTACTCGTGGAGCCCTGCATTAAGCGTAGGTTTGTGGATGGTGGGATAGATGGGGAGGAGAAAAGAAAAGACACTTGACCAGGCTTTATATAATTTACCACCTGGGCAGAGCACGTGTGCTTTGGATCATATAAGAGCTTTCAAGGTTGTTAGTAAGTGAAGGCAAGCCTCAGTATGCATATATGGAGTCGGTTGTGACAGTCTAGTTTCTGAGATAAAGCAGATTTTACTTCATACTGAGACCTCCGGACCTAATGAGATTCTAAATAAAATATCAAGCCCTAGCTTAAAATCATATTGCAATATATGATATAGCATATAATATTCTAATATGAAGTTATGAGAACATTCAAGGCTGAAGATAGGCTTTACACTGAAAGATAGAGTAATGTGAGGCCTTGGAAGTGAGGATGAAGTATATCTCAGAATTCATTGGCTTTGTAATTATAGTAAAGGAGTTCTAGTTGAAAAGAGACATGGTTTCTGACACGGGGGAAGCAAAGATCAACATTGATACCTAGTCACATTCTCTAGTCCGACCTCGGAAATATCGTCACCCCTAATAATAAATTGTGTGACAATTACAGCATTAAGTAAGATATCATTGAAGTAAAATACCCACGCTCCAGGCGCAGGGGAATCAAAATCAGCAGCTCAGGGCATCAGCCATATGTCTCCACAGAGACTCAGGCAATCGACCGTGAATCCAATAGCCACCCTCATACCCGTCTACATCTCGGGCCTTCCATGTCACCAATAAATCGTCAAGGTGTGTCCTAGTCTCCCGAAGAAGACCACAGTAGTCCACACTGCCTTGTACAAAGAGCGGGTTTTCGCCTTGAATGTTGATATCAAATAGAGGCAGACTCTTCCATGAAGCAATTCGCGGTTGAGCAGCTCGGCTGCCGTAGGATTTCGGAATCATGGGGCTTTTCCGGGCATCCCTGTGTTGCTCTACTACTTCCCCAATACACTCTGGCTGCTGGCCTTCCTCGATTGTGTGGCGGATGTCCATTGCCATGCGTATCATGGAGGGAGAGCTATATTCTCTTGAAGGCATTGGGTCTGGAAGAGGCATCATATACCAAGGATTGTAGAGATTGGCCTCAGACTGAAGCTTGTTGGAAATATCGATTGCCACACCAAAGCTATGTGGTGTTGGTGGGTGAAGTGATGACTATGAGAAGGTTAGATCCACTCTGGCGCCTTGTGTGAAGATGTCTTGAGGCACTTACCTTGTAAATAAAGGCCATCAGAAGGTCATGCTCGGTCACTTTCGCATCTTGGCTTTCTGCCTCTTTCATCCACTGAAGCATCTGTCCTTGAGGAACCAGTAATGATTTGCTCACGCGCCTCGCGGACGGGCAGCATATATTGCGAGTGATCTGCTTTCCAAGAGCGCCAATTCCAGCTGACCAGTTCCGATGCATGGATTGGCGGTGCAAGTCTGCAACTTGATGCGACTCGATCATTTCTGCGCACTTTTCGAGCACTTCTGATTTCAGTGACAGTGATGGTCGAGCATGGAGCACGTGGGTGATCCGCTCTCCCCTCAGAAGGGCGCAATACGCTTGTATAATCTCATGGGCACCTGGAGAACGTAGTTAGCAAAGTCGGGAAAAGCATTCATCGATGTAAGAATTACCATTTGCATCGCAAAGTGGATGAAGAAATCTGAAACCAATTATACAAGAATCCTTCAAGAACAAGGTTCGGACGGTGAAGACGCGCTGCTTCCACACATTCCCGAAGCCGTAACCGAAGTCCAAGGCTTTATCCAGGACTTCAGAATCAATCAATTGAGAGAATTCCGTTTTAGCGGAGAGATATAGGATATCCCCAAGATTTTGTGGAATTTCTTTTCCTTTCCACACATCCGCTAGATCTCCTGGGTCTTTTGGATCGAGGAATTTTGTTTTCTATACTGTTAGCACGACTTCTTAGAGCACAAGATGATGGTGTCTTACCGATGCATTCATACGCAGGTTCAACACAGGCCATTGCGAGACAAGAGTGTCGGCGGCGAACTGGAAATCAAGCGGGCTCGGCTTAGTCTTGACAACCACCGATAGAGTGAACTCCAGGGGCCGGGCATAGCCCATATCAAGTGGGCCTGGCTTCATGATATGACAGTTTCCAGAATAACCAATGGCAGGTGACACTCGACAGTGGAACAATGGAACGGGGAAAAACCAGGCTTCTTTTTCCAACGATCAACCAAAGACTGTTTTTTCAGAGTGAGAGAGTTCGAAGCGAGAGCGAGATGACGAAGAATTAACTTTATGACATTTCAATGTTTGTCAAAACCTGGACTGACAACCTCCATACTTGGCAGTTGGAATGCGCACGGTTTGAGACAAACCTGCTGGTCGAATGGTAATCTTGATAGATGCATTCCTCGGAACCCCGTGCCATGGCTAATAATTTCCCAGGAATGCCACACAGCTGTATTCGCCCTAAAACGGGTGTGACATCATCATTGATCGCCAATAAACTTGAGTTAGTCACATTCTATACCCCGTGGAAAGGACAAAAGGGGATACACAGATGGGCGTGGTTCACGCGGCACTGGCGATCCTTGTCATAACTTGCCTGATGGTTTTGACACGACCTGCAAGGTTCCTCAGGGCCAGCCCAGGGCTGGAATCTTGGCTTATTTTTTCGCCGGATACAGGCTGTACTAGGGACAACCCATAGGTGTCGGTGAGCTTTCTTTGTGGATTGCAGTTGCAAGGCGCCCGTTCTCATGTGAGGTGAATAAATGGGCCATCGGAGTAGAATACCAACTGGGTACAGAATAATCCCCAGTCAATCAACCCATATTGATGAAATCATGGCCATCGAAGCTGGTTGAAGCCCTTCAGTTGTAGTTCGTGGGAGTAAACAATGGCATTGGAACCTTGGAAGAAGGGGGATAAACTCGCAACGTTTCCATGGTCGTATCTTGGCTCTGTGGCTCAGTGGTCTATCATTGGTCGCATCACTAGAAGCCCGTTTAGCTCAGTGGTAGAGCGCGTCACTTGTAATGACGAGGTCAGTGGTTCAATCCCGCTAGTGGGCCTTCTTTTTTTGGTTTTTTTAATGTACTTCCTCGAGGTCGACGCTACACTGAAATAGTGATGCTCACCTTGACACAGTGTAGGATATACTATCTAGCGATAATAGGTCATCAACACCGAGGTCACAGTTGAGCCCTGATTGTTTATTGCTGTTGTCTTTTTCTGGCTCTTCGACACTGTTGAGAATGACCTGGTCTCACACCCTAGTGCCTGTCTGTCGCCTCTTGCCCGTGTAGAGTAACCAACTCAAGTTGAGGTGTGATGTTTTGGGGATCGGGAATGACCACGGTAAACTTCCTCCCGCGTTCCAGGGTTTGGTTCGTTCGACCAGCCCTGGAGAGTAACCAGGTGCAGTTTACCTATGTAGGTATGGAGTAGGGTGGACGTAAATCTTGGAATGTATATTTTAGACAGTCCCGAGGTCTCTCACCCTTAGTTCCTATGTAAGTTCAGCTACAGTAGTCCTAATCTTAACCTTGGAACTTTCCAAGGTTACAATGTTGATATCATCACACAATAGTAGTCTTTTTTTTTTTTTAATTTATTTAACCCGTCTCACAGACAGTGAAGGATTCATCCATTTCTTACAAGCCTGTCATACCTGTGTCTCTTCCAAGGGTAATAAGATCTCCACTATAAAGAACCCGAGTGGATAAAAAAAAGCCAAAAAAGAAGGCCCACTAGCGGGATTGAACCACTGACCTCGTCATTACAAGTGACGCGCTCTACCACTGAGCTAAACGGGCTTCCGATGAAAGGAGGTTCAACTTAACGAATGTTACTGGTTGCAAGATTAGTCTAGTATAAACTCTGGAAGACAGTTGAGCCATACATGGAAACCTTGGAAGCCAACAACAGCCCTGGAGATCTATAACCCGAACTACACTAATGATGAACGACCTTCACCCATGAAAAATGAACCGAATATTGAAAATCCCAATAATTCAATGACTTGACAATGGTCGAAAGTTAAATTAGCGCCTCAGGTTTCTGATCCAAAGACCCTATACTGCCCAGGTGATAATCCACAGATGTCACCTGGACACAAACAGGCCTTAGAGGCACCCAGCTCTCCATTCTGGCACACTCCGTTGACAGTTTTCAATATTCTCTGACAGAGTTTGGTCTGCTTTCCACTTCACAGCTGGGTTTCGTAGAATGATTTGCAGCATTTCCGCGCTTCTGTCAACTGCAATTTCTGCCGCGACAAGTACAGCTTCACTCAAGTCCTGGTGTTTTTCAACATGGCGCATAATCCAGCTCGCCCCAAGAATGCCCCATTAAGCATAGCTTATTCGCATCAAAAGTTAGATATCCCCGGGAGGCATGCTGTCATCCTCATCGTCCTTATACGGCCAGTTTCGCCAACATAACTCCCGCTGGTCCACTTCTGCTTGCCGAACCATTTCCATACGAAACTTTCGATTGCCCTCCACCGCCCTCTCAAAGTTATCTGGCTCAGTACCGCCTTCCAGATCTATATCGAGGTGTTCTCTAACCTGGGACAGTAGCTGTTCAGACTCATTCCATTCTTGCGATTCCACCATGGCAGTCTCTCGTTCTTCATCGCTGAACACAACTGGACAAGCGGCCGAGGAGATGCTGCTCCATACCGATGGAGTCGTGATACCTACTAAGGCAGCACGTAAGTTGATTAAGTCTGCGTCCCAGGGATACCCTGTCTGGCGAAGAAGATACTGCCGCATTTCGAGATGAGGAAGTCTCAATAAATCCATGTGTTTCTCATTGTGTACGCCTGTCGCAGCTGTGTAGTAAAGGTTGGCCTCTTCCAAGCGAAAGACAGCTCTGAATTGTCTCTGTTGCTCGATTCCCATTTCATCGAAATCATCGGGTAGAGATGGAATATGCATACTTTGAGGTTGCGAGGAATCGTGCTCACAGAATGCGGGATAACCCACTTGCATGAAGCGGGGGAATATCACAGCATCCTGCCAATCGATGATACTGATGATTTTGGTTGATCCAGGTGCTAACAAAATGTTGCTCAGACTCAGATCGGGGTGTCTCAGTGTCGGAACGCCGTAAGAGCCTGGTCGGATTATATGAGGCGCCAATTGTAGGAATTGCGAAAGTAACGAGGTGTGTTCAGAGGGAAGAATGGCATGGTTAGTCGGTAAAAGAAAAGTTTGGCGAGGCCGAGCTTTGGCGTGGTGCTGAATGACACCTATCTCTCGGCGAGCCGCAGACGTAACACAGTCCTCGGGTGAAAGCCCTGACAATAATCAGCCCCGGTCATATGGATTACTTTTCCAAAGCCCAAGAACAGAGAGAGAAAGGAGAAAGGGAGGAACGTACAGGGTCCACGGTCAATTTCGGGTTTGCTTCGTTCACCATGCCAAAACTGCCGAGCAGACACAGGGCCGATACAGAAATCCCCCACTATTGGTATCTGGGTTTCCCCGTCAAGGTCCTTCTTGTGATATAAGCTTCCATAGGCAGGAAAATGGAAATCAAAAATCGTCCTCTCCATATCTGCGATTTGTGTCATGATGTCTTTCGTCTCGTCGGTAGTGAGAGATAACCACCTTGAAGAAAGACTCTCTCCCTTCACTCGCTCCATCAGAATATACTCTGCTCCGATGGGATTGTCTGATGAAGCTGAATAATTCAAGACCTCAGGTACCGGAAGTTTGAGGATAGATCGCAAAAAGTCCATAGTAGCCACCTCACTAGCGGTTGTATAATGAGGAGGCCCGGCAACAGGAGTCGGAATTCGCGCGATCACTTCACGGCCATTTCTTGCTCGCAGAAGAAACACTTTGTTGAAGCCTCCCTCTGCAAACTTAGTAATATAAGGGCAATAGTCTTGTTGTACTGCTTCCCCGGCGATCCGTTGGAGCTCTGTCGGTCGAAACTTGACGTATCGTTCGTTCAAACGATCGGTCTCGTTGAATCTAACTGAGATTTAGTGGCTACGATCAAAGCAATAATAAGCTTCACCTACATCCATCGTCGTGATGTATTTGAAAGAATTCCTCACGAAATGCTGGTGGACTGGTGGATAGGTGATTGCGGGAGGAAGCAGACATGACAGGCAGCCTGGAACAGACCAACAGTTTCCGCAGACAGGGAGCGGATGATATACTTCGAGTAATGGCGAGTCTCTGGAAGGAATTCACCATTGTTCAAAACAATAGTAGTAAAAAAAAATTCGGTCTCGAAGATGTTGTCTGATACAGGTTTACTTTATCATTTGACGCCGTGGAAGCTTGCTGGGAATTAAGGTAAGCTCCATAGCCAGGGGGGAAATACCCACGTGACAGTAGGATTTATTCTATATTCGAATAGTTAGTATCGAGACCGTAGAGGTATAGATTTAATAAGTTAATCGGATTTTGTTCTTTATAAAATCGAGATAAGAAACAGTCTAATGAATCTCTGAGTCTTCCAACTCACAGGAGTTTAGGGATATTCGGGATGTAGTTATCCTCATTATTATCATTCTTGTCGAATTTGTAAACTGATTGAGATATTGACTAGATGACCTCTAGGAAGCTACTGGTAAGAAAGAGACTGGTAAAAAGCCATGAGTTGCTTGGTTGGGGAAGGGAAGGGAAAAGGAAGAGCAAAGTAACTAGAACTATGGAAGTGGATTAACTATGTGATCCAACACAATGGCAAGTAGACAAAGGACAATATCGGAGGCCCTTCTGCTGTTGATAGAGCACCCAAGCTAACTGTTCTCTGATATCCCAGAACTTTTGTAAATTCTTTTCTTTTCTCCTTCTCGTTATTTTCCCATGCACCCCAATGTTTCAAAACTTGACACTCTTTATTCTCTTCTCTCTCCTTCCCTGAGAAACAAGCCAAGAAAACCCTATCCAACACTGGTCGTCGTCGCCAACCATGACGCTTTACCCGGACAATCGAGCGTGTCGAAGCTGTGGCACGATGGGGTGCGATCGGAATTCATGCCCTGTCTGCCCCTGCAAATATTGCCACAGTCCTCATCACGCCATCCTCGAATGTTCACGAGCACGACCCTGTGATATCTGCGGCCAAAAGGGCCACCCAACCGACAAGTGTAGAGCCTCTGCACCGAAGCCGAATCGATCACCACAAGAAGACGGACGGTACAACATCTCGATAAAACCTCCAGTTCACAATGACCCAGAGTGGGCGGAGATTCCCGAGAGAATCCGAAATGTAAGATTCCAAGGTTGCAATTCACGCCATGATTAAGGATGTTGACTTTCCATCTCGTTTAGCTTGTTGACTTGGAGGAGCCGTTCATCTTCCCTACGCTCAGAGAAACATGCCATACTCTCCTGCAAGACATCCTTGACCAGAGAATCCCCGGTTGGAACGAACGATCATACTCCCAGGATATCCAGACACATGGTGGGATCAATTCAGTTACTGAGGATCTACTCCGTCATATCAGACCAGAGATCCTTCAACTTCAGGGTCGTTCGGTTCAGGCCGAGACCCTGGAAGAGATCAGAAAAACGCAAGACAATGACGACAGGTGGAATGGCGATATGGGATACATGGACTTCATCACCGATGAAAGGAGTAAGAGCTACAACAGGCGCTATGTCGGGCAAACCAACGACCCTCAACGGACAATGATTCGAGGACATTGCCAGAATCTGCTAAACAAGTTCATCGACTCCCTTCCTCGCTTTATTGTCTGGATCGGAAATGGGAACAGGACCGCCAACTTTATCCGACTCTGGTCCTTCCCATCGACGGTATCCGAGACTAATGAGCCACAACATTGCAATGAAACCTGGAGACAGAACCAAGGAGCTCTCCTAGAGGCTCTGTTCTGTAAAGCCTTTCATACAAGCCATGGTGTCTTCGCTCGACACGAGGAGGATCAATTACAATGTCCGAGTCGCTATGGGTTGAACATACTGACCCCGCTTATCAGGCGATGGTCTAAGTTTGATGCTTCGCATGAGGGACACATCGCCGAGATGAGTACAACAGCGGATAATCAGATCCTCTTTTGGATAACTGGGATTCGAACCCAGCTCCCAGCCCTTAAAATCACCGAACAGAAAAAGTGCATCCAAGCTTCCCGGGGTATTTTGAAGTGTGACTTTAGCGGCGCACTTGAGAAAGCGCTCAATGATCAGGATTTGTTCCAACTGACCAAGCTCTCTCTGACAAAAGCCAGCCCAAAATCCAAGGACGAAGGTCGAGGCCATGCCAAAACTTCATATTTTGGTACTTTCAAGGCGAAGATTGCTCTCGTGCTTGACTACGCAGCCGTTTCTCCAGCACCTAACTCATTTGATGAGGAGAAGTATCCGAAGGAGGAATCAGCAACTATGAGTCTTCCATGGTCATTACAAGGCTGCCAATTCAATGACAGAAACACACTGGTTTGGACTTTCGACTTTCAAGCATTCGTTCCACTTGGCAAGCGAGAATTGTCAAGTCCTCCCAACGAAAACACTCAGAACTACCATCGGATCTTGTTGGTTAATAGCAATGCAAGGGTCGTCCTCTTATGTGGGACACGTGCAGCAGATGCACTTCGTTTTGCCTACAACACACAGCAATACTCCCTTGAACTGAGAGGGTTTCGTTACCCACTGTACATCGCAAGTGATACCCTTTCTACCCGGATTCCACAGCGTTTGTTCATTGTTTGTCCAACCCTTCCCGCCCGTATATGGTCCAATGCCATGTATGACGGCGCGAAGCTGAGCGAAGCACTCCGGTTCGCAGTTAACTTACTTGATATCAAAGGTCTACAACCTTACTTCCTCGAATCCTCCTCCGTTGCCGGGTCTATCCTTTCCTGGGCTAGAGAGAGCCGGCTTGGCAAGGCGGCTATGACGCTAGGAACGATGGATACAAACATTCGGCTCTGGCTTGCGCGCAAGGGGGTCTCGAAAGAACGCATTACAAGGATTGTGGAAATTTCTGGAAGTCTGCCCCAGGGACTACTCATGGTATTCTTTTCACTTGTGAAGAAACCTTCGGAAAGGAACAAGCGGCCCTTGAAACGACATCTGAGTCAACAAGAGAATCCCGAGTCGCCTCAGAAAAGAAGTAAAAAAACTCAGGATGTGGTGTTGACTCATGAAGCAGAGGATTCTTTAGTTGAACCTCCAAAAGAGGTACAGGAGAGCAAACCACGAGAACAACAGGCACCTCTCTTGGAAGATCTCTCACAGTTGTCCCTCGTTGGGCCTAATGACGCTCAAGATACCTTCAGTGGGATCAACCTCCTCTTGGGCAGGGAATGTCCGAGCACTGAAATGTTGGAGAAAATCAATTCTATTGTGTCGCACAAGCGGCCCAAATCCATGCTCAAGGAGCTTGAAGATGGCAATGCGCAAGATGTGAGTCTCAAGGACCTGGTACCGATTTGCGCCCAGGCTATCAGCCTTGGATTCCTGCCAAATTGATCTCAAGACCAAGGATAGGAGGAAGAAGAGCATCATAGGAGTATCTAGGTCGGGGCATCCTGGGGCGCCAAGAACGAGTGTGTAGAGATGGCTTGATGTAAAATGCGTACCTCCGGGCTACCAATCATTGTAATGCAGTGCATTGACTCCATGAGGCAAATCTTCCATATGTAGATGTAAGAGCCTCTTACATCACAATAGATGCGAACCATTCATCCTGCTACAAGGAATACCGTTATCCTCCTGCAATCATGATATTTTCGTGGCGGCGATGGTATCGGGTTATGATACTCATTGAAGGTGCACGGAGTATTTGGATACTGGAACAGAAACGCCAAAAGCAACGGGTGGAAACCTGCTTTCTCGTTCTACTGAACATATGAGAATCATGGGAAGCCATGGGAAAGCCCCCAGAGGATCTAAAAGAGCCAGTGGACGAAGTGAAATGTGTACTACTAGTACTAGTACTCCGTAAATTCCTGACCCCCCTGAGCGGTGATTTACTGCACTGTCTAAATGACATGTTGAGTCTGTTGATCTGCACTCGCGGGGACTAAGCCGTATGTAGGCCGTGACTTGAATGGGGAGAAAGAAACCGCAGTTCGTACGAAGCACCTGGGCATGCATGCAACTCCCTTCAGTCGTTCTGTTTACTCCGTATGTAGATTGACCAAGCCTTGAATGAGCCAGGGGATTGGATTGCACAGATCAAAGACATGATCGGGATTCTGAGGCCCATACCTACATACATAGGGGAAGTCTCCCTGCTTGGTATGATCCAAAAAAATCATTGGATGCACAGGCATTGGGGTCCGCGTCACATCCCTGCTTCGCTATACGGGCAAGGGCCAAAGCGTACAATTGAAGGGCCGGGAGGGGCCGCTGCAGGAGTAGTGGAGACCACCCTGTGGTGCCAAGTACCATGCATGGTGATGTTCATCACATAGTCACATTGTGACTGTGCCCAATAATTGGCTGGATATATTAGGCGCCTGGTTCGCAGATTGGGATCACGGAAAGCTTAGACCTGGGTGTTCTTGCGTTGAATCATGGTGCTCGGCCGATCGATATCTTCATTGAGCGGTTGAATACGACTTCACGGTTGATCTCTGCATGTTTCAGTCAATTCTGTCACCCTGCGGGCCTCGTGCGCCCGTTCAGCTGCTGTCTGCTTTGTTGGTAGATGATCGACTGGGGCTCGGCCCTTGAGATCGATGGTTCTGGGAACCAGATGTGATGATCGGGATCCGTTCGGGGCGGAATGAACGCTAGAGCTCAGTGGCAAGTAATAATCGAGGCTCTTAGAAATCTAATGCAAGCCTAAAAAATCGAATGGATGCGGATTCATGTTGAATTCCCGACGGGATGTTTGGACTGGGACACTGCATGGAGCGGTGAGCAAACATCAAACAACTCAACACGGCCTCCAGGGCTTCCAGTCTTGTCTCTTGTTCATGGGCATTCTGAAGGTATGATTTTGCATTTCAAGATCTGAGTTGAACCTAGGTTGTTATCCAGAGTACGCGTTTCTGTGCCACCTTAGCCCCGGGGATGGGGTTCCGACCTATCGAGGCATATCCCAATTGCGCGGGCTGTTCAGTTTCTGGAATAGATTCACATGCTGAGGAGAATGCCCTGAGTGGCTGGCTCTCTGATTTTGCTGCATGATAGTTGTACCGGGTTACACACCCCTCCTTTTCGCTGCAGATCTGCATGCGTCTTCCTTTAGTGCCATTGCCATCATCGACAACCCTCACGGATCCCACAGTGCCCCCGAGGTCCATATATTAGCTAGTGTACCGGCAAATTCACCCGCATTTTTGGCTACAACCAGAAGAAGCTGTAGACGATTTCACCCCATTGTCCCCCTCGAATCACCGCCATATCCATCATGGTGTGGGAATACTATAACGGAAAGACAGTCTTCATCACAGGAGGAACAGGCTTCATTGGAACTGTTCTGCTTTATCGACTCTTGAGTCAATCTTCACCAGAGCGGGTATATGTACTTTGTCGAGGCGGGCAAAAGTAAGTATTTTGAGAGTATGGCTGGGATGGACACTATCTCTGACTCAATTTCCAGAAAAGCGCAGGAAAAATGGACAGACATACTCCCAGAAGCGGCTGCAAGTGTTCTGACCCAAAACACACGGGTGACAGTCTTTGATGGCGAAGTGGGAGATACGGCGACGATGAACCTATCAGACGAGACGCTCCAGATGCTTAAACAGACCGTGCACATAGTCTTCCATGCTGCGTCGTGCATCCAACTGAACAATTCTCTTCGCGAACTAGCATATAGCGTCATGGCACCCAGTCTCTGCTTGACAAGATATGCTCTCAAATTCCCCAAGCTCGAGCGCTTCGTATTTTTCTCCACCGCATATGCCAATGCGCACTTATGGAAGGGTCATGAGTCGACAGACGTACCTGTTGACGAGAGAATATATCCACTTGGCAATGAGGGGAAGGGCTACCAGACTGCATCAGAAGCGTGGAGCGAAGTACAAAAGAACGGCTCGTCCGATGAGTACGATTCCCACGATTTCCCTTGGCCATACGCATATGCCAAGCACCTGGCTGAACGGCTTGTTCTGGAACATGCAGCCGAGCGTGAAAAGCTGGACAAGATCCTCATCATCAGACCTTCGGTGCTCGGCCCAGCCGACAAATATCCATACCATGGCTTTGCGACCGCATACGGCGCCCCATCAACAGCCTGTGCGGCGGCATACATGCTCCACCCAGGACGAAAAATCACTCTAGCAACGCGGTGTAAGAACCCAGACCGAGAGTCCACTATCGACGAGGTCCCGGTGGATGTGGTTGCAGACCGGACATTGGTTCATGTGGCACTAGGGACGAGTGGGTGCGTCCATGCAGTCAGTGGGAAGGAGGGTCGTTTGACAACCGAGGAATGGTGGCATGCATTCAAAAAGGAGAGATTGATTCCCTGGAATGCGAAGCCGACCTGGACCTCTGATGACTGGCATTCTCCTAATCTCCACCAAATTGCTCGCAAGTTCAAGATTATAGGCACTTCGTTTGCGTTTGCGGAGCAAAGGACCGTTGAGGTGATGGAGAAGCTAGGGGCTTCAGAGAGGGAGGGTCTCCATCTCTTTGCTGACCGGACTCAGCCTTACTCCTTGCATCTGAGACGGCACCACATTCATCACCAGGCGGTTGAAGTCGCCAGGAAGAACAAGTGGCCCCTCTTCTCTGCTAGACTGCTTTGTCGCAAGGGAAAGCCTGTAACACAGATGAAGAGAGCAGCAACGGTATGAGAGAATGACAGTTCAGGTCACTTTTGCCTGTTCATTAGCCAGGAAGCCAGTACTCTATGTTAATCTTAAAAGCGCAGTCAATTTAACCAGCATGTTTTCAAAAAAAATACTTCAAGATTGTGTCCCAGACATTGAATAAAAAGCGATACTCAGCTCAGTCTGATTTAAATCCCCATCAAAATATGCAAAGACACGATATATGGCAAAGAAGGCCAGTTGCCCCCCGTCCGTTTCTATAGTTCGGGCGCACGGACCACATCGCGGGGGAAAGAAATTCTTGCCCGCCACTTTACAGTCAGTCAAGCATCATGGCCCCGACACAGTGTTTTAATTGCAAGGAGGCGCGCGCCGTCATCATCAGGCCCAAGAACAGACACAAGCTTTGTCGCGCCTGCTTCATCGAAATCTTCGAAACCGAAGTCCACGAGACGATCATCGGCACAAACCTCTTCTTCCGCGGCGAACGAATCGCGATCGGAGCGAGTGGTGGAAAAGACAGCACAGTACTTGCCGCTGTACTGAAGACTTTGAACGAGCGATACGACTATGGACTAGACTTGTGTCTGCTCTCCATCGACGAGGGTATCCGCGGTTATCGCGACGACAGTCTAGAGACCGTCAAGCGCAATGCGGTACAATATAACATGCCCCTGGTGATCGTGGGATACGGAGAACTATACGGCTGGACTATGGACCAAGTGGTGGAACAAGTCGGAAAGAAGGGCAACTGTACTTACTGTGGAGTGTTCCGACGACAGGCGCTCGATCGAGGCGCCGCCCGCTTGGAGATCAGCCACGTCGTCACGGGACATAACGCAGACGACGTCGCGGAGACAGTCATGATGAATCTGCTCCGTGGTGACCTGCCCCGTTTGTCGCGCGGTACCAGCATCGTCACTGACTCTGGTGCGTCGGATGTCAAGCGCAGCAAGCCTCTCAAATACGCCTACGAGAAAGAGATCGTTCTCTACGCCCACCACAGACAGCTCGATTACTTCAGTACCGAGTGTATCTACTCCCCCGAGGCATTCCGTGGTAGTGCCCGTACTCTGATCAAAGATCTCGAGAAGATCCGCCCCAGTTCGATTCTTGACATCGTTAAGAGTGGTGAAGACATGGCTGCTCTGGTTCCGGCCGAGGTCCGCGGCACCACCAAGTCCAAAAAGTCTGGCGCTGCAGAAGACGAGTCGAGTGGCGGTTGTGGAAGTCAAAATGGCCGAACCAGTGGCGGCGAGATGGCTGCGATGGAGGAGCAGCTTGCAGCCAACGATCTGGCAGAGTCGAATGAGACCGAGATCAAGCTCCCTGCTGCTCAGCCAAAGGCTAAGAGTCAGACCACGAAGCCGCTCAAGGCCCAGACCATCAAGCACTGCGAGCGCTGTAACTATATCTCCAGTCAACGGATCTGCAAGGCGTGTCTGCTGCTGGACGGTCTCAACCGCAATAGACCAAAGACTGCCATCGAAGTCGGCATAGAGGACGAGGAGGGAAGTTCGACTTTGATGCGTCAAATGGAGCGAGCCCATCTCAGTGCCACTTGAAGAACCATTCACGGAACATACATATCTCCAAAACAACTCTCCAGCCCTGGAGTTCCACAGCATTACGAGTCACTCTGCACTGTGGACACCAAGCGTCGATGAGACGCAATGCAAACCCCAGTCTCAGTCCGCAGACGGACCAATCCTTCTGCACTCCACAGCTCGTGGCAACACGCCCTGGCCTTTTCGAGAACCAGACCAAGCAGGCACCAACGCATTACGCCCACTGATGAAGCACCAAAGACATGACGAAAGAACCAACCTCGGAAATGGTTCGCAGCAATAAATAGAAGAATTGTACATACTGATTGGCAAAATCTCTATTGTTTTATACATGTACCCAAACCATAGTATACAAAACCCAAACGCAAAACAAAAACGCCCATTCCATGGAATACATGCATCAAGATCTCAATGCCAACAAAGAACCACAGACAAGCCCATATATCGTCCCAATCACGAACCAGATCCAAAAGATCCTCAACTCGCAATTGAATCCAAAAACAAGCTCCCTCCAGATATGAGCCTCGCCCAATCCAGCAAGCAAAGTCTTAGTTCTCACCCTCCTTAGCCTCAGGGCTATGCAACTCAGGCAAATCGAATCCAACCCGACGAGCCGTAAGTCTAATCTTCTCTTCCTCATCCATGCTCATGCCGGGGTTATAGCGCTCAAGCAATTCGCAGTATGTGCGCTGGGCGCGAGCATACTGCGCGAGCTGCTCTGCTTCCTGTACGCGGAGGGATTGTTCCTCTGGCGTTGTGGAGATTGAGAATGGGGATGCACCGTTTGTGGCTGTTGGTACGGAGCGGAAGACGTCGCGGAGGCGCTGGTGGAGTGGGGAGGGGGTTTGGATGCTTCGGCGGGGAAGCTCGCGGAGGAGGGCACGGTAGGTGCTGCGCGCTTGGAGAGTGGCCATTTTGAGGTTTGGAGTTTGGTTTGGAATTGGCTGGGTCGGTGTCTGTTGTTGGTGTTCGGGGGTGGATTATTCTTGGTGCACGTGACTTGATATATGGCCCGGGGTGATGATGGATTACAACTTTTGGTTGCTGGAATTATGGGATTTACTTCGATGATCATTGGCTTGATCATTTAAGGAGATTTGAATTTTCAATATGTACCAGCGGTAGCAAATTCAGTTTGCAAGATGGTTGACCATCGACCCGCACGTCAACACGCATATATACAAGATGTTGTAGCGGAGCTTTTTTAAGCCGCTCCAAGCGTATGTCGGGCTCTCATGGAGAACCGAGTCCCTGACGCAAAGCAGGCAAAAGTACATGAAAAGTATTTATCAATCATATAGGGGCGTGGCGGCATAAGAAAGGTGTAGTGGGAGGGGAGGGGATAGATAGTGAAGCCTTCAGCGTTGCGTTCTGATGTTTCCTATGTCAGGCTACGAACGCAACCAGCCGAACTTCCTGCGTCCTTCTGCTCCCGTGGACGGTTCGACCTGTAAGCTGCGCGCATACAAGTCCTGGATAAAGTCAGTATAACGGACAGTCTGTTGGTATGGCAAAGATCTTACCTCTTCGTCTCCAGAGAGCCTGGATTCCAGGATGAGTCTCTCAATATCGTCGAACTTCTGAGCCTGGGGGTGTGGGCTCTTCTGGCTTCGCTGAATGCCGAGGACCACCTCCCCCATGACTTCGAACTTCTTCCAGTTAATGCGGGATTTGTTTTCGCCGACGAATGTCTTGTTGCCTTCTTCGGCGGAAACAAGGTCGCGGCGGTGGAGTGGGAGGAATGGGATACGCTCTGAGAATGAGTTCTCCCAGGCAAGGCGGTATGCAAAGTGGCTTCGTTGTGTGCTCATGAGAATGACTAGACGCATGAAGTCTTTCTGAACGGGAATAGGGACTAGGTCTCGGGTTTGAGTGAGACGGTGGACAGGTGTGCCGTTGATAGCGGCGATCACGGCACCCAGGGAGTTGTAGTTGTTTTGACGGCGGAGTTTCTGCAAAATTGTTAGTTCTTGATGATCGTCTTGAATCAAAGTTGCTTACCGCTGCAATATTCATGAACTTCTCGAGTGCCTTCGCTCGGTGCTTAGGCTTATCACGGAGGAGAATCATGCTGGCGACAAAGAACGCAAGATGATTGAACTGCTTGATCATTCGATTGACATGTGCCAAGCTCTTGACCTTGTCCTTGTCAATGCCTGACAGGCTGACATGGCGTACTAGATCGCGCGGCCGGAACGAGTTGTACATAACCCAGTCAATCCGTGTGAGTTCTCTTGCGAACTCTTCTTCCGGTGTCTCCATGAAGAAGCGCCATTGGATCTTGCCGATGGTAGTTTTGAGTGTCAATTCCAGACGCAAAGCTTCTTTCTGGGCTGCTTCTAGGCTCAATAGTGTAAATGATTGGTTGATGGTGCTGTTGGGTTTGTCGGCGGCGTTGGAAGAGACTGAGAGTGTGCCCGAGAGTCGTGATGTAGAATCATGAGGACCTTCGCTGAGGTCCAGCGCACTCATACTGTAAATGGGATCTTGCTCTTCCTCCTCCTCGTAGACGGCCGGCGTGACAGCGCCCGTGAAAATAGGCGCTGGAGAGCTCCGGCCGGAATTGTCGAAGAATGTCTCCCCAAGCTGAGACTCGTCCATATCGCTGTCTCCACCAAAGGCCCAACCAATGTCGTCGTCTGCCGCATTGGAATCTAGTTGTGATCCAATCTCCTTGGCGGCAAACATATAGAAATGACTCTTCTCGAGTGTGCTGACGAATTCAATAATGCGTTTGCGAAGGTTGGTATGGGCGAAGTCCCCAGGGTATTCAGAGGCCCACTGAGCCATGATGTCGAGTAGTCGCAGTTGGTCCGCCATACGGGCGAGCTGATCGGCATTGCCCGCTTCGTTCCGTTCGAACCGGCCTATGAGGGCATTCAACAGGGCCCCAGGAGGAGCAAATTTGCGGTATAGGCAAAGGAATATAGAGGCGAATTTTTGGTCTTGTTTGGACATTGGGAGAGAGATCAGGCGGTCGACGAGCTCATCGAACGAAAATCCTGTCTCTGCGCTTGAATTGCTTTCGCTGCTGGGTTTCGGTCGCAGGATCGCGCCGGGGCTTGGCGGCCGGCTCTGTCCTTCTTCCATCTCGTCGTCCATGGTGAGGAAGCTGTTGAATGCGTCGGACCCTCCGCTGTGGCGCCAGGCGCTGTGTAATCGTTGCTGACGGCTCTCGTGACTGGGAGAATGTTGTTCTTGTGCTGATGGTCTGCGCAGATTCAGACGAGCTCCGGATGGTGGAGTTTGCGGTCGCACCGGTTGCGAGTTACTTCGGGCATAACGGTGGGCACTTGAGGGGCGTTGGAGAGCCTGACTGGGGCTTGGCTGGTCGGCTGAGTGGCGATTCTCGTCCCTATCGACACATTGATCCGAGACCGTCCTTTGTGGGCCGCCAGCGGCTCCGGCGAACGCGGTTGAGGGGTTTTCGGAGTTGGCACGGGTATGATGCCAATCGTGGGGTTGTGGGAAGGATTTGGTGGTGGTCCTCGGTGAAGTGACGGAAGGATCAGGACTCGAGATCTCAATGTCCAACTCGGAGGCGAGATCTGGGGAGCGGCAGAGTTAGTAAAGGGGAAACGCAAATTATTCTAAGGTTTCTCTGGCTCTCTCTCTCCCCTGGGGAGCACTGTCGATCGGTGGACATTGACAGAGGTAGCGAACGCTATTACCGCGACCCACCTGGCCCGCTCCCACAGGGGTCAAAGGCCCCGATTACGCTCAATGTTTTCCCACAATGCTTTTGTCACAGGTGTGTTGGAACTTACCTTCATGGGTTGATATCACTCCCCGCAGCACCAGGGCTATGCACATCCGCTGCGATCGCGGCGATGAGAATGATGTTCGGTAGATCTCGTATTGATCGTGGATCGCATCCACTTGGCTTTCTTCAACGGGCTCAGGATTGACATCGCACTTGCAAGCTACCTGCAGGAATGGCAGATTCGATGCCGCTAAGGAGTCTGTGTCCATAGGTCAGTCTTGGGTCGAAGCGGGTATCTGACAGCTCCAGTGCCATCGTTTCCACATACAAATGAGGTTTGTCGTCAAGGAAAGCCTGTCTGGCTTGGTGGCATCGTGCAAGACCAGCACACCGTCCACCGCGGGCGCAGGAGCTCCGCTTTCTGTTTGAGGCCAAATGATCCTTTTGTCCTGGTCGAATCGGACCTGGGTCAAGTCCACCTCCAGCAGGTGCACAATGTAGACTGACCCGTCTAGCGACATTTTCTTGCGGTTGCAGATTGCATGCGGCGCGTTCTTTATATCGAGGGCACATTTGACGAAGCTGGTCTTGCCCGCATTTTCCTCTCCCACCACCGCGATAGTCACTTCGGGGAGACCGCTCCTGGGATCCTATCGATCACATCCACATTAGCCCTTGATCTGGTTGCCCCATAGTTCCTCGCAAATTAAGAACCCCGCTTCTTGACATAAAGTACATGATCCTGCGTTGCCCTTGTAACCCTTGGCACGTACCTCTTGGTTGAATCGAGTGCGCCCTACCTCGCCGGCGGGAGGCTCCTCGTCCGGGCGAGCTGGCTTGCGCATCGCGTCCAGGCTCTGGACCGGGGCGGAGGCTGTTTTGTTCCCCATCGCTGGTCGCTTGGCCGCTGGTTGTGTGGCCGGTGTGTCGGCCTTCCGGAAGTCTTGCGATGTCATCGCTTGAGCGGTCAAAAGATTGTCCATGGACGGGAATGGAAGAACCCCGGTGACGTACACTCTGACTACTGTGTAAGTTCAGAGACCACGTACGGTGTATCCATTCTGGAAAATGACCGATGAATAGTCGGAGTGAAGCTGTCAAACTCGGGTATCGGATATGCAGGAAAGTTTGGTACTTCCGACTCGGCACCGCTTCACTGAGTACTGTAGTTATGTACTAGTACTCCGTAGTAGAGAGAGAGAGAGAAATAAAAGAATTGAGAAGAGACAGATCACAAATAATCATTGAGATCCGTTTTTCTTGGAACGGAGATTGTCGCATGCCATTGGAAGCCCACCCCTACTCCGCTCCAGATCTGGTTATGCGATGAACCGATTCGTCAATTACTCTTCTTTCTCAGCTGAGATGCTCACTTAGTCTAAACTGCGATGCTTTTGCAGGTAAAACCTGACCCCTGACCTCCCTTTTTTTCAGAGTCAATCCTACTGGCCAACAAAAAAGCCAAAAATTATGCCCAGAGACTAAAGGACAACTCGACTGGTCAAAAAGATGAGGCTGTACACTGGTTTTTGGTGTTTGGTACTTTGGTACTTTGGTTCATGTTCTGGGCCGTGGGCTCCGCTTTGGGCTCCGCTAGCTTACTTGCTCCAGGACACTTGGCTGTCTACTTTATCCATTTGGGGTTTAGTAGACTACTCGTTCGAAGCACAGAGTAGCAGATCGAATACGGAGTTCAGGTGTAGACTCCCAGAAACAGGAAGAACATAGTTATGTATCGACCTTCCACCGGGCCAGACTGGAGCTATCAGATCTGACTGACAGATCTGACAGCCAGATTAAGCAGTCCAAACAGCCGAGCTGGCACCCATGCTGTTGGGTCCGGGTAAAAGAGACCCCTCCCCAAGCCTGCATGTCTCACACAAACGTGCTTTTGAGGGTGCATGACAGTGCCTAAGCCGATCTCCCATCTCGTATGCGGTTGCCTTTGCCCAGAATAGATGACTCAGGCCGGGTTTCAATGTCATACAGTAGATTCCTGTCCGTGATTGACGAGTGCCATGAACCGCATGAAGGCCTCCGCCACCTGACCAGTCTCCTTTCCGTCCTCGCCATCCTGTCTGAGCTTGCGGACCCTGCCTAACCCCCGGTTAAACCCTTTCTCGGATGTCCAGGGGCCCCGACTGCGGGATGTCATTCCCCCACGACCCCGGCCACGGCCTCTTCCACGGCCTCGCGCGGGTGCGGTGTATGATTCCACCCATTCCTCTTCCAGTGTCGACTGGTACAGCTCCTGAAGCTGGTCCCGGAGTTGCGGGTGCTTCTCGAGAAGCGCTTTCATCTCCGGCGATGTCGCTGTCGCTGCAGGATTGAATGCAGCGGGCGTGGAGCCCGCTTCAGCATTTTCGACTGCGTCGTTCTGGGGTGGCTCGATCTGGGGTGCTGGGGTGGTCGATCCCTGATTCGAGGGTGCTGTGGAAGCACAGTATATTTTATGCGCCTGTGTACACGCAAGTGAACAACTAAAATTAACAATCCTTAGCAATTGGTCCACATGTGGGATCATGACCACTTACCTCATCAGTTGACATGTGGGACAGCGATATTTGGAGGGCTCCGAAGAGCAGACCTCACAGGGACCAGGCATTGTGACAGACTTGAAAGAGACCCATAGGCTGCACAGTGATCAGACGTGGTCCTTCATGTTCGACTGGCCCACAGCGAGTTGCAAATGCAGAACCCGGACAGATCGTGATTTGCAGAAGCTCGGGCATCGATTGCCGCCTCAGGCAGAATATTCTTTTTCCTTATCGGATAAGCATTTGCGCATTTCCAGGTTCTACACGTGATTCACAGGCTGTCATGCCATCTCGACAGCTTTTCGGTCTTGAATAGATTGTGTGACTGATCATGTCGGAAGAACCCTCCACTGACGTGTGTCTAATCTATGAACATCGCAAACTCACCGGCCAGAGTACAGGTCCTACCGAAAATAGACTCTTGGCGCTCTCCAAGGGCTGTACATTGTACGGATCGAAAGGCTGCGATACGTCCCGAAGAGACAAGGTCGAATCGGAATCGGGATACCCACAAAGGGCCCGATTGTGGCCTGATCTTCCTCGTCCAACCCTAATCCATGTCTAGTGGGACACAACAAGGCCTGTATGTGTGCGATGTGTCAAAGCTAGCCACGTTTCCGCGGGGTACGCTTCGACAGGACTTGATGATAGCTCGAAGATGAGCGTCAGTCAAAGAGATCAACATGCATCGGATGAATCTCTAGCATTCCCCGGTTTGACGTTGACGCCAGGGTGTTTACTTCAGATTGTCTTGATTGCTTCGGCCTTCTGTTCTGATCCAAAATGGCCAGGGCCATAGTGGAGTATACCTGTGGACCATTCTTGGGTCTGTCGAAAGCATTACTCAACCAGTCTCGTGATGAACAAAAGATCTACTGCACTTGGTTCGGATCCGTGCCGTGTGAACTCAGACCAAATTACGGTGAGTCGGTCGAAAATATGATTGAGATTGTTTGATAGCAACAATGACTACTAGTACGGCTTACTGGTAGCCCTGCTGATGTGTCCACGGATCGCCATTGCCAGCGTATCGAATAAGTACTGTTTGCTCCTCCACTATGCAAACAATGCTACACTAGGCGCCGGGGCGTACTGTGGCTCTCCTGCCAACAATCCATTTGTGCTGGCTTAGCTTAATCCAATCTACCCCCTGGCGCAGCTCATTCCAAACCATCAAAGGTCGACTTTAGAGTCATGATGAAGACTGAGATATGTCTCGCCACTGAACACTGAAACTCACCTGGGCACTGACGGCCAAAGGACTGGCTTGAGCTGAAAAGAGTTTCAACCAGACCATCGACTGGATGGATCACGATGTCTATCTTCTACAAAGCAGTCATAAGCCGCAATGCTACAATAGAACGGGCGATTGTTTGCCATTCCGAACAGGCGAACTCAGCGATCTACTTGTTTTCCTTGTCGAAGCTTTCCAACATCAGAATCCTTTGGAGAAGTCTTCTGTTGAGAGACTGCTATTCCTCCACTCAACGAAAAGACCATCACCATCTCGAGTGATGACAATTGACCGTAAACTACTGGTTTTCGAACCTCCGACCCTCGGCAGAACACACCGTTGTAATAGCGAAAAGCCTGGCTGCTGATTGGACGAGAGAGCGCATTCATTTGTCATCTCAGATCACGTGCATCAAATTGCGTCAGAGCCGGCAGTCGGGGAAACGCCTCGAGTATTTTTCTACAATCCATCTCTTGACACGAAGTTGTGCATATTCCACTCCCTTAAATATAATGTCTTTGAGCAACACATCAACAACAATGTTCCGCCGCGCTCTGCTCAGCAGTCGCCTGGCCGCTCCCGCCGAGTGCTCTGCCCGAACAATCAGACCGGTGCTCGCATCCTACAGACAGGTCTCCAGCTCAGCGAGACTCCCTACTCTCACAGCCTCCGAGACCCGTCGCCGACCAACAGTGCGACCATTCCAGCAACCTGCCTCGCAGGGCGGCGTGAACGGACTTTCCCCGACCAGCAAGCGCACAATCTTCATCCAGACGGAAAACACCCCCAACCCCGACGTAAGTCTCAATTCCCGATGGGCGCATTTCCAAATGAACCACCAGCTTACCATTTGTTCGAATACCGATAGGCCCTTAAATTCATCCCTAACCACCGTGTTCTGCCCGAGGATTTCCCCAGCACATTCCTGGAATATCTGACTCCGCGCTCAACTCTCGCCCCACCCCACCCATCTCCCCTCGCCGCTAAACTGCTCGATGTCGAGGGTGTCACCTCTGTCTTCTATGGAATCGACTTCATCACTGTGACGAAAGCGAGCGATGCCAACTGGGCGCACATCAAGCCCGAGGTCTTCAGCATCATCACGCAGGCCGTGACGTCGGGTGAGACCATTGTGACCAGCATCGAAGGTGCCACCGATCTTGACCAGGAAAGTGGCGAGGACTCTCTCTCCTATAACGAGGACGATGACGAGGTTGTCAGCATGATCAAGGAGCTTCTCGAGACCAGAATCCGTCCCGCCATCCAGGAGGACGGTGGTGATATCGATCTCAAGGGATTCGAGAACGGTATTGTTATGCTGAAGTTGCGCGGTGCTTGCCGTACCTGTGACTCTAGCACTGTGACTCTGAAGAACGGTATTGAGTCCATGCTTATGCACTATGTATGTGGTTCCCCTTGTTGCAGTCCGGCAGTTACTAATGAATTTGCAGATCGAGGAAGTCAAGGGTGTTGAGCAGGTTATGGACGAAGAGGAGATTATCTCCATGCATGAATTCTCCAAGTTCGAGGAGAAGCTGCGCCAGCAGAAGGGTGCTGCTGCCACCGCTGGCGCGCCTCTGGACACTGTGCCATAAGATCTGAACTGCATATACTTTGTACATTACGGGAAGGCGAAAATTGGACCGGGATAATCTTCAATCAACTGTCATATGTAGTGAATATCACAATAAGTCACATCCATGCATATGCAAGTACTTAAATGGCAAGGTACATGTCGTTGGCGTGGACTTGGTACTCCGCGGAAAGCCATAGATGCCCCAAAATTCAGGCATACAGGATATGCGGGGTCAACCACCTCGCCAACCCTGGGATGCGCTGCAAAGAACAGTGGAAATAGCCACCCCCTACGTCAATAACTGTTTTTTGTTTTGTTACCAGATGTTGCATTGAACAAGGAATGAACCTGGTCGGAGGGCCGGAGCGGGGTGTGATTGGCGTGACATGACCGAGGATCGCCTACCTAACCCATTCAATGCGAAGCGAATTGTACCACACGACTTTGTGGGACTCTGTTCAACATCGAAATGGGGGGGAACCTCGGATACAGTGGAAGCTCCGGAGTCAATTGGCCATTGGGGGGCCCTGACAGAGGGGTCAAGTGGACAAAGTCTAGGCAGAGGCAGAGGTGCATATCAATCCGGGGTAACTGTCCTCAGAACAGTCTGGCCTGTGCCCCGCAAGTGTGCGACCCGACGGGCCGTGCGAGGGTAGAAATGTCGACTCCGTACACGGCTGGGAGTGTGCTCTTTCTCCCTTACACAACCCCAGATGATCGACTTTATGACCCGCAGTGGCGCTATTCTAAATGGGGAGTAGTTCGTGAGGTTTGTGAGAGAGCAGAGTGAGCCAGGAGTCCGGGGCAGAGCTCAGGAGAATTCAGAGAAGCATGCTCAGAGCTCTTTCGAGCTCTCGTATTGGAGCGAATAAATATATCGAAATATTGTACGTCAAAGGCCGTAAGACTTGCCAATATCCACAGTGGTCCGTGTCCCCTGAACATCGGGGCAACGTTGCCAGATCCGTAGCAGAACGTTACCCCAGCTTGTTCTCCCCCTCTCTTAATTCCCCTCTCTTCCTCTACTCCCTACTTCTTTTTTTTTTACTCCCTTCTTTTTTTCTTCAGTTGATCTTGCACGATGCGCTCTCAATAACGGGATCAGCCCATCGCCTCGGCCCCACGTCATCTCTGATCACGCTACTCCGTACCCCGTGAAACCCTCCGAGCGCATTCGCCGCCTTCAACGCTCGATCGTCTCCAACGCGCTTTCAGCTCTGGGACAGCTTGCTCGCATCCTTAGAAGCTCTCCCCCATCTTCGCCTACCTCCTATTATCTCCCCCCACTTCAACCCCGACCTCCACCTCGAGCACAGACTCTTGACGAGACCCACGACCGCACATCTGGTTTGGATAGATCTTTTGTGAAGGAAACAGGGAAGAACGAAAAGGAAATAGAGTGGTGAGTTGCGCATCGCACTCCCCACTGCTGGAGGTCCCTCGGCTGATCGTGGAACACCCAGACTCAATTGCGATCACGCGACTGCTTCTGATCTTCGGCTCTTTTCCATTCCTCTTCGTGGATATTACTTTGTTCAAAGACGTCCGCCTCTCGCCAAGACTGCAGGTTGGGGATCTCATCACCGCGATCCTCGCCACCATTTTCTAGGTATGTGGAGGACCCAACTGAGTTCGCTCGACTCTACACATCTTTTCCTTTGAATTGTCAAGCAACTTCTCGTGCTGTTTCTTGATCGCTTTATATTCTCTTTCCTCTCATTGTATTTCTTACTGCTGTTTCGCCTTTTTTTGGGGGGATGATCTGGCGCAATCATCGCTTTGGCCTGACACCTATGTTACCCACATTCCCAACTGTCATGCAGAGTCGCCCGAAAGGCCCATTGCATGGCATGAGGCAGAGTCGATCCTTAGCCCCTTTGACGAGGATCTCCTCAGTAAGAGGGGTTGCGAAGATACCTATGTGCTTCCCCACTTTCCTTTGCAGCTCTCAGTCATGCCACTCATGTGATATCAGCGCTGCGTATCCTATGCTTCACCCACCTTGAAACGGACAAATCTAACATGAAACTAGGAACAATTGAACATAGGCGCATAATACAGTCGCCCAGTGTGTCTCGGAAAGACTGAGATTGCACTATTACCCTACCAGTGGAACAAAGACGGGTGTTTCTCGATATCTAGACAGCACACCCCTACAATTTGTTCGCAAAGAAAGTACAGGTCAGTGTCTCTCCTTTCTGATATCTTTTCCAGGGCTGTGCTCGACCAGATAACCCCGCTCTGGTTGTGTTGCTTTACGAGGTGTCAAGTGGCGCCCTGGGTGACACAGTCCACAGGAAATGACCAGCAAGGCCTTTTCTGTCATACATCTCAAATTGCCCAAAGCTGACATTGTGACAGGACGCCTCTATGAAAATACACCATGTCTGCGCCATCTAACAAACCGATCTCGATGGCACCGTCTTCGACGCCACCTGCTGCCGCAACGGCCTCTGTGATCCTCGAGAAGACCAACCCGGGCGTGCGCCGCTCCACCCCAGACTCGGAAGCACTGGCTTCCTCAGACGATGATGGGGACCATGCCGCGCAAGCACACAACATCATCCCACCTTCCACCAAACCCCCAGCCCGTCGTACGTCGTGGTTAAATGAGGTCCCCATTTCAGCCCAGCGCAAACACTCCCTGCCCGGTGGTCATCTGGCCTCTGCGCCATCCAACCCCACGAGTCCATCCACCGATCAGGCACCTTGGGCAACAACCACAAGCCCGAACATTGCAGGGTCTTTCAATTGGAACCAAGCAGGAGGAAGCACGTTTCCCTGGGGCACGGGAACCGGTATATGGAACACTGAGTCGCGCAAAGAACCGCCTTCCCGCTTGTCCGAAATGATACCCTCTCCGACTATGACCAACCCAACTCTCGTGGGCGGCATGCAAGACGAAATGCTGAGCCCGATCACCCGCACGATTTCCGGTGAATCGGCCATCCCGTTCTCTATCCCGTTACACCCAACGCCGAAGACCTATCGTTCCCAATCTTACTCTGTAGGCCAAATGGACCCTGAGTTCCTCGGAATTGTGGCTGGCAAGCCCGGCCCTGGCCCACCTTACCCTGGCGGTCGTCCCCGAGGCCCAGGTCAGATCTCAGCTGTCCAACCTCGGGCATCACGCCCCAGCATGCTAGGGGAGCTGGGACATGATCCTGCTATGCTTGGTCGAGTTCGAGAGGACGATGATGGTGATGACAGTCTCAACAGCTCAGAAAGCGATATGAACTACTCGGCGAGCCAAGCACGCCAGCAGATCGAGCAACTTGCGCGTGAAAATGCAATGCTGCGACAGGCTGCCGCGGCCGGCCAGATGGACAACAGATACCGCGAGCGAGCTGGATCTGCCGCGTCGATCGGTGCAAATGCACACCATGCCCTGCACCGAATCCGAGGCGGTGTTCCCGAGGAAGACCTAGGTGCTGAAGATCTAGGAGAACTGCGCGACATTGCAGGATACAATGCTTTGCGCGGGGTCTCCAATCGCCGCTTCTCAGAGCACGCAGCAAACCCAGAGCATTTCGGTTCATTCGCTCCCCCGCTTGAGAATCGGGCACTGGACAATGTGCGTAAAGCTCATTGGCAGACCTCTCTTGGGTTTGGGGGTATGCCCGACATGCCTCAGAGTCGTCGGCACTCTTTTGCTGACATTCCGATGCGTCACGGATCCATTGGTTCGGTAGATTCTCTTGCAACCGCCACTCCTCGTGCTAATGATGGAGATCGTGATGACGTCTATGGTAATCTCAATGATTACGCTGGCCGTGAGTTGACCTGTTCAACATGCTACAGACAGAATGCTAACTTTTTTATATAGAACCTTACTACTCTCGGGAGCAGGCTTTGCGTGGAGACGGTTCTTCCGGCATCCCATCTTCTCTCAGTCAGTACGCCATGTCAAGTGGATATGGCCGTCCTCCCTCTACCCTTTCACATGCCCACCAGAACCAGCTCTTGTATATTGTTGCCTTCAAATGCAGCCGCGCAGACGTCTTCTATATTCAAGAAGATACTGGCCTTCAAGTGAAGCAGGGTGATCTGGTTATTGTCGAGGCTGATCGTGGGACTGATCTTGGAACCGTCATTCATTCCAACATATCACTCCAGCAGGCCCGTGAGCTGAAGCATCATTACGCCGAGGAGCATTATAAAACCCTGATGATGTACTCCCGTCATGGTCAGCTTGAGGGATCCGGCCTGACAAACCCCAATGCGGGCTTGAACACCCGTAGCGCGACAGGCGGCATGGGCCCCCACGGTCCGCACGGTGTACAGGAACCGAGCTCGGAACTTAAGCCGAAGCTTATCAAGCGCTTGGCCCAGAAGCATGAGGTTATGACGTTGCACGACAAAGAAGGAAACGAAGCTAAAGCCAAGCGTGTCTGCCAACAGAAAGTTGTAGAGCACCGACTCAACATGGAGATCCTCGACGCGGAGTTCCAGATGGATTGGAAGAAGCTCACTTTCTACTACTTTGCTGATTCATACATCAACTTCAATTCTTTGGTGACCGACTTGTTCAAGATCTATAAGACTCGCATCTGGATGTCCGCCATCAATCCGGCCTCATTCGTGACCCCTCCGACCGCCGGCCTTCCCGGCCCAGGCTCTATCTCAAACCCTCTTTACAGCGGGGATGCAGAGCGGCGTCACCATGAGGCCCGATCGTACGGCGGATCTCGCGATGCTATAGACAATGGCCGTGATATCCCAAACCCCGTCGGCATGCTTCGCACCGCCTACGGTGACACCTACCAGCCATTCGCTCCATCTCCCCGCCACACCGATGCGTCCCACGCCGAAATATTCGGCAGCCCAGCTGTCCCTCATCTGGCCGCCGAATCTATCGATTACCCCAGCAGCATTGGCTCAACCAACGCCGGTGCTGCCCGCATGCACCAAGCCCAAAACGAATGGCTTACCCGCTTCCCGGGCCTCTCGCTCAACTCTTAATTCTCCTACCTCCTCTCTCTCTTTCTTCCAAACCATCTCCCTCTCTCAAACCCTCTCGCATCTATGTACAACCCGTTGCCTCTGTCTTTGAATACTCGCGGCGAAAGAGACTTACGAACCTAGACTTTTGCTTTATCCCAGATATCGTGGTTTTGTTCTCGTTAAGAATGTTTCCGAAACACAAATGACCTGCACTCTTTACGTTTCTCCTCTGCTTCCTGTCCACCTTTGCTTCCATGAGACCCTTCCTGTACTACTGTTGTTAGATTTCATACCCTGGGCTGTCACGCCTGCTCGGTCGTTACCGGTTCTTATTGTTTCTAGATATTTCGCGTGACGAATTATGTCTCCCATAATCGGAATCTCTCCTCCGTACACTGCGTTAATTGAATTTTCTGGCATTGCTATTTTCGTCACCTGGTACTTGCGACTTCTTTTTATTATAGGTTATACAAATTGCGCGTGAAGACAGGGAAAATATACGGTGTTTTGCTCTTATGCTGATTGTAATAGAGGTTTGCAATAGTCAAAGGTCATAGTGATATAGGCCGGATCTCCTGGGATACTAGAAGCACTGCACTCTTATGAGTCTTCTTTGAGTCTACTCAGTCATAACTCATTGCAACCTTTAACCTTGAAATGTATGAAATTGTCCGGTGCTCCTGGGAGTTCCGGTCTGGAGATAACGTCTTCCTACATCGCTATAGTGACTTGCAGTTCTCTTCGAACCTTTCTTGGGGTTATGTGTATAGTTGCACGTGGCTCATAGACCGACCTCAGTCTTCTTGGAAGGTTGTTTGTTCTCTTCCCCGTCTTCAACACTGAGTTCTTTCACATTTTTACTCTGCCTTCCATTCCATCGAAGAATGTCTTCCACTACAGAATTGATTTCCGAGCCTCTTTTGAATGTGCAATACTCTGCACCAGGTTTTTGCTTACCGCATCCCAGTATTGTCAACCAATTTTGCCGAGACCAAAGAAACCTGATCTTCTGCCAAGGTGTCACCATTGTGAAGATATCACCCGAAGTTGTCGTCAAGTTTGGTGCTCATGTCAACATTATCGAGGCCAAAACCATGATTCATGTTGCGCAAAATACAAGGGTTCCTGTGCCCAAAGTTTTCGCATATTATACGTACGGTCCAATAGATCGTGACGCTGGCGATTACGGAGGCCTTTACGATGCCTACATCTTCATGAGTTTCATTGCCGGCGAAACACTCTACACAGCTTGGGACTCTTTTGACGTCTCCACCAAATCCCATATTTCAAGACAACTTGCAAGCTATATCGAGGAGATCCGCAATATAGGGAACGTCGACTATATTGGCTCCATAGATCATGGTACTGTTACTGACCGCAGTTTAGCGACCTCTCTCGACAAAGGTACAACACGTAGACCTTGGGAATGGAACACGTAGTGAAAGCTTGATTTGAACTAATTATTTCTTTGAAAAGGCCCATTCGATTCGGAGCGGGACTTTAACACGGCTCTCATCAACGCCTATCAAAAGTTTGCTTAGTGGAATGCTTTCTCAATCCCATCGCATCTTATTCACGCATGGTGATTTGCGGCCTCAGAATGTTATGGTGAAAGATGGACATGTGGTCGCCATTATAGACTGGGAGCGAAGTGGTTGGTATCCAGAATACTGGGAATTCGCAAAGGCACTCCTTGTATGGGGCTGGCAGAGTGATTGGACAGATTACCTGATGCAGATTCTTCGACCGTATCACGCTGAATTCTTCATGCACTCTTTTCTGATGGAAAAGCTGTTGTTTTAGCTGGTATGTGCATCATGGTCTATTCACTCATCGATAGCAAGATTAAGGATATATTATAGAAGGAGAAAGAAGAGAAAGAAGAACTCCATACTTAGATCCAATACTATAATCACTACCTTCAAGCAGTCTAAGAACAGCACTGTAAGGGATTTGCCAAATACCTAGGTAAGCTAACAGGTTAAAGATAGAATCAGTATCTCGGAATATGATATGTCTTACCGACTATAGAGAATAGCAGTGAAATAGGCTCCTTTACTATTTCTGCAATATACATAGACAGAAGAGACTGTATACTTATTATAGGATAAAAGCCTTTCGTTATTTAGTTTGTTTCTTTATGTATACCTAGGTAGCTACTACTTAAATCAGGATAGTAATTTACGGCAGCCGATTTTCCGTCAATTAGCGCTGTGGTGTAAATAGTGTATTTCACTCTGGAGTCAGACTCTTTTCGAGATCGGCTCTGTAGAAAGAGGAAACCATATGCCGAGGTAAAAGTACGATCGAACTCCAACCTAGGAAATGAGCACCATGTGTGTTGTCACCAAGGATCCCCCACTATTCTGTGATTGCATTCGAAATGATTGCACTCGGGTTTCAAAACTTGTCACCGCCGATCTTTCTCATCGCCTGAATCCTCATCACTCAGCTCCTTCACCTGGACTGCAATACAATTCTCCATCCACCAAGGCAAGAATAGACCACCAAATTCAAGATCGACCCCAAGTTTCATCGCGTCTGCGATATGTTGCTCATCGCGAAGCGGTTTCGTGAGCAGATGGTCCTTCACATGTTCGTACCAATATCCCGGCACGAATTCGCTCAGAGGCAGAGAGAGCTCATCGAATTTCTGCTCCAAGTCTCTCACGAGTTTTTCATATTGATCCAGTGACGATTGCTCGTCAACGTTGTCATTGATATAGTCATCATTATTCGGCCTTCGATGTCGGTCCAAAACACATCCCTTTTTAGTTTTGGCAAAACAGGTGTGAGTCAGATCCAACGCATTGAAGGTCAAGGATCTGATGAATGCTCGGGGATTCCTCCAGTAGGACTGGTCCCACTCCTGAAGTCGCCCGAATAATCTTCCGACACATTGCTGACATTGATTCCTCTGAGGACTATCAAGAGTCCATTCTCGGAGAATCACTGATATCGCTGTGCATCCAGTAGAGGAGCAAGGACAGACACATCCGTCTGGGATCCTCGTGGGCGCAAAGAAACTGTCTCCTCCCATTGTGATGAGATCTTGTAAATTGCTTTCGAACCTGATCACATGGGATGAATGATCGATATTTGAATACCCCAGAGAATTGCGTATAAGGCCCAAGGTCAGGATATCGATGATTGTCTCGTTGGCCCAAGAAAGTTGACGATAAAGATTAGCACCCTTTGAAATGTACCAGTGAATTAATTTCTTTTGCGACAGCCAAGGACAATAATATGAGATCGAGCCGAGTGGTGGATCTCCATTCAAGTCGAGCATGTCAATGTCAATGAACCCCGCTTGATACAACGCTTCAGCGCATTCCTTCTCCTTGACATTGTGGTAAACACTATCTCCACCAGAAAGCATTAAATACCCCCGAGCGTCTGTTCCGAATGAATCTGGTAAGGATATTTTGTGATCCACCAGTAAATCCATGACTTTGAGACAGTCTGGCCCATCAAGTAATTTATTGTCATCATAAACAGAGATCAATGCCCGCGGCAGACAGCCCTTTGCGAACATGTGCAGCTCTCGACGTCTTGCTGCCAGCTCTTTGGCCAATAAGATCATTCTTTCCCCCCCATCAGCACATTCGACACTTTGGTTGAGTGTCATCTTGTCCAAATGACATCCTGCCTTTAGAAGTGAAACAGCCGAAGAATGATGCCCAGCGCCGGGGTAGGGAAGAGAGCGAAAAGATTGTTTTGCATTTGCCCCGAACTCGAGAAGAATGCCCACACCTTCTGGCCAACCAAAGGCCCATTCAAGTAGTGGGTAATTCCGAACTTTTTCGTCGGGTGAAAATAACCCCTGCTGGAGAGCCTTTTTTAAATCTTGGGCATTTTCGCGACAGATGAGCCTGATGATCTCTGGCATTTTGATGACTGAAGTTCCCATTAGCTCGACGGTAGAGAGAGACATGCAAAGAAAACTCATACGTGATTCATCTCTAGAAAACAAGAGCATCAGATTGTGCTTCGTGTAAGGCATGAACCAAATGTTCTCGAGATCAAAGTTGAGCCCCGAATCGGCCAGACGCACGATGACTGGAACGTCTTTGGCTTGGAGACGAGGCATGGACCAGAAATTATTTCTCCACCCTTCGTTAGGACCCACGGAACCCGCACTGTGATCCAGAAGAAAGTTGATTATTTCAGTAAAGGGGAAATCCCCCGCACCAAAAGAGTTAAACGCTAAAGCCGATAAAAATCGCTACCTGGGGTTAGACTTCACCCGGTCCAAAGAGTCAGGGGCATACGCACATCAACTAAGGGCGAAAGTGAACCATCCGGGGATGCCATCACAAACGAAAGATCGAATTTGCTGTCTGAGAGACAATTTTTCAATTTCTGCAAGCCGCTGCCACCATCTTTAAGCTTATGAAAAAAGACCATGATTTCCCAGATGTCATAGCGTGCGGGGAATTCTGGAGTGATGATGACAGGTACTTTCAATGACTGGGATATGGAAAATCCGCCAGCCTCAGCCTTCAAGCCGAACGAGATCTCGACTGCGTAACCAATCCAACGACTGTAAACGCGGAATGTCTTGGTTTTAGATACCTCTCTTCGTTCAATGGAGTGTCTGCTACCTGTCAAGGCACTGCTGCTTCTTGCATCAGGTTGGTGCGGCTTTTGCTGCTCACACACGTCCTTCACATAACCTGGGGGTAATTTGCCCGCGCTCATTAGCTGGTAATGTCAGCTGAGTGACGATAATCAATCTCGCGCAAAGGGTTACTTTACCGCGAGAAAGTCGTTCATCGCCTGCGAGATTTGCATATTCTGTTTGCAGCTAAATCTGTAGTTTCGTAGTCAATGTCTCATCCTGAGAGGGGGTGGAATCTCGACCATACATTTGAAGTGCGATTTGGAGATCCTGCTGCATGCTGTCCAAATCTGCTGCGACCTCTCGAAAGTCACCTTTCTGGAAAGGATACTTTGACCTCTTCAGTGTCTTGCGAGCAAAGTTCTCTGGGAACTGGCTGGGCCCACATCGTTCGATTTTGATTTCAAGCCGTGTGAGATGCTGCTGGATCCGATTGAGCTTCCTGGAAAGAATTGCAGCAGCTTCAGGCTGGACTGTCTGCGTGAATTTGATCGTGTCATCCAGAGTCTGCAGGTTCTCAGATACTGACTCGGCTTTGAGCGTGAGGTTTTCAATATCCTGATTGTAACCCCGGTGTGCCCGGCCGTATTCGACTATAGTATTGCATACACTCAACCCAAGAGAGATGATTCCAACCACGGAGCCTGCGACAGAAAGAGGGTCCGCCATAGTGCGTGTTGTGTCCGAGGTCTGGACCAAGAAATGGAATCCGAACGAAAATAGATTGAGAACAATGAAAGGAACTTAGGAAGTCAGGGCAAGATCAGGCTGACTTTAGTAAACTGGAGGCGTCGGGGCATTTTCAAAAAGTGAATCGGGCACCAATTACGCGCTGCTGGCTCTGGCGCTTCTGCACATTCAATTTGTTGTGCATCGCTGAGATATCTAGTCCAACCGTTATGCGCTGGCCAGTGAGGCTGTGGTTTGGCGGGGTGGGATTCGTCGCGACGGCCCCACCAGGTGAGATCTCAGCTTGGAGACTCAGCGCGTCCGAATAACCCGGGTGAAATGGGCTTGCCTAGTGTTACTTGAGCCCCACATGTTCTCTTGAATAGCATATGTGGTGTTATTGTGTTTTGAGTAGATAGAGAGCCCGAGTACCTACTTTTAAGCACAGATCAGTACTTGCGTATTTGACAGGATCATAACCCTCGGCTTCGGGTGAGATGGGCGAGTGGCTAGCCTGGGGCTGTTCATGCATTTAAGAGGGGCTTTGAAGTGTTCGGCCTGTCATGTTTGGGCTCCAGTATGCTGCGCCCAAGCACCCCTGATCAAGGCGTTTCAAGGGCCTCAAATCGTGCATACCGCACTGGGTCTTCTGATACCGCCAAGTCTGCATCACGAACTGCGCAATCCAGGGGAATGACGCTTCAGGATGCGAAGTAGACATAAGCACTGCCATGATCAGCATTTGCCCTTCCAGCACCGCCCACGAAGACACACCTCAAGCAAACTTATCATGCTTCCCGCTAACCTTGACATCCAGCAGAATCTCATGGAAATTGCCCTCCTTGCGACCCTTTCTCAACCTCTTAACCTCATCGTCATCCAATGTCCTTCCAACAATCCCCTCCAACTCCTTTTTACTAATCTTCTCATACGCCTTGCTCTCCTTGCTAGCCTTTAAACGAGGCTTGAACCGCGCCTGCATGCGCACACGCAGAGTAGTCTCGAAGCAAAGCGCGGTTGCATCGCCCCGAATCTCCACACCACCTGTCGCTTTGCCGTTCTCTTTTATGGAAAGGAAAGACTCGCCGTCACCTCCATGCGTCTGGAGGGAGAATGTACCAGAGACTTCGGACGGGATGGCAAGGAAGGATTCGTAGTGGCTGACCGCGGAGGCAGTCGCGCTGCAAAGGCCATGGGTATCGGAGGAGAGATATCTAGATCATAAAATATCAGTAAGAGATTCAAAAAACAAAGCGCATCAACAACTCACTTCCCATGATGTCCCTTAAAGCTGAATGACTCGGTCCCCGCCACGCGCGACGCAACCCAAACCTGACGAACGTCGTGCGGCTCCGCCGTTGCCGGATCCCCCTCGACCATATTTTCAATCTTGCTGGCGAATACCACGCCATTTGCGTCACTCGCGATACATGTTGGGTCGTCGGATGGGAGGACGAGGATCACTGGGCCGGCGATGTCGCCTGCGGCTTCGGCGGAGACCCAGCTTTGGTCTTCGGGGTTGTCGGCTTCTGGTTCGGTTTTGCGCGTCTTAGCAGGCGCTTCGCTGTCGGCGCTGCGGACCTTGCGCTTTTTGGGCTTGTCGCCTTTGAATGTGAGGGGTTTGACCATTTTGGGTGTGTGGTGAAGTTCAAGTTTAAGGCTGGGTGGGTCCCGAGGTTTGGAGTGGTCGTCACGTATCACTATGCCCGTGGACGATGTACTCTACTTAGTGCTCAACAGATAATTTTGTAGTTTTAATTGTAGGTCTTTTATAAGCTCATGGATTTTTCTACGCTCACAGTGATCTCTGAACAAATAAATCTAATTGTGTAATTCTCCTTAGCCCGTACTTCGTTGAATGTGAGACTCAACTGGATTAAAATCATAACGAGAAGAGGATGATCTCAATGAACTAGATTCTGATTAATGGAGATTTCAGGATCACTGATTAATTTTGCCCCCAAGGTAGCGTAGCTGGGGTACAGTGGACTCTCAAGGTCCTCATAGTCAAGACTGATTACATCCTTTGAGAGGACACAATCTCTATTGATCAATCCCCTCTAAGTACACGAAAACCCTCATTTTCATGGTAACTTAGTCAAAAGTGATCGCAGCCTTAATGGCAGACTTGTTGCGCATGGCCTCAAGACATTCCTCCCACTGCTCAATCTTGTACACCTTGTTCACGATACCATCCACCTTAACCTTGCCAGAGTCAAGGTAATCGACAGCAGCAGGGAACTTGTACGTCTCTGAGAAACTGCCAAGAATTGTGATCTCATCACCAACTGGAGAGAATTAGCCACAGCCACCAACAACCGACAAGAGAACTTACAAATCTTCGCTGGCGACCACGAGACCCGAACCTCGCTGGAGTATACGCCGTACACGACGAGCTTACCACCACGACGAACATAGTTGATCGAGTCTTCCAGAATCTTCTGGCTACCAGTGGCCTCCACAACAATGTCGAAGCCGTATGGGTTCTCGGCCTTGAGGGTATCGAATTGAGCCTGGGGATCTTTGCGAGATAGCTCAATGTACTTGTCTCCGGCACCGAGCTTCTGAGCCAAGTCCATCTTCAGACCTTGGGGCGCAACGACAACCACATTGCAACCACCATTCTGGCGCAGCATCTGGGCCAGAACCAGACCAGTGGGACCGGCACCGAAGATCAGCACAGAGGATCCCATCTTGGGGGCAATTTTGTCAAGACCGTGTGCGGCACAGGAGGCTGGCTCGAGGAGAGTTGCATCGACATCAGATAGGTTGTGGATTTTGAAGACTCGACCAGCTAGATGATGGAAGGTCAGCTTCTGGTAAGCGATGGCTTGATAACTTTGCTCGACTTACCAGGGTAGGCACAGTATTCGGCAAATCCGCCGTTCATTGTCACACCATGAGCTTCGAAGTGCTCACAGAACAGCTCATCTCCACGACGACAATAGAAGCAGGTACCGCAAAGCTCGGAGTTATCGGCAACAACACGCTCGCCAATCTGGAAGTCTTTGACCTTGGGGCCGATGGCAGCCACTACGCCGACAGTTTCATGGCCGGGGATGAGAGGGAACTCAACACCAGTTAGCCCACGCCATACAGTGTACTAACTCGAAGAGTCTTGAAATACCTTTGCAATGAATTCACCCTCGTGGATATGCAAATCGGTACCGCAAACACCGCAGGCCTTGACCTTGACCTGTGAGACAGAACCATTCAGTCGTCAAATTTCACACAAATGCATCAAATTCGGCAACGCTCATACCAATACATCATTATCACGAAGCTCAGGCACAGGGACCTCAACAATCTTATGCTTTTTGGGCTCTGAGTATTGCAGAGCCCGCATGGTCTTGGGGATGGAGAAAGTCATGATTGAAGGGGATTGAGAGGAAGAAGCTAAGGATCAACTGGAGGAAGAGGTGAAGCTCAGCGAGCTCTTTAAGTAGCCTGCCAAAGAGGGGCAACTCGTAAAGCGCACCGCTCGATTGCTTCCCCACGAAAGGAAGTATACAGCTCCGGTGTCACTCTTCGATGTGGGTCACGATCGTCATTCGCGTGCATCCGACCCCACTACGATGTATGAGACTGTCTCGACATTTCTGATTCTATCTCCCCTCCTTTTGGATCGGAACACAGAGATAATGCAGGTTTGCGTTTTGTGTTTACGTTTGCGCCAAGTGCAGCCAGTCGAATCGGGAGAACCCCGCGGGGTTCTGCGCAGGGATTCATCTTGGGCCTCAATCCAGAGTCGACAATGCTGTACTCCACATGCATCTCCAATTGGATACTATCGCCATTCTTGGGTTGCTATCACTCGCAGATATCTCTCATCGAATGCGTTCTTTGTCCAGTGGCTCGATAGCTCCGTCTACTGAACGCCGAGCAGTCAAAGCCAATCCCGCCAAATGCACCACATCATATCTCCAGGGCTTCCAAGATGCAGGAGTACCCTTGCTCAATTGGACAGAGAACGCCAGCTCCCAGAGCTAGCCAAGCCTCGGGAAAAAGCGAAACGAAAGGCACCGGCCCTAAGTCAATCCCACTCACCGCTCCCTTCCCCGCTGAAGCCATTCCCAAACCAGAATGCATACCCAGATCACGCGGGGGGATGGAGCTCAACCGATAGCTTAATCTCAAATCCGGGGGCTGTCAGAGCTGTCAAATGGGGCGTTGCTTTCGATGCATCGAGACACATGTGCTGGACACTTCTTGACCGCTGCCTCTAAGAGGGGAAGTTGGACTGGACACTGCATCCGGGCTATGTGCTTCCGGCGAATTGCTTTGGAAGACTGTGATATCGGCTATTGTTTCTTGGGGATGTACAGGCATGCAGACATGTCACACCAGATATGCAGCCGCGCTGTTGGGCTTGTGCTGTACCACTGCAATCTTGCCTGTCGACCCCGGATAAATGAGATCGAGACACTTGGTACATCCTCTGACAGTTCTATTTGATATCTGGATTCTGATCTGGCCGTGTGATGATCATATGTCACTTGCGGTATGCATTCTCAACGGTTGACAGACATGCTGATTGTTGAGAGCTCTTTGATGGCTTCGTATCATCATTACATTTCGCGGGATGCTTGGACTCTAATGCATAGCGATAGGCTGCAGCGATTCCATTTCATTCCGGCCCCTCTAACATATGCTGATGCACGGCATTGTCTACCTCGAGGTCGTGCCACCAACGCATTCACCCTCGGGATGTGAAACAAATCAAGGGAAAACCAGTTTCATCTTGCTGATACAGTGCCGTATGACTTTGATGCCTCTTGTTATTTCGACCACTACAGAGCCATAGTCCAAAATCAATATGGTCCTGCGCCCTCTGGTCCAGGTCGATCAGACAAAAGCTCCACTTGTCTCCACAATAGCATCCTTTAAAAGAGCCACAATCTCCTCGATTTCTTTCTCCGTTGAGATATAGGGTGGACAAACAAGGACATGGTCAATCTGATAAGTTCCGGTATGACCGAGGTTACCCAGGATGTTGACCCCACGTTTGAGAGCACTGGCAACAACCTTGTTTGAGAAGTCGTCTCCAAGGGAGAATGGCTTTTTTGTGTGTTTGTCTAGGACAAACTCCACGGCCCAGAAGAGTCCACGGCCACGAATATCTCCCACCAGGGGAAGAGGGCCGATCTCTTTTCGGAGCAGTGTCTCCAATTTTTGGCCAAGGTCCACGACTCTCTGCAGTAGGTTGTCTCGCTGGATGATATTCTGAGCCGCAATTGCTGCCGCACAAGCGAGGGGATGGGCCTGTCAAACAAGTTCAACTTTTGGTCACGAATCGGCATTCTTCCTGCCCAATGACGGACTTCAACACTTACCTGGAAAGTATGCCCATGTGCAAGTCCCCCAGAGCCAGCGGACAATGCTTTGAAGATTTTCTCGTGTAGCAAGACACCAGACAGCGGAACAAATCCTGCACCGAGGGCTTTCCCAATGGTCTGGATATCGGGACCCCGTATTCCCTCTTGCTCCCAAGCGTGCATGGTACCAGTCTTGCCCATACCACAGATAATCTATGCATGAGTTAGTATCGTAAGGTCAGATCAAATTGATGACCAACGAGAGAAGTCATACCTCATCCAAAATCAACAAAACCCCATAGCGATCACAGATCTCTCTAATCGCCTTCCAGTATCCCGCAACAGCAGGTACACAGCCAAGCGTAGTCCCCGAAACAGTCTCCGCCACAAACCCAGCAACCCTATCGGGACCAACCCTCAAAATCTCCTCTTCAAACTGATTCGCCAACCTCTTCACAAATGCAGCGTCATCCTCCCCATTTTCCTGCATCCGATACGCATAACAAGGATCAACAAAAGACACATTATTCGACATGAAATCCTTATAAAACGTTCTTCGCGACTCATGCCCAGAGACACAAAGCGCACCAATCGTATTCCCATGATAACTCTGCTTCCGAGCAATGAAATGCGTCCGCTGCGGCTGGCCCTGTTCATGCCAATACTGCACAGCAAGTTTCAAAGCTGCATCTGTCGCTTCACTGCCGGAGTTAACGAAGATGGCCTTGGATAGACCGCCCGGCTTCGATGATAGAAGAAGCGTGGCTAGGTCTTCCGTTGCCTGGTTCGTGTATGGACTACCGGAGTATACGTATGCGATGTCGTTTTGGAGATGATTGGTGATTGCGTCGAAGATTTCGGGCTGGCTGTGGCCGAGGCAGGAGACGGATGGACCACAACTTGCGTCGATGATTTGCTTGCCATCTTCTAATGTGAAGCTTATTCCGTTTCCTTTGGTCACTTTAGAGGGTCGTGCCGCAAAGGTGCGATGTAGGATGTGCGAGTCCGCGACGAAGGGGTCGGTCATGGTGATACTGTGGGTTGGCGTGACCAAAATCAAATTGAGTTGTACTCTATAGCCTCGAGGTCGATCTACTTGATTATAAATGCAGGATTCTCAGCTCAGAAAGTCTTTGGCGTCTCCAAATTCGCATTTGGAGTAATCCCGCCGTTGACGCTGAAGTGGGGCTGGGGCCCGCCGGTGACGCCGGCGCTTCATTTGGGAATTGCATTTTGTGGCATTGCAAATTATTGAGGTCTCACTGGATATTTCGACGTATACCTAGGACAATCGAAGAGAACCCCGCCATTGACGCCGAGGAGATTGAGTGAGCAAAGCGAGGTATAAAAGATGTAGCCTCGGGGAGCAGATCTTCAACTTGCCTCATTAATACCAAAGAAACACAATCACTGCAAAGTAAGTCGCTCGGAAAAGAAGCTCTGTGGCTCACTGTCAAATCAACTCACACCCTTCAGATGCCCGTACCAATGGAAAAAGGCGACAACACCGCAACAGCCTACCGCGGCCCCAAACTCCCCAACGTACCAGAAGACATAGTAGTGACAGACGCACTAAATCTTCAATGCGACGAACGCCTTTGGGTCCCACAAGCTCCAGACGTCTGGTTCCGACCACTATGCTTCAACGTCTCGCACGGCTACTTCGTGAATATCCTGCGTGTACGCAAAAACGGCATTCTCTCGCGCCACAGACACACCGGACCCGTCCATGCGACTGTTCTGCGTGGCCGCTGGCATTATCTCGAGCATCCGTGGTGGGCAGAGGAGGGCGGATATGCGTTCGAGCCTCCTGGTGATATCCATACGCTTGAGGTTCCTGAGGGCGTCGAGGAGATGGTGACGCTGTTTCATGTTACCGGGGCTTATATCTATGTTGATCCTGAGGGGACGGCGCTGGGTGTGGAGGATGTTTTCAGTAAGCTGGAGGCTGCGAGGAAGCATTATGAGGAGGTTGGTCTTGGGGCTGCGTTTGCGGATCAGTTTGTTAGGTAGATTGGAAAATTTGAGCAATATTCCCTTCACTGATCTTGATTATGATTCATTTGTATTTTCTAAGTTAATGAGAGTATTATTCCATCTTGCAGGATAATATCAAGCCAATCGACCGGTCCTTTTGTAGTGTGTGTTGTTTTCCTCTCGAGGTTCAGTCGCCAAAGCTTCTCGAGAACCGACAGGGCCACTTCTACATTCCGGAACCTGCGAGACTCAATCATATCGAGCATTTTGTGACGAATGCTCTTGATATGTGTCTCTTTTGATGCTTCGCCGCCGGCAAGGAAAAGTGGGAAAAGTAATGTACATTCGGGGAGGCTTCGAGTGGGCATTTTGTCAATGTTGGTCACCACTGTGGCGACTTCGTGCGCAGTTTTGTGCGGTAGGCTTTCTTCCACGCTTGGAAAGCCACGACGCATGACCCGGTATAGGTATAAGAGAGCCGAGCTGCGGTATGATTCTGCCAAGAGAATCAGGGATTCATCATTCGACGGAGGGCACACCCATTCCCGCAGCCGAAGCTCAAGAGATGTGAACGTGGTATTTATCTCGGATAGAGATGGCTGGGGAGCCATGTGCGGATGGAAGTTGTTATATGCATCTGATTTTGATGCATTGGCATATATGAGATCCACGTCGTCATCATGCATAGATTTGACCCTTTCGTTGAGAGAAGCGATAAGGTAAAGGATGGTCATGATTTCAGAAGCCAGCCCAAAGTAAGAATCAGCCACCGGCCCTTCATCAAGCTGCACGAAACGATATGAAGGCAGCAAAGGCTCCCTATCTAGAGCTACTGCCATTAGTATGTCATGGTAGGCGAAGTTGCGCAAAAGCCACCGTCCTGTGTGAGCGTCTTCGAAAGACTGAAGAATGTTGGAGAAATTCGTTTCATCTGGGGCCATATCCATGCAAATCTGAGATGAAATGATCCCTGCAGCACCCATGAGATGTAGATACCAGGCCCTGTCGTTATCGGCCATGATACTCTCCATGGAGCAGAGAACTAACGTAATGGCGAGATTAGTCTCTGCATTCTTCGGACTAGATTCAAGCGAGAGGCGCAAATCCCGCATGGCCATGCCCCTATTTTGCATGGCGACTTGGTGGAACGCGGGGTCTCGTAATGAAAGGTGAGATGACGACCACGCAATTAAAGCGTTTAGCAGTGCGGAGTCATGCATTGCCATTGGAAGAAAGACTGCGATAGTGAGTAATTGTCACGGGAAGTCAGATAAATGAGCTCACCAGATAAGAAAGAATTATTCTCAATGTTTGTAGTGAGCATATGAGTGAAGGTCTGTGCATAGTACCGAAGGAAATGGCGGCGACTTGAGCGCGAGGTATTATCGGAGTGATCATCTACCCAAAAGAGGATAGGATCAGGTACTTGCGAGAGCCGGAAAGGAGTGTTGACTGGTTGATTTGACACTTGCTCTGTGGAGAGTGTGTTTTCCTGAACTAAAGGTCTGGGCTCTTCCCATTTACACTTGTAGTTCAGTCTGACGCAATGTGCGCAGACAGGATAGCCTAAATCGCATCGCTTTTTCCTACAATAACTTGTCAACTCTTTCTTTGAATGCGAGCCCACGACACACTTACCGTTGTCGACATGTCAAGCATCCTGTCCGTTCGCGAGTGGTCCCTTTCCGCTTAGCGACCCGACGTGGAACTTGGGGCCCAGTGGCGATTTCTGGCATGATGATCGGTGAGAGTACTAAACCAGATCAAGTTGCATGTCAGGCGTCAATGGCGGGCGACAGAGAGAGGAGCCGAGATGATCTTGAGCTCACAGCCATGCGGGGCGGGACCGGGCCAATCGGGTCCAGCGCGGTAACGGCGCAGAATCGGTCTATGAGAGCGCGACGATTACTTCGACATCTCGTATCAATGAACACTCATCGAGTGAACATCATTGATATGCGTATCTCCAAAGTTCAACCCCCGCGGGGTAAATTGTCCATGGATGTCACTATCTTCGCAACAATGCCTTGGCAAACCATGTCTTATATCACGGCGCATCTCTTTCACAATGGGCTGGTAACGCAATCGCCAGATCTGCAGAATGATTTCGAAAAGTGATGACTATGACCTTGAGTCTCGGGGCTATTCTCGCGAAATGCCCCGGCAGTTCTCCGTCTTCAGCCTTGTGGCACTTTCATTCAGCTTGACCTGTACCTGGTCAGGCACCGGCTCTTCGCTGGGTGTGGCAGTTCAAGAGGCATCTGCTGCCGGTGCCATCTGGTCTATCCCGGTCGCGGGAGCCATGACAGCTATTTTATCCGCCGGTGTTGCTGAGCTGGCATCGGCCTTTCCAGTCGCGGGTGCCCAGTACTACTGGACGTTCTGTCTTTCGTCCAAGGAGTACCGCTCCTTTGCATCATACATGTGGGAGATACTGCCTCTTGACTCACGCAAATACTAACCTTCGGTTCTCTCCAGAAATGGATGGCTCAGCATACTGGGATGGTGGCTGGCAAGTGCGTCCGCCTGCAATTTTATAGCATCGCTCCTCCTTTCGATTGCTTTCTTGTGGTATCCTGACTACGAAGCACAAAGCTGGCATCAGTGGCTGGTATATGTTGGAATTGTTTGGTTAGCCGTGGCGTTGAATACTTTTGGGTCTCAAATCTTGCCATTGTTTAATCGATTCAACTGTGAGTCACTCCCTCAACTGTGCCTTTTGATGTCGTACTCATCACAAGAATTCCAGTCATCGTTGCTTGCTGTACACTGACAGCAACTACTATCACCCTGTTTGTCTGCAGTCGAAACGATCACGCTCCAGCTACTTGGGTGTTCGGCGACACGACCAATGGCACCGGATGGCCGAGCGATGGACTGGCATTTGTTCTTGCCATCAGCAACTCCGTATACGCCTTTCTTGGGACAGACTGCGGCGCACATCTCTGCGAAGAGATTCGAGATCCTGCAAAAAACACTCCCAAGATCATATTGCTGCCTATCCTGATTGGTCTTGGAACTGCATGGCCATTCGCTTGTGCGTGTATGTATGCTATCACAGATGTCCAAGCCGTGTTAGATACACCCTCTGGTATTCCTCTGATTGAGATTTACTATCAGAGCACCAAGTCAAAAGGTGCATCTTCGGTTCTGCTGGCTTTGTTTGCATTTTGCTTTTTTGGTTGCACTGTTGCGAATGGTATGATATCCTTGAAGCTATTACATTTACAGTCATATTTTCTGACAATGCATGACTAGGCACTACATGTTCGAGAACCATATGGGCCATATCCCGCGACGGTGCACTGCCATTCAGTGGTATCTGGTCCAGGGTCAACCCTAGATTCAAGATTCCGCTCAATGCACTATGTCTCTCCGCCACTGTCATTTCGGTAAAGTGACTCTTCTATTCAATTATCTGTACGGCCGCTAACAAATGTCAAAGTTATACGGTCTCATATTCCTAGGGTCCACGACCGCTTTCTCAGCAATGGTTGGAGCAGCAGTAATCTTCCTACAAACATCATGTGCCCTGCCGCAAGCAATTGTGCTTTGGCGTGGTAGAGATAAAGTTCTCCCAGAGCGAGCATTTTCACTTGGTAAATTCGGCCCGGCTATCAATTTCATCTCAGTGATGTGGGTCCTGTTTCTGGACATCATCTTCTTCCTGCCTACCGAAAGACCAGTCACCAAGGAGAATATGAACTATGTCTCCGTTGTGTCTGTTGGATTGACCCTCTTTGTCCTTGGACTATACTTTTTCTCGAAGAGAGGGCAGTTCAATGGACCCCGGGTTTTGGAAGCCCATGCCGATATGATTGAGGCCATTCCCGCCGAAGAAGAGACAGCCGATCCAAATATCAGCAATAACAATTGGGAGAAGCAGAAGTGAAAATATAATACAAGGTTCATTGCCCTTTCTTCCTTCAAAAAGCCCGAGAATTTCCATGTATCATTTGTATCAAACGTTGTTCAAAGCGCCAACACCAAATCTTTCAGCTTCTGGAAGTTAGGAGTCCCGAGCCCAGTCACCGGGTCCCAACCCTCAGTCGCGTTCCAATAAGCACCGGGGATGATCAGACTGCCATTGACGGCCTGGTTGGTTTGGGGGTTAATGCCCCCACATCCATAAGAGTGGCCGTCGATGATATCGTGGAGTGTTTTCTGACCCTGCGAGTAAAGCAACGGGTTTAGGAAGCCCAGAACGGGCTTTCCGGCTCTCAAGCGGGCATCATTGAGTAGGGCAATGATTCCAGCAAACGTAGGAGCAGCAGCAGATGTGCCGCCTGAGGCGGACTTCTTACCGAGGTTGATCACTTCGTAACTATTTCTTCTTAGGAACAACTTGGGCAAGAGGTCCAGTCCACTTACTCGGGGTATAAGCTGTGGGCAGATACATCAGGGAACCCACGGCCTCCAAAATCCGCAAAACTGGAATAATAATCCTTGGTCTCCGAGCTGAGTTGGGTCAAATAATCCTCCACGGCGGATTTCTGGTACCGCGGCTGGACGAAGTAGTCAGAAAAGCCACCAGATGAAGCATTCCAAGCAACTTCGGGGGTAACGTCGGAAGTTCCTCCGACTGCTGTTACATAGGGGCAGGTCGCTGGGAATATTGGATTGAACTGTGGAGTGACTCCATCACTCGCTTGGCAAGCTGAGCCGACACCTGCGATTGTCAGTTTACTGAGTGTCTTCAAAGACGTTTGGGAGAAGCTGGCTTTACCTTCGTCGCCAGAAGATTGGATGATAGTGATTCCACGCAGACTGTTCAAACCTATCAAGTTGCAAACTCGTTTGGCGTACTTTTCTGGGACGGTCTTCATAGAGTCAGTAATTGAAATCGACTTTGAACTATGGTATAGCTTACTTGTTCATCGTCGCCATACGAGTTGGAGATGACCTGGGGCAAATCGGCATTGTCCCTCGAAAGCAGATATTCGTAGTACGACAAATATGGTTCATTTGAAGCATCCGCTTCTGTTGGCTCGTCGGGACCTGGGATAAAGGGTCTGCAAAATGTCAGCCGAAAAACGATCTCTCGAGTGCTCGAAAGGATATCATACGCAACATCGCCGGTGATAAACTCCCGAATTGGCAGAGGGTGAGCAATAGCGGTGATGAGCTGAACATCCAAGTTTGCCTCGCCTACATCGCTGCCGGGGGCATTCTGGTTATCGATCCCGCCATTGATTGTCTCAACGGTGAAGCTTTGTGAGGTGATGTTGAAAAGAGCTTCGTAGGCTTCTAGGTCGGACTTTTGAGCAGACTGGTTCAGAAAACTGCCAAATCCAATGCGGCTCCCAGCTGCGGGTTCCGGGACATAGTCGCCAATATTGTACATCTGCTTCAAACATGAAGGGGTGATCGAAGTCTGGCATGATGGAGAGACCTCCGTGGAAGAGACTTTCTGAGCCTGTTGTGGCCTCGACTTCGAGGGCACTGGGGTGGCGCCTCGGACCTTGCCGAAGTAAACGGTAGGTGAGATAATGTCGATATAGTCGTCCAGATCGTCAGGGATCGAGTACTGTGTTGTGCGCAGCTTCTTTGATCCACCATTCTGGTAGTATGCAAAGCTGGCATTGAGCAATCGATTGACGTTGTCCACACTGCCGGTGAAGTTGACCAGGGAACCATCACCGGTGATCTCTGAAATATCCGCCTGCTGGAGCCACTGGATAACAGGTCCCTTGTCAACAATGGGGAATTGTGAATCGATATCGTGCTTCTCAAGCCATTTTCCATACTCTGCTGAACCAGGTGTTGACAAGCTGGTCAGTTTCGATTCCAACTGGCCCAGGTTCTGACGCCCAAGGGCGATGGAAAGCGATATGGTTGAGTTTTTTGGAGGTGAATTAGCGAAAGTCCAGCCATTTGGAGCTCCTGTCGGTAGGTTCTCGAGTATCATGCCCATTGATGGTGCGGCCAAGGCACAAAGCACCCCTGCATAAGTCGTGGCATGCATTTTGGATCGCTTTCAGGGGGTTTTCCACGGCGTTGAATCAATATCCGGGCAAACCAGCCTAGTTTGCTTTCGTAACAATGTGGATTGGTCGGTACTTCAGTAGGCGGATGTGTTACGAATCTCTATCCAATGTCCAGGTGTCTCCCGGCAGACCTGCGCTGGAGGTCCGCATTCCAGAGACAATACACAACTGACGGATCACATTCAAGCTTCCACATTTTGACAAAAAGTGAAGATCTACTCAATAACTCGAGCTGAAGACCCACTCATAAGAAGTACTAGCTCTCTGTGTACTCCGTGCTTGGTGCCAAGTCAAACCTCCGCTCTTTGTTCGCCAACTCTGCAGCTTCAAGACCCAAAATTGGTTGCCCAAGCGACTCAATGTTAACAAAGCAAATCTACACAATATTTTATCAAAGCTCACATTTTGTCTCAATCATAGTCATTAACCAGAGGCCACCCAGAATCTTATCTCCTTCCCCTCTCGCGGCCCCAACAACTAGCAATGGCACCCCGAATCACTGACTGGGATGATCTGGCATTTTTTGAAGAGCATCTAAGCCCTGACTCCGATTTAGTTCAAAGCACCTCGTTTGGGCTGATTGATGACACTGGCATATTCTACTATGGCCAAATTGACAGTCCAAAGGCTCAAATTTCGCTCGAAAAGCTCAATGATACTCTCAATCCTGTTCCTTTTGACCCCATATTCCCGGTCTGGCCCCCGTCAGGGGCGGAACTCAGCACTGCACCAGAATTGCTGACCACAAGTACCTACATCAAAGGGGCCAATTTTGAAATGTACCATTGGCTGAAAGAGAGGGGACTTGAAAAGCAACTCCTCAACTCGCGTGTGGGGGAGGCGCAGGTTCTTGAAGAACTATCCCAGCATCCACATCCAAACTTGATCCGCTACTATGGTTGCAAGGTTACAGAGGGCTATTTCACCGGGATTGTGCTTGAGAGACACCCCCACGATCTGGAGGCCTATGTAGAGAGCGGGTACAGGGTGCCAGATACGGACCAGTTCATGGCTGGTCTTGAGTCTGCGATTCAACACCTGCATGGACTTGGCTGGGCGCACAATGATCTCAACCCATCGAATGTCCTTGTCAGTGAGGCTGGCATACCGATCATAATTGACTTTGAGGGATGCCAGAAGCTGGGATCTTCGCTGAAATTTATTCGAGGGACTCCGGGGTGGATTGAAGGGGATGTCGGGGCTCATCACACCTCCGAGGTCAAGCATGATGTCTTTGCACTTGTCAAAATCAGGGAGTGGCTCGAGAAACGGGCATTGTCGGTAGATGAACCATGTGCCAAGTGTTAACACGAAGCTATTGACTTTCGATCACTTTTTACCAGGGAAAACATGGAAGCAATGACACAGAAATCGACACTTTCGTGACTCCCGCATCTCGCACATAATCCTCAATTGATCTAAATCAGACCAATAACTGCCCAGCCTTCCACAACAAGTATAAACAACTCACATTTCCCCACCACCACATCAGCCCTCGAAGATGACTCCACTTCGGATGATCAACCAGGATATAAACGGCCCCATACCCAATCCGCGCAATGGTATAAGAAAACGAAGCAGCATTTATTTTCTGCGCAGGAACAGCAGCATGAGATGCAAAGAGAACAGCCGCAACTAGCAGAGGGAAATTCTCCACGGAATTAGCATGCGCTGACTCGTTACGCTTGAGCATATCCAGCTGTTTGCGCGTCAATTTGCCCTCGCGGACCGCTGCCTCGCCGTATTTGGCCAGGTCTTCGCGGGGTGAGGCCTGGTGGTCGATGCCGTACCATTGCTTCAGTGTGCGGGATGAGAGGATGCCGTAGGCGTAGATGAAGTGGAAGCCTAGGAATGCGGGTGCGTGGTTTGGGGTTCTGCTGTCTAGTGAAGCTCGGAGGCCAAGAGTCGTGAGGAGGGAAGTCATTTTGGCGATAATTGAGGAAGTTGAGGTGGGATGTTCGTCTACTCTTATGTGTGCACGGAGTAGCTCGCGATGGGCCCCGGGGCTTCTAAAATCTCACCTCATGCACGCCAGGCCCCGAGGCCTCCGAGTTCGGACCCCGTTACCTAGTCTAGCGTGCGTGGCTCACAAATAGAACGTTTTCTTCCAGGACGTGACTTATGGGTATTCTGCTAGCCTTGGGCCCAGTTTGAAAAATCAGCGGAAGTAGTCTGAAGCAACGGAGTATCAAAATGCATTGTTTTGGTAGCAAAGTAGCAACCTCCTAGAATGAAATGGCTGAGAAACCCCCTAAGAGTAAGAAAAAAGAAACAGCGCAATGCATCCCGAAAAGAGGAACACCTATTTGTGCAATCCGGGGCAAGGCAAGCAGCCAGTGCGCCATAACCGAAAGAAAAGAAGACCAACTCCAGAAACCAAATGCTTCAGCAACGTCCAGCGTTCCAGTAAGTCTCAACACCAGGCAGGTCAAGGCTGAGCAAATCACTTCAGACCAAATCCTTCACTGTTGACAACGGCATCCCAAAGCAACTGTTGGAATTTCTCACGGGAGGTATAGCGGTACAAGCCCAGCGTGTTGAAACACGTGCGTGCGATTGGGTAGCGACTGGTTTCATCGCCAAGACAGGCAAGCCGGATATTAAGGCTTGTAGCACCCATTGCTGGGATTCGATCACTGCCCGTGATGAACGAGAGGATCTTGCGCTGCGCTTGAGGCAGCGAATTTTCGAAGAATTCCCAGAACCATCGGACCACAGGAACAGTCTCTGGTCGTGAGTGGGACCAGTTGTCGTAGGTGGCCACGGCTCGGAGGGAGTTCACATCGAGTGGCTCGTCTGAGCCACGTATCAGGAGTTCGATCTCTTCTGGTCGGAAGAGAGACAGTGCATTGCCACCACACACTGTGAAGAAGCCTCGCTTGAAGGGTTCGAATTGTCGAGCCACGGAAGTGTCGAGGAGGAAGCCAACATAGAGATCAACAAATTCGCGGCGGTTGGAGTTGGTCACTGGCCGGTTCTCGCCATTCGCGCAAAGAGGCACATTGACAATCTCGCCATAGCGATCAACTTGGGCGACAAAATCGTAGCAGAAAGTTTCGGCGACGTCGCCTTCAAATTCCAACAGACCCCGAAGTCCTTTAGCGAGAACTGGCCGGTATTCAGCAAGGTCTTCCAACGTGCATTTGAAGGTCGAGCGTGGGGTGGTTTGAACACCACCACTGTGAGGTGCCGACGCCAGTAGCTTTTTGAACGCGAATGGCGGAAGGTCAATATCAAGAATAGTGGAGTTATAAATGGCAAGGCCCAAAAGAACTCCAACCAAGAAGAATTGTTCGGATGATTCAAAACAATATGGGTTGAAGTAACAATACTGCGAATCATCATCATAGATGAACAGTCCTACATTGAGTCAGTAAATCATCAGTGGTCGCCAGGAGTAAAAACACTTACCATGATGCGGGTCAAAAACTTCTCGGACTAGCAAAAGGAACCACTCCTTTCGCAGACCGCCGGCATCAATGCCTTCCTCGCCCAAGAACTCAATCCGAAGACCTTTTTTGATTTCTTCCTGTCCGGTGCCAACAACTGCACTTACCCCTTTCAGGCTGTCATCGACCAGACATTCTCGTCGCACCTTCAACACGAGGTATTGGCTGACGGCTCTGTGGCCAAGAACGCTATCGAAGAAAGCATCCCGTGCCTTGGCTTCCATTTGGCGACGAGCGTCATGTTCCATAATATGAATTTTGGACCAGATGCTGAGCAGGAATGGATACTGGCAGAACGAAAACTTCGAGCTCTTCGACTCCCAAATCTCAAAGTCCGCCACTAAGTCCGAGTAGTCAAGCAAAGTGCTATAGAACGTACTGATAGGGATTATGTGGCCTTGGCAAGGCCCTGGATTCTTGGGCGATTCAAGACTGCGGGAAGACCCATCGGACTTCTTCGCCGCAGTGGATATGTTTGCCGTGAAGAAAAGCGACATCACTCTGGCCGCCGCTCTTATCTGCCAATCCTCTGTGTAGATGATGGGGGTTTCTGTCTTTTTGACAGGTTTCTTGTTCGGGCTTCTTCGGTTGAGAGCTGCGTGAAGCTCGGCTGGTGTATTCCCTGCAGCACTAGCAAAGCTCGGGACCAGATCATCTCCGCTTTGAGGCTTTTCAGGGCGTTTCCGTCCATGCTGGCGACTCAAGCGATACGCAAGGAACCCGCCGACCAATTCCACCAGTTTTTCAAAATGTCTTACGGAAAAGCGTGAAGCCCAGGACACAAAGTAGTGGTGACAGTCATTAGGCAAGTTGGACATAAGTCCTAGGATTCGTTTGATGAGCCCGTAGTGGTGGTTGGGGCTCTCTTGGCGAATAGGTGCTTTCGGTGGCTCTTTGTTAGCGGTTTTGCCATCTCGAGGTGCCCCTGGAACATCTTTTGGGTGTGACGGGCGCCTCTCATCTCGATGTGATACTGGGGGCGCCGTGTGCTGTGGGTATGATGTAGGTGAGGATAAGATGGGATTCGCCAACAAGATAAACAAAAACCGGGTATCTTCAGGCCGCTTCAACACACGCCGCGGACGCTTGAGGAGGTTCTCAGTAGCCTTCAAGAGCGTTCTCTGTAGGTGGGAACGAGACTCCGTGACCTTTTTCCCAATCAAGGACGGATCAATAGCCGCCCATCTCTTGGCTCGTATCAGATCCGCTTCTGAGCGTGTTGGGTCAGGCTTTTTGGCTGCCCATTGCTCTGACCAGGAGCTCCCCGCAGACAAGACCGAGTGGTACCACTGGCTCACCTCTACCCAATTGATGCGAGGACTTCGCGATGATACCATACGGGATTTGGGCGGGCTGCTTTTCTCTTTGGCGTATGCAGGATTCTGACCTTCGGCTTCTGCCCATTCGTTCATCCACCAAGCCGAGTTTTCCGTCAAATCGCCTAGAAGTAAGGTTTTGGCATCTGGCTCGAAGACGGGTGCATCCGCTGACGGCTCGGGTATCGTAATCGATTCCATCCTCATCCTCGGTGGGTTACCACTGCTGGCTGATCGAGCTGATCGCGGAGGTGGGTGGGTAGTGAAAGATTCATTGAGGCAGTCGCAGCCCTTGAAGGCACTTATGATGCTGTTTTCCAACCCCTCGAAGATGTACGGTCGAGTAGCACGAATGGAAGGTGACACTTTCTCTGTTTGCACGCTCACTTGGGGGCGAGATTGGGGGTTTGCTGGAGACTTGAGGTCGGAATTGGTACGAGGTCTGAGGGTTGGATCATCGCCTTCCCATCGAATAGCTTGTGGCGTCGAACAAGTTGAATTCTCCTTTGACGATGAGTCTTGGTCTCGCCCGCTAGAATGAGAGGCGCTCCGGTTTTTGTGGTTCCCGCCAGGTGGAAGGAGCAAATGGTTGGCGCCAGACTCATCAGGTTGAAGTGGCGGGAGATCAGGCAGCGGTTTCTCATATTTGTCGTCGTCCAGCGACACCCATGGCCTAGATCCATTGTCCAGAAGAGAATCGAAATAAATATTTAGACACCCACTAATCATGCCCCGGGTCTGGTTGGCAGAGATAGGAAGGACTGGGGTCAAAGTCAGCGAAATCTGTCAGAGATAGACTAACTGCCGCAATTGTCATGTATTACCTTTGTTGGCTAACTTGGATGGCTCACGGTGAGACCCCTGAGGGGGTTTCCGGCTATGATCGTCCAAGTCTCTTGATTCAGGAGTGTCCGACCCAACATCTGTGACCATCAAGCAGTCGGTGCATCTGAATGTGTTCAGATGTCGAGGCCACCGAACAGTTGCATCGCAGGTCTGGCATTTTCCCTCAGCAAGATCATTGGCAGAACCCGCACGATGACCACCCTTCCTCGGACTCGTAGAGTGAAGTTCCTGGATGTTCACCTCATCTTCATCGTCGTCATCGTCCGAGTCCCATGTCTCCGGCTTGACAGGGGCCTTGTCTCGCTTTCGTCCAAATCCCGCGAACGGATTGCTGATTGAGCGTCTATGTCCCGCATGATGTGAGCTCTTAGGCGCGCTGCCACTTATCGGAGCCATATTTGGAGCATCTCGAGGCCGGACTGGACGGCGCGTGCTGCTCTCCAATCCAGTGTGTTGTGAAGGGCGGAGAGGGATGGCGGCGGTGCCAGTACTCGAGACCGGAGGGGTGGGCAAGGGACGTTCAGATCGAGACGGCATAGAGGTGCATCGATTCGCTTGGCCTTTTGTCTAAAGTAGATTCAATCTCTCCAGTATACGGTCCAGCTCTTGGAGCTTGCGGCTCTTTCTGGACACATGCGAGTCGTGTAAAGAGTTGGAGCTCCGCGGTCGAGTAATGTAGCGCTTTGTAATGTAACAGATTGTTCTCCCGAGCTATTGAAGGGATGACCAGTCAGCAAGTCGAATGTCAACAAATAAATGGAAGAAGGATCTCACGAGTCCAACAAAGATGACAGTATACTCCTTAGACGGATTGGGAAAGAAGCCGGAGGGGAAAGTCGCGACTGCCTGAGGCCGCTTCCTATTTTTGGATCACCTAATGTCGCGGGCCAAGGTCATAGTGAGACATGGATCCATTGGACGTTACGTGTATAGTCTTGAATATATAAAAACTTCGTTATACTAGCTCACAATACATGAACTAGACATTGAGCTGGCGATCATGGCGATCCGCTAAATAGACCTTTGGCCCCCTGGGGTACAGACGAAACCACACTAGCATAAGGCCATCGAATCGAATCACAAGTGGAGAGATTAAAGTATGTTAGTGCTCAATATTGTCCCTACTAAACTACAGGAGATCCAGGTATATACATGCTCTACGGTACAAGCGGTATGGAGTTGAACCAGTCATACTTCGTTAATGGGGAATCGAAAATAGAACAAGATGGCTTTTTGGCTAACAACAGAACCGGCAGGCCTGCATTAAAGTTGAGCCCAGCGTGGAATACACTGTCTGGGAGAGAAGTGTTTGAATAAATGACCACATGCCGAATCCAACAGTTTCAAACCCAAACCGCTTATAAAGTGCACTATCGCACTGCACTATCGCACTTAACGGTAACGCCAGTAGCTCTGGGTGTTCTGGCGCTTCCAGGTGTGGCGGCGACCAGCCTTGGTGTTGTTGTAGCGGTGGCCCTTGTTCATACCACGGGACTTCTTGCCGGTGGCGGTAAGACCACGAGACTCGCGGTGCTAGAAAAAAATATATCAGCAAAGTTCCTAGGGTATCAATGACCGAGATTCGAGCCAAACTCACCTTGTGGACGGGGGCGCAGATCCAGTTGATGCGGGCATCGCGGCGGATGGCCTTGTGCTGGGGGTCGACGAGGATGACCTCGAAGTACTTGTAGGTGGAGTCCTGGTTGATCCAGTAGGAGTTCAGGACGCGCAAGTTAGCGGCGCGGCGGCCGACACGCTCCTCAGCAGTAGACTTGAGAGCACGCTGGTACTTGAGCTGGTTAACTCCGTGGTTGGTGGGCTTGCCTATTCATCGAATCACGTTAGTCAAGAAAATTCTTCCCGGGAGCAGATCTCGGCGGATTCGGCTCAGAACAAGAGATTTCGTACCGTAGGTGGCACCCTTGGGGACGGGGCGCTTGCGGCCACCGCGGCGGACACGGGCACGGTAGATAACGTAACCCTGCTTGGCCTTGTAACCGAGACGACGGGCCTTGTCGGGGCGCGAGGGGCGCGAGGCACGGTGGATGGCGTTCAGCTGGCGGAGCTATATTATGCACTCTCAGCAAAGTTCAACGAGTGTATAGCAAGACACATGAATCCCAAAAAAAGGTTTCTTGCGTGCCACAATCATTCCCGCCGAATGACTTTTGGTCGAGCCACCTAGCAATACCACTTAAACGGCATGTCCTAAGGCAACGCACACGATGTGCTCGGCGGAGATGTTAGGCATTCGAGGGACAAGGGGTTTATCTCACCTCCCAGCATCGGACGCGCAGCAGGAAGCGAATCACATCGGACTGCTTCTTCTTTTGGATTTCTTCCACGTACTTGAGGGCACCCATCTGGACGGTCGAAGATTAGACAAATGCACTGGCGAGCGGGATTGAATCGATTCAATGGGCAGGAAAGCGTACCTTGTCGGCTTTACGAGGTCGTCGGTTGTCGTTGTCGCGAAAAGTTCGAGTGAAGGAAGAGGTAGGCAAAGGTTGTGGGTTGTGGGACGCTAGCGATTAGCGAGTTTCTCCACCCTGCCCAATCAAGAGTGGATTTATCTTTGTGCCGTGAAATTGAGGTGTCGACGCCAAGCCCTGCTTTCGTCGTCTTTGCCTCAGGTGTCGAATGTGATTTTCACTGCAGACTTCCTGTCCCTGAAGGATACGGCAGTGAAAGAGTTGGATATTAACCTTGGAAGCCCTACAGATTTACAGTTCTGTATTTTTCAAATATTTCGTACGATTTCATAAAGTCGAAACACTGACAAATAGCTTCTCAAACGAATTTATCAACAAGATACTCCACAAAACGCCTTCCTCATGCAATGGTCACATCATTTGATGCGAAAACGCTCGTTCACGCCAGTAACAAAATTCAAGGAATGGCTAGATAACATAAAATGTCCCGTAGAACATAAAACACACAAAAGTAATACAACAGAAGAACCGAGTGGTAAATGTCAGTCTCATAATGGCTCATTAGGATTGTCTCGAGACATGCTCTCGTCGAACCATTTCATTGGTAACAGAGATGCAGTATGAGCCAGCAGGTAAGACGCTTGTTTTGCAAAGAGGGCAGAGACAGCTATTGTCTGTCAGGAAAGGATCGATGCACTCTGCGTCGAATATGTGACCGCACGGCAATTCGCGAACGATCGAAGATCCAGCCACAAAATCATCGATACAGATAGCACAGGTTGTTTGAGTATGGCTCAAACGATACTTGTTTCTGGTCGAATTATCTTTATCTTGCTTCCCAGGTTCGATCACTGCTGCTTCAGGCTTCTTCAGTCCAGCATCGTCAAGAGATTGATCGTCTTCTTTGGTGTCCTGGTTGGCTGGTGGTGGGCTCGCATTATCGTGAGAGTCGGCGGCAGCCTCATCATCCGAGGTACTCTTCCGATGGACTGATGTCTTTGATGAGGAGCTGAGGTCCAGGTAGGTGTACATCGGCATTTTCTCAACCACATCCCGAGGGGCCTTCATTTGGTTCAATGCCAGAGCCTCAACATCGACCTGGCCCGCAGCGACACGTCTTTGGAACTGGTCCCGTCTCTTGCGTAGAACAAGGCGATAGATCACAACCAATAAGAGACTGAGGACCAGAACTGTTCCTGCGATTGCAAGCACAAAGCTCCAAAGACTTGGCATGTTTCCTGATTGCTTCGCTACTAGACTGTAAGTATATATGTTGTGAAGGGCAAAGCTTTGAACCTACCAGTTTCAACTCGCGCAAACAAACGAGAACTGTCAGTGGCTCCATCCGGGGCATCTCTCTTGCTGTGAGACGATTCTCCCGAGAATTTGGCAAGATCACGTATCAATGACGTTCCCGCAGGACCGGGGATGGTGTATACGGGGTAGTCATTCTCCATCCTCCACTTCTCTCCATCGTTGATTGTCCAACGCGAGTCATTCGAGTCAGGTGGTAGGCCCGTATCGTTATTGGAGGGTTCGAAAAAGATCATTGCATGTGTGCCGACTTTTTGTCCGGCGGATAGGTAGGAAGAAGCGCACTCGGCAGACACCCACGGGGCGAGACCGATGAGCGAGTAGCCAAAGTTGGAGACGTCTTGGTAGCGGGTGACATTGGCGGGGACGGACGAGGCGGTCGTGTTATAGCAGGGATCCTGCTGATCTAAATTCGGGACGAACAAGAGTCCTGACACCACACCACTTTCGGGTATGCTGTTGCTGGAGATTGTTTGGACTTTGTTGTCGAGTACAAAACGATAGGCAACATTCTCCTAGAGACGCTGTGTCAGAGATATTTCCAGAAGGATTCCTGGAATGTAGGAGCGGCGACTCACGTTGACTGAAGATGTGGAATTCGATGCTTCACCAGGGCCTGCCCACAAAGTAGCTATTTTACCTCCAGGGTCCTTCGGCGCGTTTCGTGTGAGACCGACAGTTGACATGGTGATGGTGATGGTGATGAACAAAGGAAGACAATTCAGTGTCCAGGTGGTGGTGATCTTATAGGAAGGGAAGATCACTCAGAGAGGCATGGGCGTGAACAATTCAAAATATGAGGTGAGCGGAAAGATCGAGGTAAATGATAGCGAGTGAGAAAGTCTCGAGAAGAAAAGAAAGATGAGGGAGTCGAGAGCTCATTCATACATCCTATTTCGAGCTCTACAACGGAAGAATGCGAGCCCTGCAGAGTCGGGATCGGTACAAGAATGTTGAACAACCACGAGGCAGGAGGCAATGCACTCGTAGGGAGTCTCCAGGTTTCAGAATTTTGCAGTATAATCTCCGCGAACAAGCAATATTCGCCGAGTGCGTGGGCTAGAAACATTGCAGAATTACCTTATTGCCGTTTGCGGCCAACGGTTGTGGAGATGATCGTCACTACAATGGAGAGCTAGTGCACCTTGACCTAATTCGCTGTTCTTTTTGGTGGATTCTTTCCTAGTCTATCCATGAGAAAAAAAAGTTGGAATATCGAGCCAGATAGTGAATTTCTTTCGGTCGGTCATTCATATTCGCAGTTTGGAAAACATGGAGGACTGTATAGACTTTGAATGGACTCCTCTCCAGGGCTGGTTGCCATATTAGGTTCGAGTCAGTTGTCCCGCCTAATAGAACCAAAACTGCAAATTGCAATCGATCGGAACCGCTTGTAGCTATTCTTCAGTGCCCAAAGTGATCGCAATCGGGGGTACCGCCACTCAGGGAGTCAGGGACGGGGATCTCCGCAGAATGTGAGCCTGCAGAACTGGAGGTATGTGTGAGCATTTGGCTTCGCCTGGTAAAGCCGCAAGTGCTCAGCCACAATTAGCAAGGCACAGAAGTAAGCGCCACCTCTTGATCTTCCCAATCTCGAATTGATAAAAATACCGATCGAATTTAAGGAGTCCAGAATCCAGAGCTGCGGCAAAACAGCCCTGGCCCCGGGGAGACTGCCCTGGCATATCACACGTGATGATAACATCACGTGTCGTTGTTTCGATACCTCATCTCTCGACGTAGATGTAGTCATTCTTGAAAGGGTCTCTTGTCTCTCTGTGTCAGCTGCATCGAAGCGCTTCGGGTATAGCATCTCATATACAATCCACTGCGTTAGCCAGCGACAGCATGTGTCGGTATATTCCCAGCTTCACCTAGAACACCCTCGACGATACCTCCACTCGATTCCCCCTTCGGCCCTTTCAGAGACAGCTTGATACTGTACCATCTTTCGCCCGACTCAAACATCATGCCTTCTGCGTATAAGAGCAAGGGTAAAGGCCGAGACGCACGCCAGTCGCGTAGTCGCAACACGACTCCGTCCGGAGCTAGCGGTCCCACGATCCCAACACTACCCATCCAGAGCTATATGGAAAATGATGTCACCAAACTTATCGACCTCGCCGGTGGCCAGTATTCTGATGTTTTGGACCTGGTCGCTGCGCAGAACATCCCAGATTCAAAAACATTGGAAACATTGGTGGAACACCTAAAGAGCCTCAGCGACATGGCTGATGCTCGGGGCGAAGTGTGCAATGCCGGAATGCGAGAGATGTCTCAAAAACGTAAAGATGTGATGGATGACCAGGATCTCGATCGCGAAGTCCGAGAGCGCTCGAAGCTGAAGCGCGAAACCGAAGAAGAGGATGACATCCACAGGGGCGGGAAGCTGAAGAAGCGCAAGGAACGGGCCTCTGCAAAAGAAGAGCGCCCCTTAAATCATGGGGCTCACGAAGTCGCTCGCCAAGACGGAGCAGAGACCAAAATTGAAGGAGGTAAGTAATCGATCACGCTGTTCCATGCCCATATTTCACTTCGGCCTTTGTTATTTCTAGCGATCCCCACATTTGACCATCTGGACTTCTCCACTGTTGAAGTTTTGTTGACCTTCTTTAGCTGCTTCTCCAGCATCCAAAAACTCCAAGAATGCGCCCTCTGATGAGAGCTCTTCGCTTTCACCTCCCTCAATGATGTCCCCCAATGGCGCGAACCCTGCCGCCGACGGTCCTGCTCCCCCCGGCTCGCCTGGTTCGGAAACCAGCACAGATTCCCACCAACCAGACCCTGCGCCAGCTGTGCCTCACATCCAGATTTTTGGTGACAATCCTATGGAATATGACGACCCGACGGTCTATGATATTCGCGAAGTCCTCGAGGGCATGACGGACGATGAGAGGAAAGAAATTTACAGTGTCGCACGGTTCCCCAAGACCGACCTGGCTCATATGGCCGCTGGTATAGCTCCCGACAAGGACTTCAGCAACGCCAAACCGTCCAACCAAGTCAGCGCCAACACTTTCTTAACATACATTGAGCCATACGTTCGACCTCTCACTGAGGAGGACATCGCTTGGTTGAGAGAGAGGGTACGTCACTCGCTGCTATCTGCCGAAACCATATACTGACCTCGTCTAGGGTGACCGTGCTACTCCGTTCATAATGCCGCGTCGCGGGAAGAAGAGCTATCGTCAGCTTTGGGCAGAAGAGGACGGGGTTTCTTACGACTCAAGCCAAGATGACAAGGACCAGCTACCTCTGAACCAAGGCCGCGGTAACATCGACCAATTGACCGAAGAGAAAGCCGAAACTAGCGAGGTTTCTGTCGGTCCTCTCCTCAGCCGACTTGTCTCGCTCCTACGATACGAACACCGCACCTACCCCGAAGACGACAGCACAAACGCAAATGGTGAATCAAATGGAGGAGGTCTAGGCGGAGATGCAATGGACATCGACCAGCCAAGTGCCGAAAAAGAACCGAAGAGCGAACAAAAGCCATCCCAACCCCCTGCAACCACATTCCGCGACGCCGATCCGAACGACTTCAAAACCTCAGTCGCAAAACTGGACCATGCGCAACTTGACGAGCGCGCCAAGGCCGAGCTACGATACATTGGCTTCCTCGGCGCAGACGACAATCCAGACTATGACGCCCACTATGACGACGAAGTCGCAGAGCGTCTCCGTCTCCTACAAGGCGAACTGAAGAAACAAATCGTCACCAATAATGCGCGCAAAGCCCGTATCTTGAAGATCGCCCAGGAACACATGGCCATGCTCGAATTCACCACCATCCAAGACGACCTCGACTCGCAGGTCCAGCAGGCCTACCTCAAGCGCACTCGTACTATGGGCAAGAGCAAGAAGGGAGCTCAAGCTAAGCACCGTCCAGGTGGTGCCGGTGGTGGCAGCCATGTCGCTGGCCCTGCGGGTGTTTCCCGTCCTGCTGTTGGAGATGCGGCGAAGATTGTCATGGACCGTCGCCGTCGCTGGAACGAGGCATTCTTGCCTATCTTCGATGATATCAAGACTACCATTCCTTCGGAGGGAGATTCTATCTTCGACAATTCTGTCATGGGTGAATATGAGAAGGCAGAGCTTGAGAACTGGGATGAGGAGTAAACCTCAGATCTCTCGGCCACAGTATTTTGTTCCCGCTCTTATTCGCTTGGTCGAATCGGCGGACCCCCTTTGTTTGATAATTCTCCCCTACGATACCATACGACTGGCATGATGGATTGGCGCGGCGTTAGCGGATACCTGTTTTTCTATTTATTCTATCGGATATCCTTGGATGTGGCAACCTTGGAAAACCACTGACTAGCCTTGTGTATGAAGGTGGACATTGTCTTGATTGTCTCAAAGCTTCCTGGGCGCTTCCTTCTCAGTCTACATCCAGCTGGGTAGATATCCGTCAATATAAATGACCTTTTCTTTGGCTATGAAGCCATCTGATCCAGTACAGTGTATTTTCTAAAGCCTTGTAGGCACTCGAACGCCATGCAACTAATAACAGGGTATATGTGTATCCTCATTCCAACCAAACAGCACCCGGTGAACTTCAATCATCGATGCAAAATCAACACTTCACCAGGATACCTCTTCAGCCTAGCCGTCAACTCCCTCTCACTCATCTCCAGCTCCGTACAAATCTGATCAAAACAATGCGTACCATCAAGATACTTCCCCAAAACCTCATCACTAACAATCTCCTCTTCCTCATCCTCCCAAAACGCCGAAGGCGTCCCACTCCCAGCACCCCTCCCACTCATCAACGACCCAGCCCTCTCCCGACTCCCCTCGCGCTTCCCACCATCTTCCCCAACACTCGAAACAGCATACGGCGTATTCGTCCCAGTAGTAACACGCGACGAATGACCCGTCGGCGTGAACGAGGAAGAGCGCGGAGGTGGGGCCGGCTGGCCCGTTGCACAAGCGTATTTGTGAACGCGGTACAAGAAGCCCTTAATGACGCCGAATGTGATAAAGCGTCTGATATCGATATTTTCCAAAGAGCGACTATGCTGCGCGTACCATTGCTTAACGCTCTGGCCTTGCTTGAGGCCTGCGTAAAGCTCGACTAGTGCGGCGCCGTCGACAACGGCCGGTTTATGGAATGTCGATGTATCAGGCGTTGGGGTGGTTTCTTCGCCTAGTAAGGGCCAGATTTCTTCGGCGTCGAAGCGGGCTTCTTGGGTGAGACTTGGGTCTGTGAGGGATGTGGAGAGGGCGGTATTGGTTGTGCTGCCGTTTGCGCTTGTGCCTTGGGCTAGAGGGATGGATGGGCCCATTGGGGGGTGGGGTGCGAAGCGGAGGTTGACGTAGCGTGCGCATTCTAGCTGCATCGCTTCGTCGGAGGCTATGGTTGTGCTGAATTGGGCGGTTGGGGCGTATATTGCTGAGAAGGAGAATATGTCGAGGAGGAATAGACAGCTGTAGTAGAGGAGATGGCGGAGTGCGCGACAGGTGAGGGAGAAGTCTGTGTCGGCTAGAATAGAGATGAGACGTACGCTGTTGACGCCGTTGATATGCGGTACGATCTGGGGATGGTTAGACATATCCAGGAATCACATCGTTGCAATGTTTCACATACTCTCTGCATGGTCAAGTCCCAATTCTCATCGGTGAAGGCCTGGTATCGTAACATGAAGAGAGGGACCTGCCAGGCCTTGACTGGCGGGGGAGAGGGGTATATGGGGAACAGCTTGATGTTCAGAGTATTCAAGTCGTCTGGGAAGCTGGTCAGTAGTGTAGGCGTATCGCAGGACATAGACATACCGATGGGAATCATGCACTCGCAGTAGTTATTCAAGTCCTCCATCAACATCTCACAAAGACTGTAGATCTTCCCCTCGCCACTCTTCGAGAAATCGCGAGATAGGAAGCCATTCTGCTCCTCCAAGCCATGCATCAGGTCTGCGATCTTCTGCACCACACTCTTGTACGTGCTGAAATCGTCCTCCTCTGCGAGCACGATACAGAAATTGAAGATGAATTCGTTGCGATCATAGCGCGCAGACTTCATGCAGATTGGGTAGCCCAGAATGCGGTACCCATTGGTACAGACTTGGAGTAGGTTTCCACAGAGCTCCTGGCGAGGGATCACGAAGAACGAGACATCGGAGAAGGTCAGGAGGGGTAGTTGTGAGGGCGCGGTAGGTGAGGGGACAATGCCTCCATCAGGGACTTGGTGGACGACTTTAGGCCCTATATGACATGGTGAGTGGTGATCGGACATGGATATGGAAGCTCAGGCCTACCCTCTACCGTATCGAACTTGCTGTAAAAGATTCCCTTGATCATGTTGGAACTGGCGCACGAAGTGAGAGAAACAAATCAATCCCCATGGATATCGCAGAACTTGCAAGTCGAGCAGCTGTCACCCATGACAGGGCGGAAGATGGAGATAAGTTGCGGAGCGGACCTCGGAGGGGAGAGCTTATCAGGTGTTTGCTACTGTTTGCATCTGTTCATTCAACAACCTTGGGATTTCTGAATACCTAGATAATTTTGGCAGCTAACTGCATATTCTCTTCTGATAATGTCATAGCAACAGAACAAATAAGTAGCACAGAGGGTAAGGGTATTAAAGACGTGGAAAACAACGAGATCTAAGCGCAAGCGGGTTCTGAGGGGTAGGCAGCGATGGATATCGGCGATAATGAGCGATCAGGCAAGGAAGAGCAAGAAGAATTCCGAGAAGAAGAACCAGTCCACTTCAGACAATGCGAGAAATGGAGATTGCGCCGTAACAATGCAAAGCAAACGCGAAACGTAGCGAGAACCCCATTGGGGGGGGGTGGGGAGTTTAGTGCAGTTACCGAGCCGCGCCGGAGGCATTGGTTGTAGATGGTAGCGCAGGGCTGGGGAGGATACTATCCGGGACAGAAATCATGTATGCATCAGGGAGGGAGGCTGTAGTTGGGGCGAGCGCACGAGGATGAGCGAGCGAAGAATCCTCGAAACGGAAGCCAATCCCATTCGAACGAATTGCATGGAATACCTCGCCGTATGTGCCTCGCTCCCCAGCTTCCTTCAGCCATTGTTCCCAGTCCTCATCCAGCGGGACATCAGTGCCGCGGTCGCGAGCCTCCATCGCAGCATGGATCCGGTGGTTTAGAGCCACTCCACAACTCTCCATATCCTCGTCGCTGAAGTCATCCTCGGATTCGGGCTCGGCCATGGCGGCTTGGTAACTGGATGCCCGGGGGCGGCCTGCGCGAATTGTATCGTTGCTCCTTGTCTCGATGATCTCTTCTTCTGGCCCGCAGAAGTCGTCGGTGTATATCTCAATGGCAGGACCAGGCATGGGAGATGCCGCTCGGATGGACTGGGCCGTGGTGTCCTGCACGCTGACCCGTTCCTCTGCCTCGTATCGTTGCCTCGCGGACTTGGTCCCTTCCCATCGACACAGATCAGAGATCTCGTCTTCGGTCAATCCTAGCTCGTTGAAGGTCCGGAATAGTCTCCGATGCCACGGGAACCGACTGAGTCGCATCCGATGTGGTCCGTTGGAGTAGTCCAGCCCGGGATATTGTGCCTCGATGCAGTCCAGGGAACCGTAGAACAGGGAGGTCTCGACACGTACTTCTGGAACGAGGTTGCGGGTGATGTGAGCGGCAAAGGAGCCCGGGTCATTGGTGCGAGGTCGTGGGAACGTGGCGTCATACACGATCTGGGCCAGTGATGGTTTACGCATGGTGAGATAGGGGGTGAGGAGAGAGGTAGAGACGATGAGCCAGAGACGACAGGAAAGCCGTTTCTCAGGCCTTGGAATGTCAGAAGGCAATCAGGGACTCCCCCTTGCCCTTCAAATTCCCAAACTGATCCCGGGAAGCGTAGTGGGGAAAGTGTACACAATACCGGGTAGGTCTGACTTGGTCGATTTTCAAAGGATTAGGGACAACCCGGACGTGCAGTGGTGCAGTGGTTTTGTTTCAGTCGTTCTAGCCCTTCTACTAGTAGAAAGAGTAATCGCAAAGGAAAAGACCCGATCAGGTGAGCTCGCTCTTTGACCCTTGGGGAATTGAAGGTCTCACAGGCATACCAGAAATACAATTGAGACCTGTCAAAAAAAGAAAAAAAAGGAAAGCAGCAAGGAACAGGAAGGGAAGTTCGAAGAATTATTGGCATATATATCATATCGTCAGGTGTGCGTTGGCATACGCAGAGCCAGCTGTTAGCGTTCGCAGTGAACACGTCTCTGGCTCCATATTCTCTAGGGCAAATGGCAAATTCCCAGGGTATAAACACCCGAATCTCACGAATCAGAATATTCAGAATAATCCCCATTTGCGTTCCCTCGTCTCATTTGCTATACTTCCTCGCGTTTTTAACACGTCACGTGCAGGTCCAGCGCATTATGCAGCAAATCTTGGCTGTTCTCTGGTCATTCGAAGGATTGACTCAATCTCAACTGCTCAGCTGCCAGGTTGGAGTTCCAATCCTGTTCTGACATTCAAAATTCTGGCAATATCCGTTTACTTCCAAGGCTAGTACTTCCACGCCAAGTAATGCATAATCCTCTTAAGATGAGCATTCCATTATAAAATCCAGTGGTTTCAGATCAGATGGAGTCCAAGTAGGATCCCCTCATCGTCATGGCTACCAACCTTCCAAGGTTCCAAGGTTGGAAGAATGTCGAGATATATATTCCGAGGTTCGCCGGTGAGCGCTACTCTGCCTCAACTTCTCCTGATTAAGTAGGTGGAAAATACGCACTCAGCAACTTGGAAGTCGACAGGTGTAGCCAGTGCACCCGGGCATGTAAACCTTGGAAACCCTGAAATTCAAGAAAGAGTGCGTTGTAAAACAAGTTGAGAGTGTAAAATGTCAAACCCGAGAGGCTACCGCCCGGACATCAAACCTTGGACGCCAACTCAACTGCATCTGAGCACTGCATCTGACCATGTCAACCTTTGATGGCATTGTCGAGGGTGAGACTCCCGACGTCACTGTTGTCCATTTACTAATCATCCGGCAGAGTTCCCCAATATCCGGAGTGAGCCTCATCCAAATTCCAATCTGCCCAGCTAATCAACGCAGTCGACTACTTCCGGAAGTGCCCCGAGCGGCCCGCACCACTGGCCTGCTTTCTCAGTCATGTCCACAGCGATCACCTGCAGGGCCTGGAGTCATTCCGGGCCCCGTTTATCTACTGCTCGCCGGCAACGAGAGAGGTGGGTATCCGCTCCCGCAGGAAGACCATGCACTGACCCGATGCAGCTACTGCTCCGCATTGAAAAGTATCCTCATCGCATGAACTTTAACAAAGGCATTCTCGAATCACGCCGGCTGCACTATAAGCATCTGGCAAAGCTTCTGGTGAGCACGTTGGGAAACCGCTGCATCACAAACCTAACTTCTTCAGCGCCCAATCCCTTTGAATACCCCAACGGAAATTGAACTTACGCCGCGATGTCATATCAGGGTGACTTTGCTTGATGCCAACCATTGCAGCGGGGCTGTGATGTTCCTCATAGAAGGGGATGGCAAGGCGGTCATCTACACAGGTGACATCCGAGGTGAGTGTATCTTAGATTCGAAGTCTTCCACGATCACTTGGCTGATATACCTCAGCTGAAAAATGGTGGGTTGATAGCTTGATCCGTCATCCAGTTTTGATTCCATACACACTGGGTCAGAAACGACTGGACAAGTTGTACCTGGATACCACATTTGCAAGCAAGACCAATCCATTCCGACAGTTTCCGTCGAAGGCCGAAGGGCTGGCTGAGCTACTACAGAAAGTTCAAGCTTACCCGGAGGATACGAAGTTCTATTTCCGGGCGTGGACATTCGGTTATGAGGAGGTGTGGGTGGCACTCTCATCTGCATTGAATTCCAAGGTAACTTTGGCTGGCTCCTGTACAGAAAATCTTAACTAAGGTGGTATAGATACACGTGGACCGCTATCAGATGGGTCTCTATCAATCCTTGGTTCAATCGAAATCACCAGGGGTCAGTGAAGCACCGGCTCTCTGTGGGTTTGACCTTGGGAACAGGGCCATGAGTGGATGTCTCAGCAACGACGAATCCAGTCGAATCCACAGTTGTGAACCTGGAGCTTCGTGCTCTGCAGCTGGCGGCAAAAATGCGATCTATATCACCCCGATCGTCAACCGCACTTCTAATGGAATCGAAGTGCCCGAAGTCGGCCTCGGTGGTGGCAGTGGTGATCTGTCTCAGATCCATGAACTCGAGCTGCCGGACGAGTCTGCACTCTCTGAGTTAGAAAAGCTCTGTCGCCAACATGTGCACGACCCAGAGGCGCTGTCTCAAATGCGAAATGCGCTCTTTCGAGCATTCCAGTCCAAAAAGAAAGCACTCTCACTTGATAGTTATGGCCTCAACCAAGAGAGTGAGATATCTTTGAAGAATCTGGTGACTGCACTTAGCCATGGCCCGTCCGTGGTGTCGGATAAAGCCTCGGGGTCTGGTCTTCCAAACACAATTGTGAGTTTCGCTGCCTCCTCAAATGATTATTATTCTCATGAATTTTAGCGCTTCCCATATTCACGTCACTCATCCTATTCGGAGCTATGTGGGCTTGTGGCTGCCTTCAGACCCAAAGACCTCTACCCATGTACCGTCGACTCGGCGAAATGGAATGACGATGTCTCAATGGAACGGCTATTTGGCCACCTCTGTTCAGACAGGAGATTCTCCCATGATACCCATATGCGACAGATCAAGGAAGCCGAGATTCGCGACTCTCGCACCAAGAGGGCACGTTACGATACAGACATACCCAATGAGTCCTCGCAGGAAACTAGCAGTGGACTGGATTATATCGAGTCTAACCCAGCTGCACCAAGCCACCAGCCCGAAGAGCAACATCTACCTAGCCAATTTGGTCAATCAGAACAGGCAGCTAAAGACAAGCGCAATGAGATCCGCCGCGCACATCGTTATTTGCACGAGCACGCCGAGCCGGGGCTTTTCCAAATCGAGCCTCTCCCTACAGCCTGGCCGACAGAAGCCGAAGACAATGCCAACGTGCAAGTGATCAATGAAAGCGACGAAGACGACCAAGCTACCCCTGTGCCCGAGAAAGCCTCTACACCTTTAGCTACACCTTCTCCCTCAGAATCCAACATGAGGACTCCGACTAAGCTCATGCACTCGGTGGATGGCGCCATGTCCCCATACCCGTTCAATCAAGAAGATAGCCAGCAGACAGATACGCTTACGGTTTCAATCTCGGAATCAGCATTTGACTCTCCGGATCAAATGGATTCATCTCTCAATCGAGAGACTGTGGCTCGAGCACGTCGTGCGCGCCTGGATGCGTATCTAGCGGCACGTCAGGATACCTTCTCTGCTTGGACGGACGTCTCGCTAGTCTCGGCGGAGAACCACGCCGAAGAGGAAATCGAACTCTAGCCATTATGCTAAGAAATAAGTGGCCGAACTCGTTTCTAGTTTGTTTCCTTGCGTCATGTCTTTTCATTTTACGAATGTGATACCCCTCTGTTATGATGTGATGTCTCTTTTTTGTTACGAAATTCTTCGGTGTTCCCCGATGGCATAGCTTAGTATTCTACTCGCCCCCAGGCGCTCAGCTGCCCCAATTCTATTAGGCCGGACCAATCAACAAATATTCACTTGAACCACTCGTTCGCCGAGCACTAGTGGCCCCCGCAGGTTTGGTGGGCGGAATCCGCTAGTTGGCCGAGATCCGAGCCCTACAGCTCCCGAGGATCTCTGTCGATCTGTTTACCTTGTATGGCCTATTGTTAGAGTTATCAAGAACAAAGACCATTAATATTGCTTTCAAGTCCTTTCGAGTACCAAGAATACACGGCATTCAAACCCATATCCACGATTGTCAATTGTCTCTTCACCATGTCGCTTTGTCTTGCAGATGAGACACAAAGGAACAAGGCTTACGAACATGCACCTCCTTTTGTTTCTTCTTTCTTTCCCATGCCTTCTTGTCTATGTCTTTGTCCTTTTCTGTATGTCTTTGACTATATCTGATCAACCGACGAGTGAATTCAAGAGGTACATAAGCTCACAGCACCCAGCCTTGAAAGGTCTCATACTATCAAACACTCGACTCCACAACACTCATCAAACAAACAAGCAAGCAAGCAAGTAAGTTATCATTTCCATACAGCCACTATAGCCCTCAATATCCCAAGTATCCAAGATGTCCGATCCCATCGAATGCAAGAAGATGTTCTCTGGCACTCGTGCAATCCTGACCTATCGCCGCGAGCGAGACCTCCTCATCCGCGAGATCAACTTCTACATCACTGCTCTCCAATTCAAACCCAAAGGCAATCACCTTGTCGAGATCACCCTGAGCATCCTGGGTCTGGCCATGCAAATCAACCGGGTCAAATGGGCAGCAGAAGCAGTCGGCACCTGTGCCAAGGATATGAAGTATGTGACTTCCAAGCCTCCAGGCTTCTTCTCGCATACCATCCCAGAACGCTGCGACCGACTCAGCACCCAGACCAATGCCATTTCCCACACCCTGAGCATCCATACCATCCACCCAATGATCAACATCGAGATGATCCTGGCCTCTGACCTCGACAAAGCACTTACTGACATGGGGTTCTAGACACCTAACCATTCCAAAGGTACGCACAACCTGCACATTCCAAAATGGTTCACATCAGCATGATTCATTCAAGCCAATCACCCATGTCACGATTCCGCCAAGCTCGTGAGAATCTCATCGCCCTGCTCGACCAACAAGCCACCTTCCTCCGCCATGACCTCGAAGCCCGCCAGTATGTGATTCCCTGTCTCCGTCGTCAAATCCCCCAATACATCGATATCGTCGTTACCATTGCAACGACGATATCGAACCAATCCCGGAACAGTCCATATGCTCTACTCCGCTGCAACCTCTACGGCAATGTCATCCCAATGCATTGCGCAGCTCTGAAAGCGCAATGCGCCCATCTTGCCAACAGACTCCGCGACAACAACTGCACCGATGTCTCCGAAGCCATCGCATCCCAAATTGACTCCCTGATTGCTAACCTGCCTTTCTAAACAGACCATGTCCCCCACATACATGTACAACCCCTGCCACTCAGTCTATGTGACCCGTTTCAAAAAGGAGCGCGCAGAGCTCAGGAATCAACTCCGCATCAATGCTCAGGCACTCAGAGCCTGTCCTCAGGTTGATGAAGAGGGACTGGTTGCTTCGCGCTGGGTTTCGGAGGCATTGCGTGGTCTTGTGCCGAGTGTTTATAGTCTGAGGGATGCGGCTGTTGATATGGATGTTAAGACTAGGGGGAATCCGTTCGTCCTGGCTAAGCCGTATGCATTCTATAGTTATGATGTGCCGCCGAGATGTGTTGATATTGTGGGCTGTTTGCTTCATTGGGCGGATATGCTGGTTAACAGAGATGGACGGCGGACTGATAGTATTGTTGTTGAGGAGATTGAATATTTGCTAGCTCGTATGGAGTTTTGATTTTATCTCTATCGATGAAAAAGAGTGAAAAAAACAGAAAAGAAATAAAAGAAGGAGTTGAATACTTGAGTCTTCCTACTAGTAGCCGTCGCCGGTGGGTCCGGGTCCCAGAGGGCCTGGCGGACCCCGTGTCATATCCTGGAACGCAGGGTGACAATTTGTAGCATCAGTTCTCGGAGTGCGTCCATTGTGTCGGTATGCTCGCAAACAGCGATGTTTTGGGATTGACGCAGTCGATGTGTCAGGAGCAACGGTTGTCGCACACCTCTTCTTGTGGGTGAGAAGCGAGGTCGTGTAAAAGGGTAGTGTATAGCTGGTCACCTTGAGAACGGATTTTGTCAGTTGTGTCTCGGGAGCACCAGGAGAATTGACGGGAGCTGCCGGTGTAGGTGTCAACGGAAAAGATGACTCTGTCGGGAGTACACTGTGGTGATGTTGGTACAAGTCGGTTCAACCCCAGTACATACCTAGGTAGGTTCAACCACTGGACCTCCTGGAGTTGAGCTTTGAGGGGGTTCCGTCCGTAGCTCGGCGGGTACAAGATTTGTGCTTGTGGGTAGCCACAAGATCTGTTGTGCTTGTAGTGACAGGCGCCGTAGGGGCTTCAGCTGGCTTTTTTGGCTTCGGCCGTCCTAACCCGATGCGAGAAGAGGGGTGGTATCTGCCAGGCCGAGTTTTGAGATACTGGCTTGTAAGATACCTAGGTACTCTATAGTAAACTTGGAGTCAAAGCCTACTGAGATAACCTCAATCTGACTTGAATGTCATTTCAAAGTGATCTGTAAATCTGTTCACTAATAGTATTCAACGAACATTTGGACCGTAGGAAAAACAGAAGCAATGAGCGAGTGATAGGCATGTGATAATATCCAAATCGTGTCACTCCAGGGCTTGGTTTTTGAAATATAAAAGCCTAGGACTCCATCTTTCTCTCTCTCTTTCTTTCTTCCTTCTCTTCATCTCTCTATAATCTTCCGAGGCTCTGGAACGGCATCTCAGCATAACGAATCGACTTGGCTTCCAAGTCTTTATTCATGTGCCTATCTTGGCTCTATCAAGGGTCGCAGAGAAATCCGACTACGTTGAGAGAGGAGAGAGTATTATCCTCCCCGCATACCTGGACGCGGAGATTACTGTCACTTATCTTCCAACACTTGTTCTCTCGATAAAAAACAACGGGGACGTCAACTGTTTTTCCTGCAAGAAATCTGGCAACAGTTCACAAATCCCGCCTCGCCTCGGGCATGCCCGACCTTTCAGCCTTAGATCAAGTGAGCGACGTGAAAACAAAGTCCACGGATCAACGGGTCTTCAGTTCATTTTTCGACTTAACTGATCTGGGAAGATCGCAGTTGTCCAATTCATTCTCTGTTTGTTGATTTTCAGTTCCAACGCGCTGCTTTTCTGAAACTGTCTGGTTTTAACCTCCGGTATTCCCTTTCTCTCTTGCATCAACAGGAGAGAGGGTGGATGGAATGAATGACTTTCTGAGCTTCTGCCTACTTACTCTTACTGCATATCGCTCGTTATCGCCAACCACATTACCATGATTGCTTTGTGCGCGCTCTGAACCGTAAATCATGACAAGTACCACATAAAGTGTAGAATGAAAATCGTCGCTTTCGTATAGAATATGGAAACCTAGTATATCATGCAAACCAAAAGCGAGGTATATAAGACCAAAAGGAAATAAAATGCAAGGGCTCATGCTCATGAAAATGGGAAAACAGACACCACATCTAAAAGATGTAATAAGCCTGCGTGAGAGGTAAATCAGAAGAAGGCTCAGCATCACAGAGCATCCCATCCGCCTCGACGGTATAACTCTCCGGATCGACCTTCATTTTCGGCATAGTGTCATTGAACTTCATATCCTTTTTCCCGACAGTGCGACAACCCTTCACAGGCAAAATACGCTTCTTCAAGCCATAGCTCTGCACGATCCCAGCATCGATCGAAGCCTGCGAAACGAACATGATCGAAGCCTGTGGCAGACGCGCAGCGAACATAGGTCTCACAATCATCGGCTCAATGGTTGGAATTGAGCCATTCGGATCACCCATCTCCGCAACAACGATCATACCGCTCTTCAGGACGGATTTGGGCTTCGTGCCGAAGTTCGCGGCGCTCCACATCACCAGATCGGCAACCTTGCCTACTTCGACGGAGCCGATGGCGTGAGCCATTCCCTGTGCGAGCGCGGGATTGATCGTGTATTTGCTGATGTATCGCTTTACGCGGAAGTTGTCGGCCCGTGTATCGGCGTCTGGGCCTAGTGGGCCGCGCTGGACCTTGTTCTTGTGGGCTGTGTGCCAGGTGCGGAGGATGACTTCGCCGCAGCGGCCCATGGCTTGGGAGTCGGAGGACATCATGCTGATGGCGCCTAGGTCTTGGAGGACGTCTTCGGCGGCGATGGTTTCGGCGCGGATGCGGGATTCCGCGAACGCGACGTCCTCGGGAATGTTCTTGGAGAGGTGGTGGCAGACCATTAGCATGTCGAGGTGCTCGTCGAGGGTGTTGAGGGTGAAGGGGCGAGTGGGGTTTGTGCTGCTGGGGAGGACGTTGGGGTGTTCGACGACGGAGATGATGTCTGGGGCGTGGCCGCCGCCTGCGCCTTCGGTGTGGTATGTGTGGATGGTGCGGCCCTTGAAGGCGTCGATTGTCTGCTCGACGAAGCCTGACTCGTTGAGCGTATCTGTGTGAATCATGCACTGTACGTCGTATTCGTCACAGACTTCCAGGCAGTTGTCGATGGCCGCGGGAGTGGAGCCCCAGTCTTCGTGGAGCTTGAGACCGGCAGCTCCAGCCAGAATCTGCTCTTCAATGCTCTTTTTCCCGCAATCATTACCCTTGCCTGTGATACCGATATTAATGGGTAGACTGTCGCAAGCTTGCATCATTTGACGCAGGTGGTTAGGTCCCGGTGTACATGTTGTCGCATTGGACCCGGTACTTGGGCCCGTACCACCGCCAAGGAAAGTTGTGATTCCCGAAGCCAGGGCTTCATCCACCTGCTGCGGGCAGATCAAGTGGATGTGCGTGTCAATACCACCAGCAGTAACAATCTTATTTTCTCCAGCGATGACATCCGTAGAAGCACCCACCACCAGATCAGGATGCACGCCATCCATAACATCCGGATTTCCAGCCTTTCCAATCCCAGCAATCAAACCATCCTTGATACCAATATCAGCCTTGTAGATACCAGACCAATCGATAATCAACGCATTCGTAATAACAGTATCCACGCACTCAGCGTGGCCCCTCCCAGAAGCCTGTCCCATACCCTCACGCAGCGTCTTACCACCACCAAAAGCGCACTCGTCACCGTATATCGTCAAATCTTTCTCGACCTCGATCCACAGATCCGTCAATCCAAGCCTCACAAGATCCCCCGTCGTGGGTCCAAACATGCGCGAGTACGCCTCGCGCTCCATCGAGAACCCAGCAACAAGTGCGCTATCCGCCTGCGGCTCGGGCACATGCGCAAAGCCCGCAGTCTGCAACTTAGTCACGATCTCATCGGCCCGGCTCATATCCACCGGACCATTCGCAAGCCAATTTCCACCGCGAATCACGCGGTGTCCCCCAATTTCAACAAGAGTCACGGTCTTGGTATCTCCGGGCTCGAACCGGATTGACGTTCCGGCGGGAATATCCAATCTGAAGCCATATGACTGGATGCGATCAAAGTGCAGCTGTGGGTTTGTCTCGACGAAATGGTAATGCGATCCGACCTGAGTCCGAAATCAGCTATTGTCCAAATCGATATGGGGTTTGGATTGCTTGCGCATGTGCGCGCGTATTATTCCACCTACCTGGATTGGACGATCACCCTTGCTCATGACCTTGAGCTTGATGCGCCTGCGCCCCGCGTTCAGCTCGACGCGCGCATGCTTCGCGGGAATGACGGCGCCGGGCATCTTCTCGGGCATGAAATCGCTCGGGTCGGGGTCTGGGAAGGCCTCGCGGTTCGGAACGGGTAGGAAGCTGCCGTACAAGGCACGCTCGAGATCGCCCTCGTCGCTACTGATTGGGTGGTGGACAGTGACGAGGTAAGTTCCGGAGATGAATGTCCCTTCGACCTGTAGCTCGACGAGGGTGGCTACTACCGAGGGGAGGACGTGGCGACGACCGAGCATGGTTTTGCCGATAGACATGAGATCGGCGACGGAGTAGTGGCCATCGCGGATGAGCTGGGAAGGGTCAGGTCGCGGCCTTCAATGGGTTTGAATGGGTTTGTGGGGGTTTTCGAGACTAGCGATTGTAAGGATTTGACATACCTCGTGGAGCACCGAGGAGATCAGGGCCTGGTTCGCGGTGTTAGCGCCGGTGATATCCCTCGGGATTTAAGAACGTACCACTGCTTCTGCATGGTTCAGACGCACACCACGTGCGAGACGACGCTGTGCCAAGAACCCAAGGTGGGCAATTGTGAGCTTGTCAAGCTACCAGGATGTCAGTTCTGTGTCATGGAGGATGTACTTGACTAGTTACCTCCTTCGGAATAAGCTGCATGGCACAGGTGGAACCCGAACCTAGCAGTTCTTGGCGTGCAGGGTTGACACAGTGCGATCAAGTGATGTACGAGGTGTAGGGAACTGCCGTACAAGACCAAGCATGTAGTAGTAGTGACCTTGCGAAGTCAAGAAGAAGGAAAAAGGGAGTGTGGGGATTATAATTTCAAGTGCCGTGCTGATAAGGCCATCATCGATGATAGGTGCCGATTGGGTCGGGGATCGGGAGTCGGCGGTGTTAGTCACTTATTGACTGATTATTATTGTTTCTTATTGTCGCTGTTCCGACTAGTCAGGCTAATTAGTCGAGTCGAGTTAGTCGGCTCCATTTAGTCGATTTAGTCGATTTAGTCGCCCGTTTAGGCGTATGACAGCCGATGTTCGCTGGGCAAAAAAAGGTTGGACCCGCTGTGGGATGACCATTTAGCCCTGATATAGTACTATAGTACTATACTTCTATACATCTACTACTACTACAATATACTAGTACTGTACAGTATACAGTACTATCCATGGATAGTGTGTTTGCTATTTCATGCTTCGCGATACATTATACTGGGACACCCTGCTGGCTCAACTCAAATCAGTTTCACTAATAATAGCCAAGTACAGTTCTTTTCCCCCAAACGCCTAACCGAAACAGGGTTACACATCCAATTCAATTCCAGCAGAGCAAATCAGAAAATCGCCGGCCCTAACCGGCCCTTACACCTCACTCTTGCGCTTCTTAGATCTGCGCTTGCTCTCCACAGGGGTCTTCGCGGGCGTAGGCTCAGGCTCCGAGACGGCAGCCTTGCGACCGCGCTTCACAGGCGACTTGGCCGGGGTCTCAACCTCCTTGGCCTTGCGGGTCTTCTTGGCGCTGCTACGGGGAGGAGTCTTCTCCTTGGGTGGGGAAGGAGCCGGGGCAGGGGCAGGGGAGGGGGATTCCTCATCCGAGGAGCTAGAGGCATCAGTCTCTTCCTCCTTGGTCTCGACACCGGCAAAGTCTTGCTGGAGCTGGCTGGCGGCAGGATCATCGTGATCGTGCTCTTCGTCATGCTCGTGCTCCTCGCCGGTGTTGACCTTGGCGCCTGCCTTGTAGGCGGCGACATCGGCCTTGTACTTGTTGTAGTTCTCGGTATACATGGACTTCCAGTGCTGCGGTGGAAGTTAGCAGGGAAAGAAAGAATGATAATACTGTGCGACATACCTCGCGCTCGGCGGCGTCCATCGCCTGCCAGCGGCGGGTTCCCTCATCGGCGACCTCCTTGGGTCGGACATCCTTGCCCAGGTCTGCTGCGATCTTGCTGCGGTTGTGCTTCATATACAGGAAGTAGGGGGTCAGGGCGCGCTTGGGCATGTTGGGGTCGGCGGGAGCGCGCTTGCGCTTCTTGGGACCGCCGGCCTCAGACCGGGCGGGGCTACCAGCGCGCGCAAAGTCGTTGCCCATGAAGCCGGAGGGACCCGCGGGGAGTTCCAGAGTCGCGTCACCGTTCTCGGTGATGCTCTTCACGTGCTGGACATAGGCTTTACCCAGGTCGGCGATGTAGGATTGGACCTCCATCAGGCGCATGACGATCTAAAATTCATGGTCAGCAGTGTCTCTCAAACTACGGGCGCTTGATCTAGGCGTTCAAGGTTAAAGGCAACACGAGGGTGCAGTCAGACAGCGCGTAACTTGGTCAGAAGTACGCGCCGCGAGGGTTGCGCGATATGTTTAGAAAGGCACATTGCTAGCATGTGAAGCTGGTAGACATGCTATCAGACCAAATAAAAGGCTTTAGACAAGCTTCCAGAGCTTCATAAGGGTAGGGGCATATGCGACGCGTAGCGCGTGGAGCCATGGCGCACACGAAAACAAAGGGAAACGAGAGGAAAATCAAAATCAAATTAAAGAACCGAGACAAATTTCGAAGTCGAGGAAGGGAAAAAAAGAAAAAGGGAAACGAGCAACTTACCAAGTCGCCAGCGCGACGGATTTCTTCCTTGTTGACCTCAACGGTCGGGTTCTCATCTTGGGGAGCCATTGTGTTGCCGAGAAGGGGGTGCTTGAAGAGAAGAAAAATCTGCTGGGGGGGGAGTTTGGGGGGGCTGAGGGGGGGCCCACTAAATAGCCCAAGAGGCACCCGCACACCCGGGCATCGGGTGGTCGCTGCTTTAGGCTTAGACTCTCTCTCTTTCGGGCTGCTCAGCGCCTGTGACGGGGTCTTCCTAGGCTGTGTCCTTCATGTATATGGTATTCTTGTATCTACTAAAAATTCTAGAGAATCACCTGGGCATGCTCAATCCTGAGGTACTTCTGATATGCCTCCCTAGGTAGGTGAGGAATTCTCTTAGCGCCAGTCTATCGATGACGGCCTCTTGAGCTGTTTATGATATATAACCTTGGAAACCGCCACCCACACATGCACTCCAGAAAACCGTTCAATAATAGCTTGAGCTTGGCAAGATCGTCCCTGAGCTATTTTCATATGAAGATAATTCATCATCCTGAGCCCAATCGCGTGGGAATCGCCCCGTTGGCGCTGGCGGCTGATCCGGGCTCTGCTCCCCCGCCCAAACACTAACTTCGGGGTCGCCCAGAGCCCTGAGGGGTACTCTGTGCACAAGGTGTCCAACCTGTGCTACAGACGTCGGTTCTTACTTTTCATTCCAAATCATCCCTTCCGCTTTCTTTTTCTCCGTCTTGTGTATGGTTACCTAAATACAGCTATGGTTTCACTGTCTTTTGTCTGATACCTGCTCAGGTGAGCACGGTATATATATACGGTAGCTCGGGGTACCGAAAATGTGTTAGCCCACACAACCTGTGACTCGAAGAGTCCGATTAATCGAGAAGCAGCTTCTTGTCTCGTTGGACATGTATTATATTTGGGTGTTCGAAGGTTTGAAACCTGCTGCCCATGTGGGAGGTTTCGAACTTGCCGGCCCAAATCATAGATCCCGGTGGCAAGTGCCCCGACGGCTGGGCAGTACATCTGCCCAGGTGCGGGCACCGACCTCGGGATGCCACCCACGGGCGACGGCACCCGTGGACTTTGTTCCCACGCTCCAAGGTCCTGATACATCTACCTAGTACTGAGTGCTGTTCACGAGGTCTCTTCGTCCACAGTTTCCCCCAGAACTGCGAGGATTACACTCGAGAAACCCAGAGATATGATGCATCTACTCCGTAGTGCGATTGTGATAGATCAATGGGATATATTCTGACAGCGGATGCCAGCCCTAAGCGGCAACGCGCTCAAACAACACATGCATCAAAATGCAGAGCGAGCCCGCCGCTGAAAATAGCTATCTAATATACAACTTAGAACTTGAAGACCTGCTCCTTAGAGTAGCCCAAGTCGGCCAGGATACCAGTGAGCTCACCCTGGTCCTTGGGGCTGACCTTGGCACCAGAGATAGCCTTGTACATGGGAGGAGGACCACAGATGAAGAGCTTGATGTTACCCTCCTTGGGCTCGGGCAGGACAGTCTTCAGGAGCTCCTTGGTGATGAAGCCCTTGCCACCGGTCCACTCCGCAGGGGGCTTGTCCAGGACGTAGAAGGCACGGAAGCGCTGGGGGTAGGTGTTCTCAAGATCCTGGAGCTCCTTCTTCAGAAGGATATCCTCCTCGGTGACGTTACCGAAGACCAGGGTGACCTTGGTCTTGTCATCGGGGTTCTTGAAGATCTCACGGGCAAGCTGGTACATGGGGGTGATACCGGTGCCACCGGCGATCAGAGCGATGTGGTCGTGCTTGTTAGCCTCCCAGGGGTACTTGACAAGAGGACCCTTGAAGGACAGGCGCTGGTTGACGTTCATGGAGTGCATGTGCTCAGACATGGGGCCGCCAGGGTAGGCCTTGACGACAAGCTCGAGGTAACCGGGGGTTTCTGTGATTCGTTAGTAATGAAAATCCGACTACGGAAAATTAGTGCGCTTACCTTCATCGCTGGTGGGGGTGTAGGGGCGGAGAACGTTCTTCTCAGCACCAGTGGGCTTGAAGCGGGTCAAGAGAGCAGCTGGACAAGGCGTTAGCGATCAATTGACAACCCGATTGACACGAATGATACTCACAGGCGACGGGAATACCCGAAACAGCCTCGGGGTCATCGTATGCGAAGCGGAGACGCTTGGTGTTGGGGCTCAGAACCTCAATGTTGGCAAGCTTGAGGTCAACCCAGCTCTCGCCGTCGAAGACCTTTGGGCGGTCCTTGGGCTCGGCAACAGCAGAGTTGCTGTAGCGGTAAACACCAGCAGCAAGACCAGCAAGGCCAACACCAACGTAGACAGGGGTCAAGTTGGCCTTCTTAGGAGGAGGGGGAGGAGTGGACTTGGGAGCGGCCTCCGCAGAGTACTTGCGGAAGCTCTGGAGCAATGGCGGGTTAGGATCAATTCGGACAAAGTAAGCAATTAACTCACCTGCTTCAAGGGCTGTGCGCAACGGAATGTCTGACGAGCGAACATGATTGCTATGGGGGAAGGGAAGAAGCAAGAAGTGGAAGAAGGGAAGAAATCGGATTATGCGAAAGCGGACAGCTCCAGGGCTCCCGATCCGACTTCGCATGACGCAATATTACGAATCGTCTGTATCCAGGGCTGGCCTATGCACTCGGAAATACGGGGGTCCTTAAAGGATATATGGATATTAACTATGGTTTATTGGCAGATTCAAGGAAAAGCAGCAATAAATCTAGCACGTATCCTGTATCTCCAAGGTCGAAAGGCGCAATTTTATTAGGTTTGTTGCCTGGATTTCAAGGCATGACTCCATTCCATTGTACAATTATAGCAATCAACTGGTCTCGACTGAAATTATGTTTGCTGTTGTCATGTATGGACTGGATTATTTCGGCCGGGTGGTCTGGTCTTCGTTCAAGCGCAGGAGAGGCAAACCATACCCGGATGGCTTGCATTAGGACGCAGTAGTTGGGTTATTCACGGATGTCGATGAGGACCTTAGAAGCAGACCGGAACCCATGTTCGAGGGCCGATTGTGTTATGACATGGCACAGCCTTATAGCGTTTACTTTGCAAAGTGCGCAGGTTTGTTTACTGGGAAAATCAGATAATTCAAGAAACCCGATGATTTTTTCAAAACAACCTAGAGATGCCACCATACGGGACTAGAGACATCCAACCACCTCGCCCGGGAGGACAGTGGTTTCCACGCGACCATCTTTCATGCATGCTATGGCCATAAATAGTCATTCATCCACACACTCCATACCAAAACCCAGGACATCACATTTAAGCAAAGGTAGAGGGGCGAGAGTGAGCGAAGATCTTCTTGCCGACCTTGCCACCGGCGCGGTGGGGCAGAGGGAACTTGAGGTCCTTCTGGAGGAGCTGCTTGATGTAGGGGCGGCGGATGGAGTCGTTGTTCTCGATCTCAACAACCTTCAGGATCTGTAGGGGAAAGATCGGTTAGAATTGCACGGGCGCAGTCACAATTAAGCAGGGAAACATACGTGGATGGAGCCGAAACGGGAGCGGTGACGGGCAGCCATGTCCTGGTAGAGAGCCTCAACAGCGTCGGTGCGGGACATCTCACGGAACTCCTTGTACATGTTGTGGGTGCCGGAGCGCGAGTCGTAGCGGATCCAGATACCGAAGTTCTTGACCTTGAGGGGACGCTTCTCCTCAATCTAGAGGGAAATGTATCAGTACCATTCCGAATCCTTTGGAGAGCAAATTTCGACGTACGACGTTGAGGGAGACGATCTCGCCGTTAGCCTTCTTGAGCTTACGGAGCTGGGCCATGAAGTACCAGAAGCGAGACTTGGCCACAACGGTGTTGGGCGCAAAGATACGCATGCGGTACAGCTTGGGCGTGGGGTTCGCCTCGTTGGGCAGGTGGCGCCCGATGACCTGGTACTCAGTAAGACGTCCTGATGATCCGTCAGTCATTGTTCCTAGATGTCGAATGGTTCAAGTTCTTCAGATCGAGACGTGGTTCAGTGCGCGATGTCGGTTGGCGAAAATTTCGAGAAGACCAGGGGTGCAGATTGAGCATTGAAAATTCAAGATGGGGTGTTGTGTGGCCTTGATCGACAGCATTGCGTTCCTCCATTGCGACTGTTCTGACTGGAGTCGGTTTCCTGATGCATCCTCCATTGCTGTGACGGGTTTGGTCGATGTCTTCGGGTCTTTTGCGTCTCGAATTCCTCCAACCGTATGCGCGCACCGTTGTCTCGAAAAAAAGTCCTGGGTCGGGAAGGGAATAAAAATCACTCACCCATCTGGAATAAATGAGTTAGTATCAATTTGCAACAACTCGATCTTGGTATACTCACTGTGATTGTCGCTGTGGTGGTTGGAGGTTAGTGCGGAAAATGGAGAAAAATCGTTGTGCCATTAGCAAGGCTCCCTTGCCCTAAGGTTAGGGCTAAGCGAGTGTAGACCGCCTCTGGCAAAAACGCTTTGCCACACACCGATTCACCAGCCACATTACCAGCCACACATGCGGGCGCACCTTTATCCGATCCCGAGTGGTTTAACATTAAGATTGAAACTGGACCGTGGATGGAGTCGATAGATCCTTCGTTTGCGGAATCTTTTTCAATCGAGACTTCCATACATGCAAATTTCTCGCCCTTCCTTGGCCGTGACTCGTTGTGATCTTGCCTTCTGGGGTTATGGCCAAAGCTCCTTCCTACTGGAAATAGGGATTAAACAACCTTACGCATGCTTTATTTAGCTTAGAAGTTGACCAAAGGCTCTGAAGATTGCAGATTGTCTGCATACATACATTTATAGGTGTATATACTCCGTAGCTCCCGAGGTACTCCCCAGACAGCCCTGGAGGCCTTTGCACAGATAGATGTCTTACCGCCATGTAGATGCCCCGCAGAATTGTATCTGACCGCCTATTTGCGCCACACACCAGCCACTCTACGGCGACCCCACCTGCGCAACATGTCTTCTCCAAATGTTGCTTTCAGTCTTGTTGATTGGCCATACGCATTATCATGACCTGAATCTCCCGAGCCTCTGACCCAATTCACTTTCAATTCATTAACATAACAACACTGTCAGTTGCAGTGTTTGCCCACGATGAGCTCCATTGCGACTGCATTCAAGAATGCCTACATCAATGGATCTGGATCGGATCTAGCTGCAGTACTCACCCCAATCGCGCCGGCCGAAGATCCCAACCGACTACGCTCATTCTACCAGCTCTCTAATGCCGCATCCGTCTCCCTCGACCTTCCTTACCTCCTCTTTCACGGCAAAGGCCCCAAGCTACCCAAGGCCGAGCAGAACGCCTGGGTGGACATATTCGTTGTTTACTGGGAGGCCATAGGCGAAGTCCTCAAGTGTGAAGACCGCAGCCCAGGGGCCAGTGTCGTCACACTTTTCAATACTTGGAAGAAACTCGCCAACACACTTATCAGAGGTTACTCCGGATCTTCCAGTCTTCCTGCCTGGACGCTCCCATGCCTGTACACCGTTGGGAAGTACATGCGCATCTTTGCAATCAATGCCGATCTCGAAGTGGCGTCACAAGGGACGGCCGTTCTTGGATTCCAGGAGGAAGTCTCACCAGATGTGGAGAAGAATGCCAACCTAGAAGAAGCTGCTCGGGTTATCAACCGGATGTTCACTCTTTGCTTGAGCGATAGAGCTGCTCTTGAAGAGTCGCGCAAGTGGGGCATCTACAACATGACCAACCTTCTGTTCAAGATCTATTTCAAGGTACAAAGATCCCCCCTGCCTTCCAAGTCTGGCCAGAAGTTGACTTCTTACTAGATTAACTCCGTCGGCCTCACCAAGAACATTCTCCGCGCCATCAAGGCATCAGCGGCAGACCTGCCTCCCCCCGAGGCTTTCCCGAAATCTCATATTGTCGCTTTCGAATACTACGTCGGTGTCATTCATTTCTTGGAGGAGAACTATGCAGAGGTAATGAGATACATCAGTCTAGTCGCCAGAATTGCATACTGACATACTGCAACGCAGGCCGAGGAACATCTGACATGGGCCTGGAGAATGTGTCACCGCGGTGCAACCAAAAACAGAGAGTAAGTAGGCTTTCGGCTGAACTGGAATGATGCTAATTACTTCATAGGCTGATTCTCACGTATCTTATCCCATGTCACCTGGTGACTACTCATACTATCCCAAGCAAGAAGCTTCTCACACAATTCCCCCGCCTCGAGAAACTTTTCCGACCTCTCTCAGAATGCATTCGTAAGGGTGATCTGGCTGGCTTTGACCTGGCCATGACTGCTGGCGAAGAAGAGTTCGTCAAAAGACGTATTTACCTACCCTTGGAACGCGGCCGTGATATTGCCTTGCGCAATCTGTTCCGCAAGGTCTTCCTGGCTGGAGGCTTCGAAGAGCCCAAAGATGACCAGCCACCAGTTCGGCGAACCCGTGTCCACGTGAACGAATTCGCAGCTGCCCTCCGTGTCGGCACCCCCACCAGCGGCCGCTCGCGGGTTGACATTGATGAGGTGGAGTGCTTACTGGCCAACCTTATCTACAAGGTAGGCTCACCTAGCCTAGAGAACTGAAAGGATGCTGACATGTATTTCTCTTAGGGACTCATGAAAGGGTACATTGCGCGTGACCGAGGCATCGTTGTCCTGAGCAAAGGTGGGAAAGCGTTCCCGGGTACCGGTGTCTAGAACTCAGTTTCTGAAAAAGCTATTATTACGAATTTACGAACGTTTGTCTTAATATCAACTGAAGCAAGTTCACATACTCCGTACAGCTCGAACTATACATCTATAATAACATAATAATACACGGGTATGAAGCTGAAGCAGACCATAGAAAACCTACTCCGTGATACCCAACCCGAACGCCCAACTTACCAAATTCAATGACCACCAGCCCCGAAGATCTAAGGGTGAACCGTGCTCGCCGAGCTACTCACCGAGCCATGGGGAACATAGTCATCCTAAACGAATCAGCAATCAATAGTCAAGAAATACTGCGCAGGCATCACTCACCATATGATTACACATCGCAACAAAAAGATCAAAAAAGAACTTCCCCCCCTTCTCCATCTCCGCCTGCATAGTCCCACTCCTCATGAACGTCGACCTCGACCTCACAATCAGCGCAAGGTAATGCGCCCTCAGCTTCGATTCCGTGTCAGGCGTATTGGCATACGCATACCGCGCACTCGCCAGGATAGTACTACATTGAATGCCCGTATGCAAGCCCTGTTTGCGGAGCGCCAGACGCTGCAGATGGGGAAGGTTATATTTCTCCGCTGCGCAGCTGCAATCTATTAGCCATGGTGATCATTCGTCAAGAAAGGAACGCTTACTATATAGCCGTGTCTCGTAGAATCATCCCGCCAACCTGGTGGTGGAATACTGTTGACGTAGCCTGGCTCAATTCCCCGGCTGTCTCGACGCCTGTGTCTTCCAGTTCCCAGGTACGGGTTCGACTGTTGTGCCGGAGACGGGGGTAGTAGTCGCCTTTATAGAGGAATTCAAGAACGCAGGATAGGACCTCTGGTTGTTCGTCTGGGAGGTCGATGCGCTTTCCTGGTGGTTGGAGGGGTGGGCGGGGCCGCCGAGCGGATGGGCTGGGCGTTTGTGATGCGCAGTGGGAAGCGAAGAATGAGGATGTGGTGAGGATGGCTTCGTGGGCTGCAAAGAGTCGCTTTTCGGGGCCTACGCGGAGCATTACGATTGGGGAGTTGGAGGGGGAGCTGGAGGGCGTTAGATCGGGTCTCGATTTGGGCCGGACATCAATTGATGGCTCACAGGGAACTTACGTTACGTCTGGTGGTTTGTCGAGTCTGCGACGCTCTGGTCGAGTCTTACCGATGGAGCTGGAGCCGGAGCCAGACCCGGAACTTATCTGGCGGTCTTTTCTTTCGCGGGGAATCCGGCGAGATTGAGGTGTGAAAGCTGATGCTTTCGAAGCTCGATATCTCGACACGGGGGTTTCTGGCTGTTTGGACATGATTCTGGTGATGGAAGAGAGAGAGATGGGTGGGCTCAGGGGGTCTATTTATCAAGCTGAATTACATACGGAGTGAGCAGTACATCAATTCAATACTCAGCTGTTCAATACTCAGCGTAGCACAGCTGATTGGCCACTGGACAGGTCCGATTGCGATGCGGTTCTCGGCATGAGACGCGTCACAACTAGTAAAGTCCGTTTGAGACGCGTAAAGTGGTTTTTTGGAGTCGCCAAATCCTCGCGAAATCACGGGAGCTCAGGGGCAGCCAATCACGGGACTCCGTCGACCAAACGAAATTGCTCGGTGGGCCCGATCAAAGGGCCCACGGGTGTTTGTGCAACTCATTACTGCTGTAGTACATGCCCTGTACAAGTACAGAGTACGATTACCCTACGATGGAAAAGATGTCACAACTCAGTCTTTGAACGACAGACCCGAAACGCCCACGCTAAACGCCCAAAAAATCCCCAACCCGCCGCGCTGACATAAAACATAAAGCCGATGGGAATACGTGACGTACAAATCGTACGGGAAGCTCACAAGAACACTTTGCGGGCATCCTTCGGGTGACTCTCACTAGGACAATACGGGCACTTGAACCGATTTCCCTTGCCCAGTCGCTTCAATGACTCCTGCGCAATAACGTGACCACAAGGCATCATCATGGGCGGGTTATCATCAGTCGCCTGCTCCTTGGACACCGGGCAAACGAAGATGGAATGGAACAGATATTGAGGCGGGAGAGAGATCTCGACCGGCAACTCATTCTCGGAAGTCCATTCCGTGCGCTTCGCCTTCATGATGGTCTGGAGCTTCAACAAAGTCGGCAGCGCGATGGCGCCGGCCGTCGCAGCAATGTAAAGAGGGGAATCGGCCGACAAGCCGAGGAGCGAGCAGAACTCGCGGGTGAAGAAGGTGGCCACATCGTCCCAAGCAGTCGGGTTATCGAACAGGGCGGCGTAGGGTGATCCGCCGAGGTTGGGTGTGTAGGCCATGGCACCCACCAGCTGCTGCACCTCGCGCAGATAGCGCGGGACGAAGCAGTGGAATTCTCGTCGCGCATAGTCCAGCGCTGCGGCCCAGCCGCTGCCGGTGTCTGAGTTGCCTGCGCCATGGTAGAGCCACACGTACTGTAGGCGACAGAGTTCGAATTCGAGATTGCTGCCCCGGGCTTCTAATTCCTCGCGGTGCTCTCTGGACCACTCGATGGCAGGGAGCAAGTTCCGGTTCTCCTGGAGCTGTTGGAGGATGTAGTACATTGAAGCAAACTGGTTGCGGACCTCGGCGGATGGGACTTCGTGGGGATCGAGGATGCTGCCAGGTCTGCTTGGGTCCTTCTCGAATTGCACCCTCCTCGGTTGTTCGGGCCCGGTGGGCAGGTTTGCGGCGGGTTTCTGCTCTGCGATCTCGTCCAAAAAGGCGGAAGCCACGCCGAACTGTCCTTCCCGGAGAAGATGCATTGCGATGGCCCGGTTGATTAGTGTATCCTGCGAGGAGAGGGCATCGTGTTCGGTGGTCGGGAGGGGTCGATCTTTAAACAACTAGGCCAGAGGTGAGAAAGAGACCAATGTCAAGCAGCTCGGCGCAGGCGCATACCTTGTCTAAAGACTTTGTGTACTTGTTAAGACCACTGTGGGTTTCTTTCAAGCTGTCGTTAATTGAATCAAAAGATGATTTCACCGGGGTTTGCAGCTTGGCCAGAGTGACAGCCGCAGACGTTGGGTCTATCCGAGGCCCATCAGCAGAGAGCGGGGATGACGGAGGATGAATACTCACCGGCAGCTATGGCCTCCCGGGCCGACTGCAATAGATCGATGGTTGATTGTACATTCTTGATTCCTTGGGACGCTTTGGCCTTCTTGACAATGCGATCGTGCTCTCTTTGTACAGCTTCCATGGCGGAGTTGGGTTGGGCGTGCGGAGATGATCAGGTTACCGCCACGGACTCGGTGCCATGTGGAGAACTGCGGAATAAGAGGGTGTCTACCCCGTCACTTTGGGTGGAAATGCAAAGAGGAGAGTAATGCAATTCTGTGAGAAAATAAAAGTAAAAGAAGAGAAATCCATGATCAGACAGTGCAGAATCATGCTGTTCCCGATGATCGCTGTGACCCTACGCCATAGCCCACGTGACCGCCGGAAAGTGATGAGTTCCGGACGTGAAACATCTTATCCACCGGGGCAGATGAAGATGAGACCTGTGGACCTACAGTAGATACCTCAAGCATAGCAACTCAGGGGAAGTGTCTGCCAATATGCTCAATTGTCCCTGGCATTCACTGCGGCCTCAGGCCTGCAGGGAGACCAAAGGGATGAGTCATGTCGTGGCCCACCCAGTCGCTTAGGTCGCCCCAAACCGGGCGCGGGTATAAAAGGTTCGGCCAGCGCGCGCCCTTCCTCTTCTTTTTCTTTTCTTCTTCATCCTAGTGCACGGGTTTTACACGCATCAGTGAGGAGACATCCGAGATCGTGTTTTTGCTAGTTGAAAACTACCAAATTGACTACTCCTGTTGGTCTTCGGAACGGCAGGGAATTTTTGAATAAACAATGCCTCAATCCTCCTTGGCTTCTGTCATCGGGGTTGTCTTCGGTACTATGATGGAAGATCACTTCATCCTCATGGTCCGTATGGTCTTCTTTTCACTACTGGTCACCCATGTTGGTGGCTCTTAGAGAAGAGTTGTTTCCTATCCATAGCACTTTGTAGTTGTATTCGACGTGTTTTGGTGTTGTTCCTGAGGTTTCGTGCGAAGCCTGGAACCATCTCCGATCCTCTTCCAGCCCAGGACGATTAGCTCGCGATCACCATCTTGGCACTGCATCATGTTTCTGATCTGTCTTGCAGTTCCCTGGACCCCAACCTCGTTGATATGTCCGAAGCCAGGCGCCTACACGTCTCCGTACTCGTATCCTCAACACTGACACCGACCCACTAGTATTTCCTCGCCATAGAGTACAGTACACACACCCATTCATTTTGAAATGTGAGTGATCTCGCCAGCAGGACTCGTCTCCCCAACTCCCCGACTCAAAAATGTGAAGTGGCCAGTGGGATCATCGGGATTTCAACGAAAACCGTGAGGGCAACCGCCGGCACTAGTGGGGAATAGCCCGCTGATAGTCCGACGCCATCCTATCACCAAGGCTCCCTTATTTTATTTCGACCTCCAATTTCGTTATTTCATGTCATTACACATATGACCCTTCATCTTTCACTCGACCCACTTGGAGCATGGGCTGTGTATTTCTCTAACCCCATGCTTCCTACGGCTCGTACTCGTACATATATATATCCACTGCCCCTTTGCATTCCTCGTGCTTTTGTGGACTGTGCAATACTCGAGCTTATCGGGACAAAGATCCGGTCGCAGCAATGTCCGTCGCGCCGGCAATCGAGTCCAAATTACGGAGTTCACGGAGCAACGGTCACGCGACAGGTCAGGACTGTACAAAACCACATCTTTGGCGCCACTGGTATGAGAGGTGAGATCACGTCGAAGCCATGCATCATTGGCTATATCTGTACGGCCGAAAATGTGCATACGCCAGACGCCGTTCGAGGTATGTGGGGAGGACCAGTACGATTCACCTCGGGGTATGAAGTTCGGAGTACTAGCTGTACGGAGCACAGTGTCTCTGTTCTAGTTAATTGCCTCCCAGCCCCACCCCCACTGAAGGGTGTGATGCATGTACGGAATATGGTAGACAGATAACTTGTTTCTCAGATCGTCAGGTGTAGATCAGCAGTCAGATTTTTCAACGGGCTCAAACGGTGATATCGTCTCAGAATTTAACTCGATTGAAAGAGGAATGGAAGAAACTTTGTACCTTTTGACCAAAATAACTTGGCCTTTCATATACGAAACGCGTGTCTTTTACACGAAACGGTAGGGGTGTTTTGTTCATTGACCCACATACCATAACCATCGTCATTGGGGATAGTAAGGATCGACAGGCACCTTTCACACCTGAATCTCTGCGTAAGGATCATTTCTCCTTGACAACTGCTCAAAGCGATGTGGCTGGTATCCAACTTCACCAGCCCACGCTCTTTTTCACCTTCGCTATACCAGATTATGCCCAGCCTGTCACTCTCTCGCTAAATATACACCATGCTCCTGCCCCCTTCCTGGGTCTTTCCGACCGTCGCGGCCTCGACATGGCTAGGTGAGATGCTGCATCGTTACGGTCGCATAGGAATTGGTCTAATTCGTGAATAACAGCGATGCTACTGGCAATGTTGGGCCATTGGACCATGATCGGTGAGCCGAGATACGCCCTCATGAAGCCTGGCCAAAATATACCGTGAGAACCTTCATCCCCACGTTGAGCGTTGCCAAGGCCCAGCTAACAACCCTGAATAGGTTCATCTCGGACATCGGAGCCCAGGAACTCAAACCGCTATTCATGATCGGGTCCATCACAACGGTCCTGCTCCTGAACCTCTCTTTCTACCAATTCCTTCAAACGAAAGCATATACCAACAAACTTTGCACACACGGTTCATTCCTTTTCACAATCATTGGAAGCATCGGCTTGGTCATGCTCTCCGTCCTCGATAACATCGCCCATCATCTCACACATGATATCTGTGTAACAGTTTTCATGTCAGTACCCCGTGCCAAGCTTCGACATGCATCGCTGACAGTTACAGTGTGGGGTTCCTAGTCAGTGCAGCCTTGATGGCCCTCGACTATATCTACCTGGGCATCGCCCATGCTCTCCGTGAGCCAATGCTGCTCACAAGTTTCGGTATTAAAGTGTCATTCTTCGTCATTGAACTCACTCTCATTATCGTCTTCCGTATCGCGGAACACACCCACTACAACCAGAACAATATGGCGGCCACTCTCGAATGGGGTATGTATCTCTATCTCGGTGCTTGGCCCTTTGACTCATACTAATCTTCTTGCCAGTCATCGCCTTTGTCTTCACTGGTTACATTCTCTCCTTGATCGTGGATCAATTGCCTTCTTCTCAAAGAAACCTCCAGGACCCAAAGGGCTACCAACAGCTCGAAATGCGAACAAGTATGAGCTTGCCTTGACCCGGTCCGTTCTTTTGCTCTTCGCTGGACCAAGAGCATAGGCGTTTGATCGTTCAATTTCAAAATGTACATATATATATCACTCGTGAACGAATACCAAGACTTATCCTTCTGATTCTATACCCTTCGAGCCCTTTCCAAGAATGTCTACTGCCTGGGTACTGGTCCCAGAATCCCAATGTATCCATGATCTTTTGGGTGGTGAATCTGAAGGAGTTTCCAGATTATCAAAAACATCCCTCGGATCTCAACTTCCAACCTTGGAAGGTTCCTGATGGAAGAAAGGACCGTCAGAATAGGGTTCGAGCCTTCAAGGTTCACAAAGCAAGACCTGGGTACCTGCATTTTTCAATCCAGAGACTACAGTACTGTACTTAGGTATGTTTCTGGGACCCTTGCATGCAAAGCCAAGCTGCGTGCCCATGAGGTTATTTCCAGGGCCCCACACTTGTCCAGTGCTTTGTGATTGACACGCATGCAAAACGTGCAGGGGCTGTTTGATTCTGTTTGCGCCAATCATTTCCCCATGTCCTCTACTGTAACCCCCAGAGCCTCGCAATAATTGCGTAGAAAGTGGGAACAGACACTACCAAAAGGATCACAGCCAGCTATCGAGACTTACAGGAGTCTACTTCCAAGACTTGGGATGAAAACTCGGTTCTCGGGATGCTTGTAGGCCTCAGGCTCTCTTTTAAAGGATTGAGACCTTGGGATCAGCTGGGTGTCGAGCGAAAGCAACATGGATGGATTCTATATATCTGTGGACATGAAGCTGCACGCATCCACAGCGGCGTCGCCAACTGGGCAACCTAGACTCACCTCACGATTTGGCAACTCCCCGAGGTCAGTAGGCAACTAAAACGCACTCCCTCGAAGAACCACCTTAGTATTTGGGAAGATGACGAAAGAAAAACTCGGGAATACTAGCCTCATTAAGCTACAACCTCAAAACTAGTCTTCGTGAGATCGGGCGATCGATGAACCCGATTTGGTCCAATGATAGAAGGACCTAGTCCCGAGGATACTCCTAGATCATATTTAATTCCGACGATTAGGCGACAGAGACCCGGCAACCTATACTATCACAGGGCTGAAGCTGTGGGGGAGGCGTACGTACGCGTCCAACTCACAGCCCTAATGCCAAGCCTCGGCGGCGGAAGCCCGCTTAGTGTACACCTGGGTAGAAGTTAATGAAGCGCCAATGGGATATCGAGGTGTAAAGCTTGGTTGGCTACGCAAACTGGGCACTTGTTGATATTCGTGGCCAGCTTCGTCAGTATTGCTTTCCACATATGCGAGGGGGATGGCAACATCAATGTATATCCTGTCATCACGTCTGAGATTCGACTTTGTACGGTCGACACCACCTGGGCATCTTGGGAAGCACTATGTGGCGGAAATGCCTGGTTCCTATTCCAACAATAGACCTCCGCTTCTCCACCTTTGCCTCAAGGAGTCGTAAGTGATGACATCTTCCCAATTAAAGACTAGCCTCAGCTCCAAACAGCCCTGTAGTGTCTACTAGGCCCTTTATTGTCGTGAATGGTGACGCCACTTCGGCCTCTATAAAGAGGAGCTTGAGGCCACTTTCTCTCCTCATAACATACTCATCCTCAAGTCTTGCCTGACACTTCGACCTTCAATACCTCATCTTCCATCACTTCTCCACCACATACTCATCTTCCTCATCAAGCATGGGTCTCTTCCACCACCACCACCACCACGAAGAAAAGCACGGCCAGCAGGGCCCTCCCCCCCAGGGTAACCACGGCGGTCCTGGCGGTCCCGGCGGTCCCCAAGGCGGCCCTCAACAACACAACGGTGGCCCTGGCGGCCCTGGAGGATTTGGCGGTCCCGGCGGCCCTCAAGGCGGCCCTGGCTTTGGAGGTCCCCAAGGAGGCCCCGGAGGACACCAGGGTGGCCCTCAAGGTGGCCCTGGTGGTCCCGGAGGATTTGGTGGTCCCGGAGGTCACCAGGGTGGACATGGCGGACACCACGGAGGCCCTGGAGGCCCCGGTGGTCCTGGCGGTCCTCAAGGCGGAGTATGTCCAATCTTTATCTCATAGCATGAACCAATACTGACAATCCATATAGCACGGCGGTTGGTAAACCACCTGAGCCGAGTTGGCAGGATGGGTTTATTCCCAAGGTTGCTTTCCAAAGAGCTTGATTGGAGCGTCTTTGAGAAACATTAGTTTGCAGTCATAAGCTCGGTCTGATCTCTCGCTGGGCGAGGTTTCGGTGATATTAGAATATCAGTTGTTTTCTCTTTGTTGTAAACCATCGTGCTGTACTTTAGAGATTTCCGTAAGCATAGTCATCATCATAAATGTAAATTGAAGTCGAGTCAACTGGTTGGTAATTGATGTGCTAACCTCGGGCGGTTGCATGATCGACGGGTGCCTGTCGGGGACTTCACCGCCCCGTGTAGTGACGTCGGCGCTTCTGCACTCGGTTCGATTTCTCAATGCACTGTCCAGTGGGCATTTGCTTGCGCACTCGCCTTTCTCCTTTCATTATAGGCTCCTACTATGCCTCAGAATCTGTTGTCTGGATATGCCACAATTTCCCCGACCTGACCAATAGCGCAGGAGGATCGAAGGTCGACACTCCCTTCGCATCTAGAGCTTACAGGAAGTGCTCTGTTTCAGTACTGAACAAACAGTTGCCGCCCTACCACAGTCGCCCTGAACAGGCCATTTGGTTGGGACATCAGCCATCATGCATACAACTACTCCGAGTGTGGCCTTGGACCGAAACGACGCCGTTCCCACGCCCGAGGCTGTCAAGAGAAGCCCCGCCTCCAATACGCATGAAAGCGACCGGTCTCCGCAGCACGCCCACCAAAGATTGGTGTTTGTCGATCCAGTCGCCCTCCGATACCTCGAAGAAGACTCCTCAACAGATGTGCTTGAGCGGCGTGCTACTTTGCAGGGCTATGAAATCTACATTGTTGAACAATGGGCATGCTCTCGGGTACATCCGACGTTTGTCATCTCTACATTCACCGGTGACTTGTCGCATACCGTGATAGTAGGTGTGCTGAGTGTTCCGACCAATGAGAGTACATGGTCGCCCCGCCTGCGGATGTACTTCGACGCCATGAAGCAATGTCACGCCAAGAAGAAACAAACGCCACTGGGGATAGTCATGATCACAGATCTAGGCTCGTTCCCGTCAGCCCTGAGTGTGATACCAGTCCCAGGCGGCGACATCAAAAAACACAGAGAGGACTTTATAGTGAACGAAAACTTGAAGAGGCTCGGATGCGCTGGTCGTGCCGGACTGAAGCTTCAGTCGCCGTCTGCCGCTACCGAGGCAAAGTTTCACCAGTTGTACCGAACCAGTGAGAGGGTTCCGCTGTACGCTGCAGTCATCGAGTTGGTCAAACAGTGCCAAATTGCTCTCATGGTGTTTGACAAACTAGCACCGGAGTATGTCGATGGCCTGCTGTGTGATGTGACCGAGGCTGCTATCAGTGACTGGTGGCGAGATATTGGAACCGATCTCTACAATATTGAACCAAGCGACAGCAGCCTCGGACCCACAAGCGTGGCTGCAATGCTAGGAACCTTGCTCGGGGCTCGGAACAGATTACACGCCTACGGCGCCCCTGTCGGGAAGGATGCATTTGACTTCCCCAATTTGAAGAGAGGCATTGGAGGGTTCCAAAAATCGCAGAAAATGAAGCGCACGCGGAGACTCGATCGACACACCCTAGATCGACTACATCGTGCCACGGCCAAAGCCGCAAACGCAGAGGGATGGACAGATGCGGTCAAATCAACAATGGCGGAACTGAGTGGACAGGGTGGTGAAATGGTGATGGGCATGGTTCGCGGACGCGACAAAGGTGGCATAGCGGATATCGAAACACTCGATCTGGACACTTTTGTCCAGTGCTGCAATGGCGGGAGAGCAAAGTGGCTTTGGCTCGGCAAACCACGCAAGAGTGGTCATGAAGATGGTTTCACACGTGGGACTGGATCAGATATGATGTTTACCACCGATGAACAAGGTGGATATGTTTGGACCAGCCGCAAGAAACACCCAGGAGAGGAAGCGATTCCGGAACGATCTAGCCTCGCCCTCGATCGCCAGACAGCCATACCCGATGCATCGGTCGTCGAAGATAAAGATCACCGCAAGAAGGGTGTCAGTGGACGTGTTTCCGATGCTCGCGCAGGACTGGGTCGCTTCAAAGATGCAGTTGGACTCCAAAGCCTTCGCTCGCACAGCCATCACCATTCACGAGACAATTCCGATTTGACCTACGACGCTGCCTACCGCCCTTCCATAGACAGCGATAGCGAGACGCCACCCACGAGAACACGGACAAACTCTGGCTTCAGGTCAGAATCAAGAGCAACCAATGAAGAAGCCATTGAAGAGGAGAACGAGCAGGAGGAAGAACCTGCTCGACTATCTCCCATTCCTGACTCTGGCGAGGTCAAAGCCCCTGAAATTCACATCGAGTCTGCGCCAACTGAAGATGAGACTGAACCGACTCATCTAGAGCAACCCTTCGCGCAGCAGAATCAAATGATCGACGAAGAGTCAGACATCGAACGGGTTATGTCTCGATCTACTGCAGCGTCCACCGATCGCGAGCGCGATGGGTCAATAAGCGAAGTTGCTACCATGGCTTTACGGCGACCCCAAAGTTGTGAACAGTTCCCAGATATCGAGCGTGAGATGGAAAGGCGAGATGGTTCATGCGCCCGGAGTTTGTCCTTCAGCACAGTCGAAGAAGTGGTACTCAAGTGGGAACCCGCAGGCGGGAAACCCACGATTAAGGATACCAACAATCTGGAAGAAGCCATCGCCCAAGAGGACATGCTCTCGTCCGATGGACGGATCTTCAGCTCACGGATCCTGGAATTGAGCCAGCACACTGCGCCTTGGGTTGAGCGGCAAGTGGATTCTGTGGATGGTCTCAACCAGATCCTGTACGAGAGACACGAAGAGCTCAATTCTGTCTATCTGGAACGGTTCTCCGAATATCAGCGTCTGCGCGAGAGATCCAGCGATATCCTCATGGATGAGGGCCACCATTTAGCCGATGGAGTGAAGCGCGTTGAGTTGCTGGGCGCCAAACTCGACTACGAACTGCGTGTCCTTGAGTCCAAGGTCGAGGACATGGAGGCTGGGTTCACTGACTTTGACCGGCACATTGTCAATGTGGAGACGAGGATCAAATCTTTGGTCAAAGGTGAGGAACAGCATGATACCTCATGGGCCACATGGATAGCGCGGGCCATGGGTTTCTCGACATAGCGCTTGTAAAATAATTCCTTTTTCATTCTCCTGTTTTTCCTTATCCACCATATTGTACATATTCAGACAGATCAGCAATTCATGCCTCCATCCGCGATGGTATAATCCAGAACCATCGTTCATATCCCAGTTCTCAGTAGGCCGAACCAGTCATATAGCCGTACACAGAACGCAGGATCACGTTCGCTTTTCCAGCATCGCTGGAACTTCATTCGAATGCCCAGTTTCCGACACTTTACATCATACCCATGCCGCCCTGCTTGCCAGCGGCTTCACCCTGCATCTTCTCGCTGACCTTGATGTTGACGTCGAAGAACTTGGAGACACAGCGGTCGAGGCAGACGGACTCGCCCTTGTTGAGGTCGCCTTCGCGGTAGTCGGCAGGGACACACTTCTTGGTGCAGGACTCAGTCAAGCTATTGCGATGGAATAAGTTAGCGCCGTCAATTGAGCAATGTCGAATTCGGAGATGCGATTCCGCATCACGTCGAGTCGCCGCATTCCCCGACTTACCGGTTGAACATGTCGGAGATCATCTCAACTTCAGTCTCAGCGGCAGCAATCTTCTCTGCCGAGGACATCTTGGGGGCACCGCCGAAGAGGAAAGACATGATGGAATTGTAGATGGAGATGGGGGAGGTTTGATAGTATGTTGTATCTGTATGGGGCTGAGAGTCGGAGTTGGCTAAGGGAGAAGCTTGGGCCACCCGGCGTGGAAAAACTCGGTTCTGCCGCTCCGTCTCTTCTCGTCTTTTCTTCTCTTCTTCCTCTTCTTCTTCTTCAGCAATGTGAGCCAATTTGCTATGCATTCAATTCGCCGATGTGCTCCGTTTCATGGCTTAGGCCTTCAATGGTAAGAATGCACTTTTCCTTCATACCCTCCCCCCTTATATGATGATTTATCCCCGCATTAGAACCGCTACAGTGACTGTCCTTCGGGGCAATGAACGTACTGGATTTAGATAACTGACAAAAGCTTCTCTCGCTTTATTTACATCAATTTCTTTGGCTTTGAACAATGCTAATTCGAAATTACAGTGCAGGATTCCGACCCGCTTCACGCGTTCCAACACAACTCACCCGACTAACCACACAGCCCATCCGAAAGAGTAGCTCTGCATCGCCCGCGAAGGCCTTGCAGGAGCGGGTGCAGCAGATCAGAGATGCTTGCCCAGACCCATATCCTCGTTTAGCAGTGGACCAACGCATACTGAGCTGCGCCGAGTTCCGCTCTCGGTATAATGAGCTCGCCGACAATGATACAGTAGAAGATACCGTTGTCGTCTCTGGTAGGTTCTGATATCTGGCCTTTCCAATGCCCGTGTACTTAGATTAGTAGGTAGGATACGTACCTATAGACTCGCGGGAAGCAAATTGATCTTCTTCGACATCGTGCAAGACGGCCATAAACTTCAAGTGATGTGCAACAAGCGTCAATTGGAGAGTATTCCTCCCGCGGAGTTCAAGAAGTTCTATCGTCTTCTACGCCGCGGTGATGCCTACTGTATGTCTTCCGGATAGACCTTGCCCGTCGCCCGCTAAACGCTATAGCTATAATCGGTAAACCACACCGCACGGGGCGAGGCGAGCTCACCATTGATGTGAAGGAGCTGCCGCAGCTGTTGTCGCCATGTCTGCATGATATTCCTGTTCACGACACAGAGCACAATGCCGACGATAAGGTCTCGCCGTATCCTCGCCACGTTCAGTTCCTGGCCGACCCTACGGCCGCGGATATCATCCGGGCTCGCTCGACAATGACACAATATCTGCGCCAGTTCTTGGTCGATAGGAACTTTATGGAAGTCAACACCCCTATTGTCGGTGCTGTAGCAGGCGGTGCGATTGCTCGTCCTTTTTACACAACTGCCACCGAGTTCTCGAACCGTCAGCTATCTCTGAGAATCGCCCCAGAACTATGGCTCAAGAGGCTGGTTGTTGGTGGATTCGATAAAGTGTTTGAGATTGGCCCGTCGTTCCGCAATGAAGGTATGCACTTGAGTACATTGAGACCTGTATGGACAAAGCTAACGATCACCCAGGCCTAGACAAAACCCATAACCCAGAATTCACCACCTGTGAATTCTATCAGGCATATGCCAACCTCGAAAACCTGATGATTATGACCGAAGACTTCCTCTCCGGCATAGTATCTCACATCCGGAGCTCCAACGCAAGCACCGGTACCCTGAACCCCACATCTGCAGATTTTACTGCGCCGTTCCGTCGAATCGATTTCATTCTCGGAATCGAAGAAGGCATAGATCGCAAACTGCCAGACCTGGAGTCCCCAGAAGCCCTCGACAAAGTGCTCCAGATCTTTTCCGACCTCTCTCTCACCCTCCCCAAGAATCCCACTTTACCACGTCTCCTAGATGAGCTATGCAGCATCTACGTCGAGCCGTTATGCAGAGACCCGACCTTCATCATCAACCCACCAGAGTGTCTGTCCCCACTCTCCAAATCATTCACACACCCAACGACCAAGCAACGCGTCGCTGCACGCGGCGAGCTCTTTGTTGAAGGCAAAGAATTGGTGAACATGTACGAGGAGGAAAACTCGCCCTTCGAGCAGCGTCGCAAATTCGAGGATCAGCTACGATTCAGTAAGGACGCAGGTGAGCCTGGCGAGATTGACGAGAGTTATCTCGAGGCCCTTGAATGGGGTCTGCCATCTACCGGTGGATGGGGTTGTGGTATTGATCGTCTTTGCATGCTGCTGACAGGCGCTAAGCGCATTGGCGACGTCTTACCCTTTGGCAGCCTGAGGTCTGTTACCAGAAGGCATGGGAACAGCGAGTGATTGGACCGTGATTGTACGATAAATTGAGTTGAGTAAGATAATAATCCGAATTGAACGGAGTAAACAGCGTCCGGAAGGTCCGTCCAGAGTTGTTTGCGATGATGGGGCATCCAGGTTCGAAATCCCAATGGCCCTGTGCCTTAGAATTCTTTGGAAATTCTGACCGAGGGTGATGTATCTACTATCCTATCTCTAGATATGAAAGGTGCTCCTGTTGCCGGCGGAGCTCTCCGACGAAAAATTAGTCTTGGGAGACTAAGAGGGTCTGTGGTTCAGTAAGATCATAAGATACACAGTACTACTCCGGAGCCCCCGCATGAAAACCCCTGTATATGCCCGCAGAGACATGCATTATGAGTGGGCTGCAGGTATGAGTTGCATGAGGTTGCATTTTATAGATAGCGCCGCCAAGCGATAAAGACGAAGCGGGGGAAATTTGTTTTTGACACTGTATTTGCTCAATCATGGAGAACAACACGGCCACCGTAGCTCAGGCGGTCACTGTGAGTCTGCAAGAACTTATTGATGGTGAGTGGGCTCGAATAGACTCCAGACTAGATGCTAAATCACCCAGGAACGGTCTCTTTCGATACTCTGACCGAGGCTTTCGGTCCCGAGTCTCTGGGCATTATTGTCGTGAAAGATTTGCCCCAAACCTTCACTGAACTGCGTCAAAAGGTTCTTTCAAATGCCTCGCACCTAGCAGCGCTGTCAGATGCGGATCTAGGTAAGTGAAGGGAACTTTTCACCCACATTCTCCACAGTGCATCAACTCACCACCACAGACTCTCTTACCAGTCCAGAATCCAAATATCTGGTTGGCTGGTCCTGTGGCAAGGAAACCCTAAAATCAGGTCATTTCGACACGCTCAAGGGGTCCTACTATACGAACTGTGCCTTCTACCAAGACCCATCTTTGGACAGTGCGCCAGCCGATGGATTCCCAGACCTGCCCCAGTATACCGCGCCGAACATCTGGCCCTCCGAGGCGAAATTACCCGAATTCAGGGGTAGCCTAGAGTCCCTCTGTAGCTTGATCATTGATACCGCCGCACTAGTCGCCAAGGCCTGTGATCGGTACGCCGAGGTCAACATCGAGGGCTACAAGCCTGGCTATTTGCACCATGTCGTCACGACCAGTCTGACCACCAAGGCCCGACTCCTGCACTACTTCCCTGGCAGCGAGGAACAAACCGAGGCCAGCGACGATGACTGGTGCGCCACTCATGTCGACCATGGTTGTCTGACAGGCTTGACATCGGCCATGTTCCTCGACGAAGCTGCCTCCCCTCCCAGCAATGCAGACAGTGTTCTGGTCCTCCCCGAGCTGCCCCGCTCCCCCGACCCTTCTGCAGGTCTGTATATTCGATCTCGCACTGATGAGATCGTCAAAGTCAATATTCCTAAAGATTGTCTGGCTTTCCAAACCGGGGAAGCTCTACAGCTCATCACCCGGGGCAAATTTATGGCCGTGCCGCACTTCGTGAAAGGGGCTAAAGCTAGCCCTGGACAGAAGATCGCTAGAAATACCTTGGCTGTGTTCACGCAGCCCAATCTGGCAGAGGAGGTTCAGCCCGGATTGAGTTTTGCGGAGTTTGCGAGAGGCGTGGTGCAGAAGAATTACTGAGGTTAACTGTAATTTCAACCTAAACTAAGAATTGAGGTTATTTTCACCCGACAAGTTGGTAGAACACCCCTTCAACCAAGATCCTGGGGGTGGCGAATGCCTTGCCACTGTGCCACCCATGGTCTCCCCGCAAGGGGCTCTGAGAGCAATGATGCATGCGAAGTTCGGACTCAAACTTCGGGATCGACAAGCTAGTTCTCGCCGGGACCAGCTCTCCTCTGCTCCAATCAGCGTCGGTCGGTATCCTAGTCCGCCGAGGCATCGATACCGACAACCCAATGAGCCCCAATCAGATTACCGTGAGACAGCAGTAATCCTATTAGCAGACAATCCTTACTAGTCTGTGGGGATCTCCGCATTACCCCATGGCTACGAGACCCAGATCTGCTGTCGATCATCACCCATTGTATCATATTCACCCACGATCGTCTGGAAGACGGGCGTACGGATGAGAGGTTTCCAACCTACCTTTGCCCAATTGATCTGTTTTTTGAGTTCCACGACCATAATCCACGTAGTTCCAACCTGCAATGCTTCGTTTTTGGGTCCACCCCGTGTTGCTTTCCCCAGACTGCCTGGTCGCGGGGAGCCAGATTCCGCACCTGGATACGTCTATATAAACCAGAGATGTCTCGCAGTTGATTTGATTGTTTCAGCGCTGTCTGGTCTTCTGAATTCTCTAGATAGTCGCCATTACCTCCAAACCACGCCTTTTTACCTATACTTCTATCCCCATTACGACCTTGCACGATGTCTCACGAAGAAGGAATCAGTGTCAAAGACACTCACCAGTCTGATTCCACAGATGACTACAATGCAGGCCACTTTGGGCCTCTCGCCCACGTCAACACTGCCTCAAGTCGCTACCCAGCCTTCGGTGGTGATCTCCAACCCGGTCTATATCGCGTGCCGAAGGATCGCAAGCTCGCCAATCCTGCGCCATTGGGTCTCTGCGGTTTCGCGTTGACGACATTCATTCTGGGATGTATCAACATGCAAGTTCGCGGTGTGACCGAGCCCAATATCATTGTTGGACCTGCTCTAGCCTATGGTGGATTTGTCCAGATTTGCGCCGGCATGTGGTATGTTTTATAAACATTGTCAATTGTTCCGCTCGATATACTAACTCCAGCTAGGGAAATGGCCGTCGGAAACACATTCGGTGCTACAGTGCTTTCTTCCTACGGTGGATTCTGGATCTCGCTAGCCATCACATTCATCCCTGGCGGATTCAACATCATGGGCTCTTTGGAGAAAGCTGATGGCGGGGAACCGACAATGTTTTACAATTCGTTCGCCTTATACCTCTTTGTAAGTCGATATACTGATGAGACTGCCGACCAAAGCTAACAATTTCCAGGGCTGGTTCATTTTCACTACCCTGATCACCCTTCTCACCCTCAAATCGACCGTGGCATTCTTCTCCCTCTTCTTCTTCGTCGATATCGCTATCTTGCTCCTTGCGCTCGGCTACCTGTTGCAGGATGGAGGAATGCCAAACCACAAGTTGCTCAAGGCTGGTGGACTGTTCGCGATTCTGGGTGCTTTCTTAGCTTGGTATAATGCTTTCGCGGGTATAGCTGATAACAGCAACAGTTTCTTCCTGCCTCCGGTTGTGCACTTCCCTTGGTCTGAGAAGAAGCGCTCTTCCAGGAAGGCTGCTGCCGAGGGTGAGGTTTAAACGTTGGATGTGGTCGGTGATGTGATGGATGATTTTCTTACTTCTGACGAAACCCATGGAAACGATAGGAATGAACATGGATATGAATTTAATTTCTCTGAACGAATTACTTCTTTTTACTGTACTTGCAGGTCTATTATGACTACTGACGCCATGTAGAATGTTACTCTGTGGACTACGACTTGGACTGGATAGTATGAGATCGATTCAAACACTAATCAACATGAAAGGAACGCATGTTCAGAACGCCATTGGGTATCGTTGATATGCTGCAAAAAGGACTAAAAGAAAAAGCAGCGAAAATCGAAACACAAAGCAGTGCAAGTTACGCGTAATCTTCATCCTCGCTGTCACTCTTCACTGCTCGCGCAAGCTCAAACTCTGTGAGCTGAAGAGCAGCAGCATTGTCATCGGTCATCTCGCTATCGTCATTCGACGAATCCAGAGTAATGCCACCGATAGCGGAGCTAACCATTTTACTGGTTGACGCAACCCCGGCGAAGCCACTCTGAGACACAGCATCAACCTCTTTATTCTTGGGACGCCCAGCGGAGGTGGGAATACCAGCAATCTTTCGAAGCTTGGCACTACCTTCTCCCTGGGCAATTTTGATCAATGCTTGCCACCGTTCTGGGGATTCACGCTGGAAGGCTGAGACTCCACATTCCGTACCATTGATCTCGGTCAGACCTAATGTTTCAACACGATTGTCGCCCCAGAACCAGGTGTTATCCAGCGGGATGCGTTCGTCCACCTGCTGTGAGAAGTTGCGGCCTTCCATCACGCCTGATAGATCATAGCTGAATGTGTGCTTGCCGAACATGAGTTCAGCTGCAAGGGGTTCGTAGCACCGACCGACAACATAGTCCGGAGAGATGATGCATGTTTTGCCTTCGGCCATACGGTACCAGGGGCCGTAATCGCTCATTCCAACTTGTCGGAAGGTAGCGGTTGCTTCTTCGCTGCTCAGAGGATTGGGATCAATCTTGCCAAAGGCTCCACCGTGAACACCGCGGTTGCGGTCGGTGGTGAATGTCTTGCCTATCAGCAAGGCTGTGTATTTTTGTGCAAGCTGCTCATCATCGGGATCTTCGACACAGTTGGCTAAATGAAGACTGATTCCTTCAATGACCATTACATCAGTCACTTCGCTGGTTCCCTTAGCTTTGTTCGGGGTGTACTCGTAGCCTTGCGGTTTGAGGCGGATTGTGTCATGCACTGCCAGAAGCTCGGCGCCGATAAAGATGCCTTTGCATGAAATGGAGAGCGAAGGAGATCGTCCCTTGGCATGGAACTTCTGAACCAGGCTCCAGGAGGACATGACAGACAGGGCATTTTCAATAGAGGGATGGACTTTCTCTCGCTCTAGGCCTCTGAGGAAGTTCTGCCAAGAATTGAAAGGCTTTATATTGCGCAATGGGACATAAGAGTACTGCCGAGAGTACGACTTGTCGTTGCCCAGTGGATCTGGCAATGTCTCCACGCGGAATCCAGAGCTGTTCAGCCCTTCTGGAGAGGTAGCCGGATTGTCGACAATATCTACCATGTGGACTTCGTCAATAGGGGTTTGAGTGACCACGCCGGCGCGCCATTCAGGAGGGCCGTGCCATTTGTTGTCATCTCCAAGTACTTCAACCAAACCGGTATTGGGGTTGTTCATGAGACAGCCGTCTAGGTCTGACCAAATCCACAGAACGATTTCGCCGCGTCGGGGAACATAGGCAGGATCGATCACTAGTTTCATAAAATAATCAGAGAGATCCTCGTTTGTGAGAAACCAGTCAATATTGGACCGTTGCTGGATTTCTTCGTCGATCTGGCCTCTGTCTTTCAACTTCTTGACCAGAATTTTCCAGTACTCAGGGCCATCCTTGTCAGCAGGTAGGCGTACATCCGAGGCTGAATTTGTGTCAGTAAATATGTAGCAAGTCATGTCGATTGCAGGAATTGGGAACGTGTAGGGTGAGATGACACTTGAATTAGTATCAACTTGGGTCGGTAGTACTCACTTGGCTGTTCAATAGCCCTGGCAGGCCTACCAGGCTTCCGACCAGGTTTCATTCGATGCGACATTGAGTGACATAGGCTGCAGGTGCAAGAGGCCAGCGTGCTTTGGACCAGATGAAGAAAATGTTCCAAGAAACTATTGGGTGAAGCGAAATATCTGCCACTCGGGTGCCCAAACAGGGCAGTATTGAGCTACATATATATTAGTTGACGATCAAGACAACAAACAAATTTAGGGAACTTCACCTGTCGCGGATTCTTCGTGTTCGGTTTCGCGAATAGACAGTATCCTTCGGGAAGCTTGTTCAGAGTATAGCTTGCACCTTCAACGTGGTATATTAGAGATGCCCGTAGACGTTGGCCTGGCTTGAGCACCCACCTTCTTCGAGGGAGCCCATCTCTCTGAGCCAGTAGGTGGCTAGCTTGTCGCGCCAACCCTGATCGTCGCGTTCCGTGTATGGATGCCCCGTGGGCCAGGTATTCATGTCTCCATCGCTCGCAAAGCTGTCTATGGGGATGACGTTAACATCATTCTCTTCTCCGTCGCTGGAAGACATCTTTGCCCCGCGTGTGCCCCGTAATCACGAGAGCAACCAGACAATGAAGCTGTCAGGCAGTTTAGAGGCAGATTTGTTCAAACTTTGAGGGGAAACTTCGTGGTGATTTCTCCCAATGCCTATTCGGATGTGGAGCCTTGGAATCCGAAAGCATTCGAGAGTAAAGCAATAGAGCAGCGGGGGAGAGTTGGTGACAATGAATGATCCCATAGTTTTCCTCCGCGCGATCGCTTATCGATAGTAAGGTGGCAGTATCGCGGGCGGTCTATCCATGAATCGCATACACAGCAGTGACAGCACCTCTTAAGGCTCGATATGCAACCCGAGAATCAAAATGTCATATGGTATTTCTGCTAAAATAACAATCGAATTGAAACAACACTGTTTCCAGTGCATCTAAACAGTAGTGCTCGTGTTCATTCTGCGCCACCAACGAGTTCCTCGGAGCCAGAACACTCCTCTACCTGGTAAGGCGGGGGAGGAACTTCAGCACCATTTGCCCAGACCTTCTGAAGCTCGGCATCAATCTCTTCACGGCGCTTCTTCCACTCATCTACGTTGTCTAGCCGCTTTCGCAGCTCCTGCAGCTCCCGCTCAACGCCCAGCTTCTCTTTCTCGGTGCCGATTCTCTCAAACTCCCAGACCTCGCCTTCAGCGCCAAGGCCCAGAGTGAGATTGAAGGTATGATACTTCTTCAAGGACGCCCGCGTCGAGATGGTGATGAGTGTGATTCCACGTTCCTTGGCCTTATCATACAGAAGGCCCTCGACGTCCGATGAAACGGCAGAGGTACCCTCATCCATGAACGCATAGCGCGGCTCGTGATAGAAGAGCCGGGCCATGCCCATGCGCTGCTTCTCACCGCCGCTGAGGACATCTTTCCACTCCTTGCGAGCGTCCCAGCCACCCTCACGCTCTGGCAGGTACCCAAGATGCGCATCGTCCAGAATCTTTTGCAGTGCTGCGTCTGACTCACCGGCTTCGCGCATGTCGATCTCCGTGTGCGGGTAGATGACCTGGTCACGAAGAGTGCCGACGCTGAGGTATGGCCGCTGCGGAAGGAACATGATGCCGTCAAGGCCAAATCCTCGAGGTCGGCTGACAAGTCCGCGGTAGACGGGCCAGAGCCCGGCCACGATGCGTGGAATCGCAGACTTACCAACACCGTTGGGTCCGGAGATGAGAAGGTGGTCGCCTGAGTGGACGATGAATGACAAGGACTCGATGAGCTCGTCGCCTCCCATCGGGTAGAGTGATGGGGCAACAATAGGGACCTGCTCCAGGCGGACTCCATCGAAGCCATTGTGGGTGGTACCCTGGGAATCGGCCAGAGAGTAGAATTCGGGGTGAGCACCCGGTGGGGTGTAGTAGGCGTCCGCGTGGACACGGTGCAGGGTGGCAATGAGGCCGTAGACGCGAGAGGTGTAGCCGGCGAGTTCCGAGATATCCTTGATACTGTACATCATGCGTCCTCCGGCATCGGCAAGGGAAAGCATGAGGCGTTTGTTCGTGATGAACTCCTTCATGCGGCCACGCTCACGGCCCATCCCTTCGGGTGCGTCAGCCAGTTCCATTTTACCACCCGATCCACCCCAAGCAGGGAGGAAGATGGGCAATGAAGTGACAAGATAGCCAAATGCAGACCAGGAATACTTCAAGATCATATCTTCAAGCATGTTGTAGCGGATCTTGAGGCTATAGATGCCCTCCATCCATCGCTGCAGGTCCTTGAAGCTCCTGACCAAGAAGATCCGCTCGGTGTCAGCTCCGCCGTAGAAAGAGATCTCTTCCGCATTGGCGAGAAGTCGAGAGTGCAAGCCACGGAAGTCTCCTTCCTTCTTGCCCTCGACTGCCTTGAGCTTTCCAAATGGTGGTGACAGTTTGCGCAGTACAACGGCAGTGCTGAAATATCCAGCAAGGATACCGCTCAAAGCAAGTGGACCAAGAGAGCGATAAAGCTGATAGTTGAAAACAAACAAATCTACCAACGGCTTGCCCATTGAGGAGTACAGCGATGCGGCAGCCGTGCAGAAAAGTGTGAGATCTTGCGTGATGAATTGGTCGGGGCCTTGGCCAATTCCGCCGTCCAAGTTCATCAGCTTGTAATAGTTATTGTTGTCGGTGAGGTATAAGTCATGAATATACCTCGTCAACCGGGTCCGGAAGGCGATGGACACCTTCGACTGGAGGAATTTGATCATTGCATTTGTGTACGATGCAAGCGTTCCAATTCCGCACCACTTCAGGATTCCCCAGAGGAAAGCCTTGCCTTTGCCGGCGACCAGATCCCTCACAATCTCACCATCAAGGCGCGCAATCAGCAGGGAGAGGTATGTCCGCACCAAGAGGAAGAGGCCGTGGCTCATCAGCAAGCCCGTCTCCTTGCTCCCCCATCGGGGGACCATGATACTGCCCAAGCTCAAGAACTGATGTAAGAATGCCAGATTGAGACCGGGCTTGGTGGCGGGCGGAGGGATTTGGCTCGATGACCCGTCATGCTTGCCGCGCGCCGAGGCAGGGGGGTTCAGGAATAGGCGTCGATGGGCGTCAAAGGTCGTCGGTTTGGTTGGATGAATGCGGACCTTTGAGGTTAAAGAGTCCTTGTATGGTACATAAATGGTGCGGGATCCGTCCTTACCCCGGATCCCGGAATTGCGCCGCAGTAGCCGGCGGCCCTGGGCTCGCTCCTTGACCCGCCCCCGGAACCACCTGTACCCCCCATACCCCGAGGTGATGATGGAGAGCAGAAGTGCGACCGTTGCTGCCAGGCGGGTTGTCTTGGAGGAATGGCGGAGTTTTGAGCGCACGAGATCGGAGTAGTGACGATATAGGGTCAAGAGGGGATCCTCTCGAAGGGTTGACTGGGCGGCCATCTTGAAATGGCCCAAGACCTCCGAGACAAAGCCTATGCTTGGAGGGTCATGTTAATCGTGATCGTTCCGACCAGAGAGACATGACAAGAGGAAAGATGATTGCCCTGATGTACTCCGTATTGCATGTGAACCTCGGGATATGCGGAGAACCTCACGTGGGGAATGCTGACTGTTTGGAGCTGCCTGAGGTGGACATCTACAGACTGAGAGCACTGGATACTTCGCCTGACAGTATAGAGTGGATTTCAACGTTTATACTATACTAGTACGGATAGTCTTTCATACTCATTAGACCCATATACCTCGGGAATATATGATTGATACAGGATCCGCCCCCAACCCTTGTACTCATACACGCCGTTACATTCCCCAAGGACTTAGTGATAGTACTGGCAACCATGGATGCACAGAATCATTAACAAAGGGCTTTGGTATACGGAGGACGCCAAGATGCAATCTCCTGAGACTCAAGTCGGTTCCCCCGAGAACGTGGATTCGAAGGTCATAGCTCCCAAGACATAGGCAAATAAAATCAGCAAAAAAAAAAGGGGGCAAATAAAGAGACCATCGATCCCCCCACAGGCCTGATCGGGATCATCTCAACTTGTTCTGCAGCTGTCCAGACCTAACCTACCGCGGTGCCTCTCCCCTGGATGCATATTGGTCAGAAGCAGGTCCAGTCACCGAAACCCACCCGTGATAAGTGCTGTAGCCGCCGAGGGCGTGTTATAGTGCGAAAAAGGGCCCTCTGTGCCTTGTTTAGCAATTAAAATCAGCCCCGTTTTCCCACACCGTTCACGTGACATCCCCGACTCCTCTCTCCTCTCTGACGGAAATCCTCCCTATCGAGTGTAATCACTGAGTTGTCCGATTTGTGTTGATCCCAAAACGTGCGTTTAATAGCGTTGTCGCTTCCCGGGAAGGCGGTACGTGCGAGCTTCCAGCCTTGCTGATCCAGGAGGTGTTTAACATCCTCTAGCGCTCACCCAGTCCTGGCATTGATTCGGCCATACCTGGGATCTGCATCGCTTCCCTCCTTTTCGTTTTATGTGATTTTGTGTCTCCCTGAACACTGCCCTCGATGAGTGGAGAGAGTACGGGGCGAGAGCCAGCTGCGGAGTCCACAGACAAAGCAATGAGTACTCCCGGGCTTCCGGGCCCAGCCAGTAAGTGATCCAGCGCGACATGAAGCCCACCCAAGGGATACCAGTCACTAATGTCCCGCGTTCACCAGAAGAGCCGACCGAGCAGGATCGAGCCACCGGTGCGACCGAGATCCAGGATGCCTCCCCCGTCGCACCTTCGGACCCTGTGTCCCCCTCCGCTGACCCAGCCGCGAGCACCTCCGCCGCGGAGGAAACTACCTCCAAGAAACGCCATCTCCTGATCCCCATCCCGTCGCGCCGGTCCTCCAAAGCCAACAAACCATCGGCGGAGAAGACCGAGGAAGCGCAGGAGGAACCCCGAAGGGGCTCCAAGGTGAGCATCCTCCGGGGAAAGCGAGACCACAGTCGGGCCAGCAGCAAACGGTCGCGCCGAACTCAGGATGGAGCAAACGTGGACCAGAACAAGGAAACGGCAGCTGCGCCCGAGGCCAGTTCTGCGAAGCCCCCGAAAAAGGGCCCAAACAAGCTTTTTGCCTTCCTGAGTTGTTGCTCTTCCTCGGACGTAGATGCCGATGATACCTCTTTGCCCGCGAAGAAAACCACTATGCGGCAGGCTCCATCGAATCGCCTGCCCACTCCTGACAAGGCGGAAGCCCACACCGGCGACTCCAGCACCGCGGAATCGAGGGAGCCATACCTCGACGAAAAAGCTCACTCCGTCGTGAGCGCGGATCAGCCAGGGGACGAGGAGCGCAACGTGCAGGCGGCTGCAGGTGGCGCTGAGGCCGAAGGACCTTCCACAAGCGTCGTTCAACCGGAAGTCTCAGCCCAAAAGGACCAAAGAGAAGAGAGCTCTGTGCCCACTGAAACCGCCGCTGTCAGTAACTCAGTGCCCGAAGTGAAAGTAAATGAGACAGCTCGAGAGTCATCAGATGGTCAAAAAAGCGCGGTGACTGAAGATCTTCCTCCCGCCTCAAACGCTCCAACTTCCAACATGCCCGATAAATCCCTCGGCACTGAAAATGACGACGATGTCGCCAGCCACCAAGAAGAGACCCCACCGCCTGCATTGGTGCTTCCACCTCCTCCGCCCGCCCCAGCACCTCCTGCTCGAGGATATCCCGAGGACGTCCCTCGCCCATTGCTCCCAGCCGCTCTGCCTCATCTGAGTGGTAGAAAATGCCTGGTTCTGGATTTAGATGAGACGCTCGTTCACAGCAGCTTCAAGGTATGCACTTCTGGAGTATTTGCGCATATCGCGTCATTGTATCACCCCCGCTCACCTTCTTTCACAGGTTTTGGAACGCGCCGACTTTACCATTCCAGTCGAGATCGAAGGCCAGTATCACAACATCTATGTGATCAAGCGTCCTGGCGTGGATGCATTCATGAAGCGCGTTGGCGAACTTTATGAGGTGGTCGTGTTCACCGCTTCAGTTTCCAAGGTCAGTTGACAACCTCAGACACATCACCTAAACGAGCCCTCACTGACTCCCAAATAGTATGGTGATCCTCTTCTGGACCAACTGGATATTCACAATGTTGTTCACCACCGCCTATTCCGCGAGAGCTGTTACAACCACCAGGGCAATTACGTCAAGGTACGATTCAGCTCTTACTCATTGCCCCGAAACCAGCTAATGGTCATCTAGGATCTTTCGCAAGTCGGTCGCGACCTGAAGGAAACGATCATCATCGACAACTCCCCCACCTCCTATATCTTCCACCCCGAGCACGCGATTCCCATCAGCAGCTGGTTCTCTGACGCTCACGACAACGAGCTACTCGACCTGATCCCTGTTCTCGAGGATCTTGCAGGCACACAAGTCCAAGATGTCAGCATGGTCCTGGACGTCAGCTTATAGATGCCCCGACCGGGTTCTCCTTACGCCTGAGATATCCATTTTGAGCGAATTGTTTTCCTTTTCTACGCGAGAAAAGCCTCTCCTTTTTCATCCCTCCCCAGCATTGCTGCCATTGATGGGTAGTCACCCTGTTTCCCTATGCCGATTTGATTCCCTTTCTCGACGACCGCATGGCCCAGCTGGAACTGGTATCCTCCTGACCCGCGGCCCGTCCGCATCTGTCGTCGTTCTTGGACAGCTACCACCAGCGGCCATCTTCGACCTTTTGCATTGCGATCTGATTTGTCTCACTACGCTCCGAGCGAGCCCATTCCCCTTGTTATACAGTTTTTGCTTTACCAACACCCCCATCACGCCCTGATCTTTTTCTATTTTATCATTCTTCTTTTCTTATTTATCCAGTTCTGTATTTTCCCTCCCTACAACAAGTCCGCTTTTGATGCATTCTGCAGGCGTCTCTTGGTTATGTCCACGCTGTATCCCCCCTATGTTCCCCCTTCCTATTCTCATTTCTTGCTTTGCCACATGGCCCTCCCGGCGCGATCTCTTCAATCGACGAGTATGCAAGCTGCATGCTCTCCTTTGTCGAGTCCGTCAAGCAGTATAAATTCCTCTAGTGAGCAGTGTCTAATAATCCCCTTTACACTGTCCAAGTTGGTGATTCTTTACGCAATGTATATGGTGAGCAGTCTCGACGCTGTACATAGCCCCTGAGAAGGCGATTCTTGAAAATTAGTCATTAAATTAGTATGGAGCCAAAAGAAATCAACTAAATTGCAGAATGAATCTATTGTCCTACATAGAAGGTTAAGGTGGTACCTGACGGGCTAGTCCGTGTCCGCATTAAGATGATGATGTAGTCAACTCCAAACCAGGGTTTCCCTCGGTTCCTGTAACCTGAGATCTTCTCATTACCTCCCACTTCCCTTGTCGACCTTTCCACGACATTGGCAATTGTCTTCCGCGCAGAAAAAAAAAAAGCAGAAAGCTCCCCGCAATCAAGCCTCCCACCGCCCGCAACCTCCAAACATCCCACATCGTCACGCTGGCCGACACTATGAAGAACTCGGAGGGCTGGGACGGAAAAATGAGGGTCGAACCCAAGGCTGTTATCACGAATCCGGAAGCTCTGGAAGATTCCGACTACTCGGACCCAGAGGCGCCGCCGGTGGAGGAGATTGAAGCCGACGAAGGTACGGACCCCGCAGGAACGGCTGCACACGACAGACCAGCGAGCTGATGGGCTATTACACGTTCAGATCTACTGGCGGATGAAGACGTCAATTCAAAGGTACGCTTTTTTCAGTTCTGCCGTGCCTCCGACTGAGCGCGCAGCGCAAGTGAAGTGACGCGATTGCTAATCACCCGGATGTAGGATATTGACCTCGTGCATTGTCGGATATCATCGATTCCTGCTCTCAAGTTAGAGCGCTTCCCTAATCTCGAGGTAAGGCGCATTATCCTTGGATCTACAGACTTGGAAAGGGTGTCGTGTGATGCCTCTTTTCCACCCGCGCAATCCGGCTCGTTACCAAGATTGGATGTGCAGCAGGCTAACGCTCTCCTTACATCAGAGACTATGCATGCGCCAGAACCAAATATCGCGCATCGTTTTCCCTTCTAATATCGCCGAAACTTTGACTGAACTCGATCTCTACGACAATCTCATCTCGCACATCAAGGGCCTGGAGGACTTTCACAATCTGACCAGTCTGGATCTGAGCTTCAACAAGATCAAGCATATCAAGAATGTCTCACACCTGAAGAAATTGACCGAATTGTTCTTCGTTCAGAACAAGATCACCCGCATTGAAGGCTTGGAGGAGTTGACGTTGATCAAGAACTTGGAGCTGGGGGCGAACAAGATTCGGGTTCGTGATACGATTGATTCCACACTTGTGCGCGCGGTATCTGATGAGGCTGGATTTAGGAAATCGAGAACTTGGAAACCCTCGCCGCACTTGAGGAGCTCTGGCTCGGAAAGAACAAGATCGTGGAGATGAAGGTTCGCAATGACACCATATGCACTCTTATAGAGCAAACAAAGCTAACAGTTCGCAGAACCTTGACCACCTGTCAAATCTTCGCATCATCTCTATCCAGTCTAATCGCCTGACTAAAATTTCGGGCCTCTCTGCGCTCCCAAACCTGGAAGAGCTCTACCTCTCACACAACGCAGTCACAGACCTCTCAGGACTAGAGTCCAACGAAACCTTGCGTGTTCTGGACTTCTCTAACAACCAAGTCGAGCATCTGGAACACCTATCTTCACTCAAGAACCTCGAAGAGCTATGGGGATCCAATAACAAGCTTGCCAGCTTCGAGGAGGTTGAGCGTGAGTTGAAGGACAAGGAGAAGCTCGAGACTGTGTACTTCGAGGGAAACCCATTGCAGATGAATGGGCCTGCTGTTTATCGGAACAAAGTGCGGTTGGCGCTACCGAATATCAAACAGATTGATGCCAGTAAGTTTCCCAAACGTCGCAAGTCTACGTGACACCGGACTAATATCTTGTTCTGCAGCGTTTGTTCGAGTATAGTGCCCTGGTGTTTGCTACCTTACTTTATGCCTCAAGTCATGTGAATGACCTCCATTGATTGAACGAGATTGGTCTCAGTCTTTACACGAGAAATGAAATGAATATAGTTCAATTCTCAGCTGAAAGTAGACCATTTGCTCATTCTGGAGACCCTACTAATTCATATCATCTTACTGTCGCATCTGAAGCCTATACAATGTCCGGGGCAGGGGCGGAGGCGGAGGCTTCTAGGGGGAAGGTGAGGGCTGATGACCCAGCATCCCTGAGGGTCCCAGCGACGGGGCCCGGGGCTCATTTACCTCACTACCGCCGGCGAGCTTTACTACCGCCAGCGAGCTAGCTTCACTACTGTACTAGATGTCCTACGAAGAGAAGTGACAATTCAGTGTCTGCCCAATTGTTTCAATTTTTATTCCCCGAACCCATCCTCCATGCGCTCTGCCACAGGCCGGCAGCAGCGCCTCTCTCTCAACAATTCAGACCCCCGCTTGCCGGGTGGCCTTTGGGTGGGGCGGGGGGCCACGGCCAGATGCCTAGACCATCTCGCGAGGCTCGACAGCCACGAACTGCCATTCTTCTTCTTCTTTTCCAGACGCGACCGATGGCTGGGAGTCGCTCTGGTAGTTGAGTAGCCCGAGTTCTTCGTCGGGCAGAGGGTTTTGATTGCCTCCGAAGAGGCGGCGCAGGAACCAGAGGTAGTTGCCGCGGCGGCGGCGCTGGCGACGAGAGGCCCGTCGATGCCCGCCAAGGGGGGCGAGCGAGTTAGCTCGAGCCTGCCCTTGGGCCTGCGATTGTTAGCAAAGTTGACTTCAAGACCAAGGTCTACTGGGCTGCTTACAGGGCCGGGGAGAAGACTTGCCATGCGAGGCATGGTAGTGGACAAGCACGGGATCTTCACAGGTTCGAGTGGCTTCGCTGGGTCGAAGCCTTGTGTGAGAAGCGTGAAGAAAAGAAGAAGTGAAAGGAGCAAGAAGCGGAGCTTGAAGACTGGGCGCTTTGAATCTCGTGCCATTGGTCGATTCGATGAGTCGCCTTTGAGGGGGACCGTTGACGTGCCCGGGTGGTTGGCTTTCGCGCCGGCGAGGTCGACGCCTCGACCGCTTCCCACCCACCACCGCTCAAAAAAGCTCTAGTTCTCGACTCATAGAGTCTCCCAGACGTAGGTTGCATATGAAGTGGTTTTTATTGTAGTTGATCCATTGAATTGCCCTGCTAGCCCTCCGTGAAGGGCAGAGTAGGTGGGTTGGGTCACAAGGATACCTGCCCACTGCAGCCACGATGTAGCCAGAAGGTGCTATCCAGGTGGTTTCTGGGTAGATGTAAAGGATAGAATAGGTTTATTGTGATCATTCGCACCGTTTTATATTGGAAAATTTGATTTCTATGCCAAACACCTTCATAGATGTAGAATGTTCTGCACGAGTGAACCTTGGAGTGAGGGCTCGAGGCGCACGTGACATGGAATTTCACGATCTTTCGTCCCAAGCTTGGTGCAGTCACTGAGGCTACAGCGGACATAATGAGAGAAATTCGAGAACAATTCGATTAAAATTTGATTATAATTCGATTGATGTTTAGTATGATCTTAAACGATTATACCTAGTACTAGTTACAATCAGTATTAAACTCTACATTAATAAGTTTAGTGTATTCGTCCCAAGTTTAGTACATTCACTTAGGCTACAGCGGACATGATGAATACAATTCGAGAACAATTCGATTGTAATTCGATTAATGTTTAGTATGATCTCAAACGATTATACCTAGTACTAGTTACAATCAGTATTAAAGTCCACACTAATAAGTTTAGTGCATTCACTGAGGCTACAGCAGAAATCACAAGAAATATTCGAGAACAATTCGATTATAATTCGATTGATATTCAGTATTATCTCAATCACACATAGTACTTATACAATCACCACTAAAGTTACTAAGAAGCAACCTTGGAAGTTGAGTGATACCATGCCCAGGCACCAAGTGCCCATGGTAATCAACTGGGCACCTGAGCAGGTTTGATTCCTTAGATAACACGAAGATTATGATGAGTGAGCATTCTTCGCAATTTTATGAGATGCAGTTCGGCTCTTAGCTAAAAGCTTGATTAACTCCTGTGATGGGAATGTTTCGGCCCTCTTCATGGTATGAGACATTGGCTCTTCCACCATAGGGTCCCACCGGCTTGAATCAAGCGGGCTTGGGCCCAGGTAGAGATGTTCTTCAATCGTCATTGGAAGTATCTGCAGTGAAAAGCAGCCTAGAGAGAGCAGGCTGACGGGTATTCGTGGTCCCGAGACTGCAGGCACAGTGTCATGAATATCGCACCAGCGCCAGCGCCAGCACTACTGCTCGACCGGCGTGGTATTGAAAAGGGGTTTGAGCCAGAATTCGAACATGTGAGTCTCCCAGCCTCATTGTGATAGTTGGAAACCCAGATAGGTTAGGACGAATAGAGAAATGGGACAAACATGGAGATCAGACGACATCCGTTAGTTTCGTCCCATCACTGTCACCAGGTTCCCGGATACCTGTTGCTTGTTCTTCGCTGAAAGCAAGAATATTTCTCTCGGTTTCCATTCCCTCTTCCCACATATTGACCAAACTTGTGGCTCCCATCTGCCGGTTTTCTTCTTGAATATTGTCCTTCACGCCGGACCCAATGTTGTACTTCTTGCTTGCGAGTGTGTCTGCCAATTCCTTGAGCGGGATCCCTGTCTCGTCGCTCATCAGATCTTCGTAAACGGGATTATTCTTGAAGAGGTTGTAGGTGGAATAGAATGGGCTCCGTTTGAGGGCAGAGGCATGATTATGGCGCGAGCTTTGGATTTCAAATGTCAAGGACGATGGTTCAGACGAAACGGGAGTATTGTAAGCGGAATAGGCGGATGGGCCAGCCGGGAGGCCAATTGTGATGGGGGAGGATGCAATTGCGCGACTTGCTGCATCGGCAGTCTCAAAGATCGCGACAATGGACCGATTTGGATGTGTGGATGTATTGCTTGTGTCATACTGAATAGAAATGCGTTAATTGGGTTTGATGGCGACTGGGAGAGTAGCTCACCTTGAGGTTGCGATATGTCAATACTTCGCCAAATTTTTGCAGAGCCCCCAGAATCAACCTGCTCTCTGCTAGATTCTTTGGACTAGGAGATGCGGTGATGTGGACCTGCGCGGCCAATCGCGCAATGTTTGCAGAGGCCATTGATGTGTCTTCTGGGGGTTGCGTGGAGTTGAAAGGAAAACGTCACAGGTCGGCAATGTCTTGGCGCGTTGGTATCTGCGGTTTACCGCCCTAGGAACACTGTCCATCATATCTACTCCATACGGTATTCTTACTCCACGCGAGGAATGGTTGATTTTGAGTTTATTTCAGGCGTAAAAGTCATTATTTACAGTGCTTTCTTCACCCTCTGAGGCCTCCAATGTTCCCAAATTGAGCTTTGCGGGTCTGGCCTAGAAAATGGGAATGCCGAGGCCATACTGAAGTCGTCAGCGCAGTGTACAAAACGAACAAAAAAGGTCCAACTTACAGCCATAGGGTCATTGAAGCGCAGACCCTTGTCCAATGCACTGATGACCTCAATGTCGCCAGCTTCAAGGTCAAAGTCTGTGACCTGCAAGTTCTGTGCAAGACGAGTAGGGTCGTTACTCTTGGGGATCACAGCAATGTTGCGCTGTGTAGACCAGCGAAGCAGGACCTGAGCAGGGGTGCGGCCATGCTTCTCTGCAATTGAGTTGATAGTGGCATGCTCAAAGAGCAATGGGGTGTCCTTGGCATGCTTCAGGTCAAGCTCAATGAAGCTCAAAGGACCGAAAGAGGAATAAGCAGTCACAGCAATACCTTGCTCCTGGGCATAATTGACAAGACGTGTCTGAGTGAGGTAGGGGTGGTGTTCAATCTGCAGGGTTGCAGGACGAACACGAGCATAGCGTAGCAGATCCATCAGCAGTTGGGCGCTGAAGTTGCTAACACCAATACTACGGGCCAGCTTCTTATCAACGAGAGTCTCCATGGCGCCCCAGGTTTCGTGGATGGGGGCATTGGCGAGTTCGATCTTGCCTTCGGCGGTCGTCCAGCTGGGCGGGTAGCGGACAGAGGGGTTAAGGTACTTCAGTGCGATGGGGAAGTGGACGATGTACAGGTCGAAGTAATCGACACCCCAGTCAGCGAGCTGCTTGCGAGCGATGGGCTCGACCTTGTCAGCTTCGTGGAAGCTGTTCCAGAGCTTAGAGACGATGAAGAGCTCTTCGCGCTTGACGAGGCCGTCCTTAATGGCCCGGGCGACACCCTGGCCGGCTTCGACCTCGTTGCCATAGTCTGTAGGGCTAGTTAGTTCTGGTCAATGGGAATTTGGAGTTGACACCATACCGCAAGCGCCATCGAACAGGCGGTAACCGGCCTTGATCGCGTTGTAGATCTGATCGGCACAAGTGTCGTTGTTGACCTTCCACAGGCCGAAGCCCACAAGGGGCATCTCAAAACCACTGTTCAGCTTGACGGTAGGGGCAGCCATATTGAATTTAAAATTGCTAGAACAACCATGATCTGGGGAAACGTGTCTTAAATAACGGCTACACAGGCTAGAGCAAATTGTACAGGTCCAGGCTAAATGGCGGGACTGCGGTATTCTACCTTGTTCTAGCTCACGATTTCCCGTCGCCTTCAACCTCCGGCTATTGGATGGCGACGGGCGGCTAAAGTGGCTTGGGTTTAGCCGGAGTCGGGCAATAGTTGCCAATTCTAGATGGAAAGAAATATTGTATACTTGAATTTGGAGGGGAATTAAAAATGTATAGAAATGATATTTCAAACTCCTCGTATATCAAACCCCTCAAACACCAAGCTGCCCCGTTCTCCAAAAAGAAGTATAAAATCAAGAGAAAATAAGAAAAATCACAATAAAATACAAAAGACCACTCCCAGAATGATTATCATTACTATATTTTTGTCACTTATTGTTATACCGCGTCCACAGAGGTATTATCTCCATAGCCAGCATTGGCATCGGGGCCCGCCCCATGCATGTTGGGACCGTTGGACATGCGTCCAACAATCTTATCCATCAGATCTTCCGACGGCAAAGTCATATCGAAGTGGTGGGGCTGCTGCATATCGCGTGGCACAGAGCCATGGGCCTCGTAAGGAAGATGGTGGTAGCCACTGCCGACGTCGCCGGGGATAGAGGCCGGGTGAGAACCCCAAGAGCCTTGACCGTGGCCAAGGTCTTCGAGAGATTGGGCATTCGAGCCGAAGAAGCCATTGAGCACGCTGCTGCTATCGTGCATGACAGGGTGCTGTTGGGCAGGGACATAGTGGGATGTGTCGGGCCCCAGGCTGTAGCCCATGCCCGGGTGTCCCATTGAGAGGTCATGGACATTGAGCATGACGGGTGCGCTGCTGGAGTTGTGGAGGCTGGTAGATGGGGCTGTGTGGGGTGCAAGACTGGTTGCGTAGGAGTCCAGCACTGAGGTAACGGCGGTTTTGTCGTTGGGGCCATCTTCGGCCTTGGTGATGGATGTCAGAAAGTCGAGAGGACCATTAGAATTAAATAGATTAGCCACATTGTCGTGGGGAGAGGTGTATAGAGGCCACTGGGACTGAGGGAGGCCGTGGTGGATGATATCTTGAGACTGAGGCTGGTAGACGCTCTGGTGAGAGGGTTGCTTCAGGAGAATAGAGTCCAAAGAGAGTGGGGGGAGGTCGACATTAGTGGCGCGAGGACTGGTGGTGGCAGTACGTTCAGGCGTGGTGATGAGGCGTCTCCAGGTAGTCGTTCCGACTTCACCGGGGCGGGTTTGACGGAACTTCCAGACCAGGATGGCCATGCGCTTGCTGTCATCATGGCTTTGATACTGACCAGCCCGAGAGTTGGGCGGAGTGGCGCGAAGCTCCTGAACTGCAGTCATGGAGCGGAAGAACTGGCGGGACTGGGCATCCGCCTCCTGGGCATCTTGGGGATGTCCTGTGTTCTCGGCAACACGTTTCGCTTGAGTCAACTCTGTGAACCGCCTGGCCCACCAAGAAGATTCAAAGAGAGGCTTGACCTTTGTTGTGTTGGCCGTTTGAAGATCGTGGTGTGATTGAACCAACTCTTGGCCATCCTGGTAGATGTATGTGTTGCAGGTCCAGCTGTTCATGTGGCTGACTCCCGTAAGATCGCCAGCAGTAGGGTGCCCAAAGTCTAGGTCAAGTTGGATACCTAGACGAGATCCCGCAGGAGGAAAGTCGTTCATCAATTCGAGGTTCACATCCAGTTGGATGATATCGCAGTCGATGGGGTTGCTGATATCATCGACCATAGAGGCAAGTTGAGGGAAAGAACCACGCCAATCATGCACATTCTCAAGAGGCTTGGGAGGTGCCCCAGGGTGGTGTAGATCACCCTGGAGTCGCGTGTATGCGTGCAGTGCCTTGTCGACGTTGTTGGCCTGGGAGGGGGCGCTCACCCACATGTCGAAGCTGAAGCCATGAATGGAGTGGGTAGCAGCTTCTTGCATGCTAGATCCGAGTGTGTAGCCTGGTGGAGGGAGGTCACCAGCGTAGGGCTGCATGGACCGCATGCTGTCATGGTAGGAGGAGTGGCCGTGGCTGCTGTAGGGGTTGGATGCCGAAGGGTGCTCCATTGATGTTCTCCATTTGGGGCCTGGAGCAGAGCTGTGCACACTGGAAGATCGTTCCGGCGAGGTCTCTCGAACCAGTCGCTCCCCTGCAAGACTGTGTTAACAATGTGCTCAAATGTAGCATGTGTGACAACTCACAATCGGGATCTCCCTTGAGGAACGAGTCCAGGACCTGCAGGTGACTCGAAACTTGCTTGCGGGTTCTTCTCTTGCCGGTCAACTTGAAGATGTACTCGGCGATGAGCTCGTTGCGGCCGTATGACTTTCCTCGCTCAGACCACTTTCTGCGGCCCATGGGAGGGTTCGCATCAAGTGCTATTCAACAATTAGACCTCCCGTGATAATAACATTGCCGCGAGGTACTTACCCTGCTGGAAAGCATCTTCCAATTCGTCAGACCACACTGGCTCACCATCCTTGCCTGTATCCCGTCGAGGGCGGGACCGGTACTCCAAGTACTTTTGGGACTTGAGATAGCTGCTTCGTGCCCGGCGGGACTGCGAGCTATTAGGCCCAATAGTTTGCTGGCGACGCATCCTTCGAGCTTGCATGCGAGCTGCTACATGCTGTTGATCTTGCAGGCTTTGACTGCGGATAGGCTGGGAATGGTGAGGGGGTTGCGCATACTTGAACCCAAGGTGTTGAAGGTGTTCCTCGCGGGCAGCAGCATCACCATGAGCCAGGTGGTCCGCATAGGATTGGACATTCCCAGAGGTATTCTGGAGAGCCCGGTCAGAATGAGCTCTCACCGACTCCAGTGACGGCTGGTTCTGAGGCACAAGGCACTCGGGTTGCCAGTCAGTAGCCATGGGTGGTACCAAGGACGGGCTTCTCAGAAAGAATGACAGATTCCAAGGAGGAGGGGATTGAGAGGCACCGCCGAATGCTTGCTGTCTGGCAAAGAACGCAGCACAGTCACGAACAACGACCGAAGAACGCTAGAGGTCAAGAGAATGTAAGAGCCTGGGAAAGAGAATGTGAGAGCGAGCAAGATGGTGTTTATAGAAAGCCACGACTCCCCTCAGAGAGGGGTAGTGTAGCCCCAGTAGCAGCATTGCTCCGCCAGGTTTGCTTTGCCTGCACCCACGTCCCTCGAACGCCAGCTCCATACTCCTGGGTAGGTCCCGGTCCTGGCCTGCACGCGTCCAGACACAGTGTGGGGAGCGAAGGACCCAGAGACACTGACAAGCCGTCCTTGCGGCAGCAAATCAGGAGTCAAGACAGGGCTCGATATGGAGGAAGTCTGTGTGGATGCAAGGGGTTCGCGGCACCACGATCCAGTCATGAGAGACTCGGAGATTTCGTGCAGCTCGAAGTGACCCTGAGGGTCCATCGTCTGGACCATCATCAACAATTGACAACAATAATCAGTGGCAATCATGGCGTCGTCGGAATGCGGACGATCCAACGAGAGAGCCGTTTGGTGCGGGACGTGGAATGCTCGCCCACCAAAACATCACTACGGGAATGTAGGCTTGGATGATCTCTCTGGGCTACCGTCCTGCGTACCATTGAGAAGATGGGGGCCAAGTTAGCGTCGGATGACCCTGCAATCCAATGTGAAGTTTAGGTGGGATTGGTGGGAAAGGGAAAGTGTAGGGTCAAGTAGGGTTACGGTTGCGCCTAGGGGGCAGAGACACGAGATGCACGAGGACGGGACTGCAAGTCAATTGACAGCCGCAGGAACGTGTTCGAAAGTGTTCGGGGGTATCTTTTTGGGTGCTTCTGCTGTAACTTTTGGTAGTATGCAAGTAATCGTACATGGTACATTAATCCACCCTCTGCAAGGGATGTCCACGAACCAATCGATGGCCGTAGACTCAGACAAGGGAGAAGGGACGAGGGCCTCATGCCTCGTCCTCCTGCCCTCCTACAGTAAACTTCTTGCGCCCGGCACCAGAGGTGAGCTGTTGGAGCTTGACCCTGTCCACCTGCTCTCCTACCTTCTTCTCTAAGCGCGCAAGTTCCTCCTCGGGATCGACGGCCTCCTCGTTCACGAATTCCAACACCAATCTTCTGCCCAACAAATGCGTGTTTTTCAGCGCATCCATGGCATTTTCCGCTTCGCGAGCGCTTACAAAGTCTGCGAAACCGAAACCACGAGCCGTGCGATCGAACTTCTGTGGCACGCGAACAGAACGAAGCTGGCCATAGGCTCCAAATAAGGACCGAATGTCCTTCTTGGTGGCCTGGAATGGCAAGTTCTTGATGATGATCTTTGTCCGCCGGGCGGCAGCCTTCTTCGCGTTGTCCTGGTTTCTGCGCTCCTCGGCAGCATCCTTGCCCTTGTGAGATGCACGAATGAGAAGCTCGTGCTGGTCCAGCTTGTAACCATTCATGGCCGTGAGGGCAGCCTGGGCTTGAGCCTTGGTCTTGAAGTCCACGAAACCGAAACCCATGCTAAGCGTCTGTCCCGGTTTCTTGGGGTCGGGCTTCGTCTTGATGCGACCGGTGATGAAACCATCGAGAGGGCGGAAGGCTTCCACGAACTTCTGGTTGGTTGTAGCGAAGTCCAAGTTCTTGACAAACAATGTGGCAGTTGAGGCACCATCGTCTGCCTCATCTGCAGCGAAGGTATCGGCTGTCGAGAATCCAGAATCTTTGCCCCGAACCTCGGGGGCAGATTCGCGCGGAGCTGCGGCACCCTCGAACAAATTCTTGGGGGCTTTCTCCAGGAACAAGATGGAATCACCCAACTTGCGGTATGCCATACCCTTGAAAGCCTTCTGGGCCTCGTCCGGTCGTGCAAACTCTACAATCGCAATAGTCCCACTAGGTGGCATGAGCATTCGGATGATCTTGCCGTATGGCTCGAACAAGTTCCTGAGCTCGTCCGACCTGACGCCGTAGGAGAAGTTCTTGACTAGGATAGCCGTATTGCCACGTTCACGTTGCTTGAAAGCATCGATATTCACTCCGTTGTTGGCGAAGTAAGCCTTCGTTTCTTGAATGACATGCGTTTCAGCATGTGCTTGCTTCACAGCAGCGTCAGAAGAAGTAGGGTCAAGCAAGTCAGACTTGGACACTCCGAGTCTTCCCGCGACTGAAGACATAACAGCATCGGCCTATAATTGGATTAGATTCCATCTCCTGGTGTTTTATTTTAGAGTTTTGGATCGTACTCACGTTCATGTACAGAGAGTTCCAGCTAAAGGTTGAAGAAGAGGCATTTTGTTTCCGTTTAATTTCCTTCTGCTTTTTCAAGGGAAGTTTGGACAATTCATAGTCATCAATCTTATAGGTCTTCTTGGCTGTGGCTGGCAAAATATGGAGGAGACGGCCTTGGAAGTGCTTTCCATCAAGCTGTTCATAGGCATCAACGGCAGACTCAGCATCGGCATATTGCACATAAGCAAAGCCTTTACTGGCTGTGACACGAGTGTCAAAAGCGATATGAATCTGTATCCAATTAGTATCCAGCACAATTGAATAACTCATGTTGATAAACGTGTGGGTTTTGAGTGGGCTCTTCAGAAAGTCAAGAAGCATCTACTAAAATCTCTTGTCCAGTTCACATCACTTGCAATTTGCATCGGATGTCCCTATCGGGAAAATCATCATACGAGCACTCGTGGCAATCAGGCTGCGAAGCCGACATACCAGTGGGGGTAGGTGTATGAAATCAAAAGGAGAAAAAGATAACTAACCTCTTCAAGTTTTCCAAAGCGTTCGAATATCGGCTGAAGATCCGACTCAGTCGTGTCGTATGCAAGGTTTCTAAGAAACAGTCGTGCAGAGTTCCGAATGAGGTCAACGTTCGGATCTTCAGGTTTTGATTGAGTGTTACTGTCATCGTCAGTCGTGTTGGGCGCGACACTCTCAAACGCCATTGTACGGGATTCCTCGTCGCGCTGTGGCGACTCATCGCCCGGCGAAGAAGGTGCCGGAGCAACAACTGCTGGGGCAGTAGAAGCTGCCGGAGCAGAAGGGGCATCAGCCTTGTGTTGCTCAAACTCATCTTGCTCATCCTCATCGAGGAGGCCCAACAAACGACTTGTCTTTGAGCGCAACCAATCCGCATCAGACATAGGAGCTGATTGGACTTCTGTTTCTGCTTGTGATTCCTTCTCAGGGGCTTCCTGTGATTCTACCTCTTCACTCTGGTCAACGACCATGGGCTCGGGTTGAGGGGGTTGAGGAGTGACAGGCTTTTCTGTTCTAGCCTTCTTGGGGTTCGAGGGCAACTCCTGGAACTCTTCTTCCTCGGCCTCTTCCTGGGTAGGCTGGTTAATAACGGGAGCAGGTTCTGCAGACGGCTTAATCATGTCATCATCGTTGGCCCATGTCCGGGTTTTGGATGAGCCTCCCATTACAGAGAGATACTCTTGCAGCTTGGGATCTTGTGCCTTGTCTTCCCTCTTCCGCTTGAGGTTGCTATCCACCGATTGTTCATTATTCGTGGCATCACGTCTTCGTGTGGGATGAGCATCCTCAGCGGCATTTGAATCGATCTAAAATACGGGTCAGTCTCAAGACCACCTTCTTTGGTCAGCGTGCACGGGCGAAAGGGAAGTGGCTGAAGCAAGAGGATCGAGAAGGGACATACCGGACGAGCGATGTCTACAGAGATTTTTGACATCTTCATGTATGTCTTGTTGAAGTGCTTCACAGCTTGCTGTGCTGCTTCATGGCTTTTGAAGCCAACGAAGCCCATCCTACGTTTGGGGAGGACATGAGCGTCTGTGACTTGGAAGCGAGTTGAAAAATGCTTTTTGAGCTGATCATTGGAGCATGTAGGTGGAAGACCACCCACAAACACTCTTGTGCTCTCCATATCGAAGTTTTGTTGTGAAGAAGTAAGAGCTTGGAGAGGGTCCAACGAAAACTTTTTTTTTCTTCTTTCATAGTGCCGAGGGCGGTGACATTGGCGGTGGAGGGTGGGCTCTGGCAATAAAGTTACCCCGGCAGCCGATGCGGCGTGTGATTGACTTTATCCTTGATCACACCTCCTCAATCTTGAAGAAAATCCCAGATCTCGACCTAAGCACTTGTGACTGGATATACTGCAGCAATGGCCAACCTACCCGCCAGCGATAGCAAGGAGAAGATGGAGGGTAAGATGACCGAGTCTCCTTGGACCAGATTACACATGCTGATTGTTTCTCACAGCGCAAGTCAAGTCTGTTGACATGGTAAGACAGATTGAGATATGCAATTCCTCATGATTGGGATCTAACCTTCTTTTTAAGACCGAGGATATGCAACAAGAAGCCATTGCTCTTGGTACAAACCCCCCGTGGCGGTATCTGTCAGCAACGCAAGCTAACGCACCCATCAGCTATCGAAGCCATGGACAAGTTCCGCGTGGAGAAAGTGAGTCTCATGCTCTAATCTTGCAATAAAACATCCTACTAACTATCTTCAGGACATCGCGCAGTACATCAAGAAAGAGGTCCGCCAGTCCTACCCCGCCCCCGATCCCGTCGCTAACTCCATACTCCAGTTTGACTCACGCAAGGGCGCTACCTGGCACTGTGTCGTTGGTCGCAACTTTGGAAGCTTCGTCACTCACGGTTCGTTACGACATATCCGCCTTGATGGTTCAGCAGCTAATGGCTTTGCAGAGACCAAGCACTTTATCTACTTCTACCTCGGCCACTGCGCGATCCTCCTCTTCAAGACCCAGTAAATCTCCGCGTTTCTTGAAAGTTTTGGACTGCCTACAACCGTGATTTTTTCCAGCGACTTCTTTTTTTGCCTTCAAACAACCCTAGATCCATGGGCTTGCTTTGCTAAAATGGATACCCATTGTGAGATAAGCCGCGCTCACATCATAATCAAGCAAGCGCATGGGCCATTACAGTTCCCGCTACAAGCGCGGAGTGTTACTCTTTTAGTTACTTACAGGTTCAAATGTAAATGCAGACATTTTCTTAGGCATGAAGCAACGTCTCATGGTCAAGTACTGGCTCCTGCCTAGATGTGGGTGGTCAAAACATTCCAACCTTGGAAGGTTTCCTGTTCTTTGGGCGGCCTGTATAGTTAAGCATAACCTTGGAAACCTTGAAGTACGTTGTCAGATTACATGGATGGCGTCGGCTTTGATTCCTATATCGAATCTTTAATTCGATCTTCAAAGTTCTACTGGGCAACTCTATGCAAGCATGTTCCAAGTTATACCTACCAACTTGAGCAGAATATATATCCTCTAGGGCCCCGGGCTGTTACTCGAGAAATCGTGGACCCTGGATTCATACCTACCTAGGTAGGTAGACCAAAATATTTACAAGTACCCCTGTTTGTATCACCAAATGCCATTAATGAATCTCATCGAAGCAGCAAAGAGACTCCGGGAAGCGCGTTGAATACAGTAGACATGGATTGAGCCAATCAGATCCCATAATCCGCGACAACACGTGATAGCCGCCAAGCTGCCCAGGTGCCAAGCCACAGCGCCGCCACATCTCAATGCCGCTGCCTTCACCCTTGACCTTCAAATAGTTCTTGCGCAGTTCTCTCCGGGATAACCGCTCCAGATTATCTCCTCGAAGTCAAAATGGCCTTCTGTATCACGTTCGGAACACACGGTAAGCGACCCCGTGTTGACTCGACTCAGGTACCAGAGTGGATCCGGTCCCTGGATATCGCGTTGCGGGGACTGCTCCCCAGGTGTTGCCGGAGATGGGTCTGATTCCATAGCATTTGCTGACCACCCTCCCAGAGTTCTCCTCTCAGCTCGAGGGCTATGAGAATGTTCGCGCGTACTGCTATAACTGTGAGTTCTGACGTCACTGCTCCTGCGCGACATCAATCTGACCGATCTTTCCCTTCAGGTCAACATTGGAATGGCCACTGCATTACAAGATGGTAAGTTTTCTTCTATATGAGTGTTTTGAATCTAGCTAATTGATCCAGGCCTTTCTTCACCGTTTGCTTCATTGTATGATCATGCTTCAATGCCCCAAGAAATGGGTTGACATCCATATCTAACATCCCGATTTAGCCTTTGATTCCCCTCTCTTTCCACAAGTACAAGGTAAGTCTCACCGGTCATATATCATGAGAGTTGCTTTGAGCTCCACTAATTCAACAATAGGAGGTTGTTTGCCACACATGCCGTGTCTCACAAGATCTGGAGTCAGTATCGCCTAGATTCGCATTACCAATTCCGACCGAATTAAAGACCTCTTACTGACCTTTGATCATAGGGACCGACCGGATATCACCCCTGACACGAGGCCTCCAGCTGGCATGCAGTACGGTATTCAACCTCCTCCGGGGGCCCATTGGCAACAACAGCCTCTTCAGCAACCACCCCCTCAGGCCCAAGGGGGCTACGGTTACAAATGAGTGTTCAAAGATATTTGATTGTTCTTGGCATGAGATCATATTAGCTATGGGGGTGGAGCAGAGAGGGGTGGGAGAAGTATGTTTTGGCTCAGTATTGCGAGTACCCTTTGGCGTTGAGTTTCGATCCACTATTCTATTATCTCAGGTTATCAACCTCCCCCAATTGACGTTTCTTTCAACCCCATTCCTTGAAGATACAAACTGCTTGCTTTTACTTATCCATTCAAAAGTCTGGTAGTGTGGCCCCATCCGCGCGACCGGGCTAGAAGGGCACCCTTTTGATGGAGTGACAAAAAGCACCCAAATCGCGCGATCAATGACCCGGCCTTGGCAACTGAAGATAAGATGACATTCAAGGCAGTCGATTCCCTTGAAAATTCTGGCACTATGAAATCTACATACACAGAGTGCTTACGACGTAGGTGGGGTGTCTAGATCTACAGGTGGATTGGGAACGTCCGACTTTCAGCAACTTGACCTTGACCACCCCGGCCATACTCGAAGAATCAGATCGCCAGAACCGAAACATTGGTGGGCCCATTCACCTCAATGCCAAGCCGCTTCATCCGAATTGGACATCTGCAGCACAGGGAAATTGTGTCAGCGATGCTGCGAGGTGAGATTGGTGGCTGGCCTCGTATTTACGGGGACGATTTTCTCACCCGAGGACTGGTGGGAGCTGAAATCATTCCTCAAGGTCCAGCTTTCCCTTTGCACTCTTGTTTCTTCTGTTCTTTTCTCTTTTCTTTAAGAGGCATTCGATGCTCAGAGTCTTCGCAGTGGACCAACATAGGGTATCGTATCTCTCTTCCGCTTCCTGGCCACCTACTGACGAGGTCCATAATTCCAACAGTGGCTATAGGACGCAGGCGTTAAAAATCCAATCAGTCCCACAAGAATGACGGTCGCGTGGCCAGCTACATTATATTTCTTTTCAATACTCCAATCAGCATATGCGATCACTTTCTCAACTCTAGTACCGACCGGTACGCATAATGAAGCCTCTGAGCCACCGGATCCAACGCCGGGGCTGCAGCTGAATCGCCGTGAATCCTCCGCGGCAATGGAAACTTTGAGCACGATCCTAACCGACACACCTGCTGTATGTGGATGGTTCGACACCAGCATAAATACTAGTGAGAAAGTCAGCTAAAGTGGTTGGGGTATCATTCGCTAACTTTGGGTCATATTCCAGACGATCTAAATACGTACGCGTGTGAGAATGACCATAGCTGTGTATACCACAAGTCCAACACAGCTTTTCCTGGCATGGCAGGATGCTGCTCGAGTGACGATTGTGGATTCTCAAGCACCTGTTACAACAGCGCCAAAGTCGCTGCATCCCCATCATTGCTCTCAGGCAACACGGCCTTTGCCCTTTTCTGCACAGAGTCATCAGCAGCAGAGTGCGCGACTTACACATGGGTGAATGCCGACCTCACTGACTTCCAGTGCGATAGCACTGCTCACCTGGACAACATCTACACCAAGGGAACCTGGGGAGGGACTGCAGATGGGACAATACTTTTAGCGACCCAGTATGTCATTACCACGGATGACGGATTTTTGAGCGCCTACTCCGCTTCCTATGATGTGTCAACTTCCTTATCGAAACCAAGCCGTCAAGCCTCGGCAACAGGGTCAAAACTTGCGACTACAACCGGGGCACAAACGACCGCAGTCAGCCCTAGCAACTCAGACTCCTCGACTTCTGCCGGTACTATTGCTGGCAGTGTTGTTGGGGGTGTTGCTGGAGCTAGTGCCATTGGAGCTTTCGCCTTCTTTCTGTTACGGAAGAAAAGGAAGAAGCAGGGACAGCAGGACCAATTGGTTGGACCAGAACAGAATGGATTCCGCTCTGCACCAAACTACCACTACAGCCAATCTACATGGGAGCTTCAAGGGTCGCATCCGACCCTTGGAAAGCTTTCGGAGGCCGGCCCTGGCAACGCGCCAGAGGAACTCGACTCGAGAACTCCTCGTGCCGAATTACCAGCACCAGACAAGAGAAACAGTAGGCCGAGTGACGAGACGGGGGCGAAATAGACGTTAATCCTTATGAAGTCCTAACAAGTTCCCATCTGCCAGTTGAGAATTGAATGATTTATACTGACGGACAAAGATCAGAGGGCTTCATAGTCTCGAGCGGGTCCAGTCGCTCGATAGAGAACTAGCCAAATAATCGGTAAAATATCAAGAGCGCGCTGGTGGTCTGACGAAGCAGACAGGAAGACCTCGGGATGGGAGGACTGCAACTCGACCAAGGGTGGTAGGCCCTTGGTTGGGCGATTATGAAGCCATATCTGTGATTAGAAGCAGTTTTGCAAAGGGGTGTCAATCGCTGAATTCTTATTAATTTCAACATGTTCACGGGTTACATGAGTGAGTGGTAAGTAGGCAACCTGTTGATTCCCAATAAGGCTGCTGGGAAAACAAGCTTAACATCACATATCCTTCAGCTGGTCGAGTACGACTGCCAGGTTTCGTCCAGTAGTGCTTGCGTGCTCCGCGAAAATTGCTAGGTAGGCAGTAAAGATCAGTATACCTAGGTAAGTAAACGGGAAGAATTTGTGAGATAATACCATCAGGTGTTCCATCTAGAACTATCTCGTGCATTTTTCCGTCCTAGAACAAAGTTGCTGGGCTTGTATTTGACTCTGTCTGGCGAGGGATTTGGCTTGGGACATAGAGGCGGGAATCACTCGATGATCCTAGCAATGAAAACAGACTGTTAGCCTCAGTTGAATAAAACCTCTCGCACACTGACGACGTACCGAAACCGAAGTGTTGCGAATAGTGGAAAAACGTGAGTTTACATCTATCTTAACACAAGCTGCAGAAGTTGATATGAAGGGGCTGGCAGCACGTAGTGCATTACCAACCCCTTTTTCAATCAAAATGTAAGTTTCCCCTGGGTTGCCAATAATTATAGGCACCTTCCTAGTAATTATATTTCCTCTCGCATCATGGGTAATGAAATCTGTTGTGACATGATGAAAATATCGTGCGGTATGAGCATTCCTAGTGCAGCGCATGGAAGAGAAGGGCCGAAAAGCACTGCGAAACATGTTGGCTCGACTAATTAAGACTCAAATCAGTGAAGTGGCAGGCAATTCTTTGAGTATTCAAGACGTACAATGGGTGGCACAGGTTGCAGAATATGTGAGGCTAGCAAAGGTCTGTGGTGTATTCAACCGGGAGCAGTGCTGTTAAATAGTTACCTAGTAGTACTAGGGCTACCTCCGAAGCAACTTGGTCTCGGAGTGGAAAAATATACCAGCGAGTCAATTGCGTTCAGTCTTATCATCGACAACAACCTTGGAATTGATTTGCAGGTATACGGCAGTCCCTTGCGATCAAGTGTCCTTTGCTTTTCTGTCCAGGTTCCCAGTTTACGCCCAGGTTGCTGGCCCCGAGGCGGCTGGAGCCCTGGAGGGCTGTTTATACCCACATTCAAAAGCCCATGCCAGTGCCCCTTTCTTTGCTGACTGCTGGCATCATTCAAAACCTGTAGTATGATACGTCTATGTATTGTCCTCGACGCCCAAAAAGACAACCTTGGAATACATCCAACCTCGTCTCTTCCAAAACACCGTAGCCTGAGATTCGCGAACTTTTACACGACATAGATAGTATCACTATTAGTCGAAAGCTACCTCAAGCGCCATCTTCACGAATAGGATACACCTCAGCGCGAAACACTAACCTTGGAACCTTGGAATCTGTTAGGAGTCTATCGAACACGAACCTTGGAAGTAAAGCAGCTATTACCGTATATAACGTAGTCGATGGGAATATATATGATCAACAACTACGTCACGAAGTTCCAACATGGCACCTGGGCAGGCTTCCGCTTCTCAACATTTACACAGAACTACAGATCAGATCGACTCCCCATCGACAGGTTTTGAAATCGCCTCTGTATCGAAATCCAAGCGCAGTATCCAATCTCACGCTCCAAATCATCACTTGCCTTGAAGACTCAAAATGTCGCCATTCAGAAAGCTTTTCTTTAGACCGCTTCAGACTTGGGAGGAACTACCAAAACATCCCGCCATACTTTGGCTAGATGAGCGTACCTTGCAGAAGATATACCAACATCTTCATTTAGTCGACCAAGTGTGTTTGTCTCTGAGCTGCAAACAGCTCTTTGCTCTATTTGGGGAAATCGCGAAGCACAAGAGCCTTGAATTTCCACGCCTCCTGTATATCAGGCAACCAATTATGTGCGTGAACAGTGAGGATGTGGTGCGAAATCAGCTCCTTCTTCGACTCGAAAATCACCGCTGGGCCTACTGTGGGAAGTGTTTGAGACTTCATCCACGGAAGGAACTTTCAAGACATGCATTAAGAGACTCAGCGATCGAAAGGCCATGTACATTCTATGCTGGTATAGTTGACTTATGCCCTTGCATTTCGTTGACCATCCGAGCCCGAGAAAAGCTGGTCAAGATTCTCAAATCCCCTGCCAAGTCCAATCAAACCAAATATGGCCCGTTTGAGTATCAACTTGTTGACGGAGAGAATCCTAGGCTGAGGCACTGCTGTACATACAAGTGCAGTATCCAAACTGACTATGACATGACGACCGCGCTGGTTTTATTCATCGCGAATACTGGTCAACTATCTGTACAGGCTGAACATACTTTATGTATGAGCCCCCCGAAAAGTACCTTTCGATATGAAGCATGCTTTGCTTGTCCCCATGTTAACCTCTTCAATTTCCTCCGCTCAGAAGTCAGAGAATATTCGCTTCCAAGCGCCTATAAGGATCTATTGTCTCTGGCCCCGGGAAAACAGATCTTAAAGGCCTGTTACAGGTGCTATACCTTGGTAACAAAACATGAAATACCCGGAAACATGAATCAGGCTCGCTTCTGGGTGACTAGGGACTTGGGAGGCTGTAAATGGCCCACGGACCGTGCTTGGTTTGACCAGTGTCGTTTGACAGGATTCAACTTCTGGATCAACGATATTTACGGGTAAGTCTTTTTGCCTTGTGGTGAAGTGGAATCTCAGACTGAGATTGTACTACAGATGGACCTTGCAATTCGTGTCATCAGAAAGAAGGAACATTCAAATTATGTGGAAGAAGAATTATTACTTGAGACAAAAACGAAGGTTTATGGAAAAACGACGCCAGTCCGAACCCGTGGACGCATCCATCGATTACATCAATGACACAATCCGGATAGCTGTTGCCGTCCCTTCTTTCTAGATTTTTGTCTGGTCAATATCTTGAGATTCCGTTTGCCTGTTCGCGAGCTCTATCTACCGTCATCGAAGTCAGAAAAATCCAATGGAAACACTACATTAGCATTTATAGTGCTCATTGTATTAGCATTCAGTTCTGTTCCAATAAACGCCTCAAAGCCTTAGTGACAGAAGGCAGTAGAGAGATCGATCACTTGATTGAGAGAGTTAGAGAGAGAGAAGCAAGAGAACTGAGCAAAGGGGTGTCATTCTCTCACTAATACGGTCTACATAGTCTGCCCTGACTAATAAACAAGCACATACGACCACAGGGTGTGGAAAACAGGGCTTCCCGTCCGCTCAGCCGTACTTAAGCCACACGCCGGTGAGTTAGTAGTTGGGTGGGTGACCACCAGCGAATCCTCACTGTTGTATGTTTTTATCTTTTTTTTTTTGTTGTCTTCCTCAATTGTCGGGAACAGGGTAGTGCCTGGTTGATAATCGCGCTCACAATTTGTTCCATGATCGTAGTGGATGGATATCACGACTTTTGGGAAAGAAAAGACCTGACCTCTACGCAGCATCATGCCTACTAATTGTCCAGCACACTTTCCCGTTGCCACGGGTGATATCTCCAGGGCGAGGGCTTGGACCTTGAATTAGCATGTATTCCTTTTGGTGAAATAGAATGGAAAACCAACAACAATGAAGTCATGAATGAATTGCACGCGCTTATCATCGAGGATATTTTCACTAATAGAAGAAAAGACGAGATGCCCCGACCTTGGAAGACCGATCGACTATGTAAGCACAGACGGGGTCAACTGGTTTAAAAAGGCGTAAGAGCTAGCTTATGGAATTCCATGAAGCTCTGATATGTCTGGAACGTCAAAGCATTGAGACGAACTGGGCGAGGTAATATCGTCTGAGTATTTGGCCGAAGGGGAACACCCTGCGCAATACAGTCCTCTTCTGGGTCGAAGAGCTCAGGATAGGTTCCAAAAAATGAGGGATCAAGTTTATACTCCGAGACTCCATGATCCATATTCAAGAGCACGAAAAGAGCCTGAGCATGTTCAGGATTCGAGAACAAGCTTCCAGCATCTGCGACTGGAAGCACGGTAGAGGGATCAATCATCTTGTTCTTAACATCAGCAGCACCCATAGAGACGTCTAAAACGCGGATGTAGACTCTTCGTGCGGGTGCTCCCAATATTAAATCTGCCATGCAGGCTTCGACTGTATAACTGCTGACCAAATCACAGAATATCTGGTCGATCTGAGGATTCGCCGAGTGCAAGCAAATCAGGCGGTCTCTGATAGACGGAAATGGTATCCAATCGATCACCCTTGGGTGATCAAACTGCAGCTGAAACACTGTCGGGCGATATTGCTTCTCGACCCTCTCCAACATTTGCGGACATGGGTGCAATTGCCATGTGGTCAGGTCAACAATGTGGTGAAATCTCGTTTTCGCATACCATGCCATGGCTTCTGGTCGGGTTAAGCTGTTAAAGAGCCCAAGGACTGCAACGACCTGTCGGTAGAGCCTGCCACATGATTAGCGAGGTGACTTCATAAACAGAGCTCTTTTGAATACGATACAATTCAAGCCCATTCCATTGCAACTCGAGGGGTCCTGTAGTTGGTTTTAACATTTGGAGAAGAACCGATATATGATCTGAGAATGCAGAATTCGATTCAACCCAGGGTTTGCGGAATATAAGACTTGATGATTCCGAGCCTGCTAAAGCCCTTGCATACGGCTGAAAGCCCATCTGGTACCCGTAGTTCCAGATATTTGGAATCTGCTGGTGCCCCAGAACACTTGGGTTTCCCGAAATGGCTTCCCAGTCCAGTCCAGTGTTCGATGGTACAGGACCGCCATCTGAGATGAAGGTCTGGGGCGGATTAGGAAGCGGCGTGGTTAAGCTCGGCTGGAATATCTGATCGGTCATGGAATACGAGGACAGTGTTGAGTCAAAGGGATCAGGATTGACAGTATCGGTCTCGGTTGTAGTTTCATTTGACTCAACGAACAAATCGACGCTCATTCCCTGGAGAGGAGGTTGCTCTGGTGAGCTTTTATTCAAGACGCTAGTCACGGAGCCATTCAAGCTCATTAAACTCTCAGTGACACTGGCTAGCTTAGATTGAACATCGCATAGCTGCTTCCGTAAAAGTCGATTTTCGTTTCGCATCTTCTCAAGACTTTCGCTCGGCGACGTAAAGCCAGCCTCAGCACGTTCTTGGAGCTCTCTCAGCCGCTCGGCATGTCTGCGGCGGTATGCACGCTGGGACAATCTGTTTCGAGCTCGCCTACAGAAGTGAGTCAGTGAAAGAGCTTGGCTTCTATCGAGCCCCACTAACCTCTTTTCCAGGTCGTCCATACTGCGCTTACTCCCTAGTCCATACGGAGCAGCTTCCTAACAAACCTCGCGCGATTTTCCACAAAATGAGGCGGTGAATACTGAGTGAATAGTGGGTGATGGCTGGGTGATTGCTGTGGATATAAACCAACTCTGATTTATGATGCTTGACGCCCCAACGTCCATTGGATAGCCACTCGCAGAGGCGGGAAAATTGAAGAGCTTTCACACCTCATTGGCTTTAATGTTTTCATTACCTCACAAATTCCTATTCTCGATACATGCCCCATTTTTTTGATTTCCAAGTCATTCCAATCCAGCACTTCCGCCAAGTCTATCGCCATACATCTTGAGCGCATCTATACGGCACAAAATAAAATCGATGGAAAGTCGATTCTATTTCCCTATCATGAATAACGAAGTATTGCGGAATTCAGTACTTATCCGCAGCCCCGGGGTACACAGGTACTTCCCTGAAGTCATGGTCAAGGAAGCTTTGCAAGGCCCCCAGTCCCGCGATCAAGTCCTCCGTGTCTCCACCAAATCCAAGACGAACATAGCCCGAGAAATTAATCCCATCCCCGAAGCATTTCCTGCCCGGAACAAGGAGAAGGCCTTTTTTCTCGAGCAACTGAGTGCAAAGTATCACATCGTCAACAGGCCGACCAGATCTCACGAATCTGATGAAGCCGATGGGTCCGCCTTCGGGCCTCGCCCATTCGCAGATCGACCTATTCTTGTCGATAAATGATTGCACAATGTTGAGGTTGTTTTTGGCGAGTGTCCGGTTTCCTTCGATCAATTGACGGACTGGAGGGCCGAGGACAAACGAAGCCAGATGTTCGTCGATCTGGCTGGCAGTGATCAGGGCATAAGACCGTACGTTGACACAGAGGTCTATGACCTTCGGGTTGTGAGATGCAATCCATCCTATTCTCAATCCCGCCAAGGAGTATGCTTTCGACAAGGAGCTGGTGGCGATGGTGTTGTCATAACCCATAGATAGGATGGATGGGGGATATTCTGGGTCGACGGGTGACACTGTGTGGAACAGAGGACGATAGACTTCGTCGCTGAAGACGGTGATCGAATGCTTCCGAGCAGTTTGCACGATTTGTTTGAGGGTTTGTTTGGAAATGATTGCGCCGGTCGGATTTTGTGGATTGCTGGAGGAGTTTAAAAGGTCTGAAGCCATGTAGAAGAATCAGCAACGCAGAATTGGACTTACTTGATTATGATCATTTTGGTATTCGGTCTGATGAGCTTCTCCAGTTCCTCCATATCCAACTTCCAGTTCTCCTCTTGGGATGGTTTCCACAGGCTGACATCCGCTCCGATCGATGCTGGAACGGCATAGAGTTGTTGATATGTGGGGTATTGGACAATGACATGATCGCCGGGCCCAACCAGTGCAAATAAAACAACGAAGTTCGCCAAGGATGCCCCGGGTGTAGTGATTATTTTCTCCTTCGAGAAAGGGCTTGAAGATTCGGACGAGTAAAGATGGGAGATCTTCGATCGGAGGACTTCGGATCCTTTCATAGGGCCGTAATCGAGCGCTTTCGACAGTACGGGAGAAAAGACATCTGTTGCAGTTTCGGAACTCCCGGCTTGTTGTTGCACATCGCTGAGAGACTTCGGAAGGCAATACGAATGTGCAAGGTTGTGCTTGATATCCGAGGATTGAGATAGGATCCACTAGAAGGATGTCAGTATTCCCAGGTAGCATTTCAGCTCGTCAGACTGCATACATGATCGACTTCGAATAGCTCAATCTTCACCATGTTGCGCGAGAGTGAGTGAAATGCTCTGATATGCAGCTTTTCTCGAATACTTATACTTCAAAGTAAACCGGAGTTGAAGCGGAGGTAAAGTGAGTCAACGGCGAACGCACCCACGGGCCCCGAGCCCTGGAGGTCTACGGGTTGTAGTTATCAAATATTCATCTGTTTTCTCTAGGTCTCAAGGTCATGGTCCACAGGTGTCTTCCACCCCCACCCCCACCTACAGTGTACTACTAGTGTTTAACCCGTCTACTTCAGTCTTGGCACTATGTCCAACAGGAATGTGGAAACGGACCCTCATGTGGGTCCGTTTATGTGAGTTTTTGATTACGTTGATTACGGTTATGTGACCGCAATGTTATGTGGGCTTGGAAGCTTCACATTCTTTCAGTATCTCGATGCAGGAGATTGCTAACAGACGGTGGAAATCACGACCCTAGGCTCTGAACACCGACGGTACCCTCAATTCCGAAGACGTCATGACTTGTTCATCTTCTGCGTTTTTATCAAATAACTTCTCCAGACCTCGGTATAAAAGACCTGCGCCCTGATCTAACTGCCCCTCAGTTTTCACCTGGACTCGACGTATTGTCACTCGACTCCCTCATCCAACAACCAGCACAACCATCGTTCAATCATGTCTTCCCTTTTGAGAGGAGGAACAGCAGTTCGCAATACAGTTTCGAAGCTCCTCAGAGGAGGAACTGTTCTTATTCATGGCGAGAAGGACCGTGTATCCTCCCAAGTAGCCGATGTCCTCATTGAGGGAGACAGGATCTCCAAAATAGACGCCTCCATCCCTGTGCCAGCTGGGTGCCAGGTGATAGACTGTACCGATAAGATCATCTCCCCTGGTTTTGTGGATACACATCGCCATGTTTGGCAGTCGCCCCTCAAGGGATTCTTCGGCGACACAGCTCTTTTTCCCTATCTGGCAATCGGTTCGTCCCCTTCAATGAAAAACGAAGAGATCCACTGACAACATGAAGTGATTGCCGCCGGGATGGAACTTAAGGCAGAAGACATGTTTTGGGCGAATCTAGCAGGCAATATGGAATCTATCGACGCCGGAACAACCACCACCCTGGATCATGCTCATATGAACTGGTCCAAAGATCACAGTAAGTGTAGATGTCTTCGATGGGATCTCCATATACTAATTTCGATTCCAAGGCTGGTTCGCAATAGCCGGAACGATCTCTTCGGGCATACGCTCGATTTTCGGCTATACTCCGGTCTCCATTGTTGCCAGCACAAAGCCGAAGATTGAATTCTCGCCCGAGCCTTTGCCTAGTTGGATCATGGCAACCTTTGAACAGATTGCCACATCGCAGCCACTCAAGGACCCTGATTCTCGTGTTCAATTGGGATTCGGTTTTGACTTCTACCATCTTCCCAAAGACGTTGTCTTGGGAGTTTTCCAAAAAGTCAAGTCCCTGGGCACGAGGATAATCACATCACACTTCATCCAAAACTTTATCAAAGATAGTGAGAGTCTACCTGTCCTGTTGAAGTCTTATGACCTTTTACATAAAGGCATCGTGTTTTCCCATGGCGGCGGAACTACCCCCGAAGATGTCAAATTACTGAACGATGCAAACTGCTTTTTCTCTGCTACGCCAAACACCGAGCTTGCCATGGCAGTCGGACCTCCAGTCTGCTTCCGGAAAGACCTTCCTGGTGTTGATAGAGTATGCTCTCTGGGTGTCGACTGTCACTCAGCAACAAGCGGCAGTATGGTGAATGAGATGCGAATGGCATTGCAGACAGCAAGAGGCATTGAAAGTGAAGCTCACATCCGAAGCGGCATATGGCCAAGAGAGGTGACAGACAAAACTTCCCATGCCTTCAACTTGGGCACTATCCAGGGTGCCCGTGCGCTGCGCATGGAGCATGAAATTGGTAGCATTGCAGTGGGCAAAAAGGCGGATCTGGTGATATTCGACTCTTTGAGTCCTGCTATGATCGGTGTTGCTCAGCGGGATCCTGTCATGGCTATTGTACTACATTCCACAATACGTGATGTCAACACCGTGCTTGTGGATGGAGAGGTGAGAAAGGAAAATGGCCAACTGTGTCCAGTCAAGGGTACTGAGTGGAATAGCAAGACCGGTTTCTTGCAAACAAACCAGAATATTCACTGGCAGGAGGTGGCAGATCGAATTTTGGCTATACAAAGGAGGCTAGTGTCTAAGACTCCGGGCCCTCTTCTCTTCCAGATAGAAGATCATGTTCGCGAGCTTTTTGGCCACAAGCCCAGCTCTTCGAAGATTTGATCAATGGATAGCCCCCCAAATTCAGTGAATGTCAATATCTGCTCTCGACGTTGGCCGTGGGGACATGGACAAGCAGACCTGATTGTTTCATAAATATCTCTATCTTTTTCTCTGATTACCCACCGAGATTTTCAATAGGATTCTGAGCCTGTTCCAGCTGGAATCAGACTTAAAAAACAAAGAGTGGAAGCCAAGGTACACGAAGGAGCAAAAAGGGTTGCAAACATGCTATCCTAGTATCTTGTGGGTGACGACTTGGCAGCTCCAGCTCTTCTATGCCATCAAACCTGCCATCCATAGAGCTCAGATTAAGACCCCTGGAATGAGACCCAGTGACCCATCAACCGCTACTTCCGCATGTGCTATACTAGTGTCAATCACAGGGACGGCTCTAGGAGCCATTCGCAAGAAAGAGAATGGCCAAAAGCCATGAGTCGATTGGTTGCTGGAAAGAAGGGAAAAGAAAGAGCAAAGCTACAGGGACTGTGGAAGTGGATCACATGTGATCAAACAACAGCATTATCTGCTTGAGTCACTAGCATTCTAAATTCGGTGCATCCGAGGATGATGGCTTGCGCTCCACGGGAAATCAAATCTGCAATCGCGGCTTTGAGCTTCTCCCGCGTCTCAGGAGGCACAGTCCCTCAAATATGACACCGGGACCTCGGAGCACGACCGAGTCACGTAACCAAAAGCTCACGCGAACTAGAAGTGTGGGGCTGGTGTTACCTACATAGGTATAGCTACTTAACTGAAAACGAACATGTAAGCTTTTAATGACAAGATAATCGTTCCGTAAAGCTGATAATCATACTTAATGAGATTCCGGCACCCAGCGCCATATTCACTGCATCACTGTCTGTCCGGACACTGGGCTCTCTGCACCGATATCATACCTAGGCACCATGACGACGAACCAGTTATCCGAAGATCCAGCTGGCTTTGTTTTGACAGCCGAGGCTTTGGGACATGCTATTCCAAGCATGGCAATCGCTACCAAGGCTATTCACGCGGATGATTTCGTCAGTCCTCATCGTGCTATCGCACCCGGAATGCATGTCGCCACGAATTACCGATATGCCAGAGATCCTGATAATCTAGTTGAATCGGAGAACAACGATGTGAATACCTCATATTTGTCATTGGTATATCGCTAACCCAAAGATACAGCCAAACGCGCCATTAGACTCACACATTTACTCCCGTTATTCGGCCCCTAACACCACTCGGCTCGAAGTTTTGCTGGGCAGCCTCTTCGGTAGCCAGGTAGTCACTTTCTCTACCGGCCTCGCAGCATTTCACTCGATGTTGATATTATTGAATCCGAAGCGCATCTTTATGGGAGATGGCTATCACGGTTGTCATGGCGTGGTTGATGTGATGAACAAACTGACGGGAATCCAAAAATTTGACCTGACGGAACTGGAGCACTTGAGTGCTGGGGATGTTATTCATGTTGAAACACCTTGGAATCCCACCGGGGAAGCTCGAAATCTTGCCTATTTCTCTGCCAAAGCTCGCCAGAAAGGCGCCTTTCTGACTGTGGACTCAACGTTTGCCCCACCGCCGCTACAGGACCCTTTGCAATTCGGTGCCGACATAGTCATGCACAGCGGCACCAAGTATGTGGGTGGTCACTCGGACATGCTATGCGGAATTCTGGTTGTGCACCCGGATCGTGTCCGAGAAGGGTGGGCCGAGACTCTCCACGCAGAACGCAGAGTACTCGGCAATGTTATGGGGAGCTTTGAAGGGTGGCTTGGAATGCGATCTGTTCGCACAATGCACTTGCGGGTTCTGAGACAAGCGGATACGGCCAGAAAACTAGTGCACTGGTTGAATCAGCAGCTGCAAGATCCGCAAACCGTCATTTCCAAGTTTTTGGGTACAGTGAAGCACGCTTCGTTGCAGCATGAGGATTTGCATGACGGTTGGCTTCAAAAGCAAATGCCTGGTGGGTTCGGTCCGGTTTTCTCTGTAATAGCCAAGAGCGCAGAGCTTGCCAAGCGTTTGCCGGGCAGGTTGTATATTTTCCAGCATGCGACTAGTGTTGGCGGCGTGGAGAGCTTGATGGAATGGCGAGCCATGACACACGAAGGCTGTGATAAACGGCTGCTTCGCATCAGCTGCGGTATTGAAGAACTAGATGATCTCAAGGCAGACTTGGTTCAGGGCATGAAGTCATTGATACCCGAGGATTAGTGGTGAAGCTACTGGAGGGAGCTTCCACAAAAAGAAAATAAGTTTTTTTTGTCAAGAGTGAAGAAGAAGAGAAACTTGGAACACAAAGAAGATGGAGAGAGCAATCCCCCTGAGAATAGACGTGGTCACCTGGCCGGATGCTCACAACAACCTTGAAGTAGACTTAGTACAATTTGAATGCGCTTTTCAATATCTCGCGTTGAGCATTGTTTACTACCAAAAATTTTCACGCCTTCGATTTATTTTGGCCCTCAAGCGCTGGAAACGAAATTTTGTGCGTTTTGAATATCTGGGTCAAGTTACAATGATAAAATGCTCGATCGAGAGCCATGATACCTAATGGTCAGCCCAAAGACGACGAAGGTCACTAGTCTTGGAAGTTGCCATCATATGCAATTTGCTGGCCGTAAGATTCGTCAAAGTTAAAATCGTTGAAACCAGCTAGCCCCGGCATAAATGAGCCAAAGAGATAGTCCCCCGTCGGGAAGATTGTGGACAGCTCATTTTCCAGTGATGACGGGCTGTCGAACGAAGACATAGAAAAGTCGGCCAATCTGTCCGTGCTAGCAGGGTTGTTTGTATGATACGCATGCGGGTGATTTTCCATCTCTGTATATGTGACAGAACCGTTGTCGGAGCTTTGGAGTACATGAGGATTCGGTTGATGAGGACGGGAACTTTGCCACATACGCCTGAGCATACGTGCGTAGTTGTTGCAGATGTGAGATTCAGTAGATGGAGCCTTTTCAAGAACAGAGATGAAAGTGTGAGCCAGATGAGGTACCTCTCGCCAAGCCCCTCTGTCAAATGCCCCGGCACATTCTGCTCTGTGTAGTAACACTGCTGCGTAGACTCCATAGCTAGCAGATAATGTTAATATCCACTTGGTTCAGAGACCTTGATCGGTTGGTGGTTACTCACATGTAATACCGCGATGGAAGATAACGGATGACAGTCTGTGGGTTGAGTTCATTCATGAGGTTGAGCAATTTGATAGCTGCATTGATGGTATTAGAGATATAGAGACCATCAGGAGACTGCATTATCCCATTTGAGAACAGAGTGGCGAACGATTTGTTCTCCTTGCCATGTCTCTGGCCCGATCTCTGCGGCGAAAGACCTCTTACGGAAACTGCTTGGAATGAGAACGCATTCGTGTACAAGCAGACGTATTCATACATGATGAATATCGTACTTTTGATATTTTCGGGCGCAGCGATGCTCGACCAGGTCGAGTGCCAAGATGTTGAAGCTTTTTGAAAGTCATCAAGATATCGGGCGTAGTTGCCTTCGTATATCATGGCCAAAGTTCTCTCCTTGGAAGGATAAAGAATGGAATGAGCGTTATGTAGGATTTGGGTGAGCTCCATCGTGGCTTGTAACACAGACGCATAGTCCTCGACACTCCCTTCGTTATCGGGTTGAGGTTTCAAACTTGGAAAATCATCGGCAGTAAAATTTGAGCCTAAAGACGGGCCTCGCGACCAAAAAGATTGTCCCAGTCGGACGGACATTTGTCGATCGGCTATGAAGATGTCTGTTCCGTAAGTCAGCATCAAGTGCCACGTTATCATAGGGAAGCGCACATGACCAAATGATTCTGTTTTGCTCCGCACGTTCCTGAGAAGAATCATCCCTCAGGCCCCGAAAGGCAGCGCTATCTAGGCGCTGAAGGTAGCCGTGTCGGACCGCGAGCCCAACCAGCGACCAGGCCGTCGCTTCTCCGCCGAAAAGACTTTTTGACTTTTCGGTTGGCTCATCTTGGATATGGGGCAGCCACTCGGCCAACAACAAGATTCCCTCCACGATCCTTGGACTCTGTGTCCAATTGTATGCCAAGAGAACGTCTACCAGAAGACGCTGTGCATGATCCCAACAGTAACGGTGTGTGAGCGACTGGCAAGAATCGTCTCTGGAAGCAATGGTAAGAATACACGTGAGAAGGAAGTGGTCATACTTCTGCCAGTTAACAGTCTGTGGCTGGCGTAGGAGGCGGCCAGGAACAACAGGGCAATATGGATGATAGACTTTGGAATACCTATATACCATCAGCTTTTCTAATTCTCCTATCGACGCGTGATAGAGGGCAACTGACGTGTGCAATAGTTCAAATACCAGCTCCGTACTCAAGATCTTTCTATGCACCAACTCAAAGCTGTCGAACGCGGCGATTCCAGGGCTCCTGTGGTCTTCGCTGCTCCGGTTTTCATCAATCGACGGACGCCGCTCTCGAGTAGATGAGCCTGCCTCATGGGTACCGTGTCTGGAGGAAGCATTATCGCGTATATTATCTCGAGAATACTTGCGACCTGATTGTGCCAGAATTTGCAAAGCGTCAGACGGGTTTTGGAGGTCCATAGCTAGGACATGATCCAATTCTTGTCCTGCAAGTGCTCCTTCATTCGTGGTTGGAGAGACCCTAGCTCTGCAGGATCCCACGTTAGACTCGTCGGCCGCAGTATCAGCTGTGTGACCAACTTGCGCTGGGTTGTCTGGTGGTACTGTATCGGGCCTTGGTGGATTCGAACGCCTTGGGGTGCGAAAGTTGCCACCGCGTCGCGACTGGACCAGAACACACTCACTTTCGGTCTCGTGGCAAGATAAACACGGGGGTTTATTCGGCAGCCCGACTCGAGTTCTCAAATTTTGTTAGAATTGACACAGGAAGGGTCTGTCAGTAAGTAGGGGCTCACAGATCACATCTGGTCTTGCGTGTGCGACAGCGAACACATGCACGGCTCGACCTTTTGCCGGTGGAATATGTCATCTTTTTTTTCCCGTGTACCGGCAATAGATCATCTCATAGCGTGAAAAGTTGCTAGAAAGGAGGAATTATCGACGGGGTGAGTAGCCGTCCAATTTCGGCTATGGTCGGCTATGGTCGGCTAAGGGTGAGCCCAGGCTATGTGGGGCCCTCCCCAGGCGTGGACCCTAGCCCTGGCGGTCCCCGCCCGGGTACCGGACAACCTATCAGCCTTGCCAAGGGTCTTCTCCAGGGCTTCGACTCTACTCTCTCCATCAAATCGATATCAAAACTTCATTGGTTTTCTGGGCAGACCTTCTCAGCTTGAAAACTGAGAAGGTTGAGTGATACAAAATTTGTCGTCACAATGTTGAGGTATTAAAAACCAAAGCTCATGGCGTGAGTCGCTGAATCCAAAAGGTCAGTCGACATTGCCATGCTTCTGGTCGCTTCACGAGCGTTAAAGTCAAAGAATTTCAGAAACCACCAGTCCTTCTCTATTCAGGGGGCCGTCAGCTCGCCCCACTCGGTTTAACCTACTTTGATCCCCGAAGATCAAGCATGCCGAAGATTTTCATCGGCAATAGACGGTTATAGACCTGACGCAACAAACATCAAATTACAAACCCTGCTCCGAAAAACGGTTTGATATTTCGGCCAACAAAATCGGCTATAGGTTGCCTCACAATATGTCTCGCAGGTAAACTGCGCGGGCTTCTTGGTCTACAAATACCAGGCCAAAGCTCCGGGGCAAACCCAAGTTTCGTTTCAGACACTGAGTTACAACCACTCTGTTGACTCCTGTGCTAAAGAACCTATCTCTCCTACAATTTTCCATCTTGGTTGAAAGTCAAGATGTCCGCTACTACAACCACTACCACCACCAGGTCGAGTCTTATGGAAGATGTTGTTGTCACGCCTATCAAAAACAATTTCGGCGCTGAGATAACCGGGCTGAGCTTTTCTGAAGGCGTCTCCGGGGAAGCATACCAACTTATTCACAATGCGGTGAAGGAGGTGATCAAATACGAATCATTCGCATCCAACGATATCTACTGACACATCTTGCAGCATGGCTTTGCCGTGATTCGCCAAACGGGACTTGACGATGACAAGCATCTTGAGCTTGCTCGCATGTTCGGTGAACTTGACGATGTGACACCATACAATAAAGCTGGACGTGTACACCGACTGAAGTACAACGAGCTGTTTGACGTTGGTAATATCAACCTCGACGGCTCCATTGTCAGTCTTGACAGTGCCCGCGGCGAGGCCAACAAGGTATAGTCCCTCTAAACCAGGCTTCTGGCTCCAACTCAAGCCTCAAGATCCGCTGGAGGTAACATTTGTCCAGGGAAATTCTTTGTTTCATACAGACTCTAGCTTCAACCCTCGTCGAGCGGGCTACTCTCTTCTCCTCGCACATGAATTGCCACCCCCTGGGACTGGAGGCTCAACCTCCTTTGCCGATATGAGGGGGGCTTATCGTGATCTTGATGAAAGTTTCAAGAACTTTTTGGTTGAAAAGAACTTCATTGCTCGTCATTCGATCCTTCATTCCAAGAAGTTGGCCGCTCCCGAGTTTTACAGAGATATCGATCCTGCTCAGCATTTCATGAGTCGCCATTTGCTACTTCAAACCCATGAGCGTAGCAAAGTTCCCACAATCTACCTCGCGAAGCATATTCATTCTCTTGAGGGCGTGTCTTCCGAAGAATCCCAGGCCATATTGGATACCCTCTTCGAGCATGCCACCCAAGAGAGATATGTCATCGATATAGAATGGAAGGATGCTGGAGACATGATTGTTTGGGACAATACTTGTACCATGCATCGTGCTGTCAGCGGAGAGTTCGTGACCAAATATAGGAGGGACATGCGGCGGGCCACTGTACACGACGACAGCAGTTTAGCGTGGGGGTTCAACTCGAAAAGCAACGAACGGATGGGTCTACCTTGAGATCAAACTCGAATTACCTCCAGAGTGTTTGATCACGAGGACCCCTAGATGGAGTGCTGGAAATCATCGATATTTTACAAGGCATTTTTTAATGCAAATCAAATCGATTTAACTCAGAATTTCTAGTAGGGTAGAGAATAATACTTAATATTATAAATGTTGCTAATTATCAGTTCTTGTTGTAGCAGCTACAGGCTTATCCGCGGAAGAGAGCAGAGATTGATTCATTCTCCACGAAGGAGGGAGAGAGAAAGAACTAAGAAAGGCCTGAAAGAGAGCTTCACTACCCTGAGTACGAGACCCATAGCACATGAATCTCGTCAATTCTGTCACCAAATATGGATCCCTTGCACTTTCCTGCCCATGGCCCTAAATACCCCAACAGACTATGCCTTTGTGAGAGTAACAAGGTCCTGCGCGTTAGGTGGGAACGGCAGGTCCAAGTCTGCGATCTGTTAGCTCATCCTATCTATCAGATAATTCTGTCATGTACCGAAGCTGTTCCCTTGTCCTTCACGCCGAAATTCGAGGGAGGTTGCATGTTCACCTCCAACTCGCTGGATTTGAACGTAGAAACGTGTGGTAGAGTTCCAAGGAAGATCACCAATGTGAAGATGGTATCTGTCACTGATTTTGCTTCGCTCGGACACCGAAGGAAAGGTGATGCAAGCTGGTCCTGTCAACAATTCAAATCTCGATCACAGATATGCAATGGCCTTCGATCTTACACGGGAATCGGAAGAGATCATTTCCATCATCAAAGCATGCCTGGTTGCCGTTTACTACTGTTAAGTACAAGAAAACACATTAGAACGGTGAGCACAACACGACTTTCAAGCTAGCAAATACTTACATCCACTGGACTGTACCGGGGGGTATGCCATTGTTGATTTGTTCAGGTATGGTAGCTGCCGAAGTAAAAAAGACATCAGCAAATTTCAAAGTTCCAGGTGCCCATGATACACAGTAAGTGGAATACTTGCTAGCTCTGTCAGGATCTCGTTCGGTATCGAAGAATCCAAACTGTAATTGTTCAAAAAGACTTGGACCTTCTTATTATCATTTGAACGCCCAGCCAGGGCAGCGAAGCCGTCCGGGGAACTGCCTTTCAGTTCAAGGCGATTTGGTGTTTTCTCTAGAAGATTGATGTAGTTCAACCAAGCGGTAGCGACGTTTCGAGGAATGGGTTCGTTATCGGCAGATTTGTTGAAGAATCCTTGATACCAAAATCCACCTGCACCCCATCCGCCATAGCTCAATCCAGGGTAAAGGATCATGTGTTTGATGGATGTGTCTTGGGCATACATCAACTGTGAATTGCGTCAGTACTGAATGGTAGGTAATACCAAAGGAAATCCTTAGCCGCTTACAGCTCCAATATTGAAAGACGAGAAAAATTGAGGATCACGATAATGTCCAAGGGAGTCTGGGGATCTAAAATTGTAAGCTTGGTGACGCAGGGCAAGATTTAGTCGCGCTGTGACAGGGAGGAGCAAATTTCTTGTTCATTTTGTGAAAGAATACCTACTTGGGCGAGACTGATGTTGACCAGCCCGAATGCGTGGCCCAAATTTCGAGATCAGGGAGCCCAGCGGGGATCAGAATTTTCTCCCGAAACTCATCGGTGGTGGTTTTAATGTCATATGCTTTAGATTCATCTCAATGCTGCACCATCCAGTCTGAGTGATAGGGAACTTACGGTCAAAACTAAACCATAAATTCACAAAATGAAATGTTGCAGCTTTGATCGGTACATTCTGGTCGTGGCAATCTCTGTAAAACTGAGTGATAAAGGGATTATGAGTCTGGCATAGGGCGAGGTCAACTGATTGCTGGATGGTGGGCGAATCGTGGCTGCAGATTCAACATACAGAATAATTGGTTTCGATTGGATCTGCCGTAATGTTAATCAATACAAAGGTAAAGGCTCGCTCATAGATGGGGCATAAGATGAGCTTACAAAACCGATTGGAGCCCCAAGCTCCGCTGAAATAGCTGTTTAGTACCTAGGTCCGAGATGTTGAGCTTTTATGGGAGCCACTCACACGCCAACATCCGAAGAGCTTTAGATGCATCAAGATAAGTTCACTTTAAAAATCAAAAAAAAAAAAAAAAAAAAAAAAAAAAAAAAAAAAAAAAAAAAAAAAAAAAAAAAAAAAAAAAAAAAAAAAAAAAA